AATACTAGCTTTAAATAATTTTTAAAAAATTAAAATTAATTAAAATATTATAAAATTAAATATTCTAACTAAATTAAGTTCAGAGTTCAGCTAAGATTATATTAAATATTATATTATTATTATTAATATTATTAGTTATTATATCTAATAATTAATAGATAAGATTATATTTATATAAGACTAATAAAATAATTATAACTAGATTTTTATTAATATAAGATTTAGATATTAATTAAAGATTTAGTAAAATCTTATAATAATTTATATTTTTTATTAAAAAATATTTAATTAAATTAAGAAATATTTTCTGATTAGAGCTGATTTAGTAGTTTATTATAACTAATATTTATTTAATACTTAGAAATTTTAATAATAATTATATATATATCTCTTTAGATAGTTTTATAAGATATTCTTTAATTTATATTTAATTAAAAGAACTTAATTTTCAGCAGAAAAATAAAGTAATAAGATTAATTATTTATTTAAATTAAATATATTTAATAATTTAAAATAGTAGATAATAAATAATTATAAAATATAGAATTTAATTCTAAAAATCTTATTTATTATAAATTATAAAAATCTAGAGAAAAATAATAATTAAAAAAGATTTATTTTAAAAAAATAAATAAATATTTATAATAATTCTTTACTTAATATCTGATTAATTATTTATTTAAATATAATTAATAATAATTTCTTTTTATAATTTTTATAAAAATAATAATTTATAAAACTAGTTTCTGAGTTTTTAATTCTTAGATATTATAAAATATAAAGATATATAATATAATAAATATAAAAGATTTTATTAAAAAATAATATATTTTTTTAAAAGCTATTTTATATTATTAATAATTTTTTTTAATTAAAGTAAAATAATAGTTTTTTAGTTTATATATAATTTTTAGAAAAGATTATCTTCTATTATTAATTCTAAAAAATAAAAAGTTTTTTTTAAAAAATTAAATATAAAATGATCTTCTAATTCTTTATAATATATATAATCTTAAGATTTAGAAAAAAAAAATCTGACTTAAAAAGCTTATTTTAATTTAAATATTATTATAATTTATAAAAATCTAAGAAATAAAAAAAAAAACTTAATAATATTCTCTAAAAATAAATTAAATAATTATAATTAATTTATAATTCTAAAGCTATTTTATAAATAATAAATATAAAAAAATAAAAGCAGAAAACTCTGTAAAAATAATTTATTTTATTTTAAAATATAATTTTATATAAATATAATCTATTATATTTTAATATACAGCTGAGACACCCGCTATATTTTATTTATTTTAATAAATTTAATAAAAAAAATTTATATCTAAAGCCCAGAGTTATAAAATAATTTTTTTTTTAAATAAAATTATTTAAAATATAATAGACTAGAATAAAAAATAGATATTTATAAAAAAAATTTATAAAAAATTTTTATAAAATCTTTTATAAGAGCTATAATATTATAGTATAGATCTAGTATATTTTATTTATTTATTTTATTTATTTAATTTATTTAATTTATTTAATCTATTTAATCTATTTAATCTGCTTTATTTTAATAATTTAATTATTTATAATTTTTTTAACTATTTATTAGTTTTTAATTTTATTAATAGCTCTTTAAGCTATATTTTATTTATAAATCTAAGAATAATCTGATTTAGAAAAAATAATAAAATAAAAATAATATATTTATTTCTAATATTTTAATTAATAATTAATATATAATTTTTCTAGTATTCTATAATATAATTAAAATATATAGTTAAAATAAAATAATAATTATATATTTTTATATATATTTCTTATTATAAGAATAATAATTTTATAAAAAGCTGAATTTTATTAATATAACTAGAATTTCTTTATTATTTTTAATAAATAATAATAAAAAAGATATTAATTTCTTTTTTAATTATATTTTTTTAATTTAAAAAACTTCTTTTTATATATTTTTAGATAATAGTAAAGATAGTCAGATTAATAATTATTTAATTTAAATATATCTTAATTATACTAGAGCTTAAAAAAATATAGTAAGTAGATTTTAATATTAAGAATAATTAAGATAATTAATTATCTAATTTTTAGTTATATTATAATTAGATATAAAAATTTTCTTAATCTAATTATAATCTAGTAGTTAGATATAAAAATTCTAATTAACCTGACCTGATCTGGCTGTTAGCCACTCTAGTTATATTTTAAATATATTATATATATATTAATTATTTTATTATAAATAAAAAGTATTAGAATATATTTAATAATTTTAATTTAGATTTAATTATTTTTATATTTAAAAAGTAAAAGAAGAATAAGATAATTATTATTTTTTATATTAATAAGAATAAGAATATAAATAATCTTAAAAATAATCTAGAAAATAAATTATTATTAAAATTAAAAAAACTAGTCTTATCTAAGTTTTTAATTATTATATATATTTAGATAGAGATAAAAATCTAATTTTTATAATTTTTATATTATTATAATTATTATTTTAAATAATATAAAAAATAAATATTCTATATTTTTTTTTATTTTTTAATTTTTTTATATTAAATTTTATAAAAATCTTTTTCAGAGTATAGTATATTTTTTAAGATAATTAATTAAATAAATTAAATAATAGATTATATCTAAAAAATATTATTATATTTATATTATAATTAAATATATATTATATTTTATATATTATTTATATAAAAAAATATATATATATTATAAATTAATCTGCGGTTATTAATTTATTTATTATATTTAATTTTTTTAATTAATAGATATAAATAATTATAATAATAATTATATCTTAATCTAATCTTAATTATATAGTTAAAAATTTTTTATATCTTAATCTAACTACTAGATTATGGCCAGGTTAAGATTAAGATATAACAGTCAGATTAAGCCACTCTATAATAATAAAGATAGCTAGATTAATAATTATTTCATCTAAATATATCTTAATTATACTAGAGCTTAAAAAAATATAATAAATAGATTTTAATATTAAGAATAATTAAGATAATTAACTGCCTGATTTTTAGTTATATTATAATTAAATATAAAAATTTTCTTAATCTGATTATAATCTGGCAGTTAGATATAAAAATTCTAATTAATCTGACCTGACCTGGCTGTTAGCCACTCTAATTATTAATCTATCTGCTATATCTAATCTTTTTAATTAATAAATATAAATAATTATGATAATAATTATATCTTAATCTGATCTTAATTATATAATTAAAAATTTTTTATATCTTAAATTCTTAATCTGATTATCAGATTATGACCAGATTAAGATTAAGATATAATAGTCAGATTAAGCCACTCTAATATTTAATATATCTTTAATTTATATTTATTTTAATTATTTTAATTTAAAAGATTAATTATATTTTAAATAAAGAAAAATAATATAATATAATTAGATTTATAAATAAAAGATTATTTTATCTTTAATTAAGTAAATATATAAACTAGCAAATTCTTAAAAAAATCTATTAATAATTATTAGATAGAAATTATTAAGTATTCAGAATATTAATATTATAATACTAAAAAGTATTTATTCTATCTATTATTAGTATTCTGTATCTGCGCCTTAGGCTGTGTACAAGTGAAGTGTCCGGAAGCCCCTACACCCCTGAGGATCCACTTCAGATGCGCGGCAGAACATTGCATATACTTCATACACAATGGGGTAATCATTTCATAAATGCGATAGCCATGTTGCAGACAAGGAAAATACTTTTGAGTCGCACTCAAAGCATAAAATAAATGCATCCCCTATAAGAAGTAACTACTAAACCAGGTACCAGCACTTGACTTCACCGCCGGGGCATTATCAACCTTTGTCCGACGCACAGCTTCCTTCCTTACCTACCAGTCACCAAGTCAACAAACGCCCCTTCTGACATTAACATCAATTGCGTTTCTTATCATCATGGTAGAAGAATCTAACGAAACGAAACTCCCCCCAGGCATAGATTGCCAAGACATCCTCGCCTTCGGCACAACAGGCCTCGTTGCGCGCTACTAGGCCATGACATGCAAGGAGTAAAAAGGTGCCGCACTCCCCATCTGGGAAGGAGACAGGTGGATGTTCGTGCAGATAGAGGATGGTATCTGTCGCCTTACCCGAATCAGGCAAGTCCCGAATAGATATCATAAGACTCGACCAAGATCCTCGGGCCATTTTCTCGGCGGATAGGAAGAGCAATAAAGGCACCAAGCGTACCCCTCTCAAGACTCTGAAACTCACAACCCCCCCCAACTCTCCCTCGACTCTGCCGCATATACGTAAATCCGAATATCATACGCCCGCTCCCAGGTGAGGTCTCCCCTGGGATCAATTCGTATCTCGTGACTCATGAGATATGCCACCGGGCCAGTGGAAGGGGCGGGATGGAGGAGCAAAGCATGATGGAGAGTGAATACTACTGAGGCAAAGATGAGGGGGGTGGATCCCGACCCCCACAAAACCCTCCGCTCGATCGATTTGCTGCATGTCGGTTTGTGGGGAAGGGGACTCGGGGTGTGAAGATCAACTTGGGTTCGGAAGAGGGTTGAACGGTTCTTAGCATCTAACAGGGCTGGCTCGTGACGTTGCTACTCAGTCTAGCGCATTCAGATATACTATACATCATCATGACTGACGATGTTAAGCACATCTTGGTGCGAGGATGGCTTCCAGGTGCTGCACCACATTGGCACATACATACAGCTAGCAATGGTGGAGAGTAGTCTTGCCGGTCTATTACAGTGTATGTAGGTATGTACATCACGTCATAGCCCACCAGGCCGGTACACAGCAAAGCAAAGCAAAGCAAAGCATCATCAAGGACCGAGAGAAATGGCATCAGATCGTATCGAAGCAGGCAGCAAACTAGTATTTTGGGGAATATTGAGTGCATCAATCATGGAGTCTTTAGAACAGAACGAGGATGAAATCAACGCATGGCGAAACGACATGTCAGTAATCACTGCGACTCGACTTGTTCGGCCCAGGAAGCCCCGGTCACGGGCGACAAGGGGTCCGACTTCAGCAGGTCAGGGAGAGGGGGCGGCACAGGGGCGGCCGTTTCCTTGCTGCCCGTGTCTTTCTCCTTCTCCTTCTCTTTCTTGTCGCTGCCGGGCAGGGCGGGGAAATTGGCTTCATTGTTGATCGCCGGAGCTGATGCGGCAGGCTTGGGACCTGACTGATCAGCGACGCCATCGAACGGTGCAAGATCTCCGCGAGGCCCACGATGACCACCCCGGCCGCGTCCACCTCTGCCGCCGCGTCCCCGACCCCGGGGGTGGTGAGGACGAGGGCCGTCGTTCAGCGGTTCCTCGCCCGGTTGAGAATCGCTGGGCTGGGAATCGAATTCTCGTCTCGCGTAGCCAGAAACACCACCATGCATACCACGTCGGAACTGGCCCCTACCACCACGGGGATTGTAGGTCTCCTCCCTCTTCTCGGCATCCCACTCTCGTCCATTCAACGCATTCATCTTCCGCTGTCGGTTACGCTCGCGCTCATTATCCATGACCTGGCGATTGGCACGTTCCTGGCGTCGCTTCTCCTCCGCAACCTTCTCGCGGTCAAGGAACGACTGTTGGTCTGCTTCGGCCCGCGCGTGTGCGGCGGCGAGCTTCGCGGAGTTTTCTTTAGCGGCGGCAATGCGGCGAGAGAGTTGTTCTTCCGTAAGCTTGGGCTGGTAGATAGTCAGCACAACACGCCAGTTAAATCAAACAAGCACCCCTACCTTCTTGATACCACCGGTAGCACTTCTATCGCCACGAACCGCAGGCACACGCGGACCCTCCGCTGTAGCAGCCTGTTTGGGATCCGATTCCGTTGCATCCTCCCTCCCGTTCTGCTCCGCCTCAACAGGCGCAGCAGGAATAGTAGGGGTAGCAGGAGACGACCCCTCTGCGCTCTTATCGTCATTCTCAGGAGGACTGTCAACAGGCTTATTATTCTTCACGGGCCCATCCCCACGACGACCAGAGCTATGCGACCCGCGCCTACCGCCGCGCCCTCTACCCCCTCGGCCTCTTCCCCGTTTCTCGCCCCCACGCGACCGTGGCGGGGTATCAGTTCGAGCTGGTGGGACGTCTTTCTCGACAGCAGCGGGGGCAGGAGGATCGGGGTGGACTTCGGGCTGGGGTTGCTGCTCTGCGGCGGGGACGGGGATGATCTCATCGTCGAAAAGGTCATCGCCGCCGCGAGTCTGGGCGAACTCATCCATAGCAGGGGCGTCGTCGGCCATGTTTTGTGTGACGTGGAAGAGGCAAGGGATTTGTTCTCTCCGATCGCGGATCTGATGCGACTGTAGGTACGCGCCTTCGCGGCGCAGGGCAACAGGACCAATGAAAGCGACCCGTGGTAGCTCGAGTCGTGAACCGGTGATCAACAATCAGCGCTAGTCGCGGGGAGGAAAGTCAGCTTATCGCCAGGCAGAAAGACCCCCCCCCAATCCATTTCACTCATCCTTCCTTTCAGCTTCCCCAGGCGGGAGAGCTTGCACAGCCTCCGCAGTGTGGAACGTCAGTGTCCTTCCTAGTAGGAACTAGGAACATGAGACACCGACCAGCCTTGTTTCGGGAGGTGGCGTTCTGGGGGAGAAGAGCCGACCCCATGTGGTAGCTCCAGCTTCCAAGGCGGTCTGTCTGTGGTCCGGACGCTTTTTCTGCGGAGGCTGGGGTTGACACCTCCCGGGGAAGAGTGGAGAGATGCAGCAGTGGAGGGAGACAGCACGTACCGCTTTGAAAAATATCCGTTTGGTCAAAATGAGTCTTCAGATGCCGGGATCGACTCGGGTGAGGTTGGGGAGGGAATCGGCCAAAGGTCAGGGAAGGTCGGCGCTGATCGGCGGGCGCTTTTCTGCCGCGGCCCACCGCTGCTTTCTGCCAGCCTCTAACCCTAAGTGATGTCTCAATCGGGCAGATGCAGTGAAGACCGAATACGGCTGGGTTGCGGTGGTACCGAGGAGTGCTGGCTTGCATTCATTGACTTGATTCAGGGTCTATGCAGCATCCACAAATAGCATTGTATTGGCAATGCCAGTACGGAGTAGTATACACTGCTGCGTGTGCAATCCCGGCATAACACTCGACAATATATACAATTGCCTCTGGCGTTATTCATCACTACACATTCAGTCTGGTACTAGCTAAATGTTGCAATTACTATATTCATCTCAGCTTCTGTCAGGTATCAGAAACTCTATAGAATATCAATACCCTCTTGATTGACTATAAAAGGGTATGAAAGCCTCGCATAATCGAGATGAATGTGGAGCATACTATCAGTTATAGCCCTATGGCGACCCCATGTGTCATAGAAATCTCATTGTGATAAAATGAGCTATACCCAGTAATGTGAGCATGATTCCTGGTGTGAAGGAGGTGTCCCTTACAAATAGAAATAGCGAGCACTATAATAGCAAGCCTCGGGTTCTGAGCACCGATCAAGCCGATCAGGAGGCTGAATGCGGTCCACGTGGAAGATGACACCGGAAAGACCCCGAAAGTGGGAGACTCTTTATATCTGATCGTGGTTTCATCGATCATGGCCTGTAAGTTGGCAGCTGCCGCTGCGGTCTTATCCAGGAGCGCCTGTGAGATTCGTATATTCGTCTGAAGATGTTCTTGCACTTGAGAATGACCTTTCATGGCTTCATTGTGCTGCAGTTGGACTTTGCGCAGTTCGTCAGCTATTAGCTGAGATTTGGACAGAGACGTGTCAAGAATTTGCAAGCGCTACACAATTAAGCAAACTTCTCAAGAACAGCTGGGTTACCACAAACCTCGGAGAGACTTTGCTCTTGTTGTAGAATTTGAACGAACTTCCCGGAGAGCCATTCCTGATACAGTCAACTTCCGCTGTTTTGTGTGTGAAGAAGGCCTACCAGAGAAGAATCGAGGTTCTGCACAGTGAGAGAGAGCGTATCCAGGTTGTCATGCAAGAGTGTCTCCAGGCTCGACTTCAGAGATGAAACTAATTCATTGTTAACTGAGACATCGTGCAGCTGGGTCGACGCCATTTGTTCATTCCTGGCCATCGACTCATCATACAAGGCTTTCAATAATTGTCGAAGATATTCTGTCTCGCTCGAGGCGTTTCCAATATTCTATCGAGCGTCAGCTAGATTCTGAGAAAAGACAGAGTGCCTACCCTCTCAAGTGACATAGTCTTATCGTGCATTCGCTCAATAGCCGAAGAGACAGGCCCAAGAACTGCTGTAACATAAGCCTCCATGTTGCGATAGACTCTTTCCAAGGTGGCTTTGAGATGTGACTCCGTTTTATCCATTTCATGGACTAGCCTGATCCTCATCTCCTCAACTGCTTGCATGAATGTCTTATGACGAGAAGTTTCGGCTGTAGCAACTTCCATTGCTTCATGTAGACCATGATCAAGTTTGACCGAGCCTTGCACTATGGACCTATAAAGTTCAAGGAGTTCCGCCTTTTCGTTCTCGATCCTCGCTGCCTGGCAAATAACCACAGCATTCTGCCTACTATTGCTATAAGACGTCCACCACTGCGGCCGTGATTCCAGCAATTTGAGGCAGGACTCTAACTGCCCTTTTGGTATAGATTCCAAATCATTAGAGCGGGGCTTATGGCTGGACGATACCCCGAAAATTCCTCTCTTTGGTGGAGGCTGTATCGACACGGAAATACACGGAGAGGGAATCGCTGCCCCTGCTTCCTTGAGCTCACACATGGCAAGCCTAGCGGCATATATGGAGCGAACCCGGTCTAAGGCCACATGGATTTCCGGATCAGCCTTTTCAGGCTTGCCACCGATTGTTTGACAGGACGTCACCATCTTCGAGGTCGCCATGCGATTGCACGAGGGAGATGACTTCATTGATTCCAGAAGACCCAGTGCTTCCGCAAAGAGCACATCATGATCCCGGGGCTTCGAGTTTAGTAAGGAAAGTAGATCGACGTCTTCGATCGAGTCCTGGCTCGGAGTTGAAAGAGCTTGTTCCGTGGTCAGCGCAACCGAAACATAACTTTCCGGGGTCAACTTACCTTCCACTGAATTGAGTGCCATAACAGCACAGCACAATTGGAAGATTAGTATCAAGTACGGGAGTAAACATGAGAAGGAGATCTTGCGGCCTGAAGTTCCCGACATGTTCGCAGTTGATATAATGCCTCTCGGTTTGAGAGACCAAAGCAAAGAAAGTAGAGAAGGATACGGGTAGGAAAGAAGGCTCTGCCTTGTAAAATCTGCAGAGGGATGGATATTAAAGTATCGGACGTATAGAGAAGAAGAATAAGAATACACAAAGCGAGAAGTCCCAGACCAAGGCTGAGGTGTCCGAGCAAGAGCGCGATGCGAAGCTATAGAAAGAATGAGAACAAGAGACAGAGGGGCAGTGCATGGGCTGGAAAGTAAAACAGAGTGGATCGGAAACAAACAAGACATCACATCACGTCGCTCAAAGTACCTTACATGACTCCATCCGCAACATGTGAGAGTTGGAAGACGAAGATGAAGCGAGACCGCCGAGTGCCCATCTATACGCGCAGTCACATGACCCGCGCTAACCACATCGGGCGGGCGAGATCTCCGGACAAAATCAGTCGGCATCGGAGTTCCCAGAGCACTCTCTCCGGCCTCAATTCGCCATTCCCATCGCCATGTCGTGTTCCCTGACCCAGAGCTGCTTCAGGCAGCTTGCGCGGAGTCCTCTGAGACAAGGCTCCCTGCCCGTCTTCCTCGCCCCGGCGTTCTCTCACCCTTTCCGGACCCAGCCCTTCTCGACCACTTCCCCGGCACAGTCGCGAATTGGCGGCGCCGCGATTTCCGTCCCCAGCGAGGTCTCGCTCAAATTCATCGACCTACCCCAGCCCAGAGTGAAGAGACAGGGAGTCGACACCCCGAAGGTTGCAATTGAGGTCAAGGGTCCCCTGGGTAAGCAAGCTGCGAGTCCGATGGGGATGCGTGTCGTGTCTGAAGGCGGACCTGGACTGACGTCTGAGCGCTAGGTGAATTGACGCTGAACATCCCTTCCTTCGTGAATGTCGTGCACGACGAGGCCCTTCAGAAGGCCAGCCTGACCGTTCAGGACACTGAGGTCTCGCACCAGCGTGCTATGTGGGGTGAGTACTGGGTTGGGGTTCTTCGAGTCGGACAAGAGCTGACAGGTGTATGCTACAGGAACCATGCGCGCCCATCTACAGAACTACATCACCGGCGTTTCGGAAGGTCACATCTGCATTCTGAGTATGGTTGGTGTCGGTTACAGAGCTACCATTGAATCGACAGCGACCACCATCCAGGCCGAATACCCCGGTCAGCAGTTCGTTTCCCTCAAGGTCGGATACTCGCACCCGATCGAGCTGGGCATCCCCAAGGGCGTCAAGGCCAGCACCCCCCAGCCGACCCGTATCCTCCTGGAGAGTGTCGACAAGAATGTTGTGACCAAGTTCGCGGCGGAGATCCGCGAATGGCGGAAGCCGGAGCCTTACAAGGGCAAGGGTATCTTCGTCAACGGAGAGACGATCAGATTGAAGGACAAGAAGATTCGGTAAACGTGGGGTCTATGTCTTGGGGGAACGAATCTGTGTTTATTATTTCTGTATATGTATATCCGAGCACGGTTTCTTTGGTTCGCAATTGGTATCCTTTTTCATGTACTTTTAGACGCATCTAGCGTGCACAGTTGGACAAAATTTGTCGCAGAATCTATATTTATCATAGACATAAATTCAATATCCCTAACCCTTACAGCTTCAAGACAGTCTTGACAGCGTCGATGACCTTGTCGTGGACGGCCTTGGGAGCGGCGACGACTCCCTTGTTGGCAGCCAAGGTCCGGCCCTTGCTGAAGTCCAGTCTGTTGCCGTAGATATCCGTCACTTGACCGCCAGCTTCCCTGACGATCAGGTCACCAGCGGCGTGGTCCCAAATCTTCTCCTGGTAATCCTTCTTCACCGGCAGACGCAGGTAGATGTCACCGGCTCCTCTGGCGATGGAGCAGTACTTGGCCTGGGAGTCCAGACGCACACTGGGGGCGGTGATTCCGAGAAGCTGAGCGACCGCAGCGTTGTCGCCCTGAGCGGAGTGGGCAGCCTCGACACCCTCACAGAACACGGCCTGCGCGATATCGGGAACGGGGCGCATGGAGATAGACTTGCTCTCGGCCAGAGCGCCGTTCTGGAGGGGCCGACTGATGGAGCCAACGCCCTGGATGGCGGAGAAGAGAACGCCATTGCCGGCGCCGCTTATCTGCTCAGCTCCGATGCCGGCAGTCATGGTCTCGGAGTCGTTGACGGGCAGGTTCGGGCAGCCGATGGCCCCCGCCTTGACATCACCGTCGACAATCAGACCGAGACAGACGGCATATTGACCACCCCGCAGGAAACCCTTGGTGCCGTCGATGGGGTCCAAAGCCCAGATACGGCCGGAGGGACCACCCGCACTCTTGCCCTCGTCGATGATGTCCAGCATCGCCTCTTCGCTAGGCAGGGGGCCTCCCAGGAGGTTGTCGCTCTCGCTGTCCTCCAGCTTGATGTCCTTGACCAGTCTCCAGATCTCCCCGCTCAGGGCCTTGTCCTCGCGGAGGGTGCTCGCTTCCTCCTCGGCAACAATCTCGTCGTTGGGGAAGTTCTTGCGGATGGCTTGGATGATCAGGGCCTGGGCGCCGAAGTCGCCAATGGTGACGGGCGACTTGTCATCTTTGGAGACGGTGCCCTTGGCCTTCTCGTTGAAGACCTTCTGGGTGAGGAGGGTTGCGCGCTGGACGGCGAGCTCGGCGATGAAGCGTTCCTGCTGGTAAGACATGGTTGCGGGTTGGGTATATGAGGAGGAAGAGAAGGGGGTAAGGTGGGGGAGAGGGGGAAACAGATGGTGGCGGGTTTTTAAGATGATGCTGACCCCCAGTAGAAGAGTGGAGCAGAGAACCAGACGGGAGAAGATGGAGATACGCGGCCTGCGAATGGAGCAAGGATCTGCCGGATTCGTCGACCGGAGACCCATGAAAGAAGGAGACGCTGGCCAATGGGTCTGGAGCTCTGCGCAGTGATTCGCACTTTTCTTTGGCCCAATTCCCGGCAGTTTCCAGTGCAGAAGCGTACAAAGTAGAGAGGAAGCGATTCCTGGATGGAGTACGTAATTCCCGTAATCGGCGGCGCAGGACCGCCGCGGAGGGCCCCAGGCATGAATCAGGCAGCGAGGGCCGGGCTTCCCCGCACTAAGCCGGTTCGGGCGGGCCAGAGGGGCAGTCACGAGATCGCAATGGCATCAACACCGCATGACGTTGGAGGCGCCATCCCCGATCCTCCGTCGCCCGTCCGTCTCAGGTTGCTGCAGCTCGACCCGGTGCTCTCGAAATCAGCTCACTGGGAGCCGAGTGCAAGTGCTGCCGTTAGCGCGCCCGGTTATATCCCCCCCTCCGCCAAGGCAACACAGCGGCTATCCACTTGGTCTAACACGTCACCGTCTACGGTTCTCCTGAATCTGTTATCTAGGCACGGGGAAACGGTTCCGCCTGACAGGACCGCCGTTGTGACTCTTCCTTCAGTACGGACATTGGAGCGCAAGGAGGAGCAAGCCCAGTTGCATTCCACCCGACGGGTCACATCTCCATACCGAGTCGAGCTGGACACTCACTGCATGCCTCGGTGACGGTTCCATGCGCATGGGAGGATAAATTTCCTTTACGTACCGGATTTTCGGCGGGGTCATATATCCCCTCGCATTGATTGACATCGACCTCGTACACCCACCTTTTCAAGGCTGTCAAGATGTTCCACTCCCATGTAAGTCGGTTTGGCGATTGTCTCACAATCTAACCCAATCAGGGGTTGAGTTCAAGCGGATCAATTGCAAAATATGACCTGTGCCTTCGTCTGGCGCTCAGGACTGACCCATACCCACTTATAGAAGCCATACTCGGCCGTGACGGTCCAGATCGAGGTCCTCACCAGCGAACAATATGAGGTGGAAGACTCCAGTGGAATCCCCGATCTCATCGAGGCGGTTCGTATACAAGCGAGTGGTCCTACGGAAGCGAGTCGCGCTCTGCGCAAGAAGCTGTCAGTGTGCCCGCCCGTCTCATAAATAACGGTCTAACCCTCTCCAGCAAGTACGGCAACCTTCACCGTCAATTAAGAGCCCTTACGATCTTGGACTTTCTGATCCAAAACACCGGTGATCGATTCCTGCGCGAATTTGCAGACGAACCATTACTCGAACGACTCCGAATCGCTGCCACCGATTCGGTATCCGATCCGCTCGTCAAGCAGAAGTGCAAGCAGCTGTTTGGACAATGGGCATCCTCATACAAGAACACCCCCGGCATGGAGCGGGTGACGGCTCTCTACCGACAACTCCCAAAGCGCAAGCAACCAGCCACTCAGGCGAAGGCCAAGGTGCTGCGTGATTCAGGTACCTCCGACGAGCCTGCGATGGGCCATACGGTGTCTGTGTCCGCTGGAAACGGCCCTTCAACGGTTCTCAGCGGCGGCTCCAAACACAAGCACACATCCAGCAAATCCTCTCTATCCTCTTTCCGGAAAGACAAGAAGGAAAAGAAGACCCTGAGCCGGTCTTTCAACCTCGACAAAGAGAAGCCCGAAATCCTGCAGACTCTCGCCTCGTCCTCCGTCGCCAGCACGAACCTCCTGAACGCACTGAAACTGGTCAACCGCGAAACGCACCGTGTGAGCGAAGACGCAGAAGTGCTGAGCCGGTTCGAAGCATGCAAGACGCTACGGCGCCAGATCCTCCGGTACATCCAGCACGTGGAGAGCGAGGAGTTCCTGGGCAGTCTGATCCACGCCAACGAGGAGCTGGTCACGTCATTGATGGCTTTCGAGGTCCTGGATAAGAGCGTGGACTACGACAGTGATAGCGACCAGGACGTCCTGGAAACTGGCTGGACCCCGGACCGCGACGATCTCCCGGAATCCTTCGCCGGACTGGTCATGAACCCCCCGAAGCCCCCGCGGCCCCCGCGCCCCTTGAGCATATCCGTGCCGTCATCTTCCACACCAAGACGCGTCTACGACAGCGAGTCAGACACGGAAGAAGAAGAAGACGACGAGAACAACCCGTTTGGCGACCGCAACGCCATCCGCACCCCTGGCATCGAAAGACACGAACCTACCTGGTATGTCTTCCCCTCCTCCCACAACTCCACCTCTCAACCAAACCAATCCAATCCAATCCTAACTCCTCGCAGGAAAGAAGTCTAAACCGGCGAATCCGAACCAGTTCACTAAATCCCATTACTACCAACCACAGAATGTCCCTTCCCACCACACAAGTTACCTACCTATCTACCTACCTACCCACCTACCCCCCACCCATCCAATGAACCAATACTTAAACAACCCACCCCTTCGCGTCTACACGAGAAGACAAGATTTATTAAATATCCGCAAGGACGGCTTCAAGTTTTTCATTTCCATTTCAGACTCTATTATTCCTGAGCTTGCTAGTCGGTCGGATTGGTGCCCACTGGCATGGCACGGCATGGCATGGCACGGCATGGCATAGGCGCACAAGTCAGAGCCAGTAGGTTACTTACTATATGTACATGTACTAGGCAGGCAAGGTAGTCGCTAGATCAAGTACCATGTATCACGATGCGCCTATCCCAATCACAACTAAGCTAAGCTACTAGCCTTTCCCTTTTGTGTGCCAGAATTACTACTTACTATGTACCACCATACCACCCACCCACTGTACGGAGGTAAACAGAATCATAGGCATGGGATGCATGTAATTAATGCTTATTTATGCTCCCAGTAGAATCAATACATCCAGCCTAAGCTAATAATAGAATGTAGAACCACCCAGCGACACAACAGAGACTTATCGAGAATGATTGCTACGAGCACGTGATGAATAAATGAACAAATTGGTAAATAAGTAAATAAGTAGATAAGTTAAATAACTTAAGATATGAATACACACAACACACAACACCCAGATAACCGAATCCGAATCCGAATGCGAATTCCCCCACCCGAACGAACCCAGATATGCAAATGCAACGGCGACGGCGACGGCGACACCGATCCCGATCACGAATTTTGTGACTTCTAGAGTTGGACCAGAAAGCAAGCAAGCAAGCAAGCAAGAAAGCAAAAGAAAGGAATGAAACGCCAAAAGTAAACGGTCCCTCAACAGCAAAAGAGAAACATCAACCAGCGTCAACGATTGAAAGGGGAAAAAAAGTAAAAGGGTATTATGAATAGCTGCACAGAAGAACAAGAAAGAGAGAGAGGAATTTTGTAGATCATCACATAGGTTGGTTCCATACCAAATGAGACTGACCGGTCGGTATCAATCGTATCCACAGCACGCACTGAAGATAAAAAAAATAGAAGGAGAAGAAGAATGAGTAATTACAACACTTTCGTCTTCATCCACTCACTCGTCCCCACACCGAGGTTCAGACCATTATCAGCCCACCACTTGCGGACGCGCTGCTCAGCACCAGAGACAGGGTCCGCGTCTTCGAGGGCCTCTTCGATATCACAAGTCTTGAATTCGACACGAAGGCCGCTGCGACGCCACCATTCGAGGACGTTATCGTGGCCGTTCTTGGTCGGACCGACGAGGACCTGGGTGTCGAAGATCATCTTGGAGCCCTTCAGACGGTGCCAGAACTCGAGGACGTGGACGTGGCCGTGGGTGCTGGCGATGCGGGCGACGGATTCGCCATGACTATAGGGGATGCCGGAGGCATCCCACCAGGCGAGGGAGGCGGTGCGGCCGGACTGGGCGGCGAGGAGGACGGATTTGCCGACTTTGAGGGGGATGGGGGAGGAGATGGGTGCGTTGACGGAGGCGGCTTTCCACCAGGCCAGGACGGCGACGCGGCCCTCGGCGCTGGCGGCTTCGAGGGCCCGCTCGGTGTACCGCAGTTCGAGGCCGGAGGTGCGCCACCATTCGAGGACGTCGACGAAGCCGGCTCGCGAGGCGCCGTCCATCGCGTCGGCGATGTATTCTTTGTTTGGGAGGGCGGGGGCGTCGCGCCACCAGGTGAGGATGTTGGGGTTGCCGTAGATGGCGGATGCGCGGTATGGGAGGTTGGTGAGACGGGAGGTCGTCCAGAGAAGGTCTTCTTTTTCAGTGAGGTAGGAGAGGATGTCGGTGCGGGAGAATTTGAAGATCAGGTGGCAGGCTAGGTCGGAGAGAGGTTTCCACCGGGGAAGACTGTGGATGCGCTTTTTGATCGCAGCGAAGGACCCTCGGAGGATGGTGTATTCCAAGGAGGCTGGGGTGGACATCTTCAGCAGATGGTTTTGCCATTCTTTTGGCACAGGGAGGTTTGTCGGGATGCCGACTGCTTTGGCGATCTCCCAGTCGTGGAGGTGGTCTTCGAAGATATCCAGCCATAACTCCATCGGCAACGAGCGCGGACCCCGTTCAGTCTTGGCCGATCGATATAAGACATGTCGCGAGATAGTGGCGGCGTCCCCGGGGGTCTTTTCCGGGACACCGGATTGGTATGTCGATTCTGAACCCTGACTGGGGTTGGTGGCGGCTGCTGAGAACGACAGGCCCAGCGTCCGTTCGATAGTCCCATGTAGTCCCTCCAGGCCATCCCACGGCAACTGTATAAGTTCCTCCGGATCAACGGACTTCCACAGCACAGGCGATACCACGCTAATCCAGGGCCAGAACTGTTCCACCTCATCCAGCTGCCTCTTGCTCAGCGGATGATCCCATTCCGAGACTGTCATGCCGGGGATCAGCACAACCGGCTTTGACGAGATCCAACCGCGCAGTAGGGCCAAGGTCAACGTATTGGTCAACCCGTACAACATCGACCCCAACGCCCCAGCGTCTATCGGTGCGACCAGGAGCATATCCGCCCAGTCGCAAAGCTCCGCCGCCTTCGCCTTCAACCATTTCCGAGCACCGGTCTTTTTGTCGAATGTCTGACTATCCACCGTATCCATGTAATGAGGAACCTTGCTTGCGCCCGACAGAAGCGCGGACGGCTCATCGGTAATCAATCGTAGTTCGATTTCGGGATTCTGGACCAGCGAGGGCAGGACATTGTCGACGAAGGCGCTCTCCGTCGAGAGGAGGATGCGTTTCCGGCGACGAGGGGAGGGGTCCGTGGCCTCTTGCATTTCCGTATCGAGGTGTATCCCGGTCGAACTAACATCACCCGCGGGTTTCCCTTCGCTCTCAGCATCCACTTCCATTGTCGTAGACCAAACGCCTTTCGAAACCACACCAGTAACGGCCCTCGATGTCGATGGGAGATTCGCTCCCAAACCCAATGCCATTACACTGAAGAAAAGACGGCGAAGAAGAAAAACAAAAGTCGGGACAAGAGAGCCGGATTAATATAGACCAGTGGTGTCACGATTCGTCGGGGGCGAAGAAGCAGGACAGTCGAAAATTTGTCGCGTACAGGGATCGTGCAGCCAATCCGGTCGAGGACAAAACGTATGTTCGCGGTCAAGGATAAAATCGCAACCAGTGCGCAAGAACGGAAACCGAACGCTCTGCAAAGAGGGAAAGCAGGGGAGGTGAGTCTTGTATGATGTAGGTAGGTAGATATGTGAAGTGAGTCGGCCAGCCGTGTGGTAGCGGACGAACAATTGCAACCCAATGAAGCTCTCTCCCTCCAGCCAGACTACCGAACCCAAGCCATGTACAGGAAGGCAAAGGCAGACCCAGGCGGACTGCGGATCTCGAGGCGGTACGTGTTGACTGACTGGTGGTCTGATCGGGCGGGCTAGGGAAAGGCGGGCCAAGCGGTGTGCTGACTGCTGTGGTGGACTTGTTGGACTTGCAGGAGAACAACTTAGTTCGCAGTTAATAATGAAATCACCAAATAGATAGTACTCGGGAGTACGGAGTAGCTTGGGCGCAAATCGCAAGTCGTGCTGTCCCGTCGCCACGTCTTGCGCAAGACGCCACCAATTAATTGGTAACTAGTTGCAGGTCGAGTTTAGGTTGGGGGGGTGTGAGTGTGGGGGGTTGGAGGGAGGGGGAGTGCAGAAGCGCAGAGAGCCAGAAGAGAGAGGAGGAGGAGAGGGAGAAGAAGGGAGTGGAGTAAAAAGAGGGAGGGGAGTAGAAGAAAACGCAGGGATGAGTTCAGAGGCACGGCATCAAAGCAAGCCCCCCGAACGATCGAGAGGGCGACGATGAAGGATCTCCTGCCGCCGCGCCGTTGGTCGTGCCGCGCCCGGGCCGGTGATTGGCCCACCGGGGTTGCAGCCAAGCGGCAGTGGGCCCTTGCACTGGTTGGGCCCGATGATGATGATGATGTAGGCATTACTACGGAGTACTAACTATCTACTACGATAGGAACCGCTGTTTGCAGTTATCATGTGTAAATTGTACTATATACGTATATACGCTTGTTATGTACTTCCGGGTTACTCACTCATCCCGTCGCGCCAGGTTCGAATGCAACTTGTGCTCGCGCATCCCCATACTGACCATCGCCCCCAGCACGCTCAGTCCCAGCAGCGTCAGGAACACCGCCCGCAAAGAATCCATGTACGCATCGAGCACCCCCGGGATCCAGTCCGCAGGCAGATGGCGGATCTCATCCAGGCTGTCTCGGATCCGCGAGATCAGCTCCCCTGCGTCCTCACGGTCGCCAAACCGAGACCACAACCCCGACTTGAGGATGTTCTGGAACACGGCGGAGGCAATGGTGATACCAATGGTGCTGCCCGTGCTGCGGAACGCATAAGACGCGGATGTAATGACGGCATGGTGCTCGTGGTCCACGGCAGAGATCAGCGCCACCAGGGTGATCGTGAGCATACTACCGTAGGCCGTCCCCATCATGAAGAAGTAGATGAACGGTAGCCACGACGGAGTCGTCAATGACAGCGTGCAGATAAGGATACCGGCAATAACCAGCAGAGACACGGAGATGTGATTGAACACCCTGTAGCGTCCCGTGGACTTCATCAAGATACCCGACCCCAGCGAGCCAAGCGAGGTTCCAATAGCCTGGGGGATCAACCGCGCCCCCGCAGCCGTCGCGGACAGCCCTTGAACCTGGAAGAACAAGGGCAGATAGAACAGAAGTCCAAAGACCGCCATCGTGCTAAACCAGTTAGTCAGACAGGCGGAAAACACCGTCCGATTGAGCAGCAGACGGACGGGAATGACCGGCTCCGACGCAATCTTCGCTTCAACGTAGATGAAGAGCCCGAAGAAGACGGCGGAAAGTGGCAGCGAGGTGAGGATAAGCGGGTGCGTCCAGGGGACCTGATTGCCACCGGTATTCAGCCCAAGAAGAAGCAGAACGAGACTGACGACCAAGGTGAGCGCTCCGAGGAAGTCCACCCGTCTTAGTTTGGCGTTCTCGGATTGCTTCACGGGCACTCGCAACGTGAAAGCCACCAGGATACCGGATACCACGACGAACGGGACCTGGATCAGAAAGGCCCATCGCCACCCCAAAGTATCATTGATCCACCCTCCGAACACACCACCCAGTCCGCTTCCCGCTCCATAACAGATATTGCCAATGCCCTGCCACACGCCTCGTTTCCGTAGCGGGACCAAGTCGGAGGTGACGAAGGTCGAGATCGCTGTGAGGCCGCCGCCTCCGATGCCGGCGACGACCCGACCAAGGACAATGGTTCCCTCGCTTTTCGCGAGCCCGCAGATCAAATTACCGGCGGCGAAGAAGACATTGGACAAAAGCAGACCTGTCCGTCGAGAGAAAATATCCGTCAGGCGCCCACTCAGCGGCTGAAAGGCGGCGTTGGAAATGAGGTAGGAGGTGGCGAGCCAGGACAGCAGCGTGAAGGAGTGGAAGGAGGACGAGATGGGGGCGGTTAGAGTTGCGACAATCGTAGTGTCTGTCACCGTTAGCTTCAGCAAGCCAGGGGAGGGCTGTAGACAGTCGAGGCTTACCCAAAGCAGCCAGGAACACACCGACCCAGATGCTTCCCAGGACCAGGATCAGCTCCTTCGAGCTGGGTTCCTCAGCCAAGGGAACGTCCGAGTCGCCGGACGGTGCGGGTTCATTCTGCGATTGATCCCCCAGGAGGGGCGTCCGCTCAGACGCCGGCCTGCCCTGGGGTTCAGCGGTTGTGGGAGGATCAGAGCGCATCTGTACCACCAGTTCTGGTGTTGTTGCGACTTGCAAGTGATGATGACGATGTCGTGTTTTGCGACGGGCGGAGAAGCCGCGGTTAGTCAGGCGGGCCGAGAACGAGCTGTCAATTGGCTTGTCATGCCTTTGCCTTGCTTGGCCTCATCAACTGCCTTGCTGCTGCATCTCCCACCTCTTCGGCGAATTTCCAACTCAGTCCGTCCATTGAGATCCCGTCGCATTCGCTACGACCGATCAGACTCCAGCCTAGCTCCCCCTGACTCGAACAGGTCTCAGTCATACTAACCAGACCTATTTTCAAACTCGACCTCTCATTCTGGCGCATAACCTGGTCGGCTCAGGAAACACGCCAGCCAGGAACTCTATGCTCTAGACACCCAAAGCCAACCCGCATGCAAGAACAACACATCATCCGTGCGACATACAACTGTAAAACGACCCTGAAGGTCATTCACTTGTACTATACCACTACGACGGGGTCCAGAGAACAGAACAGAGAAGTCGATTGCAAGGAAGGATGGGCACACGAGGTGTCTCCCCTTCCTTTCCAAGACCACCTCCTAGGACTATCTATCTACTCCGTACCTAGACAGTCAGCCAGACCAGACAGAGCAACGTACACGCCCAGCCCAACATGAAACAGCCTCAATATGCCACAGAGATGAAGGAATTACCGGACGTTCTACATTAAAGTAGGCAGGCAGCCCTTCCAAGTTCTCCTCCGCTCCGCTCCCCTCCCCCCTGTGCAACCATCCAGCCATCCAACCTTTGCAACCCCATATAGTAGATAGACTAGATACCCAAGCGCGAAGCCAGAAGCGGTTATGCGAGCCCGTTGGTCGTTAGACAACCTTGGCCCTTATTCCTCATGTAGGGCAATTTCCGCGGCCCTATATAGCATGTCCCCACTACGGGCAATCCAGGTCATCTAATACTAATAGTCGCAAGTAAGCGTCAAAAACAAGGATCGTTCGTTTACCTAAGTACTAGTGGATCCAATCGAACTGTTTCTCAGTTGTTTGATGATTTAATTTGATCCATGGAATTTTCTTTGCGGGTGGTGGGGGTTTTTTTTTTTTTTTCTTTCTTGAAACTTGACAGCGCTGCCAGCTTGAGGGGGAGGGGGAGAATTGCGCATGTGTATGCCCCTGAAACGGGAGGCACGCACGCGTTTAAGGAGGAGGGGATATATCTAGCCTCGATGAATCCCCTCCGTAGTCCGTACTGTCTATTTAAGTATCTACTATGGAAATACTCCTGACTCGCGAGCGCTTCGTTCCCCTAAAGCTCGGACTATCCATCACAGACAGGGAAACACGACATTGCTACTACTATCTTGAGCACCGCCACCACTGCAGGACGAGAATAGTCCGGTCGAGATCAACTGGTCCGTTGGCAATAGATAGATGCGGCGAGCCGAGGGCTAGATAGATACTATGTGGTATCTACTAGGCAAGAAGTAGTAAAAAGTGCCAAACCCGGCGGGGGTGACGAGGCCATTCATTCATCGATCATCCCCCCCTCGAGCTTCCCCTCCCTAATTCCTATCCAGTAGTAGCACTAGCATCTATACGAAGCACCACAACACCAGGGGTATCTATCTATCTACGTAGTCTAGGTACTTACCTAGCTAGTCAATCATTAGCGATATGCCATGACTATGAGGAGGTCGACCGGTGGATCAGCCAGCATCGCGGGCGGGGCCCTGGCGGCGGGAGATGAAGGCAGGAAGGAGGGAAAGGGTCCTGCGCGAAAGAAAGGAGGCATCCGGTGTGGAAAGAGTAATTTCAAAAGGCCCAGGCGATCAGCAATGCAAATTCAGGACCCGTGCCCCTATCACGTGGAGGACACATAACTACCGCCAAACCAAGCCAAACGAAAGTATTCTTTTCTGCTCTTCAGTCGTTCGCTCGTCCAGTCATTCATTCCAGTCAGTCAGTCAATCTTTCAGTCTTTTCAGACAGTCATTCATTTTTTTTTTCTCTTTTTTTTTTTTAACTACTAGTCACTCTTTGATACCTACTACCTACCTATTGTACTCGGCACCGTTGTGGTTGTTAAATTCATCTACCTACCTATCTACCTATCTACACGTATTTATACCGAATACCCTAATCATCAACCAACATGCCTGGTAAGTGAGCCCCGCAGGTCCTCTGGGTCTGAGTTGTTGTTGTTGTCGTCGCCGTCGCTAATTCCCCCTCCAGCCATTCTCAAGAAGATCAAGAACGCCCTCAAGTCCATCTTCAAGAAGAAGAAGACTGAGGAGAGCCCCGAGGCCGCTCCTGCTGGCGAGACTCAGCCGGGTAGGATTGACCCCTCACTCTCCCCCTCCTGAGCCCCCTGCTAACCAAGCAACCATGCAGCCGCCGATAAGCCCGCGGAAGAAGCGCAGCCTGAAGCTGCTGCTGCCGCTGCCGAGGCCCCGGCCTTGGAGGTGACGGAGACCCCCGCTGGCGAGGCCCATGCGGAGGCCGAGGCCGTTGCTCCTGTTGCTGCGTCCGAGCCCGCTGCAGAGACGCCCGCCGAGGCTGCCGGAAGCGCAGTGGGTGAGTTGGCTCTGATCCAAGCCGTGTGAAAGCAAGAATGAGTCACTGATCGTTTTTCGTTTGCAGACAAGGAGACCAAATAGACGCGTCCCTGGACATCCAGCTGATGCCATTATCCAATGCATGTGCACGCATGCATCGTCCACTCCTTAATGCGGCAAAATTTCCCTATCTTGCATCATCTCTCATACCCCGCATAGACTGCTCTGGTTTCATTTTGTTTTGTTGTTGATGTTGATGTTGTCGTCGTTGATGTTGATATCCATTTGCATAATACCCTGTATTGTTTTCATTAGCTCATGCTTCCATGCATACTCCCTACTAATACAGTCCGAGTCAAGCTAGTGTCTCGTCCGCATTTGTATTCTGCTTAGCTCCATGCTGTAGAAACTCTGGGAAGACCAACCATCAAATTAATGATCCGATATCAATCGACCTGGGTATCAGATGCTGAAACCAAGCCGTAAGAACACACACCCACACATCCACACACGTAGACCCCTCAATCACTGCCCCCATCCGATGATGCATCTTCATCCATCTCAACAGGCGGGGCACCCGAACCAGAAGCGGCGGCGGCGGCGGCCTTCAACTCCCTCGCCTTCTGTCTGCGCTTGATCTTCCTCTCGCGGTTCTTCCGGTTGCGCTTCTCCGCATCCAGCACCTTGGCCTCCTCTGCTTTCTTCTTCGCCGCCTCCGCCGTCGTGATGCGCTTGCGCAGTATAACACGACGCTTCTTCCCAGGCTTCTTGCGCGACAAGGGCACTCTCTCCGGGGGGTCGACAACGCAGACCACAGCTGCATCGCCATCGCCATCTCCGCCAGATCCAGCCTCAGTCCCCTTAGCCATCTTAGACTTTTTCTTCTTCTCGGTCTTCAGGGTAACAACCTTCCACGGCAAGTAGCAACCAGGCTAAAAGATCACCATGTCCGTCAGCAAACCAATCTTAATCCTAGGCCCAACCCCAACCCCATCGCCCCCCAACCAGAACAGACCAAAACAGAACATAACAAAAAGGAACAAGAATAAGACTCACCCACGGAACCTGCGCAAACCCCAACATATCCCCCCCAGAAACAGCCACGTCCTCAAACTGCCTTCGCTTTTCCCGTAACCTCTCCTCTTCCTCCCCCGCGGCATCTCCCTTGTTCCCGGCCATCAACCCCGGCGCAGAGAAATAGTGCCCCCATCCACGGAACGGATTCACCAGGCGTCCATCCTCCACTCCCACCGCGCCGGGCGAGGGAGACCGGACCCGGATCCGGAGTTTCTGCGCTGTGGTGGCCTCGGCATCGCCGTCCGTTTGGGTCTTCCCGTCTGCGGGCTTTGCGGTAGCGGCAGGCGCGCTGAATAGCCGGAATTCGAACTCTTGTTCCTCGTCATCGGGGATCTCGGTCGAGGGTTCGGTGGTGGTGGTGGTGGGCGGGTACGCGGGGGCGAGGAGGGAGTCGAGGTTGAGGAGTTTACCGAGGCGTTGTTGGGCGTCTGGGGCGGATTCGGGGGGTGGGGAGGATGAAGGGGAGGTGGAGTTCCTGGAGAGGAGTTCGTCACGGCGCACGCTGTAGGAGGCGGTTGTTAGTTGGGTTTGGGGGTTCATGTTGGTAGTGTTGGGGTATGGGGTGTAGGTTATAGCTGTAGGTTGAGGTGTTGGTGGTGGTTGTGGACTGGACTGGACTGGACGTACCGTTTCGCGTCGGGAAGGTCGAACATGTTTGTTTTGATGAGAGTCTTTGTCTGGTGTATATCGAGTTTAGAAGGGAAGCCAATGGCTAGGACCGAGGGGCTGTTGGCTGGTTGGATCGGTTGAACCGAAGTGAGTGGACGCGCGGGACAATTTGCTGCAGTCGGAGAATAAGGCGATGTTGAGGAAAAATGTCGGCGGTGGCTGCGGGCTTATTTCCACCGGCGGGGTGGCTGCGGCCACGCCCAACGGGCCGGAGTTGGACTCGGTTCTTCAGACTCGATGTAACTATTCTATGCCCCGGAAATGGCATGCTCTGGGCTTTCCTCGCATCTACTGTAATTTTTTACACAATGAGTAGCTCTCCAGCGACATCGTTTGCAGGCCGAGGTTACAATGTTCTACCATATCAGATTCCTAGTGCTCTCACATACACAGGATAATAGGGATGGAGATGGAGTTGGGAATGAGGATGAAGATATGAATATGATCGGTGCCACCACCAAGACCCAACCTGCTCCGGCCAGGGCCTACTATGTAACTTGATCAGCCTATGGTAGCACTTCTTGTGAAGTATGTGAGATCAACCCATGTGACAATCTGCATTCTTCCCATCCGCCATGCCAGACATCAGCCCACCGAGTAAGGGTTAGTAAGGGTTAGTCGTCGCTCTGTGATATGAGGTAACGCTGCGCGATGGTCACAGTTCAAGCAGTAGATAGAACATTCATCCGAATGGAATACGATCTAGAGAACACAGCCAATTAACACTCTGATCACCGAATAAAGCACAGCAGAATAATAATAGCCCGGCGAGCTGCTCACGGCGATGACATCGGCTCGCACGGGCCAACCCACCCACCGAATTATCCAGCCGTCGCCCAGCCGTCCGTCACTCTCGCTCTCTTTCCGTCACCGTCTCCCAATATCCCCGTCCAGCAACCTCCTCCTCCCCCTCCTCTTCTTCCTCCTCAACTCATCTTCGCTAGAGCATCATCGCCCGGCGCGTGCCTGTCTGTATATTCAATTCATCCCGACACTCATTTCTCCTTGTCCAGCCTCTCCTTTAACACCAACCCAATACCTAATTCCTCATCGTCGATAATCCCACCCTTGAACGTCTCCTGCGCCTCACCCCGCCCAGCAACTCGGTGAAATCAACACAAATGGGTATCTGCTCCTCGTGCCTCGGGCGCGGTCGTCGCGATAATCACGATGTAAGCCACCTACCGCCTACCACCTACCACCTCACCTCCATTCCATATCCCATCCCTACAGCGCCCTTGAAAACCTCATGCGCCCATCCCATCCCACCACCACCACCCCCCCCCAATTAACACAACCCAAACCCCTCAACTGAACCTCAACTAACAAAACCAAACCTACAGCCCACACAGTCCGAATCCTCCCGCCTCCTCGAAGACGACATCTACCAGCCAGGCTACGGCTACGGCGCCCTAAATCAAACCGCGCAAGGCAGTCTCCCCGACCCAGGATACCTGAAGCGCGAGCGTGAAGCTCTCGAAGCGATCTGCCAACGAACTTCCGAGTGAGCACCACCCAGCCCAGCCAAACAATCAATCAATCATCCCTTCACAGAACAAGAAGAAAGAAGTCAAGGCGAAAGACTAACACAATCCCTCCCAGCTCCGTCATCGACATCTGGTCCCTCCAACCCCAACCGCACCTCCAACCCCACGCCACCCTCCCCAGCGCCGTCCCCCCCTCCGCCTCCGATTCCGATGTCCCCGTACAAGTCACCACGACCGCGTCCACGCCCCCGCCCCGCCACCAGCACCGGAACCAGCACTCCCCCGCCGCGAAAGCAGGCGGCACGGTCCCCAAGCACTGGGGCGAGGTGGTCATCAACACGCGCAAGAATCGCTCGCGGCCTGGTTCCAGTGAAGAGCAGAATGTCGCTGCCAAGCGGGATGTTTTTGGCGTGTTGAAGGTTACGTGATGGGATGATAGATCTTTCTTGCGATGATCATCTGGGGTGGCAGCGGTGGTGGTGGTGGTGGTGGTGATGGTGAGATTTGGCTGTGATTTATGTGGTGTGTTGGATGATGATGGTTGGATGAAGAACAACATAACAGACGGGTAGACGGATGGGCGGGCGCACGTTGATATTATTGCCCAGTTCTCCGTACCCCCTACCTACCTTGCTTCTTCGCCTGTGCAGTTGCTTTTGCGTTTCGCCCTTTTTAATACCCTTTCCTCTTCTTCTTTTCTTCCTTTCTTCTTCTCGCGCATTCGATGGGTCGCCGGCGACGATTTTTACCTTTTTCATCGGATGCTTGGTTCTTTTCTTTTTTTTGAGAGAGAGACAGAGAGATAATATTGTCCTTTCCCTTCTTTTTTTTTTTTTACAAATACCCTTTTCTATTCTTTTCTTCTTTTTTTTTGATTTTCACTTCTTTTGACTCTGTTTTCTGGTTGCGCTTTTACATTTTCCTTTGTTACTGATGTTCATGTTGATGCTTTGCTTCTTCGTTCCTACTGCTACAGTTCTTGTGTGCTTTCTGTTCTATCCTGTCCTGGTCTCGAACTTTGGCTTCTTTGTCGCATTTGGCTGGGTTAGGTTGGGTTGGTTAGATGGTTATTGAACAGCAGACAGAATATGTGGATTGTGGATTGTCAAGATAAAATACTAGTGTTTCTTTGTTTGGAGTAATATTTCATTTCATTGTGATGTGCTCTAGAGAGTAGAGTTGCTATAATGCGCTTTATTGAAGATATACAGTCTGGATGCTAGCTAGCTACCATACCTACTACCGAGACAACTGCAAGGAGCGAGTGAGTAAGTGGAATCGATCGAGGTCGCGGAAGTGGGCTGCTGTGACGCACCGCGAGTCCAGACCACTAGATAGACAGATAGCAGTAGTCAGTCTGCAACCCCGCGTTGGGCAATCGCCTGCCCAGTAAAGCTATCGATGTAGATAGCCGTGCCTTGCCGATTCTTGACACCATCTTCGCGACCGCAGCACTAGCCAGCCGTGACAGGTAGTAGCCAGACGCACCATAAACGACAGAACTCCGCCATTGAACGCCCTCCCACCTGACTCCCGAGACAAAGGGAAAGAAAACAGAGAGGGAAAAAAAAAAAAAGCAGAATAAAAGAGCAGAGCCACGAAACAATAAGGTATGCCGATGCAGTATACGGATGTGTAATGTCCAAACCAAGAGGGAATAAGGAATAGTCTAAGACAGACAGATGAGTGACACAGCCCTGGAGAGCTAGAGCTAAACGTCATCCATTGTGCCGGCAGGCTCTTCGCCGCCGGATTCATAACTGCCAGCCGAGCTCAGTTCGTCTTCCGACTCGGTGTCTTCTCCGGCCTCGTCGACGGCCTCTTTGCTGGCGTACTTGGCTACGTATTCTGTGCGGGTGTGAGCGGAGTCCCATGGAATAGGGGTTGTGAGTTGTGAGTTGCGTACCCTTCACCTTCGCTTCGTAGCTTTTGGGTTCCCGCATGAGCATGGCTGCGGCCTCGCCGTTGAGGGGATCCGAGGGGTTCGGGTAGCGCAGGAGCTGGGGGAGGAAGACTTCGAAGATGTTGATCATATCGTACATGGGTGACCATGTCTGGTTGATGACGTCGAGGCAAACGGAGCCCGAACTACATGTCCACGTCAGCGATGGACGAAACCGACGTTGGCTTCCGACTTACAGCTCATCGATGTTTGGGTGGAAGATCCGGTTGACAAAGCCGATACTCGGGCTCTTGTATGGGTACTGGTCGGGCAGTTCGACGTGGATTTTCCAGTGGCCACCGGTGAAAGGCGCTGGGATGGTCAGCGGGGTGGAAATGACTCATCGGGGGTTCACGCAAGGCCTACTCTCTTCGGGACCCTTGAAGCGCACGTAGAATTCTTGCCTGTAATCGCTCGTAAATAAATGGTCGATATTGAATGTTATCGGGGTCGGTTTTCGCGGACATACACTATAACAGTCAGCGTCTGATAAGGCGTGTGGCAAATGGCCGGGGAACTCACTGTTATCGTTGACCAGGGTCACCTCATAGTCGCTCATCAACCTATGATACGTATCAGCACGCAAGCCTTTGAGCCTTCCTCCAGTCTGTTCTTTCCCCAGAGCCATGTCTTCATTCAATCATAGTCGGGGGGGTTCGTTGAGGGCCGGGTTCGGGGTAGGGCGCATACATCCTGCCCAGGGTCAGCTAATGATCGAGAATAGGCGGTGCAAAGACTGTGCTGCATACTTCATGACCTAGAGCAGAGGGAAACACCAAATGTCAGCTCTTCCGCCACATCTCGTTGTCCAATATGAGGGGGTCGGAGATACTCAATACTCACATCCGTCTCGATTCTCCGCTTAGGGCTACTCATCTTGAGAGGCTTGCCGGTAAAGCTGGTGGGGATATAAAGCGAAGTTGTAGATTCCGTTCCCACAAGAAGGGATGGGCCGGAGGGCTTAATTGCGTGCGTGAGTCGTGACTGAAGCTATCCCCAAGGTCGAAGCGGGGAAGCAATGAGCGGGGTGGGACTCTGGGTAGCAACGGGGGCAGATCGGATGAAAGCGGTACGGGGCGAGCAAGTGCGAGGACAGCGAGGGGACGGGTTAGAGCGAAAAAAGAGGGGGGTGGAGGAGTCTCTGCGAGGGAGAGAGGGTGTCGGATGGCAGGAGGAGAAGGACAAACGAAGCGAGAGAGGGGTGGTAGGGAGAGAGAACTTAAAGCGAAGTCAGTGGTGGTACCGGAGGTAGTATGATAGCGGGATGAGGTGATGACTGCGATCGAATAATATAATCGCTCGGCGCGTGCGGGACTAACGCCTGGTACAAGGAGTGGTAAGGCCCGTAACGCCGGCTCAGGCCCGGCGGTCACTCGGCCGCCGTCAGGTGTCGATGCCTTCTTTTTTTTTTAAGACCTCACCCACTACGCAGGCATCCATCCGTCCAATTTTGGTTTTTGGTGGCCAGAGTTAGGCAGGTCAGAACCCAGGGTCACGTCTGTCAATTCACGGGAGTACGACACGCTCAATAGTTCGACTGCATGGCATCAGGAGGGCTACACGGTGCCCAAAACCCCGATCTAGACGGCCGGGAAGGGGTGATCGTCGCCAATGGGGCCCCTGGGGGACTCCCCGGAAACAAACAATGAATTACCTCCTACGAAGGCTATCATTCAATAATGCGCATCGAACAGGCTAGCGCTGTGTTCACTATCTGCGCATCTGGACCTGAGTCCTGTCTTGTCTTCGTGGCATACTCGGTTCTTTCTAGGTTGTGGCACTGGCACTGAGACTGAGTAGGTACCGGTAGAAGGAATGCACCCCTCATTGATAATGCGGCTTTATAGGAGTCCAATAGGCCATAAGAGAGGGGAGCTGGTAACATGCATGCATCATACTATGTGCCTTATGCACTGCAGCAAAGAGATCAAAACAGCAATAGGCCTTCGACAGGCTGACAGATGTAAATGTGCCCAAGACAGTCAGTCCGTCGCTATCTGTTGAATGAAGCGACTGGAGAGATCAGTACAATATTACCTCTACTGGGAGGAGATACAAAGGCCTGGTGGAAGGTTGCACCGCGTTCATTCAGGCAACCAAATCGTCCAAACAGGCCGATGATGTCATGGGCTTGGTTCAGTGTCAATGGAGGCCGAAATCCTATTGGTATTTACAATACAATAGAACACAGCCAGGCACCAACATAGGAAGGGATTGCCTGTCTATCTAGCGGGACAGTCAAGGGCAGACATGCTGCATATAGTGTATGTATATAGTGTATACTGTTGTATGTCCAGAGTTCAGGCTGATGGATGAACTGCGCTCGCCGTCCTGATTGGACCAACCCCAATATTCGTGCCTGAGGTGTCCAGCACCACATCATCACGATGCATTCGAACATCAACATCTCCCTCCTCCCTGATCCTCCTTATCAATCGCCTCCATCTCACGTCTTCGCATGGGACCAAGCAAATCTCCCATAATCCTCCACCCCTGAACCTCCCTTGTCATCAGAGAGCAGCCACCACAGCAATGGAGTCCTCATCCTCCCCAAACCCCTCCGCCCAAAGCTCCCCCAAGCCCGCCCAAACCAATCTCACCCATAGGCCGGCCAATCGCAAACAGTCCTCCGACTCTGCCTCGAATACCCAAAATGCACCCATACCAGACGATAAGCATGGGGCAGATTTGCCGATGACCATGTCCGCCTCTGTCGTTCTAACCAGTCTGCCCCGCGATGCCCATCAAGCATTGGCGGATGCCGAGGCCGTGGATACGGGGAAAGGCAAGTGTATTCCCTACATCGTGGTGTTTAGTGACCCGGTCTCGCATGCAATCACTACTACCTCTGTGGCTTTTCTTTTTTTTTTTTTCCAGTTCAACAACCATGGCGGGGCAGTTCCATCCACTGGTCTCGTCAAGTCATGTGGCCTATCGGACAAAACAAGGCGTCGGTTGAGCTTTCACTAACTTGGCAGCAGTCACCGTCCGGTTTCAGCCTCTTCCTTCATCTCCCATCCTCAAGAACCGCGTGTTCAAAATCAGTGCGTCGCAAAAGTTCGAGACCGTCGTGAAGTTCCTCCGGAAGAAGCTGGACTGTAAAGAGTCCGACTCTGTTTTTTGTTATGTCAACAGTGTCTTTGCTCCTGGGCTGGACGAGGGCATTGGTGGATTATGGAGGGTAGGTTGCCATTTTTCTACTTGTGTTGAGTTTAATACTGAAATTTCCCAGTGTTTCAAAACCGACGACCAGCTAATTGTTGCTTACTCCATGACGCCCGCGTTTGGTTGATGGTGATGATGATGATGATGATTATTCTTATGAATGCCGTGCTTTTACACAGCTTGACTATTTACAGGTATGTTGAATAAAGCAGACAAAACACGACAAACTGACCGGTGACAAGGTCGAAGGAAATGCAATTGCGCGTAGAGGACTAGCGCCTGTTATCTGTCACTGTATGACAATTATGAACATGAAATGACAAGGTATCTCTGGAACGACATGCTGGGCATAGGATGCAAGTTATGAGGCTTCAATGAACAATAGATCAGTACGTGAAGCATGGGGGTTTGGGGTGCTGGAAGGGAGGGGAAGCGATCATTTCTTGTGGACTTGCTCGACAGCCTTTTCGAACTCAGCCAGCTCCTCCTTCGCGATGGGATAGGTGTACTCTTCGGATGGGTATGCCCGGCTCTTGACTTCATCGCGATACTGCTGGATACCCTTCATGGTCTCCCCCCAGACGTCGGCATACTTCTTGACGAACTTGGGGAGGAACCGGCCCGGAGGGTAGTTCCCGAGCATGTCAATCTGAACAAGGACCTGCCCGGAGCAGCCGTTCCCGGCACCAATGCCAATCGTCGGGACGCGCAGCTTCTTGGTGACTATGGCGGCAATCTCAGCCGGCACAGCCTCGACGACCATAGCGAACGCACCAGCTTCCTGTACAGCAAGAGCATCTTCCAGCAACCTGAGTGCGCCGGCCGTCGACTTGCCTTGAACCCTGAACCCTCCAAGCGCGTGTTGGCGCTGCGGCGTGAGCCCGATGTGTCCGACGACGGGGATCCCGGCCTGCGTGATGCGCTTGATCGTCGGGGCCATTTCGGCACCACCCTCGAGCTTAACAGCCTGCACGCGGCCCTCCTTCACAATGCGAATGGCCGATTGAACCGCCTGTTCGGGGGAGACTTCATAAGAGCCCATAGGGAGATCTCCGACCTACATCACCAACCACCGCCAGTCAATCAGCCGGTCCCAACAGCACAATAAACCCGGGAGGTCATATACGAACCGTGAACGCACTCTTCGCCGCCCGCGCCACACTCCGACAATGCAGTAACATCTCATCCATCAGAATCTCACTGGTATCCTCCATCCCCAGTGCGACCATCGCCAAGCTATCGCCCACAAGAACCATATCCATGCCCGCCGCCTCCGCAACATGCGCACTGGGGAAATCATGCGCCGTAAGCATCGTAATCGGCTCCCCCTTCTTGTAAAGACTCCGTAACGTCTGCATGGTCACCTTCTTCCGGGGATTGGCCGGCGCGGCGCCCAGCGGAGAATGTGAGCTCCATCGTTTCTGAGGCTCGCATTGAGAACGGGTGGCGACGGCGACGGCGACGGCGACGGCGTGTGCGTGTTGTCCGCCAGCGCCAGCAAAGACGGGGGTCGTCAACGCAGGTCCAGGTCGAGACCTCGCGACGGACCGCAGAGGTACCAGCATCCGAGCGGACAGTTTGGAAGCCATGATTATCGCAAAAAGTGGGGGGGGTGTATATACACCGGCGGAATGAAGGAAAGATGAGAATGACAGAGTGAAAGGGGATGGATGGATAGTAGCTAGCAAGCACAAGCACAACTCAAAAACCCCGTCTCGCCCGATCGCCTGACGAGGGGAGGGGGGGGGAAGCGGAGGCAAAAAACAAAGAACCGAATGCGGCAAACACAGAGCCTTCACCACCTAACAGACGGGGCGATGAGAAGAGCAGGAGAGAAAGAGAGAGAGAGAGAGAGGCAAAAGTGCCAGTGTCGTCACTACCGACCTACCTACCTACCTACTACCCGGATGCAGACAGCAAAAAAAAAAAAAAAAAAAAAAGGTTCCTGGAGGTAGTAAAAGGCGGATGATGGATACAGTATCGTATCAAAGGATACCACAGGACGAATTAAATAATAAGGTCACAGCACACGGAAATTGAACATGGAATAATCAATGGAACAATTGATAAAATAGGCCCCTGAGGATGATAATTAATCAATAAGTATGGAGATGATTACCCAACCCATTCGTCCGGGATCCGCCTTCTTTTATATACCACCTCGCTGGTATAAACCATGCAGCGTAGCCGCGATCATCCATCCGCGATCCGAACCCCAACATTTTATTTCATTCTACCTTAGCCTGCCTAGCCTAGGCTAGTACGGACTACTACAGTACGCTAGGCTACCTACGGGACGGGCGGACAGGGTACAAGGTACTTACTATAGGTAAGGTACAGTCAAGGTACTTAGTACAGCTAGTTACCGCCTTGCCAACCTTGTTTCTTTTTCTTTCTTTTTTTCTTTTTTTTTTTTTTTGTTCCACTTTTCTGCCGGGTTTGGGACACCGCCGTGGTGGCGGGGGGAGGTGCCACCGGGGGTATGATTGGACGAGGGGGGGCTGTCTTGTCCGGGCCCGAGGTGAGTGGGAAATGGGAATGGGAATGGGCCGAGGTTGGGATGGATGGGGTTGGGGGGCATATGAAAGTACCACTGTACATAGATACATATCCATATTAGGGAGTACAATAAAAGTATAACTGTGGTGGTGTGATATCGATTTGTTACCTAGGTGATTCTGCAGAAACATGGATGGATGGATGGATGGATGATCTGTGTAACTATCCGTGCACTTAAGGGTATTGCTAGATAGACAATGGGGTTATAACCAGCTACCTACCTACCTACCTACCTATTATTTCAGATGGGGATTGTGTTTGGTCGGTATGATAAGAAATCAGGCAGGAAAAGAACCAATATGACTAATATATTTCGATTTCAAGTGACCTGGACACTCGCTATAGTTCAGGGTTTACTACATATGACTATCTAGGTCGAATGGAGGGAGGAAAGGAGTCAACCAGACCAGACCACCAGACAGGGAGGACAGGTAAGACAGGACAAGCCTGACCATTAACCCAGCCCAGCCTAGCCCAGCCCAGCCCGACCAGGAAGGGAGGGAGGGAGGACACTCAACACACAGTAGAAAAAAAAAACAAGGAAAGAAGGAAAACATAACCGCCAAGCTCGAAAGCGAGAAATCAACACCGGTCCAGGCATATCGCCCGTGTATGCAACCCCGTAAAACACATCCGCCTGTGGAATGGAAACAAATAAGGTAGGTAGAAAGATAAAAGAAAAGCAAAGTGAAGAAAGAGGAAGAGAAAACAAAAAGTACTGTAGAAGAAAGATATGATATGAGAAGAGCATGAGGGTGAGGGTGAGTGTGCAATTCGACAAACCAAACCACATACCACAATCCCACCCATCCCTCAGTTACCAATCAATCAATCAATCAATGCCAATGTAGTGGTTTCCGAGACCATGGAGGATAGAATAGCAAGTAGTAAGTAGCAGATATAATCAGGTCTCCCAATGCGCTGTATGCCATGCATGTACTGAACGCTGACGAGCTCCGAGTTCCATGTTCCGCGTCGCCGTCGCCTTGGCCCGGCCTGATCCCCTTCGTTTGATCTTTTTTTTTTTTTGTATTCTTTTTGTTCTTTTTTCTTTGCCTCTTTGCTATCAGGGGGGGTTTCCAAGATCTCAAAAATCGTTGTTGGCGAGGCCGTTAGATGCTCTTCGTTAATCAGATCAACGGTTAAACACGAATGAAAGAAAACATGCAGCACCCAAGGACGCCAATTGTGCATCAATTACAAGGGGGAACGAAGCGCAAGTGAAGACTGCAAAAAGATGGAGAAAGAGGGAAGGGAAAGATGCAAGGATGGAAATAAAGGAAGGACTAGACGCGATGTCAGCCGATGGTAATACGCCGCTCTAAACAGCGAATACAAGACACAAGCACGGCGCTGCTACCAAGAATGAGCTCATGTTCTTTCATATATTAACCCCGCTGAGTGTTCAGCAAACCCCGCGAGTTGCGCCTCGGCCAGTTTAATGTCGAGAGACAGGTAAATAGATCGTACATATGCCGCGTCTTGTTCTTCCTTTCCTCCTAGATAATGTAGTCTAGAGGGACGTAGTCTGAAGGGAAGCCGTAGGATTCCTCTACCTGGAAGGATGCATCTTTCAGCGGTCTGTTAAGCTGACACAGTAAGGAATCCAGCTCGGCCCAGTTTGCCCTGTTCAATGCAAATCTGCGATGCTTGCGGGTCATGACATGCTACCGACATAGTTAGCCTCTTGTTCACGACCCTGACCTTGTCAAACTTACCTCTTCAAAGTCGTCAAACTTATCCCTGCAGTTCTCACAGTAGCCCGGCTTGGGATCTCTCCTCTTCTCTTTCTTTTTCGGGGGGATTACTATTTCCTTCCGGTTGCTCGCTCGCCGCTTGAGAGCCCCGTTGACATCCATCTGTGTTGTATCCTCGATTGTGTTGCCGAGCCTCTCCGGCGGTTCCATCTTCCCAATACGGTCGTCCTGAGCTTCGGTTTTCGAGCTTGCGGTCGCATAAGCACCGTGGTACAATGGAGGCGCCGGGGCGGCCATGAGCCCTCCGTTTCCTTTCTCGAGAACCTTTCTCTTCAACTCATGGACCTCCTTGCTCAAACCAGCTTTGGCGCCTGGCGCAGCAGCAGTAGAGGACACCATCTGGGATCGAATGGCGGAAGTGATATTGGAAGGCTGGACACCTGACGCGGCAGGCTCACGGCCATGGTAAAACGGCCCGGTGCGGTGAAGCTGAGGAGGCACAAAGCTTTCCTCGCAAGGTTTTGGGGATAACGGTTTTGTCGGCGGCATCTCCTGTGTTTCGGGCTCCTTTTCGAAGGGAGGCTCTTCGCCTTGGTCGAAATCAAGAGCATTCTCCTCAGCTTCGCATTCGACTGTCTTCCTGGGAACATCTGGCGCATTCAGCTTGGCCTCTGGAACCTCCTGCACAGGAGCAGGTTTGACGAAGACCTTCTTTTCCCTCTCCCGCTGACGGGCACGCTGACGATCCAGCTCCTTCTTCGTAGGCGGCTCGTCAATAAATGGACACTTTCCTAGTGGTGCACTTCTAAATTGTGGCCATATACCATCTTGCCGTCTTGCCACCTTGGGATATTCGCGCATCATGACAGGTCGTGTCTTCTCGTCCATATCGTGGATGTAAATGAAAGGCCCCTTGAACATGACCAGCTCCTTCAGCACAGACAACGGGTTGCGATCCGACGGGCCATTCATTAGCTCGTTCTGAAGTACCTGCGAAAGGTCGTTGTCGCCCCTGGCTCGAGTATGACCACCAACAACAGCGTTGTTTCGAGTTGTATGCCCGTTGTGTCCTCCAATCTCTCCATCGTTTATGGTTGCAATCATGCGCTGGAGCTTCTCGATTGCCCAGATCTTCATTCCCATTTGGCGAGCCCGGTGCAAGATATCCACCTTCTGGTCACGTCGTCCGTCGTTTTTTAAGGACAAATGAATGTGCGTGTCGGCAGACTTCTCGAGCAGGGACGGATTCACCGTCTGCATCGACCCGTCCAGATTTGCCTGCGTCGCCGCCTCGCCATTGAATTCCGTCGCGCTGGGGGTTTCACTTTCGGGGGGGATAGGACGAGAGGTGACGACATGGGTAACTAGACGAGAGAAGAACTTTTCTTCGCGCTGTATAGAAGTCAGCAAACTAATGCACATCCGGAACGATGTGTTTGCAGAATGAACCACCACAGGGCCATATACTAAGCCACCTTATAACATAGCACTCTTGAAACACGAAACAAAAAAACGTGAAACTTACAGCCCCCAAAGCAGCCACCTGCCGGGCACACTTTCCACGAGCATCAACCGGGATGCTGTCGAAGTAGAAAACGAATTGAGGAAACGCCTTGCGGTAATGCCTCTGCCACTGCCTGATGGAATCCATAGTCTCGGCCGACGGCCTCTCAGTCCTGGTCCCTTTCACCTGGGTCGAACGTTCTTTATCCCGCGCAGCCACCAGCCTCCTCTCGAACGCACTCGGTTGACCATTGTTGGCTCGTCGGGAAAACAGTCGGTTGTCCGTGCTCTGGTACGCAGACGACCTGGTCCGGGACGGGGACCGGGCGTCTGCCTCCTGAGCGTCGACTACCTGCTTCTTGGGAGGAGGCTGGCCGTAAGGGATGTCAATCTGGGCGTTGGTTGGTCGGGGTCGTTTGGCAGGCACGAGGCCCGACCTATGGGGGGAATTGGTAGCATTCGGCACGTTGGCGAGTGGTCGGCGTGTCGACATATTAAGAGCAGACCGAGGCGAAGGTGGTACGAATACAGCGGCCATGTGGTAACGATATAAAAGGCACTATGGATGACGGACGAGACGCTAAGAGTTGGACCCCAGCAAAGGAGGGGCACTGGAGGCGAGCACGCGATGCGTTACACGTCTCGAAGGCAAGATTGGCCGCTCAGAAAAGGGCCATTGTTGGACGCGACGGGACAGCAAAGAGGGAGCGGCGGTGAGGGTAAGAGGTAAGATGAGAAACACCTGCCCTGGGAGGAGGGTAGGAGGGGACCTGGTGCTGCCAGACCGTGAGAGAAGACCCTAGGAGGGGGGGGGGGGACGTCAAGGGGAGGAGAAACAGGGAGTGGGTGAGTGGTGAGTGGTGATGATGGAAAGAAGAGCAAAGCCGACTAAGCGTGTCAGGGAAGGTCGGTGGAGCCCGGGCGGGTTTGTTTTGGCCTCCGGGATGTGCGCCGGACAACCACCGCCCGGCGCGCGCATACATAGTAAGTAAACTAGACATTCTTACGGCCCTCCAAGGCGCGCTCGCGAGTATTCACGGGACTGAATGGCGGGGCTGGCACGGAGTACAACTGTGCTAGTATTCCCTCTGGAATAAAGTGGTTCTTTATGGGTCCCTATTGGTTTTGTTCCTATTGTTCACGTCTATTCAATATCATCCTGCACATATACCCCCCTTAACGCGTGTTTTCAATACATGAAATCCCGCCGCTAACATGGTGACGTCGACCACCAGGGACACGAACCACCAAACTCGAATGGCCTGTTTACTTCACTGTTTACTCTCTCCTTAAACCACTCGTAATCACCTGCTATTCTGTCTATCCATATTCAAGATCTGATTCCTATTGTACAATCATAATGCAAGGGTATCTCTACATCTTCCAGCCGTCTCCGACACCCCACCTAGTCTCGAAGGGCCTCGATATCGTCGACCTATAATTCACAGCATTAGCAGCAATTCCTGAAAACACGTCGAGGTTGAACCGGGGAGGGGAAACATGAAGTATTCGAAGTATTCAGGCTTACCTCTTTCACCGCCTCCATGGTCAGGACAATTGGGTTCTCATCCCCAACGCAGACGCTGTCCTCAATGCGGATTCCGATGCCTCGGAATTTCTCCGGCCACCGGTCACTGTCGGGGACGTAGATACCTCTGGTGCGATGGTTAGCATTATTATCGAGCGAGTCATGCAAGCAAGCTGGACATACGGTTCCACAGTAACGCATTGACCTGCTTTAAGGTTATAACCGCGGGAATACCCGGGGCAATCGTGGACGTCAAGTCCAACATAATGACCCAGGTGGTGGGGGAACAGGGTTCCCATGGCCTATCTACGGTCAATTTCCAGGCATTTTATGTGATGATAGGTCAACTCACGTCTCCGGAGAGATCAAATCCAAGTTGGCTCAATTGGTCTCGCAGACCGTTCTCGGCAATGGTATGCAGGCGGTCCAGACTCAGCCCGGCGTCTTCCCGGCAGAGGGAGACGCAGTTGCGATGCACGTTCAGCACTGCGTTGTAAAGGTCACGCTGGGGGTCGGAGAATTTGCCGTTCACTGGCCACGTTCTGGTAATGTCGGAGATGTAAGTGCCCGCCTCCTATGTATCAATTAGTCTCCGTACACAATGTCAAAAGAGGAGAAAACGTACTCCACCTCCATCAACTAGAACCATATCTCCGTCCCTGTATTGTATATTAGATAATTGCTGCCAATGACTCGAGGGATACATACCTCAAGACATCATCGTTCCTTGTGTAGTGGATACTCAATGCATTCTAGAACCATCAGCACCCCGGTATTCATAGTATGAGCGAAATTACTTACGGAACCACCCGCGACGACTGGAACAAACGCACTACCGTCACAGCCATTGCGCTTAAAGTTATACTCCAAGAAAGAGGTCAGGTCCTTCTCTCGGGTGAACGTCTGCCTCATGGACTCGGTGAACGCTCTCCCGGAAGCCTGTCCAACCCGACGCAACTGCACGACTTCATCCTCACTCTTGAAGGCTCTCATCTCGTTGAGAATGGGGCGCAGCGACTTCACCTTGCGGTAGTCAACCACCTTCTTGAGCTTGTCGGAAGCACCCGTAGGGCCGTATATGTATCGATGCAGGGACGATCTACCCGGGTTGAAGGCCGGAATGTCCGTATAGATCTCCTTAGCCTCCGAAAGGATCTTGGGGAGGAGGTCGCTGATGCTTTCAATATCACCCGACTACACCCACGACGTTAACACAGCTCAACATGTTTGCGGGAAGTGTCTCACTTCGTCTGCATTGAAAACATCAATGGCTGCACGGGTACCTGACCGAGCTCCATCCCAGAGTTCGGCCTTGGCATCCTTCTCCCGAACGTAAAGATGGAAGAGATGATTGTTCCCCGACCCGTCGTTTGCTGCTATGAATGAGTATCGCGACCCCTTCAGACATCTTTCCATGACACAAGCTCACCGACGATGGCCAACGCATTGGGTTCGTTGAAACCTGTCCAAACACGACCGTAAGCGACTCGTCCGATTGTTCAACCACGATCACCAATAACTACCCACCTGTAAGGTAAAAGAAATTCGAGTCCTGGCGGTATTCGTGGAAGATGCCCGATGCACGATAGGTTACCTCCGCGGCAGCTAGAACGGCGACGGCATATTTGGGCAGTTTGTTCGCGAGTCGTGAGCGGCGCTGGGCATACTCGAGGGCCGTGATCCCAGGAGTCACTTGGGTTTCGTTAGCACGGTCTCTAACGTGTTGCGCCAATCTTCCGGGGGCATCGGGATGCGGCACGCACGTTCGCCAGGATTCAGGATGTGAGGATGGGTCTCGTGTAGCGGTTGGCCGAATTTGAGCTCCGCGGCGGAGATGGAAGCGTATGACCGGCACAGAACAGGACGTTGGAGCAACGGGCGGCTAGAACGAGGGAAAGGGATGCGAGGCGCTTGGCGAGGGAGGTAACGAGGCCATTGGCGGATGGCAGCTTTGCACGTCGACATGCTTAATCAAGCAAGCACCATTGAATCTGGAGTAGGAATCCTGTTCGGGTCACGTCTGGTTCAACGGTCGGCGGTGATCTGCTGAGCCCGCCGGAGACCCTGGGCCTTGGCTGCCTCAGGCGGCCTGCCTCGGCGCCCGGTCGGCGCGGGCGACCAATCGGTGCGCGGCTATTTGCGATGGCATTCGCATGCAATTGCCTGGATCGGCCACGACGGGCCATCCTTATCACAATCGCGACATGGCCTCGAGACAGTTGCGCCATGGGTGTACAATCCAAGGGCCGGATCATCTCTCTCACTGAAGAAAGTTGTTCCTCATTATCACGATCTGGTGACTCATAGGTCACTTCTCGGAGACATATAAACAGCCGTACCCATGAAGTACAATGCTTTCTACTAACATTATCAACTTCTCCATTCCTTTTGGATAGGTAATAAACCATCGAGGTCTAGAAACAGATTCACAGAGGATTTAATTGCAGCCTGCAGCAAAAATGGGGAGGACTTTGACATACCCAAAGCGACCATCTAACACGGTTAACCGTTACAAGCACAGAGGTATCTTCCAGGTCCTGGCGAAAGGCTATAGAATCTCTACTAAACGCTCCGACAGCAACCTATGACCTGGGTGCCATCCATTCCATCATCAACACCTCTCAGGTCCTTCATGTATCCTTCAACCCTGGCCCGTCTGAGCCATTCCCTGCCATCCTGCCCATGATCGGCCAGATGGGCTCGTTCGACTACCCATCAGCAAGCATTGACGAGCCCCTCGATTGCTATCTTCATGGCTACGTTAGTTCTCGGATCATGAATCTTGCCCGGGACTCTGAAGAAGGGCTGCCTGTTTGCGTGGCTGCGAGCAAAGTGGACGGTCTGATCCTGTCCCTGACCCCGAACTCCCACAGCTATAACTATCGCTCTGCGATTCTCCAGGGCTATGCCAAGTTGGTCACTGACGAGGCCGAGAAGCTCTATGCGATGGAGCTTGTCACAAACTCGGTGCTCTCCGACCGCTGGGCGCACACGCGTGTCCCGCCAGATCGTGCGGAGATGTCGTCCACCGTCATTCTCAAGGTCAGGATCGTCAGCGGTAGTGGCAAAATTCGAGACGGGGGTGTTTCGGATGAGAAGAAAGATACCGGCAATGAGGAAGTGGCCAACAGTGTTTGGACTGGAGTTGTTCCTGTCTGGGAGACGTTTGGCGAGCCAATCCCTAGTCCTGGGAATAAGGTCGCTGAAGTCCCCGGCTACATCAAATCATTTGTTGCGGGGAAGAACGAGGAGAACAGTACACATGCGGTGAAAGCCATCGGTGTCGAGCTTCCACGAGAGAAGCAACACTGATGTCTGGCAAGAGGTGCATGTGTTGTCATTGGTTTCATTCTTTTTTCATTCGACAGTTTAGCGTATAAGACTGCCATAAGATTATGACTCTGGGCAAGTCATTTAATCAAGAGTTGTGTGTGTTATTGCAATGATCAGCTATTGTACGATACAAGGCTGCCCTGCCCGACTGTAACCATGCGGGGTATTAATATTGCCGCAGCTGCGACGCAGTGTCATTACAGGCTGCAGTCACCACCCTGGAGAAATGATCCATCCCACTTTTATTCAATGCACGGAGCTGAAATGACTATTCCCATCCTGTATCGCAACTACACAAGTATAAGCGAGGCTCTATATACTCATACTTTCCTCGATGTTTAAGTCGTAGAGCCGATCGGCAGCCAACCCCACGTCATCGATACATTAGCGTGTTCTCGACTCCGCGGACCGTCAATCGCTCATCAACATGCCTACAACTTCTCCAATGACTGGCCCAATGCACAGACTCTCCCTCTGTGGAGTGGACATACTACCTCCCACATATAACCCTCAAAACGCCCGCTGAAAGCATACGGACAGGCCTTCACCCCCGGTACATGGTCTGCAACACCCCGCAAGATCACCCACTGCTCCACCATGGCCTCTTCCGCCATCCCCGCAGCAGACCTCAGGTCGTTCACCGAATACCTGAAGGGCTGTAAGCGGATCATCGCCCTTTTAGGAGCCGGTATCTCCGCCTCGTCTGGCCTCCCGACGTTCCGAGGAGCCGGGGGTCTCTGGCGATCCTACGAAGCCACCGATCTCGCGACACCCGAAGCCTTCGACGCCAACCCAGACCTGGTATGGCAGTTCTACAGCTATCGAAGGCATATGGCCCTCAAGGCACAGCCGAATCGCGCACACTATGCCCTAGCTGAGCTAGCTAGAAGGAACACGGACTTCATCACATTGACTCAGAACGTAGATGGTTTGTTCCTGCCCGACCTCTACCTTCATCAAAAAACGTAGCCACCTACTCACCAACCACCCCACATCCAGGCCTTTCACCCCGAGCAAACCACCCCTCAAAGCAACTTCATCACCTCCACGGCTCCCTCTTCACAGTAAAATGCACCTCCTTCTACTGCAACTACTCGCGCGACAACGACTTCGCCGACCCCATTGTCCCCGCTCTCGCCATCCCCAACAACACCCCAGAGCTAAACCCATCCGCAGACGACAAAACCGGCGAAGAAGCCTCTCGATCCCTCTCCAACGCGCTGAAGCGCGGCGAGAACGCCGAAGCAGATATCTCCGATGAAAGCGTTCCGCTCCCCGCGCTAAGCACGGACGTGCTTCCCCATTGCCCGAAATGTAAAGAGGGGCTCTTGCGCCCCGGGGTCGTCTGGTTCGGGGAGACCTTGCCGTCGAATACGCTCAACCAGGTGGATAAATGGATGAATACCGCGTTTGTGGACCTGATCTTGGTTATTGGGACGAGTTCGAGGGTGTACCCGGCCGCCGGGTATGTGGATAAGGCGCGCGCGAGAGGTGCTCGCGTTGCGGTGGTTAATATGGATCGGAATGATGTGGGTTCGTCGGGGTTGCAGCCGGGGGATTGGTTCTTTCAGGGGATGCGGGGACGGTTGTTCCTGAGCTGTTGAAGGGGGTTATTGGGGAGGTTTGACGGATATAATCAGGGGATATTATAGTAAAGGATATACAGGGTACGCCGGATATCTGGCAATGTTATATTCTCTTTGATGGGCCGTATCTTATGCTTGCAGAGTAATTTATGATCCTGGAATTCCATCTGTAGACTGTCTTAAGAGTGGTTTGTATGGGTGATAATATTGTTATGTATAACCAATGACATGATGCATGATGGAACTCGAAGGTCCAGTATTCAGTATTAAATAATCCAAGCCTTGATGCACATCAAACTAACTGAGCTCGTTCCTGTAAACTGATTTGACGATCGGTCTACTCTGGTTGACGAAAATGACTAGAACAACTGTTGAAGTTGTCTAGGAATCCAGGAAGAGGCAAGAACAGTGGTCGAATACACAACAAAGGCATCCTGACGGACCCTCATCATTTTTTCTCATCTTTCCCCAGCCCTTGTTCTCCACCAATCCAATTGCTTCTTAGGTTATATCCGTGATAGCCTCCCATATAGGTATGCGAGACTTGTCCACAGCCCTGAGACCCCACTTGGCGACAGGGCTCTTATAGCTTCATTTCCTTCGCCGCCGAATTCCAGATACTCGAGATTGACGAGCGGAATAATCGTAACAGCCAACCAGGCTTCGTCCGGCATAGAACTTATTAAGCCTTTTACTCCAGGTGGAACGCTCTTTGAGCTCTTCCAGGAGGGTAAGGATAGACATGACTTTTCAGACAAACTCCTCCATGTTCCCACGATAGGGTTTGGGAGTGTAGCGCACGGGGTTGGCGTACGGTTGGTAAACGCGAGTTGATGTGGATTCGACGGTTTTCGTCAGGGTAAGGAGACAGGCTCGGGGTTCTTGTTACAGATTGCGTAGTCGCAGAACCATGGGTCGACATGGTAATGAAAAAGCCCATGACTTGAGGTTATTCGGATTCGGTATCCGAGGCTAATGGGTTGGTGTGGCCATCTTTTGCCACGCGAGGAAATGGCAATCATCTTCAATCGTCGGAGAAAGGCATGGCGCCCAAGATAATATCCAGGTCTTATATGCAGCGCAGGTTGTATATACATATAGCGATAAACCCGTGCTCTGTCCGTTTGAGTGTTCGCTCATAGTGGATATTGGCACCTGAGGCAGTAGTTCGATGGTTGATATCACACAGGTAACAGGTTGAGAAGGACTGATGGCTATAGTAGTACCAGTGTACTTTATCTGTGAAATATATTATTTTACATCATGACCCTATGCTTTGTTGAATACAGAGCAGTGCTGACTGTGTGGTGGTTGCCCGGGCAAACGGGCCAAACAAACGGAGCGATAGCACTATCGATAAAATGCGGAATGGCGGCACAAACTACTAGTAGTAGTCCCGACTTCACGTCCGCAGCCCCTCCCTCCCACCCCTCCCACTAACTACTCCAGATTCTGACAGCTCTAGCCTACTTTGCCATGCTATGACCGGACGTGAGTGCCTCTTCGGATCGGAGACGGGCCGTACCATGCTAATGTCTGGCCTGCCCACAGAATAGAAAAAAAAAACATTCCCACTTCAGCCTCGTTGGCGACGCCAAAGAATCGACAGACTCACCCATACTAGACACTCGACTCAAGAACATACCCCTCCTGAGCCACCAGATACCCCTCACTGCTTCGCGGGGTACAGTCGATAGAACCACCATCACCTAGCCTTAGACGAAGCTTCATCAGCAAGCACAGATAATCCACCATGGCCAAAGAAAGCGATGCCCCGATAGATCCTTTCACCCCTCGCAAGCCCGCCGACCACCACCGTCGACCCATCTCACACCAGCCCGAGTTCGGAAAGCCGTCACCTATTCGCCCAGTGCACCATCAGAGCTACCACTCGAGCAACCCCTTCAACGTTCCGAAGCCAAACCAGCCGCGACTGGAACATCATCGGGCGCAACCCCGGCCCCCAAACCCTGCACATCATCATATTGCCTCGCAATACCGGCCCCCTACAACTCCAGGCCCCGCTGGCGTGTCGACCCCGCGACGGGAGGCATTCGACCCGTTCAAGCCTGTGAGACCCTCCGCCTACAACAACAACCGTCACGCGCGTCCCGTCAACGATGATGTGGTGGAAATCCGCCGTCCTGAGAATTTCACGTTCAATACGCCTCGGGCTCCTAAGACATTCTACACCTCGAAGCCCTCCGCCATCAAGATGAACAATGCGTCAAAGAACTTGAGGAACTTTGTCGATCTGACGGGCTCGGGCGGGTTTACCCCAAGCGCATCATCTCGTAATACGGGATTCGGCTCCATGGATGTGAACGGTTATGTCGATACGGCCAAGGCGAATGAGAACATCAAGGCTCTCCTGGAAGGAGCATTCGAAGATGAAGATGAAAAGAAGCCCAAATCTAAGGGCAAGAAGAAGAGCAAAAAGAACAAGAAGAATAACAAGGAAAAGAAGCAGAAGGACGAAGACAAAAAGGCGGATGCTGACATCGACGATCTAGCGGCGCAGCTGGGTGGTGTGACCGTGAAGGAGTCCGATGTTGCGGATGAAAGCGATGAGGAAGAGTTAAACTCTCCTATCAAAGAAACCGTCAAGAAGCCAGATGCTGAAGAGGTTACCAAGAAGGAGGATGGTAGCGAAGCCGAGTCCGAAAATGAAGATGACGAAGAGGAGGAAGAGGAGGAGGAGGAAGATGACGGTACAGTAGAAGGCTTGAAGGTCAAACTGCTGCCTCACCAACGGGAAGGTGTTAACTGGATGTGCGACAAAGAGACCGGCCGGAGGAGGACGAAGGGAGTACTTCCGAAGGGTGGAATCCTAGCAGACGACATGGGTCTCGGAAAGACTGTTCAGGCCATTGCTCTGTTGCTCTCCAACCAGAAGCCCGCAAGCGGTCTCAGACGACCCAAGTCTGACGATGAGGAGGAGAACAGCGATGAAGACGAAGACGAGGATGAAGAAGATGACCGCAAACTCCCACCCGGTCTGAGCAGCTCGACTCTAGTTGTTGCTCCCCTGGCTCTCATCAAGCAGTGGGAGTCGGAGATCATGACCAAGGTCGAAACCTCTCACAGGATGCGCGTGCTCGTCTACCACGGCAATGCGCGAGCGAAAGCGACGGACAATCTGGAGGACTACGATGTGGTCATTACCACGTATGGTACATTGACTTCGGAGCACGGAGCTATGGATAAGAACAAGAAGAAGTCTGGACTTTTCTCCGTCTACTGGTACCGGATTATCCTGGATGAAGCGCACACCATCAAGAATCGGAACGCAAAGGCAACCCAGTCTGCATGCGCTCTGGATGCCGAGTACCGGTGGTGTCTTTCTGGAACGCCAATGCAAAACAACCTGGACGAACTACAGAGTCTGATCAAATTCCTCCGGATCAAGCCGTTCAACGACCTGGCAGCCTGGAGGGAGCAAATCATGAAGCCTCTGGCCAACGGCCGCGGGGGTCTTGCCATTGAGCGCCTGCAGGTTTATCTCAAGATCTTCATGAAGCGGAGAACTAAGGATGTCCTGAGGGAAAATGCCGACACCAAGCCCGGTGAAGACGGGAAGAAGAAGAAGTCCAACGGCTTCCACATCGTGAAGCGAGAAGTCATCAAGGTAGAGGCGGAGTTCATGCCGGGAGAAATGAACTTCTACCAACGCCTAGAACAACGGACAGAGAACAGTCTCGAGAAGATGATGGGTGGTGAGAAGGTCGACTACGCTGGAGCGTTGGTCTTGCTCTTGCGTCTTCGGCAATCTTGCAACCACCCGGATCTGGTCAAGAGCGATCTCGCCAAGGACAAAGACGTTCTCTTGCAGAACGGAGCCTCCAGTCAATCGTCTGCCAAGAACGATGAGCTGGACAGCATGGCAGACCTTTTCGGAGCCCTGAGTGTTGTGACGAAGAAGTGCGACATCTGTCAAATGGAACTCGGCAAAGAAGAGGCAACCGGTGGCAGCAGTAGGTGCAAGGAATGCGAGGAGGCTCTGAACACCGACTTGACGAATACCGAACGCAAGAAGAAACAGAATAAGAAGGACGAGAAGTTGTATATTGACCTCACGGAATCGCCCTCAGCCCGCCGAAGCGAGGCGCAGATTGCTCGATCCCGACGGAACCGAAGAGTTATCGATGATAGCGACGACGATGAAGATGAGGATGGCGAGTGGCTCGTCCCAGAAGACCAGCGTGGGGCGTCCAATCTTGGAAGGGCCGGAGGCAGCGATGACGAGGATGCAGAGGGAGGTGGCGAATGGCTCAACGAGGACGATTCCGACACTGATGACGAAGGTCCGGAGTCGCCATCCCGCAAGCCAACCAGTATCAAGAAGCAGACGTTCGACACGGACTCCGAGGATGAGGACATCTACTTGAACCCCGGCGAGGGCGAGGACGCGGTGCTCCCATCAACGAAGATCCGACACCTAATGAAGGTCCTCCGACGCGAATCCGCTGATTACAAGTTCATCGTCTTCTCCGTCTTCACCTCAATGCTTGACAAGATCGAACCCTTCCTGAAACGCGCTGGTATCGGATTCGCACGGTACGACGGAAGCATGCGGAACGACCTCAGAGAAGCCAGTCTCAACAAGCTCCGAAACAACAGCGGCACAAGGGTCCTTCTTTGCAGTCTACGTGCCGGTGCACTGGGTCTTAACCTTACCGCCGCCAGTCGTGTGGTCATCCTCGAGCCATTCTGGAACCCTGTAAGCCCCCCCCTCCCCCTCCCATCACAGAAGAACCATGCTGACAACAACACTCCAGTTCGTCGAAGAACAAGCCATCGACCGAGTCCACCGCCTGAACCAGACCGTCGACGTCAAGATCTACAAGATGATCATCAAAGGCACCGTGGAGGAGCGTATTATCGACCTGCAGGACCGCAAGCGAGAACTAGCCAACATGACCATCGAGGGCAAGACTGCCGTCGGCAAACTCACCATGAAGGACATGATGGCTCTGTTCGGTAAAGACGCCGAATCACGATACACCGGCGAACGCGATCTGGATCTCACCCAGACCACCAAGCTACTGACCTCCGGCACCGATAGCCCCCGCCCGGCCTCCCCGTCTAAAGGCGAGTCGCGTGATCGATCCCATCCGCAGGGAAAGCCACGCGCCCCTCGATCGGAGGATAGTGTGTACGGCAGACGGTGGTAAGCGTGGGTGTTGGACTGCGAAATGGACGGATGGGTCTGTGGCATTGGTCTGGACATAATTCCTTTCTTTATTTCTTTATTTCGGGGTTTATTTTTCGGTTACATACATACCTACATACCTACCTACCTACCTACCTACCTACCTACCTATACTAGATCTTGGATTAATATTTCCAATCATGAAACCCACGTAGGAAGGTGAAGAAGCCAGTCAGCATTGACCATCATAACAACATAAAGTTGAATAAAAGACAAAGTCCCTGGTAAACCAGCCATAATCTCATCTCATCAGCATCATGAAACGCAAAGCCCCATCCATCCAATACAAATCCCAAAACAGCCGCATCCCACAGTCCCTACATATCCCTAAAGCAGCAGGACCCACAGTAACCAGGCAAGATGTCCGAGCGGTTAAGGAGCTGCACTCAAGAGTCACATGACCTTGTTCACTACAAAAGTGAATGTATTGCAGTCTCGAAAGAGGCGTGGGTTCGAGTCCCACTCTTGTCATAATGATCTCATTTTTGCTCTTTTTGGTCCCCTCGTAGGAGGTCTGCCAGCTACCTCTGCTAACAAGAAGCCCGGCGTGGTGTAGTTGGGAGCATGGCCGCCCTGACCTTCATGATTCTATATTCTTAGGAGTACTCGGCGCGGCTGGTCCAGGTTCGATTCCTGGCGCTGGGGATATTTTTTTCTTTATTTTTATTTTTTTTCTTTTTTGAAGCCACATGACTAGCATGCGAGATTTGATGTGTAGTTGCTCTGGAAGGATTTATTTACAGGAATTTTTTTCTTCTATACTGTGTTTGTTTAATCCCCTACCTGGTTATTTCTTCGTTGGGAAGTTAAGGATTGCGATGAGGTCGTGGTATAGTTACTTACTTACTGCATAGTAAGTAGGGATTCGTCTTGCCGCGCGCCCCCTTCCACTGTTGGGTTGTCAATAGACCCGGGGGCTCTTGGTGGCCGAGTGGTAAGGGTAGGTAGATAGAGCTCACCACGTAATCTTCATGGTCGCATGGTCGCGAGTTCGATTCCCGCACAGGGACTCTCTCCCTACCAGCTCATATGGCGGGTTCAAATCCAACGCTACCTCCGGTGGAATCAACACCTGAAGTAGCTTGGAGTACTCCGTAGGTATCTAGTAGATATCGCAGGTGCGAGAAGCGCCCTGAGGATTCAACCTCTAGCCGAGATGAATGCCCAGGTGGATATGCGGTGTACCCCATAGGGCGCAGGACGGTGGAGAACCACCACGACAGCGGATGGTGCCGACAGGCGCCCAGACAGTCGGTACCACCGCGAGTCAAATACATCAATGGAATGACCCCTCGAACCCATGACTCACGCATCACCATACATAAAAAAAAAAAAAAAAAAAAAAAACTCAACCCTCATCTCCCTTCTCATACCTCATCGGTCCTTATTCTCGAAAGCAACTAACTACTACTACCAACCAACCATGTCCAAACCCCAAACCGTCCGCTTCGCAACCCTCGATGTCTTCACCACGAAGCCTTACACAGGCAACCCTCTAGGCGTGGTCTTCCTCCCCGACCCCTCCTCCTCCTCTTCTTCTTCTTCTTCTTCTTCTTCTTCTTCTTCTTCTTCTGCTGCCACCGTCCCCCTCACCCAAGCCCAAAAACAACGAATCGCCGCGGAATTCAACCTCTCCGAAACCATCTTCATCCACCCCCCCTCCAGCCCCTCGTCCCCCGAACGGAAAATCGACATCTTCACCACCACCGAGGAACTGCCCTTTGCGGGACATCCGACCATCGGCGCGGCCTCGTGGTTCCTGCAACACTCGTCGCACGAGCACGACAGGACGAACGTCAAGACTCTGGTCACGAAGGCTGGGCCGTTCGCTATTTCCCGGGTGTCGTCTTCTGCTGCTGCTGCTGGTGGTCCTGGTGATGATGGTGTTATCGGTATCGTCGCCGCGAAAATCGCACACAACGTGCACGTCCACTCGTCGCGGTTCTCGCGCGCAGAGGTGCTGAGACTTCATCCCTCGCTGGTCCCGTTCCTGACCTCCCCGGAGCAGGAGGGCGTCAGCTTCCCGGTGTTCTCCATCGTGAAGGGGATGAGCCAGGTGTTGGTGGAGTTGCCGAGTCTGGAGGCGCTGGCGGCGGTGGAGGGCCCGCTGGGCGGCGAGGTGGTTCCCTGTACGTCTGTGGCGGAGGGAGGGTATCTGGATGTGGGCTGGGAGGGGAGCGGTCTCATTGTTCTCTACTTCTATGTGCCGGGCGTGCATGACGAGGCCACGGGGAAGACGGTCATTCGGTCGCGGATGTTCCTGAGGAACTTTGAGGATCCGGCGACGGGTAGTGCGGCGAGTGGGTTGGCGGCGTATTTGGCTCTGAGGGATGGGGAGGCCGGGACGGTGTCCGAGTTTGATGTTGTGCAGGGGGTGGAGATGGGGAGGAGGTCGGATATCAGTGTTGCTGTGGCGGTGGCGGTGGGGGTGGATGGGGATGGGGATAAGAAGAAGGTGGACATGGTGGAGTTGAGGGGGTGTGCTGTGCCGGTGATGGCGGGGGAGATGGTCGTTTGATGGCTGTGGTGTTGTATCATGATATAGTTGGTTGGTTGTTCCCTGGATTTGTTCAAGAGTTTTGAATGCTATTGTTGATGGCTTGATCTGTTTTTTTCTATCCTCTTCATTAGCAATGTTATTTGAAAACATAGAGTAGTGTCATGTAGCTAAGATTATTTGCCTAGAAGAAATCATATGTATGGATCCAAACAGAAATACTCCACATAAGTATCATTGTCCCACCCCATCTACTATATATATTACACAAATGCATATCAAAATTATCAACTTACTGTATTACATCCCGATACACAACTACTACGCCCTAATCCCGTCCCTTAACACGCCTCTACACCTTCCGATACAAAGCGATACAGCCCCTGATACAAGTCTATAGTTGGATTTTGAAGCACTATATTGTCCACTGCTGGTATGGCAGGTAGGTGGCTACAGTTTCTTCAGGTTGGAAATTTGTGATCCATGAGTCGAGTATCCGGGATATATATAAAGGTGCTGAAGCCGTTCACGCTGGAGTTTGAGCCCGTCGACTGGTGGACCTTGTACAGGTAAGAGAAATTCCTTGATTCCTCCCTCTTGTTCGCAACCAACAGGTCCGGCAGTATCAATCAGCGGGTTGCCGAAAATTACTTGGCCAACGACCGGGTTGTATTGGCAGGCGATGCATGCCACACGCACTCGTCCGGTGCACCGCAGATCCCCGACGAGCACAGGGGTTCTTGCGCGGACGCCAATGAGCTTTTCACCAGATTATTTGACCAGAAAATTCAGTTCAATATCGGTCTGGGCATCCACGATGGCAAGAATGTGACCAACAAAGCTCCTTCCACTGGCATGGTTTCGCCCGGTTGGAGAGGACCAGATGCTCTCCTGTATCGTCCTGGCCCGCGGCTCCCTGTCCGGCTTTTTGAGTCTCCCGTGGATTCGGCTGAACCATCTAAAATGCTCGCTTGGTCATGTTCGGTAGACTCAAAAGTGACATCTCTCCCATTAGGGGATGCGTGGGATATATCGATCTCATCGCGTTGAGACCGTGAGCACATCGTTCTGCCACGGTGCTGTAACACTCCAGGTATTTCAAAGTCGCTTGGCACCGAGTCCAAGTTTTTTCCAGAACTTCGTGTTCCATAAATTCCAATATTGGGGGATGGATTTGTGCAAGAAGAACGATTGGCCCTGCGGTGAACACATCTGCGATCGTTAGCAGGTCATTTTTGTGGAAGATAATTTCTCTGCTCACAGAAAAAGTTATAGAACCAGACGCTGGCCAGTTTGCAATTCGGGTCTCCAGTCAAGTAGCAGTCATTAACAGCCTCAAGTAGAGGAACTGTCATGCTCTTGGATATCATGATTGGACGACCAAGGATAGTGCTTATTTCCCTATGAACAGTTAGAAAGAGAGAGGGTGCATTCAGAGGCGATCAAGTCTCTTGCAATTCCAACATTGCGCAACCATGCCAGGCCCTCCTCCGAATCTGGACCTGTGCAAAAGATCGACGCTCCCCCCATCCCCCCACAGGAGAATGTAACCCAATTGCCTGAGCCAATATGAATGCCGTTCCAATTACATACCAGTGGCGATTTGGTTTCCGCGAGCCTTGAAGGTAGTGAGCCATCAAGAGGAAAGTTTGCACCAAGGCGAGATCCCCGCTTTCAAGGTAATCTACGTCGAGAGTTGGCTTGCACCGATAAAAAAAGGCCTCGGACATGAATTCTAGCTCTTCCTTAATAATATCCGAGAACTGGCAGCCAAGAGCGAAGACCATGTTCTAGCCATGATAGAAAGCTGTCGCAGATGTTGTAGTATCTCCAAGCCCTAACCCATTTTTTGGCTCCACGGAATCTGCAGAGGGGACCACCACCCACAGCATCTGGTAAGAAGCCAGGAAGGCCCCTCTATGCACAAATGGGTAGAGAGAGTGTTTTTTTTTGATTTGTAACAATCAACCAAATGGTCCGCCGAGGGGCGGGGCGGAAGTAAATTGAGCGACACAGATGGCCTCTGTCATGCTTCAGAATTTGCCAGGTCTTCCAATGTCGTCAAGCTCGAAAAGCTCCAGACTAGAGGCCAGGAGAACCAAGAGTAAAGTGTCGTCTGAGGGAGGTATGCCGTTTTCTACACAAATCTCCACTAGGCCCAAGACGGCAAGTGGTATATGTCATGTGATAGCACTAGTCTATTCCGGGCCTTCGTGTGGAGTGCCAAATCTCCTAGTTAGGACTAGTCCGGGTTCTGGCAGGTCCAACCCCCGGCTTCATATCTCCAAAATCAAAGCTCTGACGTGCTGCGCTGCCGTCTTTGGAGGATTACAACGTGGCGCAATTACGATGACTCCGATCCCGAAACTATCATGCTGGCTCGAGGAGGAACACCGCCACCAAAGGATACGTTTTGAAGCCTGCATCTATACGATAATCGGAAAGCATCCACGCGTACTCAAGCTCACTCCCTGAGACCAACCCACTTGCTACCTTGCGATGGAATATCAGAATGAAAACTTTGAGGAGTACATCCAGCAGACAATCAAGATATGTCGCCTCAAATCCACCTCCGATGCAGCATACAGGCTACTGAAGCAGTACATCTTCTTCAAAAATACCCAGTGATTCACTGCGATCTCCCATCAACAAACCTTCTTCTTGGTGCCAACTCACTTATAAAAGATCTCAGGCGCCGGAAGCGCTTCTCTATGCAGTTCAGAGCCCTCTAAAACCCCCAATACAAGGTTTTTTTTGACACCCTGTTTACGATTGGGATGCGTCCTCGGCATGAGAGCCGTCGGTTTCAGTCTCGGGTCCCTCATTTGCTCCATAATACTATAACAGGCTCTTATCCATAAGCGGACGCCCCTAACGACAAAGTAGAAGGGCTATTTGAAGCTTGGCAGCTCGCCGGTTTCTCTTCAGTTACCTGTGTGGCTATCACCATGCAATGTTTAAATCAACAGGCAGACTCGGCCCATGTCACACATGACTTCCATTGCGGCAATCCAGAAAGGGTCTTCGATATAGCTATTTCAGTCTATTTCCCACCATCACCCAACGAACCATCCGGACTCACCGACCGATGTGTTCCGCAAAGCCATCCTCTCGATGGTCCACACACACTCGCCTTGACGGGATTTTGACGAACGTTCTCTCCTTCTGGGCAATGGATTCGATTGGACCAATAATGACTCAATAGCAACCCACACAGACATTGAACATAAGTAGGAAGTTGTTGATGGTTATTTCCAACCCTGGTAACACCGGCTTATCTACTAAGATTCAGTATAACAGACCTGCATTACCTTCACGTGTGCGCGGGATAACTAGTAGTTGTAGTTTGATACTTCCCAGCCAAGGCTACACAGGGCCCCATAGGGCCAACCACCACCTGTAGGTAACCCGGACAAAAAAAGACTTGAAGTCAAGCATGCCTACCGCCTCCTTACCCAGAACAACCGAGAACAGCAAAAAAAAATCCACGCCAACGGACCCGAATCGCGCAAAAATATGACAAGAGTGGGACTCGAACCCACGCATCTTTCGATACTGCAATACATCCATTTGGAATGGACAAGGTCTTGTGATCTTGAGTGCAGCTCCTTAACCGCTCGGACATCTTGCCTACTTGATGAACAATGCGATCGGTTAAGGACACCAGGTACCAACAGTGAAAAGGTGGTTGTGATGGCCGTGGATGTATTAGTACCTATCTTTTGTTGCGGGCGGTTATACTGATTTTGTATGTGTGAAACAAAGAAAAATACTATGCCAAGAATGCGGATACCCGAATTTTACAATAGGCTATTGAGATCCTTAGAGACAATGAATAATTGGGCCTCTTTGATAGTGCTGGTCTTGGAGTGTTAAATTAGACGACCCGCGTCGTTTGGCAATCTGGAAGCTGGGAGATGGATTGCAATAACGTGCATAAGAAAGTCAATGTGCCACTTTTACCCTTCGACTCCAGTGGGCAGGTTTGCCAGGTAATATATTGGGTTTACTAATATATACTGCCTACAATGAATGGTGAATTATCTATGGAACTCACTGCACGGAGGATATAAGCCGTATACTCCACTTTGGCCTCCGACTCTGGTAGATTAGGATTAAAAATTGCCAATTCGTTTTGACAGAGGAAACTTTCTTACCCATCATCGAATATAAAAGCAATGCACATGCTATTCAGGAAGCATGGACTTGATTTACCTTGAACACCCAATATCAGCCGGGTTCTTTACCCTTCCATTGGCGTCGTACTGTGTAGTCTCGCAAGGCATGGGTTCGAATCCCACTCTTGTCGTTCTTGTTCGACACGTCAACCGAACTAATAGCCGTGGAACGGTTGTCTGACTGCAGGGACCTTCGAAAGATGGGCGAAGTAGATAGTGCTGCTCAGATAGACTTCGGGCCGCAGTCAATGGCGCTCGGATATAGAGCCACGGAGGTATCTAGCCGGGTCTGCCACCGTGCCGTGCTGGTAAGGGGAGGACGCTAACTTTGATGTCGGGAGTCTACAGCCAGTATGTAACCGAGACTAGTCCCAATTCTGCGTAGACCACTGGGATCAGCACCGTTGGCGAGCCGAAGCTGGATGAGATGGGCGCCCGGATCCACCAAATCTCTGGGCTAAAGAGAACTTGGGGGTCGGACCCGCTTTGTAAGTGGATGATCCTGCGGTGGGATTACCGCAGTCATCAATCAACAAGCATCAGCAGCATGGGACGCGACGATATTGGGCTTTCTGCGGTCGGAGACAAATCAGGAGATCGGTCGGTCGGTCGGTCGGTCGGTCGCTGTCCCGTCGCAGAAACCCACGCACAGCACGAGCGCACACATTGGGGGACGGTAGTTCCGCGGCGCAGATGCAGGCTAGAGCACAACTGGGCACACTGGGTTCGCTCATCCTGACCGGGATCCTCTCGATGCAGGCGCCCTGTCCACTGAAACCTGAAACACCAGACCATGTCAGACAGGGATGAACGCAGCTAGCAGCGTGAGAGTCCAAACCGGTGTAGATGATCTGCAGGCTATTCGTGGCAAGCAACAGGGGGGGCTCCCCATCTCACCACTGGGCGGACACTTGAGACCAGCCCAGTGCCCAGAACATCCAGACCCCGACGGCGAAACCCGTATCAGCGGAAGGGACTCTGCAGCCAGCATCGCGGTTCTGGCCCCAACCGCCACCTCATCAGCACAAGTCTGGGCGACAGGGTGTCATTGGTATCACTGTGCCAGCCATCCTGCGGTCGGTCAAAAACGTGGCGGCCACGAGATATGGCCACGCACACACCCTAGCGGGAAGGCTTCAAAGAGGGTGACTGGTCCGACCGACGCCCGGAGAAGCTCTGCGCCCGGGTCTGGAATGCAGGTCTCGCGTGCATCGAATCAAAGAGCAACGAGGGGTAGCCGGACTGGTGAATGCGAAGTGAGACCGAATGGGAGAGGCGCGGCGACAGGCGGACAAGAGATTGGGAGTCGGTCGGGAGGGCGGTGGGAGGGGGAAGGGGGGATGGAAGGAAGGAAGGAGAGAAGCACGACGTGGAAAAAGGGACAAAGAAAACCGAGGGGAAGAAGCAGCGAGGCGTAAGGGTCAAGGAAGGCAAACCTTGGGTTGGGTTAGTGGGCAAAACAAGGTGCTTCGATGGAAGTTCCTTGCCTGGGATCGAGCATGTCGGTCGGTAGTAAGTCGGTATTGCACGGTACACCTGCGGTTCCAGGGTTGTATAAAAGGATTCGCTAGAATCGCCATAGTGCCTTCGCTGCTGGGGGGTTTCTTTGTTGGTAATCGGTGCTAGTGGGAGGGCGAATGCAACTACGCAACTAGTGAGGATCGAACCATGCATCCATTATTCATCTAGAATCCGGAGATGGGTAGGGTAGGGACTAGGGGGTGAGAACTGAGAATGTGATATGCGATATGTCATGTTACGCAGTGTGCCGCCTCAGGCTGCGAGGTGTCTCTTGTCTGTCTCTGTCTCTGTTTCTCTCTCTCTCTCTCTCTCTCTCTCTCTCTCTCTCTCCACCGCCGCTCTTCTCAAGTTCCCTCGCCTCGTCTTCCTCGTGGGCCCAAGCGGCACTTTTCCATCCTCCCCTTTTCTCTCTCCTCACCCAGTCCCATAATAATATCCACGTACCACTCTCTATCTCCTCCCGTACATCGTGCAGATAATTTTTCACCGCCGTGATCACCACTACTTAGTACTAGGCACCCTTCCATGCAGGGCCGGTAAATACTAATACTACGACTAATACTGTACCATCGCTGGAAGGTTTTACCATCCATTGCTTGCTTCATCTTGGGTTTCTCCAGACTTTCGCTTTGCTTACCCAAGCCGACCCAAGAACCCAGATAGCTTAATCCTGTCACCTGGGCCCCCGTTGCTCGTATCGGGACTCATTCTTTCAGTCTCCGTTTCACCTTCAGTCCTCAGGTGTTCTGCCGTCCGCCCTCGTGCCATCGTCGGTGTCTCTGCTGGCCGGATTCCAGAACCCAGCCAGACCCGGGCCAGGAAAAGCAAATAACCCCCAGGTAAGAGACGAACAAGCAAAAAAAAAAAAAAAAAAAAAAAAGAAGAGAAAGAAGTAAAAAAACGCCAAAGGAGAGACAGTTCCGTCAGCCTGAAAGTAGTAAGTAGTAGACCAACTCGCTCGCTCTCTGGCGGCCCGCCTGCTGGTCAGAAAAGTGACTGGAACCAAACTAACCATCAACTACTCCGTCTTAGGGGCTGCCCCGTTCCTCTCACGTCCTTCTCCGAAACCCAGCAAGAATCACCTCTTTCCGCCCCCCTTCTCCCCCGACCAGGCCTCCGTTCGGTCGTCCTTGTCGGGACTTCACTTTCCTGTCGCTCTTCAGATCTATCTGTATTGTCCTTGCTGCCGTCGCTCTTCATTGGGGTAGGTTTCACCTGTCAAAAACACTATCGCCCTGCGAATCGGGAAAATGAGCCCCTCCGCCCACGTTCCCCCCCCCGTCCCCATTAGACAGCTGCAGTTGCCCGCAATCCTGGCTCCCAGGCTAACTCGTGTCGTGCTATGTATAGGCTTGGATGTGCCAGTCTCGATATCTCCTATAAAATCTCCTGCCCTCCCTCGATATCCTCCACCAATTCGCCCGATCCCCTACCTTTTTCGCCCCGTCTCCCGCCCCCCCCCCCCCTGCCGATTCTCCCACCCCCCTCCCTCATAAATTCTTCGTCGACCAGATTCAGCCCGGACTTGAGTGGGATGTTGCCGGAGGTGACGCAAAAAAGGATCTCCAGCGTCCGTTGTTACACAACTACATTTCACAGGTTTCCCAATGGGAAACTCCCAAGGGAAACAGGTGGCCTCCACCGATGAGCGTGCGTATTGCGTCCATACTCCCCCGCGTGAATCGACGGGGGACAACTGGCAATCAGGGTGCTGACAGTGGAGCGCAGTGAACTTGAATCAGTTCCGCCTGTTGCGGGTGGTTGGAAAAGGTGCTTTTGGAAAGGTTCGCATTGTGGAGAAGAAAGACACCGCCTTGACGTTTGCACTGAAATATATTCGGAAAGAAGAAGGTATGTTCGGCGTCGGAGATGGTTGACCTCATGCTGACGGCTGGGCTCTTGTCCGATAGTGGTCCGGTCGGAAAGCGTACGGAATATCATTCGTGAACGGCGGATGCTCGAACACCTCAACCATCCGTTCCTCTGCAACTTGAGATACAGCTTCCAAGATATTGAATACATGTGCGTCCTACAACAGCTTTCCCAACACGGCCCCTGCGTACCAGTCACTGATAGTTGAGAAGTTACATCGTGGTGGATCTGATGAATGGTGGTGACCTGCGATTCCATATTTCGAGAAAATGTTTCACCGAGGAGGCAGTTCGATTCTGGGTGGCCGAGCTTGGGTGTGCCCTGAGGTATATCCACTCGCAGGGAATCATCCATCGTGATGTCAAGCCGGACAATGTCCTATTGGATTCGGAGGGACACGTCCATTTAGCTGATTTTGTAAGCTCCGCGTTCAACGTAGCCCCATGGCTCACAGCTGACTTTCGCAGAATGTTGCTTCCGATTTCCGACCGGGCAAGCCCCTCACGAGTAAATCGGGCACGTTAGCATACCTAGCCCCTGAGGTATACGAAGGAGGTGGATACTACTGTGAGGTGGATTGGTGGTCGCTGGGAGTCACGTTCTATGAGTGTATCTATAACAAGGTTTGCAACTCCGATGGCATGCCATTCGCGGGGACTAACATTGCGACAGCGCCCATTTGAAGGTCGGAGCCAGGATGTCCTCAGCGAGAACATCAAGAAGGCGCAACCGAAGTACTACGTCACAAATCCGGCCGTCTCCGTTCCCTGTCTCCGAGCATTGGCAGCACTGATGGAAAGAGACCGGTCGAAGCGAATCGGTGCGATCAGCTTCGAGAGCTTCACCTCGCATATGTTCTTTGCCGACATTGACTTCGTCGCACTCGAGCACAAGGAGGTACCGCCGGTATTCACGCCATCCAGCGATAAGACCAACTTTGATGCGACATATGATCTGGAGGAGCTGCTGTTGGAGGAGGCGCCGCTCGAGGCCCGGGCTCGCCGGCAAAAACCAAGAGCGGAGCTACGGGACGACGCAACGGCGAAAGAAATCCGAGAAGACGAACTTCACCGTCTCATCGAGACGATGTTTGAGCCCTTCGATTACACCCGGGTGGTATATGCAGGGTACGTTTGACAGACAGACGTTGTGGGTCGCAGGCTAACTGACCGACTGTAGAAACGCCGCGGAAGCGATTGCAGCATCAACGTGAGTACCCGGGTCTGTGGATGTGTTGGTATTTACTAATTTTTAGACATAGCAACCCCGAAGAGTGCCTCCCGCTCCAGTCCACAAATTCACATTCCCGCCAAGTCTCGCAGCCTGACCTGTCGAGAAATTCGCCTCCCCTACGCAACGACGGATCGGCCAGCCACTTGACTCAGCCGGACGCCCCGTCTCCTCTCAGCGAGACGCCAACCTCACAAGCATCTCTGCCTCCCCCGCCGCCGCCGCCAGCGCCGCCCTTCCATCGTCCCCTACCGCCAAATGCAAATGCCGCAGCGCGCCCGCGAGGCGCGACACGGAAGACCAGCAAGGGTGGAGGCGTTCAGATGGTGCTAGAGGAAGCCGGCAGTTGGAGCGAGCTCGCCGACCACAGCACCACCCTTCCTGCGGAAGGCTACGATACGGGGTCGGCCAAAGGAAAGGGCTCCAACAGCGGCATGCTTGCTTTCCTCAGCCGAAAGAAGGGGCGCGACAGGAGTCCGAAGCCCCAGGAGCCGGGCGTGCTGGGTAAAGAGGGAGCCCGGCAGATCATCAGCTGAAGAGCCAGCAATTCGGCTCGATACCCGGAGGGGAAGGCTTCGCTATGACTTGACCGCTGTTGAACGGTTGGATGGAGATCATTGCTGATTGGGAAGCTCACGCTTGCCGGGATGGCATGTCGCCCATCTAACCGCCTAATCGTTCCGAGCGTGCCGTCAAGGTTCGACTCGTACATACAACATCGAGAGCTCGCTCGCGATCACACGGCGTGGCCGGGTCAACCAAGTTTGTTTCTGTTCCCCGACGCCGGCTCGGCAACCCGCGACGTGTGTGGGCCGAAGTCGAAACCCGCGGCGTCGTGGTGTGACAGCATATCCATCCCCCGTCGTTTCCGCCCGGGCGCGGGCTTCCGTGCCTTGGGTAAGTGTTTGTCATTGATTCCCTGGATTCAGCGCACCGCTTCTATTTCCGCTTCTATTTCCTTGGTGTTGGCTTCCGGAGTTGTACAGATGGGAGTGGCATATGACGATTTATAATTCATCTATCTAACCTTGTGACATACCGACGATGGTCGCGGAGCACCGTTTTTGATTCTGCCATTTCTCGTTCCCCTTTCGATATACTTGTCTGGCGTTAGCATACCCTGTGGAGAGTCGTGGCCCCGAGAGGATTGTACCAGTCATGATGGACCACTTGTAACTAATGACGTTTCTCCTTCCATATAACTATAGAATTGATGGAGCTTTGATCGTGTCTGGCCCACAAACATGGAGTAGAATCTATGGACATGTCCGCATGTAAGAATCTCCGGGTGTCTTATCGCGGACTTGCATCCGGACGCAGTTGACAGGGATTACTTACATTCTACCTGAGACATGCTTATTTCCGCTCTGCACGAGCCCCTCTCCTATCTATCTATCTATCTATCTCTGACCTCTGTGCTATTTCGACCCATTGGATGGATTGCCACCCACCGGAACCAGTCCAGAATAACCAAACGAGCTGGCAAAAGTACCACCATCTCATCCCATCAGGCTGGCAGCTCGTTAACTGCCTACCTACCTACCTACCTAGTTAACTGAACTTCCTCTGCATTCAACTCAGATAAAGGGTATATATTGGTGTTGAAAACAAAGATAAAATAAAATAAAATAGCAGGTATTACATAGTAGGGATGTATGCATGGGTATATACGTTGAACATCCAAAGAACGTCACAAGAACATCAAATCACATCACATCACGCATGTATACTGTGTTGTGTTGCATTGTGTTGCTTTGCTTCACGCACTTTCACGCGCAAACCGACCAACACGACATCAACCAACTTCAACCAATAAGCACATATTTCCATCCAAAAAAAGGAAGGAAAACCCATAGATTTAGAGACGACGGGGACGAGACCCCCACTTCCCACCTCCCATCTCACATCTCACATCTCATACCTCCTCCCCTCATCCCCCGGCAACTCCAACGGCATGCTCTGCCCGGGCGAGACAAACCCGGACGCACTTGCACTCGCACTCGCACTCGCACTCGCCGACGGAGCCGCCGAATACGCCACCGAATCCGCTTCCACGGGCGGACTATACTGCGACGTGGCGACCATCTGGCCCTGTCCCTGCTGGTGAAGAAGCTGCTGCTGCTGCTGCTGTTGCTGCCACGCCGCGCCCTCCCCAGCACCAGCACCAGCTCCCGCCCCTCTCTTCTTCGCAAGGAAGAACAGCCCCGCGGCGGCCAGAGCGAGGAGCGGGATCCCGAGACCTAGACCGACTCCCAACCCGACTTTCGTGGAGGAGGAGAGGCCGCTGGTTCCTGCGGTTGGGTCAGAGGTGGAGGTGGATGTGCTGGTGGAGGTGGAGTTGGTCTTGGAGCCGGAGGTGAGTGTGCTGGTGCTGGTGCTGGTGCTGGGGCTGGTGGATAGGGTTGTCGGGGCGGAGGTGCTGGAAGTGGTGTTTTTCTTTTCGATGCGGAAGTATTCGCTGTAGAAGTGGCGGGGGCCGCTCTCTGTGAGGTATTCTTCGTTCCAGAGGGAGACGAAGAACACGTTGTTCCAGGCTAGGTTGACGTCGGGGGTCATGTCGTAGGTGTATTGCGCCGGGGGGTTGGAGACGTAGTCTGTTAAGGGGGGTTAGGATTTGGAATGTTATTGTTATTGTTAGGGGAGGGTCTTGAGGGTTGGGTATAGGATGGAAGGGGAGGGGATGGGGATGTGTGAGTTGATTATGATGGGATGGAGGGTGAGGATGAAAGGGGAGACTCACCCCAGAATCGAATCCCCGTGCTGTTCCCATTCTGATACAGGATCAAACTGACGACAGTGAAGTTGGTGACCCAGGTGAAGTTGTACGAGTCGCCCTCGTAGAAGACAGGATAATCGGCCGTGTCGTTGCCGCTGGCCACCGCCGAGGCCATCGTGCCTGGGGTGACGAAGTAATTTGTCGAGGTAGCAGCGGAGAGGGCGACGAGGCCATTAAGCAGAAAGAAAAGAGGATGGAACCTCATGGTGGCGGGTGTTACGGGGAAAAAAAAATTTCGTCGTATAGGGTTGTTGTGGTGGTGGTGGTGGTGGTGGTGGTGGTGATGATGACTACCTATACAGAAGAAGTATGCGCAAAAGAAGTCGTATGTCAACAGACAAGGCAGGGTTGGAAGAAAGTCAAGTCTCCCTCCCTCCCTCCCAACCAGCCAGCCGCCCGCCTGACCGAGCGACAGCCATGCTGAGGGAGGGACCTTAATTGTGCGAATTAAGATTAGAGGTGTTCGCAATGGGGCACGGTTGAAGGATACGATGCGCGAGTCGAGCGGCCATCCCACTTGCGGCCTCGGGGGCGTGGCTGATTCGAGTCGAGTACGAGGCATGGGGCACTAGGGCGACGCAGGATGGCTGCTAAACCGGGATAGTCAGGGAAGGCTGGATAAGTCTATGACTGAAGCGGACTAGCCAGGAGAGGGTGATAACAGCATCAGTTCAGGGCTTCCCGTTCGGCCCCCGCGACAAGTCCAGGGCCTTTTTCGGGCCAAACCGTTGAAACCCCCGTGATTTGCTGGCTTTGGCGCCAGAAGACCGAGCGGCAGGTTTCTGATATCGTCATGCCCTTCCTTCCTGGTCAGTTTTAGCAGTTTTAGATGCGGGCGTGTCTGTGTTGGTGGATTAGTTACTGATGAGTTAGCCGCACTCTATATACACCTGTCTTGGTCCCTTTCTCATCTCACTCTCCTCCATCTTCTTTCCTTTTCCCGTCTCACGCTCTCTTCCATTCCCTTCCCTTTCCCTTTCCCCTTCCCATTCCCCTTCTTTCTCCCATCATTCTTTTCTCTTTCTTGTCTTGCCCTTTGCCCCCCCTCTTCCATTCCCACCATCCATCCCACCATCCATCCCCCCTCCATGCGCCCCTCCGACTTCTGGGTGCGACCGGGCTCCCGCAAGGCGCTATGGCTGGCCCTGGCGGCGGTGTGCCTGGTGTGCACCCTCGTGGTGGCGTTCTATGAGGTTGAGCCCGCCTCGTGGGGCTCCTTAGTCGACGGAACCCGTCCGCTGCAAGAGCTTCAGGATCACAACATTGACGACCCCCACAACTCCGACTCGCCCTCCAATTTCCCGTCCAATTCCGCTGCTGTCAATAATCCGACGACGTCCTCTGTCCCTCTCACCACGTCCACGCCCACCGCCTCGGCCACGCCCCCACCAGCCCGGCCGAGACAGGGGAAGCCAGCGACCGGCGGTGCCGCGGCGCCTTTGCCGATCCCGGGAATGTTCTGCTGGTGATCAAAACCGGCGCTACCGAGATTTACGAAAAGCTCCCCACCCAGCTGCTCACCACCCTGGGCTGCTCCGAAAATTACCTCATCTTCTCCGACCTCGACGAACAGATCGGCCCCTACCACATCCAGGATGCCCTGGCCAATTTCACCCAGTCGCTGAAGGACACCCTGCCCGACTTCCACCTCTACCTCAAGCAGCAGGATTATCGCCGCACGGGCCAGGACATCGCTAAACTCAAAAAGGACGGCCATGACGCCTGGACCCTGGACAAGTACAAGTTCCTGCACATGGTCGAGATGGCCTGGAACGAGCGCCCCGACATGGACTGGTACGTCTTCATCGAGCCAGACACCTACCTGGTGTGGAGCAACATGCTGCTCTGGCTGCAGACCCTGTCGCCCCAGGACGAGCTGTACATGGGCTCCGTCGCCTATGTCATCTCCGAGCCGTTCGCCCACGGCGGGAGCGGCTATGTCATCTCCGGCCAGCTGCTGAAGCGCTTCGTCGGCGAGAATCCGGGCATGGCCAATCGCTATGACGAGGTGTTCACGCGCGAGTGCTGTGGTGATTTCGTGCTGGCGCGCACGATCAAGCAGGAGATCAACGTGGGGGTGCAGAACTTCTGGCCGCAGATCAACGGCGAGAAGCCGGCCACGCTGCCGTTCGGGCCGACGCATTGGTGCCAGCCGGTGGTGACCATGCATCACGTAGAACCCCGGGAGCGCAGCACGATTTTCGACTTTGAGCAGGCGCGGGAGAACATCTCGGTATGGTTTTTTTTCTTCTTTTCTTCTTCTTCGGTATACGTCAAATCAAGCTAACGGTATAGGAACCGCTGCTCTTCCGGGAACTGTCGGAGATCGCATTCCCCTCGGACGACATGCCCACGGAGGAGAAAGACTGGGACAACCTGTCCAACGTCCAGCTGCGGTTCCCCGGGGACATCACCCCCACGCTGGAGCAATGCCGCGACAGCTGCCTCACCATGGAGGCGTGCTTCCAGTACCGGTACAACGGCGAAGAATGTCACGTACTGACGGATGCATTCAAGCGGGGGGCGAAGCGCGAAGACGACGGCAAGCAGTGGGTGTCCGGCTGGAACGTGCGCAAGATCCAGGACTGGCGCGACAGCCACCCCTGCGAGACGCCCGAATGGGTGCATGCGCATTAGAAGCGCTTTGGAACGTGTCTGCTGGCAGACGAGCATCTATTCCCATCGGAAACCATGGCCTGGATAACCAACATTATGTCTACTAATCATGCATCCACTATACTGTACATATCACATACCTATACATGCCCCTCCATCATTGCGCTCCCTCCTCCCCTCCCTGCTGATTCTTCCACGACCCCGCGTAATGATGCGACACCAGATACGGCCCCTGGTCGGTGGGATATCCGCCCTGGCGTGCCGCAAACGCAGCCTGCGGCAAGACCAGCACATCGCCCAGCAGCGTCGGCTCCCTGATCTGGCTGATATTGGCCCTGCCCACGGGCTGCGCCAACTCGCGACTCAGACTCTGCAGGAGAGCCACCGTGATGGCCTGCGGCCCGCTCGCGTCGACCACGTCCGGAATCATCTCCATGGTCACCCCCTCCATCGTGACATTGTTCGCCCGCGCAATGCCCCCCATCTGCCCCATCACGTACTCGATCGCCGCCCGCATGTGTCCCGACCCGGCCGTCGCCATCACCGTCCAGCTGGCAAACTGCCACCCGTCGAACTCCAACCCCACGACCACATTCACATCGCCTGCTTTTCTCCCTACCCGGGTCTTTCTCCCAGTCACAGACCTAGTCCCAGACCTAGTCCCAGTCCCCTCCTCACCCTCCCCCTCCCCCTCCCCCTCCCCCTCCCCTTCATCATCATCATCATCATCATCGTCGAAAATCCCCCACTCCCCAACAGGCCTCTCACACCCCACGTCCAAATCACTCCAGATCCCCCCGTCCGCATACAAAATCAACAGACGCAGAAGGTCCGCTTTGACGATCGGCACCTGGATCGCGTTGTACAGCGCCGCCACCTCCGGCCAGAGAGTCGTGTATGTGCTCGTCACGTACGCCGTGCTGCTCTCGTCGCTGAGGATCTCGTGCCGTAATGATGGGTTGAGCGTCGTCCAGGTGGAGATGTATTCTGGTGTCGGGGGGATCAGGCCCCGTGGACCGGTTTTTTGCCAGAGTTTGAGGGGGATTCTTTTTTCTTTCTGTTTTTCTTGTGGTGGGATTGTTGTGGGTGAGGAGGGGGCGGTGGTGGTGGTTGTGGTGATTGTGGTTGTAGAGGTGGAGGTGGAGGTGGATGTTGGTGAGGATGTTGGTAGTATTGATGGTAGTAGATCTTGCCCCGCTATCGAAGAGGAAGCAGCAGAGGACGAGGACGAGGACGAGGACGAGGAAGAGGAAGTAAGAATCGGCGTGGAAGTAATAGTCGTCTGGAGATCAATCACCGGCTGGCGAAGCAGTCGATGAAAGAGGTAGAAGTTCAGCAGGAGGAGAGCGAACAGCAGCGCCGCGGTGGGGCGGTTGGTAAGAAGGAGCGACATGATTATTTATTATTGTTGTAGTATTTTGGTGGTGATGATAATGATAATGATAGTGGTGGTGGTGGTGGTAGGGTTATTATTGATGCATTGCAATGACTATACCGTAGGTAGGCGTAAGTCTCCCTAGGAGTGAGAGACGGAGAGAGAGGGGGGAGGTGGTGGTGTGGTGGGAATTAAAGAAAGTGAACACGACAAAGCACAGGGAATAATTACACCTGGCTGGCTGGCTGGCTGGGTACTTAAGTCTTTAGTCTTAAGTCTTTAGTCTTTTGACTGACTGACTACCTCACTACCTGACTACATGGGTCCGTCCAAGGTACAGACAGGGCTTGGTTGGGGTGTTGGCTACTACCACTGCTACTGCTGCTGCTGCTGCTGCTGCTACTGGCTGGCTAAAGCTACTGGCTACGGTACTGTGTATGGTACGGCTGGGTGGACTTCTTCCAGGCCTGGCTGGATGCAACTCCAGGGACCCTGTTTGCTCCTGGACCTATCGGCTGTGGTTGCTGGTTCGGTGGGTGGGCTGTGGGGCGCGCTGCTGCTGCTGGGCGAGCTGCTGGGCGAGTCGCTGAGGGGATCCCGGAAATTACATGTTTAAGTAGGTATTTCTGCGTAGAGACTAGACCAAGGGAGGGTCTGGAGAGATTAACGGGGTTGGTTGGTTGGTACTGTATGTGTGACATGTTCGTTGTGATGTGACTACTGATTACTGGATGAATGAATGAATGGCCCTGCGGGTGGGTGGTTGCTTTTTCGATGGATGATCAGGGGATGGGGCTAGTGATGACTATCATCGGTGGCTATCACTTTGGGTTTCTTTGTCGGGGGGGGGGGATGATGATGAATGGATGGATGGATTGCGGGACGGGGTAGGACTCGGTATGTACCAGGGTCTATGGTAAATGGTTAGGGTCTGTCTCCTGCCCATGTTTATTTAAAGAATGGACCTCGCAGACTGTAAGCCGGTTCTACATGCAGCAGCAGGACATAATCTATGTACAGGATGGACTCTGTTAGTATGTATGTAGGTAGGTAGGTAGGTAGGTAGGTAGGTAGGGTACTAAGCACAATTGGCAACCCATCCTCCACATAAGCTAGCTAACTAGGCAGTGTGACACAGCATATCGCCCCATCCAGGGTCGCACCGATCGCACCGACACGAGAAACATACATAAGACATACTTCAGACCGCTGAGTAGTGAATAAGTGGTTAGTTGATGTAGATCCTCGTCCGGAGTACTCTCCCATGAATAAAGTGTCAAGAACACGGAGAAGAACCCTGAAGAATAAGCTTCGTGGGAGTAAAGTAAGGTTGGGAGAATTCCAGTAGTCTAGATAGATACTAAGTAGGATTCTCCTGTCTGACTCCTGCGGGAGTCGAGCTTTCCCTTCCGGCGCCGGCGGGTCTATTTTTAGCGGGGTTACCGGCGGATGGCCGCCATTTCACTTTCTGGTGCCACTGCCAGTGCCATCATTTCCGAGTGAGACACGAGGAGGGGACCTGGGAACTGGGAAGGCTTTTCGAATCGAATCAATCAATCCATTGCTCCATCAACCATCAAGGTCAAACAGCTCCAAGCAATATGGACGAACGCTTCATGCGCCTTCAGACCCGCGCAATTAAACCACCAGACCATCGAACTTGGCACTTTCGCGCCGGCTTCATTCGGCACGCCATCCCCACTGCTCCAGCAAATAGAAGCAACTTTATCCGGCACGCATCCACTGGGGCGATCCGAGCTGGTTGGGTGATTGGGTGGTGGCGCTGTCCGGTCTGGTTGCGGCGTTAATACGAGGTGGAAGGAGATTGCGGTGGGATTTGCCGGTGGGATTGTGCGGTAGCATTCAGGATCGGGATTCCACTATCTATCTAGTACCCACAGCGTATATCCGACTGTAGTCGAGACTCGAACGGGTATATACTCCTCGTCAAGTTGTCAATATACAGTTGAAGACTTGGCGATCGAAACCTTGAATCTTGATATGGGTTCTGGTGAATTTAAGGTGTGCTGGAACATCAATTGTCAGGCTGTCATTTGGCTGGGATTGTGCCCAAAATGGTTCGATCAGCGCAGCAGCAAAAGATATTGGGGTCTCACCAGACCAGGAACAAACAGTCAATCCATGATGATTGCTTCGTTGCCACACTTTGTAACTTCATAGTACTTCAGTGGGGGTCATAGATACGATGTAGATACACAATACGATACTGTTAGAATTCCTGCCTGAGGTATCACCACGTGCACCACCATCCCAATCCGGCTAGCCACTGCCGGAATGATGCAAGACCTGTCCAGCTCCAACAGAAGTACCGAGCTCTTCCATCCATCTACAACAATCCGCTCGTATCACAATGGCTTCAATTCTTCCCCGCACCGGCTTTCGCGCCCTCACCGCTCTGCCCAGAGCTACCCCTCTCCCCAGGGCCTCCTTCACTGGCGTCCCTCGCGTCCCTCGCGTGCAACCCCGCGTGCCCCTCTCCCGCCGCTTCGCGACCATTCCCCAGGAACAGCCTCGCCTGCGTCTCGGCTCAACCGGTATGCCCATCCTCCATCCCATCGCATTGAATCCTGCTAACAGCCCAGCCCCCAACTTCAAGGCCACCACCACCCATGGCGAGATCGACTTCCACAAGTTCATCGGCAACAGCTGGGCCATCCTCTTCTCCCACCCCGCCGACTTCACCCCCGTCTGCACCACCGAGCTGGGCGCCTTCGCCAAGATGAAGGGTGAATTCGAGAAGCGGGGCGTCAAGATGATTGGACTCGTGGGTGCATCTCACCCCTCGCCCTCACTGCTCCCGCTGACAAGATAATCAGAGCGCCAACGACCTCGGGTCCCACGACAAGTGGATTGACGACATCAATGAGGTGGCCAACACCAACGTGCAGTTCCCCATCATCGCCGACGCCGACCGCAAGGTCGCCTTCCTGTACGATATGGTCGACCAGCGCGACCTGGACAACATCGCCGAGAAGGGCATCATCTTCACCATCCGCTCCGTCTTCATCATCGACCCCGAGAAGAAGATCCGGCTCACCATGTCGTACCCCGCCTCGACGGGCCGCAACTCCGCCGAGGTCCTGCGCGTGATTGACTCCCTGCAGACGGCTGATAGGAAGGGCATTGCCACGCCCATCGACTGGAACGTCGGTGAGGATGTCATCGTGCCGCCCTCGGTGTCGACCGAGGACGCCAAGAAGAAGTTTGGTGAGGTGCGCGAGCTGAAGCCGTACCTGCGTTACACCAAGTACTAGTTGCTTAGCGCAGTACTGAGCTTGGTAAGATGTAATAACAGAAATAGTATGATTGGTGGTAAGATATGATCAATGATCGAGTTGTTCAGTGATTGTGTGCAGCGGAGTAGATCGACTTGCATGCATATTCTTGAGGTAGTTTAACCAAGACATATCGTCAATCCGGAACTGGCAACCCCACAATCGCTGCATCTGCCATCTCCATCAGAGTTGAGACAGATTTTCAAAAATAGCTGACTGCATGTGGCTTGCATATCAATCCATCAACCTCCCTGACCTTAAATCCCACCTCCATCTGAATCTCCCCATCCGCGCAAGGGTCCATCCGGCCTAACCCAATGCAGCCCTGCTACCCGCCCCGATCTCCGCACTAGTCCCAACCGAGTAACCCCAATACAAAGACCCTTACCGGACGAATCACCCGCTCCGCCCTGTCCTGTTTCATGTTGTGTTGTGTTGTGTTGTTGTGTTTTTATCGCCAGACGCGCCAGGCTCACCTCCGGTTCCCACTTCTCCCGTTTACGCCCACCCGGTCATGACTATTGTCCCCGTCACGCGGCTGAGGCTTAATTCTATTTCTCTCTCTCTGACTGGCACTATTGCACGCCTAGCTATCCATCAATTTCCCTCTCTTCCCAACCCAATCCGTCCATCCCGCCGGACACACCCAGTCGTTTACTCCCAATTCCCAACTCCCTCCCGGACACCCAACCAACCAACCAACCAACCAAGGGTCAATCTGATCCAAGGCCCGGACCGGCGGGGCCACATTCCATCCATCCAAGATCCAATTATCCATCCCCTTCATTCCGGACCTGTTACGCGAGCCCAGTCCAGCCCAGCCCAGTCCAGCCCGATCCGATCCAGCCAAATCCACATTCCTTTCACCCGAGCGTGACAGGTCCTTCCCTCCGCTCCGGTCCAGTACACGGTACAATAGACTAGTGATATTTGATTGGCATGCCGAGCCCCTCCCGCCACCGGGATCCCTCTCCCGAGCGGGATCCCGATCAATTCCACTACTCGACCAGCGTGTATACCCCCGGATCCGTATCTCGGGACCCGGACTCCGACTCCGACTCCGACGACGACGACGACGGGGGCTTCGTATATCGTCCGGGTCATTACTACGCACAGGAGGGATCGGGATCGGGATCGGGATCGGGATCTGTTCTCCCCCGCTCTTACAATTACGAGATTCATGCTTATGATTATGATGACGATGACGAGGAGGACGACGACGATGATGATACTATTCACATTCCAACACACAACCCCAACCCCAACCCCAACCCCAACTCCAATCTCAGCCCTAGCCTCAACTACGATTCTCACGACCGCAACAACCATGAAGAACCCACCTTCCCAGTCTCAGACCCCTACGTCCCCCTCCGCTCCCAGCCCTCCGGCCTCGAATGGCCCCAGGGTCTCGTTCCCCGGGAAGAAGACGTCGTGAACGCGCGCGAACAGCACGCGAACACGATCCGGGCTTTGGCGGCGAATGAAGACGCAGACGAGGATTTGCTGCCCGGGTTGCCTGTCGGGGAGCGGGTGAAGGGGGGCCGCAAAGAGCGACCGGATCGGGAGACGCGTCGGCAGAGGAGGCGGGAGAGGTTGGCGGCCTTTTTCCGGAAGAAGGGTCGCGGGACGCAGGAGGAGCTGCTTAGTGGGGATGCGTTGGCGAAGTTGTTGGGGTCGAAGGCGGGGGAGGAGGATTGGTTTGGAAATGAAGATGGGGGTGGGGGTTGAGGTCTGCGGATAGGCAGGGGAAGGGGCAGGTGCAGAGGGAGAAGAAGACAGCTGTTGTCAATCAGGGGGAGGAGCCGTTTCTGTTGCCTTCTTTTCCGATGGTCATACCTAAGGGCCAGGCGCAGGGGCGGGTGGTGTCTGGGGCACGGTTGGAGGAGGGCCGGCGATGGAGATGGAGATGCGGCATCGGGGGGGTGGCGGGTCCGAGACGGAGGGTATGTTGATGAAGGAGGGCGAGGGGGGTCGCGATGGGAGTCTGAAGGGCTCTGCGGTGCAGCGGCCGTCGTTTTGGAAGCGGTATCAAGGCAGTTTGATTCTCGTGGGCGTGATCCTGGTGCTGGCGGCCGTGGCGGCTCCCGTTGGTGTTATCGAGTCGAGGAAGCTGGCGGCGAAGTCGGACGCCGCGGCGACGAGCTCAGGGTCGAATCTGAAGGGGATCAGTCCTGACAGTATCCCGGTAGGTTGGTTTTCAGTATGCGCTTGAGCGGTGCTGACGGAATCAAATCAGGCGTGGGCGAAAGGAACGTATCTCGACCCGTTCACGTGGCTCGACACCACCGATTTCAACGTCACGTTCACGAATGCGACAGTGGGCGGCCTCTCCATCATGGGCCTGAACTCGACCTGGAACGACTCGGCCCAGGCAAACGAGAACGTCCCTCCGTTGGACGAGAAATTCCCGTACGGATCGCAGCCGATCCGCGGCGTCAACCTCGGGGGCTGGCTATCCCTCGAGCCGTTCATCGTCCCCTCGCTCTTCGACACATACTCCCTGAGCGAAGGCATCATCGACGAGTGGACGCTCAGTGAGAAACTCGGCGACTCGGCCGGCTCAGTGATCGAGAAGCACTACTCGACCTTCATCACGGAGCAGGACTTCGCCGACATCAAAGACGCCGGGCTCGACCACGTCCGCATCCAGTTCTCGTACTGGGCCGTCAAGACGTACGATGGCGATCCGTACGTCCCCAAAACCGCCTGGCGATATCTCCTCCGCGCCATCGAGTACTGTCGCAAATACGGACTGCGCGTCAACCTCGACCCGCATGGGATCCCCGGCAGCCAGAACGGGTGGAACCACAGTGGACGACAGGGCTTGATCCGCTGGTTGAACGGCACGGATGGGGAGCTGAATCGCCAGCGTTCGCTCGAGCTGCATAATCAGCTGTCGCAGTTCTTTGCGCAGGATCGGTATAAGAATGTCGTTACGCTGTATGGTTTGGTCAATGAGCCGTTGATGCTTTCTTTGTCTGTGGAGGCGGTCCTGAACTGGACTATCGAGGCCACGGATCTGGTTCAGAAGAATGGCATCGAAGCCTGGGTCACCGTGCATGATGGCTTCTTGAATCTGGATAAATGGGATAAGATGCTCAAGACACGCCCGAATAACATGATCTTGGATACCCATCAGTATACGGTCTTTAATACGGGTGAGATCGTTCTTAATCATACCAGGAAGGTGGAGTTGATTTGTGAGAGCTGGTTCAGCATGATTGAGGCGATCAACATCACCAGCACGGGGTACGTTCCCTTCCTATTTTCCAACATCCACTTCCAACCTGCCTTTCCCCTATGTTTCCCATCCCCCCCCTCCCCCACCCCAACCAACACAACAACCGTTCACTAACCCCATTTCAGCTGGGGCCCCACCATCTGCGGCGAATGGTCGCAATCCGACACCGACTGCGCGCAATACGTCAACGACGTCGGCCGCGGCACGCGCTGGGAGGGCACCTTCTCCGACACGACGGCGTACTGCCCCACGGCCAGCGAGGGGACCTGCAGCTGCACGCAGGCGAACGCGGTGCCGGGCGCCTACTCCACCGGCTACAAGACCTTCCTGCAGACCTACGCGGAAGCGCAGATGTCGGCGTTCGAGACCGCCATGGGCTGGTTCTACTGGACGTGGGCTACCGAGTCGGCCGCTCAGTGGAGCTATCGCACCGCCTGGAAGAACGGCTATATGCCCAAGAAGGCGTATAGTCCGTCGTTTCGCTGCGGGGATGTCATTCCGAGTTTTGGCGATTTGCCGGAGTATTACTAGCTTGGTTCGAGCAGGCGTGAGTAGACATGAGCGCAGCATGGATTTCTGGGTTTAAATGGATGGATGGATTTATGTGGTGGCGTCGTGGATTCGAGTGTATATGTGGATGTGAGATATGTAGAGTAGAATTTCTTTTCTTTTCTTTTTTTTTTCTTCAGCAGAACATATAATGCCTCCCCTTTTCCCTAATTCATCATAAGAAACCACCCCCTTAAAGCTTGGCAACCCAACCCATTGACTTTCTTCCCTCCTCCCAAATGCGGGGAACCAAATTGCGGGGACTTCCCCCAACCGGGACTAGTTTCGGCAGGAGCAGGTGCTAGCAATAAGCAGACAACTCTTTCCGTCCTCCTGACCAGCAGAAGCAACAACTCACTTCCCCATTCCCCCAAGCAATGCCTCCAGCCCCATCCCCATCCCCATCCTCATCCTCAAGACCTCGAACACGGAATCGTCTGATCACCGGGTGGTAAGTAAGACCTGCCATTCAGTCCCAGTCCCAGTCCCAGTCCCATTCCTACCTATATACCTACTATATGTACCTACTCCTATTGAAACGATCTACGCTAACAATCTGGCCCGGTCCTAGTCAGAGATGCAGGGGTGAGTTTCGTTTCTTCCCCTCCCTTTCCGGTTCCGGTTCCTCCCCTCTGATCAACTGATCAACTGATCAACTGATCAACCGGTTGACTACCCTACATACCGTTAAGCCCAATCCTAATCCCAATCCTGAATCTGAATCTAATTCTAATTCTAATAGTCCGCCATCTAAAATGTCCGTACCACCACTGCCACTCACTATCTACCATATGACTCGCTCGTATAAGCTCGTTCTGGCCCTGTTATTTCTCAATAACTCTATACATTACTTGCTGACGCCATAGTATGGTTGTACGGTGTACGGTGTACAGACTAACGAAGGGCAGGTGACACCAACGACCCCGCCTGTGGCCATTGTCTCCGGGCGCAGACGAGCTGTGAGAGGGGGGTGAATGTCCGATTTCGCAGGGTCAGGGTGGGGGTTGAGGACTGATTGGTAATGAGAATGGGAATGGGAATGGTGGCGGCGATGGTGATGCTGATGATGCTGATGATGATGGGGAGGCGTTTCCTGGGAGGGAGATGTGGGTGGTTTGGAGGGGGCCGGGTTAGTTTTTTTTCTTTTTTTCTTTTCTTTTCTTTTCTTTTCTTTTTGTTGGGGCTGGGCTGGGTTGGGTTGGGGCTGAGAGGCTAATTAATTGCTTGAATAAGTGCAGTTTTTGGATGAGACGGATGAGGTTAGGGGACTGTATGAGGGACAGCAGGATGGCAAGGATGGGCAGGATGGGCAGGATGGCGATGGGGGGGTAGGGGTTTGTGAAGGTGAAGACGAGGGTGGTCTTAGTCCGGATGAGGAGGTCGGAGGATTGTTTGGGAATCCGTCCGAGCCCACGGACCATCTGTGGGGAAGTGGTTCGTCGTCGGCGGCGTCGCAGGGGCTGCTGGACGGAGGGTTGATCCGTGCGCCTGAGTCGGATGCTGCAGTCGGTTTGGGATTGCCGCTCAGGCTTTCGTTCAATGAGAGAGAGGCCACACTGATGCGCAATTATGTGGAAAATATGGCGCTATGGGTAAGCTTCCGAGTTGGTCACAATCACGGCTTGTTTTGGATGAGCTCACACGGATAGGCGGATATCACGGATCCACATCGACATTTCGAGATCGAGGTTCCCGTCAGAGCGGTACAGGAGCCGGTCCTACGCTTGGCCATCTTCGCGTTCTCGTCTCGCCATGTCGAACGCCAGCGGAAGGGGAACGAAGCCGAGGCTCTGCAGTACCATAATGCCTGTCTGCAGCTTCTGATCCCCGCATTGTCTGGAGCGAAGGGTGGCGTGAATGATGTTGTGCTTGCCACTGTTGCGATCCTGCGACAGCATGAGGAGATGGAGTGTATGTCTTCTGACCCAGTCGTCAATCGCAAGCTGACCGCTTAGACGACGACAACCAGTTCCACCTGACAGGCGCAATGCACATCATGAACACCGTCTCCTCCTTTGGGTCCTCGGGTGGCTTGGGCGAGGCTGCAGCCTGGCTTTGTCTCCGCGACGACATCCACGTGTCGCTCATCTCGCAGAAGCCTCTCCGCACGAACCTCGAATGCTTCCATCGCTCGGATATATTTGTCCGAGACGATGACTTCGCCTGGGCCAGCAGAATGGTCTTTCTGCTCGCCAAGATTCTGAGGTGCGCTTTCAACCAGGTGTCTGAGTCGACTGAGCTGCAGATCATCGCTCGTGAGGTGGAGGAGTGGAACGCCTCGAAACCGCCTTCGTTTGAACCGCTTCGTGCTCTTCCCCGTGGGAAAGAGGTTTCGCGTCGGTTTCCAGAGTTGTGGATGTTGTTGCCGGTGCATGGTGAGTTTGGTGGTTCTTTTTTAGATCATGCTAATGGCTGCAGTGGTCGGTGTCCAGTATTATCATATTGCCAAGATTGTTTTGGCTTTTTCTTGCTGCCCGAGCCCGGTGCTTGCGTATGAGAGCTTTAGGAACTCGCGGAATACCGAGGTATGACGCCTGCTTGCCTTTCGCCTGATGTTACTGGCGTGCTGTCTGTTCACTGCTAATTGACATGAATAGAAAACGATCCGACACCACCTGTTCATGGTCCTGGCGCTGGCCAAGTCGAATTCCAAGGCGGAGAATACCCTCTTCACGGCGCGCCACAGCCTGGTCGCTTGTAAGTGTCCGTGTCTGACGGCCTGGGCCAGCTAACGAACCAGGGGGATGGGTCATCCGGCACCGACTGGACCAGGAGGCAGCGGAAATCCTGCTGAGGGAGATGTGGACCCGGACGGGCTGGGATGTGGCCGCATCGATCCAGTCTCTGAGGGAGCAATGGGCCGATGAGTCGGACAGCTAGTCGGGCACAATCGGTACAAGAAGACCACAGTATAGCAGGGCACAACACTCTACACTATAGCAGGGTACAAACAACACTCAGCGCGGCACAGATAGCTGACGATCGGCAACGTGTCTACGATGGATCCAACCGATCGTGTCGGAGATGCAGAGCATTGACACCGTCTCCCTCGCTTCATTCGTCCGGCATATGCAGGGATGACTGCCGGCGTGTGGATCGCAGGCTGAAGTTTAAAACGACGATGCGCCACGAGTTGCCTGGTAAAGCATGCCAGCGTCATCGCTAGGAGCGTAGGGGCGTAGGAGAGCCGGGGACATGACGGGCCCGACGCGATGTTCTTCCGCGAGGCATCTGGAATGCGCCCTGGAACGCGACACTCGCGACGCGAAGCCGTCCGAGCTGTATAGTCTCGGGCCGATTGGGCTCAGGTTCGGTCTAGCGGTGTAGAGCAAGTGACAACAGTCCCGAGATAGAGTCTACCTATGATAAAACATCCGTAGATACACCTTGCAGGCATCGCAGCCTATCGGGGGCCCATCCACATGCAGACAGCTGCTACTTCCGATCGGGCCAAGCAGAGCCGTAGAGCCGTGACAAGATTCAACCCTGTCCATTCCAGGCAACTGCGGAGAATCCAGGATACCAAGAGTCCAAGACACAGCAGGCATTTTGGCTCACATCCCAGGCTTGTTTGCACGCGTGACCGGCAGTGTAACCCCCCAACAGGCCCTCTTGAAATCCGTGCCCTTAACGCGCTTTCCTTTTCCTTTCTCCTCCTCCACTCCCCTGAACCCCAATAAACAGGACATCAGATCCACCAACTTGCAGTTGCAGTTGGAGTTGCATGTGAAAAGATCATCATCATCATCATCATCGTCATCAGCAGTGATCAACATCAATCATCCCCAGACTCCATCCATCCACTCCACTCCACCCCCGACTTACGGCTCCGGATCGGCACCAATTGCCCCAACTCATTGTCCAGAACCCCCTATTTTGCGCCATTCGCTAGTCGCCTGTTTTTTCTAATTTTTTTTTATTATACTTTTTTTTCCCTTTCTTTCCGGCTGCTGATCGTACGGACGGACGAGCTATATAATGCCCTGCCTTAGCCTCCCCGCTACTGCTGGTGCTGCTGCATTGTCATCGTCGTCCATGCCCGACAAGGCTAGGGTCAGGAATTGTTCTTTTTCGCTGTCGCTGTGGAAGTGGTTTACCTGCGGGTGGGACCGTAAACAACAACAGCATCTACATCAGCAGCAGCAGCAGGAGAAGCAGGGAGCAGTACCCAACAGTCTCAGCCTTGGGTTGGAGAAAGAAAAAGAGTGTTGTCGGGCTGCGTTACTCTATTCTGACTCCGACTCTTCCTTTCGTCCTCAAACATCCACTACTACTTCCACTACTACCACCTGGGAAGACATCGATCCTCCTGCTGAGTACCTTACCCAACAGCAGCAGTATACCCTCTCCGAACCCTATCCCACCACCACCACAACCACCCCCAACAACAACAACAACAACAACAACAACAACAACGACTACTACACAACCACACCACCACCATACCCAACCACTGCCACCGAGCCAACCACCTACAAAATGCTCGACACCAATTCCACCCACACCCACCCCAACACAGCTCCAATGCTGTCCACCCTCCCCGGTTACAACGACGTGAGCGGCGCCGTCATCGTCTCCTGGGACGGCTTCCCCCATTTCCTCTCCCCGCAAGAAGAGGAAGACCGCCGTCTGAACCTCCAGCGTGCCGTCCAGGAGAAGATGCTGGGCTTGCCGCGCCAGACCCCCTTTGAGTGGGAGCGTCCTGTCTCGGACTGTGATGCCCGGAGCGTCTCGTTGCCGAAGTATGAGCCGCGACAGAGCCATGGCCATGGCCATAACCATAATCACAATGTGGAGCAGAATCGAAATGGGGATCTGGTGATGGTTCAGGTTGTGAGGGGTAAGAAGGCGAGGTCATCGGTGCGGTGATTTCTTCTCGATTACTATTATTTTTCTTTTTTGGGGGGAGGGGGGGGGGTTGTTTGTTTCTGTTGGTGATTTACTTCTCTTCTGCTTTCGCTTTTACTTCTGCTTCTGCTTCTACCTCTTTTTATTTATTTTTATTATTCCGGGAGGGCGTTGAGGTCTTGGGGATGGTTTCTTTCAACTGGGCGGGGGGGAGGGCTATTCTACTTCGTTGGTACTTCGACATCATCCGATCGGATTCAACCCTACCGATTAAGTGTCACTTCACTTCACCTCGCTTCAACTTGTCATGCAGCGGATACTATTGCGATATCCGGCTCGCGTACACCACTCGATCATCTCATCTCACCTGTTCACTATGGTCTACCTCCTCCTGTGGTCAAGTCAACACATCACCCCCAACAAACAGCAAATTGCGACGATTAACGAGCTACGATTTTCTTTTACTTCATTCTCAAACATCATGTCTACATCCATATCTTATCCAGTCTACGTCCAGACATCAGTCTACAATGGACATGAACATCCAGTCTACATCCGGGCAGATGGACAGACGGGCAGACGGGCAGACAGAAAGGCAAGACAAGCAAGGCAATGGAGAATGCAACTTTTGTATCAATCCAAACCAAACAAATATATATATATACAACAACATTTTAACCACCTTTTACCACATGCAAGATCCAATGCGTAGTCCTACCCTAACACACCCCCCCCATTCTCCATCTACCCCTCCAGCCCCATAGCTCCTAGTCTCACCCAAATCTCTCAACTTCAACCCCGGAAAAGCTTCAACCCTCCCTCCTCTCTATCCTCATCACTGCCCTCTCCATCCTCATCCTCATCATCGCCCTCGCGCAACAACCCACTCGCCGACCGACCCAACAACGACGCAAAGAACTCCTCGCGCGCACTCCCCGTCCACTTGCCGCGATCCTCGGGCGCCATGAAATTCTGGAGCTTCTCATGGACATCGAACCGCATCTTGCGGCCCTTGGAGGCGCGCGTATCCACCGCCTCCCGACGGTTCTTGTCGTTCCGCATCCCGGTCACGGGGTGCAGACGGCCCGACGCCGCGGACGGAAGCTGCAGGTGCAGGGTGTCCAGGCCGTTGGTGATGGCGTCCGAGGAGGCCATGCGCTGCTCGACGAGCTCGCGGAGCAGGGACTGGTAGAAGGCCGTGTCGTCGTAGACGGGCGCCGAGGAAGCGGGAGAGGAGGAAGAGTGCTCGGTGCGTGCGCGCTTCACTGCGGCAGTCTCGGTCGCGACTTGCGCCCCCAGCACACTCGAGATCCCCTGCGGCGCGGATCCTCCTCCCATCAACTTCCCGCGCGCGTTCGCCGTCGTGGCGTTCGACCCGCGCACCTTCGCGGACCACTTGTCCAGGACTGTCCGTCGGTGCGTCACCGCGTCGCTCTCTAGCTCGGTCATCCGCTTCCATAGTGACGCGGACGATGTACCTGATGCGCTAGAAGACCGCTTCCGCTTCTTCCCTCCGTGCGCATCCGCCAGCGCAACCCGCAGATCCTCCAGGGTCGTCCACAGCGCCAGGGCGGCGGATTCGGCCGACTTGATCGCGACGGATTCAGACTCGCCGGAGAGGGTTTCTGCGTCGGCGGAGTGCAGCGAGAGCTGGTTGATGGCCGTCAGGCCCTTTTGGAGCTTGATTCGCGTGTTGAGGAGGGCGTCGAAGGTCGCGCGCTGCTGTTTCACGGCTTTTCCTTTCGTCGCGTCCGCTTTGGCCGCGGATGAGATTGTCGCGGCGATGGTTTTTTGGTCGTTGGACATTAGACGCCGGAGTTCGTCGCGCGTGGTGTTGCCGGTGGGTTTCTCCGAGTCTTCCTCGTCGGAGTCTTCCTCGTCCTCTTCGTCGTCATCGAGGTCCTCGTCGTCGTCTTCGTCGGAGGGAATGTCGCTGTCCAGCTCGTCCTCGTCCTCGTCCTCGTCCTCTTCCTCAGACTCGTCGGTGTCCATCCCGTCGACCTCGACTTGCTTCTTGGCCTTGGATTTCTTGGTGGGTTTCGGTTCGTCCTCCTCTTCGTCATTCTCGCTGCCGGACTCGTCGCTTCCTAGTTCCAGATCCTCCTCGTCATCCTCCTCCTCTTCATCCTCATCATCATCCTCATCCTCCTCATCATCATCATCCTCATCCTCATCGCCCGACCGCACAGCAAACGGATCGTCGTCGCTGTCCGCCTCCAGCGCCTCGCGACTCACTTTCGACCCGGCGTACTGCTTTCCGAGTGTGACGGGGTCCGACTTGCGGAGTTTTCCTTTTCTGTAGTCGCCCAATTAGCCCCTCACCCCTTTAACTAGTATCAATCTCCAAGCAAGCAAGCCAGCCGGCCAGCCAGCAAACAGCGGAGGAAAGAGTAACAGAGAGATAAAAGAAAAGGTCCACGAACCCAACAGCCTGATAATGTTCCCTCCCGGCATCCTCATCCCCCTGCGCCTGTGCGCCCTGCTCGTCCTCGCTATCAGCGTTTCCGCGATCGAGATCCTCGGGGTCGTAATCTGCATTCATCCATCATATTAGATCAGTAGCCAACTCGCAACACAACACCCGGGGAAGCACAAAAATAACGAATGGAGGGAACATACCCCTCGGAGTCAAATCCTCCAGATCAGCGAACTGTTCGGCCAGCGATTTCGGGGCCATGGCTGCGCGCGTGTTGTCTGCGGGAACCAGCAAAGCAAAGCTAGACAAGCACAAGCAGGCAGAAGGAAACGGACGGACGGGCTTTTTTTTTCGGGGATGTTTTTTTTCTGCCGCAGTTTGGGGGCGGTGAGCGTGCACAAGGGTATGGTGCTCCCTCACTCGGGGGCAGGCTGGGGGCGGGCGGACGGGCGGTAGGCGGAAGGTCAGAAGGTAGGCCCGGCGGTGAGGTAGATCGGGCAGTATCACCAACCAGATTATTTATTATTCTCGTCCAACAACATCCTTCGTCGTTATACGAAACATCAGATAGGCATTGCAGGAACACACAATGTCGGGGAAGAGACTGTTCTCCACGTGTCGGGTGTTGAGGCATGAGAATCCGCTGGTATATTCCCATCCATCCCCATCCCATTCCATTCCATTTAGGACGACTATCTGGAGGGACAGTCTGGAGGGAGGGAAGAAGCAGAGCTAACTAACTTGATGATGAATAACAGGGCCTCCCCCGCTCCGGCACGCCGCCCTCCTTCCCTCGTCGCCGCGGACTACCCGAGAAACGCAAGATCCGGGACGTGAAGAAGGTGGTTGCCGTGTCGTCGGCGAAGGGGGGGGTGGGGAAGTCGACGATTGCGGGTGAGCACTCACTACATACATTATACACCCACGGTCTAGCCCAATACACAATTGATGGATGCATCATGGATGATGGATGATGGATGATGCCTAGACTGACGATCACGACGACAGTAAACCTCGCCCTCGCATTCGCCCGTCGCGGCATCCGCACCGGCATCCTCGACACGGATATCTTCGGGCCTTCGATTCCCACTCTGCTTAATCTATCGGGCGAGCCGCGGTTAGATGAGAGTGCGTTCTCCCCAGCCCAGCCCAGCCCAGCCTTCCCCCCCCCCAACTAACCTCCACCCAACCCTTCCCAACAAACAACAGATAACCTCCTCCTCCCACTAACAAACTACAACCTCAAATCAATGTCCATGGGCTACCTCCTCCCCCCACCACCCCCACCACCCCTCCGCGCAATTCCCCGACCGCCAACCCATGGACCCCACCCCCATCACCTGGCGCGGCCTGATGACCACCAAAGCCATCCAACAACTCCTGCACAGCGTCTCCTGGGGCCCGCTGGACATCCTCTTCCTCGACCTCCCCCCAGGCACCGGTGACGTCCAACTCACCATCAACCAGGAGATCGTGGTCGATGGCGCCGTGATCGTCACCACGCCGCAGGATATCGCGCTCAGGGATGCCGTGCGCGGCATCGGCATGTTTCAGAAAATGCATGTCCCTGTGCTTGGCATGGTGAGGAATATGGCCTTTTTTCAGTGTCCCGGGTGTGGGCAGAGGACGGAGATTTTTTCGAATGGGTACGGGAGTCATAAGGCTGGTGGGGAGGGGGGTGTAACGGTAACGGGGGGATGGAGGGGATTGGGGTGTCCAGGCGGAGTGTAGGAGGCTTGGGGTGCAGTTTTTGGGCGATGTCCCGCTTGATGCGCGGGTTTGTGAGGATGCGGATAGGGGGGTTCCTAGTGTTGTTGCGGAGGAGGGCAAGGTGGGTGTTGAGGGGATCAGGAGGGAGGCGTTTTTGGGCATTGCGGAGAGGGTTGCCAGGGAGGTTGGAGTTAAGTGGTAAATTGATTTTTTTTTATGCCATTTTGGGGTATTGTGGGGGTGAATCTTTCTTGTGGTGTATAATAACTATAATGTGCAGTGGTGAGTTGTATGATATGATATGATATATATATACCCGATAGTAACGGACGATGAGTGTCTCAGACTTGACTAGTTACTAAGTTGTAAGTGTAATATAGGGGTTATGTACATGTATCAGATGAGATCTCTATACAGTTCAGTATAAATGTATGTCCATGTATGTAGACGGGGTATTCAAACATCAACAGCAACAGCGACAGCAACGACAGCAACACAGGAAACTCAACTCGCCAGTAATGCAAAGAATGTAAAGATAGCTGATATCAAATCAACAGCGCAATCCAAAATGCCAAAGGTCCAGGATAAATCCACAGCCGCCACTCCATATAACCAGCCTAGTGAGTGTCCACTCGATATGGGCCCCAAACAAGGGTCAATATAACAGGACAGTCCACAATATAACCAGACAGCCAATATACCCAAAATGCCACCAATATGACCAACCAGACTATACAGTCAGCTCAACACCCGACCTAATACTTCCCATACTCCTCCGCCGTCTTGAACACCTCCCGATCCGGCATCTCGGGCCTCTCTACCTTCGCCTTGGCATCATGACGAACGGACGGCCCCTCTCCCTCTCCCTCTCCCTCTCCCTCTCCCTCTCCCTCTCCCTCCTCCCCATCAACATCATCTCCCTCCCCCACATAGCTCGATAACGCGTCCACCGACCTATACGCCGAATCATTATCACTCAACGCGCCCACCACGCCCCCCGCATGAAACAACGCTCGGGTGCTCGCTGCATCGACACCCGTACCCGTCACCGCCAGACTCCTCTCATCCCCAAGAGTACTATTATCCTCCGCGGGCTCGGAGGTAAACCCGCTCCGGATGGTCCCGGACCCGGCATACGAGCGCGGCCGCAGACGGGCCCACGTCGGATCGGAAGTGTTCGGGATGGCGCCGGCCTCGCGGAACAGCGTGCGCGTGCTGGCGTTCTCGTCGAGGAGTTTCTTGCCTTCGTATTCGGGGAGGAGGAGGCGGCTGGTGGATTTGCCGAGGGAAGGGAGGTGGGTGGCGGAGGCAGAGGCGTTGGGGTCGTTGGTGATGATGTCTGTGGATTTGGAGGCGAGGCTGTCGGTGTTTGTGGTTCCGTTGGTCTTCTGCGCGAGGGCGGAGACAGGGGTCGAGTATACGCCTTTCTGGGCGTCGATTGAGGCGCCGGCGCGGCCGGCTTCGACGCTTGTTCGCCGCGAGCGTTTGCCCTTTTGCTGCTCCTTCGCGATGATGTGTTCGTCTTGTTTGCTGGCGAGGCGGCTCCACATTGTCATCGGGTAGCTCTTTCGGGCGGTCTTGGAGGGGAGGACGCCCGGGGCGGTGCGGCGGGCTGCGAGGGAGCTCGGGGGAGGGAGTTCGCCCTTGAAGGCTTGTAGGCCGTAGGCCAGTTCCTTGATCCGCTGGCGCTGGACCCGCAGCTTGTCTTTAGCGAACTTGTCGTCCCATTCCTTCTTCGCGGCTAGCCACTTGCGCACCAGGTCGGGGTTGAAGGTGCCGACTTGGGAGCTGGGAATCTGAAGCACTGCGCACGAGGATACCGGGTCGAGGGGGTAGATGTTGCCGCGCTTGTCGACGCGCTGGCGGATCATCCGGTCTTTGAATGCCGGGAGCGGATCGCCGGCTCGACCGATCGATGCCACGGCGGTGTCCTTGCTCTCGACGGGGGCTGTCGGGCTGTCGGAGTCGCTGGACGAGCCGGTGGTCTCGTCCACGATCTCTACCTCTGCCTCCTGTGCGCGTGCTAGGGCCCACGCCCCGAACTGCGCGATCGCCCGGAACATGTATTTAGCTGGGCGCGTGAAGCTGAGCGTCGGCGCAACGTGGCACAGGTCGTCCCACACCTGTAGTTGGACGTGGGTGCCAGGGTATTTGTGCAGGATCTTGCGCTCCGGGTCGTGCTCGTCGAGGAAGGTGTCGCTGGGCGGGTATTCCGTCGGATTGGCCGCTTTGTGGGCAACGTAGAACTGCTCGTCGCGCAGCATCTCGCCGCCGCCGCTCTGGATCAGCATCGGGGGCAATCCGCCCAGTGATGGCTGGAAGATGGGCGAGACCAGGGGATGCGCCAATAGCTCGTTGGTCGTGTACATGTGGATTTGATCTTTAACCTCCACTGTCTCGCCGCCTATTGTCACCTCGATGACCTGGGGCTCGATATCAGTCGGGGAGATTGGGCTGGCGGGGTCGTTCGGATGCGCCGTGTACCCCCTTGCGGCGGTGTCTTTGGCCTCGGTGTTGTTCGGGATGGCTTTGAGTGCCTCGCCTTGGCTGGCTGGGTGCTTGTCCAGGCCTTTCCGGAGCTCCAGCAGCTCGTCCGCGTTAGGAGGGGGCCACGCATCGGACGGCTTGTGTCTGAATCCATAGGGTGGGATATAGTCGCCCGGGTTGTCCGCCACAATGCTAGGGAACGAATGCGTGAGGTCCACCCAGGGTGAGATCAAGATCGCACCCGCAGGCAGCGGGATGCCCTGATCGCGGAGAATAACCAGCATGCTTCGACGCATTAGCCTCGTCCTCATCATGCATGCATGGATCACTCACGAAAGCACCATTCCTCCGCCCGCCGAATCTCCCGCGACGATAATCTCCTTCGGGTCATGCTCCTTCAACAGATACAGATATGCCGCGAGCGAGTCCTGCAGACTGCACGGGAACGGAAACTGCGGCGCCAGTCGATATTTCGCTGCGCATGTCATTAGCATCACCCCTACAATCCATCTGATCCATCCAATTGATCAAGAGAAAAAGTAACTCACTACACAAACATTAGCACCCAACTCTTAAATCACAGACTGACAGATAGACTGATAGACAACTTACCGAGCAAAGACTCTTCCCTTCAACTTCCTCGCATGCCTCTGCATCTGATACCGATGTGTGTCGACACTAGCAAAATAATACGCGCCGCCATGTATATACAGCATGATGCGCTTCTGGCTCGGATGACCGGGACTGGTCTGCTTGCGCTCATTATAATCCTCCTTCATTTCGATCCACTCGCCGCGAAGGTCATCGGCCGGTCCGCGCCACTGCCACCACTCGCTGCCGCCGACGCGCGCGACACCCCGGGGCCCCAATTGCTTGTTGATGGCGACGGCAGCGGCGGCGAGGTGCTCGTCGGCGACGGAGACGGTCTCAAGCTTGACCCAGTGCGGAGCGGGGACGCGCTGGCACGAGAAGGACTGCAGGTCCTCGACGGGGTGTTTGGAGGCGTAGGCGAGGAACTCGCGCAGGATGCGGATGGCTTCATCGTAAGTGACGTGGATGTTGGGTTTGTGGCGGAGGGATTTGCGGTGGATGTACTGGGGGATTGGTTAGCTGGTTATTAAGGGGGGGGATTGAGTGGTGGTGGTGGTGTAGATGAGGGTGTTAGTAGCGGGTGAATAGGGACGACCCACATGAGAGATGAGGGTCTGCAGGACAGCCGGAGTGAGGGCGACGCTCAGGGCGAAGGTGTTGAGCGGCATGGTGATGGGTTAGAGGGAGTGGTGAGCGATGCGCATGGCTTGGGAAGCCAATGATGGAAAGGATGAACAGGGGAAGAAGAGAGAAGGCGATGAAGGGAGAAGATAGGAATGAAGGGAGTGGAAGGGGGGAGGGGGGGGAATGCGGATACTCGATAGATGCTAGTTATCAAGGACCGGAGGATTGCCACATGTCATTGGGCTCGGACGGAGCAGCAGCAAAGCGAAGGGTGCAGCCCTGGCCATGCAGGACGGATCGTCATCGGCGTGTGGCAGGGGCAGTGAGAAAGAGAGGGAGAGGGAGAGAGAGAAAGAAAAGGAGGCCGGTGATGTCATCCCCCCTGGCTGCGGAGCTGCTCCGCTGGCCGTCGCTGGCCCCAATCAGAGCGCTCCACTGCAGCCAGCCACACGGACTTGCTGGCCAGCTGAATTGCTTTGTATCTGTTTATTCTTCTTCTACCCACTGCAGCCCAAGCTTATCTTGGGTCGAACTGCGAGATCGGGCCATGCTGACAGCAGGAGACGGCGTCAGATCAGATCAGATCAGATCAGATCACATTAGCAGACAACTTGACCAGTTGATACATCAAAATTATCCCGGAATATATATCTCCATGAAAAGTGACACTAACAAAAAAAAAAGAAATGAAATGAAAAAGACAGACCGACAAATAAATACAAGGACCATTAATCCATCATCCACCAAGAGATTCTCCGAAACAAGAAAGAAATAATATACAGTTCCAGTTCCAAGCTTCTATCGATCCCAAACTTCAGCTCTCCCACCTCTAAGCCTCGCAGGTGCATTTACTACCAACCGTTAGCCAATCCCTCTACAAATAGAATCAAATCAAATCAGATCAGATAACTCACCCCTTCTTGCACTTCTTCTTCTTGCACGAGGATGACTCCTCTGTCTCCGTGGAGGACTTCTTCGTCGTCTTGGTCTCCTCCTTAGTCGTGGTCGTCTTGTCGGTCTCCTTAGCTTCGGAGGTGGTCGTCTCTTTCTCGGTGGTAGTGGTCTTCGACTCCTTGGTCGTCGTGCTGGTCGTGGACGTGCTGGTCGAGCTGGTTGTGCTGGTGGTTTCCTTCGCCGTCGTACTGGTGGTGGTCTCCTTGGCCGTGGTACTGGTAGACTCCGCCGATGCGGTCGTGGGAGTGTCCTTTGCAGACGTAGTGGTGGTAGTAGTCTTCTTCACCTCCGAGGACGTGGTCTTTGTGACGGCGGTCGAGGTCGCTGGCGCAGTCTCCGTATCCACAACCTTCGTGCTGCTGCTGTGTTTTATCTCCGCCGATCCCGAGCTATGGGTCTTGGCCTCCGTCTGGGTGAGCGTCGAGGTATGCGTAGTCGGGGTCAGGGCGGGAGGCTTCGAGCTATGCGTCGCCGATATATGAGTCGCGCGGGAGCCTGGCAGCGTTAATGTCCCGTTCTATCATTACGCAAGAAGCAGGTAACTCACTAGTTTCCACCGCCGTGCTTCCCGTGTGCGTAGCCGTCACGGAGTGAGAGTGCGACACAGCGGCTGAAGAAGACGCCGTCGGCGTGCAAGCCGCTACGGAAGACCCGCCGCGCTTTGCAAAAGCGACAGCATCGCCGCCGCTCCAGTCCAGTAGTTGAGTGCTGTCCCATTCCCATGATGCGGTCGGGTAGGCTGCGTTGAAGGCATCCAGGGCCTTGCCGTAGACGTTCTTGACTCCCGCAGCCTCGGTGCTGCTGACCTGTGCCGAGACGGACGAGATGCGGCTGGAGACGGCGGCTGCTTGGGTCTTGACGAACTCCTCCATCCAGCTGGAGTAGGCGCTGGCCCATCCGCCCTCGGGTGAGGGGGAAGCGTTGCATTCTGTGTTCTGTAGGTTGTCGATACCCAGGAAGGCCTTGTAGATGCGGGTGTTCGAGGCCTTGAAGAGCTCGGCGATGCTGCTGTCTCGGAGCATGGCCACCACCACGGCCATCGTGTTCATGATGCTGAGGGCGTTGGACTGGAGGTCATCGCCGGAGCCGGAGGGGGTGGGGAGACCGGAGAGGCTGTCGCTAGCGAACATCTGGAAATCTTAGTGCACTGATATTGCTGATATGGAAAGGAACTCACAGGAGCTTTGTAACTGTTCAAGCGACTGTCTTCAGCCACCACATCCGGGTATGTAATGCTAGGCAGCTACTATCTATTAGCACCATCGGTGAGATTGCTGCAAGTAACTCACATAGCTGTATATCCTCTGCAGCCGCGAAACGTGTTTGCCCTGCTTGTTCGTGAATGAGCTGTCCAGGGTCAGGAACCAGGTCTTGAAATCATCGCAGAAGCCGTATTTTTCGATCATTGCCGTCAAGAAAGAGTCCAAAATCTGCAGCTCGTCTGGGACCGTCAGCTCAACACTCAACCCCAGTACCCAAAATACCATCGTATTACTCACAAACATGGTCGATATTGATGTGAGGCTGATCCGCATTAGTCGTCGTGATCTGCGTTCCCAGAGCGAGATAAGTATCTTTGGCATTCGCCTGGACCGTCTCCCAGTATGCCGCCGTAGCCTTAGGCACATCTGCCGACTGCGCGATAGTGGTATAAGTGGCTGCAGCCTCGCATTCATCCAACTTGGGAATGAAGTAGCCGAGGAACTCCCAGCCTGAGGTCGACTCTTGGATTTTCTGGATGGTCTTGGAACGTGGATAGGGAGGCTTGTAGATCTTAGTCCCCAGGCTGCAAGTTCCCAGTTCGGAAAACACGTCGTGGCCTCGACGCTCAAGGTGATCGATGTGAGAGATCTGCCCGTGGCCCCGTCGCCTCCGGGTCGATGTCGTCGTGGAGTCCTCGTTTTGCTCGGTGTCGTCCTCGGTCAGGGTCGCAGTCAGAAAATAGTGCCAGCAGCTCGCGGTCGCGGTGCTCGCAGCAGAGGAGGCGACAGCCGACGACGCCTCTCCCCGGGCGACAGGGACAGAGGCCGAGGCCAGACTCGAGAGAAGGAGAAGCAAAGCAGCAGCTTTAGGGCCTGCCATGGTGTCAATGGTTGATCGATTGATTGATTGATTGAAGTGATCTCCAAACCACAGGAACTCACCTCTACTTATTCACCTTCTTCACGCGGGATTCTGCACCGGGACTCAACTCATTCACATCCCAGAATACAGTGACCTCGTAAACTTTGGGGGCAATGTGGTTTCACGATGGGGCCAAAGAGGGGGTGCTCGCTGCGATGAGGCTGAGGCGCAGGAACCCGAGCGGGAAGTTAGGGCAGGAATTCCCAGCCCAAGGCCGACGGCGTGCGGCGGCCCCCAACCTAAACTCCTTTATATCACTTCCCCTTCCCCAACCCACCAGTCTCAGCCTTCCTGCCCCCAAGTCTCATGCAACCAAAGTCCGCTCATATGCCGCAGCTTCTTCTTTTGCCCGTGGAGATCCAGGAGGCCATTCTGGCCCAGGTGGACTCGCGAGCCTCCCTCGCCAGCCTTGCGCGGGTGTGCCGGCACCTGCAGCCGCTAGCTGAGCGTCTGCTCTACCAGTCCGTCTATTTGCGGAACGGTGGTGGTGAGACATTTGCACACGCGATTGATCGTGCCCCAGAGCGGGCCACCCATGTCCGAGAGCTCCTTGTTCATTACCACTATGTCGATGTTCCGGACGAGGAGGACTACTACCCGTTGTATGCGGAAAGTTTGGCCCCAACAATTGAGCGCCTCGTTAACCTGAAATCTCTGGTGGTCAAGGGTCTGGAATATGATGCTCCGAGAGATGATGATGATGATATCTTGGGAGGGTATGAGAGGGTTATCGAGGAGGCGAAGAAATGGGACCATCTCTTTATGCAGTCCGCGGTGTCAGGCTCTCGTATTCTTCCTTCCCTCACAAAGTGTATGCCATTCATTCCTGCTGAGTGGGCTTGTGCTGATATTTCAGGTGTATTGGTCATGGATGACCTCGATCGCTCACGAGAACTCTGGGACTTCGACCTGAGGGCGAATGTTATGATCCACCCCCATCTGCGGGACCTCACCATTGTCGGAGCCAGCATTTCAAGTCTATTGTCTCTTGTGACTTCACCTCGCTCGACGGCATTAGAAAATCTGGTCTTGGAGTGTTGTTGTGTGTCTCCCGAAGGTATTCGGGATATCTTCTCGACGCCCCGCGGTTTGAAGCACTTCACACTCAAGGGGGCCCCTTGGACCGATAAACCCTCCTACTTCCCAGGGGATCGACAGACGTATATCGACGTTGTTAGCGTTCAAGCAGACTCGCTCGCGACCCTAGACATGGACTTTCCGCCAGGTCTCGCGAGCAACCCAGCACTGGACTTTCGCGCTCTTCAACATCTACAAGAGCTTACTGTTGACCCAGTAGCCTTGAGGGGAGATGGAGACCTCGACCCGAGGGACAAATTAGACCTATTGAGAAGCCCAGACTTGAAATGCCAGCTTCCTCCGAGCATTCAACGTTTAGTATTTTTCGAGTATTATGAAGGAAAGGTGCCAGATCTGCATACGCTGCTCCTCGTCTACAACTGGATATCGCAGGGAAGCTTGCCCAATTTGCGCAGCATCACTATCAGATCGGGGAGGTCATCTGCGGACACTATCTTGAACAGAGTTTTCGGCGACATTGGCGGACGGACATTCTATGAAGCATTCCAGACAGTTGGAGTGGAGTTGCGGGTTGAGTCAGCGCTGCTCAGTACAAAGGCTGGATATCAACTTTTCGACTGCTCCAGCTGCGGTGTGTGTTGGCGCATTCCAGGGTTTACCTCATTTCCGACGTGGTAGTATGTTTAACAGGTCTGAGCGAGTTAACATATTCTTTGAACCGGTTAATCAGTACTTGGACTGCGTTGATCGTAGCACTTACTGGCGATATCGTATTCCTGTTGCTCTACCCCATGGCATACTCTTAATGGGCTTTTTCAGCCTCATCAGACCCTCCCTCAGGCAACAGCATCGTATTCCACTGTAGACATGATTGTCGGAAGTCTAACGAATGGCACATGAGAAATAAAGTCTCCATGCTAAAATGTGTTGGGGCCAACACAAGCGGCTCAGAGCATTACGAGATTGGGGCCAAGAGCTAAATGTTGACAGGCCCCTGAGCATTATTCCAAGGGCTAGACTTCCGCCCTGGTCGTTTAAACTTGCCTAAAGCAGGGTCAGTCATAGTAAGCACGAGTGAGGATTTCCCCCCGGCAATCTACACAAGGGGGATGTCGTAAGTTACAGTGGGACCTGTAGGGTGCTGCCGGACGGCGATGCAGATGTTGATGCCCAGTTTCACGCAAGTCCCTTGGGTCCGCTTTTCTTGTCTGGGGGTGTTAGTCAGTACCATTGGACTGAAAGAGATTCTGCCCCCAAGGAAGGTGATGGGGATCTGCAGGCTCTGACACGAGTGGGCTTATTGATCCTCGTGATCCTGTCGTTATCAGATAGAAGGCATGCACTGAGTATATCAATCCATAGTCCACCTTATTGGGGTGTCTGGAAACCGCTTAGTCGAGTGGTTCTGCTCGACAGTAGTCCAAGTGGCTACCAACTCAGAAGCACCTTGCTCAATGGATATGTTTCACTAGTGGGTGTACACCTGACGAAGATAGCCACACTTCCTATCGCACAGGATCTGCGGCGTGTCGGAGGATAGCCATTTGATCAAAGTGGTATCCAGGGACCCTCGTGAAATTGAAGGTACCAATTCTGCTGGTGTTTCGCCCTGGTACATATTTACCATCTGGCTTTGATTACCCAGACATGGTTGCAAATGTCAAGATATTGGTGGCACTTAAATGCATGTGGTCTGGTGCTTACTGAGAGTAAGAAACAGTACTGGACTTGGTGCTTTCTTGAGAGGAGTCATGCAGCATCTGAGGCAAGTCCAGACCGACCCCAGTTCCCCGTATGCTTCTGAGATCTGGTCACGAAGAGCCTGTCTAGCGACCAAACAAATGTCAAGTTTACATCGACATTGAGACAGGCCTCGAGTAAATTAGGTAGGGGACAGGATGGTAGAAGGGATGGTAGACAAGGGGAGAGAGAAGAGACGTGAGGACAAGAGAAGCGCAGGGGGGATCTGGCGACGCACAGTCTAACCTGAATGAGGATAGCCCGGGTGATATTACTCCGTCTAGGGAGGTCAGATAGCAAACCCGGTCCAGATTGGGAGATTGGGGTGTTTTAGCAGCGTTATTATTATAGTGGTAGTACTAGCAGTCCAGGTCAGGTCACATAAAGCCTACATGAATCCCAACAACCAGTGCAGAATTTACACACCATCCGGATCCTTGTATCAGAAACATGCACTGGACAACACACAAATTAGCCTGCAAAAGCTAACTAATGCACCCTAGGGCACGATCCCCTCTGTTTGTCCCTCTCGTCCTGGTGTGTTTGTCATCCGCCTCAATCAACCTGTGGACCCAATTGCCTTTTGACAATAACAAAGGCGCAGAACCGCGTGGAAATCTCGCTGGCGCTTGACTCGTCCCTCCTCCCCGGGCTGCATTTCAAGTTGGATTCGCTTCCCACAGTTATACCGATTTACTGGGCTAACTGATCGAGCTGTTGCAGGGAATCATGCTGGTGTTGGATGACTTTTTTTTTCTTCCCGCCGATCACACTCTGCACTCTGCAGGCTTGTCCGAGCCTATTGGCAGGGTTGGGGCTATTCAAGATCATTGCCATCAGGAACTCTCCGTTGGAGCAGAAGATGGTTGGGAGGAAGTGTGACTGTGAGAGGCGCCAGCAGATAAAGTCGGCGGGGGCTGACGCAGGAAGACTTATCACGCAGGAGAATGCGTATCCCCGTCGGACCCTGACAGGGCCTCTTACCCAATATTTGTGAGTCGTTAAAGGGGCTGAAAGGGGGGGGGGGGGTGGTTATAATGTGCTTATCAAGGCTAAATTGACCTCATCTGCACCATATTCAGTCTGCCGAGCACACCGACGATTCCTTCAAACATTCAACCAGGAAACCCGTGGCTCGCAACCTGGGACACCATGCATAAAGACGGTTCTACGTCGCAGGACTGAAGGTATGGTCTGATCTCTGTTGTATAAATTATCTGCAAATAAGCACACATACAGGCATAATTAACACTTTTATATGCTCCTTCCTCGCGACTTCCAAGAGGTATAGTATATATAGTATATTTCCACCCACGCACCACGTCCTCAATTCATCTCGATCTCCACAATGGGACCGGTGTATATCCGGTGTCCCCACACGAAGTAATAGATGCTACTGATGCAGCACGTACCGGCCGTGCCAACCACCGCCCAGTTCATGGTGTTGATGGTCGGGTCGACCACGTCAGGCCAGAAACTGAAGAACACGCCGATGAACAGATAGGCGACACTGAAGGCGTTGACGGCAATCCCCAGGAGCCCAGGGACGTAGAACGGGCCCCAGGCCAGGGGGGCACCGGGGGTGTTGACGATCACATCGATAGGGTGGTCGCCTGCGGGACGGATCCCGCCGGCGCATCGCTTCCACAACAACAGGGAGGCAGAGATAAAGTACGAGCTGTACAGTGCACTCACACACAGCGAGATGACGTCGTTCAGCACGGCCTCGGAGCCCAGGATAATCAGACCAAGGAGGATGGCGAAGACGGTGACGACGAGGATGGAGTAGCGTGGGATGGCTTGGGAGTTGACCTGGAATCGAATTGTTAACTCGTGTGTTCCTTCAACCAGCAACAGCTAGAAGAATCAAAGGGGGAAGAACTCACCTGGCTGAAAAACCTCCAGCCCGGAAGACCACGGTCGCGGGAGAACGACCATACCATTCGCGACGACGAGGCCAGCGATCCCACCGCGCCAGCGGCCGAGATGATGGGCACAATGGCCGACATGACGGTGCTTCCAGCTTTGGAGCCCGTGGCCATGTAGAAGATCTGCATAAAGGGGTAGCCAGTCGGTGAATCAATTGCCTCTTCGAAGTTGGTCATGGTGTACAGGGTGGACAGGATCATGCCAAAACCCAGGGCGCCATTGACAAAGGCCGAGGCGATGATGGATTGAGGCACCACTCGGGCAGCGTTATGGATTTCCTCGCTCATCTGCACGTGGAATCGGGTTAGTTGGGTCGATGCACCATCGGGTCATATGGGAGTGGCCTACATGGACGGCGGCATCGGCACCGGTGAAGGCAAACATACTCCCCATCATGCCGACAAGGAAGGACACTCCCATGCTGGAAAAGCCTCCGTCATTAGTGAAGGTGGTGAAGACTTCGTGAGTCGAGTTCTTCTCGCCCAGGCAAACCAGCGGGATGATGATAGCAAAGAAGCCGATAATATGCAAGATCAACACAAAACTCTCAACCTTGGGCAGATGTGTGCTGATGACGATGTTGAAAAAGACGGCGAAGGCAATCGTGGCCCAGTAAAGGAGCACTGCTTGCCATTGGGTCGCATCGAAGGTCGGGTGGTTGAGAATAATCAGGCCTTGGATCTGAGTGGCAACGAGGAAGGCAGTCGATACAAAGGCACTCAACCAGCCGATCACGATGAGCCATCCTGTTTTCAGTCAGCAGAAAGCACTCAATCCACGGACGACAGGACAAACCAGTGAGGTAACTGAGGTACTTCTGACACCTCTTCGGCGACATCATAGAGACCCAGTGATATTGACCACCGGACGTGGGAGCCCTAAATAAATTCCAGTCAGAGGCAAATAGGAAGAACGATCAGGATCCAATGCCACATACATCGAGACCATCTCCGCCAAAGTTGTGAGAGTCGAAATCGTTCCCGCCCAGACGACAATGAAGCCATACACAGTACCCGCAGATCCACCACTGAACAAGCTCAATTAGCAGGCATGTCGGAATGGACGGACCGATCAACGTACTTTTCTAAAGGGACCGTGAACGTGCTGTCGCAGATTAAACCCGATCAGTATCCATTGCTGGCAGGGGGGACGAAAGCTCTGGAGACTCACGACAACAGACCCTCCCATGTGGCGAGAATCGTACAACTGAAGCCCAGGATGGACAGAAATCCGAACCGACGCTGATGCCTGGGTTAGTCTTCCATTTGATAGTGCCGCGTCACGCAATCGCCCACCTTGAGGATCTCCTTTTTACCCACGCGGCCCAGTTCCTCCTGGTCGTGGACCCGGGAAGTGGAGTTGCCAGGCCCCTTGCCATCGAGAGGCCCGTTGGTCAATTCGAACTCAGCTGTCATGGTGATGTGTCTGCCAGAAGGAGATGGGGAGGGAGAAGGAGGGAAGAGGAGGGAGACACGAGAAGAAATATATTCAGGAGAATGGCAGTCGGTCCTTCAGGGGCGTACCAGCCAGGGTACTCCGGACTCTAACACATGCATGCTTTGCCATGGCACGTAACGGCAGGCCAAGTGGGGAGGGTGACATGGGAGTAAGTTTAGTTGTTTAGTTTTACAACGGGCGACGGGCAGGACCTGGACTGCCGGAGGGTGAACCAAGCATCACACTAAGGCAGATAAATTGCCCGTGCTTCATTAGGGCCGGGGCCACTTTTACTACAGGACTAGCTCACAGTGACTAGCATTTAGCGCCTCTAGCTGGTCGAGCTAGCAAGGGAATCGTCGGTTCGCACCGGCTCCTCTTCCACCACCCACTCTCGAGTCTCGCGAATGATGTGGCTCTGGCTCGTGTGGCTCTGGCCATCGTTCCATTGATCCTGCCACCCCGGGGAGTGCGCCGTCACGGTCGTCTGATTGCTCACTCCGCGGAGACCACTTAACTCTTGCCCCACGGATTTGCCTCTGCTGCCGTGGCTCTGGTAGTAGCCCGCGCGTATTGAATTTTCCCCCTGCAATTTGTAGAGTCGGAGGCCGCTCGATTCCAACCCTTTCAGAAATGGTTTCAGCTGGGGGACGCACGCGACCACAATGTCAGCGCATTGGGTAATCTGCATGCATACGGCAACGCTCCATGGCGCGAGCGTTGGATCTGCTTCGGTAGAGACTCTATCACGGTAAACTAGTCCAATGACAATGGAAATGATAACTCTGTCGCTCGTCAGTGGGTGTTGAAAGTGCTGGGTCTCTGGGAGAAGGCAACGTACGCCAATCGCGTCAGAAAACATGTGAGAACTATGACCTTTTTTTTCCAGTGCATTTGAGTCTGTAGCATGAGCAGCGAGGGAAAGATGATGATGATTAATTCGAGGAAAAGATTGCTGATATCAAAGTAATTCCACCAGGCGTTCTATTCCAGAAGACAGTCAGCTTTATTCTCAGGGCCTGGCAGATTGAAGTTCGCCTACCCGATCAAAACAACGACCCTCGAGCCAGTCCCAGGGCTGCGGCAGATGGCATTGGAATGCAACGGCAAACTCCGCGGTGATAGCCCAAATCACAGTTATCCCTATTATACCCCATTCGATTTTGCGCGTCCGTTGCATGAGAAAGGTTATGAAGGCGAGGGTGCTGAGTTTGGCGAACGTGATGCTGCAAATATACAACATGTCTGCGGCGTAGTTGGACTGGGACTTGGTCAATGCAGATTCCATGGTTTGCCCTGTGTTCTATTACCTTGAGCAACGGCTCCAAATGGCTATCCGGAATCAGACTCCGCTGCATTCCAAAACCATTACTGGCTTCATTTGCAACGCATACTGACTGGAGAATGCAGAACAGCTGTATTTTGATAGGTAGGAAGTCAGTCCCACGTCACAGGCGTTGAATGGCAGGGAACCCACCAGTGACACCAGAATCAGTCCATCATCCAGCGACAACTGGCGGCTGATTACGTATTTGATTCCCACGCGCGTGAACACGGCCAAGGCAGAGATCACCATAAGTAACCAGGCCATTATCGAGACCACTGGGGACAGGTTTGTCGGTGTGACCTTGGACGGCATTGTTGCGACAGGCCGTGATGTCTATCTAGAAAGTAGCCAAAAGGAACCCCCGTGAGGGTGACCATATTCCTTTCCACTATCTGTAACACTGGGTTGGAAAATAGTGATATGGGTTGGAAGATAGTGGTGGAAACAGGGCTAGTGCGTGTTAGTAAAGTGAACCTCTATCATCATATCATGGGGTGAGATGTGGAAATTACCAACCGGGGTACTGGAACACTAAGGCCCGGGCTAATATAAGTATAGTGGCCGGATGGGAACAATAGATTGTCTTGCCTTGGGCCTCGGCCAGTGCTCTCTCGCTCCCCTGCCCCCTGCTCATCCTTCCTTTTTTGCGCCAATCATGACCATTCTCACCCGCGACGGAGCGATAATCGGGGCAACAGCGTCGTACACCTGGTATCGAATCTACGGGCATCTCGATACCTCTCCGTCCGCCTTCCCCCTGTGGTCTGTTGATCGGCCTGCACGGTGCACCCAATTACTTGCATACTAAATGCCACGAGCGCCCCCCCCCCCCCCCCCCGACAGCCGTTGCCCCAGAAGATCTCGTGATTTTTTCATGCCCCACTGGTACCCTGAGAACGCTGTGGCTTCTCTATCGAATGATTCCCAGCAAGTTGCAAAATCCGCTTCAACATTTGGGGGTAACCCGGAGTTCTGACTTCCTGGACCGCTGCGGGGGTCGATCCGGCGGCCCGCCGGGCTGCGCCGCATGAACCTTTTGGATTGTGTAGCGCGTCCGCCGTCCGTCGCCTTGTGGCATTTCACTCGCCGGCGGACCACGCTACCCCTGAACGTGCAGGAGACATTGGATCGCTTGGAGGCAAAAGGCTGGCTAGATTCGGCCGAATGCCTGGTCTGTCCGCTGTCGTGCCCAGGCGTGGCCGGAAGAGCGTACCTATGCAAAGTGTGGTCTGAGGCCAAAGGAATCGATCCCACTGTAAGTCTGTAACAGTCGACAGATGGTTTGCTTATCTCGCTTTCTGGTTTGAATCCACTGGCTGCCTCTGATTGGACTTTTCGTCTCTCGAGGACTGGATCGTCCCCACCAGATCAACGGGCCAACGCCGCCTATCTATCTGGCATCAAGACAGCGGGATGGATTTTGTTTTTTTTTTTTTTCGGGGATCGCACGGGTAACGTAGATTTCGCTAGCTGAGAGCGGACATTGTATCCGGTTTGACGAGCCAGAACGATGTCCGGCTGTTGTCTGAGGATGGTTGAATAATCAAGTTGAATTGGAGAGTCCGACAGCCACGTCGCGCTACGCCAATATCATCCAGTCTTCTCCGCCCTTTAAATTAGTGCTTATGCCAGGCAGAACTCAACATTTACCGCCCAAGTCACGTGTGCCTTTTGGCCTGTATGTTCAGGCTGACTCGTCGCCCCCACCAGTCTAACAAACTGCCCCAATCCCACAAGATAGTACCTTTTTATAAAGACTTGTACAAAAGATACTCATACAAGAAGTTGGATTCCTCACCCATACTATAATATAGCCACACGATACTCCGTATATATAAATTCTAGGATTATCATTCTAGATATGTGAAAGAGGTATAACTGCTGCTCTATAGCAGTAAATAATAGTCAGTATGCAAAATCATGAAAATAACTGAACCCATCCTAAGACCTGACATCTTGAGAACTCGCTTATAATATTATTCCCTTCCTATATGATAAGACTATATGGAGTATGGATAGGCAATAATCCTTCGCACTGTTCCTGAAAGCCTAACTCTGAGCTACCCAACATTCTTTGCCAAGTACCTTTTGTATGGGAACCCCATACAAAAGGTACCAATTCATTGTGGCAGGACCACTTGTTGGACCCCACCTGCGGACGCAGGCGAAGAGTGCATCGCTTATTAACATAGGGATTAACTCAACCGAGTGCATTTAACTTGTCTGCGCATGGACGGAGTATAGATTATCCTTTTGATGCGAGCTTGCGACTAATATCTGATCCTGTCAGAAATGGGACCTGACCCCTGAACTAACCGACCCCTTCCCATGCCGCTCCAGGGCCGCATGCTCAAAATAGCTCTCGACGACCTTCCAGCCGAAGGGTCCCTATTTGTGTTCATGGATCCTGCCAATCCTCCGTGAAGTCTTCCTGATACTCGTAGTCTTTCTTGTGTGATCGGCCACATGTGTTGTATCTGGGTCTGTGTGTGTGTGTTGATCTCTTATATGTGCCTGTCACTTGCCTTTGCAGTTTTTGAGAGCTCTAGACGATTTCAACTTGTCCATTTTTCGTAGATCGGGGCGTCCACCATCTGCTTGAATCATTGATATGTTCTCCAATAGCGAGTATGAGTGTCGAATGATTCGGGTTTCCAGGTCACAGTGCAATGTAGAGTTTTCCTGTCAATTTTATAGACTTAATGGGTGAATCTTGTGTCAGCTCTTCTACAGAGTACAAAGAAACCTCCTATTTAGAGAGCATACAAGGCTAGGCCTGGTCTAAATGAGCCTCCTCCATTGGCCAGATCGTCGGTCCGTTGCGGGCGATCCGGGCCCGATGAATCGCGCTCTCCCATTGGACAAGATGGTCGCCGTCACGGCGTCGCGGGCTCGGAACGAAATACGTCCCTGCGATTGGCTGCTGCATCTACACCCATTGAGTCGTCGAGGAAGTATAAAAAGAGAGAGAAATGGATAAACCATGGCAGTAGAGCACCAGACTACTACCTCACTTGACCTTCCTTCCATCTCAACATGAGTGACGAGAATCCAAGTGCTTCCAAGGAGAGGATCGCGCCTTTCCCTACGGAAGACCTCGAAGCCGCCAAAGCAACAAACGAGCCATCCCCCGACATGGAAGAGAACAAAGACCCCAACCTCGTCACATGGAACGGGCCCGATGACCCAGAGAATCCCAAGAACTGGCCCAAGGGCTCGCGATGGAAGAACACCTGGACCGTGTCCCTCTTCGTCTTCATTTCGCCCGTCTCGTCGTCAATGATCGCCCCCGCCATGCAAAATCTCGGTAAGTCCCTGGGCATGCACAGCGAGATTGAGGTGTACCTGTCCATGGCGATCTTTATCCTCGGGTACGCTATCGGTCCCATCTTTTTCGGGCCTGCGTCGGAGCTCTATGGCCGTGTGCGTCTGCTTCAGGTCAGTAATGTGTGGTATTTGGCCTGGAATATGGGATGCGGGTTCGCCAAGACGAAGAGTCAGCTTTATGCTTTTCGCTTTCTTGCGGGCATTGGTGGCAGCGCGCCACTGGCAATTGGGGGAGGAGCCATCAGGTAAGAGGACGGAACCATCGAGAGCCCCCTACTTTGCTAACATGTTCTCCAGCGATATGTGGAGCGCTGAAGAACGCGGCAAAGCCATGGGCGTCTATACTCTTGGCCCACTGCTTGGACCCGTCGTCGGACCCATTGCCGGCGGCTTCATTGCACAGTACTCGACATGGCGGTGGGTGTTCTGGGCAACTTCCGCCGCTGCCGTCGGGGTGCAGGCCGTTGGGCTCATCTGGCTGCGCGAATGTCACCCAGGCACACTCCTCCGCAAGAAGCGCGACCGCCTTGTCCAGGAGACGGGAAACCAAAACCTGCATACCAGCGAGAAGGTCGAGTCACTCGCGTATAAGCTCATCCATGCTCTTGAACGACCAGTGCTCCTGTTCACCACACAGCCCATCATCTTCTGCATGGCCATCTACATGGGGTATCTCTTTGGAATAACTTACCTCATGCTCGCGACATTCCCCGGGATCTGGGACGGAGTCTACCACGAGAGCCCCAGCATCGGCGGACTCAACTACCTGTCCATCGCCATCGGGTCATTTGCCGGTCTCTTTTTCAACCTCAAGCTCGTCGACCGCATCTACAGGGCCCTCAAGGCGCGGAACAACAACGTCGGCAAGCCTGAATTCCGCATGCCGTCGTTAGCCGTGGGCTCTGTCATCAGCACCATCGGCCTCTTCTGGTACGGCTGGAGCATCGGACACACGCACTGGATCATGCCCAACATCGGTGCTCTGATCTTCACGGCTGGTACTATCTCCTGCCTGCAGGGCATGCAGACGTACATTGTCGACAGTTATCAGACATACGCTGCCAGCGCCATGGCAGCTTGTGCTATTCTTCGCAGCTTGGCTGGCTTTGCGTTCCCGCTCTTCTCGTCATATATGTACGATGATCTGGGGTATGGGTGGGGGACTAGCGTGCTGGCATTCATTACCATCGCCATTGGCTGGACAGCGCCTTTCGCCTTTTGGCATTTTGGACCCAAACTTCGGGCCGTTTCCAGATATGCCGCTGGCTAAGATAAGAGAATGTCGAATGCACCCCAGGTGATGATTGGCAGAATGAAAGAAATGCGCAATGCCAACAACTGGAGCGAGGCAGGCCATGCCGCCTGTGGCTTTCGGGTAAGCAACGCCTCCCGGGATCCAATGCTGCGAGTAAGAACCTTGTTCGTGAAATGATCTCCACTCATCTATCTTGGTATGGTAATTAGAGATGCTATTAATCGCATAAAAGTAAATAATAATAGACAGTCCCCATTTCTGTGAAAAGTTCAGATCGAGATACAATCAAAAATGTAAAAGAAAGATCGAGGCGTGAGTCTCCAGACCTGGAGAGAGCGGAGATGGATGGATGTCGGCCACGCTCCGGATGGACGCGAAAAGCAAAGCGGGCCGTAAATCACGTGACATAAAAAATTGTCAGGGCCGAAGAAAAAGAAAAAACAGAAGCCCAACGCGGGGGTTGAACCCGCAACCTTGAGATTAAGAGTCTCACGCTCTGCCGATTGAGCTAGCCGGGCTGTTGTTGTGGTGTCTGACGTAGATGTTACATCTAAGAGCCTGGCTATAATTTTAAAGCCTATCATTACCCTTATGTGCACTTGAATTCAATGATTCTCAACCAAACTATGGAGTAGTGGTATAGACTTGGTACTATACTCTGGACTGGTTTTTGGCTCTTGTTGGATATTGGATAGCCACTGCGCTATATTTTGTGTATGTTTGTTGCATTTGTGATGGCAGGGTCTGGAAATATGATATATATCCTGGCAAGTTACTATTCGCCCCGCCGCGAATAATCCGTAAAAGCAGAGAGAGATATGCGATCCCGTAGAATAATGTCAAAATTAGTAGCCACTATCCCCACAAATCAAACCTCAACCAAAGTCTAGTGGAAAAAATCTGTTGAAACCCCCATCAAAGCTCTCCTTTATTACCCACATCAACTTCATAAACCCACCCATAGGATAAAACTGCCAATCGCTCCGTTCCCTCAGAATGATTTCCTTTCGACGATCAATCAAGGGCAAAAGAAAGCTATTGCGTGATCTCACAATTTAAATATGGCCCTAGCTTAAGTCCCGAAACTGTGCTCGATTCGCCGGTGGAGATTGGGAACTGGACACTCGGTACGGAGGATCTAGATAGGAACCGGAGACCAAGCCCGTGCCAGCTTGGACTCTGGAGCGATGAAACAAGACTGGCAGCGGGAAAGAAACAAGCCCGTATTCAATGAATGCGGGAACAAAAATTACAAGCCAACCCGGCTAAGAGAAGTTCCGCTGACGCATGCACCCAGTCCAAGTGTCTGCTAGCCCACTTCCCGGATTCCCCTAAGCAAACATTATCCTAGTAGCCCCGAATGCCTCTCCGTATTGTGCGTGGAGATACGGAGTAGATATTCAGCACACATACGTAGAATAGGTAAGCGGGGAGTAGCCGAACACCCCCTCATCTAAGTAGGTGCCTAGTTGTAGAGGTCCTGCCAAGCACTTACCACGACGAATACCAGGAAAAAAGGCTGCTATGGTTTACCGGGGGATGGCGGCCACATAGTGCAGGGGTATTGAGCCACGAAATGCATGAATACCGTTGTGTACTGCAGGTCCCTGCATAGTACACTGTTAGTATATAAAAGTATTTAAAAATGGTCCAAAACACACCTACTATCCACTAGTTACTATTTTACAGACGTTGGTCTCAAACAATGACATCAGAAACACTGCTTATCTTATCGGAACCAAGCAACGTCGGGCTGGTAACTCCGCGGTAACACCGCGGCAACTCCGCAAATTCGCAACCGCAACCATCACCAACCATTATAAACTACTCTCATCATCAATCCATCACCAACCCAGCACCCACCATCCCAAAATGACCAACCCCACCACCATGAAAGCCTGGCTATACAGCCAAACGACCGGCGGGCTGGAGAAAAACCTCACCCTGACGACCACCGCGCCCGCGCCCCCGGCCCTGAAAAACAACCAGATCCTGATCCGGGTGCTCACTGCAGCCCTGAACCCCGCCGATTACAAAGTGCCCGCGATGCCCATAGTCAACAGGCTGCTGATCAGCAAGCCCGCGAGCCCCTGTATCGACTTCGCAGGCGAAGTAGCCGCCACAGGGGCCGGCGTGTCGGAGTTCACGACCGGGCAGATTGTGTTCGGGGATTTGGGGCTGCCGACGAAGTTTGGGACGTTGGGGGAGTATGTTGTTACGGTGGCGGAGAATCTGTGTGCGGTGCCGGAGGGGGTGGAGGTTGATCATGCGTCGACGGTGGGGGTGGCGGGGCAGACGGCGTGGCAGTCGATTGCGCCCTATGTGACTGCTGGGGCGGGGGAGAAGGTGCTGATCATTGGGGGCTCTGGGGGGTGTGGGACCTTTGCGATCCAGATTGCCAAGGCGTTGGGGTGTGTGGTCACCACGACGTGTTCGACGAAGAATGTGGAGTTTGTGAAGTCGTTGGGGGCGGATGAGGTTATTGATTATACCACTGAGGATGTGGTGGGGGTGTTGAAGGCTAAGGGGCAGGTGTTTAGCCATGTCGTCGATCATATTGGTGAGCCGGCGGACTTGTATCGCGAGAGTGATAAGTTCTTGCTGCCTGGGAAGGTGTTTGCGCAGGTGGGCGCGAATTGGATGCCCTTGTTTGCGGTGAGGTTGCTGAGGCCGGCGTTTTTGGGTGGCGGAAGGAGGAGGTATGTGCCTCTCTTCTGGAAGAGTAGTAAAGAGGATTTGGGGAAGGTGGGGGAGTTGATTAAGGAGGGGAAGGTGAAAGTTGTCCTTGACAGTGTGTTTGAGTTTGAGGATGCGCCGAAGGCGTTTGAGAAGTTGAGGTTGGGGAGGGCGAGGGGGAAGATTGTTGTGCATGTGGCGGAGAGGGAGTAGATTGATTGTCATGAACGGGGTTTAATGTGAGGAAAGTCGTGTATTTCATAAAGCTATGGACTTTTTTTTAACTAATTACAGTGCAAGTCAACCCCTTATGAGTCAGTTCGTTTCAAGAATGTCAGAGCGCCCGCAGCCATGGCATCCACGGCGGTCTGGAGAGTGGGCTCGATCACCGGCGCAAAAAACGGCGAGTGATTGCCAGGGAGGCCTTTTACAGTCCCCTTCTTGACGGCATCGTCCCAGGTCTGGGGGTCAACCCCGCCATAGGTCCACATCACGTACGGGGCACCCACGGCTCGAGCTAGTAAGGAGAAATCCTCACTGGCAGCTGCGGGCTCCGAGTCCACGAGTCGCTCCTTAAAGTATGACCCAAAAGTCTTCAGCAGGGCCCGCACGGTAGCATCGTCGTTGATGGTAGCCGGAGTGGAGGTAACGTGGTCAATCTGTGGCTCCCTTTCACAGCCCGCTGCCTCGCATTCAGCATGAATGATCCGCTTGATCGCAGCGATCACCCGTTCACGGACTGACATGTCAAACGTTCGAATACCGAGCTTGATGTCCAGAGTGTCCGGGATGATATTGGCCGTCTGACCGGACTGGATAGAGCCACAAGTGACCACGGCCAGTTCGCCCGGTACCACCTCACGGCTGACGACGGTCTGCAATTTCATGACTATGGCAGCTCCTGTAACAATGGGATCGATGCAAAGATGCGGCGTCGAACCATGACCACCCTTTCCGAAAATACGGACGTTGAGCACATCCGCAGCCGTCAGGAGGCGGCCAGAGCGGATGTTGACCGTGCCCGCTCTCATGGACATGAGATGCTGCGCCAACACCACGTCCGGCTTTGGGATTTTGTTGTACAGACCATCATCTAGCATGGCCTGTGCTCCTGATACGAGTTCCTCCGCTGGCTGAAAGATGCAGATGAGGGTTCCAGACCAGTACTTTCGAGCAGAATGGAGGAGGGAAGCGCTGGCCATCAAGCTCACAACATGGGTATCATGACCGCAGGCGTGCATCACCGGCACCTCAATTCCCTCGTTGTTCTTGGCCGTCTTTGTGCTGGCGTAGGGCAGTCCTGTCTTCTCTTGCACTGGTAGTGCGTCCATGTCGGCTCGGAGCAGCACCGTAGGTCCGTCTCCATTTTTGAGGACACCAGCGACCCCGTAACCTCCAATGTGGGTGTGGACTTCAAAGTCGAGCGTCTTTAGATGGTCTGCGGCGATGGCGGACGTTTCTTTCTCGCACAACGACAATTCGGGATTCTGGTGGATCTGGCGATAAATACCCTCAAACGGCAGCAAATTCGGACGGCACTCTGCAAGGATGTCCCCCAGACCCTTATCCGAGGGTGTGACTACGTCATAAGTTGTTGTTCGAAGAGGGAATTGGGGGGGGGGAACAATGGTGTCGTCACATACCTGTTAATTTGAGCTGCATGCTGAGTCCTTGTGCAGAGTTAGTTGCGTGGAGGTCGGGACGGAGGGGCTTCTGGGCATTTTAAGGGCGACCGGAGCTCCAACTCGAACTTCTCGCCGATCGCGAGGGGCGGGGATGACCCAGAAGACCGAAGCTGGCAATTGCAAGATAAGCTACCGCGATCGCTGGGTTTGGTGGGGCGTCCCAGTTATAGTTCGGCGCGAACCCTTCCCCTTCTGGCCGGTGTCGGCTAATGGGCCAGTGCCAGTTGGACCCTGGATCTGGTCGGCTACATTATCAGCTCTGATCAGAGTGATACACGGCGTCGTGCATAAAATTCCTGATTTTGTGCGGTGGATGGGTATGGTGGGACCGTGGGCCTGTCCAGGTATCAGTATCCACGCCAACGCATCGTCATTTTTTATACGCCGAAGGAAAAGGAATTTGACATATCGTGTAAAATATGGAGTATTGACAGACTCAAGATCAAATATCGAGCAGAATGATATGCACCAGGGTCAACGCTTGAATGTACCTCGACTGTTTGTCTACTGTAAAGGAGTACAGCAGGAAGTACGTAGAGCTGACCCCCGTACGCGATGACGTAACTACACAAGCATAAACACAAGCACAAGATGCTATACATTGATCTACCAAGGAACAACCTTCATCTCACCATCCACAAACTGCCAGTATGAGCCCCCCTCATACGTATCTTCATCATCCCCCAGCAGCTGCACAGCCACCTCAGCCCCATCCTCCGGCGACCGGCCATTATCCCAATAGTTCGTGAACGCCGTCTTGAGCAGCCCCGGCGCACACGCATAATACCTGATGCGCGGCTTTCCATTTCCGCTCGTACCCTCAGCTTCAATGCGATCATTCTCCGCGACCTGCATGTGGACGGTGAGACCATTCAAGCCGACCTTGCTGGCCCCGTAGGGCGGCGTGCGACCCATCTTCTTGGTCAGGGTGTTCTGGATGCTGCCCAGGCCGGAGGAGATATTAATAACCTTGGGTGCGGCAGATTTGTACAGCAGCGGCGTGAAGGCCGTGGTGACGACGGCGACGGATGTGATGTTGACGTTGAGAATGTCGTTGTAGGCGGCGCGGGCGGCGGAGAGGTCGTCGGGGGAGGGGACACGGATGATGCCGGCGTTGTTTATTAGGACTGTTGGGGATGAACTGTTATTATTATGGTAGTTGGAAAAGAATGTTGCGAGAGCCAACTTACCATCTAGTCTACCATACGTGGTAGTAACATGGTCGACAAGCTCGATGATCTGCTGGTCATTGGTAACGTCCAACTGGACTAAATCGATCTTAGCAGTGAGGCCCAGATCTCTCAACTTCTGGACCGCCTGCTGTCCGGCATTCAGACCGCGGCTGCAGAGAATGTAGGTATGGTTTGGGTGGCGCAGAGCAGCGACCTGGATGATGGCGAACCCCAAGCCTTGGTTGGCCCCGGTACAGAGGATCACTTTATCGGACATGATTGAGTGGAAAATCTTCGCAGCTGCTTGACTCGGAGAGATAGAGAAGGATGAGACTGGCTGAACTGGCTACTCTATCCCATGGCAAGCTCTCTCTTTATAGCAGACAGCAACTGACTAGGTCAGGCGAACACAAAGAGGTATGGAGCTGGACGGAAGAGGAAATCGGAGTTTAGCGGAATTAAGCCGGGAATAGGCACGTACGCTGTGCAGGAGACAGTGTACTTGGCTCTTAATAATCAAATGGATAGAAGAAGGAAGGGAACAGAAGAAAATTGTATTGTATAGATTTATAATATGATTCGGTATGCCGGACCCCTCGTACAGATGCTGCCGCTTTTATAAGGCTAATTACTAGTACAAGCTCAGAGCTACTAGGGACTATATTTACTTACCTCTACTATGAATAGTAATGGGGGCAAAGAAGTACTTATTTGAGGGCCTAGCGGGGAAGGTCAATGTAAACGTGGGGGTGGGGGGCTGATTCCCTACTTTGCCCCATATGTGGTACAGTATAAAAAGAGCCCCCTGTACTCTATTCCATTCTCATCCTATATATACAAACCGACTTGAAGTATTTCTTGGCTTAGCACTCGGTTTCCTTCCTTAATAACCCTTTTCCTCCCTCAAGAATAGTTGCAAAATGCCTAGAAATCTTGCGAGCAAGAATATAAATGGCTGAGAGAGACCTGAGTCGAGATACCGATGACTGGCTCGCAGAATAACTGTGGATCGGAGATATTTGGGGGGGGGAGTTGATCTGTTAGACTCAATCGCAGCAGCACCGCCGCGGAAGACCCCCTGACCGTGTAGCTGAAATAATTATCAGCCAGACACCTATCTAGACGGGAAGGTGTCAAATTCGTTCCGAGCGTATTCGATGAACTAGAATTACCGCAGCGATAGAGAATCACTATCTCCTGGATGAGGATTGGCACTCTAAACGGTGTCGGATGAAGGGGAGTGGCAAGAATTGGGAAAGTGCTGAGCCGGGGGGTGGTGGTCACCAGCGCTCTATAAATCAAGGCCTACATCCTTTTCCTCGGTGTCTATCCTCCCAGTCGACTTATCCTTCTGTCACATGCCTTCGTGATGCTGGGAGAAGCCATATTCGCCCTGCTGGGCCCTAGCCCCCTCAGCAGCTTCCTCATCCTTATTCTCTTCGTCGCCGTAAGTGGACTCGAATAAGTCCGATTCCATTCACACTGACTTCCCCAGATACCCGGCTATTTTGTCTACCAAACCTGGCTTCACCCGCTGGCTGCCTACCCAGATCCATTCCTAGCCAAGCTGACCAATTTCTACACGCTTCTGCACGCCATCCGTGCCGGCCGCTATGAATATCTGTACCGACTCCATCAACGCCATGGGCGAGTTGTGCGCATTGGTCCGCAGCGTCTGTCAATCCTCGATGCGGAGGCCATGGGGCCTATCTACGGCTTCCAAGCCAACGTAAAGAAGTCCAACTTCTACGAAGAGTTCCATGGGATCAGCACCTTCAATGAGATCGACCCCAACAAGCACGCCCGCAAGCGACGCGTCTTGTCACACGCCTTTTCCGACCAGGCTCTGCATGGGATGGAGCCGCACATCCTATCCGCCATCCTCACCCGCCTCACCACCGCAATCCGCACCGCCTTCCCCACCCTCGTAGACATCGTCGCCGGCCCCCGTCTCATGCAACTCAGCTACCTCCGCGCCTGCATCGAAGAGAGCATGCGTCTCTGTCCCCCCGCCCCATCGGATCTACCCCGCGAGGTCCTCCCCGGCGGACTCCAAGTCGGAAAATGGCATATCCCCGCCGGGACAGTCGTGGGAGTACCCGCGTACCCACTTCACCACAGCGAGGAGTACTTCGACCGCCCATTTGTCTATGATCCGAGTCGGTGGTTGTTGCGGGGCAGCGAGGGTCTCCTAGATGGGCCGACTCCTTTGTAGCCTGCCACCAGGTCACACACGGGCACGCGGGGGTAACCCTACGCTCTGGTCTGATTCTAGATCTACTATTCATCCAGGACATTGGACTGATCACTGCTATGTAGTGACACTTTTGCCTGCCATGGAGAAGCTCCCTGCCCTTGGTTACACTTCTCCCCGCATATCCACCGGGCAACCCCTGCAGACCCGGCCAAACATGCTCTTCAACGCCTCAGCTTTATAGATATTCACTCATCCTGAAACATTGTACACCCCATGGCTTTTCAAGGAGCCATTTCCCACGCGGGATAAAGAAGTCACCTCGATTCTTCGGGACACTAAAGTCACGGTGTCAGTCTTTTGTCTCATACTTCCAACGCAACCAGAAGAAATTCGACATCGGTGAATCCAGATACACCATTCAATTAGTAAACAGCACCAATCAGACATGAGTAGCATATTAGCAGTTCTTTGAAATATACCCCACCATGTAACCATTGCCTCGGTCAGGTAGGATCCATACCGTCTCTCTTCCCCATGGCCTCCATTCCCTCCAATACATTCATCATGCCCCCCTCAAAGCTGTCTATAAAAACCGTGTCAAGCTTCTGTCTTCCTCCCCTTTCTCTTTTCTCCTCCCCACCGCTCTTCCAACTCACCCACCTCATTTCCTCTTCTTCAAATATCAACACCCATATTCACTCACCATGAAGCTCCTCAAGCTTCTCGCTCTCTCCCTCCTCGCCACCCTGGCCAGCGCAGTCGCCATCCCCGAGGACACCACCTTGATCCCCAAGAGCCCTCTTGAAGAACGCGACCCCAAGAAACACCGTGACATGTGCGGCCAGTTCTGCGTGGGCCCCAACAGCTGTCACGGAAAGTGCTCCAAATGCGACATCCACAATCTCTGCTCTGCGTAAAGGTCTGCCATCCCATCCACCCCGTCGGCTGCTCTGTTCTTGGCTTCTCTAACCAATCCATACAATATACAGAACGAACCCACCACTCTCTCCTTCAACTCTGTTCTTCGATTCCAGCCCACGCGGTAAGCATCCCTCCATCCCTCCCTTCCTACCCAACCGCTCCAACACTAATCCTCATATACTCAGACAATAATCCAAAGCCTCATCGAGATCCTCACACGCCTGCTGGACAGGTGCAGTAGATTTCTCTTCGGGGACGATGTGATCGAATGGGGCGAGTGGCTGGAGTGGATGGAGAGCGAACTCTTCTTTGGCGATGAGAATTACATGCACTGGATTCGGAAATGACATTGCTGGGTCTACTGGGCTTAGACGGGGTCTGGGTTGGTGTGCCGGGCGGTTGTTGGGATCTGGATACTTGCGTTGTTGTTCTTTAGTTTGTTATTTCATGAGTTTGAGATTTGCTACTTTGATTGTAGAGGATTAGGGCTTAGACTGATGTATTGCTGTGTAGGGTTGGAAGGGGGAAGTGGCTCTTTAATAAGGGCAAGTTCGATGTTTAAGGGAGTGGCTTGCTCTTCTGTATCTCATTGCACGGAGGGTCGGTGGTAGATACGATGCTTGCAAATATCACTGGTAGGTGCTCAGGAGGTGGAGGGATGGAGTCAGTAGAGAGCTTCTTATAAATCGTTGTCAGCGACGAGTTAACTCCTCATCTTCTTTCATCCGGACCTCCTTTGTGGTATGAATATAGTCAGCCAACCCTTTGAGACATTGGGTGTTGCCTACCAAGTCAGGCAGACATGAGTTGGTCCTATCAACCATGACGTGAGTATGATTGAGCTCCGCGGGATTGTATTGACGATGCTGCCAATGTTAACTGGACTCTTCTTCTTCTTCTTCTTCCTCTTCTTCTTCCTCTTCTTCTTCTTCCTCCTCCTCAGACTCCCCTACCCAATCCTTCTCATGCGTCACCCCCTCCAAAAACGGTGGCTCCTCGATTTGCTTCTCCGCAACCGCCAGATCACCACCAACCCAACCAATCCAGGTAATCCACCAAGCCATCAAATATCACATCAGATCCCAGATGGTGGGTGTAAAAGATCCGCCATTTCCACTCCCCACATTGCCTCGAATCACCCACAAACTGTGTGCCGACTACGGGGGAAGATTCCGCCTTCCAGCGACAGTAACCATACGCACAGAACATCTGACGCCTGGACTTCCAACGCGCGGTCAAATCCGATGCAGTGGTTAACAGCGTCTTCGACAGAGAGAGATCCCAAGCCTGCATCTTTTGCCCGTCATGAATGAATCAGCATCAAGCTAACTGTGAAACTTCCGGCTAGGTGAACTTACTCTCGCCATCTGGCCAGATACCCCAGCTCCCACACAGCCCTCCTACATCGATCACCCGAAGGTCTGGATCTTGGATTGCATCACAATGATGTAAAATGGCCAGGTACTCTTCTGGGAGGTTGACGCAAATATTCCCGCTGTTTAGGTTCTCAGAATACCGGATATGCGCATTTATCTGCTCAGACAGCACCGAAAATAGCTCAGCTCGCTTCTCTTCCGGAACGGGGGGACAGATAGACCCCATCCAGATCGATATCTGGGGTCTTTTCAATGGCCTCCCAAGGAGAATCGAAGATCTCAAAGAGGAATCCAATCGTCTGGACGGTATTGATGAATCTCCGCTTGGTCCGACCGGGTGTGAGATTACTTCCTTCGATGACGCGGACTAGGTCGCGCAGATAGGCCCGATTATTGATGAGAGACATCAACAACTATTCTCGTCTAACATATATCGTGGTAGAGTGGTGCCTTCCACTCGCTGGACGGAAAGCCCATTGTTGAAATCAACGTTTGGTGCAATTTGACTGATATTCGACTCCCTATCAGACTTCCACAGTTAGGAATTCCTCCTCTGCGACCCTCTCTTTTCAGGGCCAATTCTTCTTATTCGTTTGGCACTGCTTCTGTCAATTCAATACAACCCCCATTCCAAGCCTTCACTCATTATCCAGGAAACACTAAATTCATTCCCCACCAAGCAAATCACCGTAGAAGACAAAGCCATTGAATAGGCTATAGTCACTGACATGGCGCTCCCCCATCACACATATTTAAACAGTCGTCCGGCTCGCAGATTCCATCCTTCTTTCATACCCCAACTTCATACATGCCTCGCCTCCGGCCTCTGATCTTTAATATATTATTTCCTATATACCTGTCCTCCAAACCCAGCGATAAGTTAGTTTTTGAGGTCCATGTTTTAAATAAACTACATGGCCAAAATCCATATATCCAGAAAAGACCCGCGTTACCATGTTCTGGCAACTCAGTGCAAGCGACTATATACGCCATGGGAGAGCTCTCTCGGGTTCCACTACCTTATCTATTTAGCCGGTTCCGACACAATACACATTTCGTACGCTCTAAATCAAATAATGGTCTCTGTGGAACAACAGGCCCTATGCTGCGCTGGTTGCAGCGCAGGAACAGATCCACAAGTGAAAATACCAATCGGAGGCTGGGAGTGAGCTCGTTGGATACGATGTACCAAGTTTAAATCGGGCACTTCCAAGGCTGCGACAAACTAGCTGATCCCAAAGCATCGGGTGGCTGTACTCAAGCAAACGCTCCGAGCGAATGCGACCCATGGAAGAACTTCAGTACCATCACACGTCGCCGTGATTGATCTTCCCAGAGGAGCCAAGGCGATGCAGCTTATCGCCCACGAGTGCCGAGACTCGAGTTCCTCCACAATTTCTTTTTCTTTTCTTGTTTTTTTTTTTGGCTTTCAAACTAGCCTTTTGATAGGTATAGTCGAACCTTCCACGACTATGACGATGAATCTCAGGGCTTGAGAGTATATCCTTGTTCGAAACCCTTTTGCGGCTGGCTCATCTTCGAAAGTCTTCTAGTTCACGCCTCACAAAGCTTGTTTGCGGCCTGTTCCTAGCGAAACCCTTTTGCAGCTCGTTCCTGGCGAAAAGAAGGATCAATATGTTGTCGTCCGATTTACCGCTCGTGGCAACGAAGTTCTGCGCCAGCTCTGCCATACTGATGTTCAAAAGGAGGTATGGCGATTCCCGTCGTACGAGTTCATTATACGCAACGGTTCTCTGTCTGTTGCTCAGGTAAGGACCTGTTTCTGTATCCTGTACAGACACAGCTAATATATATTGTGATTCTTTTTCTTGTAGTTGAAGACAGGGCGCCCGTCGTATGTGAATGCCATTCTGATCGCCTCTCGCGGTGTGCGGCAACCCGCTCCTTGTAACAACATCACTCATTCTGTCTTTTTCAAGAACATACGACTTCCAGGCTTTTGGGATGGGTGCTGTGCCGGCTGTAAATGGAAGGACCACGGAGCGAGATGCGCGTACGCTAGCAAAGGAGAGGTGAAATACCAGCCCGCGAGTATTGCTGCTCTCCCGCGAGCCATTATCGAGAAGTTGAAGGATTAAGTCAGCCGGACGAAGAAGTTCTTTCTGTTTTTTTTTTTTTTTTTTTTTTTTTTGAAATAGGGATATTTTCTCAGTCTCCCTCTTGTCTTTTTCTTGTTTTGTTGAACTAGATTATATTTTCGATCTGTCGACTGTCGTCCGAAAATTTAGTGATTATTTTTATGCTTTAACCAGTTGTCAAGATTCTTAACTTTATAATAGATCATATATCTTCTTCACACTATCTCATATAACCAACCCCTTATACTAAGTAAATATATATTTTAATAAATTTTTAAAAAGAATCTACTAGTAATTACTAAATAGAAATTCTTAAATATCTATATTATTAATATTACAATTTTAAAAAATATTACTTCTATCTTTTACTAGTATTCTGTATCTGTGTCTTAGACTGTGTATAAGTAAAGTGTCCGGAAGCCTCTACACCCCTGAGAATCCACTTCATAAGAGATGAGAGTGCCCCAAATAATAAGCTTCAATAATGCGCGAAAAACACATTGTTCAGTAACTGTCCGGGATGAGAGCAGCAGGCGAATGCAGCTCACAATTTATGGGGACATGATTGAGATTGCCGCGAAGGATGATAACAAAAGGTTCAAATACCACATTTAAGTCTGACAGCTCAAACATTGACAGTTGGGGGGTGTTATACCGACGTTATCTGCGCACATACCTTGGTAGCAGCAATGGAGTGCTCAGAAGCGAGGGTGGAATATTCTGTATGGATTGCTGGGGTTCTGAAGGCGGATTCGCTGCATCGGGGGTTTTTGAGCTTAACCGCACTAACTACCAGGCGGAACATCTCGTTTATAGAACTAATCCTCAATCTGATGATTAATGTCAAGGGACAGCAAACCCTCGAAATAAAACAGAGGAAGCCCGCGAATTAACAGCAACTCTTTTTGGACACCCGCCTTGAAGATGCCTTTCCGGTGAATGGTAGGTAACTACTACTATTGTTGGGGGTCGCGGCGGTTGCCTCATTCAGAACGCAACGGCCCCTTCCCCTTTCGGAAGGCCGTAGTTAGGCAATCACCTCTCTTTCTTCTCTCCCTGCATGTAGCTAGCATTGACTCGTCTCACTCACCCATGCGACTGAGTGCAAGTTCTTTCGTCTTGACAAAAGTAACAGGTCTTATGGAACAGCCAAAGCACAAGTGCTTTGTTAGACGCTCTCTAGATAGCATACAGATCATTGTGCCGTTGGGCGGGCATCTAATCAACCGTTTATAGATGGCTGGTCTTCTATGCTTACAAATATCGAGCAAGTTTCCCCAGGCCAGTCAAAAGAAACAAATACTGGCTTCATGCTCCGGGTTTTATTTTCGATTTCTATGGATCCCATACACACCCCATGTATGAAAACGCCGTTCTCATCCATCAAGTGATCATTGCCATTGATGATATTGTACATCGCGGCTAATATCTCTTACTATCCTATGAAAGACATGGGCGTCATGCTGATCGCCCTGTGTGATTGTAGGACCAGGACACCTTTTTTGATATAAGGCTCGTTTTGATTCTTGGGTATGAATAATTTCCCCTGTTTTTACTACTTTTCTTCTTGTACATAGTTCTAATATCTTTTGTCTGCAAAGCATTTATGGAAAAAGTGTCCGATCAAAAACGACCCTCAAGTGGGGGGTGAGAATAGCCGATAAATCACAAAATCCCCCAATAGGCGCCTAAATAGACATACATAATACAGCAGCAGCAGCAGAACCATCGAATTGCGACGCAACCCCCGAGAGACAACCCACGGATTTATCCCCCGGCAAGAAAAAAAAGAAGCAAAAGGCAAAAAGATGGAGCTGCGGGGAATCGAACCCCGGACCTCTCCCATGCTAAGGGAATATTATACCACTAAACCACAGCCCCATTTGATGGAATAATGACTTACAGTTGGCTACATCTGGCTGTGTTATTCTCTTTTCATGGGTGTCCCCATCTATTGACCAATCATCAATCATTGAAGTCAGTACTCCGTACGTTGCTTTTCGATGTTGATGAAGGCTTGACTTGGGTGGTAAGGCGATTGCAACTTATAAGAGAGAAAAAGAGTTTTCTAAATAGGAAAAGTACCGTTCTTGTTGGTGCTTGAGATGAAGATTCGACGAAATAAACTGAGCGTATAGCTAGGACACGCTACGCAGCCTCTGCTACGTCTACAAACAGGTGAGTGAGGCTGGATATAATGTATGTAAACTAGCAACGCTCAAAGAGCCGCTGCTAGACTCCTCCAACAAGCCAACAACTGGCGTTGGATAAAACTGGCCTAACTATGCAGTAGAGTATCGAGTGCTCTCCAGGGACTGGTTTGTTGGGCGAATCGAGATGATATATGCATGCCGGCCGATGATGCAGCCTTACAGGGACGGGATAGGGTCTGTCTGCTCCGCCACACCACAGCATGAACAAAACAATGGCATTATGCCATACCCACCTTTAGGGCGATTCTATAGAATAATATAGAGGTATCTGTAGCAGAATATATCTAATCAATGATTGTGATGCTGTGCTACTTGAAATATGCTGTAAATTGAATCTGCACTCGAACAGGAGCAGTATGGCCGCATGTGGACCCGGTGGAGCCCGAGTCTTCCGGACCAAAAAAAATTCTGTCACCTCAACCACACAGCGAGTGAATTACACTGCTCAAAAGCAAAAAGGAAAGCCCAACGCGGGGGTTGAACCCGCAACCTTGAGATTAAGAGTCTCACGCTCTGCCGATTGAGCTAGCCGGGCTGGTTTGTTGAAGACATCAACCTGGCCACGGTATATCACGGCTTAAAAAATTGCCCCTCCCTGCTACGAACTACGACTATAATCACCCTTCAGCCTTGTGTCACTGGTGCCTGCTTGGCTCCCTGGAACCTGGCGCCTAGTAAGAGGGTAAATAGCGCAAGGCAGACGCCCATCGGGGTGGTGGTGGGTTCGTGCGTGGTCACTCACATGTCGCGTGCTTGTCCAACATCGGGGATATATACCCGCAGGTGGGATTGGCTCGGAGGGATGTTTCCAACAAACTATCATGAGCTGCAGATAGGCGCGGTGGCGAGAAGGGTCTCGAGACCGACGGTGTAATCCATCAGCCTGGAGATTCGCATCGGCCCCATGTTGATCGCGCGGGACGGCGTGCCGTCCACGAGGAAGTGAGGTACCGATAGATTGGACCAACTGCGCACAAGACCGATGTAGTGGATGGTAGCACAGGAAACGAAGGCTGGAGCAACACGATCCGACGTCATCGATAGGATACGAGGGAGGAACGATCTGGGTTGCGCGCGTTTAGCGAAACGAAGAGCAGACGACACGAAGAAGAAGCATTGGATGAGACCATTCGCACTCGCAGGATGCATATGCAAATACTGGTCGACGTTGCATGGAACTCGTGGGATGGACTGTGGCTGTAGCGCTGGCCAGACCGAAAGGGATGCTTACAGCCAGTCGTGCTGTGGCTGAGGCTGAACGTAAGCCGGGTGTCGATGATACCATGCTCTGCTAGCGTAAGGGGTTGTGGGGGCTCAGACATCTCCTTATCACGAAGTCGCCGATCATGGGTGCTCGTGTCGGAGATCGATACGAAACACTTATTCTCAGATGGTCGCAGCGCGCAAAAATAGAAGAAGGGAAGAAGCAGCAGCAGCAGCAGTGTGGTAGGTTCCCAGCAGGCTGGAACCGAGCAGTCGACGTCTCAGATCATGCGGGCGAGGGCGACAGCGGTTGCACGGCTAATGAGCGTGGGAGCCGTATGGAGAAGTAATCGCGACATCGATGTAGTCGGATTGGGAATTGGGGATTGGGGATTGACCAACAATGGAGATGGGTGAGATCGGGAAAACGAGGTGCCTGGATGGAGGTGGAAGGTGAAAGGGTGTCATCATCATCAGAGGAGAGGAGAGGTGGCCGCTGGCAGTGTTGTCTAGTGCGTGCGGCTTGAACACGAGGGCAAGCCACACTGGCTGTCACCACCGCATCTGGTGTGTACTTCCACGTTCCCACTGTCGTCACCCCGATGACTCGAAGGCTCCCCGACCCCGAATCCGGGCAAGCGCCCATCCTGGGCGGGCACTAGTCCCGCGTGCTAATCAGATCATGCCTAGGGCACCCATCCGCCCTCCAGATGGAGTCACAGGGACTTCCCGAACCAGCCAATCATCCGGGCGGCCCAACCGCGGAAGGATCAGCACAGCCTCGCCGAGGGCCTGCACCAGCCACAGCTCGTGCCTTTTCGGCCAGGCAGTCACTGCAGCAGCCTTCCTCACACGCTAAGGAATCGACGGACTGACTGGTTAGGTTCCCGCTTGTGACCCTTCGTCATGGCTGCTCTGGTAGTAGCAGTAGTAGTAGTAGCGCCTGCAGCAGTCCGGCCGTAGTCTAGCAGCACAGCTCCCCCCCAGTGCCAATCATGGATGCCTCCTCCGGCCCTAACTATATAACGGCCCTCCCCCCATGGCCTTTCACTCTTGTACTCACCACCTCCTCACTACCTCACTCTTCCACAACACTCACTCTCAGTCACACAGTACTTTAGCAATCCATCAAAGCCTTTGCTACACAGCACCTTACACCACACGTACCCTTCTCAGACAAAGACCATCTTCCCAGCGTCCTCGTGACCAAGACCGTCACACTGTCGCCGTCCAGGACTCCCCGTTTCTGGCCGTCCACCCACATCTTCATCTGGGAGTCACTTCGACTCGACAGAACCCCTCCTCGCATTCGCCGTCGGAACTCCTTCCGCCGCTCCTCCACCATGCCTGTCTTCCTCGAACAGCCCGTCGAGCCCGTCGTGCTAGTGCGCGACCTCGCCGACGACGAGAACTACGTGATCGCCGCCTTCGAGAACCACGCCAGCCACTGCTCCAAGTGCGCCGACCCCGTCAAGGTACACCGCGAGGACCGCTCGCTCTGCAAGCGCGGTCACCAGTACGCCCGGGACGTCGCCGAATACCTGTGCAGCAAGAACGGCAAGATCTACTCGGTAGTTGACCTGGAACGCAACCAGCCCACCCTGGTGAAGGTGCCTCTCCGGTGCGACGCCGTCCGCCAGCTCCTGGAAGCCATCGAAGAGGGCCTCCGCGTGAACCGCAAGGACGAAACCACCGCGAAGCTCCCCCGTCAACGGCCCGTGATCAGCTACGACCAGACATATCCCGCACCTCCCCGACGGACCGAGCCCGTTGCCTGCGATACAATCATCGAGCGCGAGCCCCGGGCCCTCCAGCGCCGACGCGTCATCGTCCACAACTCGCCCAAGAGCTCTCCCAGCCGCGGGTCTCTGTACGAGGCGGACGCCGCCGACCGCATCACGCGTGTGAACCGGTCATCGCGCATCTACCGCCCCAGCGAATACTACCGTTGAAGTGAGGAGGCTTTGCGTCCGCATCTTTCCTTTCCCGACGTCTTGCATGCGATCACCGATGCTTCTGCGTTGCAGCCAAGTCACCGTTACCGTCACCGTCCGTCCTCAGACCCACCCGACACCGCCAGGGCTAGACCGGCCGCGACCCGGCACAGCAAGCGATCCATGAGCTGGGTGGGATGATACACTGTATTTCCCCTCACAAGGCCATGGCTACACCCAGTAATCCCTTGGGGGGAATGTCTTCCTTTCTTACTTTCTTTCTTTCTGTTCCCACTTGATACCCGAATTCACCCGTCCGCGGAGAAAACGAACCAAGGGCCCCAAACAAAGGAGAAAAGGAAAAAAACAAGCCCGTTGTCTTGCCTCGCAAACAAAGCAAGCAAGCACAATGGTAGCAAGACCAGCACTCTGCAGCTGCAGCTGCAGCTGCATCTCTGACTCATTCCCCCTCCCACTGGTCCAACACCCGATACCTGCAGCCGACCATGCATGCAGCCAACCCCGACCGGCGATCCACCAGGATTATCTAGTCCCCCTCCTTTCATTTCATGTCATGTCCGATGCACACCCTGCACAAACATCTCCTTTGTCCAAATGCTGATTGGCGCTAACGCGCCCAATTAATGATGCTGTATATCCTCCGATAAGAATGATTTGACAATGGCACCGCATGCAAGTCTCAGTTGCTTTGCTCTACTGTAGCTCTTCCTAGGAGTAGCGTCGTACACTGCGGCTCCGATTAAAGTTTATTTTGAGTGACTAGCTATGTATTCGTCGATAGGATAGGCAGGCAAGCCCTTAGACCAAGGCAGTGAGGCTCCGAGTCGCACGTTGGATCCTTATTGGTGTGCGCTGTGCATAGACCGGCCTGGTGCCACCACCACCACTACTACTTACTTCCCATCCACCTACCCGGCCCCTAGTCCTACCTGCCTACAATCCGTACCTACATACATGTGGGTAGTATATACCCGGTACATGCTACATAAACCTGTACCACAATCCCATGTAGGTATCATGTACAATCAGTAAGCCCTCCATCCATCCACTTACCCAGTTAGTTAGTACCTCATACCTCATACCTCATACCTCAAACTAACTAGTAGATAAACAAACACACACACTCAAACATAGCCCAACCCCCAACCCCCCCAAGAAGTCAGAACCAGCCATAGTGCTAGACAGCACACACCCTTGCACTAGCTACAGTATACATCTACCTACGTGGTTCAGAACGACCGATTCGACCGGCCCTCGTGTGGGTCCTGGATAGTTCATCGCAACGGGCTTTAAGTGGGTGCGCAGTCCCACTGTGGGACGGACGGGCACGGTCGACCGGGTCGAGACTGAAGTGTGGATACTAACTAACTCAATATCTTCGCCCATCGCCGGCGCCATGGTCCATCGCGGCATCGCGGCTTCGTCCTCCCGAATCCCGGCCGCCGTCAGATTCAGCAGGATGCAAAACCGGGTTTCTTCAACCGCCGTTAGTGTTGCTGTTAGCGGAGGGGGTTGTTGGTCGTGTGGGGTGGGGGCCGGGGAAGTTGGTCCGTTCGCTTTGTTTTGGGAAGCTGGTTTTGGAAGGGTTTGGGCAGCGAGGGCTATATATAGAGGTGTGGAGACCGGAGACTGGAGAGAGGGAGAGTGAAAGTAAGACGAGCTGAGGGGATGATGGGTGGTTGTTGTGGGGGTAGGGTATGATGGGCAGATTGGGAGGGGGGGGAAGTTGTTTTTTTTTTTTTTTGATCGCGATGGCGAAGATGAAGATCAATGATGGCTAATGACTACAAGTTGAGAATTATAGGTTATGGTGATTCGGGGATTAACACCGGTTGTTGTGTTATTCTGGGACTCAATGCGATCATTGTTGTCGTGGGAGACACCACCACAACAATGCGACCACCGTCCTCGATTATCTCCGTCGGCCAAATTGACTCCTCGTTGAAATTGAAGAGATCACAGAGTATTCCTATTCCAAGGAATACGCCACATACGACACGGCGTTTCACCTACAAATCGTCTGGTCACCAGTTTCGCGACTTCACCCGAAATCTCCCACCAGATACACCTCAATCGACTCTGTACCACCTCCATCTCCGCGGACCTCTCTACGGCATCAATATCCAACCCAGCTTGGTCCCTACCCGATCAGGGACGCCTTGTTCATCTGGCGCAGCACTCGCCGAAGCGGATCCGCAACAGCGCCAACTTCAGCTGCAACATCGCGTCGTGGCCGACATCACACAATCCCATTTCCACCCCAGACCATCGCCTTGCGTTCTCTCCCACCACTATCTATCTATAGCAAAAGCCCTGACCCCCACAAACACCGGTACGTGTATACTCTCTTCACCGACACAGGTCAGCTGTCAACACACCCTCTGTCCGTCTATAGGCTTCATTCTCTCCCCACTGGACCTTTTACTTGAAACTCAATTCTACCACTTGGACATGAAAGCTGTCCTCTACAGCTGAATCAACACCAGCCCGATTGCCATTCTTCTTTCATGTTGTCTTTCGCAGCCAGCTGTGCACCCGATGCTTCTCCATTCCAAATCATCCGGATTTCGGTTCTAATTCTCACACCGCAACTCCCCTGCGTCTCCCTCATGCCTCTCCGAGGAGAAAGACGCAATTTAATTTAACTCTCACATTAGTGGACACCAGAATCGTAGACCTCCACCCACCAGCCAGGAAATGGTACTTTGGGAGAGATGAGAGGAGGAAGTAGAGTGTCTGTAGTATGAGTATGTGCTTATGCCTCTGAATAGCATAGACAACCCGGATGGTCTGATCAGTACAGAATCCAAACCATCCATTGAACTGGCTGTCCTGAGCTGACTTTGATCCACCCCGTAAGCAGGACCGAGCCTAGAGATATCTCTTTTTATTTTATACGCAATAGATCGATGATGTCAAAAGAGAAAGAAGATTAGATAAAGTTCGCATAGATCGAACGGACCAACGGTCCGGGAGACTATGGGATGTAGTAAACATTACCCCAAGAACCCAAATTTTTATAACCAGAAAAGCTCGATAAAATCAATCGATAAATACTCAAGAACGCAGTTGAGTGGGAGGGAAAAAAATAAAAAAAAAAAAGAGCAAAAAGAGAAGCCCAACGCGGGGGTTGAACCCGCAACCTTGAGATTAAGAGTCTCACGCTCTGCCGATTGAGCTAGCCGGGCTGTTGTTGTTGAAGGGTTAGCGTAGCTTGGCTACATAAACCAAAACAAAAGTTTTATCACTGCAAACTTGATTCTCGGAGGCTTAAGAGTTGGGAAGAATAAGTAAGCAATCTCAACTAGTTACCACCAGTTTAGACTCAAGATTGGTGGTATTGCGAGAAGGATGTGGGATCATATATATCTACCAGGACATATGGATTAAACGCGCCTAATGCAAATCAAACCTTTACCCCGCTTCCCTTAGTACCTTTCCTTCTTCGCTATCTTTTCTTCCTTCAACATTTTGACTTATATACCTCCTCCGTAGTCCATACGAAGTACTCCGTATATCGTAACACAACCCCATAAACAGGCCACAAAAACCCATTCCACCCCAGACTCAGCAAGCACGCACGCACGTACGCACGAACCACCCCCCCAGCCCTACCTACCCTTCCCTTTGAGTCATAGTTATAGTATCCACATGCTACACAGCCAGGTACATAAATAGCCTGGTCCGTGGAAATAACCCCCCCCCAAACTCTGTCTCCGTAGAAGTGTGGCTGGTGCACCCACATACCCACCACCACTAGGTACCACCCGCGGCCGCATCCTCGCAATCCACCCGACAGGTTGGTTGGTCGGGTGATCTGACAACCGAAGTGCCAATAATACACATATGCAGTCGCCTTTTCTTTTAAGTATCTACCCTTCTGCGGAGTACTACTAGGTAACTAGAATATAGTGGGTGGCATCTCCCGGTGCATCCGACCCCGCATGCATACAAACCCTGGCACCCACCGATCCGCCTGGAAGAAGCTTCCTGGTTAGTTGAATGCCTAGTAGGTGGGTGGATGGATGGACGGTTGGATGCATAGATGGGGACTTGGTTGGATCGAGTTGAGTTTGTTCGGTGGGACGCAACGAGTACTCGTGCTAGTATTGTTACCGGATACCACACCCACTTTGGCAAGGAGGGCCGGATGTACACGGGATGGGATGCGCACTATCTTTGTGTAAGTACTGTCCAGGTTCACACGGGCTCGCGTGGGCATAATCCCAGCGAAAGGGGCCGGTGATCGGTCTGAAAATGGGGTCCGTGATTGGGGGAGGGATTCATCCATATGAGAGCTCGCACTTGAATTTGGTTTGGGGTGTGGATGGGGTCATGGGGTTGAATTGGGTGTTGGGTGTTTGGTGTGGTTGGAGTGTTCGAGGGATGGGGGATGATGGACGGGGATGGGTCGGTTGGGTTTGACTTCGTGATGATCAACCAAGAGAGTGACTGGTTTCGGAAGGAATTGGCTGGTTGGGTTGGAATAGAGGTGGTGTGAGCATATGTATCCATCCCCGTCTCTATCTCTATCTTCACCTCCGCCTCCCCCCCGAGTCCCCGGGACCAAATGAAGGAAAACAAAAGAACGATAATATACCCAACATGAAAGAAGATCTGTCAGCCAGCTAATCTAGATAGCCCTACATCGCATCGGCACCCGGCAACCCTCGTTAGGCAACTGTGCATTAGCCTGAGACCCTGAAATCCGGTTTCCTAACAGGTCAGCTGAAGGCATCACTTGCAGCGGATGACTGCCGGCTCTGCCGGCTCATCAGTAGTTGCTGCAGGCCGTGTGTCGGTAAAATCTGCAGGTCATGGAAAGTTAACTATGTCGATCCCAAGGCTAAAGGGGAGCTAGTGACTGAATAAAATAAGATAAATTGGGATTTAAATTAAGTTCTAGGGGACGGAAGGTGGTTTCTTCCGAGGATTGTGTTTCTATCAGGGGAGGATGATGTAGGAAACCCTATCTGATTTTCATAAAGGGAGTCCTCAATATAGTGTTGGCAGTATGTATGCGGGTGGCTAAATCAATTTAGATACTTTTCGAGGAGATGTCTCTGAATTCCTTGGATTCTCTTTCCAGAGTTGAGGACTTGTGTCAATCTGTCTGTTAAATAGAATAGCCAAAGTTAGCTGGAAAAGTAGCACCTGTGCAGCTTAGATGAACGCACCTCCACGGATGTGTCTGTACCCCACTCCAGCTTTTTTGGAAAGGTTATCCTGGAGACTTGAGAGCTCTGTAATTGCCCTCATAAACGGGGAATAATTCCCTTCAGCTTTTATTTCGAAGGCTGGACTCTTCCATAGATTCCCTCGTGGGTTGTTTATTAAATCCCCAATCCCATCTTCCTGATCGAGCACGCCGTCAAGACATTGCTCAAGGGTGTTGAGAAAGATCGCTTGCTCTGTACCAAGGCTCAACAAATAACTTTCCAGCTCTTTGCGATATCATTTTGCTCGGAATGTCTTGAGGGTCTGAAGTCCTTGAACGTAAGTATCAAACTGGCTTATGAGGAACGGGAGTATGGCGAGGGAAAAATCGGTTGCCTCCATGCTGGCTGCTCCTACGAGCTGAGTGTTGACAGTCAGATGGAGCACTTGCCTCTCGACCCCGCAGTCAATGCCACGCAGCCACGCCACACGTGACAAGCACCTGGTGCACCTCAGCAAACAAAGTCCCATCGTTCAACCCATTCAGTCTATATATTCTTCTTGTGTCGGGTTGGCTCTGACCACATGGCTAACACAATCTAATCCGCAACACGTGTCTGTCTTAAACAGCTAAAACTGACTGATCCTCTTGGGAAAATTAACACAGTACGAGTCGGAGGTCTCTCAGGTCCTGTGGCAAGGTGAGCTGGGGAGGTTGCAGGTCTTGGTTGCTAATATCGATGCCCACCAGACGGGACAAACATCACTCGATCATCGACTACGCGATGCTTCACATCAATCACATCAAGTCGCAAACCGACAGACTGCTGAAGAGATTACGAAGGATATACGAAGACTTGCAAGATGCTGTGCATGGCCCAGTTGAACACCACAGTCCATCTGATACTGAAGATAGCGACGAAGAACAGACAGAGGTATAGGATACGATGCACAGCTTGTATCAGTTGTCGATGGTGATCCAGAAGCCAGCGCATCACGATAGACTACTGAGAACCAAAAAACCAGACGCGCTCATGTTCGAACCTTTCGATCGGATGCATGTGTTGGGCAAATTTCCCAGGATCGAGGATACTATCACGGATTGACTTGGAAGTGCTTTGTCGAGACGATGGGCAATACTGCGGCATCGGGAGTGACAACCTCTGAAGCTACGTCAGGGTATCAGCTATGTTTTGGATGACCACCCGGACACTGTCTCGATCAGACTACCTGACACTGTTGCAACTGAGTTTATTGAGACGTCTCACATCTATTCAAATCAGGATGCTCAGTCTACCATCTCGCAGACATCCTCCGCAACACTCATGCATGGCAGCGAAGGCATGGTGATACCACCCTTACCATCAGAATTCGCCGATGGAAACCCTTTCGAATGTCCATACTGTTTTGTGATCCTGACCATTATGACTCAAGATACATGGGCGCGTCATATTTTTAAGGACTTGATGCCTTAAATTTTGCCTTTCCCTTCAGCTTGTCCTATTTACCAATCCTCTCTTGATACCGAAAATCAATTTGAGAAACATGTGGGCCGACATTTGGAAGAGCTGACGCTTTTTGCTCTGCCGCAGCTAGCGAGCGATGAAGATGAAAGTTCATCAATGTCGATATCTGTAGAACAGACAAATACAAAGCCAGCCACTCAATCAGAAACGAATGATGATTTTCCAAGTGGTCCAGAATCCCCAGATGGTTCTGAGCATGGTCTCAATGATGTATTGTCTTCCCCGATTCAATATGGGCTATCAACCAGTACAGGGGGCAAAATGGCCGATATGGTCGAGGAAGCCGCGTCAAATACTCGGTTACAACGAATAGAAAATGAAACCACAAGATCAAATACATTGATCAGAGAACAAAGAAGGATAACGGCAGGCGAATCTACTAGACAAACTGCACCTAAGCAGAAGACAAACGAACCAGCCGCAAGAGCAAGCACAGGACCAGAAGCAGAGAGAGCAAACATATTGGAAGAAGAAGAACTAAGAGACCGAGAAAAAAAAACAACAAACACGGTATTAAAGGAATTAGGAGAAAGGTTAGCAGCGTTGGTACGACTAAGAGAAGCTGCAGATCCCCCTCCACCAAAAAAAAAGGCCCATTAAATCCAAAGATGCAACTTGAAGGAAGTTTTCTTTTCCTTTTGATATATGCTGTTATTGGAAGGTAGGAGCGGTCCAATCTAATATTCTTTCAGACATACATTCAACTGAATATAATCCAGGGCATGAAAGGGCTTATACAACAAGCCTTCCACGTCGAGGTAATCGGAGCCCATGTCTCAGAAGGACATTATGACTTGGTAGGACCAGATGGTAAAATCATCCTGCCCGAGGCTTGGGAGAGTATCATCAAGTCTGGTTTGACTATAACCATGCAAAGTGCCCGATTCCAGAACGACAGCAGGATCCAGCCGTCCCCGACGATTCGGCTGCCATTGCAATCTTTGAACCCCCCTGGAAAGTATCTCGGCTTCCTCTGGGGGAGAAAAGTGGCCCAAAGCTCCCGACCCCGGATCATTTGCTATGTGGATAGTCGGAGGTAACCGCTCGAGGCTCAACCGGGCTTTGAAAAATGGGAAAGAGCGGGCGAAAGAAAAGGGTAATAGCACAGACTTACGGGGGCTGGTGACTGAACAGGATGCTACCCAGCAGGCTTTCAGCGAAGAACAACCCGGAGACGAAAGGTAATGCAGCTGAAGTAGCTAAGGCAGGGAACCCTGCAGTAGTTGAAAGCCACCAAGACAATGGCTGGAGCAGCAGCCAAGTCAGTATCTTCAACATGTGTCCCCAGACTTCACATCTATTTCATAACTTCAGCTATAGCTCATATACTTCGCCCTGTTCTTTGAAGAGCTAGAATCCCAGGAAAAGCCCATAAAGCAATCCGTGTTAATAGACCATAAGATCCATACACTTGGTACTGCATCCATTATTTGTCTCCACAACCATATTCCAAATCGACCCAACAGCCAACTCACCACTGTCTTCAATATCATCAGACAGAATAACTACCATCCACCTTTATCCCCAAGTGAAAATCCCCAAATAACCCCTCGAAACCCTTTCCCCCTCAGAAAAAGAGTATACACGCCAACCCCGTACAAAACACAGCCTGAGGCAGAAATTGAACAAGACCTCAAGAGGATGTGATGAGGTTGTTGACGCTATGGGTATCTTTCAACCAGCCTGAGGCAGAAATTGAACAAAACCTTAAGAGGACGGACCCAGTGAGGTTGTCGACGGGCCAGAAAGTGTTCAAAAGGTTAACCCCGATTGGGAAACACCACCATCACCACCAACCAGTCAGTGACCAACAATAGCAGTTGAAAGTCTCGAAGAGAATAGCTGAATCAGTAAGTAAAGAAGTACTGAAACAAGTGATGGAGACCCTGGACATTCCAGCAGCGATTTAAGTTCAAGTTTGCCGACTGGGGTCTAAGATGTGTTCTTAGACGCTATATTCACTCTACAAGTTGTATACACACACGGACAGCTCCATAGAGTACTTCCCACCTCAGAGGAGAGATCAAGCCCTCGAGAAAATGGACAAGTTAGAGAAGCATGCCACGCCATACCTATGACTGGAAATATATCCTCAACCTTACGCCTCTTCTCAAAAGCGCGATTCAATGAACAATTTCGCCGACACTCCGTGGAAAAGAGGATATGGGCCTGAGGCCGAAATTGAACAAGACCTCAAGAGGATGTGATGAGGTTGTTCACGCTATGGGCAACATTCGGCTAGCCCGATCAGGACTAGCGCCAACACCGCGGCCCAACCAACCACAGCACTCCATCCCCCGTGTCCTCTCACGTGACATCCAGGAATCTTCTCCGCCGCACCTCCGAAAGATCTCATTCCGCTACCCGTCCACACCCACCCTCCCCGTGCATTCCCTCATTCGAATCCCTCCGACAAGATGGCCAAGAAAGGTGAGATTACTCTCCAACTCTCCTGTGCTTGATTCCGCTCTCGAATCATGTGTCTGTCCGCGGCGCATGCACGAAATACGTTACGGACAGACAGCATAGCGAGCCAGCCTGCGGGACATGGCATTGGGGATTGACATTGACTAACTAATGACCTACGAACCACCTCACAGCCAAGTCCCGTACCATCTCGGTGCGCCTCATCTCCATGGCCATGACCGGATACTACCGCACCATGATCCGTCCGCGTCTCCACCGCCCCCTCAGCATGCTCAAGTACGACCCCGTCGTGAAGAAGAAGGTGCTGTTCCTTGAGGCTACCAAGGGAGGACGGAACAAATGAGCGGGTGCGATTTATCGACTCGCCTACCTACCTATTCACCTACCTATCTATCTACCGACCGACCAGCCTCCTGATCTACGTACCGACGTCCCGACCTACCTACCTTTTCTATCTCCTTGTGCGGCCGCAGTGGGTGGGGGTTGGATATGTGAGGGGGTGAATCCGAATCCAAATCCGAATCGAGCTACCTGATACGGCGGCATGAGTGCGATCTATATACTGTCCCTCGAACGCAGCCGTCGCGGAGAAGATCCATCGATATGAAACGATCATGTACATTAAACGGTGCATTGGCTCGGCCGGGTCCGGACGGGCCGCGCTGTGTATCTATTTTGGTGTTGTACTTTTTTTAGGCGTTTAGAGCAGACAATCTGGGTTGAATCGATCTTCAATATATCATAAACTTGTGTCTTTGGCTTCGTGGATGCTAGGAATATGGGCAATTTGCAATGAAATGGCTCGGTAGGGGATTACACTGGCAAATTGGAGGTAGCTTGCGAAACAAAATAAGGGGGTGGTAAAACGGGGTGGGGGAAAGATGAAATTGGAAGAATAGTCGCTGCACACATCTCACTGTCAATTCCTGACATTGGGCATTCTGTATCCCTCACGGACAGTATTACTTTCCCCGGTTGAACCGGGCGTTGTAGTGATCGCCTATTAGTCTTAGCGTCAGTCTGTCTTCGCGTGTGCTGCTCACCTCTCGTCTTTCGTCCGCCCCTTCCACGAGTCATCTTTTGACTATTGCTCTGACTGGGATTCATCGAGGGTGCTTTGCTGCTTCCAGAGGCCAGTTTTGTAGGACTGGACTTGCGCTCAAAGTACTCATTCACCGGCTTCTGTGGTCTAGCACCAGAAGGGTCTGAATCTCGTGCTCGTTTGTTTTCGTTTGAGCGTGTAGTATCGGCACGAGTGTTGCCACTAGTATTGGCGTCCATGGACACAGAGACATCGTGTTCAGCAGCTCGGGCCACAGGGTTCTGTCGATTTCTGGAATAGGTCCGCCGAGTAGTACGGGGTCTGTCCTCAATCATATCTCGAATGTCACCACTCTGAGGCTCGGGTAGTTTGCGCTTCTGTGCAGTCGGGCTTTGTGCTTCGAAAGTGACTGCCTTCTGCTTTGTCTGCTCTTTGATAATATCCTTTTTATCGTCCGGTATCTGCTCACCCTTCAACTCTGCCTGGGAGCTGTGCTTTTGAGACGAAGCCGTGCCATTGACTGTGTCGACGTCTCCATCGGCTTTCTTAGGAGAGTCCGGCTTTGTGGCTTGTTTCTCCTCTCCGAGATCCTTCTCCAGATCCACCGTTTGGTGCTCGTCGGGATTTCTCTGGGTATCCGATGGGACGACGGCCTTTTTCTCCTGCGTGAGCATCATCATAGCTGCGATGTCATCTTCTTCATTCCCAAAAAGTGAGCAACCGTCCTGGGAGGACTGTCGAATGCTCGAGAATGGCACAATTTTGGGTGTCCGGACCGAGGATAAATCCTGTTGACGGCCAAAGTTGCTTTCTGTGACTTTGGCTTGTGGAAACGGAGAGGAAATTATGCTTGCCTGCATGCTCTGCGTTTTGTAGACCAGTTCTGTAGCCGTGAATAGCTCATGTCCAAGGCTTACAACCCTCTGGGGCGTCAAAGCTTCAGTATTCAACCCGCGGATGTTCTTGCCAGGTGTATTCAGTTGTGCCTGTGTTGTCTCGATCTGGAACGAGCGTAATATCATTTCCAACATGCTCCATGCCACCGAAAATGACTCTTCCGGCGCAGAAAGCCCCACCTGAGTGAGCATCTCCTTGATCTTGTTGACCCAGTGCTCAGATTCCTGCACCCTTTTGAGTAATGTATGGATCTCCTCTTTGGCCTTCGCTTTGCTGTTCACGAGCTCAGATTTCTCGGACATCACAGCGGTAAGCTTCGCCTGGAAGAGGCTACATTCATCTTCCTTCGTCTGAAGAACCTTTTGGAGTACATCTTGCTTTCGGTGCAGATCTTCCAATTCGTCCCCATTCTCCTTATTCATCTTAGAGCATTCGCCTTCAAGGCTGGAAATTTGGACCGTGGAATCTTCCAGCTGCTGGCGGAGAGACTCCTGCTGCGTTTTCATCGAGGACTCCAATTCCATGAGTCTTTCGATTTCATTCTCTTGACCCTCCACCTTTGCCATACTCTCTGTTAACTGGATCCGTAGATCCTCAACCTCTTTTTCTCTTGAAGCGAGCTAAGATAGTCAGTAATGTATCACGTCAGCTCTCAGTAGCGTACCGTTGATTCCATTTCACTCCTCCGTTCCATCAGCCCTTCATGTGCTGTCTGTAGGGCTTTAGCAACACTGCTGCTTGTAGAGGTATGTTAACCTTACCAGCACTAATTGAGCTTCTGCCAGTTCCGCTGTAACTATTTCCATGTTTCTCTCGATATCAGTCTTTTCCCGCAGAAGCTCATGAAGAACTTGCTCGTTCTTCGCTCTATCAAGTTCCCGAGAGACAACACTGGCTCTGCTGAGCTCCTCGCGGACCCTTGCTTCCACAGCTTTGACTTCATCACGAAGTGCAGCAGCTTCTGATTCAGCTTGACGTACGCGAGACTCAGTCTCGTGAGACCTCGATTCTGTTTCGAGGAGAGATATCTTAATAGCCTCGTTCTCGTGGTCTTTGGCTGTTATGGTAAATTCCGCCTGCCTGAGCTCTTCCGACAAGAGACGGATCTTTTGTTCCATTTCAACAACTTCTCGATTGTGGCGGAAGCTCTCCTCTCTGAGGAGCTCGATATTCTGGGGAATTTGCATCTCCGATAGGTTCATTTCCAGAGTTTTCATCTGATCCGCAAGACCCATTTCTTTATGCTCAAATGTCTGTATTGAACAGCTAATCTTTTCGATGGCCTCAAGAAACGTCTTCAGTCTCTCCTGAAGGCTGTTGCGGCTTTCTACGTCTCTGGTAAGCCTCTCCGTTAGAAACGATTCGCTGACCATATGGTCCTTGGTCAATTGGAGCTGTTCTTTCAGACTCTGCGCTAAGTTCGTATTTGTCTCAGTTACTTCGCAGATACCTGCACTCAGTTCATGCATCACTGGGTCCATTCTGAACGATACTGTCAGAATCGACTGACACAACCTAGGAGACGTAGGAATTCGAAGCTTACCGAGATATGAAACCCCGGAAAATCTCTTTGCAATCCTGTCCATCTGCTTTGTTGGCCGTGAGCGTCTCCCTGATCTCTTTTAGCGAAGACAGACATCCGCGGACATCTGAACCAATGCTCTCTCGGAGTGCCTTGGTACTGGAGTCATGCTGATAGCATAAGATTTCGAATGCAGAACCAAGGGACTTCATAATTCCAAGTTGATCAGACCGAATCAGGGCCAGCTTCGCTGCTTGGGTCTGCGAACAGTCTTGGATGAACAGTTCCAGACGCTTCGATCTCTTCTTCTCATCGGATAGCTGACTTTGGAGATACTTGACACTCTCCTCTGCACCGCTTAGTGATCGTCTCAGTAAGTCGCCTTGGCTCTCCAACTTCAAAATCTCGTCCCGTCTGTTATCTGCTCTATTTGAGATCATAGCTAACTGTGATTTTGCTTCGTTGATGCTTGAAGTAATCTCACTCCGCTCATTCAACAATGTTTTTCGCGCTGCCTTGAGCTGGATGGCCTCACCGCGAAGATTCTGATAGTCGCAGCCGAGTTCATTTAGGAAACCTTTGAACTTTAGAAACTTCGACCTCCACGTATCCATTCGAGACTTGTAGGCCTTTAGTGCAGCCGCTTGATTCTGTTGTTTCCTTCCGGAGAGCTCTAGCTGACCTTTTAGTGCATTGTTCTCCTCTGCCATTTTCATCATATCAGTCTCCATCTGCTCCTTAAGGTGAACAGCTGCAATAACAGAATTTTCGCGGTCCCTGATACGGGTGATCATTAGTTGGAACAGGTCTTCTTCTGAAAGCTGAGACCCTCCATTTTCGGAAGGCAGGAGAGGGGCCCTTATAGCTCGGCCTTTACGTCTTTTTGTGACTTTGGACCTTTGATTCGCAGTGAGAAGCGAATGCGAATGAAGCCCACCATTCTGGTCAGTATCTGGATTAGGCGCCACCGAGCCCATGAAAGAGGCAGTTGCCTTTTCTGAGCCTTTATCTTCTCCCCTCGATGCTGGATTACGGCCAGCGATCTGCTTTTGTCAGCATCTTCGAACAACTTCGGTTAGTGTCGGGCGATATATCTACCTGGGATGTATTACTGGCTTTTCTAGCTGAAAGTTCCATTAGTTGCGCATAAGAATGAGGTTGGGGTTACGTACATAGTGCGACACTCTCGGGAGGTAGACTTTGAGCATCAGCACTAGGCAGCGGATCCGCATATGGCACGGATCTTGTGTCGGGCTCCAAGTCCTGTGAACTCTGCTCGGCAACTGCCGTGTGAGGATGTGTGGTTGTAGAAATAAGCACCGATGTCTGCGTCTCTCGATGTGATTCTTGCAGTGCCGTCTTTTGAACATCGCCGCTCGATACATTGCTTTCCAGAGAAGCGCTGCCGTTCAAATGTTAGCAAAGGTCTTGAGCTCCAGCACTTCCGACTTACACTTCTTTGCTCCGGCTTTTCTGGTGGCTAGAAGGTGCGGGCAGCCCACGATCAATGCGACTAGGGGGCTTGCTGGATGTTGTATCTGGCAGTGGTCTCTTTGCCGACTGAAGAGAGAATGAGTTCGGCCCCTGAGCAGGCTTGCTGAAGCAGAAAGCCGCCATATCCATCCCCGAGCTTTTGGGACGTTCCATGAGCAAAGGGGATACATGTCGTTGTCCCTGGTATGTGTCCCTGATCTCCGTTGTCGCCATCACTGCTCTGAGACTTGGGGAAACGGGCTCGATGTTATCCGCCATTTGTAGCAGCAGCATTTCTTCCTCTTCGTCATAATTTGCACCGACCGGCATTGTGAGGTCTGGACGGGCAAGAGTTTCCGCCGTAAACGACTGGAAATCCTCGTTCGGCATCTTGACGCGCTGTTAAATTGAAGATCTGTCAGTCTGGGGGTGAGAGTGGAAGCAAGGACAAGGGAAGCTATAAACCTGAGGGCTTAACAGGCCGGCACTATCAGCAAATATGAAATTTAAAACCGTTCGACAGACTGTCAGTCTCGCTGGAAGAATGGTTGCATCTGTAGTCAGATGGCTTCCTTGCGAAGGATGGTTCGATTCCCAAGACCTGAGACGCTCATGATGGGTAGAAAGAAGGCAAGCAGAGCAGGAGCTCGAGAAGAAGGCACTCGTGACCGCGATACGAAAGAGGCAGGAACATGGCTGAGCGTGACTGCCATATTCGGCAATCCTGTTTACATTCGCTATTTGCTTTCGTTGATTAGTGGCCAGACTGACTGAAAAAAGTGTCAGTCGGCAAGCATTTCTTTGATCTCAGGTCAGTCCATGTGCGATTATTTCCTGTCCCTGACATTGCCCATATGCCTGATCAGGTCGGGGTTAGGATCATCGTGAACCCGTTGAAGTAAAGCGCGCAGTACAGATGTGTCGAATACATCGACCGCACTCATATGGCTCTAGAATATAACTCCGATGTCGCCACAACACTGACGTCAAGTCCGCTATCTACCCCGTACGCCATAAACAGCGCGATTCGTTCAAACACCTCGACGTGGCCTCCCTAGCGCCCAAGTCTTGTCGACTGATTCCCTGAAGAAAGATGGGGCATCTTGCGTCAGCGGCCAGCCGATCTTTGCGATTGGGCACGGGGCGGAGGCTTTGCGGGCGCGGTGTTGCAGCTGGCGCCGGCATCTAACACTAAGCCGGGCCCTTTGTCTCTGATTTGACGTGGTGTTTCATCCTCAAACCCCTGAAACAGCGTCATCCTGGTCCACCCCATCTTCGGGATTTACACGGCCGTCCTCAGGCCTATCACACCCCATGATCCCACCATCGCTTCCCCCCGCGATCCTATCTTCACACACCTGTGACCCCTAGCGATGCGACCCTGTCGGACCATGTCTTCTTATATGGCGAGGTTTTCCTCTGCAGGAGAGTTTTTGTCTCTCTGCTCCCTCTTAAATTTTACATCGATAACTCTACCCACAGCTTGAAACCTCTTCAAGAATTAGTCCGACGGGTTCCTCTTGATTGCGGAGCCATGTACTCACAATATACTTTTTGGATGATGGTCCTTGGGCTGCCAACACGCGCTCTCGCCCAAAGCGTGCTGAACGAGGTCGATAGTCAGGATGGAAATTCGGATTCCACTACAAAGAACCGCAGCGTTTCGCCAAAAGGAATGATCATCCTGTGTACTATCGTCGCCCTGGTCTTGATTATTGGAGGTGGGTTCTTCCCAGTCGATGCGTTCGAGTACATCGAAAGATATGGCATCAAACAGGTGCTGACGGCTTTTTCGATCCATAGTTTCTTTCACAACCGTCTTCATAGTCGCAAAGAAGAGGCGCTTGAGAGCACGCGACACACTCTGCTACCCTGATGGCGTTACGGAAGTTATGGAGACTCCATCGGTCTCCAGGACAGTGACAGAAGGAAATGAGAAACTGTCAAAAGGCTCATCGCATATTGGATCACAACCTGACCTCGAGAAGAATGCCAGGACCGAGAAAGAGGACCCAGATACGAGACCAAAAGGATGGGGGACATACTTCTCCTTCGGACGCACATAGATTATGGACATATCTCGGTTATTGCAGGTCCAACCGAACCTCTGGAAAATGAACGACACGACCACTGAATTTGCACTGATGACGTTTTTATTATCATGGCTAGCCTGTTTGCGTACTTTATTTATTTATTTTTTTTTTTTTGCTATCTTTGTGGGGTTTGCGGAGTTAGAGTTGGTGTCTTGGTTCTTCACGCTACTACTACTTCTACTACTACGGATTAGAGCAAAAACCCCGCATTTGGATTTCTTGGCTGGAATACCCAGATGCGAGGTAACATCACTAGGATCAAAACCGATAAAGGCGATTGCCCAATAGTTACACAGCCTGACTGGCCGTAAATCGAGATGAGCATCGAGACCGGGCGCGACCCGGAGACGGAGAGCCTTGCCCAAAGCGCGCTGTGCGGGGAACGCCCTACGGCGGTTATGTATAACCTGCGCGTCGTCCAATCAGACCCGTCAATTGTCTCCCAATGAGAACGGCAAGTCTTTCCGTTGCTCACAAGGCAACTCTGTCCGTCCTGCTTTTGCCTGTCTGTCGCATCGACCTCACGATCTCTCCGCTTCAGTGCATCAACGCTGCAGAGAACCATCCACCGTTCAAATTTTATGGAAATCTACGCATGTAATATGTCTCAATTCCAAAGACGGGAATTATTTCCTTCAGCATCGTTAATCTACCGGCAATCAATCGCAAAGATGAAGGGATATACAAACCCTTGAACTCATCCTAAGGGTCTGAGTCTAATCCATCCAAGTCGCGGCAGAGTAACAAACCTGTGACCCCAATCAGCTTCCATTCGACTTATTGAGCCCTTCTCATTTATATTCCACTCCTGCAAAATGCCTATCCGGAAGCTAAAAGTCGGTATGGCTGGCCTGGGCCGGATAGGCAAGGTCCACGTCAACAACTTCTTGCACCAAACCCCTCGTGCCGACCTTATCGCAGCCTTCTCTCCCGACCCGGCTGAGATTGCCTGGGGAAGGCAGAACCTAGAGCCTTACGGTGTCACTTTGTACGATGATTACGACAAGATGCTGGACCACCCCGAGTTGCAGGCAGTGGTGATCGGGACAGCCACCTCTGTGCACGCTGAGGAAACGATGAAAGCTATCGACCGTGACCTGCACGTCCTCTGCGAGAAGCCATTGTCGATTGATGTTGAAGTGGTATGTCCCCCCTCAGTTTTGTCCCCCCGTGTCCCTTTACTTTCATAAGTTTACTTTGTCTGTCTCTACCAGTGCAGAGCCGTTGCCCAGAAGGTCAAGACCAAACCGCATCTCAAAGTGATGTGTGGGTTCTCGCGGCGGTTCGATGACTCCTACCGGGAGGTACATGATAAGATCAGCCAGGGATTGATCGGACGGCCCTCCATCGTTCGAAGCCAGACCTGCGACAAGTACGACCCATCCGGGTTCTACGTTGCCTACGCTGCATGGTCTGGTGGGGTGTTCGTTGACATGTCTGTGCACGACATCGATCTCACCTTGTGGTTCATGGGCGAGGACTCAATCCCTAAGAGCATTTCCGCCCATGGAATCACAGCGGTTCAGCCCGAGCTGAAGAAATACAAAGACTACGATAATGCCGTTGGCATTGTCGAGTTCCACAATGGGAAGATCGCCTACTACTACTGCTCTCGGATGATGCCTCATGGTCAGGAAGATACAACAGAGGTTATTGGCACCGAGGGGAAGTTGTCTGTCAACATCAACCCCCAACGCAACTTTGTCAACTACTACCACGCCAATGGCATCACTCGTGAAGTTCCTGCAAACTTCCACGGTCGCTTTGGAGCTGCATTTACGAGGGAATCGAACGAGTTCACGGCCTGCTGCTTGGATAACACCCCGCTACCGCTCAAGCTGTCCAATGCGGTAAAGGCTGTCGAGATTGGGGCATATCTCCAGGAGGCACTGGTGACGGGGAAGCAGATCCACTTCGACGAGATTGGCAGGCGGATCGAGAAGGCTCAACTATGAGCTCTCAACGGAGTGTTGTCTTTGTTATTCTCACCATCTTATGTCCTTGCTTGAAAAACATCAGGAATGTCATATAAGAAATATACATATCTTATGAACAAAATGACCCCAGAGAGAACCGATTTGAAAACGAAACCCGCGAAAGTTCCCTAGAGATCAAACGTACTGTGTAGACTTTGTGTATACTGTGTAGATGGCAGCCACGCACTAATCCCGAATCAGCCCCCAACGGTCCCCCGCATTCCGCCCGAGCTTCTCTACTCCCTTTCGCTTTTCCTCTCCTGGCGTTCTTCGATCCTTCCTCAGACTCTCACTGCCCCCCATCGTCTCACCATTCGACATGATATCATTCTATCTGAAACACAATTCTACTTCCGATCATCCGATGATGCGACCGTCTCCACCGCGCGTCGCCAAGCGACCCAGAGCCCGGGCGGGGGTTCCAGAGCGCCTGGCCGCTCCTGCCGCGCCGCGCAACTGCCAATGACGAAATGCACGGCTGACGACAGCCACGATCGACAAGCTCTCTCCTCCCCCCCAGCCAGGGGTTCTCCACGCTTGACCTGTCTCGCCCCGTCTCCAGTTCTGGTGGCCTTTGCTCTTTCCGCCCTCGTTCCCGCAACCTACAATCAATCCTACTATATTTATCCTTCGTCCATGCGGTCTGACGGTCCCCATCCTATCTATTAACCTACACCCGCGGCTGGAACCCCGGGACAGTTAGCCCGCCATGTATCTGGACTATACTAGGAACCTCGGACTCGGCTCGCTCGCTACCATGGTGCTGTCAGCCTTTACGACGCGCGAGCGGGATCTCGTCACCCATAAGCCGGCCTTGCCTCCATCATATCCTCTGGCTGTTCGAAGCCCATACCTTTCGGCATGGATGCCCAGCGATCAAGTGCAGACGTTGCCGTACGCGGAGCCCCAGTTCTGGGCCGGGCAGAGTCTCACATGGTCGGTGATGGCCCGTATTGATGGCCAGGCGTACAGTTTGCTGAGTGTGAAAAACCCCAGCGAGCACATCCGCCCGGGTGTCGTGCGGAGTGCGGAGTATACTGCGACCCATTCGGTGTTTATCCTCACTGCTGGTTCCGTGGATTTTACGTTGGATTTTTTCTCGCCGATAGCTCCCTCGAATTACCTGCGACAGTCCCTTCCGTTTAGTGAGATGCTCTCCGATATTATAGCGACCGACCAGGGAAGCTGACTGTTGTTCTAGGCTATCTCACGGTTTCGATATCTGGGGCTTCCTCTAATGATGTTCAGATTTACTCGAGTATTGATGGAAGATGGACTGGAAAGCCGCAAAGTACTACTCGAGATCTTCAACATGTAAACTCGACCGTCATGTTTTCCCTGGGAGTGAAGAATGCCACATCCTTCTCGGAGGATAGCGATATGGCTACCTGGGGTGAGGCGATCTTAGCATCTCGCCCGAATGCCACGTCCAAGCTCTCCTTCGCCTCGGGGAAACGGGGAGATGTGCGTTCTCAGTTTGTAAAGTCTGGAAAGTTGGTCGATGACAATAAACCTTGGGTTCCGGGAGGAATTGTTGCGCTTGCACACGATCTGGGGACGGTTTCTGGAAGAGAATCTGTCAACTTTGCCGTGGGACACGTACGGGAAGAGTCCATAAATTACCTGGGCAAGCCATACACTGGATATTATCGATCTCAATTTCCGGATACCTACCAGGCGGTCTCATATTTCCTCGATGACTACCCGGCTGCCCTCCAGGAGTCCTTGGTTCTGGACTCAGAAATGGTTACGCAGGCTAAAGCTGCCGCCGGTCAGAAGTACGCGGATATTGTCACCCTGTCGGCTCGTCAGGCATATGGAGGAATGGAGCTGACTATTCCCAATGATAACCTCGACGTCACCGACGTGCTTGCGTTCATCAAGGAGCTTTCCAGCAATGGGAACCTCAATACCGTGGACGTCATCATGCCGGCCTTCCCTATCTACTATATTTTGGACCCGGACTATATCCGACTCCTGCTGGAGCCGATGATGCGGTATCTCGCCGCCGGGCGCTGGAAGAAGCCATATGTCATCCACGATATGGGCAAGCATTACCCGAACGCTATTGGTCATGACAACCAGGAAGCCGAACCTATGCCCATTGAAGAATGTGGTAACCTGATGGTGCTGATGCTTGCCTACGTTCGTGCCACGGGTGACACGCAATGGGCCGCTCAGTATACCGACCTTCTGCAAGGTTATGCGGACTATTTGGTGGACAACGGCGTCAATATTGCGGAGCAGCTGTCGTCCAACGACGCCGCCGGTGCTCTAGCCAATGAGACAAACCTCGCCATCAAGGCTGCCGTTGGCATCAAGGCATTTGGGGAACTAACTGGACTTGACGAATACTCGCGGATTGGCGAGGCACGAGCCGATCTGTTCTTCACGCAGGGCCGTGGAACGGACGAAAAGAAGACACATTTCGTGCTACAGTACCCCAACAAGCCAGCCTCATGGAAGATCCCCTACAACCTCTATCCTGATGCGCTCCTGAATCTGCAGACCTTCCCCGAGGCCGCTTACCAAATGGGAAGCACCTTTTTCCGGTCTGTGCGAGCCGAGTACGGGGTGACCTTGGATAACCGGCAGGACTGGGCCAAATCGGACTGGAACATGTGGTTAGCGGGCACTTTCGATCGGAGCACGCGAGATCAGTTTGTTGATGACCTGTGGGCCTTCATGACAAACGGCAAACACCATTGGCCGTTCTCCGATCGATACATCGCCACCTCCGCCAAGGGGAGGAGTCCGGGGGTGCCGGTGCTGTGCCGCGCCCGCCCGACAGTGGGTGGCCATTTTGCCTTGATGGCACTACAAGGGCCCAAGTCTCTTCAGGCTGCGGTGTCAAGAAAGGTGTTGGGCGGTGGCGAAGGTAATGATAATGGCAGCAACGACGACCAAGATTTCTTTGATCAGCAGGGAGAGGAGCTGTGAGTCCGATGGGCGGAGCAGGGGCTCTGCGGGAGACGACTTGCTCGTGAATGTATATATCAATAGTTTAGGTAGATAGGTCAATCTGGATCACTTGGAATATCATGAAGGTCTCATGCGGTCGGAGTGTTTATTGTGCCTTTCCAATTTAGGAAGTATGATTGCCGGATGGTGCCTCAGGAAAGAGTCTGGCCCAGGGCTGGGAGTGAATGGTGCTACCAGCGGTACCACCAACACCGGGCCCCGGAGGAGAGCAGCGACATGTCTGCAAGAAACGGTCAAGGAGATTGAAATTGGAGGATGCGTAAGGTGAATGAAGAAAGTATGGTTAATGTGCAGCGGTGGTCCCCTTGCGCCTTGCGCCCGCTGGGAGCTGCCCCTGGCGCTTACCTAAGCCGCCGGGCTTGGATTGGCGGCCCAGCAACTCAGAGTCTCGCTGGCTCAGTCTGTAAACCGCCTCGTTGTGCTTGCTTCTTCCTCTCCCCAGTCGTCTTTTCTTCTTCGCCTCCCTTCCTCTCCGCCCCGTTTCTTTCCTCTTTCCTCCTGCTTCATCATCTACACTGCCTTCCTTCTTTCTCGTTTCCCCGACCTCTCATTAGACCCTACTCATGGCTTCTGTACGTGCTCCTGCTCGTTTCTTCTCCCCCCCTCCCCCCCCAATAGCTGTTGGCTGTCCAACGTCATGCCCCCCCCCCTCCCCCAAACCCCAACCACGCGTTCGGCGATCTCCCTACGTGCTGAAGTGAGAGACTACTGGCCTTCTGCTGACCGCGTGCTTCTACTCTAGCCCCGTCCCCCACACAACTTCGCTCCCCAAGGCTATCCTCTCCCCAACGGTGCCATACCCTCGGGCCCTGTCCCCGGCGCCGCTCCTCTCCTCCCCAACAATGGCCGCATCATTCAGAACGGCCCCGTCAGAGTGCTGTGTATTGCGGACGTGCGAGGTATGTGTCCCCGGATACACCTCCGGTGGCGATCCCGGCCCCGGGGAGCACGATCGAGCTGACCTGGGAACGCTGTTTTGCTTTTTCCGTGACGCAGGTAATCTGAAGTCTCTGAATGAGCTCGCCAGACAGGCTCGTGCCGACCACATCATCCACACCGGTGACTTTGGTTTCTACGACGATACTTCGCTCGAGCGCATCGCAGATAAGTCAGTCCGGCCTCCCCGATAATCCGTCAAGCTTGCTTCAGAGCTGTGATGCACCGCTACATGTGATTGGATCTACTAACGCGGCTCCTCTGGCAAACTATAGGACCCTGAAGCACGTGGCCCAATACTCTCCTCTGCTACCCGAAAATGTGAAGCGGACTATCGCCCAGACTCCTCCCCAGCAGTCCATTAAGCAACGATTCACGCCCGACCAGCTACCCCTCTCAGAGCTTCCCATGCTGCTCGACAAGCGGCTGACCCTCGATGTTCCTGTCTACACCGTCTGGGGTGCCTGCGAGGATGTCCGTGTGTTGGAGAAGTTCCGTTCCGGGGAGTACAAGGTTGACAAGCTGCACATCATCGATGAAGCCAACTCGCGACTGCTCGATATCGGCGGCGTCAAGCTGCGTCTGTTGGGTCTGGGAGGTGCGGTGGTCATGCACAAGCTGTTCGATAATGGCGAGGGCAAGACTACCATTGCGGGTGGCCAAGGCACTATGTGGACGACCTTGCTGCAGATGGGAGAGCTGATTGACACAGCGAACCGCGTATACGACCCGTCGGAGACCCGAATCTTCGTCACGCATGCGTCACCGGCCCGTGAGGGTATGCTGAACCAGCTCTCCGTCACTCTGAAGGCGGATTTCTCCGTCTCCGCCGGTTTGCACTTCCGCTACGGCTCGTCGTACAACGAGTTTTCCGTCAACCCCTCCCTGGACCACTACCGTGGCAAGCTCGCCGCTTCGAAAGCTTCGTTCAATGATGTGTGGGAGACCGTGCGGGGTGAGGTCGAGGCCGCCATTTCTCAGAATGAGGCTCAGAAGACCCTGTTGGACAACGCTCTCGAGGTGGTGAACCGGATGCCTACCGTCCCCAACGGCGGCAACCCGTTCGGTGGACCCACCGCCCCCGGCAACGCAGCTGGTCAGGTCGACGAGAGCGCCTTCAAGAACATGTGGAACTTCAACTTGGCGGACGCGGCGTTCGGCTTCCTGGTCCTTGAGATCGAGGCGGGCCGGATCGCTACCGAAATGCGCGCCCAAGGTTTCAACTTCGCCCACCGTACCGGAAAGCCTCAGCTTGTTGCTGCCGGGCAGGCTGCTCCCGCTCCCAACGCTGCCCCCGGTCTTGCCTCTCCCCGCGTTCCGGGTGCTGCTCCTCAGTTCGGCCAGGCCCAGCCTATTCCGGTGCACGCAGGTGGCCCTGGACCCCAGCAGCGTCCCACGCAGGCTCAGGCCCAGGTCAAGACTCCCGCCGTCGCTCCCACTCGTACCTCTCCTGCTCCCGTGATCCCCAAACCTGCCACCCCACAGCCCGCTAGCACCCCTGCCACCCAGCCCTCCGTTGCGTCTCCCGAGCGAGCTCCGGCTGAGGCCAATGGCACCGACAAGCCGTCTGAGTCGCCCCTGCCCAAGGTGGAGAAGAAGCAGAGTAACGCCCTGTTCGTCTCGAACGTTGACAACGAGCAGGCTGTGCGCGAACTCTTCCCGGAGGACGACAAGGCGAAGGTGCTGAAGATCGAGAAGTGGGGCAAGTACAACCATGTGGTCACCTTCTCGACTATCGAGGAGGCCAAGGCCGCTCTGGACCACCAGCCCACGGAGCACAAGAAGCCCACTCCCGCCAACCAGCCCCGTAAGCCCAACATCAAGTTCTTCGAGGACCGTGGCAGCCATCGCGGCAACGCTGGCACGTGGCAGGGTAGCAACCGGGGCGGCAATGTCTCCCAGCGCGGCTACCAGAGTGGAGGAGCCAGTGACAGCGAGACTAACCGGGGACGCGGATTCAGCCGGGGCCGTGGCCGTGGCGACCGTGGTGGACGGGGAGGACGAGGTGGTCGCGGTGGCTTCAACAAGGGAGCTGCCTCGGAGTCTGGTCCCTCGGCATCGACGCCCTCGGGTGACAAGCCGGCCGCGACTGGAGGCGACGCCTGAAGTGTGAATGTGCTTGATTCCCCGTTCTGAATTCATGTCCACCTTTGTTTCTCCAATATCCCATTTTACCTTTCGTTTCGAAAGTGTTGTTTTCTCCCTGAGCCATCTATCTTTCTCTTTTCCCGCCCGGGGTTCCTTCCCATCTACGCCACGGGTGTCCGATCGATATTCTAATTTCTATTGTCGTGATACTTTGACAACGGATGTCTTCTCCGCCCTTCTTAACATTTATTGTCCTTTTTTCTTTCTTTTCTGTTTTCAGCGAGATGTGCGTCAAAACTTCTTTTCCCATTTATCTTCCTCTTTTCCTAGTAGACACTCGCGCCGGCGACTGGATTGATCTCTCATTCCCCCCATTGATTGGTCGGTTCCATCCCGCTCGGATCCCTAGGGCTTCAGGAGTGGTGGTTGGTGTGGATCCGAAGCAGCAAGCAGGGGGAGACAGAGACAGACGGGGATGGGGACAGAGGAAGCAGGCGAAGCGAGCTTGGTATGGTATGCTATGACATGGTTCTTTTCATCAGTTGTTGGTTGGTGGGCCGGGCAAACGGAACGGAAATAAAAAAGCGAAGCGATGCTCAGCATTGAGGTTGTTTTCTTCTTTTCTCTGCCTTTCTTTCTTTTTTCTTTTTCTTTTCTAAAACAAAACAACCCAAGAGGAAGAGAAAAGGAGTGAACGATCGATTGATCTCCCCCTCCCCCCCCCAGAGGAGAAAGAGAAAAAAAAAGAAAACAAATTCCTAAAGGAAAAGAGTGGGAGACAACATCAGAGACAGGTATGATATACCTGCATCTGACTGACTTCTTTTGTATTTTACTACATCTCTTTTTTTCTTCTTTTTCTAGTCTCTTTGATTTTGTTGTTATTTGTTTGTTATTTGCCTGGATCGCACCACCAATATCGATACCCTTGTAACTTCAGCGGTTTTCCCTCCTCCCCCTTTGTAGGTTCTGTATTTTTGTTGATGGGTGGGTTGCTGTTTACTACTTGGATGGATGGGTGGTCTGGCTATCTATCTATCTATTCATCTATCTATCTTTAGCTTCTGGTAGTAGACTGGGTAAGGAGGTAGGTAGGTAAGTAGGTACGTAGGCAGAGGTTGATCAGAACGCATATAGATCGATCGATAATGTGCTTGATCTGCTACATGTACATCGGACTGCGGGCTATGTATGTATTTAGTAGTATTTCTAGGAATGATTAGGATGGTTGGTGGGCGCGTATATACTATCTATCTACTGCCTCGAAGTGTTCGATGAAAGATACATTCATAATGAAGCAAATACATAGAAAGAGAAGTACTTCTCTAGACTAGAATAGAAAAGAGTAGAGACAACTCGAGTATTATTAGTTTCAGATCCATAGACTCGAGATATACACTAGATAGATGATATGATATGGTATGACAGGACACAACACGACTCAAGAATCAAATCAAGTGTGAGAACCAACGAGATAATATTTCCAAGACCAGACTGTTCTGACCTGACCTGAAATATGCCAGTGAAAAAAAAAAAAAAAAAAAAAAAAAAAAAAAAAAAAAAAAAAACCTCAATAATTCCTGCTGGTTTGAACAGGCACATGGGTGGGTGGATGTTGACCAGACACCAATTGAACCAGTCCAGCACCAGCACCAGCTAGTGCAGAGGAATAAAACCTCCGATGATGCTCGACGGTTAGTAGCGGATGATGACGATGTTGGCAGTGCATGTCCAACCCACGCGCCACAGCCAATAATACGCAAGGAACATATACGCCGAAGGTACCGTGTGTGTGTGTGTGTGTGTGTGTGTGTGGTGTACAGTTTGCCAACCCGAGGCTTCCTAGAGAAGATTTTATCTTGAACAAACCGTGCCTCCCGTTCGCCGGCCGCGGATTTAAAACAAGAAAGGAAGACGAAAAATGAGAAGGTACAGTGGAAATGAAGATATTTAAGTGGCAGGGATTTGCTTTGCTCCAGGAGTCTTAGAATATCCAGTAGAGATGAGAAGAGAAATGCGGTAAATATCCGGGCGAACTCCAAGGTTTCGTCCCTTGCGTTCATTCGAAACCTCTCGTATCCATTTTCTTTTGTCGTAACGGCGTCAACAACGGTGTTGTATTATAGGTATGGGTATCTGAAACGCAGAATGATGGTAAGGAGAGTGGCGACGGAGGCAGGCGGGCGACGCGGCTGCTCCGTGTCGTGCTTTCCCCGGGGGACTACTTGGCCCGTCCCATGATATCGTCCACATCCTGCTGGTTGACGACCACCCCGCCCTCGGAACACCGGGCCTTCATGCGTAGTTCGGAACACAGGTTATCGACATCGAGTTCGCCGTTGCGGAACCTCTCCATGGATTGCAGACGATCCCTGAGAAAAAAAGGGTTAGCATGACGTAGTTGTCTAGCAAAGGAAAAAAAACATACCAAATCTTCGTGCAGCTCAACATCAGAGACTTGTCTTCACCCGGTACCATTTCCTCCTCATCCAGCTTACTGTCGATCTCGGCGATCAGGTCCTTCTTTGCTGGCGGTTGGTTGGTCACTTCAGTGAGGTTGTGCGAAGGGCTTCCCAGATCCGGAAGGGGGAACGCATCATCAAAGAAAGTTCCAAAGTCCTGGGACAGAATCGCATCCTGGGGCTCACGCCAATCCCCAAACAGCACGGGATCAAACTGGCCACCGTTCTGTTCAGCGAGCGTATCAAGCCCGGAAATATCTTCATTAGAAGGCTCGTCATGGGTAGCTGGCTCATTGGGGGTGTTCGAAGCGCTTTGGCTGTTATGCCTGACAGCGGGAACGGGATTTCTGATATTGCCGCATGCCATACCAAGCTGCGCACAAAATGACTCCTCCCCGTTGATGGAGGCATAAGTGCAGGCTTCGTGGGGATCGTGGTGGTGCAGCTTGGTCGCGGGCGAGTTCGTCGTCGGTTCTGGGGAGGTGCCACTGGACGAGATACCGTGGCTCTGGTGTGAATCGGACGAAGACGATGGCGAGTCAGTGTTAGAGACATCATGCGTGGAGGTAGACTGGCTACCGCCGTGGACCGACGACAGCTTCGGAGTCGCGTTCGTCATGGAGCCGGGGGTGGATCCCTGCTGCGACCCAGCGACACTGTTGGCTCGTTGACCGTTCAGAGCGTTTCGGCTCAGGACACCGGGAACATAGGAGTGGTTACGGGGTGCGGCTGGTGGCTGTTCTCCCTTGGTGTTGTTTTGCTGTGTCCTAGCCAGCGGGCTGTTATTGAAGATTTGCGAGCCCGGAAGATCTCCAAACTTGGGGAAGTCGAACATGAAGTCGTTGTTGTGTAGGCCATATCCTCCCTTGGAATGGGCTCCTGGGATGGCATTCATGGCGGAGACCCCGTTTCCAGTGGTCATCCACGAGAGACGCTTGCGATATTCTTTCAGTTCAACCTGCAAACGTTCAATCTGGGCGCGGAGCAGCCCGTTCTCTTGACTAGCATCGTCCGACGCTTTCTGCAGCTCATCCACCTTTGTCTCCAGATCCTTCAGATGCTTCTCCTTCCGCTCACGGAATGCCCGCTGCGCCGCCCGATTCTGTGCCTTGCGCTTCTGTAGGGTGGTTAGTACCAGGGTGGCCACTACGTCACCGGTATCGCCATCACGAGGATACGTACCGAAGTTGGCTCGGAAGTCAAGGGCTTCCTTCCCGGCTTCTTGGCCGCCTTGTCGTCGCTTTCGCGCCGCTTTTTGCCCGACCCTTCATTTTCATCCAAGGGTTCATCCATATCCTTTCTCTTCTCGCCCGATTCAGGTTCTTCCGACAAGCTCTCGGGGAGATCGCCGATCAGGTTCTCGGAGCCCTGGAGATCAAAGTCGAGCTCGGGGTTGAAGTCGAGAAAAGGGCTATCGTCATCCCCGTAACCCAGGCCCCCAGAGTGAGGCTGGGAGGGGTCAAAGGCAGGACTCATGTTGAAGCTCGCGGATGAGGCGTTACCAGGGGTAGATTCAGGATCGGACTTGGGTCCCGATGGCTGAGTGTTGTTCTGCTGCTTCTGAGGCGGATTGTTGGAAGAGAGAGCAGCGAGGAGGAGATCCTGTTGATCAGGGGACAAGTAGAGACTGTGCTGGTAGAGGGCGTTGTAGTCGGTCATTTTGCTTACGGGTAGTCGTGTCGGACCAGGCTAAAAGCGGGGAAGATAAAAGCACGTTGGCGGAGCGCTGAGGATGATGATTATGTATGAAGTCGCTTGGACTGCGTGCTGCCAATTTAATCGCCTACTCGATGAGGGTTTGGCCGGGCTTCCCGCCCGTTCGTGGGTATCGAAGGCTGGCCCCGGCAATGGGGAATGGATGAGGGGGAGGGCTTCGGTACGATAGTACCTGGCAGGGACGCGAAATGGAACGGGTTGTAGATGTGTTGAACAAGACAACAGCTGTCGAGTTGAGGGTAGTTGGTGGTGTCGGGAGACGATGATGGGTGCGAAGCGTTGGGGGAGGGAGGGAGTGGTGCGGAGAGGTGAGGTGAGGCTGGGAGAGAGACCAGATCGAGGACGGCAATCCGTGAAGGAAAGGCGAAGAGAAGCAGCCGAGACGCACAAGCCGCAACGAGGTCTGACGAACCAAGCAACGGGACTAGCAGTACGTAGTAAAGACTAAGTAAGGAAAGTAAAAGGAGGCAGGCCCAATGCGACTCGGGACCGGACTCGTGGAGAGGAAAGAGGGGCTTTGCGGGTGAGACGAGGAGGGAGGATGATGCAAGAGGAATGGATCCGAGCAGGGAGGGGATGCAGTAGTAGGCGCCGAAGCAGGCGAGGAAAGGCGTGGAGGGTCTGGCCGGATGAATCAGGGAGTGGGAGGGAGGGTAGGGGGAGAAGGGCTCGAGTCTCAGGAGTAGTCAGAACGATGGATGGATGGATGGATGGATGGATGGATGGATGATGGATGAATGGACGGATGGAATGCATGGAATCTTCTCAGCGCGGAGGGGGCGAACGGTCTCTGCCTGAGGTTGTCTGTCACACTGGTGCCGCCCGGCAGATTCCACGCCGATGATTGGGTATGAAAAAGCGGGGGAGGTAGAGCAGCCAATCACAGTCACCTACCCCCCCATTCCCCCCAGTCCACCTTTCAGGCTGCTTAGAAATCCAACCTGGAGCGCCTCAATTTTCTGTGCCCGCCCATCTTCTTCCACGTTGGCTGATTGGCACCAACTGATACGACCCCGTCCCGATCGATGGTCCATCCCTGCCTCGACACGGTCTAGATATCTCTCTACCTAGTACCCCGTATCTTCTGTACGCCTACCGTAACAGGATGCAGATATTTAATCAGGGGGTTAGTCCCCCGTCCGAGATTGCCCTGCGCCGGCCTCCTGAGCCATCTCTCCTAGTCTTCCTCCGAGTGACTCATGTTGCGCCACTCCACGCGGCTTCTTTGTCGCGATGACTTCACCGCCCAGACAGGGCGCTGTCCAGACGATCGCTGTGGTGCGATTTCGGATGCCGCGGATGACTCAACCTACGTCAACAGTCCTGTTCTCCGTCATGGAGCACATAGAAGAGATAATACAGGATCACCAGCACCCGGGGAGACAGAAAAAGTGGCCGAAGCTCGCATGTATCTTGTTGAATGCCAGCCAGACCGGGGCAAGCGGTGTGAGCCCGTAAAGGATCTCGATCTCCGATGCTAAGGTTTAGGCTGTGGCGGCGGCCAGGTTGCAACGACTGACGACTCCTCTCGTCTCTGGTTGACCCAGCCATCTGACACCGCTTGCCCAAGAGTTCCCCGTTCCCCGTGCACCTGGCCGGATGAGCGATAACGCTGTAGGACGGACACTTGGCTGGTCTCTGGCCAATAGATAATTCACGCCATCGGTTGTCCTTAGTTCCGGTTCCGACTGACGTGAAGATCGACTACTATGGAGCGGACACCAGCCCGTTTGACCCGTAGTCTAGTGGATGCACTCCGATGCAGGCTAGGCTTAAAGTCGGACCTTTTCTGATCCTCCGTTGTCCGCCATGACTGTAACCTTGGTTAACTTTATTTGGACTGGAGAGGGGGTTCCGATTAGTAGGAACTGCTTGAAACGTAGAGTATCTTGCACACAGTAGAGAGTAGAGTTGGACACGGAGCTGACAGCCATTGACCATTGAACCCGCCCGTCTTGGTTGTGGCGGTGTAAGGCCACGTGACACAAACCGCCACGGGGCCCCGCCACGGCCGCTTGTCCGCATCTGCAACCTCAGATTTGCTCCAGCCCAACCCATCCATCTCCCTCCATCATCTCCCTCCACCATCGCCGTCTCCATCCCTCTCTTGGCCTTCAACCCGGAGTTGATTACGTTCCTTTCTCCTTTCTTCTCCGTCTCCACACCCATAATGTCAGAAATCGCTGCCCTGGAGGCAGAGGTCAAGGAGTTCAAGCTCCAGGTACGCGCCAAAACGCTATCGCATCGCATCGCATCCCCATCCTCATCCTCAGTCCCGACTAACACCCATGCCTTCAGCTTGAAACCGTTCAATCGAGTTTGCAGGTAGACCCAGACAACACGGAATTGCAGAGTCTCAAAACTGAGCTGGAAGAACTTATAAATCTCACCGAAACATCCATTGCCGAACTCAAACCATCCGCGCCAGAACCCCAACAACCCCAACCCACCGCGGCGAAGGATCGCAGCACGAGGGACAACGACAGCTACAACAACAGCAACAGCTATACCTCCCAGACTCCGACCCCGACGACCTATCGCAAATCAGCGGTCGAACAGCCCGACGAGCCAGCCATCCAGACCTCCTTCGCCGTCAATGAACACGTCCTCGCCCGCTGGGTGTCCGGCGACAACTCGTTCTACCCGGCGCGCATCACCTCCATCACCGGCTCCGCCACCAACCCCGTCTACCTCGTCTCCTTCAAGTCCTACGGCACGGTGGAGAATCTAACTTCCAAAGACATCAGGCCCATCTCCGCCAATGAATCGCGAAAGCGCAAGGCTGATGCAAGCTCAGGCAATTCTTCTTCGCAATCACCGGCTCCGCAGCCGCCCCACGCCAGCGTGATCTCCGCCGCCGCGGACATCAACCCCGCCTTGGCCACCCAGGCCCGCAAGGAGCCGAGCAAGGTGAGCGATGGGCCGGCGCGACCTTCCAAGGTGCCGAGGAAGGTGAAAGCCAACAAGGAGCTGGAAGCCGGCAAGATGAAATGGAAGGATTTCGCCAGCAAGGGGAAGCTGGGACGTAAGGATAGCATGTTCCGCACCGGTGATGGGCCGAATGCCCGAGGTGAGTTACCGTCACCCCCCTCATCCATCACCCCCTCTCGTCAATGACATGACACTAACTCCAGCAGTGGGCTTCACCGGCTCCGGCCAAACCATGCGCAAAGATCCGTCGCGGACACGACACGTCTACCAGCAGGGCGAGGAGGAAGGCTACTAGCCGGGTTTTCTTTTTTCATGATTCATGGGCTTCGTTCTATGTTGTTTTATCCTTACCCTGTATCACATCGCTAACGGGCTGTGGTGTCAAATTTAGTGAAGCGAGCCAGTCGTACATATTTGGAGTTGAGAAGTCTAGATGCATGCATCGTGGAGCTGCATCATCAGTAATTTATGACTCATTTGTGGTCCTTTCCCCCGTCGTCCACCCTTCTGTATTGTAATATTCTACCTATTTTGGACGGTCCTGGTATCTTGGGTACCTGGTAGGTAGGTATATGTCATCGAATCCAATAATTGAACATGAATACACACTGTCTACCCCCCCCCCCCCCCCCTCCCATCCTGCCCCATAACTTATTGAATTCAACACATCCTTCTACTATCCTTCACTCAAAGTGACAACAAGCCGCCTCTTTGACATCAACGGGCAAGATGGCCGAGCGGTCTAAGGCGCTAGGGTCAGGTACCTGATCACACATATTCATCCGAATATTCCTAGTCTCGAAAGGGGCGTGGGTTCGAATCCCACTCTTGTCATAGATTTTTTCTTTTCTTTTTCCCCGTCGTGGAGCCATCCATCTTACCTACCGGATGCCCTTCCAGATAATGGATAAAAAAAAACATATTATGGAATCAAATTAGCCAGAACGTTGTTTACTCATACATAACACCCATGAACACCCCCCCCCCCCCCCAACAAGCTTGTCAAAACCTACTACTATGTACTGCTACTATTTCAAATAATAAGCCAAATCACCCCCCTGTTCTCTTTCCCACACCAGCTCCCCATTACCCAGAAACGCGAACGGATTTACGGTGTTGCTGTACCGGATATCGAAGTCCTCGCCGCGGATAGTCGAAATAGCCTCTATACCAGGGGAAATTATCATTCAAGTCAGCCATGAATTAACTCCCCAGGGCATATGGGGCTGGGCAGGTAACATGCCTTTGAAGTGTAGAACACTTCCGGGATACATAGCCGTGACTACAGATCCATTGTTGTACCAGGCTTGACAGCCTGTGCTCCAGACAGTGTGCTTGAGGTTTGCTTGCGCGTAGCGGTTGTACATGTGGATGGCGGAGTCTTTGACTACGACTGATCTGGTACTGTGTTAGTAGAGAGAGGTATATTTTGTTACAGGCCTGGGATATGAAAGGAGATCGGGGGGGGGGACATACTGAATATCCTCGCGGCCCATTTTCTTCACCCACTGCAGCATGTAATCCGCACTCCAGGCCAACATCTGCGGGACGCTGCCATGTCCGATCGGGCAATTGGGACCGGCAAACATGAAGTAATTGGGGGCACCGCCCGCACAGATGGAGAAGTATGCCTGGGGGGTGTTTTTCCAGTCAGTGGTGAGTTGGCGGCCATTACGACCCACAAGGTTCCAGGCCGGAATGAAGGTGCTGTCGAACCCTGTGGCGCAGACTATCAGATCGAAGTCGTGCTGCTCGCCTTGGCTGGTTTGGATACCCGTCTTTGTGATGCGCTCGATGGGGTCGAAGCAGAAGTCCGCGTTGGGTTCCTGCATGGACTCGAGGTATCCGTCTCCCGGCGAAAGGCGACGGCATCCGATTTCCGTCTTGGGGATCAGCTTGTCGATGAGGTGTGGGCTTTTGTTGAGGCGTTGTTGCATTAGGCCGGAGATGGCGTTGAGGAGACCCCGGTTGTGCTCGGAGCCAGTAAGCATTAATCGGTAGACGGTGTTGACGCTGTTTCGAATGATTATTAGGAAGAGGGGGTGTATGTGATGAAGGGAGGACAGGGGCGACTCACGAGCGTTCTACCATTTTCCTGTACTCCAAGAAGCCTTCAGGGTCGTCTCGGAATTTGGCCTTTTCTTCCTCGGTGTACTCAAAGTTGGTTCCCATGCCATCTTTGGTCACGTCGGGGCAAAGGTTGACTGATACCCAAGTTGGTTGTCGGATGAAGTTGACGATTTTGGCGGCCTTGGGCTGCAGTGCAGGCACAACTTGTAAAGCTGAGGAGCCATTGCCGATGACTGCAATCCTTTTGCCAGTCCAGTCGTAGGTTTTGTCCCAGGCAGCTGTATGTAGGAGTTTGCCCTTAAATTGGTCGAGACCAGCAATGTCAGGCATCTTCCACCGGTTTTGGATTCCTCCTCCATTAATGAGAATATCGGCTTCATCTTGAAGAAATGCGCCGTCTTGCTCTAATTTTAGTTTCCATTTGCCGTGTTCTTCATTCCATGTGGCCCCGAGGAGTCGCGTATTCAAGACAACATGTTTCTTCAATTCCCATTTTTCCACCGTCTTCAAAATATACTCCTCGATCTCGGCGCCCCCGGCGTAGCACTTTGACCAGAACGGATTGGGTTCAAAGGGGAATACGTAACTATGAGCGGGTACATCGCAGCCCACTCCGGGATATATATTCTCAAACCAGGTGCCTCCGACTTCCTGGTTCTTCTCGTAGATTGTGAAGTCGACAAAGTCTAGGGGCTGCTCGTGCTGCAACTTGTGTGCCAGGATCAATCCGGAGAAACCCGCTCCAATGCAAACAATCTTGAGCTTTCGAGGGGTAAAGGCGAACCGCTTGGGATCCACATTGCACTCAGCAGATTCGCTGAAAACAGGCTCCCTGGACGGCATGATGTTGGCAGATTAGGAAGGTTCTCAATTCGGGGGGGTTTTCGGGCGCGTTGAGCCGTGAACTCGCTGATCATCTGTCGATGACCGGGATGTTGATCCTATTTATGCCAAATAGTTCAACCCAAGTAGCGTAGCATTAGTTAGATGAGAGGCCTCCCTGTGGACCATTCTGACACCAACACCACCACCCATCTCGCCATTGCGCTGGTCTAGCTGCTGTGCCGCCATGATTCCTCTCTTGGAGCCATGCAGCAGCTGAGCGTGGGACATGCCGGCCCGACTGCGAATGAGAGCCAATTGAATTATCTCGAGGCTCAGTCTAGACGCCGACATCAGGGTGGTGTCACCACATATCCTTGTTTAACCCCTGTATATTGGAATTGTTAGTCGCCTCAAGCGTTGACAACTGAGACGTAGTGGCATTTTAGTGCGTCAGAACTGGAACTAGCACTATAATACCTATCTTGGTGTCTGGACACCTTTTCAGCCGAGTGGATTTGCTTCGACAAACTCCGTAGTGAGAAAGAAAATAGCGACCTGGAAAAAACCCCTCCGAGTGGAGCGTTGGAGCTCCCACATGTTGCTGCCCTCTAAATGTTCATTGGGTGATCCTCCCATAAATTATCCCTTGAAGTCTCACTAGGAAGAAACATTGAGTGAAGCGATAGAGCTTCCGCCAACTGCTGTCGTCTAGATACTCATTGGGTGTTTCGCCTTTGAGTTATCCCCGGGAGCCCCAGTGGGCCAATGCCTTCGCCTGGAACCAGACCGGTCGTTGATCCCTGCGGGCTAATAAAAGGATATCTGGTCTTGCGTGGCCTCGTTCTCTAGTTCAGCCTAGTGGGCCCCATAGCACGGGCCGGCTGTCATATCGACGCCAGATTCTTTGTTCCCTTCCCGTGCTTCCGAGGGAAATCGTCCAGCAAGCTTAACTTCACGACCCCGCAGACCCCCTAAACATTTAAATTGAAATTGGAGATGCGCAGGCATCAGCTTCTGCTACTCTGTAGTTCACCCAAAATTCTCGCTCTCATGGCGAGACTTAATCCCTGCTTTTGCGGCATCTTAAATAAACAGGGACTCCGAAGTTCGTAGAGTAGATCCAGTGTTTTCCTTACCTGGTTTCTGTTTCGCAGTCTGGCATGCCTCCTCGAGCCAGCACCATTCAACTAAATGTCAAGCAATATATTTGGTCAACCCCCCTCCGGGACAGACCTCGCTGCGGACCGACGTGGGGTAAACAATGCCGCTGTAACCTCGGCGTATATCATCGCAGCATGTGCCATTGGACTCCGATTTCTTGCCCGAGCGCGAGTGCAGCGGTCTGCATTTGCCGCAGATGATTGGATAATACTGGCTTCTCTTGTATGTTTGAATGCAGAAAAACGAGATCCTATGCTTATAAGTGCAGCTGGGTGTGACTGCAAGCTTTGCTTCTACCATCATCGGTATGCCAATAAAACAGGTATATAGAACAACGCTGATTCAGCTCCTCTCTCAGGGGGACAGTATGGCCTGGGAAAGCACGTCTGGGTCGTTCCGCTACATGGCGTGGTGAAAGTGATCCGGATACTCTTCGCATATGTCCTCTTCTATGTCTGGACCGTGCCACTCATCAAGCTCTCGGTATTGCTCTTTTACCGTCGTATTTTCGGGATGAACAAGGCGATGTGGACTTGCGTCGGGCTGACCATTGGATATTGTGTCTCTTGCACGATCGCCTTTTTTGTTTGCTGTAGACCAGTCTCATATTATTGGACACAGTATGCAGATCCCGATGGAGAAAAATGCGTGTTTAATATGTATCCCTTCTATCTCGGCAATGCTGCAGCAAGTGTCACCACAGATGTGCTAATCTTGTTGGTTCCTATTCCCATCGTTTGGAAACTCCACATGAGAACCACCCAGAAGCTCCTGGTTTGCAGCATCTTTATGCTAGGTGGATTGTATGTCTTCACCCCATCTCACAGTGTCACATTGTCAACCATGGCTGCTATCTCGATGAAACTGACCGATTCGGGAATGATCTCTAGTGCCTGCATGGCGAGCCTCGTTCGAATATACTACATGACGTTCCTCAGCAAGTCAGCGAATATCACATGGATCATGGGAGATGTCTTCATCTGGTCCAGTGTCGAGCCATGCGTGGGCATTGTCTGCGCCTGTCTGCCTACCCTGCAACCGCTGTTCCGACATACTCTTCAGCAACTTTTCGGTTCCCGAGTCGGGCGGTATCTGGGCAGTTCGGCGAACAAACCGTCCGATAAAGGTAGAAGTAAAACTAGTGTCAGGAAGTCTAGGGATTGGGACGAGACTCTACTTGCAACGCAGTCCGTTCAAGTAGAAATGGATGAGTCCAGGAGAGGCAGGATGAGCGAGGAAGGCAAAATCACTGTCGAGACCCATTTTCGACTGGTAGAGGAGACGAGGCACGACAGATAGTAGTCATAGGGAGGGAGGGAGGGAGGGAGGGAGAAAGAGAGAGAGAGCGAGTCGTGATGTCTGTTGTGAAGGAGTGTTGGGGAAGTGAAGAACCGGCGCGCCTTCCTTTTCTCGTCTTCCTCTCTCGTCCTTTCCGGGACCTTTCCACCGGACAAGCAATTACTGGCGGAATTGCAGGTATTGACATTTTGGCGCTTAGTAATTACAATACGAAGCAGCATCTTATTCCAGAATGGAAACTCCAGTGAAACATCCTTCCCCTCGAGCCACCACCGTCTTCTTCCCTTCGGCCACCAGATACACGCATCCGCTCATGTCAGTCACATAGACGCCATTCTTCGATAGTTTCAGACCAATGGGCTCATTGAACTGTCGCGCCAGAATCTCCATTTTGCTCTTCAAGTTCTCCTTGGTGATTTCGCCGTTCAAGTTGACCCGGTTGAGCGAGCAGCCTGTCGGATGCTCTCCTCGATCCGTCCAATACAGCATCTGTGCTTGGCTATCGATATCCAAATCAATTGGCTCAGGGAGCCCATCCAGCAGGCATTCAATGTCATCCCTGCTTTGTGCCGTCCTTCCAGCTGGAACCTCGATCCCACCACGGAATATCCGTCCTTGTCCAGATTTGCTGGGCCCCTTCTGCGTCCAGTAGATGTACCCATTGGCCCGATCGAGAGCGATCCCCACGCACCACCGTGTCATATCTTTCTTCTCTAATGGCATATTGAGGGACCCGGTCTCAACGACTACCTGATGATCCGTCCCATCAAAGTTGCACCGGTGCACGCCCATTCCCCCGCGATCGCAGAAATACAGCTTGTGATCCACGTCATCAACGATGAGTTGCTTCGGGGTGTGCACAGTTCCGGGTTTCAAAAGTGTCTGTACATCGCTTCCGTCTAGGCGGGCAGACTGCAAAGATCCACTTTGGGTAGAGATGGAATTACCCATATTCGTCCAGAACATGCGTCCCGCGGAAGGAGAGACATCGATGCCATCTGGCAATGGCAGCCCACTAACAAGTGTTGACATGCCTCCGCTGTTCAGAGACAGCGTAAGAATGCGTCCCGAGCAGAAGGCCCGCTCAAGTGCGGTATTAGCCCCAAATCCAGCATCGAGTACATACAGCTGCGCAGCTGAGCCTTCGGGCTCGGGAGGATACAAACCGCCCAGCTTGGATTTGCCACCTAATCGACCCTTGATGATGAACTCATCCCTCAACCACTCCACAGTCATACTCCCGTCCAATCCTCTCTCTTTTGCATAATTGTCCTCAACCAACGCAACGGTATCCAATCCAATATGATCCATAAACCGACACGGTGAGAGAGTCCCAGGTGCGGAGAACATGTTTTCCCACAGGAGATCAATCTCTCTGGGTGTGCTAACTTCCTCGCACAAGATACAGAGGATCTCTCGCTTGATAGCGGCCCAGAGACGGTTGAATACGAACCTGTATTACAATCAGTTTTGCAGAACCACGTGGCTCGGGGGTGAAACGGCTAACCCAGTGCTTTCCCTCCTGGCCACGACGGGAAGCATTCCGCACTTTCTTAAGAGGTCTGCCAAATCATCTATAACTTCCTTGACCGTACTCCCACACGTCATTAGTTCAACCGTATTAATTTCCGGTGGCATAGCAAAATGCATGTTCAACACTCTGCTTTTCCTCTTCTCACTCAGCGCGGGAGCCATTAGCCTCGACTTAAAGGAGCTGCTGTTCGACGCGATAATACAATCCTCCGGAACATGGCTGTCTACTTCCTCGAATGTCTTGATTTTCAGCTCAAGCTTCTCAGGAACGGCTTCAAGCACGAGCCACGCATCCTCGAGCGCCGACGAGAGATCGGCGAAAGAAGACAATTGACCAGTTTCTGGATGTGGAGCAGGCGTCAACGCGGTGAAGTTGTGTCTGGTGTGTTCAATATACATCTCCGCGGCGGAAAGGGCATCGCGACTGGGATCGTAAAGATGTACCTTATGGGACCCGGAGAGAAAGACAGATGCAATGCGACGACCAAGGATGCCGGCGCCAAGGACGGTTATTGGCCTTGAGGAACCTTTGGATTGCAGAGCCATGGTGGGTAAGTGAGAGCTTATCTGTCCTGTGCCTGTAGCATAAAAGTGGCGATGTAAGTAAATAGGTTCTCAAATTATTACGCAGCAGCGCACGCCTGTTTATTTATTTCCATCAACAAAAGCTCATATGATCACAGAGATACAGGGTTTAGCGTTTCAATAACCTGTTTACAGGTAAGTGCCTGATTTCTCAGGTGCGCAGCGGAAGGAAACCATGGTCAGGAGCAGATATTGAGGTATTCTCGGCCGTTGATCGAAGGCAAACCCTATTTATGATCACAGAATGACGGATGTAAGTCATTTTACAGCGCGCATGGGCCTCCTGAAAATATTCCAACCAGAAGATGGAGGCAGCTTGGCACGATGCTGTCACGTTTTCAAGATTATGTGGAGGTTTGGATTACTGTTCAAGAGAGGGCCAATTAGCTGGATGTGGTACGCGACCATCTTCCGTCTGATGATATCAGAGCAGAACACTTCCTGGGGATTGGCTTCATTTCGCTTCGAATCTGGTATGTTCCAGCTGAAAAGCCTGGCTAATGCGATAACAGAAACAAAGCATCAATGGCTTCGCATCTTGAGTAAATCCCAAGTTCAGTGGGTCCCTGTGACTGGTGAATAAAGCAGCAGTGCGGCAATGTGGTTTCATCACATATGGTATTTAGCAAGAAGTATTCCTCCAACATAGCCTGATGAGTGAGGGGAACATCCTGCGAGGGATAAACTAGCATTCGGCATGCTCGAGATCCGGAAGCGTAACCACGGGAGACATATCCTGTGGTAGGTCCGGAGTGATGTGAGGATGACATTTCTCAAGTGGAAAAACCCCGCCTTTTTCGCAATGATATACATCACCCAATCTTAACATACCCACAAGCGCATAACCAAGTCCAGCCAACATGCAGCCGCTAGGTTCCCTAGTTAGAGGTAGCCACGACCCCTTGCTGAATTGCATGATCTGCAAAGATTCAATAGCAAAACACAAGATCAAATCCTATACGAGCGGCTTCCGGGCATGGAATTATCGAGTGAAGCTGCAAAGCTTTGTATGTGTCCATACATCTGAGTTGATGAACAAGCCCTTCTCCCCCCCTGAACTATGGAAAGGTCTCTATCGAGCGAGTGAGTATTGTTGCCCTATCTGAGGACTAGGCTAACGGGGCAGTCATCTACAATGCTGGCACATATTGTCTCAGCGGGGTTAGCATACTACACGAAGGCAAAGACCATACAGGGATCATGGTTTTGCCACGAGATAGCGATGCGGTGTTTGTTGGGAAGCCGGAGAAAGCGCCAAACGATTTCATTGAAGCGTATATGGAGACCATATATGATGTGACTCGTAGGGAGCCTCGCGGCTACGCCATGCATGAGCGGTGTTGGGCGCTGGCGATTCAGGTTATGGGCGCAGACGTGATAAAAGCGAACTTGGGTTTTTTCATGAATGGAATGATGAATTCGTGGAGATATATTGATCTTGGTCCTGTGCCGCCAATAATTGGACCGCGCTTAATAGTCCATTACAGGGAAAAGGAATATAAAGGGTCGGCGTTCGAACTCGAGGATCCGGCAGATTGTCAAACCTGGGTCAAGCAGCAGCAAGAGAGGGAAGCCGTGGGCCTACTGGCCGGATGGAAGAAAAAAGCGATGGTGCTCAGCCGTGGGGTTCGACGTTCGACTCACATAATGTGCCTTCGCTCTAATCCTAAAAAGACCTTGGCTGATCTGGTCCCGCCGGAGGATATTGTCATGATGATCTTGGACTTGCTTTCCGCTGGTGACATTGAATCTTTTCTAACAGCATGTCCGCGGTGGGAACAAGTCATTTCGGCGCGATACTGGCGCCGACGTGCGATCAAGGTCCTGAAATTGGAGTTCGAGGAGGTGCCGGACGAGAAGGATCTGAATTGGAAGGACGTTTACTACCGGACTGGGTCTGGACTTCCTATTGACAGCCTGCGAAACCGGCATCGTATCATCACCCATCTTGAAGATGTGAAGGGTCTATTACAGAAGTCTCTAGGCAGCGCCAAAGCCAGCAGAGCTTGAACTTGAACTTGGTTGATTAGAAGGCTTTGCGATGTATCAATCGGCCACTACCGTGTCATGCGACGCCGTTGGTCGAAGCCTTCTCCATTCAACCAACCCCATTGGTTTGTGTGTTATATTGAAAGGGTCCTGTGCTGTGATGATTTTTTACCCAATAATGTTTAGTTCAAATCTGCCCTTAAATTGAATACACTCATCAACCTTCCCCCCAAAAAAAGCTATACTTCCAGCTCTACTATGCGCCCTTCCCCCCACCTATCCCCGGCGGAGAACCGGTGATTCGGAGAACCAGCGATTATCAGAGATCTGAGTGAGCACTAAGAAGTGCTAATCTATCACCCCGCATGGTACAATCTAAACATCAAACTTAGTGTTGAACCCCTGTGACTCATATCATATTTAACCCAAGACCCTTCCACCCCAAACCCTTTCCCTTAAATCTATCCCACCCCACCCACTCCACCCAACCCTAACCCAACCACCACCACAAGTGCCACAATCCAAAATCCAAAATCCAAATGTCGGACCCGACTTTCCGAAATTACACCAGCACGCAGGCCCAAAAATACGCCGAAGCCCGCACCTCCTACCCCAAGGAACTCTACGACATCGTCCTCCGCCACCACGAGCAAACTGGGGGAACCTTCCACACTCTCCTCGACGTCGGCTGCGGCCCGGGCAATGCCACGCGCGATCTTGCCCGATCATTCCAGCGCGTCGTGGGAATTGACGCGGGCCAGGAGATGATCCAGACAGCTCGAGGTCTGGGCGGAAATACAGCCGCGGAGGCGTCTATCTCGTATCATGTTCTCGGGGCGGAGGAGTGTGATAGCGTACCCGGGTTGGAAGGAGGTGGGGTGGATTTGTTGGTTGCTGCTATGGCGGTATCTTTCTCTCTCTCTCTCTCTCTCTCTATCTGTCTTCAGTTTATCCGCTCCAATTCTCCTCTCGTCCTCGTCGTCATAAACAAAGTGACAATAACGCCAATCTAATGCTATTTGTATCAGGCCCACTGGTTTTCCATGCCGGAACTCTGGTCCTCCGCCGCCAAGACCGTCAAGCCGGGCGGAACGGTCGCGCTCTGGACCCGCTCCTCCTTTTACTGCCGTCTGTCTCCCCCCTTCCGTCCCCCTTCGAGTTCTACTTTCCACCCCACCCCTCCCCACTCCTCCCCACCCGCTCCGCCCCCACCCTCACCCTCACCAGCCAAGTTCCAACTCAAAGAAAAGACCCATCAACCCCCCACGCCCCCTTGGTACAAAAAGCCCTCTTCGACCTCGAACTCAATGCGCTGGCACCCCACACGCTCCCGCAAAACCGCCTCTCCCGAGACATGTACGACGACCTCCCTCTGCCCTGGACTGTCTCCCCGGCTGTACCGGAGTTTCCAGAGAGTGAATTTGTGCGCCGCGAGTGGGATCGCGATGGGGTATTGACGGATGGGAAGGATTTCTTTGGTGGGGGGAGTGAGATGACCATCGAGGAGTTGGAGAGGGGGTTCGCCACGGCGAGTATGGTAACGAGGTGGAGGGAGGCGAATCCGGGGCTGGTGGGGACGGAGGGGGATTGCGTGGCTGTTGCGGTTAGGGGGGTGAGAGGGGCGATTTTGGAGGCGCAAGGGGAGGGGGAGGGGTGGGAATGGGATGGGAGGTTGAGGACGGGGATGGGGACGGTGGTGTTGTTGTTTAAGAGGAGGTGAGAGTGGGGAGGTTGATGTACAGTGTTGGTGTTTAGTCTGCTTTGTTGACGTGTATATAGCTGGGCATGTATGTGGGGCGTATGAGTTTGATAGATTGTGACTACATTGCATTGGCTGGAGTTGTATTTGGGGTGGAGAGTAGGGTCATGGTTCGGCTAGTGTAGCTTTTCAAGGTCGGTCAGTAATGGTGGGAGGTATAGTAACTACCTCCTCGGTTTTACAGTTAGCCAACTGGTTAACTGTATAGGGTCATTATCATCGTATAGACCATAGCTAAATGTATTTCAAGGAAAACCCATAGTAATCTCACCTTTTTTATATATCTTAGTATCAGAGGGGTTGCGTATCACGTCAGAGAAATATTACTACTCTGCTATAACACCTATAAGGATAATCATGTCTCCCGTCTCTCCCACCTCTCCCTCTCCCAAGCGAGATACGCACTACTTGGAGCCAAACTGACAGTCCAGACCAGCAACCCTCTTATATTCAATGGAATCAACTCCACTGCTCGATACCAGATAAGGGCCAGACATGTCATTTCATTCTCGTCTACCGAAACAACTAACTACGCGAGAGAGAATTTACAACATCAAGCATAAAGTGATGATTGCCCCTCTGCTCCACGAACAGCTACAAACCCAACTTCTTCGCCTCACCGTCATCCTCAAGCCTGGCCTCAACCCATGCTGGATCCAAGGGGCGCAGGAAATCCGACGGCAAGTGAATGATCCAAGCATGTATCTTCCCCTCCGATGGTGGACCTGGAAAGGTGACACAGAATTCACTCATTTCGACTATATAAACAGCCATATCCCCCCACCGGTCTTGTCTTTCTATTGCTCCCTCTCTGATTCTTCTATCATTCTTTCTCAACTTCGTCACTTACTTGTTCTATCACTTCTTTGAGAAACAGATTTATTATCCACTTTCTCAGTCTTTTACTTTTAACATTATCTGTTCTATCACATCCAACTCCTGTCCTCACTACCCACAATGTCTATCCAGATTTTCTCACCCAGCGACCTCGACATTCTCGTCGACGAAGCAGCCAACACAGAAAATGACACCCTCGCCAGAACAATGACGATGTCGGTGTCCCGCGCCAAGCTCACAGAAAACAGCGAATACTTCCGTGCCATGCTTCAAGGAAACAAGTGGGCCGAGTCCAAGTCCGACGCTATCAGTCTGAAGGACGACCACATAACCGCGATGGAGATCCTGCTCCGTGGACTACACGACACTCTCGACAACATGGACAAGAGCGCTGTCGCCATTGAAGATATTTGGTACCTTGTTCTCGCCCATGACAAGTATCAGATCGACCGGAAGTTATATAGCAAATGGGTCGGTTCTTGGGGCAAGATCGAACTGGCAAAAGAGAGAAACAAGGGGAATGACAACGACTACGACCTCGAGAGAAAGATCCTTTCCCCTGCTTTTGCTTTCGACTGTCCGCAGCTTTTCCAGCACGCTACCAAGACTCTTGTCTATAACAGCCCCGGCCCGATTACCGAGATCAATCCGACATCGATAAGACAAATGCATCTGCCATCCCGCGTACCACGTGAGTTCATATCCCGATAAAGGACAAATTCCTTCCCAGGGAAGAACGAGAACCACCAGCTAACGCCCGAACCAGAGCAGCTGAACGCCGCCCGCGGCCGCCTCCGAACAATCCTGCACAGTGGACTTTTCGAAAGACTCGGCACACTCGTCGCATGCGGAACCTGCGGATGCAAAGAACTCACTGTGTTCGAATATCTGCGCGAGCTGCGCCGCATCAACGTCTGGCCGCTGGAAGACAGCATGAAGAAAACCAGCATCGACGATATCCTTGTCCGTCTGAACGGCTTCAGCCAGAGCAGGATGCGGAAGCGCGTAGACAGCGCCGCCGGCGAACCGAAGCACTGCATGTCCTGTAACATCAACTGGGATGCCACCGTCAGGTCAGTCAACGACCGCGTCAGGAATTATTTCGGTGGCTTGTGTCTGGATTGCATGGATAAGACAAAGAATCTGCGTTTGCATGGTAGTCATGATGATGACTATTGGCACTACTGGGAACGTTATCAGAGCTATGACTCCAAGTGTCGCATCAGTCATGGCGAGCCCACTTGGTATTTCAGTTTCATGGGACGGAGGGAGAAGGCGGGCTTGGTTTCGGATTTTGATGTGTAGTGATTTTCTGGCGGGCGCTTGTATGGTCGTGCCGTACTCTGTACACTGTTGGTACTTCGATCGACGATAGGTGGTCGGTGGGTGGTCTCGGGTTGGGTTCATTTTTGTTGCTTGGCTTGGCTTGGCTTGGCTTCTGTTGCTGGGCTTTTGTTATAGCTTGTGCAATCTCTCCGTTCATGCCTCTCCACCGAGGCCTTGGTTGCTTCGTATTGTCTGGCAGTTCAACTTCCCAAGACGCGAGCATATCTTGCCAAGAGATCGCCATTGTGACAAGATCATGATAGAGACCGGAGTAGTTAATTTCATCCGAAAATGTCCCATTTCCAAAGTGCTCCACTAGAACAGCACAAATCAAACCAATATTAACAATCTGATACCAAGGCTATCAATCCATAATAATAATATCCATCCAATCATCCAGACCAGAGATACAAGAAAAGAACCAAAACCCCCCTCCACCACAATCAATCACCTCTAATCTAAAAAGACCAAATGACCATTCTGGTTCGTGATCCTCTCATCCAACCTGACAAAACTCCTCTTCCAACCGCCACTACCATCGCCCAACTCCGCCTCAAGCACCCTCCCCCCATCAACCAACCGCACATTCCGCGCCGACGCCCCAAAGTTCCCCTCGCGGGACCACGCAAAGTCTCCCCAGCGGTTCGTCAACACCGCATTCAGCGGCAAATACGACCGCTCCAGCTCCCCGGACACGCGACCACAGTGTGCCACCAGATCGAGCCCCTCGAGACGGATGTCCCGCGCCGAGGCGGAGAAGTTCCCCCGCATGGCCTGCACGGGGGGAGAGTGGCAGTGGTGGTGGTGGTGGTGGTGGTCCTGGTCGTAGCGCTGACGCTGTTCCATCTCGTAGCGCTGGCGTTGCTGCTGTTCCATCTCATAGCGCTGACGCTGCTCCATCTCCATCCGGTGGCGCTCTTCAGCCTCTTTCTTCTCCTTGTGCTTCTTGATGCCGTCTTCCGCGACGGATCCCATCATCGCCCCGCCGATCGTGCCCAGGATCCCGTGGTTGACCTTGTGTCCTGCGAAGCCGCCGGCCGCGCCGCCGGCGAGGGCGCCCATCAGGCCTTTCTCGTGCTCGGCGGCCTCGGCGGGATCCGTGGGGTTGCCGTCCGTGGAGTAGGGTGGGGGCTGTTGGGGGGAGCCGTAGCCTTCTTGCTGCGGGTAGGGGGGGCGTCCGCCGTTGTAGTTGTTGTTGTAGCCGGGCTGGGGCGAGTGAGGGGGTAAGGGCTGTAGTTTTGCTGGGGGTAGGGAGAGGCGGAGCCGAAGCGCTCCTGGCTGCTCTCCATGGAGGGCGGGTAGGAGCCGTAGCCGGTCGAGCTGGGGGTGTTGATGGCTGGAGAGGACCAGGGTGAGGGGTTCTGCTGACGCCGATCACCGTTGCCCGGGGCGGGGCTGCCACCGAAGTATTCTTGGGCGGACATGGTGGGGGTTGAGGTGGTGGTTTGAGGAGGTGAAGATGGATGGAGGGGATGGTCGAGTTGAGGGAGGAACGAGAAGAGAAGTGGTGAGAAAGAAAGACAGGATGGGATGGTTGGGTTGGCGCTTCTTAAGTGAGAGAGAGAGGGGGGAGGACGTGGCTGTGCGGGTTGGGGATGTTTGGGCAGTCGATCCGCCATGGCGTGGGGCCGCGGGGCTGCCTGAGACCCCGCTAATCCAGCCCGGGTCAGGCACCAAGTGGCGCAGTCACGCACTGAGGATATGATTAGCTGGGGGTGCTTGTTCCACCAGCCTAGGGCTGACACGCACAGCCCCAGTGGGCTGTCCCTGATCGTTCCATCGGTTCATCCACCTTCGGCCCAACGTAGTGTGCAATCAGGGTTTCACTCCAGCGGACTCATATTCGAGTCTTGGTGGCTTGGCAGTATTAAAAAAAGTGGGTTTTCACGAGTTTCAAGGTGGTCAAAGTCACTATGTGAATCTGGCCAAAATGAGCTGTTTAATATATCTAGTTGGACACTTTTGCAGCGGCGGTACTCCACGCTACCGAGGATCATGATGTAATGGCGCTGCTACTTCACCTTATCCTACCCCTCCATGTCCACGGTATACCGTGGCTCATGATGGGATGGAAAAGAGAGCGCTAGCTGGACCCGAAGGTGCTAGCCTTGTCGGTCTAGCAGGACCCTACACGCACTAGGGTGCTAGACATTGTCACACAGCACCGCGATGATTCCCAACAGCTATCTTGTCAACTCTAGGCCCCGTACAGGTACGAGCAGAGTCCCGGCGGATCATATCCTCGTAGTGACCTGGTGAGTAAGATGGAAGTTGGGTGAACTCTCCTCTTCTCATATAGGCCCGAGAATACTGATCCCGACCAAGACTGCTGGGAGCTCATCACGGTGTGTGGGAGAGGAAAGAAAGTAAGAAGAAAGGTCTCGAGGGGGGAGAGGGGGCTTTTATAAAGGCGGGGTGGGTCGTGACTGCCGTTTTGGGAACCTTCCCAGGTTGCATCATTCAATTCACTTCCTCAGCCAAGGAAGGGAATACGAATACGCCCAGGCATCTATCCCAGCACTACATCCGACATCCTGCTATTTTAATATTTCTTTCATCTCGAGCGATATACAAATCTTTCACCGGCAGATTTTACCGGGAGAGGAAATAACCGGGTATGAAAACAATTTCTTGACCAAATATTTGTATTTATCAAATAACTCCCGTGTCGCGCAAAGACCAGCGTACTGGAAGCTGAACAAATGTACTTGCCCAGAATGCTCCTCACGGTCAGGCATACGGAGAACTCTCATCTTTGTTGGTCTTGTTTTAAGTTGGTAGCTAAGCCAAACTAATCTTTTGTTCCCTCCTCCTATGACAGAAGATAAATACCCAGGGACAGTTGACTATTGATTAGCTTTCTTGCCGTCCTGGGTCATTTTTTGTGTCCTTGATCATTGTGTCCGTGAAAAAAAATAGGCCATGCCTGGTACGTTCCAGTTTCTCGCAACGCCTCCAACGCTTCTCCTTTGTCGTATGGAGTGCTTCAGTCAATAATGTCATCCATCAGTCCCGACCATTGTATATGTGTTTTAATATGGTACTATGTTGTGATGTAAGGTAGAGTAGAAATTGGGCAATTTCCTTTCAAGTCCGCGTTCCCCGATATGAGATCAGAATGTGTATCAATCCTATTCGGGTATCTGGTTTGCTAAGCTAGTAGCAACACCCTTACTTGTAATGCGATTTAGATACTGGAAACTCCACAGATGCATATATTGGCTTGACCTTGTTACTAATGAAAGTACCGCAGCAATGATATGTGCTGACTCTAGGGATCACTCCGATTTCCCCATATATTATATTCTTCGATACAATTCAGACTGCAAGGTCTGTTATGGGGGTGTGAACGCGGAAGTTTGTCTTCATACGGAAGATTATGAAGCTTTACATTGACAGACACGATGATATTTATTTATAAGAGCAAACGCTCAGCAGAGCGGACAGGCTGTGGGAATTCCGACTCTTAGTAGGTCGGTTGAGTGGTTAGATATATGGAGATGAAGAGGAAGGGAAATAAAAAAACGGTTGGTATAGATGACCTACTACAGTTAGAGTCACAGGATAGGCGAATTTACAGTGACAGGCGACCTTCAATATGGTTCCCTTTCACTGAAGAGCGAAGGATAACCAAGTCCAGCATTTCATCTCTCCAGTATATCATGTCGAGGATGGTGGGGTGGGTGAATTGAATATCCGCTCCCACCCCGGGAAGGATATACCGACATAGGGATACTATGAACGGCCTCATATCCAACACCCCTACTTCCAAACACCAATATACCAACTCCCACTTGCACCCCATATTGAACCATTGAAAAGCACATATCTCCAAGAATCGAATGACGATCATCCCCTGACAATATAGAACCCATTCACCGCAATCTTCTTATCTCTGACCTCAGCCGTCTGCGCCCTCACCCCAACCCAATGCAGAGGCATCTTCCCCGCGAGCCTTTGTCCATGGTACTTGACATTCTCGACACTCCAACTGCTATTCCCGTCTGCTCTGGACACCAGAGATTCCGCGGCCCAAGCAGGATGTTCCAGGATACCCTGCACGTGAGCCACATCACACGCGTCAGCGAGCATCGCCGCCTCAGCTGCAGCGTCTCGCGCAGCGATGAGCTCCCTTTCTGTCTGGCCTCTCGGAGGGGGAATATCCGGACGAAGAAACCCCATGAGTCGGATCTGCAGACGGGACTGTCCAGCAGGTAAAATAGGGTCATCGATAAATCGGAGAGTTGTGACTTTCGTCATGGCCTGGGAGAGATTCACCCTCGTTTCCTGCGTTGGGTCCCAGTACACAATCGAGAGAATGACACCCAGCCACGGCCCAGCACCAACCTCCATCCTCGCCCACCCGAAGAAGAACCCATGATACCTCTCTGCCACAGCATCCGGGACCCTCCTCAGTCTAAGCCTCCCCCCCTCCTCTCCCCCATCGCCATCCACCCTCGCCGTAAAATCCACTGGAAACGGCGCTTTAGGCCCCTCCTCCGACACACCCATCTGATACCCACCTTCTACCTCCCTCCCATCCCCACGCCTTAAAACCTCCCCCACCATCCCTCCGGCCCCACTAACCTCATAAACTGTCTGCACCGCTGTCTCCTTCACCCACGACGGCTGCACCGCCTTAACCCTCCCCTTCACGGCCGCCGTAACGGGGGCCACAACCGCCTCCGCCGCCGTCTGCGCATACATGCCCAGCACCAACGCGCCCACCTCCAACGGCATCGTCGCCAAACTGGCCCCACGCACCGAACTCGGACTATAGCTCGTCGACAACACCCGGAACACAGGACTATAACACAACACCTTCTTTCTATTCCTCTCGCCACCTCCTCCACACAACACAACCTGAAAGTACCCGTCCCCCGCCTCCACAGGAACCCTCACCACTACCGTTTCCCGCAACACATGTCCCACCGCCCGCCCGGTAGCCTTTTTCCGAAATTTGGCGATGTCGCGCTGCCAGGCTCGTTCGTCAGCCGGGTCGACTTGGGAGGCTTGCGCTGGGAGAGTTGGGGTAACCTCCAGCCAGGAGTCGGTGAGGTGAAGGAGGGCTTTTGTTCGCATTCCCGTCTTGCCGCTCCAGCCTTTGCTTTGGAGCCATAAAGTGCGGTCTGCTGGGAGGGGTGTGGAGGAAAAGAGGGATAGGGTGAGGGAGGTTGTGCTTCCTCGGTAGAAGATAACTCCGGGGGAGTGGCGCAGGATTGTGTGCTGTTTTGTGCTGTTTGTGGGGTGCGCTATTAGCCCGCCGAGAAAGTAGAGGGTTGAGCTGTAGGCTTTTTGGGCGGCGGAGGGGTGGTGGGTTTTGGTGGCTTGGGGGTGCTGGTGTCGGTGTTGGTGTTGGAGGCGAGGGGTTGTGTGGTGAAGGAGCGTGGAGGGGGTGGGGGATTTGGCGTGCGTGGTCGGGAGGCATGGCTGTTTGGAGTTGGGGGTCGAGGTTGTTGTTGTTGTTGTCGTAGTGGTGGTGGTCATTGGGGGTTGTCGCGGAGCGGATGGGGATAGGGCGTTCTGGGACTCGAGGCGCATAGGCGGGCGGTGGATGAGGAGAATGGTTATGATGATGATGATGATGATAAGGTGGTTTTTGTTGTTGCTGAGGTCCTGGTTGCAATTGAAGTGGAGGCTGTAATCGCGATCGCGATCGCGGTTCTGGCTCTGGTGGTGGTTGTGGTTGTGGCCCTGGTCGCAGCAGCGACGGTACTTCCCTGGGTGTCGAAGTCGAGAGGGCGATCACGCCGCGAACAGTTCCATCGGCGGAAGGTTGAGGGACCGGTTTGCGTTTTATGTGATTGTCTGTGGGCATGGCGACACACCACGGTAAAATAAAGGTTATCAAGCCATTGTGCGCGCGCGAGAAAGCTCAGGAGAGATTGATCCCTGCACCCCCTATTGTAGTGCGGAGTACTAGCAGGCAGAGAGATCGAGCGATGATGTCGATCGGATCGAGCGGACGCGCCAAGGCAACAGCGATAAGATAAGATGTGGGGACTTTTTGGTCGTTGCCTGGTACCAATCTGGAGGCATTGGATTGAAAGAAGGTTTTCAGGCGGGAAATTAGTCGCGGGCTGGTATTAAAGATGTTTGACCTCGTGGAAAAGCTGAGGGGAGTGAGCTGGTAGGGATTGGGGACATTTCTTTGTCCACTGTTCTGTGATGACCTCATCGAGCGGAAGATATATTCCATTGACGGAGCTGGTTCCGGTACATAAGTGGGCGCACTCCAACGGCAATGGGAATAACCTGCAATTCTTGCACCTCCATCAATTGCCATCTGGAATACTGCACCATGTCCCACCTAACCTACTAAAGCCACGAAGGTGTTGGAAAGAACAACCAGAAGGGTTTCAAATACATCCAGGCGGTGCGCATTGGGGACCGCATTGAATGTTCCGGTCAAGGTAAGCACTCAAACCTGCGGTCTCGACAACTTGGGACAAGACGTGTATAAAAGTTGACTATTCAGGTGGCTGGGATCCTACCACGGGCGTCTTCTACAGAGACATCAACGCGCAGGTTGACCAATCGTTCAAGAATGTCGAGCCGAATCTGCAGAATGCCGGCGGAAAAGGGTGGGAACAGGTCTTTCGCGTCAATTCGTACCATGTTCCTATCTTTGCTCACTGCTGATCGGCTTACAAACAAACTGTCGGGAAGTGTCTTGTAGCGCGAGGTGAGACGTGAATAATCGTGGCGCGTCCACCTGCGTCGGCTGTAGATATCTACAAACGGAACTGTAAAGTCGTTGTTGCTGAGATGGACACTCGGACCATAGTCCTGGTCGCTTTGGGCAGTATCTTGGGGGGGGGGAGGGGTGCGGTTCCTGCGGAGCAAACTGGTGTTTCGAGTTTCAACGCTTGCGAGAATGAGCTGTGGCAATTTCGTATATATTCCTCGAATGTCGTCTGCTCTCCCCCTCCTGTCCCTTCATCCTGCACCCCGCCTGTTGTTCCTCAAACTGCTTAAACTGCTCCCCAGCGTGCCTCAATCTTTCCTCGGTATGCTTTCCGTGGCTCTCTTCTTCAGTATATTTCCCCTACAATGGAAGGGAGAGTTGTTTGTAATCTGGTGAGCTGTTGGTGGCAATGACGCGTAGAGGTCACAGGCGCGGCTGTGAACAGTGGAGCAGGGATTCGGCCTTGAGTAGATAGTGGTTGGGATCTGCAGGTGCGATTTATTTCCCTTTTTCTGATGCGTTCTTTCTCGTCCTCGTTCTGTCTAAATGATTGTCCAAGGATGAGAGTGGGGTTGGTTTCGAAGTGTGTGTTGATCATCATTGGCGTGCGCGGACACTAACTATACTAGCGAGGCGGGATAGCGGGGAAAGTATTAAACCGAATCCACCGGTAAGGTTCCCAGTTAGGCAGGCGGAGAGGGAAATCAAATTGGGCTTAGCGGGGTCACGAGCAGCTCCTCAGCTCTGTACTTCTTCCACGTTCCACTCCATCGCAACCTCCTGTCAAATACCTCATCTTCTCTGATTGCATATCTTCAGAGTCGTTACGAGGTGAACCAGTGGCAGATCTTAATCGCTATCTACAATAGTGACTCGCTTTAACGCGAAGTCGCGGAACCAAACCAACTGCTGTGGCATTCCGGCGCGACGCGTCGAGACCGCCAGCCGAGAGCAACTAGAGAGAAATCATGGCCTGTCAACAACCATGCTCACTATATACTGGATGCTAACTGTGTCTAACTGTAGTTGTCTTCGTTTGGCTATTCGGACTGATTCAAGTAGATAAATACAGAGATTACCCTCTAACTCTGCCGATGGGATCCGGATCAGTCAAGTCTGCCTGACGGTCCTCGCATTGCCAGAGCCACCGCAATTGCTGTCCCTGCGGAATGACTGATAGTCACCTCGATGCTGCTAATACCCTTGGAAGCAGCGATCGCTTGGGCGTTTCCATGAAGCTACCATGATTAGCATCCCCTCTGGAGAAGTAGGACATGGACACGCACAAGCACATTGGGGATTCCTTTCGTTTGTAGAATCTCGATTTCATTCATTGCTGCTCCGGCACCAACAGAGGGTGTCTGAAGGCTCTTGAACACGGCTTCCTTGGCACTCCACCGGCCTGCATAGGAGGCGCGCGGATTCGGAGAATTGGAACAGTACTCACGTTCCGCAGAGGTGAAGTTGCGGTGGATGAAAGTCTGGTTTTCGATGTTGATACCCATGATTTCCTCGACATCGACGCCGACGCTGGTAGATGAACATGCGGATTCCCGAGTCAAACTTTCCAGCAGAGTTTGGGTGAGCACCGATGTCATTGTTGACTTGCCATCGTCTGCCATTGGCTTTGATTCACTGGTAACAGAGGTGCTCTGACGTTCAGCGTGCGGTTTGTGGATAAACACCGATTGATCTACATTTAAACGACTGTTGTGATTGAGAGAGACACTCTGCAGTGCCTCTGGACCTTTCCACGGGGCTTCAGATTTCACTTGAACCAGGGAGTTCTTGAGTAAACGACCGACAAATTCCGGGTTTGCTGTCCGCTGCCTTCTTGTCACACGGGCGCGATATTCTTCGAAATGTACACCTGAAACGGCAGCGAAGAGATACCTAGGAGCAATCATGAGTGTGAGGGCACCCTTCTGACCAAATCCAAAAGACGTAAGCATGGTTGCTTTCACCTCCGCTCCTCGTATAGGCTCCATCAGGTAGACCAGATGCTCGAATTGGCGGAGTTGCCCATCAACGTTATCCGCATTTCGGTTCCCCGGGACGATACTATCTCGAAACATCTGCATACAGCCGTTCAGCTGCCAGGCACCCGCAGCTGCCTTGGGATGCCCGGTCAATGACTTTTGGCAGACGCACAGCAGCGGGTTTCCATTACGTCTCCCGAGGTGGCTCATCTGGAGGTTTATCACCGCTCCTTCGTTGATTTCGTTGGCTTTTGTTGAAGTTCCGTGCATCGAAGCAACATCAATGTCGTCAATTGTTAAGCCCCACGTTGCAAGAGCTGCCTTGATTGGGGATATGGAGGGATCCTGCAAGCGAATATCATTGGCCCACCGGCGTTGTGCTTCGCGAACCCTCAGGTTTGCTGTCTGCTCCATAGTGCGCTGTCTTGCGGCTTCAGCGGGCTGGCAAGTCGTGGCTAATCGTCCGCCCCGCCATTGGTTTTGAATTTGAGCCACCTCATCGTTGAAACGTCTGCGTCGGAAATGGAAATCGAGCAATGGCGAATCTCGAGCCTCCGGTGATTCTCGTCCGGCGGTGAGAATCCCTTTCCCTGGGGCTGGGATGGACCGACCAACTTGATCACTTGCAAGTTGATTGTAGGCAACAATGCCATATATGGGTAGCCCCATTTGCAGCGCAAGTTCGGCAGTCATGAGTATTTGCGCGCCACAGCCTGCGGACTCAGCGAACCCACTGCGCGAGCTGGCTGTCGGACGAGATATTTCACTCGGCAGGCGGCCTTTGGCCAACTCTTCGGTGCTATTGGCCGTAGCCTGAATACTGGCGAACTCATACGCAACTACTTCACTGTAGTCATCACATCCTCCGACAATAGCAACCTTGCATCTGCCTGACTGGATTGCTTCACAGCCGCTATCCAACGATTCAATGGCAGTAGCGCATGCACCGACAGGGGTTTTAAGAGGTCCAGTGGAGGACAGGAGCAGCATATTTACCCATGCACCCATTGTGTTAAGGAAATGGTCAAGTATAATGTCTCCTCGCACTGGTCGATCGAGGTAGCGGTCACGGTACATGCTCTTGATGATCTTCATAGGACCGCCGCCTGTGCCCAGGCAGTTGGCCAACTCTGAAATGTGGATGTGTTGGTATATCTCATAGGGGTCCTTAATTCCAGCCGACAGAAATGCTTCAGCGACACAACAAAGCGCGTACATGGTGGTAAGGTCCACCTGCTGCACGATATCCTCTGGAATACCATACCGCAGCGGATCCCACCCCTTGGGAATCCTGCCACCCACAACCTGGTGGAATGGAACTGCTTTGGGTATCATGACGACCGCTCCTTTCATCAGAGACACACGGTAGTCCTCCGAACCGGGGATTGGCTGTATATTAACGTTGTCTCCATGGCGAAGCTTGAACGCCTCCGCTACCGATTTGGAGCTTTCAAATGGAGGCAGGTCGTCTTCAACGGCCACTTCATGCATAAACTCTTTCCGCGAGGGATCATAACTGTCGAGTGTATCTGGCTGGATTAAACGCAATCCGGAGTTACTGATAATGCGCTCGTCATATCGCCGAGGGATTTCGTCGTCGCGGACAGGCTCTCTGGTCTCAGCATCAATCCAGCCAACATACGGCTTTCCATTGAGCTCCCCATCCACATGTTTGATCAATCCCATCATCCAGGACATCTCAACATACCCTTCTAACGAAAATCTACCTTGATGCTCCATCTCCCATCTTGTGCGAGAGCTTCCCCACGGTCCAAGCTCCGAGAATCCCACAACAACGACAGTGTGCGACAGATCAATCATCTCGTGGAGATCGAGAAGACCGGCAGTCAACTCCTGGTGGCTTGTTAAAGAAGGGAATCCGACTGCTATGTTGGCTCGTTTGACCCTCGGCTTGAGTTCATACAGTTTGGGCGGGGCTGGCTGTCCTTGGACCGTGGTTTCATGATGAGCCTCTTCTTCAGCTAGAGCCTTCCGTAGGCGAAGCTCTTTAGCTAGCCTCTCGCGGCTACTCGTGATATGTTCTTTGATATTCCACATTGCTCCAAAGCCACCTGTCAAGTCCGCATACACAGGTGTCTCCTCTGCCAGGGACACCATGGTCGGTGTCATCAAAGTAAGTATATTAAAGGCCATCTCGGCTTGTGAGAACGTGATCACGCCTAGCTTCTCCATCTCAGCAGCTACCATGTTTGACGAACGCATTAATCCAGTTCCTCTGGTCCACCCGATGACTGCTCCACAAACTGTGATATACGTCGACCAGCTTTCTGAGTGGAAACGGTTGAAGAGAGTCTTTAGCCCGATCTTAGACTCCGGATACAAGCCATCACCGCCGAAGGTGCCTTCATTGCATGACATCGGAAGAATAACCATGGTAGGCCTGGTGTCTATCCGTCGCTTTTCTTTCTCGCGGCGGACAAGGCCCACCAATCGCAGAAGATTCACAAGCATGGCCCGAAGTGCCAGCTCCTGGCGGCTGCCTAAATTGTCCGGCTCACCTGTCTGTGGGATTGCGGCAAATGGGACTATGAAATCCAAATCTCCGCCGGTAGGGGAGTCGGGACTAAAGATGTATTCGATTAAAGCCTCGCAGTCTTTCTTGCTGGCTTGGTTCATTGGAAGGAGTGTCAAGGAGGCCCCGCGAGCTCCGTACCTCCTGAACAGCCACTGATAAAATCCAGCGCTCCTGCACACCGCACGGCTGGTGGTAACAACGACGTGCGCACCGCCAGCTAAGAGACCCTGGATTATTTCCGCACCTATTGAGTCTGGTCCAGCCCCTGTCACCAGGACGGCCCTGCCAGAATAGGTGTATCCAGTGGAAACTCCTACATCCATCGTGGTATGGAGTAGTTCAGTAGCCTCGGCATTGTATTTCCAGGATTCTTCGTCACCGCGCGTCTTGATATGGACGAAAGGAATTATTTCGGCAGTCGCTGGGGCTGTGCGCCCTCGACGGACAACATCTGGGTAGCTACGAAATCGACGAACGACTTCGTCATACTTTTGTCTCCCAGAGTCTGAGAGGGTCGTTATAGGCTCTAGAGGTGCGTGGGTGTGAATGTATACCGGATCGGCAGATTGAGCGTGCATGCCCAGCCGCATGATCTCGTTAAGCACAGGACGAAGACAGCGGATTCGAGACAGATCTCGGGCGCGCGTTTGCTGGGATACTCTCTGCAATCGAGCCGTGACAATGTCGGTACATGTTGGCTCCCACCGATTTAAGATGCGGCGTAAACGATCATCCATCCCTTGAATAGCAATGCTGACAGGACTCTCAGACACCTCGTGCAGCCATTGGATTAGATCTTCCCGAGCCCAGTTCCACCAAGAGTCATAATGCCGGACCTGTTTGAGGTTGAAGATAGACCGTATTCCTTCGAGGAATCGATCGTCGAACTCTGCATTCCATTGTTCGAGCTTCTCTTCCAGGCTCAATCTCTCGTCGGATAAGAAAGCTGTCGGTAATCCCGTCTCAATTTGTAGATGCCTGGCAAGCAAATCTAATTGCTTATGATGAAAATCGCGCTGCTCCTTACGAAGGGCATCAAGACCGGCAGCATCTACCACCGTGGATTGTATTAAAGCACCCGCATTATTAGTTCCACCCACCGGCACCATGGAAATTCCCTCGAATGCTGCGTATCGGGCGACTAGGTCATCAAAAAATGCTCGCGCAGCATCCGAGTTCTCCAAGCGAGACAGTGGCTCCACTGTAGTCGCAAAGCATATGACAACGATGGAATGAGTCTTATCTAGACCCCATTGCGATTGCAGGTAGTCCTGCGCGGAGCTTTGATGAAAGCCGGCTGGCATCTTACTCGAAACAAACTTGGAGATCAATGCAGACATTTTCTGGGCGGGCTTGCTGGGAAACCCTCCCCGAAGTGCTTCTGCCAGAGCCATCAAGGACATATCCTCCACGCCTTCTGGGACCCGACCGAACTCGGCTACCAAGTCCCCTATTAACTCATTTTGAAGCGTTGACTTGCCTAAAAAAGTAAGTATGCCGTTACCATGTTAACGTGGGAGCTGCTCACCTCCTGATAGGTCACGAATTGTCTTGTCCATGGGCACTTGGTCAAAAGGACGCCGGAGCTTCTGGGCTGTCAAGGCAAGAACTACATGCCTAGCTGACAGTGAAACACTAGCGCTTGGTGCATGAGAAGACTCGCATGGAGGAGCTGATGCTGACGATAGTGCTCGGCTTTCCGGAGCAATACCAGTGGACACGAGACCTGCAGCAGACACCAGTGGCTTTGAGACAGATACTGCTGTTGCAGAGTCTGAATATTCATACAGAACTTTTGCCTGGTCATCCTGGTATGACAGGAACTGCAAGTGTGACCACTGCGATGGAACACGGTGACTGTGATGAACTGCAGCAGACCTCCTGGCCATTCTTGCGAGTGTGGTCCGAGGGCCAATCTCGATGAAGCGGTGGACTTGAGACGCTTTCTGAAGGAGGTGGTGCTGTGTCTCAATCCTGCTTTCGCTTAGCACATCCTCTTCTCATTTTTATCGCACAAGCTACTTACCATCGTACTGGTGACGCTAATTGGTACCTACACCACAAACGTCAGAAAGACTTCGTGGGCCAAGGCCAGGGGAACGTACGAAAGCAGTTCGATGAACAATTGATACGCCAAATCCTTTCGATCGAGTCTGTTGACTGGCTTGCCAGTAGAAGAATCCATGATACCTTGAAAAGCCATGAGGGACGTCCTCTGATGGGTTCATCCGAGTCGAGATCGGGTCGTCCTCGGTTCTTCGACTCTTATATGAGCACCAGCCGGCGGAGAAACGGCTAGGCCAGGCAGGAGATGGACATCCAAAGAGTCATGATCCTGTGTCCATATATTTTGAAATAGGCCAATCCAACCCGAAATTACCGACCACATTTAAAACGCGGAGCCCAGCATCCCGGAAAGCTGATCTTTATGTAGGGGCGACCCGTCTTGGCTACCGACATCCTAGATTCCCAAAAACGCCTTTGTCCACAGTCCCCGGTCCGACTGACACATTTTCCTAGTGATGGATTAGGATTGACATTGTGCTCAGGTTGCCAACGGCGGGTGGGTCAATAACAAAACTCCGTCTGCAAAACTCCGGGCGGCAGAAGGCGTGAGCCTGTCGAGGGATGAACTCCCCTACTCTGGCCGAACTCCGGCCCAGCCTGAGACGTTTCGACCCTGAAGCAGGTGGCTAGGACTGCCGTCACTTATACCCCGGATCTGCAAGGCACCTGCACATTTCCTGCAGAAATCTGCCGGGGTGTCTGACCGCCATATAGTATAGATACACCGATTGATGAGAAGCGCTATTGCAAAGCTACTTGGGAGTTCAATGCGTGACGAAGCAGCTTGACGTTCTCTTTTCTATCATTTGTCAGCGGGCGTGCAATCTACATAATATCACCCATAATGAACCATTGAAGAGGTAGTTACTGGCAGGAATCTGCTGTTAACGAGATCAGCATGAACACGGCAGCGGAAGCCCCCACTGCTTGCGTGGCATACTCTGTTATGCGCACTTCCTCTTCGCCAGTTCTGTCCCCGTCGTCGTCACCCTCTCGCTCCCCTACCTTCGAGCTCGCTTTGCGGGTCGGGGGCACGGGATTCACTTTGTCACTTTCTCGCACCCATTTCCCTTTTATGCAGCTGCAAAAAGATGCGTTCATTTTATCCTTGTTGTCGAGTTCCGACATCGAAAAGTTCCAGTCGCCTCTTGAGTTGTGCTTGGCGTTCATTGAATTTCTTCTTGACCAGGACAAAATCCTCCGCTCGACATTGGCTGCCGTTTTTCAAGCATTCAAGTATGAATTCTTGCGCGACGAGGATGAGATCCATGGCATAGTTGCTCAATTAATGGTAGCTCCCAGCGAACGACAGCGATGGCTAGGAATCTATTACCGAGCTGTCGAAACCACAGGTGGCGAGGGTTCTGACAGTGGCTTCCAAAACCGGATAAGTGCGCTACTCAGTCACGCTCAATGCAGCCGATTTCACTTGATGGCTGTCTTTGGTGGCCAAGGGGATGCGAGTCGTACGTGCGCCCAAGAACTGGCAGACCTCTATCTCACCTACCGACCGATGCTCCAACCGTTTGTGGAGACTATCTCGACTCTTCTTCGCAACCTATCTGGCCTTCCGGACTCATGGTTTTACTACCGCGGATGCTCTCTAGACCTGGAAACATGGGTCAATGACACCTCCACGATTCCTGGAAGCGAACTAATAGCCCAAGCTCCGATCAGCGTCCCGGTGATTGGTGCCTTGAGCCTGGCTCGATATTGCGTTACCTGTCGCATCTTGGATCTCAGCCCAGGTGAACTACGCGCCCTTTTTTGTGCCACGACCGGCCACTCGCAAGGCCTACTGATATCAACCACTATTGCCATGTCCGACTCGTGGGATTCATTCTATGAAAACTCCCTCTTGGCGGTTGAAGCGCTGTTCTGGCTTGGCTGGGAATGCCATCGAGGAGTGCCGCACAGCTCTGTCCCAGCATCAAGGACTGATCATAACGAAGATCAAATCATGCCTTCCTATATGCTTAGTGTCAGAGGAGTCACGAGGCAACAGCTGGATGGCATTCTCAACCGTATCAACAGAGCTTTGCCAGAAAAAAGCCAAATTTTTCTTGCTCTGGTCAATGCTAGAGATCAATTTGTGGTAGCTGGCCCGGCTGCCTCTTTGGTTCATCTTGACAACCATCTCTCAAGCATTGCGGGTTCCAATAAAGACCAAAGTCGAATTCCTTCGAACAGTCGAACGCCGACGATCCAACATGGATTCCTTCCGATCAGTACGCCATTCCATACGCCGTACCTCGAGGATGCAGCCACTGCACTGAGGAGGCGACTTGGTGACCGAGAGATCTTGGCGGAGCAGCTCAAGATCCCGGTTTATCACACGCTCACCGGACAGGATCTGCGAAAGGCAAACGGGAACATATTACACACCGTGCTAGATGCCATTGCCCAAGAAGTTTGCGACTGGCCAACAGCGCTATCTGGTCAGTGCCAACTACCAGAATACTTGGGCCCATCGCATATCATCGTTCTTGATCGTGGTGGGCTCGGGCCAATGGTAAAAAGAACCGTGGAAGGAAAGGGAATCAGAGTGATCCAAGGCAGTGATATCGACTCGCGCGATCCGGAGATGGGAACCATGCGAGATTTGTTCTCTCCACGTCTTCTGGACACCTCAGCAAGACTTCAGAGTTGGGGACAGAAGTTCCAGCCACGTCTGATAGGTGGGTCGACCAGTCTAGAGACGCGCCTCACTCGTTTACTAGGTACCCCTCCAGTAATTGTGGCTGGGATGACACCGACTACCGTTCATTGGGACTTTGTGTCTGTCATCATGAACGCCGGGTATCACGTGGAATTGGCTGGCGGGGGCTATCGCAACAGCTCTGATATGGCAACAGCTATCGATAATCTGGTTGCCAACATTCCTCCCGGTCGAGGTGTGACATGCAATCTCATCTATGCAAACCCCCGTGCAATGCGTTGGCAAATCTCGCTCTTACGTCGCCTATCGCACAGTAGAGTCCCTATCGATGGGTTGACAATAGGGGCCGGCGTTCCGTCTTTAGAGGTCGCGACCGAGTATATCACCACTCTGGGACTGCGACATATTGGCTTCAAGCCAGGTTCACTATCGACAATAAGACAGGTTGTGGATATTGCCAAAGCACACCCGGACTTCCCAATAATTCTCCAATGGACCGGGGGTCGCGGAGGGGGCCATCATTCCTTCGAGGACTTCCACGCGCCTATCCTCGGCAATTATGGGCTAATCCGGCAGTATCCAAACATCTACCTGGTGGCTGGCAGTGGATTCGGCAGCAGTGAAAGTGTCTACCCTTATATCACCGGAAAATGGTCACTTGAGTTTGGGTACCCGTGTATGCCATTTGATGGTGTGCTACTGGGAAGTCGCTTGATGGTTGCTCGAGAAGCCCACACCTCCCACGCCGTGAAAGAAATCATTTCCAATACCCCAGGGGTCAAGGACAGTGAATGGGAGAAGACCTATAGTGGCCCCGCTGGTGGTGTTATTACCGTTCAATCCGAAATGGGCGAGCCGATTCACAAGATTGCCACCCGAGGCGTTCGGCTGTGGGCGGACATGGACCGGAGGGTATTCAGCTTGCCTCGTCAGGATCGCGTTCCATACTTGACAAAACACCGTGATTCGATCATTCAGCGGCTGAACACAGACTTCGCAAAGCCGTGGTTTGGCCGCGACTCCCAACGCGATGTGGTTAACCTGGAAGAGATGACATACGCTGAAGTGTTAGACCGGATGGTCGAATTGATGTACGTTCGCCATCAAGAGCGGTGGATCGACCCATCATATCTTGGCTTCACCATGGCCATTGCTTCTCGAGCTTTAGAGCGATTGCCTTGTGTCTCTGGGGATCTGGAGAATAGACTTTCACGTGCGCTTCTTTCGAGCGCTCCAGCGCAGTTCCTACGGAGATTTGTCGACGCCTGTCCCACTTCCACCGAAGAGATTATGAACCCGGAGGACGTGTCTTTCTTCCTGCTACAAAGCAAGGTGCCTGGCCAAAAGCCCGTCAACTTTGTACCTGCTCTCAACGAGGACTTTGAGTTCTACTTCAAGAAGGATTCGCTCTGGCAAGCAGAGGATATCGATGCCGTTGTGGACCAAGATGCAGAGCGCGTATGCATCCTCCAAGGGCCTGTGGCAACCCAGTATTCTGTTGGGTACGAAGAATCGGCCAAAGAGATCCTAGATTCCATCACGAATGGCATCATTGATCGAATGCAGAGTGACGCTATGACTGAAGTGTCAACCCCTGGCCCGGACAGCGGGCTAATAACGCCGGACTCTTGGTCCTCAATATCGGGCGCGAAAGAGATTGCTATTGAGGAACTCTCCGTTTCATCCACTGCCGTGTCTGAATCCAGTGATGATCGTCCTGTGTCCATTGGTGCAGTAACAGTCGGCACATCTCGAAGCTGGCCACCTTGGGCGCGTGCTTTGTTCGGGGAGAGGGTACTATTGCGCAATCGATCCCGCCAGAAAAATCCCTTTCAGCATTTTCTTGTGTCGTATCCAGACGCATTGATGCGATATGATGTGGATCGGTCCGAGTTGTGCGTGACCGTGCAGGATGCTTGCAAATCGACCTCGTTGATGAAAATGACTTGCCAAGGAGGAACTGATATTGTGGTTGACATCTACCCCGCTAAGTCCGACCCTCTGCAGTTGGTCTATCGCTTTGACTCGAATGGCATTCCGTTCTGTCTTCTTGAAGTCACGGAGTATCGGAACGAGAGGGTCAAATCCTTCTACAGTCAGCTTTGGTTTGAGATGGATCTTCCTTCTGCCAGGATCCATGATACATTCCGTGGGAGTGAGATGACTCTTACTCGGGAGCTTGTGAATGAATTGACCGCAGCTATTGGTCCAGCATTCCCGGACGTGCAACTGATAATACCAGACTCGGGTATCGTGCCGGTCAGCATGGGAATTGTCATTGCCTGGGATGCCATCATCAAACCTCTCGTGATCCATGAACTTGACGGCGACTTGCTGCAGCTGGTCCACCGATCCAACGCGTTTGAGTATTGCCCTGGTGCAAGTGCCCTTCGGATTGGAGATAGTGTAAGCTGTCACTCTAGGGTTCAGGGTGTATATGTGGAAAATGCCGGCAAGGTAGTCATTGTCGCGGCGCAGATCGTCCGGTCAGGTGAACCGGTCATGACTGTGACCTCATCATTCTTATTCCGAGGCACGTTCGATTCTGCCGAAACCAACTTCAAACGAACCAAAGAGGCAGACTGGAGCTTGGACATTCGATCGGACTTGGATGAGACGGTCCTTCGGCGGCGAGGGTGGTTCCACGTGTATGACAGTGCTAGCCCACTTGTGGGCAAATCCCTGAAATTCAGCCTGGAGACTTATGCTGTGATGAAAGAAGGGGGGTTCAGGAAGTTGCACGTTACCGGCACCGCGCTCTCCCAGGGGAGAGGCCATCAGTGGGAAGAAGTCGGAACCGTGGACTTTGAGTGCGACCACTGTGTTGGGAATCCAGTCTTGGAATTCCTGGAGCGCAAGGGCACTCCGTGGAGCCGTCAGACCTCATTCAAGACACCGGGATGGTCGGGCCCGTCGTCCCTTGAAGTCCAAATGCCAGCCAGTAACCAGCCCTATGCGGAAGTGTCCAAGGACTTCAATCCGATTCATGTGTCGTCGATTTTCGCCGCCCTCGCCGACCTTCCGGGTACCTTGTGTCACGGAATGTGCACGTCGGCCATTGCGGTTGCAGTGTTTGAGCACCTGGTGCTTGAGGGCGATCGATCCCGCCTCCGGCAATTCATGGCGAGTTTCACTGGCATGGTCATGCCGCTAGAACGCCTAGTTATACGGCTGAAGCACACGGGAATGATAGACGGGCGTATGCGGTTTGCGATCGACGTAGTCCGGAAGGAAAATGAGGAACGAGTACTGGAGGCTGAAGCCGTCGCCGAGCAGCCTGCGACCGCTTACCTGTTCACCGGCCAGGGCAGTCAAAGCAAGGGAATGGGGATGGAATTGTACAAGTCGAGCGCAGTGGCGAAGTCGTTGTGGGATGGGATTGACGCACAACTGTATGAGTCGTACGGTACGTAAACTTCTTTTGATGGTGATGACTGCTGACAGGATAGGGTGGTCTGTCCTGGACATTGTTCGAAACAACCCCAAGTCGGTTACTGTTCACTTTGGAGGCAAGCGGGGACGTCAGATCAGACAAAACTATCTCGCCATCACCACGGAGACCGTGCTCCCCGACGGTACACGTGTTGAGACACCCGTTCTCTCTGATCTCACGGCCTCATCGACATCGTACACCTTCAACGACCCCCGGGGATTAATATATTCGACCCAGTTTGCCCAGCCAGCAATCCTTCTGTTCGAAGCGGCAGCTGTAGCCGAGCTGCGCAGCAAGGGGTTTATGTCGCCCGACGCGATGTATGCCGGCCATTCGCTGGGGGAGTTCGGGGCGTTGTCGGCGCTGTCACGATCCGTGCCGATGGGGGCCCTGGCCGAGCTGGCATTCTACCGGGGGCTGATGATGCAGGCGTCTGTTTCACGAGGGGGACAGGGGGCGGCTTACGGGATGGTGGCCGTCAACCCGAAGCGCGTGGGCAACTGTAAGTCACACAAGGATGTTCATGAGTGACGCTAACTGGCCAGTACTCGATGAAACGGCTCTCCGCAGCCTAGTCCGCGCGGTGGCCCTGGCCAGCCAGGAGCTGTTGGAAATCGTCAACTTCAACGTGCAAGGGGAGCAGTACGTGTGTTCGGGAACGGTGCGTCTGCGTCTTCGGCTGACGGAGATGATCTGAGTTGACTGACCCCATTAGGTCACAAATCTGTGGGTCCTCGGACGACTGATGGACCACCTCGCGGACGACAAGGGGGATCCGGTGGATGGCACCGCTCAACACGACGGTGTGATCGTACGGCTGCTCTCCGAGGCGAAGGGTCTGGCACGCCCCATCCAGCTGCAGCAAGGCCGGGCCACGATTCCCCTAGCGGGGATCGACGTGCCGTTCCACTCCAGCCACCTGCGGTCGACGGTGGACCGGTTCCGGCAGTGCTTGCTGCGGCCGGGGTTCCTGGAGGGCAATGTGGACCTGCAGGGGTTGGAGGGGAGGTTTATCCCGAACGTGATGGCGAGACCGTTTTCGGTGGACGAAGAGTATATCCGGGAGGCATACGAGCGGACGCAGAGTCCCATCCTTGGAGGGATACTCGGGGAGGTGTAAATAGAATAAACTAGATGCAGGTATTCAAGTCCAGGTGGCTATTTAACATTGACACTCCCATCTACTGCATCAGCCGACGGTACTCCTCCTCGACCTCGACGACCATGGCGTCGACGTCGAAATACCACACCTTGTGGCTTCTGTCACGAATATCGGCGACTGCCCGATCCATGTCTGGCCCGATGTCAGGCGCCTCCCACTCGTACACGCGACGCACCTCGCGACTGCTGCGGACCAGCCACTGCGAGCGTTCGTAGCGCACGGCCGAGTACGCCTGGAGGGCCATCTCGAGCGCCTTCCCCCGAGCCACGCCCTGTCCAGCATCGCCCCGGACCTTTGCCATCACCGCCACCAACGCCAGCGCATCCTCGACGCCAATCCCCGCCCCCGCCCCATGATGCGGCGACGACGCATGCGCCGCATCCCCCGCCAACGCCACCTTCCCCTGAGCATACGCCGGCACCGGGCAGTCGTACGTATCGAAGACGGCCCATTTATCCATCTCCTCCGGCAGCAGATCGATGACGCCGCGCACAAACGGGCCCCATGCCCGAAACGCCTCCACCACCTCGCCCTTGCTCGCCGGCGCCGTCATACTCGAGCTCGCCCACGCCCACTCATTCGGGTCCGGCACGAACGCCACCACGTTCATGAGCTGTTGCTTCGCCACCGGGAAGTGCAGCACGTGTGCGTGCGGCCCGAGATGCATATGCTGCTTCAGCGCGCGATGACGGCCCAGCTTCTCGATCGCGCGGTCCATCGGCACCAGCCCGCGGAAGGCCAGCTGGTGCGTGTACTGCGCGTTATACACGGACGAGAAGAGCACTTGGCGGATGCGCGATTTGATTCCGTCGCAGGCGATGACTGTCCTGTTAGCCCGCTCCCTTCACAAAGACCTGCCAGCAGACAAGGAAGGACAAACGAGGGGGGGGGGGAAATACATACCAACATCACACTCGACCCCCTCCCCACCCACAAACCCAACCCTCACCCTCCCACTCCCATCCCCCGAGTCCTCCACCGTCTCGACCCTCCTCCCAAACTCCACCACCCCCTCCGGAACCAACTTCATCACCTCCGCCAGGAACTGCGCCCGATGACACCCCTCGAACCCCCGAGGCCCCACATACAGCTTATACACCTTCCCATGCACGCTGATATCCTGCTTCGAGGCATCGTATTCGTATTCCGGACTTTGCGCTGTCGGGAACGCACGATACCCGTCCACGAACCGCACGCTGTGGTCGGGGTGAGAGGGCTCGCCGTTGAGCGTCGCGACGGTCCCGACGCACGCTGCGATCCGCGGGTCCATTAGTTCCATGCATTTTCGGGCCGCCATCGTGAAGGCAATTCCGGCGCCGATGTTGCGGTGTTCCGGGGATTGTTCGTAGATCTTGATGGAGAGGGGGATGGAAGAGGGGGAGGGGGGGAGGTTGAGGAGGCCCAGGGCAAGGATCGTCCCGATTATGCCATTGCCGATAATGGCGATTTCGATGGGGGGTAGGGTGGTCATCTTGGTGGTGATGATGGTGTGGTTTGTCGTGTGGTTTATTTTGTCTTTTTGATATTGGTGGATGCGTTTTTTTTTTTTTGTCTATGTATCAAGCTATCCTCAGGGAAAGAATCAATTCTTCAAGTCACCTCCCAATCCCACCATGTTCATCGGAGCCCCAGTCTGTCCAGCCATCCTGTAGCCCTAGGAGTCTACGCCACGTCCAAGCACTGCCAAGAGCAGCCATCCTCCTCCCCCTGTCTTTTTCCTTCCTCCTACTTCCTACCAATCTTCCATCCTAAACCCCCTCCCCCCCTATCAGCCCATCCCAATCCCACCACCTCCCACCCCGGACCAACAAAGAGGCGAAATATATCCCCTATTCCCATGAATATATCCCGTCACACCAACACAACCACTCCCCCTTCCGAAATCCCGCCGACAGGACTTTCTCCCCGCCCGGTCTAGTCCGGTCCAGTCCGGTCCGGTCCAGCTCGATCCACTCCGACAAACCATCTCCAGACATCATCACATCTGTGCCTCGTTCCACGACCCCCGGCTAGCGGCATGTGCATCCACACCGTGGGAAAATCGGATTACTCCATTCGCGAGAAGATTCTCCGGCTGGTGATTCGGTGGCGTGGTGGGTTCTGGGCGTAGGTGGTGTGTAAACTTGGCAGGGAGAGAGGGGTGGGACGAGGGGGTTTATTTTTTTTTTTTATTTTTTTTTTTTTTTTGGACTTGTATGTAGTAGTTGGCCCCTTGCAGAGTTGCAGGATTTTAGAATCTAGATACCCATGCCAAGATGGACATGCGGATATGCGGGTGTCGTCGGGTGGCAGCAGCTGGGCGGACGGGCGGACGGGCGGGCGGGACGGACGGGACGGACGGGACGGATGCGTGCGCGGTACGGGGACGGGTGGGGGGCGGGATTTAGTATCCGGGACTCAGGAATGGAATTCTCCGGGGTGGTGTGGTATTGTGGTTGGGTTTTGGGGGTTGGGGAGCGGTTCAAATGGAAAAGGGGGGTTTGTGTTGGATTTTGATCTTGGTAATTGGGGGGGGGTTAGTGGGGTACTGAGATTCTGAGGTGTAGGGTACTGAAGTACTCTCTCTTTACGTAGGCTAGTTAGCACCTAGAATTGAAGATTGTATATTCTTGGATGTATGAGTGGTTTTTTTGAAATATGGGCTCTGGATGCAGGTCTAGTGAAAGAGGGTGGTGAATGGATAGCTTCAGAGACGCGATCATACTAGATAGGATTTATATATATGCAGATTATAGACGGAATAGGGTCTTAGAATCACCCCAGTGTAAGGAGCAATGATTTTCATTTCAGAGAGACAGAAAACCCTCGAATTCAATCACTCAGCCCTCTCTCATTCCAACTACCGTCGGAAACATAACCACTCGACGTAAAAAAAAAGGCCTCAACCCCCCTAGACAGCTATATATTGCTGCTTCATAATAGAAGTAGAAACATGAAAATAACCCCAAAATAAATCGATATCCCAAACCATCATGATCCATTCATCATAAGTCATAATTCGTAAACCAACCATCATCCACCAACACCGCCCCCCTCCCCCCTTCACCCACCTACCAAACCCAAATCAACCATTCACCCCACATACTCGGCCACCCCCGCCCAGACCCCATCCCCCCTCAAGGCCTCCATCTCCCCCCCTCCAAACAAACCACACACTCCACGCCCCCGACCTCCCCCAACATCGGCGCCAAATAACAACCCCCGGGCACCTTCCCCCCCTCAAACTCAGGCCGCCTCACCAACTCCGGCATCCCCAGATCCCCAAACACCGGCATCTTGACATGCGCCACGCTCGAGCAGTTGAAGTCCGTCCGCGGGTTGAACCCCCCCCCGTAGGCGATCTTGCGTTTGTCGGGCTGCCGTGCCAGGAAGCTCGCGTAGCTGCGGACGGAGTCGAGGGACCGCAGGGAGTGGATCTGGGCGCGCAGGCGGGCGGCCAGCTCGGGGAGCGGGAGGGTGGCGACGGTGGATAAGGGGAGGCGTAGGTGGCTGGTGCGGATCATGTGGCCCATGTATGCTGGGGTGAGGTTGAGGGTGCGCCGCAGGTCGAGGGCGCGGGTGAGTTTTGTCGGGGTGGAGGGGGGCGGAGGGTCTGGGTGGGATGGGCGGCGGAGGCGGATGGTGGACAGGCGCTGCCAGATGAAGGCTGTCAGGGCGTCGTTGGGGGTGATGCTGGGGGTTTCGGGCGGTGGGGGTCCGGCTGGGGTTGGGGAGGCGAGGGCGTGGATGGATCTCACGGCGGCCGGGGAGAACCGGAAGTAGCGCCATTGGTACGGCGCGAAGAAGGCCGGCGGCGGGAGCGTCAGCGGGATCGCCGGGATCAGCTCCGAGTGGTCTTCTGGGAGCGGGGAGTCGGCGGGGAGGAGCGGGATCAGCGTGCGCCGGTCGATGTTGCCTTCTAGGATTTCGGCGGCTGGGATCGGGGTCCCCTGCATGGTGCGCGCGAGGAGGGACGCGATTTGGAAGATCCCGCTCGCGTCGATGATGTTGTGCTGTGCGGCGAGGGCGAGGATGAGTCCGCCGGAGAGGATGTTGGCTTGCATGTCCAGGACTGGGGCGGGGGTGTTGTTGTTGTCGGGGTAGGGCTGGGGGAAGGCGGGTCGGGGCGGGCTGAGCAGCGGGCCCGGAAGCATGCCGGTCGGGGCGTGGGCCGCCAGGAGCGTGCTGTAGGGAGGCATCGTGGTGCGGTGGCTGTGATCGGCTACCCGCACGATCTGGCGCTCCGGGGATTCCCATTCCACGTGCCGGGAGACCTTGAAGGTTCCCGAGCTGGTTGCGGAGGCGCCCTCGTTGATCACCTGGCCGGCGAGGAAGGGGAACAGGGTGAGGACTTGGTGGGCGGCGTGCTCGAGGGCAGCCAGGATGGAGGGCGTCTGGGAGGGGTCGGACAGGGCAAAGCAGAGCAGGATGTGCGTGTAGGATTTGAGGATGGGCAGCTGCCCGAGGATGTCCTCGGTGTGGGGGTAAGCCATCTTGGTGGTCTGTTGGGAGGGATACTAGGGCTGTTAGGGCTGTGACGCCTTGCTATTGGGACTACTTATATACAGCCAGCCGCTCAACCCGCCAGGGTGAGGGAGAAAGTCGGACGTCCCACAACAGACACGGTCGCACCGCGGGAGTCGAAACTGCAATCAAATCAATGGCCAGACGGAGGAATCGAGGATGGATCGCGGCGCCAGCAATTCAGGCGCCAGGTTCGGCCCTTCCGAAATCGCCAAAAAAGCAAGCATCAAATAGTGGCGGGCGATCCTCAGCTGGTGGATCGCCCTGAAGAGCGTCTCCCTTCTGCATTGGGCCTGCAGAATCGTGCGAGACTGTTCTGGTGGGTCGATGCCCCACTGCCTGGTCGTATACCAAGCAGCTAACTATCGCACATCCTCACTGGCCTCCCTCTGCTCCCTCCCTCCTCTCGCCTGCAGAGTCAGCACCGCTCGGTCCTCCGGCTAATCATCTTCGCTAACTAGGCGGAAATGTCTGCCGCACGACTCATCCGACAGATCTCGATTCCGGCCTGGCGATCTCTGGGCTCCTTCAGTTGCTTGCACTATCATCGCGGATCCTCGCTAGCTAGCCACTGTCCCACACGCCGTCCCACGTCACCCTCTTATTTTCCGCTGCTGTGTTCACTGAGGCATATTGCGGATGGCTGGACTGTCTCGAAAGATGCAGGTGCAGACCGACCTGACACCTGTCGTGCTTCTGCTGCTGCTTCTGCTGCTGCTGCTCCTGCTGCGGCCCGGGTGTCATTGTACTCAGAGAAGGATCCAGACGAACAATGCCACCATCCAGGTGGCCACCCAGGATGCAGGGTGCGGCATCTCGCCCCCATCCCAATACTGGGCCATCATCACAGTGGGTTGCAGGGAAGGCCTGTGGCTGGCTGATGCTGCCTTGATGATGTGTGTGGCTCGATGGTTTGACGATCGACCGGGTGTCTCACTCGCCCCCCCCCGATATATTGGAACCACCAGTCGGCCTCAGAGGAGGAAGGCAGAGGGACAGTGATCTTGCTGCTGGACGACCAGCCAGGATCAGCTGTCGTAGCACCAGCCAGTTACCACATCAGGCCGTAGGAACCCGCCCGAATTGCGACAGAGCCAGTCAGGGGAGACGCTGGGCTGCACGCGCCCTGCAGCTGCAGGCCTGCTATCACACTGGCCTCAGCCAGACCGACTGCGATCGGACGCAGATCCCCTCGCGGGCCTCTGACCGTGCAGATGAGCTTAATAGACAAAAGCTAGCATGGCCGACGCGCTGCTACTCTGACCCCGTCGCTGCAGGTTTGTCTGGGCGATCCCATTCTTTGGATCTTATCACAGCCCTCCCCCCCCCCTCCCCTCACATAAGCAGCAGGGCCACGTATAAGTCGCCCCTGCAGGCTGCTCCTTTCGAGTCGTCAGCTACTTCTCACGATGGTCTCTACCCCCACCATCTCCCGCCAACGCCCGGGCTCTGCCTGCGAGGAGTGCCGTCGTCGCAAGGTCCGCTGTGACCGCCGCCGGCCCCAGTGCCAGGTGTGTTTTGAGACGGGCATCGAGTGCAAGATAAACACCACCCGGCTGCCCCGGGGGCCGCGAAAGGGGCAACTGCGGACCCTGCGGACGCGAATCGGTATGTCTCTTGTCTGTGTCTGTATGGGGGATACATGCTGACTGCTGACCTCAGCTGCCCTGGAACGCTGTCTGGCCGACCAACACCCCGAGATCAACCACCAGATGGCCAGTTTGTTCGACGGATCTCTAATCGACTGCGACTCGGAGGAAGATCCGCTGCGTGATCTGCCTGCCTTGCCGGGCCCGTTATCGCTCCCGGTGCTGGAGCCGTCATCATCTGAGGGTCGAGGGACCAAATCGCCGCGATCCCCGGGGTCTCCGAGCCGGCCAGGGCTGGTATCGGATCTGATGCGAGCAGACCTGTAAGCCCTCATCCCTCCTCTCCTGGGTGCTGTCCGTGCTGACAAGCCAGGGACCAACTTTATTTCGACCGAGTGCACCCGTTTGCCCCCATCCTGCAACGGTGGCGATACCACGTGTGGGCCAAACAGCCGAAGAAGACCGAGGCGCAGATGTGCCTGCAGTACGCGATGTGGACGGTGGCCGCCTCCCTGTCGGCACAGTTCCAGTCGCTGCGCGATCGACTGTACGCGGAGACGCGGCGCATGCTGGACACGCTGGACCTGCAGGGCCCCAAGACCGATGCCACGGGGATCGAGCAGGCGCAGGCGTGGATCCTGGTGTGTATCTACGAGTACATGCAGCTGTCGCCGCTGCAGGCGTGGATGAGCACCGGGCGCTGCAGTCGTTTGGTGCTGGGGATGCGCCTGTACGAGCTCGACGACCCGAATAGTCCAGTCACGATGGCCAGGGAGCAGGAGGCGGTGCTGGTGGATTGGATCGGGCTGGAGGAGCAGCGTCGCACCTTCTGGATGGCATATTGCCTGGATCGGTTCATCAGCTTTCATAATGGGCTGCCGTTTACGTTGAATGAGCAGTTGGTATGCTATAATAGGATCTATTCTCTGCAGCCCTAACTCAGCCCGCTAACACATCGACCAGATCACCACCCGCCTCCCCAGCCCCGAAGAAGAGTTCCAATCCGGCCAACCAACCCTGACGGCCTACCTGTCCGAACTGATGTCCATCTCCGTCCCCAGCATGCCCTTCCGATACCCTCACTCTCACCACCCACACCACCCCCAGCACCATCCCCATCACCCTCATCATCACCACCCGCACATCATCCCCCCACCCCCCACCCCGCCGAGCAGCACGCTCTCCGACCCCCTCTCCTCCTTCACCGAACTCATCCTCCTCGCCACAATAGTCGGCCGCGCCCTCACGCACCGTCAAAAGCTCGCCGTCGAGCAAATCCACCCCCCCACCCCGACCTCCCCCACATCCCCCACCGGCACCATCCCCGCTACCTTCCCGGCGACCTTCCCCCGCTTCGACGGCCCCAACCCATCCCCCAACCCCACCATCCCCTTCCCCATATCCACATCCACCGCCACCGGGACAGCAACAGCCACCCCGCACGCCCACCCCGCCGCGACGCCCAACACCGACACCGACACCTTCTGGACCAGACACACCTACCTTCACTCCCTCCTGACGACAAGGATCCACATCCTGGCGACGTATCCGCAGGTCGACCCGATGCTGATGTTTGCGAGGATTGTCGCCCAGAGTATGGTGCTTTTCTTGCACAATGTGCTCGAGAGTATTACGTGGAAGACTGGCGATCATTTGCTGGGAATCATTGAGTTTGAGCGGCTGTGTGTCCTGGCGGCGCATGAGGTTGTTGCGCTGGTGAAGATGCAGGGGAGCTTGGGGTATTTTAAGGTGAGATTTTCCAAATCCCAATCCCCCACGACGACTACAAATCCCCCCCCCAAAAACACCAAACTAACTACTCGATTCCGAATAGGTCCATCCCCTAACCCCCATCCCCCTAATCATGTGCACCGAGTTCTTCTCCGCCCACGGCTACCTCGACGCCTCCTTTGACATCATGGTCCACGAGCTGCTCGAGTGTCTGCAGGATCTGGAACGTGTCAAGAATCCCGTTCCCGTTCCGCTGTCGGTGTCGTTGTCGGTCGGGATGGGGAGTCCGGAGGGGGAGTAAAACCTTCCCTTTTCTTCATCGTCCCTCTCCCTAATCTTTTTTTTTTTTTTTGAATCGTTGTTTTCTTTTTCTTTTCTTTTTTTTAATCCCTTCCTGCTTGCCTTGGTGGCTATTGGGGGAAGTCGCGTGGGGGGGAAGGGGGTTCAGGTGGTTGGCTAGGTGTCTGGGGTTTAGGGTTTGGGATGGGAGTATACTATGTTTGTGCTTTGTGTTAGTAGTGATGGAGTGGATCAGGATGTGTACTTCAATGGGATGATTGGGAGTGGGTTAATTAGAACTATCCTGGGCTTTTCAACACGCTCAATCTTGTCTGGTCTGATCTGGTCTGATCTGATCTGGCCTGATCTGGTTTGGATTTGTGTCTGTCTGGTGTCATTGGTCTCTCTCTCTCTCTCTCTCTGTCAGTCAGTCTATTCTGTTGGCTTGTGGGTATCCATCCCGTATAGGGGGTAATATGATCATATCATACAGAGATATGCATATTCATTTGTCCTTTCCCGATTTCATTACCTGGAACCTGGAATCTCGCGAGTCCGATGGTGTGCCGTGTGTCTCATGCTGGAGACCATGAGGTGGGGATGATCGAATTTCTTTCGTCCATGATGTCATGTGATGTGATGTGTTTTTGGTGCATGGTGTTAGGGTCAATCATGCCAGTGAAGGCGAAGAAAGATGTTTGCTATCCTGTGCTGGCATGGATGGATGGATGGATGAGCTGGGATGGGATGGAGCTAATGGGAATCATTTCCGGTTGGTTGGTTGAGCTCGCTCCAGAAACCGGACGGAAGGAAGGAAGGAAGGCAGGAAGACAGGCAGGAAACAGGGTAATGGAATGGCGGCGTTGATTTCACTGTCTGATGTCCAATAATGATCCATTAATAATAATAATAATAATAAAGACAGGATACAATAGTTGCAATAGAATAATAATAATATCATATCGCTAGTCAACTAATCAGGCAAATCCATATCCATCTCCCCCTTCTTATACACATCTTATATACCTGCCCTACCTACCTACCTGACCGGTAATCCTCCCTCTAACCAGTCGATCCAATCCAATTCCCCCCCAACCCACTCCATATTCAACAACCAACTAACTACCCAACTCCATGCACACATACTCAAACTCCGTCCGTCCCAACCTCCATCCGACCATCCACCCAAGCCCCATCTCCCGACTCCGACCTTGTGCAACCAGCCCTGCCCTATACTCACCCCACCCTCATGTCGCCCTCGACAAGCCGAAGAGATATCCCGACGATCGAACTCCGGCCGCACCCGGCCCGACAAAAGAACAATCAGGACCAGCGGTGGCAACAATGCCAACAGTAGCCGGGAAAATGGTTCTAGCAGGAAAAAGAAATTAAAAGAGAGCCAAGCCAAGCTACGAGGAGAATGGAAGAACGGAAAGAGAGAGAGAGGGAGGGAGAGAGTGAAGCAAGGGTGTGATATCCAACGTTCTGTTCGCATAGACCCCTGCTTTACCCTCCAGAAATGAATGATCAGCATACGATATAACCTCCCTGCTCATTATTGGCCATACAACACATCCCACGCATGCTCTTGCTCGTCCTAATCCTAATCCTAAGTTAGCCTCACCATCCATCCATCCATTCGTGAGCGAGTAAGAGTGAGAGAGTGTGTGAGAGTGATCGCCATGGCCCCATTCCACCCGACACTCCCCCACGGACCCAACAGCAAATCCATCCTACTCTTCGGCTGCCAATCACTCAACTTCGACGCGCACGCCTTCCTTCTCCTTCGGCAGACCATCCTCTCCGACCCGAACAACCACTGGGTACTCGACATCCTCGCCGAACTGCCCGTGTACTGGCGCACGGCGGTGCGCTACGTACCCCAGTTCGACGCCGTACCGGGCGCCCAGCTTCTGCACGATCTCAACCGCTGGTTCCGGACGGGCGAGGTCTCGGACGATCACTTCCCGCTGCCGTATATCCAGCACGCGCCGCTGTTCGTCATCCATCATCTGACTCAGTATGAGCGGTACTTGGGTCTGACTCAGCCGGAGTATGTGGCCGACGGTGTGCTGGCGGATGAAAGTCCAGTTGTGGACATCGTGGGGTTTTGCATTGGGTTTCTGAGCGCGGCGGTGGCGGCCAGTGTGCGAAGTAGAGAGCAGTTGAGGACGTACGGGGCAGTCGGGATTAGACTGGCCATTTTGCTGGGTGCGATGGGCGATGCCCAGGAGCGAGAGCAGAAGTACACTTCCCTCTCGACGGTATGGAAGAACTCCGAGCTGGAGCACGAATTGCCCCGTGTGTTGGATCAGTTCCCCAAGGCAGGTGACCCGGCAGATCATTGGCTGTACTGTGTGCTGCCTTCCCTTATAAAAAAAAAAGAAAAAGCAAAAGCAAAGAAAAGAAAAGCAAAGAAATTCAAATGAGGAAGAGAAATCAAACTAACAAATCATAGGCCTACATCACCGTCCGCTATGACTCCAACCGCGTCACCATAATGACCCCCCGGAATACCCTGGGCCCACTGCAGCAATCGCTCCAGTCCGCCGGGTTCAGCGCCTACCATGTCGACTTCAACGGCCGGTACCACTGGGCCGGACACCAGAAGACGGTGGACGCGTTGGTGGAGATGTGCGAGGCCGACCCGGCCCTTCAGCTCCCGGACGCCTCGCAATTGGTGCGCCGCACGTGGACCAACATCAGCGGCGAGGCTGTGAGCTCGGGGCCTCTTCATCACTTGGTCCTCCAGTCCGTCCTCTCCCACCAGTGCATGTGGTATCAGACCTTCCAAGCCGTGCAAGAAGAGAACCCCTCCGCGGTGGTCTTCGAATTCGGTCGCGAGCGATGCGTGCCTCCCTCGTTCCTTCGCAATCAGCGCACCCGCGTCATCCACTACGCAGACCTGGAGCTGGACGCGTTCCCTCGCACCCTCTCGACGCAGGTCTACGACGATGATATCGCGGTCGTCGGCATGGCCTGTCGGGTCGCCGGGGCCGACGACCTCGAGGAATTCTGGCGAATACTCTGCTCCGGCGAGTCTCAACAGCGGGAGATACCCCCCGAGCGATACAAAGACTATGAAACGCCGTGGAGACCAGATGCTGCGCGTCCCTGGCTCGGGAACTTTATCCGCGACATCGATGCCTTCGACCACAAGTTCTTCAAGAAGCTGCCGCGCGAGATCATGTCGCAGGACCCGCAGCAGCGACTGCTCCTGCAGGTTGCGTACCAGGCTCTAGAACAGTCGGGGTATTTCCACAAGAAAAACATCACCAGAGATATTGGGTGCTATGTGGCCTGCTGTACAGTCGACTATGAGCACAACGTCAACTGCCACCCGGCCACTGCCTATTCTGCAACGGGGCTGCTGCGCAGCTTCATGGCGGGAAAACTGAGCCATTACTTTGGATGGCATGGTCCGGCGCTGTGTATCGACACGGCGTGTTCCGGGTCTGCGGTGGCTCTGCACCATGCATGTCGCTCGATCCTCAATGGTGACTGCAAGGCCGCGTTGGTGGGCGGTGCGAATGCCATCACCAGTCCGCTGGGCTTCGATAATCTCAATGGAGCCTCGTTTCTCTCCCCCACCGGCCCGTGCAAGCCGTTCGACGCAAAGGCGGATGGCTACTGCCGCGGCGAGGGCTTCGCGGCGATCTTCATCAAGAAGATGTCCGATGCCCTGGCCGACGGCGACCACATCCTCGGGACCATCGCCGGAACGGCCGTCGAGCAGAACGACAATTGCACCCCTGTCGTGGTCCCCCATGCGCCGTCGCTGGCAGCCCTATTTGAGAAAGTCACCAGGCGAGCGCGCATCCATCCCCACGACATCTCCGTCGTCGAGGCCCACGGCACCGGTACGCAGGCCGGCGATCCAGCGGAATACAGCAGCGTGCGGCAGGTCATGGGCGGACCGCAACGGAAGGCGCCGCTGTCGTTGGGGTCGGTCAAAGGGCTGGTCGGCCACACGGAGGGCGTCTCAGGGATGATAGCCCTGGTCAAGGTGCTGCTGATGATCCACGAGGGCCAGATCCCTCCCCAGCCTAACTTCCAGACTTTGAACCCCTACATCAAATCATCTGCGGATGACCAGATCGAGATCCCCACGCAGTTGAAACCATGGAGTGCCCATTATCGCGCCGCATTGATCAACAACTACGGCGCCTGCGGATCCAACGCATCGATAGTCATCACGCAGGCGCCGGTCGAAAGTCCGCCATCGGCCATCCACGCTTCTGGTCTGGCTCTTCCATTCCGGATATGCGGGCTTGATGACGCCCGGCTCCGCGAGTACGCACAGCGACTCCGACTGTTCCTTCGCCGAGAAGACCTGTCTTCACACCATCTCTCGCTCGCGAACATCTCCTTCAGTGCCTCCCGCCAGTCGAACCCGACCCTGGACCGTCAGCTGGTCTTCTCCTGCGCATCAACTGCTGACCTCGACGCTAAGCTCTCAGTCGTCGCCGAAGGCGACACGAGCAAGTTCATCCGTCTGAAGAAGCCCGCCTCCACAGTGGTATTATGCTTCGGGGGACAGGTGTCAACATTTCTGGGTTTGGACCGCGTCGTATACGACAGTATGCGCGTGCTGCGCCACCATCTTGATCAATGCAACCGTCTGCTAGAATCTCTCGGCTACTGCAGCCTCTATCCCGGCATCTTCGAGCACACCCCCATCACGGACCAGGTCAAGCTGCAGACACAGCTCTTCTCACTGCAATATGCCTGCGCGCGCTCGTGGATTGACTGCGGGGTGCAAGTGGCAGCCGTCGTCGGCCACAGCTTCGGCGAGCTGACGGCCATGTGCGTGTCCGGCATTCTATCACTAGAAGATACCCTGATTCTCATCACTCGCCGCGCGACGCTGATCCGCGACGGCTGGGGTGCCGACCCCGGGGCCATGATCGCCGTGGACGGCGATCGCATGAATGTCGAAAGCCTGCTGGACGAACATGCAAAGGCCATTCCCGCGGGAACGTCTCCTGCCACGATCGCCTGCTTCAATGGTCCTCGGAGTTTTACTCTGGCTGGGGCCACCACTGCCATTGACGCGGTGCAACAGGCTCTGGCACGCCCAGCCATGTCGCATCTCCGATACAAGCGACTGGAGGTGACCAACGCCTTCCACAGCACCCTCGTCGGGCGGCTTATGGCCGAGCTGAAGCGTATCACGCACGACATGACATTTCACGAGCCAGCTATTCACCTTGAACGCGCGACGGAACAGCCAGCAGGGGTTTCACCCAACATCGTCGCCGATCACCTCCGCAACCCCGTGTATTTCAGCCACGCTATCCAACGGCTGTCAGAACAACACGGGCCGTGCGTATGGCTAGAAGCCGGGTCCAGTTCCACCATTACCCTCATGGCCAGTTGGGCGTTAGACGGTGGTAGCCATCACTTCCAATCCATCAACATAACCGGCAACAACGGGGTGCAGAGCCTGACAGACGCCACGATGGCTCTCTGGAAACAGGGACTGCCTGTGAAGTACTGGGCACACCATCATTCCCAAACATCCGACTACGGGGTTGTGCTTCTCCCGCCGTATCAGTTCGAGAAGAGCCGGCACTGGATGGACAACAAGCTGCTACCAGCCGCTCAGATCCAACAGACTGCCACAGCCGACTGCCAGGAATTCACGTTCTTGGGTTATGACCAAGATCGGGTGGCGACATTCCGCATCAACACAACCCACCCAAAGTACATCGAAGCATTGTCGGGTCACATCGGTGTCCAGACGGCCCCACTCGCCCCGGCATCATTCATGCTGGACAGCGTCGTCGAGGCGCTGCGAAGCCTGCCAGAGGGGAAGGACAGGGTTCCTCACGTGAGAAATGTCACCAGCGACGCGCCCCTCGGACTCGATGGCAGTCGAGACGTGTACATGTCGCTGCATCCGCACGACAAAGAAAAAACCGTCTGGGAGGTGAAGTACACCAGCCAGGATCGCGAAAAAGGCGCCCGCTCTCAGACAGTCCACTGTTCCGCTCGGATCGAGATGCTTTCCCCAGAGCATCCCACTCTTCAGGCGGAATTTTCTCGCTACAGCCGTCTAATAAGCCATCAGCATTGCCATGACCTCCTCCATGACCCAGACGTCGATGACGTGCTGCAGGGTCGCAATATCTATCGTTATTTCGCCGAGGTGGTAGATTACGCGGAACAGTACCGCGGGGTGCGGAAGTTGGTAGGCAAGGGAAATGAGTCTGCTGGGTTGGTGGTGAAGAGATATTCCGGTGAGACCTGGGCCGACACGTTCCTATCGGACTCGTTCAGCCAAGTTGCTGGCTTCTGGGTGAACTGCATGACGGACCGATCGTCGTCGGATATCTACATTGCCAGCGGAATGGAGCAATGGATGCGTGCGCCAACGTATGCCGACCCCAGCACGCCTCGGCCGGAGACATGGGATGTTCTGGCGAAGCACGAGCGGTCGGACGGTCTCTACACCAGTGATATCTTCGTCTTTGATCCAAGCAGCGGACAGCTGGTGGAGATCTTCATAGGGATGCAGTATTCCCGCGTGCCTAAGGCGGTATTCTCGAAGATCCTGAGCAAGCTGAACCCGGGCGCCCAGAAAGTTGCTCCGACAGAAGTGAATTCGCGACCCGAGCAGAGTCCGAAGCCTGTGGTAAAGAAACAGAAGTCGGCGTCGGACCTTCCAGCGCGTATCAAAGCTGTCGTGGCGGACTTCTGTGCTGTAGATCCGAGCGAGATCCAGGATGACAATAACATTGCGGATGCGGGAGTCGATTCGCTCATGGCGATGGAGATGGCGCGCGAGCTGGAAGAAGCTTTCAACTGTTCCCTGCCTGCAACCGATCTGATGGAGGCAGAGACCTTTCGTGAACTTGTCCGCGCAGTACAAAGAGCAATGGGGGTGGATGAGGCAGATGGCAGCGACAGCACCGCGTCGGAAAGTGAAAGTGACCGCGACTCAGTTGTCAATGACACTCCTACCACGGAGTCGATCACCAGCGTTAGTACCGACACGCCTGATCTGCAGCTACCGCACGACCTTGTCCTGGAGGCATTTGGCGAGACAAAAGCGTTGACAGATCAATTTTTGTCCGATAACCACTGCAGTGGACGTGTGCACAGCTTCAACCCGCTACAGATGCAGCTTTGCGTGACGATGACCCTCGAGGCGTTTGAAAAGATGGGTTCACCGATTCGTACCGCGACACGCGGCCAGCGTTTAGAACGCATCTCGCATGATCCCCAGCATAAAGAGCTAGTTGACTACCTCTACCGACGCTTGGAAGAAGCCCGACTGGTGGACATGGATGGAACCGCTGCAGTCCGCACAGGAATCAGCTGGACCAGTCGGTCTAGCGCGGCAATCCTGGAAGATATCGGTCGGGCGTATCCCGAGTTCGCAGGCGCCAGCAAGCTCGCCTTCTTCACGGGCAGCAAGCTAGCGGCAGTGCTGCGCGGCGAGCAGGATGGTCTGCAGCTCATATTCGGGACTAAGGAAGGCCAGGAGCTTGTGTCGTGGATGTACGGCGACGAATCTCACAACGTCACCGGCTACAAGCAAATGCTAGATTTTATCCAGCGTCTCGCACGAAAGCTAGGCAGCGAGTCAGGATCACTCAAGATCCTCGAGATGGGCGCCGGAACTGGAGGTGGCACGAAATGGCTACTGCCCGGGCTCGTCAAACTGGGCATTGCGGTCGAGTATACGTTCACCGATATCTCGCCCGCCTTTCTGGCACAGGCCCGTCGACGCTGGAAGGAATATCCATTACTGCAGTACCGAGTCCACGATATCGAAAAGCCCCCGGCAGACGATCTGGTCGGGAACCAGCATATCATCATCGCCAGTAACGCTGTGCACGCGACCTCGAATTTGCAGGTTTCCACAGGGCATATGAGGAAGGCGCTACGTCGTGATGGGGTACTCCTGATGTTGGAAATGACTCGACCGCAGTTTGCCATCGACATTGTCTTTGGTCTCTTCCGAGGATGGTGGGTGTTTAACGACGGACGGACGCATGCTATCACCGGGGAGCAGCGATGGGAGTCCGATATGCACGCCGTTGGGTATGGCCACGTTGACTGGACGGACGGTTATTCCCCAGAGGTGAGCGTCCAGCGGGTCATCTTTGCTACTTCGACGGGGGAGCAGAAAGCACGACTTCCACTGGGGCCAAAGCCTCCCAGTGTAGATCTCCTGGCTGGGGTCGACAATGTCGCGCGCGGGAGGGCAACTGACGAGTATATTCGACGGGCCGCGGATGGTTTCACTGCTCCATCACTCGGAACAGATACTGTAGCAGGGCCTATAGGAGTACTCATTACTGGAGCCACGGGGAGCTTGGGCAGCCATCTGGTCGCTCATCTTGCTCGTCTACCGACCGTCCACAGTGTCGTCTGCATCAACCGACATGGGACAGAAGACCCACTGGTCCGGCAGAAGAGATCCCTAACGGAGCGTGGGATAAGCCTGTCAACAGACGAGTTGAAAAAACTGGCCGTCTTCGAGACCGACGGATCGGAGCCACTGCTGGGCCTTTCGAACGAGCAATACGAGTCGCTCAAAAAGAGCGTGACGCATATCATCCACAACGCCTGGCCCATGAACGGAGCGCGGGGGCTGTCCGGCTTCGAGCCTCAGTTTTGCATGATCAGAAATCTTATAGGTCTAGCCCGCGATATTGCTTCTATCCGGTCCGGCCGCATAGCTTTCCAGCTGATTTCCTCCATCAGCACAGTTGGCCACCGCCCGCTGGTAACTGACGAGGCAGTTGTTCCCGAAGTACGCAGCACAATCGACTGGGTTCTGGCGAACGGCTACAGCGAAGCCAAGTTCGTCTGCGAACAGGTTCTCGCGCAGACCCTGGGTCAGCATCCAGACCGGTTCAATGCGATGGTGGTGCGACCCGGTCAGATCGCTGGATCGTCCACCAGCGGATACTGGAACGCAGCAGAGCATTTCCCTGCGCTGGTGAAATCGTCACAAACCTTGAAACTCCTGCCTGACTTGGGCGGGGTGTTATCTTGGACTCCTGTTGGAGATGTCGCGGCCACTCTTTCCGATCTCGTGCTCACTGAGGACCCTCATCCAGTATATCATATCGACAATGTCGCCCGGCAACCGTGGCCGGAGATGGTTCGGTTTCTCGCTCAGGAGCTGAGCATCCCACCGGACAATATCATCCCCTTCCCGGAGTGGATCCATCGAGTGAAGGCCTTCCCCGGTAGTCGAGAGGATAATCCGGCCAGCGTGATGGCAGACTGGCTGGCGGACAACTTTGAGCGGATGTCGTGTGGGGGATTGTTGCTGGACACTTCTCGCGCGTGTGAGCATTCCGCGGCGCTGCGATCTGTCCGCCCGGTGGAGGGCGCGGTAATACGTCGCTTTTTCCGGCACTGGAGGCAGACTGAATTTTTGCATTGATATGCGCATGCTTGCCACTGCTGGTCGGGCAGGGCCCTGCTCGGTAGCAATTATCCTCATTGTGTCATGCCGCTGTAAAATAGACGTTCCTATCATTCATAGACGAGATCCGAATGGATTTCAACCTCATGTCCTTCGGTTCAATCCATGTACCGCCAGAAATGGAGTTTTGGACGCGTACCCATGATAGTTAATTGAGGAGGTAAGTCTTGTACTGAGGCTTATCTAATAAGAATAAATATATCAGCTGTCATCATGGCTCAATCTGTTGACGCATCCTAAGACATCCATTCCGATCGACAAAGCTTCATCCAGAACAACGAGCAACCAACTACCACCCAATCAGTCGAGAGACAATGGCTCAATATTCAGGTCTGTGTCTGCGCGGCCTGGGATACCAATATGGCTCCGGCCAGGGCCGACCTCCTGAGAGCCGATTTATATCGTGATTGAGTTTGGGGACCTCCCTCAGAAGATCCTGGAATTCCTGGTTTTCTCCGAGGAAGCAATAACACTCGATCGCCCAGTTGGCGATAACATCCTTCAATTCCTGAAACCTCCAGAGAGGAGGCCGATAGACCTGCCCGAGGCATGCAAAAAAAGAGCTATTCCACAGAGCCAAGTCCACTCTCGATCTGAATTCCCGCAATGCGTATCTCTTCAATGGCCTTACATTATAGTAAGCAGCACAGGCGAATACATGAGCATCTTTGAGAAGATAGTCGTCGTCTGGCTTCATGTCAACGCGCCCATCTTTCCAATGAGCAGTGGACCAATACCTCTTCGATGCGTGATCGTGACTGGTGTCGGAATCGAATAGGTTCCGCTGTATAGATATTCCACCATCCTCCAGAGGGCATGCGGACTGCCTACGTCCAAGGCCAGGCATACAGACCCGTCCCGAGTGGCGCGCAGTAAGCTTACTAACCCAGGTACTTGTCCAAAGATAATACCTCTGTGTCCGGGGAACGGCGCGGAATAGATGTAAAACGTCAAATCGGAGTGGGTGGGATTGTTCAAAAGGCTGTCCCGTCAGCAGGAGCTTCGCTTAGGAAATAGATATACCCACTGTTTAGCCCAAGGGAACAAGTGGATATGCATGTATTTCTCGTAGAGGTCTATGTCGTAGGCGTCGATATTCATATCGTCGAGGGGGATATCTATGTTTTTGATGTATTGTTGCTAAGAATATGGCGTAAAGGAAAGTATGGGGTCGATAAGAACGTATAATTGAGGAGATATGGCAGAAAGGGAAGAGAAGAAGAATAAAGGATGAAAATAGGAGGAGAGGAGGAGGGGGGGCGAAGATGAGGTCGAGTATCGCGCGCTTTCCTCCAGCTGTTCCCCAACTCCCTTCACAGGAAGGCACGTGTTTCCAGCCGCTTCAGAGCATACCCCCAATCTTGTAGGATATCTGCATCCAGTGAACTAAGCATTGGCGTTGCCCGAACTCAACAAATGCAGGGCTTCGCACATGTCGATACGACGAGATGGAAAGAATCCCATCAGGCCCTCGATGACGGAAACGAGAGGTGCAGGAGTTGGGTCATTCACCCTTTCATTGAATCGCACATCCAGTTTCAATGGCGGACGGTCTAATTTGGATTAGCAAGTGCACTTCAGAGATGCTTGGCACCTCGGTTTCTCCAAATCGCCTGCGTCCCAATTCAAATTATGTTTAGAGCGAGTCTATGGTGGGACATCAGCAATGAAGCAGGCGATAACTAGCGGTTAGCGCGAGGGTCGACAAGAGCCTCGAGAGATTGGGGGGTTCCAAGTGCAGCGATCATTTCAGCCTGGCAAGTGGGTTCTATGCCATCTCTTAGCCCAAGGCAAGGAGCGTTGTTCGGGGAGGGGAAGAGAGCGCGACAGAGGAGGTCCGTCCACCGCCGCCTTTCCTCTTCGGGATGGCGCATTGTCCCGCCCCGGCGGTAACCAACCACCCAACGGCCAATCAGATTGTTCTACACGCTAGTGCGTTGGCACTCCGGACCAATCATCATGCGTGGATGCGTCACTCCGCTGCCGTGCCGGGATTTAGCCGGCCTGAGGCTGCCGCAGGCTCACGATGGTTCGGTTGACAGTGAAACTATAGGGATGCCCCTACAGCTGGGAATCAATTGCTCTTTCAAAACGAACATAATCGCATTGCAGTCGAGGGAAATCTCGATCACTATATATACCCCGTCCTGTCTCCACATCCCCCCAGCACATCCCGCGACGGAGAAACAGGGACACAAATATCACACGATGGTCAACCACATTATTTCACGTAAATGGTCAAGTCCCCAAAGTAATCCTCCGGGTCGTAGAGGGGCATTTTGTTGTAATGCCTGACCATGTCACACACACGGGGGGAATCGGGGTCCGTGATCAGGGGGCTTGAAGCAGCAGGCAGTCAGTAACACGTTGAACCACGTGAGGGGGCCGAGGGGTTCTTCTTCTCACCCCAACCAGAACTCCTCGCCGGAACTCAGTCGCTTCCTCCACTGCTTCGTCTCCTCGCCCTCGCACACCGTGTTCCAGATCATCGCCCCGGGCCACTGCACATCCGCCACGATCTGCTTGACGGGCACGTTGGGACAGACCGAAAACACCAATGTCGACTCGTCGATCTCGAGGAACCCTTTGGGATCGTTCACCACCGTGATGCCGATGCTGGTCAGGAACGCCACGTCCATCGCGTCGTACCACGGGTCCTGCGCGTAACACTGGATTTCCTCGCCGCCGTCTGGGCTAAGCACCGTCGCCATGGTCTTGATCGCCGCGTGTTGGACGTACGAGCTGGTGGACAACCGTCCTTTCTGCACCTTCGCGAGCGTGCCCAGGCCGAACGCGACGATCTTGCGGATCTGCGTCGAGGACTCCATGCTGAACAGCTGCCCCTGCAGCTTCTGGCACGTCTCACTCCTCTCCCAATGGCTGCGGATCTGGCCGAATGCACCTCGGACCTCCTCCAGTGTGCTCTCGGGGACGTTGGGGTAGTGGGTGTACGAGATGGAGACGGGAGATGGATCGGGAACAATCATGGTCGTGAAGGATGGGTGTATGTAGGTCATCAGTTGGATGCTCGCGTATCCGATGCAGTAGGTGCTGCTGCTCCAGTTAGAACGGTCGAGCGACCAGGCTGTTGAGCTGCAGACTCACGCGATATCCGAGCACGAGGCGGGAACCAGCAGGCTGTAGCTGGTGGTAACATCGTCCAGATCGTCGATTCGGACACTCTCCTGTCCCGCTTCGATTTGCCGGTTGAGGTCTTCCAACAGCACGCGGGGGAATAGGGGCTTGCCGGAGTTGTACAGCCGGACGACATGCTCCAATCGCGCCTTCACCTTGACCCACGTCTCCGCATCCTCGATCAGGGTTTCCAGCTCCTCCACCATGAAATCGACCACCGGGCCTCGGGGGGCTTCCCTGTCAGCGTCGACGGAGGCGGAAGGATACTGGATGCTAGCCATGGTGCGTGCAGACAATGCCTATGTGATTCTCGGAAGCTGACCCCATGGTCTCTTTATACCAGTCCCGACAGCGGGTCTTTATTGAATTTGCTATATTAACCCGCGCGGCTCGTTATGTTTGCCAGCCACATGCATACAATGCACGCATGGGCCGCCTCTGTTTGAGCCGAAGGCCGTGTCCACTCGAGAGCCAGAACCAACCTGTTGGGATGCGGACGGCCGTCTGATTGGCACCCGCCGGAAAAAATCCTATTAATATCGCCCGAACGGACGACCGGGTTATTTACTGCGGCTCCCAAACTGGAATTTGTTGGCCAACTCTAGTGACTTACTATAATCAGCCATTTAGGGATATTTATAACCAGATGCAGCCGCGCTAGGCCTGTTGCGCGACCGGGGTGTTAATTAGGGAGGATTATTTTAAGATGAAACTGACCTGCAGCATTAGGGCTCTTAGCGCTGCTAGTCGGGCTTCTATGGTTATGGTTATAGCCTCATGGTGATGTCTCCAACAGCCCGCTCGTATCCGATTGGGATTGTCCCGGGTTGGCCAACAGTCGTCTCGGAGGAGTGTGGTTATCTTCCGAAGCAAGGGACCCCGCGCTGAGTTGGCACCTCGGTGTGCTCAGCTGGTTAAATTAATAGCCAGCTGTCCCAAGCCCTGTCGTCCACACCATGGCCATGGCGTTCCAGAGTATCCTCCCCACGTTGCCTTGTTTTCTGCCGGCATCCAACCTGCCTGATGGCATCGATGCACCCGCTGTCGCCAGGGGATTCGCCACCCTCGGAGCATGGTCGTTGGATGACTTCACATCAGACGCCATGTGGAGGGATAGCGTCGCGCTAACAGGCACGCTGCGGACGTTCTATTCAGCGGCAACCGTCTCTGCGGGTTGGACTGAGCGATGTTTCGCCCGTCAAGTCCACGCTTTTCAGCTGAATCCTGACGCTGCACGGGTGGTCCGTCCAGCCCCGGGTCTGGGTTGGATCAATATCCCGTTTACATTTGCTACAAATACTCCCACTACCACGTGCTCGGGATTTGTGTCCTTGGTACGGGGTGAAGGTGGCTGGAAGATATGGCTGTTGCGGACAATTCTGGAGCAGTTTGACGGCTACCCTAACGTGGACGAGCCTCCGCAGCAGCCTCCGGTCCCAATCGACGGCGCAGAATACGAGTGTGTGATCGTTGGCTGCGGACAATCCGGCTTGAGTGTCGCTGGAAGGCTACAGGCACTAGGTGTGTCGTACGTGGTAGTCGACAAAGTATCTCAAGTCGGAGAGTCCTGGCTCCAGCGTTACGAATCGATGAAATGTGAGCCTCCCCAACCTGCCATCCTATTCCCACTAACAAATCAGTGCACACCCCCCGCGAGACCTCCCACCTACCTTTCGGGCGCACCTTCACCGACGAATACCCAGAATTCCTGAGCAGACAAGACCTGGCCCGGGGGTATCAAGCGTGGGCCGAGAAATACTCCATTGTCAGTGCCTTGCTCTCCAAAGTGGCCTATCTAACAACGCCAGAACATTTTATTCTCAACCGAGCTGGTATCCGGATCTTGGAACGGGGATAGACGAAGATGGACCCTGCATCTGCGTCAAAATGGTGAGGTCCGCTCAATCGCATGCACTCATGTCGTGATGGCAGTAGGCGCGGGAGGGCATGAGCCTGTCCGGCCTCATTATCTAGGCGAGGTCAGCTTCTTCACCATACAAAACCCAAGCACAGCTGATCATTACAGGACATATTCCAAGGTGACATACTGCACACGGCACAGTATAATAACCCGCATCAGTGGAGGGGCAAACGTGCTATAATCATCGGATGTGCGAACTCGGGTAAGTAGTCATTCCCGCCAGAGATCCAGAGAGATTATGATTTAACAGGATAGCGCACGACGTCGCGGAGGACATGGTCGAGGCGGGGCTGGCGTCGGTGACTATGGTTCAGCGCAGTCGGACCTGTAAGTAATATCCCGACTGAGAGCTCGAAGCATGTCTATTCTTTTGAAAAACACCCCTAACCCCTCTAGGCGTCATCCCCGTCGAATACATGCCCACACGAGCAGGTACTTCCCCCAACCCTGACAAACACCTAGCACCTAACTAACGACACAGCCGACACAATCACCACCGCCGACAGAAATCAATACTCCGCCCCCCTGGCCCTAAACTGGCAGCTCTCGCGCCTCCACATTCGGGCACAAATCGAGGCGAACCCGGCCCGCTTCGACGCTCTCGAGCGTGCGGGCTTCCGCGTCGACCGCAGCGGCGACGTCTTCGCGCACGTCCACGAACGATACGGCGGACACTATCTGGACGTGGGGAACTGCGCGAATATTGTCAAGGGATTGGTATTGCCCCATTTCCAATCCGATCCCCATTCCCATTTCCATAACCCATGCCCCCTCAGCCAAGAATTTCATAGATATAAACCCCCTCTAACCAACCCCCACCCCCAGATCCAAATCAAATCCACATCCCCCAACCACCCAATCCGCTTCACACCAAGCGGTCTCCTCTTCTCAGAGGGCTCAAACGACAGCCACCTCCCCGCCGACGTGATCGTCTTTGCGACGGGATTCAAGCAGAACGTGCGTGATACCGTGCGCCAGCTCTTCGGGGAGGACGTCTACGACGCTGTTGACGATTACTGGGGGATTGATAATGAGGGCGAGATCCGGGGGGCGTTTAAGCCTAGTTATCGTAGGTCTTCCCTTTGTCCTCCTTTGTCCTCCTTGTTTGATTGCACGTGTCTACGCTGTGTGAAGGATGAGGATGAAATTCCGTGGATCGTATCCTGATACCGTATTGGGGTTGAGTTTGCATGCTAATAATCGCAGATGGGAATATCTGGTTCTTGTCTGGGACGTCGGGCCACTCGAGGTATTTTTCGAGGTTCATTGCGCTGCTGATCAAGGCGGGTGTGGAGGGAGTGGAGGTGCCGGTTTATCGGGGGGTTCCGGGGAAGGCACATGAGGTTGAGGAGGTGGGGGGGCGGGGGCGGGGGCGGGGGCACAAGAATTAGGTAGTTTTCCTGGTTATAAGCATTCGTAAAGTGTGTGTTTTTTTTTTTCTTGCTTGGGGTTGAATGTGGCTTGTGTGCAGGGCTTCAGCTTACATACAGGAGGTAATTGATGAGGTCAATGTAATCTACACACCCATTCTGTTCAACTCGTATACAGCTAACTAGGGAGAGAGAAATCAATCCGAAACCCCACTCCTCTCCCCCCAGAATCCACACTCCTCCCTCGCCCACACATCATCCGTCATCGCCGCCACCACCCCGACACTGTCGCCCCCAGCCCGCTCATCATTCCCCTCCCCGAATACCATCAGCCTTCCTTGTCCGTTATGATTCCTCGCTTCCCCATACCCATCCCCCTGCTTATTCCCCTCCCCATACCCCTCCCACCTCGGCCGTCCCCCCCACCTCCCCCGCAACACGTTCGGATCCCCAAACACCACAAACGAAGTGACATATGCATGAAACACACCGGCCAATTCCTCCTGAGTATCTGAGAATTCTCGCACGGAGGGGTTAAACGTCTCGTATTCCATCTGGTCGCCGTGGTTTGCGCCGCCGAGGACGGTTTTGTTGAGGGACCAGTGATAGAGCCAAACCGGTTGCTCGGATCCAAGTCCAGACACGGATCCTGATCCAGAAGCAAACAGCGCAGTCCGTCTCACCGGGCAAACATACGCGTAATGCCCATACGCGGCCTCGACTCTCTTGAACTGCCTCCCCACATCTAACTCCCTCGTCTCGAGATACTCCGAATCGCGATTCTGCTGGGGATCGGGATACAGCCCCTCAATAGTAGCGATATCCTCCTCCGAGTACGCCGGCAGAAGCGTCCTGAAAAACGCTCTGAACTCCGCCGACGAATTCATGTCGCGAGGGACGTAGTACGTGCCTTCATTGGAATTGAATCCCGTCAGGATGGGCATTTTGTTCCACGCCCCCGCGTGCCACGCATCGATCGGGGGCCGGGTGATGAGCTCGTGGTCGATGACGGGTTGGAAGGCCCAGCGGACGGAGGGATTGTATTTGTCGAAGACTTTGGTCGAAGCAGTGATTATTGTGGAGGCGGGGAGGGAGCGGAGGCACTGGAATGTTGCTGAAGAGGGAAGAGAGATGCAGTTTGTTAGGGCGAGGAAGTCCTGGAATTGCGATTCGTGGATGGGGGCGTTGTAGGGGTGCAGGGCGCGGGAGGTGGCGGAGCCGGATTCAATGATGGCGCGGTGGAAAAGAGGGTTTCCTGGGGTGGTGATGTGGTGGGCTATCTGTATGTTGTTAGTGAGAATCAAAAGATAATCAGGGGGTTGAGAGCGTGAGAAGCGGGTAGGGCTGGGTTTATGGACTCGGGAGGCGTACAGAGTGCGCCCCTGCTGAGAGGCCGATTAGGGTGACCTTCGACGGATCGCCATTGAAATAAGGAATGTTGTCTTGGACCCATTGGAAAAGGAGGAGCTGGTCGTGCAGGCCCAGGTTGAGGATGCCTTCTTCGGCAGACAGGGTTGATGGGAGGAACCCGAGGGCGCCGATACTATTGTCGCATTATTAGCAGAGGTAAACCGGGGAGATAGTCAAGGTGCGGTACCGGTAGTTAAAGCTGACGGCGATGAACGGCTCATCGGACCAGCCAACCATGGAGGCCGTGTTGTGCATTGAGGCTGGAGCGCTGTTAGCTTGTTATGATGTAGGACTCTTGGCTGGTTCGTACCGGTGCCTCGGTTGTAGGCTCCCCCATGGACGTACACGGCCACGGGCAGTTTCCCTTCGACACCATGGGGTCGGAAGATGTTGACAGTCAGGCAGTCCTCATTCCCGCCGGTGTCTTTCGGATTGAGAAGTTGTTTTCCCGGGCATCTGCTTCTTAGATATGGCTCATTCGACCTGAGTGGGCACATACCGTGGGCCGAATTCACTGACGTCGATGATATCGTCGGACGCATTGACAGCAACAGCACGGCGGAAGCGTCGATCCCCAGTAGGGGGAAGAGCGTACGGGATCCCTCGAAACGCGTCGACCGGGTTCTTGAGTGTATCGGTCAAGATGGTGCCGACGACGGTGCCCTGGACCAGGGTGACGCGAGGCCGATTGGCGAGCAAAACATCGCGCAGCGGGACGGGCAATCGCGAGGCGAAAAGAGTCTGGATCTGCTGGCTGGAGGATACAGGCTGCCGCGCAATCAGCAAGAGGAGGAGTGGCAAGATCGCCAGGGCAATGGAGCGGTTGTGTAGCATTGTGTTGGATGGGGTGAAGCTGGGAGCAGGGGGGCTTACTTATGCAGTCCTGGAAGGTCAATCGCACCATGTTCAGTCAAGATCACCAACTACACTCGGCCGTGGATTGATATCATGCCGGCATTTCTGCTGTCGACCCACTTCCCCTCCATCCCACACAGCTTATCTCGGACAGGGTCCGAGGTCAGATACTCCAGTATCTTCCCTTCCGTGCCGGTTATCAGACGGCTACTGTCGATTAGGATACTTCAGACCCGAGGATATTGCCGAAACGACATGATAACCCAGATGGAGGATCGGATCGGGATCGTAAGTGATTCCGGGTGTGACTGACTGAGATAGAATGCGTGAGAAGCGACGAAGCGACTAAACAAACATTCCCACAGGGAGATAGATAATGAGCACGGACCACAATTCGACCCACGCGAGCACACTAACCCCATCCGGCAAGCGCCTTGGCGGAAAACCCCGTGCCTGCGTGCCTGAGTCCGCCACGCCTCGGCCCGCCCAACCAAGTCACGTTCTCTGTTCGCGTTTGGATGGCTTCATCTCGATCTGTATACGCACCGACTGACGGATACACCTATCCCCTGAGTCTCACCCTCTATCCACGGCCACGCGCCGCCTCACCAACTCCCCCAACCCATGTAACTCCCAATCAAACACCATGGCCACCTCACCCCTCACCCCCTCATCCCCCCAACCCATCCAAATCCAAATCCACATCCACATCCACATCCACCTTCTTCACCTCCCCCACGCACATCTACACCACCGCCCTCCTCCTCCGCCTCACCCTCCTCCTGTACGGGATATACCAAGACACGACCTCCGCCCTGAAATACACCGACATCGACTACCTGGTCTTCACCGACGCCTCGCACTACACGCGGCAGGGCCTCTCCCCCTACGCGCGGGACACCTACCGCTACACGCCGCTACTGGCCTGGCTCCTCCTACCCACCAGTCTAACCATCCCGTCCTCCCCCCTCCTCACGACCCTGCTCTTCTCCTCCGGCAAGATCCTCTTCCTGCTCAGCGACCTCCTCGCCGGATGGCTGATCACCAAGTCCCTCGTGCAGGCGTACGGGATGGATGCCCCCCGCGCGAGGAAGTACGCGGCGGGGTGGCTGCTGAATCCGATGGTCGCGAATATCAGCACGCGGGGGTCGTCGGAGGGGGTGCTTTGCGTGCTTGTGGTGGGGATGGTGTGGGCAGCTCTGGGACGGAGGGTGTGGCTGGCCGGGGCGGTGTTGGGGGTGAGTGTGCATTTGAAGATCTATCCGTTTGTTTACGGGGTTGCCATTGTTTGGTGGTTGGGTGGGAGTGGAAGCAGAACCCCCATCCTGTCCTTCATAACAAAAGACAGAATCATCCTCACCCTCTCTTCCCTCTTCACCTTCGCTGCCTTGAATGCCCTCATGTACGCCCTCTACTCCACCCCCTTCCTGCAGCACACCTTCCTCCACCACCTCACTCGCATCGACCACCGCCACAATTTCTCGCCGTACAGCACGCTGCTGTATCTCTCTGCTGCCGGTGACTCCTCAGCCTCAAGCTCATCGTCGTCGTCGTTCGCGTTCGAGTCGCTGGCCTTCATCCCGCAGTTGCTTCTCTCGGTTGTTGTGTTGCCGCTGGCGCTGGCAAAGAAGTCTCTTCCCGGGGCCATGTTGGCGCAGACGTTTGCGTTTGTCGCATTTAATAAGGTGGTTACTAGTCAGGTATGTTTTCCCGCTGTACTTGGTCGAAGAGTGGCTGTTTTTTTTTTCTTTTGTTTGTTTCGTTATTGTTATTGGTTTCTTAATTGGTAATATGTGTATGGGATATTCTGAGCAGAGAGAGAGAGAGAGAGAGAGAGATACACCCAGTATGAGTATACGAATACCAGCTAACCCGAACAACCGCATAACGGATCTAGTACTTCCTCTGGTACCTCATCTTCCTCCCCTTCTACCTCCCCCTCCCGACCTGCTCTCTGCGCCAGAAACCCAAAACGACAGGTGCTGCGGTTGCAGTCCTGTGGGTGCTTGGTCAGGTATGTTCCTCAACTTTTCCTCATCCCCCTTCCCCACCGCATCCATCCAACTAAGAATAATTTCCAGGCCCTCTGGCTGCATCAAGCCTACAATCTCGAATTCCTGGGTCTGTCGACGTTCGTCCCGGGGCTGTTCCTCTCTTCGCTGGGGTTCTTTGCCGTGAATGTATGGATTTTGGGGGTCGTGGTGGGGGATCTTGTTGCTCTTCCTTCTTCTTCTTCGTCTTGGTAGGTGTATTCGTTTTAGGGGGTTGGATTCGGGGGCTGGGGGGAAGGGGAGGGAAGTAGGTTTATTGATTGGGAATTGTGCATTAAGTGAGAGGTGTGGGAAGGTTTTGCTGGTTGTCTTGCCCGTTGTGGCCAAGGTTGATTCTAGATATAGAAGATGTACGATATCAGAGCTGTTACATTTGATCGTGTAAGGGTATTTCATTGTGAAGCTATTGTGTAAAGTTATTGCATCCTCGGATGCTAATTGTCATAAGCATATCTCATTATGTCCACTGGACAGGTAGGTAGTAGTAGGTGGTAGGTATCACGCTATTGATAACTTTTCTCTCCGATAAATGGTCTGCCTACGGCTTCGAGACATCCGCGATGACCTTGTAGGTCGACGAGTGGATGCTCTGCGGTCGCGTGCGCGGATAGACCGCCCCCACGATCTGTCGGTTGTGCCCGTACTGCGGATATATCCCGTCGGACAGCTCCAGATAGTGCGCCTGCGGCCGGGATTCGTACAGCGTCTCCAGGATTCGCTCGTTCCACAGTCCCGTGCACTCGTTGTTCACTAGCTGGAAGTATGGGTTGAGTGGTGGACATGCCGAGTCGAGGTCGATGAATCGGATGCGCATGTACGTGAGTGCCGTGTGGATTTGCAGGCTGTGCACTGCCCCCAGCACCAGCTTCTCGAACGACCGGATGAAGTTCAGGTTGGTGATCCCCGAGAAGTCGTCCAAGAAGCCCAGTCCCGGGTTGCTGCGCTTCTCGCGGCAGCACGTCTTCACCACCAGGTCCAGCGACTTCAGCTTCGACTTGGCCGTCCCCATCGCCATCGCCCCCCGCGTCGCCTGGAACAGACACGCGCACACCTTGCCCGTGAACGCTAGCGATTCCAACCGCGGCGCTGCCTCCCCCAGAAGCCGGCACAGATGCGGGGGATTGATGCCGTCGTGGACCCAGCCCGACTGCGTGTTGTCCTTGCTGTAGAATCCCTCCAGGCTGATGTTGACGTGGACCAGCGTCGGCGACAGCCGCAGCAGAATATCGGCCATCGTCTCGTAGCCCTCGATCTTCGGCTTAGCGTAGGCGCAGTGCCACTCGCGCACCCCCGGCAGCGCCTGCGCCAGGTTGCACCACTGCTGATAGTCGCGCATGATATTCCACGCCCCGCGCATGACAAAGGTTTGCACGTCTGGCAGCGCCGGCAGCCGCCGTCGTGTGTGCCCGCACGGATCGTCGCGGAAGTGCCGCACCATGGGCGGCCGCTTGCAGTGCCCCCCCTCCAGTGTCAGGATGCGTGCTTCGGGAAAGTTGGCCTTGACGTGCGCAAACATCTCCTCCAGCGTGGCGTTGTGGCTGGCATAATGATATCGGTAGTCCGTGCTGGGGTGGTCCGACTCCCATGCGACTGTCTGATCGTCCTCCTCATACCGGCGGGTGGGCGTCGCATGCTTGGCCGCTCGTTGCCCCCACACGGGGATCCAGATCTCGACATGCCGGACGTACGGCGCGAGGTGGGGGTGTGCGCGGAACCACCGGGCGCTCTCGCCCAGCTCGTCGGCAGTTCCTTTGAGCTTGACTGGATGGGTCAGCAACCAGCAATGTTCCGACCGATCCGGCGATCACTTACTGTGTCTGTAGATGCGGTCCTGCACCAACGCCCGCCAGACCGGGGTGATCAGGGACAGGTTGGACAGGACCTTGCGCCGGGGGTGCCGCAGGGCCTTGTTGCAGCTGCGCACGGACTTCCCGGGGGCGCACGAAGTAAAGGCGGAGGCGCGCTCGCCGAATAGCTGGTCGAGAATGGCCTCGTGGATCTCGATGGGCAGGTCCTCGAAGCGCCAAGCGGACCGACCGGGGCGCTCCCCGCTCCGCGCATCCTCCATCTCGGTATCCACCGGGGACTGGCAGACCAGCTGCCCGGGCCCCACCGGGGGGTGGAAGGGGCCGTCGGGAATCTGGATTTCAGCACTGGTGCAGCGGCTGGCTTTGGCGTAGGGAGCGGGCACGGCCGAGGCCCTAGCCAGCGAGTTCACCGACACGGGGCGCGGCGGGGGGATGGTCGAGATCATGAGGGGCGAGGGGGGGGAGGATAGCAATTCAGCCGGCATGCGAGCGACCGACCACCAACATGAACAGGGGTCGTCACACTGAGTGATAGGTGAGGATTCCAAATCCTGGTCTGGAAAAGTAACGACGGACGGGAACCGGTTGGGGGGGGGGGGGGAGGACAAAGGGGAATTTTGGATCCCAGACGAGTGACTAAAAGTGCGAGAGGGCTGTTCAGGACGGGGTCAAATAGGCACAGCGTGGAGGCAGCGAGTGATGGGCGGCACGATTGGAGTCAGGACCAGGCAGCGTGGTCCATGGCGGGTGCCACTGCTGAGTTGGACGAGACGAAAGGTTGCGGGCGAGATGGCAATCGCCTGCGGTTAGGCAGTCAGGCAGAGGGCAGAGGTGGGAGATTGTCGGACCAGGGATTGGGAGAGAAAGAATAGCAATCGCAGCCAGGCGAGAGGGAAGATGGATGGGAGAAACGGGGTGGGTAGGATAGGATGAGATGGGATGGGAAAAAGAAAGGAGGAAGGACGAGACACGAGACGGAGAAGACAGAGGAAGAGAGAGAGAGAGAAGGGGGGGGGGGGGGAAGAGGAGAAAGAGGGAGAGGAAGAGATGACGGGGGATCCTTCGACACTCAGCCTGCAGCGCAGCGCAGCAGTGAATACGGTATCAGTACAGAGTACAGTCACGCTACCCCCAGCAACAGATCACACCACGGGCAATAAAAGGTCACTCGCACCCTTTCTTATCTTCTAATTCCAAGGCAGCATCCTCCGTACCTGCTTCTCTTCTCCCTCCTTTCCCGTTTCCAGTACTACTACTACTACCACCAACACTGACCAATACTCTTTAAAACTGTCCTGCAGAGACTTCTCCCCCCTCAACCCCGTTGCACAAAATTTTCTATTTCAGGCACACGCCGGTTTCAGGTCCAGCCAGACAGCCGGCCTTGAAACGCACCTTCAAACACCCGCAGCGCCGCCCCTTCCAGCCCTTCATTGGCATTCCTCTGCACGGACCAGCCCATGCTTATCTCTGCCGAGGGAGACCACATCAAAACTTCACTCGAGCACACAGGAGAGAGAAACACCAAACAAACACCACTAGCCATGATTGTGTACATACTGGGCAGGGGGAAAGAAAGGTCGGGGATGAACTCCATCGCTCCCATGGTTTGGTTCGTGCCCAACAGCGTCATCGAATCCACTTTGACTTGGCTTCCCCGCATCCTCGCCCGTCTCCACAGCTACGTTGTAAACACTACACACTACATACTCCGTACATACAAGTCACAACCACAACATCACGGCAACCTTGCATGACGTCGCGGTGCATATATACAGTCGACATGTACACTCCATCCTCAGTGTGAGTTAAATATACACAGCAATTTTCAAATAGATATACTCCCGTACACGGGATTGAAGTAGAGATAGGTAGGTTATAGGCTATGTTCAAAGTTAATACTACCTTCGCCGTCGGAACCGGAATCGCATCTCGTCGTCGCTGTCCTCCTCCTCTTCCTCCCGCCCCCGTTTCTGACTGCGCTGGCTGCGCGGCTTGAGCTTGGGCGCTGGCGTCTCCGACTCGACCCGGGCTGTTATAGAGGGCGTCGCCTCGCTGTCCGGCTGCTCCACTGGACTCGCCGCTTGCCGCTCCGCCTGCCGCTCGGGCGACGGGCGACTCGTAGTACTCACCCAGTAGTGGTCCCCGATGCCAAACTCCTTCCGCGTCACCTCCTCCAGCGGCACAATCACCGTCTGGATCCGATATCGCGGCTGGCTGGAGTCGCCCTTCCGCCGGAACTTCTTGAAGTTCTTGCGCCCGTTCCACCGCTCGTCCCAGCGGCTGTCGTCTCCGCTGTTGCGCGGCTTGACCTCCATCTCCTCCACGATGGCGAGTCCTTTCAGCTTCTCGACGTTGACATCCTCGGGGCCCTGCAGCGATACTGCCTCCGCTTGTCGGCGAGCGTCGTCTTCCGCCTCCCGGTGCTGGCGGGCGGCCTCGAGGACATCCAGCTTCTGGCGTTTCGGTCGTGGCACCTCCTCTTTGATTGGGGCGGGTGCGTCGGTCCGCTGCACAGTTTCAGCACGGCGGCGTTTCATGGCGCTGGACCCGGGCAGCAGGTTCGTGAAAACATCCTCTTCGTCGACGCTGCTCTGCGGCTGGGACTGCGGTAAGGGCCCCATCTCCACCGGCGAATTGGCAACTTCGTCGTCCGGAGCATGAGCGGGAATCGAGTTGAGATCGAAGCCGTCGTCAAAGGTCTTCATCTTGCTGACGAAGGCGCGGACGCGTGGTTTTGACCTCTTGGTCTGTGCCTGTGTTTGCGGTGGTTCCTCGGAGGGCTGGGAATCTTCCACCATCGGAACATCGCTGGGGGTCGCATCCGGCTGGGAGGCAGGCGCGTCCGTCCGCGCGGTGGACTCGGGTACTAGTGTCCGGCACAACGGCGCGGCATCATTTCCGAGGATGGCGTCGAGAAATTCGCTTTGCTCGATGACTCGCTGGTCCGTCATCCGAGCTATGTCGTGGCTCAGCTCGATCCACCAGTCCTCGTGGGGTCCCCCGGTGCGATACCGAACGAATACCACACCTCCAGGTCCATTCCGCTGACTCCCGAGGCCTTTGTCGCCCGCGGCTTTCTTCATAAACTCCACAATATCCTCCGCATTCGTGACCCCATGTTGCACCTCATAAAACAAAGCTTTTCCATGCCCGTTCCCAATCGCATCCTGCAGGTTCGCAAACTGTGCCGAATCAGCAAAAATAAAAGTGTAGCCTTCAAAGACATCAATCCTGCTCGAAACCGGGGCAAACGCCTCCTTCGGTCTCTGCGTGACTTCCTTGCCCGGCGGGGGAAGATGCTGTCTCGCATCCGGCCACGCGGCGTCGAAATTGGCCTCGAGCGGAGACAGCGATTCCAGATTCTCCAGATCACTCGGCGTCGCAGCGTACACCAAGGCATCGATATACGAGTCCTGGACGATGAACTTCCCATTCACCAGTGCCTGCAGCCCCTTCGCCGTGTTCCGCTTGGTCTGTACCACATGGGTCGTCTGGTCGACGACGTACGGCACGATCGTCTTGATATCTAGGTCCTCAACGCGGGAGCGCACGCGCGCTAAAGGGTCCTTCGCTCGGAGTTCCCTGGAGGAAAGCGAGAAACTGAGCACTGCCGGCTGCCATTTGATCCTGCAGTCCGTTTAGCTTAGCCCCGGCGAAGCATGATCCCCGCGCACATACCGCAGCACATGTTCGTATCGCCCCAGCTTGATCTCGTGTTCCTCGTCCGTCAACGTCCTGCGTTCCCGGACCGGGTCTCCGTCCACTGTTGTGCCACACTTCGAGGCGAGGTCGCACACCGCGATTTCCGACCTGGTGTAGATATGCGACTGGGGAGTTAGCGGTAGGACCGTCTTTATGGGAGATAGACACTCACTCCATCGCCCGGCTTCACAGGTGACACCTCAATCACCATATGTCGACGGGAGATCGTCTTGTGATCGATGGCATGGCGGACTGCAGTACGTCAGCGTCGGCATGGGGGTCTGTCGGTGTGCAGCATACCGTCAGCCTGCTTGATGCGACCGAAGAGGTACTTCTTCCCCGGTCGCAGCCAGACGCGGGCACCTATGAAGTTAGCCCGAATCGATCCAGGTAGGTTCGTATGCGACTCACCCCCCAGAAAGTCGCCCTCCGAGTCGAGGATCCACATGGTTGGTGTTCTGAGATGCGGAGGAGCGGCGGTTGACGCCCGCTGCACGTGAACGCCGAACGCGGAACGCGTGACCACGTGACCTGGCGTCGCCATTACTGCCGGCTTGAGTAATCCACCGTCCACAGTGCAGCATCATCATGGAGCCTTCGGGCGAGCCGGATGCCACCTCCGGGTCGAGCAAGGAGTCCATTGATCACGAGACCCTCAAGTACTCCCTGCTGGGCCCCTCCCTGACTAAAGCCGGTCAGGATGCTGTCGACCAGAGAAAGGTGAGTCGTCATCAATAGCACCGGCCCACCAGATACCAACAACCCCAGGTCTCCGAGATCATCTACAACGCCTCCAAAGGCTCCAAGTTCTTCAACCACGAGCAGAACCGCGACAAGGTCCTGACGGTGAAGATCGATCGCATCCTCAGGGAGAAGGCCCGTCTCGAAAAGCTTGATCTCACGGCCGATCTCCGCCGCGCGGACCAGCTCATCGCGGAGCTGGAACTGACCCGCGATCTTTCCCAGCATGTCGTGCACGTGGACTGCGATGCCTTCTTCGCGGCCGTTGAAGAACTCGACCACCCCGAATTGAAGACCGTCCCGATGGCTGTCGGCAAGGGAGTGCTGACGACCTGCAACTACGAGGCGCGCAAATTCGGCTGTCGAAGCGGCATGGCCTCGTTCGTGGCGAAGAAGCTCTGCCCGCAGCTGATCTGCCTGCCGCAGAACTACGACAAATACAGCGCGAAGGCCAAGGAAATCCGCGCCATTTTCTCTCAGTACGACCCCATGTTCGAGAGCGCCAGCATCGACGAGGCCTTCCTTAACTTGACGGCCTACTGTGTCGAAAACGAACTCAACCCGGAGGAGGCAGTTCAGCGAATGCGCGCCGAAGTGCTCGAGAAAACCCAGATCTCCGTCTCGGCGGGCATCGCTGCAAACGCAAAGATCGCCAAGATCTCATCCAACAAGAACAAACCGAACGGGCAGTTCTGCGTCCCGAACGACAGGGCCACCATCATGGATTTCATGAAAGATCTCCCCGTCCGCAAGGTCAACGGCGTCGGCCGTGTCTTCGAGCGGGAGCTCGACGCCATCGGGATCAAAACATGCGGCGACATCTACCCGCAGCGAGCCTTTCTCACCAAACTATTTGGCGAAAAGGCCTTCCATTTCCTTGTTCAATGCTACCTCGGCCTGGGCCGGACGAAGATCCAGCCCGTAGAGAACTATGAGCGGAAGAGCGTCGGGACGGAGCGCACATTCCACGAGATCGGAAACAAGGAAGAATTCCGGGCAAAGCTATGGTCGATCGCCGAAGAGCTGGAGAAAGACCTGGCAAGAACGGAGTTCAAGGGCCGCACGCTCGTTCTGAAAGTAAAGCTGGCCACATTCGAGGTCCTGTCCCGACAGTGCCAGCCTCCGAGAGCCGTCTCCACCGCCAAGGACCTCTACGCCTTTTCCCTCCCAATGCTGGATAAACTCGAAAAAGACATCCCCGACCTGAAACTCCGTCTCCTCGGCCTTCGCTGCACGAATCTCGTGAGCACCAAGAAATCCGGCATCGAGCTCTTCGGCTTCACCGCCGTGCCTAAACCCGTCCCGGAAACGGAAACGGAATCATCCTCTGACAACCCCGCGGAGCAAGAGCTCGGTGCAGAGGAAGCCTTCGAACGAGCCGCCCGTCAGGAACTGCAGGATGAAATTAATGACCTGGAGAAACTCAGCCAGGAAGTCGCCGAGTCTGCGGAGATACAGGGAACAGACGGCCCGCCGGCGCAGCCGGTGTACTGGGACTGTCCCATCTGCTCGAAACCGCAACTCGCCGATGATCGTGTCTTTAATGATCACGTCGACTACTGTTTGTCCAAACAGACGATCAAGGAGGCCGTCCAGGGTGCCTCGGATCTCCCTGACGCTTCTTCTGCTTCTCCTGCCCCTTCTGCATCGAAGCCACGGAAACGGAAACCGAACGCCCCGGAGTCGCCCGATCCGCGGCAGAAACGGCTGTTCTTTTCGTGATTCCATGGGCCAGTCGTCGATGGGTTTGTTCGGCGATATGCCGTGATTACCACGGCGCGAAAGCCACTGAGATCCAGACCCCATCATCCTCCTCAGCCAACCGTTCTCTCGTAGCCCGCATAACAAGCCCACCTCCATACTCGACCCAGTATAGCTCTCACCGGGACGGTCATTCTAACAATTAGGTCGCACGGTATACCTGAGACCTTCTCTACGGGCTACGGTATATCTACTCCAGTCCACGATACTGGGAGCTCATCATCTCCTTCCACCAATCTATCCACCTTCTTGGCACATATCCATACCTCGGACTGAATATATGACCACATACATTGCCGGGTTAGGGTTAGTCCGCTCTGTCTAATACTCTGTCTACTGAACAAACCACAACACTGCGACTACCCAATTTCGAACCCAGATCCTCTGCGGTCTATTTTGGGGTTTACTTCTCATATTTTGGATAAACATGGGTATACAGGTAGCTTAGACCATGACAGGATATCAAATCAAACCAAATCAATGCCCATCTATCCACCCATACCCATTCATTATCTGTAATTTGAAAAATTAGAACACCTAACCCCCAAACCCGGAGTACACCTTTCTTCGCCTTCCAACATAATTCTTTACCCGTACCGGAAATGCAACGAAGATAAAGAACTTGGAACCCTCATATTACAACTCTACCCACCACCGTTAAACACCATCTATCAAAAATACAAAAAGATAAATAAAAGTAGATAAATAAAATCAAGTAAATGAAGTAAATGAAGTAAATGAAGTAAATGAAGTAAATGAAGTAAATGAAGTAAATGAAGTAAATGAAGTAAATGAAGTAAATGAAGTGAAATGAAGTGGAGTGAAATCAAGGCAATGAACTGGAATAAATGAATGCTCATGCTCTATTAAACATCGCGCGTAGGGTATCTAGCTAAGGTACCAGAAACGGAGGACTCGAGGAGCGGCCGGCCATCCCATCTATCGCTATCAAAGGTGAGGTGAGGATGATTTCCGAGGGTCAAAGAAAGGAAGAGGTGGTGCGGTGTGGTCAACGCAGGCACGGACAGAATGGACTGGACTAAATGCCGGCTTTAGTCGGGCTGTGGGAATGTAGTGTAGTGTGGTGTAGTGTATTGGGTGGGTACATGGCTGGATATGGCTGAATGTTGGATGTATGGGATGGCGGGAGGCCGGATTAGTGGATTGTATGGATCCAGGTGGTAGATAGGTAGTGGGTTTGTGTCCAGGTATCTGGTCTGGGAGAAGGTTGTGGTGATGATGATGGTGATGGCAGTGGTGTTACGGGGAAGGTGGGTGGCCGTCCTCGGAAGGCGCGTCCAACTCGCTTTCGCTGTGGCTGTCGATGTGACTGCCACCTTCGCTCGGACTCTCGCTCTCAGCGCGCGCGAGTTCCTCCAACTCGTGCAGCTCGTTCAGCTCGTTCATTTCCTCCGGGTTGAGCACGCGACCTCCCAGTTTGATGTCATTCACATGGACGTTGTATTCCAGGGCTCTCTGGCCCTCTCGGATCAGCTCTTCCGTCCAACCCAGACACCGCTTCAGGCTCTGATTCATGCGCTGGCTGTCCGCCAGAAGTTCCTGGTGCTTGGCCAGGTCGATGAGGAATCGCTTCTCGTCTTGGGCGCGATGCTGAGGATCCTGCTCGGCCTGCGAGCTTGGACTCATCACCCCGTCTTCCATGGATTCTTCGTCGCTGAAATCGGACATTTCCTCAGGGGACCGGACGGACGAGTGCTCGCTCCCTTCTTCGATTTCGGTGGGGATCGAGAGCGACACGGACCGGCTAGATGGTGCCATAGATAGACGGCCGGACCGGCTGAGCCGTCGGTATCGGCGCAACTCCGCGTTTTGTTTCCGCATCTCGCGTTCTAGGGTGCGGTTGATCGCGAGAAGCGACGAGTTGCTAATCTCAAGATCGAGGATCTTTCGCTCTGTGCGCGCGTTCAGGGCCCCGTTGTTTCCCTGTCCGCTTTCTGACTTGGAGGGGCTCTGCATCCCGGAATTATGTGTGTCCACTGACGCGACAGACCCATTGCTGAAGACTCGCGGTCTGAGGCCGGGGAGCGGCTCCGACGCAATGTTGTTGGTGTCAACTCGCAGTTCGGATGATGATATGAGGAGAGGGCTCGGCCGTAGGCCTTCCCGGTGCGGGGGCGAGAGCCCGCTGTTTGCGGAGTCGAGACTCGACGACTTCATGTGTCGGACGGCGGGCACCGGTCGCGCTGAGACAGTGCTCAACGGCGGACTATGCACCTGGGACCCTGCCTCAAACGAATCGTCCAGGGAGCTGACCTGTGATGGGCCGTCGGACAGCCGTGGATTGGAGTCCACTCGGGCTGGTCGTAATCGCGGTGACGCCGACGGTTTCGAGGACACCACGGAGCGTGCCAGCCCCGTCGATCGCCGTTTATATGTCGTCCCCCCTACCTCGCTCACTGCTGTCTGCCTTTCCTGTGCGCCGTTGGCATAGATGAAGGTGGTGGACGGCGGTTTGCTCGGCAGTTTCGGGCGGGGGTCCAGCTCAGCCGACGTCGACCGGGCATCAGAGGCATGGAAGAACATGGGGCCCCCTGGGGCATTATCCGAAGACGAATTGGGCCGGGAGGTGTTGGACTCCATGGTCACCGTCCTGGCCCGGGTTGTTGTCCTTGGTTCCAGCAGCGCCCCCCGTACCGGGCTCCGCTCTGTCCGGAGACGCCCCGTATTTGACACCTGGCCCACCTGCGGTTGTGCCCATGACACATGGGGCGACTGCTGGACACCAGGCGTGCTGTTCGGGGAGGAGGCCGGGCCATCGCGTCTGCTGGCGCGGGAGCCGGAGCGAGGGGTCACGTTTGCACTGAGCAGGGATGGCTCGGGATCCCGCTTGGAGGAGGGGGCGGATGAGGGATGCTCGGAGGGGGTGAGGAGGCGCTTGGGAGTGCGGTAACCGCCAGGTGTAGCGAGCCTGGGGGTCAGGGGGGATTTCTGGGCGCGATGGAAGGCAGCGCTGAGGGCGGGAGTCAGAGGTTTGGCGACATGGCCGGTGTGTTGTTTATCGGCGTTCATAATGGCGGCGGCGGGAGTCGAGGGGCGGAAAGGAGGGCGACTCATGGCATTGCGACAGCAGTCGGGAATCTGCAAGCATGATGGCACCAGCCAGTGGAGCGATTCGATAGCCTCAGAGACCGTGCAGGTTGGGGAGGGGAGGGGCGAGGAGAGAAAATGGGTAGTGGGATGGGGAAGCAAGATGCTCGCTAGTTACGGAGTAGCAGCAGCAGAGTGGAGGAGAGCAAGACGAAAGACGAAGGCACAGAATCATGTTTGGGCAAAACATCCCCGCCCAATCCGGCTAGTGGCGCCGCCCCTTTCACCGCAACTGTGTGTGTTGCTGTCTGTCTGTCTCTCTTCCTCTCCCTCCCTCCCCTCTACATTCCTCACCCGCGACCATTCCCGACTATCCGGGTGGCTTCAGATCCCCCAGATCGTCCGTCTCGCCTCTCCCGTCAGCCTCAGTGAGTGGTTGGCATGGGCTGATGCGGCCTGCGACCATGGGTGAAGTCGGAGCTGGGCTGACTCAGCGAGGCAGCGATCACCCCATTCACTAGCACTACAGATGTAGTAGTTACTATATCTTCCCCTCTTCAAACTCCAACAGATGATGCGATGGTCCGATCCTGCGGGCGTTATCAAGGCGGATCTCTCCGATCCCTGGGAGATTCACCATGTCTGAGAGCTGGGGGCCTGGGGAAGCCACACGTGACTGGACTGCCCAGGCGGACGCAAGGGGCCGATCCAGGGTGCTGCTGGTAGGGCTGGATGCATCCACGTTGCGCCTGGTGTTCTGTCCACGTTGTGAAGACGATATATCATTGCAGCTGGCAATCATGTTTGGCGTCACTGGCATATATCCGGAGTCGGTGTACTAGATTTATCAGTCTGGTGTTTTGATGTTGGTTGCAAGGGTTGGAAGGTGGACGGATGGATAGTTATAAATAGCTCTGGGTTTAGTCCTCCCCAATAATCCCGGGAAAGTAAACAGGGTGGTGGCCGACCAACAACCTGGTTGTCTTCATGTTTGTCCTTGAGAAAAACCCTTTGTCTCGGCTCTCCCACCTTCAGGAATTTAGTTATTAGGTAAATACGCAGGAACTGTCACGGGCTCTCAACTAGACACAAGCATCCGTCACCCAAGCCGATTTATATTAGTTTCTACCCTTCTCTATCCGCGAAGGGATCCTCACTCTCAACACCAGCTTCTATGCCGTTCTTTCTCTCCAAAAGCAAGTGCCGCATACAATAAATTGATTATCCACTATTACTGTGGCTAATCTTATACCCCCCACCTAGACGGATAGTTATTTATTTATCCATGATTGCATCATATTTGCAATTTACACCCTCTCCCAATCGCAGCAATGGATACTGAGTGCCAGTGATTCATCTAGTTCATCTATTCATAATCATCTTTCTTTCTAACCCCCCACCCCCTTCTTCCCTCAGTTCCACCCTCATTAATATCTTACATCCTTATCTACTACTCCTCATCCACCCATTCTCCAATCAAGTCCAATTCAGATGTCTTCCCACCACTACCCCCAACACCGTCTTCCCTCTATTCATGTGGTAAAAAACAAAACAAAACAAAATGAAAAAGACCAGAAAAGAATCTACTCCGGTCTTCCATCGCCAACCTGCCCGCTGGTCTCCACGCCCACATTACAGGCAAGGTTATACTCCGCCAACGCCTGACTCTTCTTCACACCACTCAGGAACCCCTCCAGCGGGCAGAACCCGTTCACGGCGGCCTCGCAACCCGGAACTCCCTCCACCGGCACCGGTGCATCGTTCAACACCCACCGCACGAACTGGTTCGTGCCGTTCACGCCCTGGAGATCCGGGTTCTCGTACAGCGTCTCACCCAGGTCGGTGAGGTCCGTGTTGGCAGGACACGTCCAGATCTCGGAGACGAGACGCGCACCGAACGGTGCGATCTCGTTGAGCTTGAAGGTCCGGTTCGTGGGCACTTGCTCGGCAGTGATGTTGCCCGGGAGACCGTCAGGGCCGAAGTTGAAGTATTCGACGCCGAGGGCGGCGAGGACGGAGACAATCACGTCGTCGTGCGACATGTCCATGTACAGGGGTTGGTGGAGGGGGAAGGTGTGCGGGTTGCTGTCGTAGGTGACGTTGATGTTGGCGACGGGGCTAGTGAGGAGGTGGCCTTCTAGGCGGGCGGCAAGCTCGAGCACGTAGCCGATGCCTTGCGCGCGGCCGCTGGGGGATCCGAAGCCGTAGTCGCCGTAGAATTGCAGGTCGAGCTGGTAGGCGTAGGAGTTCCATTCGGATTCGGTGAATAGGCTGCAGAATGCGCTTGTGCCCAGGACGGCGTATTCGTAGGCGCAGAGGTTTTGCATCGCGAGAATGTCGTACGTCTCTAGGTGCAGGTCTGAGGGGAGGTATTGAGAGAAGCGGCTGATGGTGGGTTTGGTGTAGATGGAGAGGAATTCTTCGGCCGAGTCGTCGCTGCGGTTGTTAGTGTTGCTGCACAATGGGGTAGTGAGTTGGAGGGGGGCTCACCCTGGGTAGGTCGCCTCCGTGCAGGAGCCTGAGAGGGTGTTGTTGTAGCCACTGCCCTCGGGGATGATCACCAGGTCATACTGGGGGTAGGAGCTGTTGGCGCCGATGTTGCTGAAGAAGCCACCTGGTCCTGTTAAAACTGAATATCGAGTGTTTTGGGGGGGAGGGAGCATACTCAACCACCACCGAGCACTCTCCAGGATGCGCGCCTGGGAGGTCGTGCGGTACATGGGCTTGGCCCGCTTGGTGCCATTGGGGTACACATTCAGAGACTCATCCCAGTCGGCCATTCCGGCCGGTGCGCGGTACAGCGTGCGGCCGTACTTGGACCAGAACCACGCACCGGAGGTGGCTTCCGTGGCGGCCCCGGTGGGCAGCAACAACTCCGTACCCATGACATACTCCCAGTGGTTCAGGAAAGCCAGGGGACCGCGTCCGACGGGGACGTTGGGGTGCGCGGCGCTGTAGTTCTTCAGCTTCTGCGCGAAGTCCTCCATGCTGTCCGCATCGAGCTCGTAGGAGGTGGGGTAGCGCTGCGCATGACGGTGCAGGATGTGCGTCTGCGCGAGCTCGCAGCCGAGGGGCACGCCGGAGGGCAGAGAGAAGCCCGGACCGTCCTTGTAGGGGCTCAGGTTACCCCAGCTGGAGGTGAGGTCGAAGCCCGGGAAGGTTGAGCCGGTGGGAGCGGAGGCAGAGCCGGTGCTGGAGCTGGAGGGGAGAGCAGCAGCAGCGGAGGCCAGCAGGCAGACCGCCGTGAGGGGGGAGTGGAGGGATGGCATCTCCGAGGATGGATTGATTGATTGATTGTGCAGTCGGGTCAGATTGCCGATGGGCAGTGTGGTGTCCTATATAGGACAGACAGACGGCAGAAACAGTGGGACATGGTTAGCAAGCAGGTTAGCAGGCAGCGGAGTCCGTCGTATCAGTGAATGGCTCAGGCGATGATTCGCGGGGGGACGAAGGATGCAGGCACCGGTGCGGAGTCGAGGGTTCTGCTAACAAGGCTACTTGCGGCAATTGGTCGCGTGCGGGCCTGCCAAAGCGGGGGTTACTGAACACCGCAACTGAACTGAGACACACCGGGCCGATCGTTGGTCTTTAATTTATGGGCCGCTGCCGAGGATGACGAAGAACCTTCAATGGGTGGGTGACTCAACGCTTCCCAATTGAGGTGCTGGATACTCAATAGTATCTACTTAGTACTGCCTATGGCTGTCGTGGATACGTACAAAGCCTTCTACCGCGCAGTGTCATTTTCTTTTTTCTGCCGAGAGCCTGCCCTAAAACCAGGCCTGAGGCAGAATCATTATCCCGACGCCGTATCTCTGCCCCATATCTGATATCAGCATAAGGCCACTCCTGCAGCTTTAGTTTGATAACCAGCCACATGGTTGCCTAGACAATCCGGAGATCCCCGACCAATATCTTGATTGGTTATCAGCGCGGGTGTGGCCGTCGTGCAAGGGATAACCACGACGCGGGATGTCGAGATAGACATACAATCAGTGGCAGGGATATCTAACCCAACAGTCGTACTCCATATAGGCGGCGCACACGCGTCAGTCAAAGGTCAACGCAGCAGAGTAATCACACCACAATCTATTGCATCTAATCATACCCGTAGATGTGCAGGTCAAACGCTAGTAACAGCCCTATCCAACTATCCAGTCTGGGCCTCCAGATCAAAGGAAAACACGCAAAAAAGATAAAGTGATGGTATCTAGGCCGTGGCTTCCTCGTGCTCGTGCTCATGCTCGTGCTCGTGCTTGCTACCCTTCTTCTTCTTCTTGTCCTCCTTGCCCTTCTTCGTCATCGACTCCGCCATGAGCTGCTCGAACGCCATGAAGTCACCCTCTTCCTCGGGGTCACGTTCGGCCTGCGAAGTTAGCATGCATCAGACAAAAGACACATGAAGGTCTTACCTTGGCGTAGATGTTGCCTGCAATCACCAATGCATGGGCGCGCTCCACACGCTTCTCCAGCTTGATGCGCTTGTCGCCGAGCACCTGGTCGCACACGTCGCGGAGAACGCTCTGGATCTCGAACTTGCTGCCCCGCCACGCCGCCGCCAGGATCTTGCCCGTAACCTTCTTTTCGTATTCTGCCTTCTTCTCGTCTGTCCAGTCCTCGCCGCCGCGCTCCTCCAGCTTGGCCATCTCCTCCATGGTCATCTGCGCGTCAATGGCCGTCGAGATGGTGGTCCAAGTCTCCTTAGCCAACGTGCCCTTGTCCTTCAGGCGGGAAAAGAACCCAGAGATCCCGAGGAATTTCTGAGACTTCAGGAAGGAGGTCGCCTTCTGGACGTAGGTGGCGCCGATCGCGTGCAGGATCTCCAGACCAAACGATTCCATCTTCAGGTTCTCCACCTCCAGCCGGATCTTCTCCTCGAAGGCTCGAGTCACATCCTGACCCTTGTCGGTCTCCGTCCACACGCTGATCTTGTCCACCAGCTTGGTCGCCAGGGTGTTGACTCGCTCTTCGCGGGCCTTCTTGCGCTCCAGCTCGTAGGCAGCCAGGCGCTCCTGCTGCTCCCGGGATAGGCCCTTCTTCTTCTCCTTCTTACGCAGCTCCTTCTCCTCCGGCGACAGACCAGCTGCCTCCATCCGAGCCTCTTCCTCCGACTTGTCCATGATGGCCTGCTGGCCCATATAGCGGCGGGGCGTGCTAGTGCCCGAGCTGACGGATTCGGCGGCGGGCTTCTCGGACGCAGATGTGGACGCGGCGGCAGCGCCTTCCGTGGAACCCTTTGTGGCACCCTCTGTGGCACCCTCTGTGGCACCAGCCTCGGTCTCCTGTTCGTGGATGTTAAGCTTCTCCTCGGCGGAGGCGGCCAGTTCCTCCTCCTCCATCTGCTGCATCGTGATGTCCATGGTCGTGGTTAAGTCTTTCATGAGGGAGATTTCGCCGATAAGGTCGACGAAGGCATTGCCACCGAAGATCATGCCAAAGAACTCCGAGGGGTCCTCTTGAGGGACGTTAGCATTCAACCCCCCTGATCCAGCCAACTAGGTCTTACCGAAGCCACCACCGGGAACCGCATCTTCCTTTCCGAACTTATCGTAGCGCTTGCGCAGCTCTTCATCGCTGAGAACCTGATAGGCTTCACCGATCTACGGGAAAACAGACTGTCAGTATGGACTCTGGGACATCACCACATCACCGCAGGGGCAGCCTCACCGCCTGAAAGCGCGCATGCGCAGTCTCATCCCCGGGGTTCTTATCTGTATCCGTCAGCAACAGACGACTACTACACCTGCAGCGGCAGACGCACCGGGATGGGTGGTGATGGCGAGTTTCCGGTAGGCCTTCTTGATCTCGAGTTCCGTCGCAGTGGGCGGCACCCCAAGGGCGTCGTAGTAAGTGGTGTCGGCAACCATGGTGGGAAGTGTGAGCTGGACCCAACCACGCGAAGCAATATGCGGTGACCGAGGACTAGCAGTATACTAGTCGCTGCAGGGCAGAGGATAAGAACAGCAGTAAGAGGCAGGCGCGATGAGGTGGCTGTGCAGGGACGCAGCCGAATGGGATAATTTTTTCTGCCTGATGATGCTTTCCGACGGCAGTTTCGTCATGGCGGGGGAGCCTGAGCGTTTGCGCGGCGGCCTTGCCTTTCTGTCTACCAGCCTTCCTTGCTTGTTTGTTGTGTTTGTCCCGCGGGTAAGCTTGTGTGACCGTTACATACGGTTATTTGCCCGATTTGGCCAGCTCCGCCCGCACCCACGCCTGTAATACCCGTCATGCCGGGTCAGGGCGCCCGCTCGCGCTAAGCTGCCAGCCAGAGCCGCTAACCGCGCCAGTCAAATCTGCCCTTTAAAATTTCCATCGTCTTCTCCATCTTTTCTTCTTCCTCTCCTCTGCTTTCCTTCTTCCCCCCCTGATTACACCTCCTCCTCCTTCCCCTGTGTGTGCTGCTTTCTCCATCCCCTCCTCCTCCCACGCACCCTCCGGCCACAACTCATCCCTGTGTGCTCATCCTCCCCTCCTTTCGGCCAGTGAGGCATTCGCTCGCTGTGCTTGTACATTACTCCCATCCCTTCCCTTGGAATACTCGTTGACTCGGGCATTCTTTTACCTCCTCCCTTGCCGTTCTTTCGCTCGCGTAATAAATCCCTATACTTTCCTAATTTCTCCCTTTTGTTTGTGACTATTCGGTGGTGTCGGACACCTCGTGATCATGGGTCTCGCTTCGAATATCGTCTACTACACATTCCATCCCTCGCAGCTGAGGGCGATTATGCAATGGTTGGTCCCGGCCCATGTCCTCGAGCGCTCTGCTTCGGTGTAGTGTTTGTGCCAACGCTTACGAAGGCTTTGCCCGTGGTCATAGGAAGATCTGGCACTCACCTGTTCACGAACGCAATGAGAAGGACGAGACCGAGACTCAGAAAGCCTGCTTCAAATTCCTCGACCTGACGAGTCGGAGTTTCAGCGCGGTCATCAAGGAATTGCATCCTGAGCTGCTTCTGCCCGTCTGCGTCTTCTACCTCGTCCTCCGTGGGTTGGACACCATTGAAGATGATACGTCGATCCCTCTGGAAACGAAGGAGCCGCTGCTCCGAGGCTTCCAGGACTTCCTGGAGCAGGACGGCTGGACGTTCACCGGTAACCGCCCCGAGGAGAAGGACCGTGAGCTGCTGGTTCAGTTTCACAACGTCATCACCGAGTTCAAGAACATGAAGCCCGCCTACCAGGCGATTGTCAAGGACATCACCAAGCAAATGGGCAATGGCATGGCCGACTACTGCCGGAAGGCTGCGTTCGAGGACGCCAGCGTTGGCACGAACCAGGAGTACGACCTGTACTGCTACTACGTCGCCGGGTTGGTCGGTGAGGGACTCACCCGTCTGTTTGTAGAGGCTGAGTTCGGTAACCCCGCCCTGCTGGAGCGTGCGCGCCTGCAGAAGTCCATGGGTCTGTTCTTGCAGAAGACGAACATCATCCGTGACATCCGGGAAGACAATGATGACGGTCGCCGGTTCTGGCCCAAAGAGATTTGGTCCAAGCACGTCAATGACTTTGATGATCTGTTCAAGCGCGAGCACCAGGAGGCTGCCCTGAACTGCAGCTCCGAAATGGTGTTAAATGCCTTGGAGCATGTCGAGGACTGCCTCTTCTATCTGGCTGGACTGCGTGAGCAGAGTGTGTTCAACTTCTGCGCCATTCCGCAGTCCATGGCCATTGCCTCGCTGGAGCTCTGCTTCCGCAACCCTGATATCTTCGACCGAAACGTCAAGATTACCAAGGGTGATGCCTGCCAGCTGATGTTCGAGTCGACGCAAAGCCTGCGCATCTTCTGTGCTACCGTCCGCAGATATGCGCGTCGGATTCACAAGAAGAACAATCCCAAGGACCCCAACTTCCTGAAGATTAGCCTTGTTTGTGGAAGGGTAAGACCACCCTCCTGTGCGTTGCTTAACCACCTCTAACTTGTATAGATTGAGAAATGGGTCGAGACCATCTTCCCCTCCCAGAATGCCGAAGCTGCCCAGCGTCGGGTGACTGGTGAGCTGTCGGAGGCGGAGAAGAAGAAGGCGGAACAAGAGGCCGAGACGCGCCAGGACGTGTGCTTCATGATGGGTCTCATGGTGGTCATTGTCTTCATTGTCTCTATTGTGATGGTAGGTCTTTTAACTTTCTCTGCGAGCTCGCTAGCTGACTGGTATAGATTTTTACGGCCTGGTTACTCGGTGCTCGTTTTGACCTGGCGTGGCAGGAATTACGGAACGGCAACTTCCGGCCGCCACCGCGTGAGATCCGCGAGCAGCAACTGCACCAGGAGCTATAGCTGCACCTTCTACGGCGTAACGACATGATTGACATCGACTAATAGTTTGCGGCGGCTCATGTCCTATACCTTACCTTCTTGCCGGCCCGCTATATCTTACTAATATACTCTTTCATCCTCCTCTTCCCTCTCCCCCTCTTCTGTCGTACTGTTGAGTTGAACTAGCACGGATGTCAAATTGCGATCTAGTCCTTTCATGACTGTGGTTGTGCCGAAGAAGTGCTGAAATTGAGCGGATCATTCCCACCAGCGACGTACTAGATTTGTGTCTTCCAACTTAAGTGTTGAGGTGGCATACATCCATTGAGGACCTGGAACATATCGTAAACCGTATGATGAGATAGTTTAATAAATTGAATCAATGCAAATATTGTTGCAGACTTATCTTGAAAATCTTAAACCTTTCCCATGGGTAGCAAGAGTAAATGACCCGTAAGTATATTGAGCGTGGAATTTGCTGCGTTTGACGAGGACCCGAAAACGAAGGACTATCGCCCTCCTTACTGCCTTGAAGGGACTCGGAAAGTTTCTACCAATCCTTATCTGCTCAGTGGAAATCCCTGTCGGCCTTGGGACATACTCTTCTGGCACCACTAGTGCTGATAATTATGATAGATGCTCTAGACGAATGCAAGGGAGAGACATAATGTTAAGTAAAAATCTTGAGCTACTTTCAAGAGCACAAGAGCGGAAGATAGTTCCGCTACGCATTTTGTGACTAGCAGATACGAGTCATATCTTTCCGAAGGGTTCAAGCCCATAGAGGGAGTAACCCAGCATCGTATGATCGACACTGCTGAAGACGAGTAGCTAACAAGCCGTGACATCAAATTTTTACATCGAAAACAGTATAGCTCGGATTGCAAAGGAGTTTGAATTTCAGGACTGGCCAGGAGAGCAGCGTGTGCACATGCTTCTTAAAACAAGCAAACACTAGAAGGCTCTTTAAAGGGGGCATATCTCTTGAATTTCAGCTCTGATAGTACCAGGTTGATTGAAGTTTCTGCTGAAAGCACCATGTGGACCTGGAATCTTAATATACAGGAGAGACTGGGCTAAAAAGGAATTGCAAGGATAACGAGAGGGTGTTTGTTCACATCCCCTCACAGCTGCCAAGTAGCATCAGTGTCACATGTCGGGTTACAGGTCCGTGGTGAAACACCGAAAGAAATTATTGGCGTGCCTGTCTTTTCTCCCTACTCAACATGCATTCTAGCAGTTCCTTCTGCGTCATGTTTAGCAATTTGGTATCTCGACGGAACAAGGAGAAGCCAAAAATCGCACCAAATGCCATCTTCCGGCCTATCATCTTATGGGCCTCTTCTCACTTTCTCAGCAGAGGGCTCCACAGTCGCAACAGACTCGAACCCCGAGTCTTCCAACCGTACAATAACCAACCATGTGGAGCATCGCTACCGGGCTGGTGGATCACGAGTTGGGCATGAGCTCTTGCCTTTTCCAGAGACCTCTCCAGCTCAATGTTAGCCCCCGGGATCCAATTCCGGCTCCGTATGGATACGCGATGTCGTCAGCGGCCCAGTCAAAGCAGAACTGAATTCCCGATGTGAACCGGGTGGACTCCTTGTCCTTCTCCCCCGGAGGAACCCGCATCGCATTCGGGTCTACTTACGACGGCACCGTACGGACATGGAATATCGCCCGGGAATGTCTTCTTCTCCGCGGTGGATAAGACCTGGCTGGAATCGCGACTCTATAATATTCGTACTGGTTGGGTCACCTACAACGGTGCGAGGGTGGTGGCTTTGCCGGCGGATATCAATCCGTATCAGGTTGTTTTGAGGCTTAGGGATGGGCTGGACTTTTGGAGCGTATAGTGTGGGAAGGCTACCCTGCATGTGATTGTGACCTAGTGGGTATCTCTGGATAGATGTCCGTCAGCATCTACAGGGTCTAAAGTTGTAAAGGGGGCCTTTTGGCTTTCGGGGACGCATTCGTGGAAGTACCCTTGGTTCTCGCAGCCATTGCCCGGACGAATACCCGGGACCTTGCTGAACCCTAGGGACAGGAGATACCCTCCCGGAACCTTATAAGTCCTAAGCTCAGCCACTTATGCCACCAAAGGGGAGTGTCGAACGCGCTTCGTCAAACTCGGCCGGGTGGTATTCTTTGGAAATTCTCTCGGGTTGCCACTGGGCCGTTATGGAGCCATGGGTTTTGGGTGACGGGGGCTGTCTAGCAACGTGGGGAGGAAGTAGTTCTTGGGAGGCAGTCACGCCTTTTGCTGTCTGGATCTGAGAGAGTGGTATGCCCCTGGAAATTGGAATTAAGGTTGTAAATGGTGTGACTTCTGTCGGGAGAGGCTTTGGTTCTGGCTTGACCTGGCAGGTTGCCATGGGTGGTCGTGTCACGCAGGGATGACGTTTGAGTCAGGAAACATGGGAAAGTGGGAAAGCGGAAAAGGGCGTTTATACTCAATGGGCTATCCAGAAAGCAACCGCTGTGAGGAGTTAATTTGAAGGCCGAGCGCTATTTTTGTAGAGAGTGTTTCCCCGCTTGGAAGGAAGTGATGACAGGAAGATGTCATTCACAGCAGCATTTACTGCTTTGGGGTACCACCACAGTAAGCAAGTCTAGTGCTCTTCCACCTACAAGTAACCGCTTCTCACCCTCAAGCACGATGTCTGTCCTTCCTCGAACGATACAGAGAGGTTTTTTTCCTGTCACAGTGACTCCATATCAGAACAATGGCACGCTACGTCCCCCACTGGCTGCAAGGAAGCATCATTACCATCGCAAAAGGCGGCAACACCACCTCGTGGAAGCCTGTCGAATGCATGGCAGAATTGCCCATCGAGGCCTACCAGCACGATAGAATAGGCGACGGTAGAATGCCATACGTCCAGCTGGATCTTCTTTGCCACCGGGTCAGCGACACCAGCACCCAGGCTATCATCTCCGTCTTCCTACAGATCCCTTGGACAGGGACCGAGTCAGCACGCCGGGATGAGCGCGCCAAACAGGCGTCCCAAACGCAACCAGACGGCTTTCGGTTGCTGCTTGAGGCCTATAGAAGGCTCGATGCGGGGAATTGTACCCATACTCCATCATTCCTGGGGGCATCGGCCACAATTCAAGGATTGGATAGTTGGGTCCCCGGGGGCTTTGTCTATTATATAGGATATACCCAAGTCCCCGGCACCCAGTTAGGAAACAGCATGATCGGGAGGGGTTTCTTCTATGAATGTCCGCCTGAGAAACAGGATGTGATCCGGGAGGCATTCAAGGAGGCTTTGATGTAAGACATCCTCTTCTCACACATGCCTGGGAAACAGACCAGTGAAGGAACTGGCTGATAACGGCTGACCTTTTGGTAGCTCGATGGGTGAATGTGGGGTGGCCTCGCGGTCATTCCCCAATCCTCGCCATTTGTACTGGCTTGAAGAGAGCCAAAAGATGTCAGTTGCGCGAACCTTAACTTTCTCCCGGATTACCTCTGACGACGTGTTGAGTAGCTTCGTGACTGGGAGTTTCCAGGTGTCTAAGCGACCATGGGTGTGGGAGCCAGTCGAGTGGATTCGGTGGGGTTTGCAAGAACCTCCGGAGGAGGTTTTTCTTCTCGACTTGTGTGATGATCGGGGGTAGAGACGGCCCTTTCGCTTACGAAGGACAACCAGATGAAGTCATCGAGTTGGATATTATGGTTGAAGTGATCTGGAATGGAATCTGCTAGAACCAAGAGAAATGTCCGAAGACGGGATTTTGTGGAAAAACGAGCCCTTGAACAGAGCGGTGCATACCCGGCTTCACTCGTTATGACCTTCAGTTTCATTTATGTTGGCTCATCACCCCACCCAACAACAGTATTGGTCGTATCGCCGTGTCTGGTGGAAGAAAAGAGAAAAACGTACTTCCCTCCTCGGGTAAATTAGCCAGACTTTCTGTCCTCTCCCTTTCCAAGCCAAGCAAGTGGCAGTCAACCTGTCTCTCACGATGCAGACCTGAGCGTCTTTCCTGCAATTGACAAACTCCAGTTGCTCATGAAGGCAGGCAGGTGTACGAGGTTAGCATGGTGTGAGAATAGGGTTGTCCGTAGGGGGAGACAGAACGACACGACCATTGACGAGAAGGTAGTAAGTAGCCCCGAGAAAGAAACCAGAGGAGTACACCAGTTGGCCATGCACCGGGCGAGGCGAGCGTGGGTCTGGGGTTCGCTAGCCATATTCCTCGAAGGGATTTCCCATTTCTCATCGGATTAAAACTTCAGTCCGCACTCCAGGTTCAACTCGTACTTGAACACTGATTCATATGCCATCGGATCCAGGTTAATATCTAAGCTTTTTTCCTGTTTCTCGCGCTAACTTCCTGCCCAGCTGGCTAGGGACACACATCAGTGAAGAAGAGCGCGACTTATCTTGGAGCCAAACCCGCCGTGGTCAGATTCACTTTCTCATCCGCCACCAAGAGTGCCACTCAGTCTACAGTCATAATGAACAGTCCACATGATGTTTTTTTTTATGGATCCACGCGGTAATTTCAGGCCATGCAATGGAACTTCTACTGTCCTAGAAACTTGTAGCTCAGAGTCGCCGTCTTCAGTCCTATAACAGTGACCGTCTGTTCATCCCCAGGTACGATATCCATGGCGCTATCGCTGAACGTGGTTCCATCTCGTTCCTCGAATACCAAGCACTTGACTGGTTTCCGAGTGTTGATCTTGAACGTCTGCTGATCAGATGTTTCGTTGATCTTCGTCACCTCAAGACCGCGATCCCTAAAATCAAGATACTTGAAAGGCTGGGGCCAATCTACGTCTCGCGCGACAATCTCACCATCTAGCCAGAGTCGAGCAGCGAGGACATGTGGCTCTGTATCGATAGTATGATCAATGATGCCATCAACGACGTTGGTAGTCCCATTGGGTACAATGCGAACGTCGCGCACTATTCTCTCACGTATCTCAAGGCCGGTATCCACGGATACGAACTGGAGTTCCACCTTCCCGGGTATCTCCTCCTGGAGCGCACTAACAACCCAGAGCTCATACTTGCTTGTCTTCGGAGGCTGAGCATGGGTTACACTCCAGTCATGGTGTTCTCGCCGCACACCGATGGCTACTTGTTTCAGCACCCGGGCCACGGCGTAGAAGGCGGGCTTGGGCCGCAGGAAGTAGTCCACGATGGCCCATGAGATGGTTGGCCAGCAGTCATTAAGTTGCCAGAGCAGTGCACCACCGCAATGCCTCTCATCCCCCCACTGACGACGCCAGCCTCGGTATCCGAACATCATTGTTTCAGCCTGGACAACTTGAGTAAGGTAGATGTAAGTCTATGTTTCTTTGTTAGCACAGTGTCGAGTTCACGACTGTCACCGCATACCTCTAGATCATTTGCCGCTCGTAAGTTTTCCACGAGATATGTAGCAATTCGACGTTCATGTCCGTCGGCCTTGTTGTGAAAGTCAAGGACATGCGACTGCGGGTATTTGTCTTTTTCGTTTTCAACGAAGTACTCGATCGTGGACAGATGGGGAAACGCTTCCATTCCGAACTCGCTATTGAACCGACCGCCAAGCGTATCGAAGATCTGGTACTTTTCTTGTGTTCCATGCCAGACTACAATCTTGTTAATGTCATGCAGTCCATTTGGAGATATGTTCGCTTACCATTCCACTGGTGCATGTCACCGACCGTAGGATCGGATGTTATCTTGCCATCGCCCCATGGACTACCTGGATGATAGAAGGTCTTCGGAGAAAAACTCTCAACTACAGAGGGTAGAAGCTTTTCGTAAATATATCGCGCTGGGAAGTCGGTTTTCAACCAGTTCTCGGGATTCTTGTCCTCGTAGTTATATGTGAGCCCTGCTTGCTCCTGCACCTGGTAGTCCTCGTTGTTCCCGGCGTAAAGCACAATGGAAGGGTGATGTCGCAGCCGGCGCACGTTGTAGATTGCTTCTTGTTCGATGGAATCTAGCAGCTCGGGCCAAGTTGGATAGTTGCCGCAACCGAACATGAAATCTTGCCACACCAGAACCCCCAAATCATCGCAAGCTTGGTAGAAGCTGTCATCTTCATAGCAACCGCCACCCCAGACCCTAGAAACGTCAATACAGCGATGAATATTATCAATTGAGAAACGAACCTGACCATGGCCTGACGGCCCGCAACCATCAATTCAATCCATTTTCGATACCGTTCCGGGCTGATATTGGGGAGGATATTGTCCGCGGGAATCCAGCACGAGCCACCGCAGAATATATCAGTGCCGTTGATTCGGAAAAAGAAAGATTTGCCGTGCTTGTCAGGCTGCTGTATGACTTCAGCTGTCCTGATACCGATTTTTTTGACAAGGTTATGAATCTCGCTTTGATCTTTCTCCAACGATGCCGTGATCTCGTAAAGATTGGGCTCTCCATAGCCGTGGGGCCACCATAGATGTGGTTGGTCGACATCGAATGTCACCTTCGCGACCTTGTTTCCTGGAATGGCAGCTTGTCGGGCGATTTCCTTGCCGTGGAGACTTAGAGTGAAGTTCACCTTGTATGTAGAATTAAATTGCGCAGCATCCAATTCTGCAAACGCAGATATTTGAGCCGACTGATAACTGGAGTCCAGATCGACAGCCGTCCAGAGATCTGCGAGCCTTGCATAGTAAACCTCTAATCGCACTTCTCGCCAGATACCCGCAGTCATTAAGACTGGGCCCCAGTCCCAGCCCCAGTGGTATTGGGCTTTGCGAACGCTCATCCTGGCGGGATCTCCATTGAACGAGGCCCAGTTGTGCTTGGAATCCTGCTTCCGGAGCTCTCTGGCTCGCAACATGGCGCAGTCGAATTCAATTTCCAGAACATGTTCCCCCTCATTTTCCAGAGCTGTGGTAACGTCCACTCGATGCCCTTGGAACATGTTATTGCTCTCCAGAATCACGTTACTGTCCAGCTTGACAGTAGCAAAGGTATCCAGTCCATCAAACGCCAGTACAACTGCCGATCCCGCAGGGACAGCTGGTTTCTGTATCACTTTCCGGTATACCCATGATTTCTCGTTGACCCACCTGGCCGCTAGTTCGTTGAATCCCACATATGGGTCTTTCAACCTGCACGTGAATCGGGGCGGATATTAGCAAAGGATATACTGCACAGCATCATGGTGAGACGCACTTTCCGTTCGCCTGGAGATCCTGGTGAATAACAGAGGGGACTAAAGGAACTGGCATCCAAGCCTCAGGGGCCTTGTCCTCGCTGTCTTTGAAGTGCCATCCTGTGGCCAAGGAATACTCCGCAAGCCTTGCCATGGCGCGGTCCAGGCGGGGTAACGAGTCAATGACAATCTAATCGAGTTGATGAATTGGAATTCCTAGTTCAACTCTCAGGACCACGAGATCAAAGGTTGAATAAATACAATTCTCATATCCCGTTACCGATGGAAAACACCCGTTGGACGGGATGGGATGTAGACGGTCCATCATGGCCGAAGAAAGTGATGCCTTTCGTGGGGGAGCTCCGCGGAGAGATCCCCGCGCCCCACGTGCTGCCCCTTCCTATTCGGGCAATCCCCTGGCGGGGGCTGGTCCGTTCCCAATGCGGCCTAGTGCCGACTGCCAGTCGCGTCCAACACACTCACGGACGGAACTCGCGTTCTCTCTCATACATCGAGAGAGCACTTTGCTTCATCATCATGTCCGATCCGGCCAGCAGAACTCATCACAAGAACCTTCCTCACTAGTCTCAGTGCAACAGTGATTCCTTTCGACATCTCTCCTCCGGCTCCGTCGGGACAGATTCCGGATACCCTTCCATATCCGAATAGTATTGAGCTGAGACAGGCCTAATAACTCTTCCCACCTTTCCTGTTATGGCATGGGGATGGCCCCGTGCACAGCCTGGGGAGTCTTGACCGGTAGGAGTTTCCTCCCGTTGTCCGAGCGAGAGAGGACCTGACAGCCTTGAAGATCACCCAGGGGATCGACCACCTTTGACCTTCCACTGCATCTGTCTTGGTTTGGCTGTCAGGGTGGCTTGGGGACATCAAACAATCAGGTGACACCCTGACCTGGGGGCTTTGCTCGTGAGGTATATCCTCCGGTTGCTTTTCGCCACTAGCCTCCCCTCGTCGCTCGAACATAGCTCATGCCATGGACAACGCTACGGGGGTGACAGCCTAAATTCTGAGCGCCAATAACCGAACAACCCCTCCCCTCATCTTACCTCGGCATCTGACCCTGCTCCGTTAGGTATGATTCGCGACTAAATGGTCTGCCCATCGGATCAGGTGCTGCCCTCACTTGGCGTGCATGTGAACAGGAGAAAATGTCGCATCTTGGCACTGCTTGAGATTAGCCTGTTTACCAGCGCCTTCTTCGCTAAGGGTTTGACTATTGGAGATCATTTCGGCGCTTCGCATTCTCTTCCCGACGAGCCGAGATGATTGTCGTGTATAATATCCTCTGTCCCTGGGACGGTTCGGTTCGTTCCGAATCGTCGGTTGCTTGGACCATTTCTCAGACTAGCTCCGAGGACAGACGCGCTGCCCTCTGTTCTGGCCTCTGCGTTGAATCTTCAAATGGAGATCTCAACAAATATCACATCTGAAGTTATGGTGAGAGCACCAGCGGAAATGGAGCATCGCGGGTCTCTGGAACCGAAGTCCAACAGGCACCCATTCAACGGCGCTCTGGCATCTGACACCTTCCCGGGCTTTAATTAAATTGGGATGTGGAAGTTGGCCACCTTATGCGGGGTCGAAGCTTCAATTGGCGGACGCGATCCCCCCTAATGATCGAGCGCGAGGGCCCTGCAGATAGACAGAATAACGAACCCTGATCTAATTTCTCGAGCTTCCGGTCGCCGTCAAGGTGACCCAGGAGCAGTAAGCTGTCAACTTGCGGATGGAAGGGTGCTCTTGCACCGAGCTATCTGCCGATAATTTCCGGGACGCCGTGTCACACATCTGAGGCAGATGCTTTCTACTCACTTCCTGACCACTAGAGTTCTCAGCAGCATCGGCCTCTCATCAAAATCGTGCGGGTGCCTATATTCATTACCCTGCAGGATTGCTCGGGCGCTTCCATTTTGCAGAAGCGGACCCTTGCAGCCCATGTATTCCAAGCTCGTGACCTTCCCATCAAGAACAAACGATAAGCCCCGTGTTAATGAGCGGACGAAGAAGAAATAACGAGGCCTCTCGTCAGGATCCTGGGGCGTTGACTTCTTCATGCTGACTTTGTTAATGCGCTACTCACACTTGGGCAACTCAAGGGGCGTGGTACCCACCGAATCCTAGGTTTACCACGTTTTTCTCACCTGAAGATCGTGGCTCAATACCACCCCCTTACAGGTAGAAGCGCCCTCCGGACATCATAGCGTCCAGGTATAATCTCGAGTGAGAACTCGCTATTGGGCGGGAAATCACGGCTGAAAGGAGAACAGACCACTCGGTGTTGTTTGACGACTGTGTGGGCGCATCACACAACCCTTTCTCGCATGCATTCTCACACTTGAACCCTTGGTATAATTAGGACACTGGGTGAGAATGATCCGTAGAGAGGATATTCGCAGGCTTCTATTGGCGAGCCCGCATAACCGACCGACAGGGGCTAAAGGTCGGTTCGTTGCCAGGCATGCAGAAACCGGACAGAAACGGTCGCGTCCCCCATAAAATAAATTAAAAGGGAGAAATGCGGGGGTGGGGGTGAGCTGACTGCTGAAGCCCATGCCTCCAGGGCCTGTTGGGCACCGCAAGGGCTTCGGTTCGGCGCGTGGAGTTCTCAGGGTCGAGTGTGCTGATGGTCACCATCCTCGCCGCTAATACACCCGGGTCGTCCTGCTCGCCCCCAGATGGTTGTTTTGGTGTTGCTCTCGGGATATATTTGGTTTTTCTTCCTCCCCATTGTCTACGTCTGCTGGCCATGATCTTTCCTCCCAAGACAATGGCAACTGCAGCAACTAACTGATGACATGCATTAACTAACTGGGGCCTCTGTCTTTTCTTTCATTCGATCTCCTATCACTGCCTCTGGCAAACAGAAATCCCTGCATTTTGTTGCATCTAACCTGCTGGTCTCCCTGCGACTTGGTGCCAATGGCGCCTTTTAGTTAACTACGCCACCCAGACCTGTCTCAACTGAATGCCACTTTGCATCGGTCCATCGAAAAAAAAAACTGCAATCAACACCATCAGATACAACCATGTTCCATACCTTCGAAGGGTTCGAAAACCCTGCCCTGCCGAGCTCTGCTGGGGGGCGCAACCAGCGTCAACAGTCTATCGGACGCCGGATCACCACACTCCGGGCCTGCACGTCCTGTCGGCATCGGAAGATCAAATGCGACGGCGAGAAGCCTTGCGAGGCCTGCAGATGGTATAAAAAGGCAGACTTGTGTCAGTATTCAGACCCTCGGCCATCGCGAAGGTACGAATGAATCATCTCTTCCGCTATAGGGGTTTGTGAGGACAAGACTAATTCATACCTCGACACCCAGGCATGTGGAGAAACTTTCGACCACCGTGGATGAGTTCCGGGGAGTGCTAGAGAAGCTTTTTCCCGGGATCCCAGCGGAGAACCTAGTGAATTTGCCTCGTGAGACGCTCCTAGAGCTGACGGGAACTGGGTCATCCCAGATCGTTGTGCAGGCGCCACACCCAGGATCACCAGCCACCTCGGCGTCTGTTGAAGCACATGCATCTCCAGCCTCCAGTGAAGATGAAAACCTCGAGTCTCTACAGACAATACCTGATCACACAAGAGACGTTGGAAACCTGAGGAACGCCGAATATTCGAGTACTATATCCGATGATGTCAATGCTTTGTCTCTTTCAGCTACACAGCCATCCTCATATCTTGGTGTGTCTTCTGTGCATGCCGTGCTGAAAGTGATTGTCTGGCTAGAGCCGAACTGCCTCTCTTACATCTCTCGCACTCCAGCTGCTGGTGCTGGTAGAGAATCCGTCATGGATATCGCTTCCCCCGAGAGCCAGAGCTGGCAGCCCCAAGGGCCCCGACAACGCCATGGTACGCCAGCGCCCTCTCAGTTGCAGGTACCTGAGTCACAATTGCTTGACGCTTACTTCACATACTTCCAACCGTTTGTACCAATGTTGGACGAACAATCTTTCCGCCAGACCCACCTTACTTCATGTCGGAAAGATGAGCAGTGGCTCGCATTGCTCAATATTGTCTTTGCCTTGGGTAGCATAGCTGCTTGCCCTGCGGAGGACCTGTCTCACAAAGCCTACTATATGCGCTGTAAAAGCTACCTGGTGTTAGAATGTCTTGGATCCCCACACGTGGAGACTATTCAGACACTAGGTCTCATGGGTGGTTATTATCTTCACTACACCAGCCAACCCAACCTTGCGTACTCTATTATGGGTGCCGCGTTACGCATGGCTGCTGCTCTGGGCTTACACAAAGAGATTTCCGACAGTCAACCTGGGAATAGTCGTCAGAGGCTAGCTACAATTGACCAGAAACGTCGCGTATGGTGGTCCTTGTTTTGTTTAGACACATGGGGTGGCATGACTCTAGGGCGACCAAGCATGGGCCGTCTCGGGCCGACTATCACTGTGAAACTTCCCCATTATAGAGAAACGGTACGTCAATTATGTGGCTTCGATGGCTATTACTGACTTATTTAGGGTAATGTACTCGATATTCTCCCTCTCTTGGAAAACGTCCGCTTTTGCAAAATCGCCACCCAGATCCAGGAGGTTCTGGCGGTGTCGCCATTGACAAAGCATCATGAAATGGCACACCTGGATAGCCAGCTTCTTGAATGGTATGCTAATCTCCCGTATATCCTCAAAGACCATGAACCATGCTCGGAGTCTATCGCAAGTACGAGAACAGTCATGAAGTGGAGATATTACAATCAGCGCATGCTCTTGTATCGCCCTACACTCCTTAGCTACGCCATGCGCCGAGTACCCTACATTGTACTCAGGTCTGAAGAACGAACAGCGATCGAAAGGTGTAGAGAAATGGCAGAAGCTACCATACAGGATGTGGCTGCCAAGGCCCAGCTCCATCAGATGTCCGGCTGGAACGCCGTATGGCTTATATTCCAGGCCTCAATGGTTCCGCTTCTGGGTTTGTTCCTTAATGACGGCACAGTTGATGACCCACGAGCTACCCTCGAGGCATGCCAGGCACAGGTGCAAACAACGATGCTTGTTCTGGCACGACTCCAGCCTTGGAGCCCAACTGCAAAGTCGACGCTGGAGGCCGTCTCGCGGATATATGAATCCAGCAAAAAGGGCTCTCAAGTATCCGGGGAAGCCCACAGCGATGGCTGTGCTACTTCCTGTGAAGAGAGCATTCCTGGATCGGTTTCTGGGGTTTCTCCGCCACAGTCCGACCTCAATCGGGTGATGGTTACCAACCCGCATGGATACATCGATCCGCTCGAAACTCCTTTCATTGATGACTCGGCTGGTCAGTATCTTTGGGATTTCCTCAGCTGGAGCGACAGCAACTTGCTGCAAGGGCTGGCCGAATTAGACAATGTGAACGATGCCATACTGTTTGGCCAGGAGGAGAGAAACGGGAAGTACGGCAACACTGGTGCTGCTTTTTTTGGAGGCCAGGGTGATCCAGCATACTTTCTCAACCAGAGCACATCTTTCTACTGATATTTTTCATTTTTGTTTGGAACATATTGGAATGATGCAGGCTCATGGATGTCGGTCACTATGAACTTCGCCTCTTGTTTTTTTCTATATGTTTCCTATACATTCACCCATTTTCTCTTGTATGATTGGATCCACAGCTGTTGGTGGTGAAACGTGCTATGAACGATGCATGTTCGGGGACACGATGTTTTTTTCAACCCAGTACGCTGGCTTTGTTGTGGCAATTATATATGGACAAAACTGCCTCTTTGCTTCTTGTGCTTGTCTGTATGATTCAGTAGCAAACGATGTAGTGATAACAGGACCGGTGGGATTTGTGAACTATCAAGGGCAGTTTCATATGTACCACAGCCTCGCCATGGCCTCATGCGTCCGACATCTACTCGAAGAACCGATTTCCCGGCCGTGGCAAGCCAAGATGCTCCCTCAAGGTCGTGCCCTCATAGTCGCGACGAAAGATACCTCTCCGTTGCAACTCGGGCACCAACCTCTGCGTGACATCCTCGAGACCCTGCGGCAAGAAGGGGAAAGCGACAGTGAATCCATCCGCAGCCTCCTCTTCCAGCCAAAGCCCCAGCTCGTCAGCCACCGTCTCTGGGGTGCCCACAAACGCCAGCCCCGAATAACCTCCATATCTCTGCGCCAGCTGCCTCACTGTGAGCCCTTCATCCTTCGCCAGCTTGAGCACTCCCTCCCTGCCCGTCTTGCTCGCATTGGTCTCAGGCAAGTCCCCCGGCAGCGGTGCATCCGGGTCAAACTGCGACACATCCGTTCCCAGCGAGACACTCAATGAGGCAATCGCACTATCATAGTGCACCAGGCTATCCAACTTCAACCTCTTCTGCCTGGCCTCCTCCACCGAATCCCCAATGACAATAAACGCCGCCGGCAGAATCTTCAAATGCTCCCTCTTCCTCCCCGCCGCGACCGCCCGATCCTTGATATCGCGATACAGCGCCTTGGCGGCCTCCAAGTCCCTGGGCGAGCAAAACACCGCCTCGGCCGTCTCCGCCGCCAACTGCCTCCCGGGCTCCGACTGTCCTGCCTGCACGATCACCGGCCACCCCTGCACCGGTCTCGCAATATTCAGGGGCCCCTTCACTCGAAACTCATCTCCCACATGATTCAACACATGCATCCTCTCCGGGTCAAAATACACGCCACTTCCCGCATCCCGCACAAACGCATCATCCGCAAAGCTGTCCCACAGGCCCGTCACCACATCATAGAACTCCCGCGCCCGCTTATACCGCTCTGCATGCTCGACATGCTCGTCCAGATTAAAGTTCCTCGCGCTGTCCGGGTTCGCCGTCGTCACGATATTCCACGCCGCTCGCCCGTTACTCAGATGATCGAGGGACGCGAAGCGCCGCGCGACGTGGTAGGGCAGGTCGTATGTCGTGGAGGCTGTGGCCGCGAGTCCGATCTTGGAGGTGATGGCAGAGAGCGCCGAAAGGAGAGTGAAGGGCTCGAAGGAGGTCACTGTGTGGCTGCGCTTTAGGGCCTCCACGGGCATGTTCAGCACGGCCAGGTGATCCGCCATGAAGAAGGCGTCGAATTTGGCGGCTTCTAGTGCCGTGATGAAGGATTTCAGGTGCGCGAGGTTGAAGTTCGCGTCCGGGTAGGAGTTCGGGTATCGCCATGCGCCGGTGTGGAGGCTTACGGGGCGCATGAAGGCGGTTAGGTGGAGGCTTTTGTGTTCGGTCATTTTGGTTGTTTTTGCCGTGGTTGGGGAAGAGGTGTAGAGGGAGGTGAATTGTTTAGGGTTGTGGCTGGGTGGAGTAGGTAAGTAGTTGGTAGTTATCAAGATAGTAGTAGTAGTGAGTGGGTGAGAAATACAATGGTCACGAAAAATAGAAAGTGAATCCACTATCGAGGAGGGGATGGTTCAAGCAGCTTATATAGGTCTGCAGGACAAGCTAACTATTACAGGCTTACAAATAAACCCAGGCTGATGCCATTCGCAATGCGGGATGCGGGAATCACGACATCGAGGGCGGGGTTGCGCCACGGCATGAGGTGAGCAGAGCATCATGATACTCCGATGTCTTCCCTCCACGCAGGCAATGCCCTGGACGGACAGCCAAAGTTGAAAGTCATATTGGATCCGGCCGTACACCCGAGCATATTTACTTACCTACTCAGATTAAACTGGCCAGTTGTCTGTCTCCAGGTTAGCAAGGAGCTATAGGCCGTGCCCAGAAGCTTTGCGCCTTCCAATTGCTTACACTCATGGTTTTTTTGATCAGCAGTCTTGTGTCGTGCGGTGTTCGGCGCGAGCCACCCGTCGTCTTCGGTGGGGAGAGTCCACGGGTGATACACCCTGGGCGTGGAATCCGATCTTGTAGCGCGTTTGGGGATTGATTGGATGAGGGTCGGACGTATAACCTCCCATTAGAGTGTCGCAGATCGCATTTCAATACGCCAACATGCCGTTGTTTGGTGGATGAAAGGCCTTTGTTGCGTCGCGTCCACGTCCGGTACTTCGATTGCTCTCGTTTCCAATCGTCGTGGATTTCAGGACCGTATGGTCATGGTCTCTCTTCCTGGAGCGCCAGGAGGGGAAGTACTTCTTACTTCTTTTGCCGCAGTGGCGCTCGTTGATGGATTCGGAAGGCACCGTTCTGCCTTGGCGCCTTGTTCTCGTTTCCAATAACCCCCCCCCCCCCCCCCCTTCCTCCTCCTCTTCGCCCACCCGCGTCCCGAAATTGTCGCCGCTCTCCTTCCGCCCATCCTTCGCCATCATCATCAGCACTAGCCATCGAAGCCTTCAAGCACTGTGATCTCTACCACATTAGAAGCCGGTATCACCACCTTGGGACGTCCTCCATTATCAGAATGCTAACTAAATGGCAGCGGGAGTGGGAGAAGAGAAGTAGAAGAGAAGTGGAAGAGCCTCCTGTTGACATGGTCACTAGTCCAAGCGGGGAGTGCTCCTTTCGCCTCTGTGGCCTCCCCACCTCCACCTTGACAGAATGACTGGTTCGAGTGTCCGCTCCAACAGCTTCAGTTCAGCCAGACGCTATGTATCTCTGGACCAAAGTCTGCTCTCGACTGGAAAGTCAATGACTCAATGAGGGTAGGAATATGGGTGTACAGCCTACTAACTAGCTGTAGTAACTGTGCCATGGGAGCAGGAACATAGATAGCCATGAAATCATCTCTATACTAAATACTGTCGCACATCTGTCAGTTAATGTACCAAGTCAAGACGCTGTAACTATATACCTGCTACGACGACGACGACGACTACTACTATACTACTAGCCCCTCCACCGCAAGCAAACAGATCAGATAAGATAAGATTTCCCCAAAGCGGTAAAGCCCCGCCGCAGTGAATGACATCTTCTCTTCCCGGCCCGTCGCATCAATTCTTCGCAAACACGCGCCTCCACTACCTTAGCTACTCCATTCCTCATGGCCGGCACCAAACGCTCCTGGGACGGCCAACCACTCCAAGACGAGCCCAACCCCATTGCCACCCACACAACCCAACCACCTCAACAGCCTCCCACCATGGCGTCAGCACCACCAGCAGCAGAAGAACCCCCCGCCAACCCCATCATCACCATGTTCGAGACCTTCCGCGACGAGCTGGACGAGCACCACGACCGCCGCGAGCGTTTGATCAAAATCAGTCGGGACATTACAGCTTTGAGCAAGAAGATGTACCCCTCCCCTTCCCATTGCCATCCCCCTCTAATCAGAGCCATAGCTAACACCTCTCTTTCTCAAAATAGCATCTTCTCCCTCCAAAGGTACGTATCCCCCCTCCCTCTCCTCTCCCAATATAACCCACCCCCAACCCAACTACCAACCCAACTACCAACCCCAACACTAACCAACAAATCCATAAACTAGAATCCGCACCCTCCCCACTCCCCTCCCCCCCTCCATCTCCAAAGAAACCACCACGCGCTTCGCCCAAATCAACACGCTCTTCCAATCCGCGCTGCCCGAATTCCAGCACCCGCCGAACTTCTGGCGCTACCAGCGCTCCCTCAGCCCGGGCATCCAGGAATTCATCGAGGCGGTGTCTTTCCACCACTACCTGACCACACAGACGCTGATCACGAAGGCCGAGGTTGCGGAGCGGCTGCCCGCGGGGATCCTGGTCACGGATGAGGATTATTTGATGGGGCTGTTTGATTTTACCGGGGAGGTGATGCGGTTTGCTGTTACGGGGTTGTCGGCGGGGGCTTCGCCTTGTGGAGGTCAGGGAGGTAAGCAGGGGGTTGATGGGGATGGGGATGGGGATGAGACAGAGACAGGGACAGAGATAGCGATAGGAAAGAAACTCCCCACTGAGCAAGCGGGCATTGTGGTCGATCTGCGGGGTATGAGGTCTGCGTTTGAGGGGTTGACGGTCACGAGACGGCATACGAACATGTTTCGGGATCTGGGGAAGAAGGTTGATGTGATGCAGAACAGTGTGGAGAAGGTCGAGAGGGCCGCGTATGGGATTTTGGTGCGTGGGAGTGAGAGGCCGAAGGGCTGGAGGCCGGATTTGGCCGTTGCCGCTGGGGGGGACGATTATTAGCTGGCTTGCTTCGGAGTGTTCTACATACTCTAGTCTACCTTCCCATGGTAAGGTGGCTGTGGGGATGGGGAGGGAGGGAGGGAGGGAGGAGGGTAGTATGAGCATGGATCTATTCGGTATCATAGATCTGTGTAACGCGCATATGTCCAGTTAGATAAACCCCGAGAACGAGTGACTAGGATCAGAACAGGGGGTCATGGTCAATATCAACAGAAACAGAACAGAAACAGAACAAACGCAATCCCGAAAAAAAAAAATCCGTGTACGTCCTTCCCCATCATCGTATCCACATCAACCCGAAATAGCGTGTGGAAAACCCAAAATCAATCAACAAAGCAAGCAAACAAACTCCTCAGACCAACGCCCAATCCCGTCCATCATCCACCTCAAAACCTCTTTCTCTGAGTATCTCCTAAACAGCCGGATACCTCGGATCCTCATCCTCGGTCAAAATACCCTGCGAGATCAGATCCTCCGGATTCGGGCGACTCTGGATCTTCTGGTCCAGAGTGTCCGCCAGCATGTGTTTTTCGAGCTCGCGGGCGGGGCCCTGCAATGCGGGGGCTGCGTGGGTGGGGGGGAGGATGTTTCCTTGGTTGCCCGAGATTTTGAGTGTTAGCATATCAATCCACATACATACATATGTTTATCATGTGGGGGCAGTAGAAGAAGAGAAACGGGGGAAAAATGAAGCAAAGTGAAGGGGGGCAAAGAAAAGACAAAAGAGAAAGACATACGCTCAACGAGCTCATCCCTCACAGGCCTCTGCTCGAGATGTTTCTTCAAGCTGTCCGTTGTGCGCTGACGGTCCAGGTCTAGGCTGGTTGCTTGGATGGACCTGTTCCCCCACCATTCATTCATTCGTTCCTTTTTGTTAGCTTTTGTGGGTTGACTTCTAAGGGGGATGGGGGAGGGAGGGAGAGTTCGTGGGGTTACACACGGGGCGATGTTCGTGTTGAGCAGGATGTGGCGGTCTTTCAGGTCTTGCATGTCGGGGCGGGTTTGGAGGTGTTTTTCCAGACTGTCGCGGCGCTCCATGGTGGAGGCGGAGAGGGGGTTTCGTCGATGCTGGGGGTGAGGGTTGAGAGGGACATTGTTGATTGTTGTTTCTGATGGGGGTTTGGGGGGATGGGGGGGTGGTGGTGTTGCGGGGGATAAGGGATAAAGGATAAAGGGTCTGGGGTGAGGGGTGGAGTGAGGAAGTATGTATAGATGGATGGATGGGTGCTGGGTGGGGTGGGTTGGTCTGGTATATGTACAGGGATGATGGCTTGGGAGATGGTAAGTATAATGATTGTATAATCTAGCCACGACGAGGATGGTTGTCCAGGAGATGCCAGGAGACAGGAGATGGGGTCAAGTGATTGACGGTGCGGAGGCCGAAGCCACGGGACGGGTTCCACTGACGATGTCATCGACACGTCCCCGTCATCATTCCCTCTACGCTGCCACTCCAAATCAACTCGGGCCGGCTCGCTGTCGACAACACCTGTCGGCCATTTCATTCTCTAGATAAGCAGCTAGCAACTAGCAACTAGCAACTAGCACCTAGCACCTAGAACTAGAACTAGAACTAGAACTAAGACTAGACCTAAACCTAGAACTAACAACAAATAGTTGGCACGGTCTGCCCCAATCCTCCCGTAGCAATTTGAAAAAAAAACATGTCCAACAAGTAACGAATGAATGACTGCCATATCGGTATCGGTTTTGTAAACTGCAACTGCAACTGCACTGCACAGTGGAAAGGAAGGCCGAAAAAGCTGGCTGTCGATCACTGTGCCGTGTCTCCCACCAGCGAGGGAAGGAAAAGAAAGCAACCGCCCATCCTCCGGAAACAAAGCAAGGCATATGGACCGGCGAGCATTCAGCATCTGACTGCTCACTGGGACTGCGCGATGCCACGTAGCCCAATGCCAGTTCCCCATCAGCATGGCATCGGGATCGAAACGTCCCTACCCGATCACTCGCCATCTGTCCAGGACCCATTCGCCGCATCCATGAAGTCACCGTCGGAACCGACAAACGTCTGATCAGCCAGCCCGGGTCGCGGAGAATCCGTTCTGCTTCGTGTAACAACCACTGTGGTCTTTTTAAGTGTTGGGAATCAATCGGTCCGCCCATCGCAAAGCATCGACGAACCCGACCATCGGATCAAGGAACCCAGAGCTTGCCACGACCCCGGCCGTTGCCGCGAGACGGCCCGCGCGACGCCCCGCGCCGACTGTTTGAGTAGTTGCGCGACGCTCCCGCCATGCCCCGTGCTGCCCCGGACTGAGTGCTCAGATCAACCGTGGGCGCCTGCTTGCTCGCGCCAAGCGACCGGCTGAAGGAGTTGGGGTCGATTGGCTGCGACGGAATCTCAATCGCAGCCTCCACGGGCGGGGCGACGGGCTTGGGCGGAGCCGGCTTGCGAGTGGTGCCGCCGCGCGAGCCTCCCCCTCGAGCCACTGCGCCTTTGCCACGACCGCGGGGCACAAACACCAGCTCATCCTCGTCACTCTCTTCCTCGTAGGCAAGGATCGTCTTGGGCTCGGGGGCCGGGATCTGGGTCTTTTCCACATACTTGCACCGGTTCTTGTACTCCCGCTCCTCGTACTGGATGGAAGTCCGCAGCTGATGGATATTCTTGACGCCGATGCCGAATTTCTGCGCCCACACCTGGGTGGGGTGATCGTTTGTAATAAGAATACAAGTCTTCGCGGCATTGGATGCGTCCGGGCCGTTGTGCAGCCGCCAGAGAAGGGCGCTGAGCAGGGGCCGGAGCATCAGGGGAACTGTCGGGATCGTGGATCCAGATGCAGATCGGCGATGTCCGCTCTCGGGCTTCGCTTTGCCGTCCTTCGCCACGCCGTTCGCAATGACATGGGAGTTCGTGCACTCGGGGCTGGTGCGAGAGCTCCTGGAGGACGGACGGGATGCCGGAGCGCTGTGGGTGCCGTTGGAGGTGAGCGAGACGGCGTCCGATTCTTTCTTGAAGTTCAGCTTGTTGAGAAGCATTTGCGACAGGTCATCCGGGGCAGGGCTGTTCTTCTTGTTGTCCTTGCTTTTATCCTCACGGTTCCTCTGCGCCACCTGGCCGTCCGGAGCTCCGGGGGCAGTGTCCGGCTCCTCCTCGAATTCGGGCAGAAAGTACTTCTCGGCCTCTGCCCAGGTTTCATACTGCTCCATCGGACCCTGCAGGATGATTCGTTCGGCGGCAATGTTGTCCTTGCCGGAGGTGACGCGGTCGAGAAAACGCACCGCCTCCCGGGCGTTGATAGCGACCTGAGATCCGGCTCTCTTCAGGCCGTGGAGGCGTTCAAGGGCTAGCGAACGCACACGTCAGCGGATGTGGAGGAGCGGCCGGGGCATACTCACTGTAAAGAGGGACGATGAGTGTGATGGCGCCGTTGGTGGTCCATTTTTTTATTTCGCTGATGTTGGTGGTTAAGGCCGTCTCATCCACGGCACAGTGGAAGACCTTGCGTCCGGCCGACATGCTGACTCGTCACGGGCGACGGAGCGGTCGCGTAGGTGAAGAGGATTTAGAAACTGACAGGCACCGAGGCCCTAGACCGAACAGCTGGCTTTGACGACTGCGACCGAGCCGCAGGCTGGTTAGCGAGAGCTGGAGTCGGGGAGAGGTTTGGATTAGGATTGATGGAGGCGGAGGTCTGGGAATGTGGGGGCCCTGGCTGAGGGCCGAACAACGGGGCATCCAGAGCCAGGCAGCAGGCCGGAACGGTCGAGAAGAGATTGCTCACTCACAATGAAATCCTCGTGCACAAGGGAAGGTCATCTGCAGCATTTTTGTGTTGGAAAAAGCGATCGTCGATGGGGAAGAATAAGGCGAGCTGGGGAGAGAGAAGATGGATCGATCCATCGGCGGATCAACTCGAAAGCCGCGGAGTCGTCTGGAACCTGACTAAGCGTCAGACTACGGGTCATTGGCGATGTGCCTTGTGAATTACACAGGGGAGACTTGACCTTTCACCTCAATAGTAGTGATTCAATACGCTGGACTGCGCTCATTTTTACACATACACATGCACCTGCACCTGCACGCCACCCAAATGCCTGGTGTACATTCTATCCCGGTCAATCTAACTCTGGTATCTGCGGTTGCTAGAACGAGCTCAAAATGAGAGAAAACGCTATGTCATTCATCCACGACCAGATCATCAGGTCATCAGCCTTGCCGTCATCTCATCTCATCTCATCCCTACGTTTTCTTCTTGATCAGACCCTCTTCCGGCTTGACCCGTTGCGCCCACTCACTGCACACATTGTAAGCAGCCGTCACTACACATTGAAAAATGGAGGGGGCACTTACGTCCAGCTGCCGTCGTATACTCTCCGCAGGTTGGGTTCACCAAACTCTGCCTCGGCTAATGCGGTCTCGATGATCGTCGCCGTCACACCAGTGCCACAAGAGCTAATGATAGACTTGGACGTATCTAGATCTTTGCTCTCGAAGATCTTGCGTAGCTCCGATGCCGGGAGATAGGTCTTAGTCTCGGGATCCAGCAGTTCCTGGAAAGGCAGGCTTTGGGAGCCAGGAATGTGACCCGACGATAGCCCCGGGCGCGGCTCTGGATCGGTTCCCGCCCAGCGGCCGTACGATCGTGCGTCCAGGATCTCCACTTCCTTCGCGCCCTCCTTCCTGTGCTCCTTGGCGATTTCCTTCAGCTCCCGGTACGGGATCACCAGCTTGGAGTCGTAGGTCGGCACCGGGTAGTTGGTCTTCTTGGGCTGGAATGGCTCCCCGGTCTCCGTGGGGAATCCTTCGCGAACCCACAGTCTGTAGTTGTTGAGGACATGGACTCGGGGGTGTCCGAAGACTCGTAGGGTCCAGCCGACACGGGGGGCGCTGAAGATGCCGACTTCCTCGGAGTCGTAAACCACAATCTCGTCGTCGCGCCGGATCCCGAGCTCGCCCATGGCCTCGGCGAAGGTCTCGGCGGTGGGGAGCATGTGCGGGTAGGGCGAGTCCTGGTCCTTGACTTCGTCCAGATCGAAGAACCGGGCCTGCGGTATGCGATGCTTGCGGAAGACGTCAATTCCTTTGCGACCCTCAGGGTCGTTCGGCATGAACCAGGCAGCGCATAGCGGAACCACCCGGGGTGAAGTTGCGATCTTCGTGCGGGGATTCTTCTTGAGAGCGGTGTCCAGCTCTTTGGGAGTCACCAGGTATGAGGAGAAAGAGAATGGGCGAGCTTGGTGGGAGAATGCCATGGTCGGACGAATGAGGCGAGTCGGTGAAGGGAGCAGGGAGTTACGAAGGGATGCGAACGCCATGGTCCGAAAGAGGGGGGAGGGGTTAATATAGGAGGGGAAGCGTCAGGGATTATTTACATGCCGCTCAGACAGGCTTGTCTGAATAATCCACCTGCAGGGACAAGAGAGGATGAGGGGGGGAGGGGGGGAGGGAGTTGGTTGGGGGAGAGATTGGAGTGGGAACTGGGAAGCGCAAGAGGGAAGGGCGATGACGGGCGAGCTGCTGCTATCAATAAGCACCGCAACCATGTGAAAAGCGCCGCTGCCGCTTATCATCCGCTCCACTTCCGCGCTTCCTCTCCTCTTCCTCCCTCTCGTCCCGACACTAGCCCACTAACTTCCTAACCCAATCACCTCCCCCGCCATGAAGGTCACCATCAAGGAGTGGAACGCCGTCGCAACCTGGCGCTGGGACATGCCCGACGATGAAGTCTGTGGCATCTGTCGTGTCCAGTTTGACGGTACCTGTCCGACCTGCAAATTCCCGGGTGACGATTGTGCACTGTGTAAGTCACTGCCCTCACGCAATATTTTGGCTGAGGGCCTTACTGATTTGAGTTTGTCTCTAGTGCTGGGAAAGTGCGGGCATTCATTTCATATGGTGCGATTGTGGATCTAGATGTTCTAATGGGAAGATCCCACTAACAACCCCCAGCATTGTCTCATGACCTGGATCCAGCAGGAGTCCTCCAAGGGGCTCTGTCCGATGTGCCGGCAGAGTATGTCACTTCCTCATAAATATGCTTACAACTGCTAACCATCTACAGAGTTCGAGTGGAAGCAAAACGAGGATGAAGAAGAGGAGGAGGACGATGAATAAGTCCCTCGGCATTTCCATCCTGACCAAACAAGCCATAAAGGCGTTGAAGGTCTACTACCTATGATACCCTACTCTACTACTGTTTACTCTGCGTCTCCAATCCAGCCCAGTATTTCTCTTCTATGTATATAATCCTAGCGCAGAACCAGCCTCGATGGATGCATGCCATTATTTGTTTACACTTTCTTGCCCCGACCCAGTCACCTGACGCTATCGATAAGCCCAGCCATTCCCCGGATCTCAGGCATCCACGAGTGACCTCAGGAACATCTTCACCACCACAACCACCATGTAGCCCCCACCACACCAACCAGCCATGTCTCTACCGAAACACACCTCCCCCGAACCTCTCCCTCTCTCCTCCTCCCCCTCGAAACACTCCATCCGCCGCACCTCCGGCTCCACCCTTCCCTCCCGTCCGCAAAGCATCATCGACCGGCCCGCAACCGCCCAACAAGTGACCCTCCCCGAAGAGGAAGGGGAAGAGCAACACCTCCAACATCAACACCACAATAACCACCCAGACACCCAGCCCCCCTTCCAACCCTTCTTCACCCTGATTGAAGACGCCCATTCTAGCGAATACCACCACCCAACAATCCACTACATCTTCTCCGACGACGACACAGACATCATCACCGAAGCCGCCCTGCGCACCCTCGAATCCGAACCCGACGGCTTCCCCAGAAACAAATCCCAACCCCAACCTCACGCGCATCATGACTCCAATTCGCGCCCCGGGACAGCATACGAGGATCCAGACCCTGACGCTGACGCTGACGACCCCCACCGAAAGGAATCCCTCCTCCCACATCCTATCCCTGGCGTGCGCGACAACTACATCATCCTCGATGTAGACTATGCTTCGCAGGAGGGTGCAGCTGCAGCAACGGGGGGAACAACGCACCCTGAACCTACCACTACAACCACCGACAAGACACACGATCCCCACGCCCCCAACACCACCAACCACAACAGCAACCCCAAGACCCGAGCCCCCACCCGCACCCCCCAAAACTCACGATCACATCCGCACACAGCCTCTCCCCCTCTTGGCAAGTGCTACACACGCACCTTGGTCCCGCTCCGACATTCGAGAACGCGAATTCATCTTCTGGCGGGGCTGCAGGGGGGAGCGGGGGAAACGGACAAACAGCGAACGGGGGCCTCATGCTCAAGATCCAGGGGACGGCGGGTTTGCCGATGACGATGCCGGGGAAGGAGAAGGATCGGGAGAGAGGTGGTAGTGGGCAGCGGCTGGAGGAGATGATGGATCAGTTTGCGAAGCGGCTGGGGGAGTTGAGGCTTGTTATTGAGGCGGGGGAGAGGATGGAGATGAGGGTTGGGGGGAGGGGAAAGAGGGAGAAGGAAGCGGGAATCTGGAGGAGGACACCGTGAGGAATACGGAGGTGCCGGTTGAGGGGTAGTCTGGGGGGCTTAATTGCCTACCTACCTGTCTTACCTAGTTACCGCGGAGCTGTTTAATGCGAAGGGATCTGATCCTGGAGATGGAGGCACGAATCTTCAAGCCGTTACTGTCATCCTATTATTGTCTCCCAACGATAATCATGATATTGGCAATCCTTTAGTTTCACCTGTTTGATTGTGTAACTGGAGACTTGCAGTATCATCGCGGGTTTGCAGCATATACGCACCTCTGTGGGCTTGGTACAAAACCGCTGATATAATGTATGCTTGTCCCTGTTCACATCTTCATCAAGTCTTGATTTTCTGCTCTGTTAAAAAGAGTTACTGCGTGAGAGATAAAAAAAATCACGATCATTGAATAATCCATACCGGTTGGCGGATGCTTGTCATGCTGAACGCGCTGGATAGTATTCGCCGCTTCTCCTGGGTCCCCAATCTCATATCTACAGCTTGCTATGTCACTGGGGCTTATTGAATAACAGTCGAATAGTGAAAGACATTGCTCAGAAGCCTGGTAACTGTAAGAGAACTACGTTCAATGACAGGAAATCAAGCTTGTCGAACCCAACCTGGTTATCCCCGCCTAGCTCAGAATAAGGTAGGGATATCAACAGCACGATGTCCCAACTTTTCCATGACATTTTGGCTCACAGGTTGCAATACGAATTCCAGAAGACCTAAGCAGCAAGAACGGTTCAATACTACTCTCTATAATGGCCGATAGATCTTCACCTACCGAGGGAACAGTGGGAGAAGCAGTTCTATGGGGTCAAAGCAGATGTCCAAACGCTCCAACAGCTAAGTTCTTCGGGCAAGACTGCACAAAAGAGGACAGAAGAAAACCAAAAGAATAGGGCGATGGGGGCTTTAGATGCCGCTATTAGGGATCATTTCCAAGCTGATGGGAGTCAGGAAATCTCTCGAAAGAATTAATCTCTGAAGGATAACCGCATTTCAATCTGAGTCATCTTCGAAAGCTTGTCGGAGGTTCTTGTCATATTCCTCTTTGTCCGCAAGCTTGCGACCTGCAATATATCCGATCTTTTTTTTCGAAGAAATATGGCATTACCAGTTGGAACTCCTCGTCATAGTCGTTGGAGAAGAGAGGTCTGATATGCTTGCTAAATATCGTAAAAAGACCTGAAGGGCTCGAGAGAGCCAGGGAATACCAAAAGGCGCCTGTTTCCCAAGACCGTTTCATGATTTCCAAGAGACTTGTGTGGGATGCAATAGAATCAAGCGCCTGTTCTTCCATCGTCAGGGCTTCCATGAACTCTTGTCGCATTGGGTCGTATTCCGCTGCAACCAATTGATCTACACCAACACGAACAAATTGCTACAGCCAGTCACCGCTCCCGCTTCAACATACCAATACAATAATTATCATACGCAGCTGTTTCGCAAAATCTGGCCTGGGGCCAATGCATGTATGTGATCTAATAGCAGCAACAAAACCCAGGTATCTATTTCCACCAGAAGCGGATGAGAAGAAACACCAAACACCAAACTGTAGATCACCAAAATCCCGCAACCCCATAAAGTACACAAACACAACCCGTCTCGTCATCCAGCCGGGCACCAAACATTTTTGCTAAGCAACTGCCTTTCTCCGTGTATGCTGCCGATTCCCGGGGTATCCGTCCCATAACGCCTACCACGAGTTACAGCGAACAGTGGTGTCCACACCGGAAAGTAACGGAAAGTAACGGAAAGTAACAGGTCAAGCAAGATCAAATCAAGTAGAAGGCTGGTTCCGAAGCCTTCGGGCACTGGATGGCGGCACGTTTTCTGGCCCTTCCATCATGCCGGCCATCTTTTTCGTGAGCATCTTCTGCGACAGCTTGCTGTCGGTCGTTGTGAGGTTGGAGCAACGTCTCTTCGCAGGCGGCTGGTCCGCATCCTCGGGTTCCGGTGTATTGGCCATCGTACCCAGAGGCTTGTCCAAGGCTGTGGTAGACGACTTCCTCAAGGCATGGCTCTTGGCGTTAGATCCGAGCGGTTTTACGACGTTTGCATCGACTTCCCTAAGTCCCGTGTTGGAAGGTGTACCCGTGGATTTAGATGGTAGAGTTCCTACCTCGTCCTCGGCATCGTTGAAAACGAAGCCTTTGGATGGGGGGGTCCCGGGAGAGCTGCCAAGTGGAGAAAGCGAGTCTTCGCCGCTGAAGGGGAGCGCCGAAAACTGCCGCGAGGTCCTCATCCGGGATTTTATGGAATCATGCGCCTCCGTCCGGGGCAGATCGGATGGATACTCGTACTTGCGTTTCTTGGGAGTAGCCCCCGTGGCCACATACTCCTTGAATTGCCGGTTTGCCATATTCTCGCGAAGGTCGATCAGGGGCTTGCGGACGTCGTCTGACAGCGGCACCGCGGACTCTTGCAGATTGATTTGTTGCTGGATTGCACCTTCTTGCAGCTCGCCAAGGCGACCACCCAGTTCCATAAACTGCCCGTTCATTCCAGAGTAAGACTGGTAGACATTGGACGCCATGTTCTGGAGGCTCGATATATGGGCATCACGGTAGAGTCCATTTTGAGACCGCGCCTTGGCCACGAAGTCATCGAGGGCTTCCATCTGCTTGCTCATGTTGTTCATCTGAGCATCCACGATACGGACCGTTTCCTCATGAACCGACTCGGTTGTCTTTTGAATCGAGAGATTGCGTTGATCGAACGTCTACAACATTAGCACAGTCATTAATACGATCGATTGGTCATTGCTCACCTCCCAGTCACTTTGCATCTTAAACCTAATCTCATCCTTGGATGCATTGACGTCCTTGGCAAACTGCTCAGACTTGAACACCCACTCATCAACCTGGCGGTCGTAGTGTGCAGTAGCATGCTCCAGGGAATCTCCTGAAGACGAGAGATCCGTCCGCACGGTGTCAACCCTGCCCTTCAACCGGCTGAATTGCCTTTGCCGAGACTCCTCTATCAACGACTTCATTTGTGACAGCAGAAGGTCACGCTCCGCTTGTGCATTAGCGTTCTCTTCTTCGAGGGTCTGTGCCAAGTGGGAGGAGGCCTTGCGGTTAGCCTCGACGGTCTTCTGATTAGCCTCCTGGAGTTCTAGTCGCAGTTTGTTGATTTCCGCCTTCTGTCCGTTGAGATGGTTCACCATGTCCTCAAACATAGATTTGAAATCTTTTCCCAGGGTGCTATAGGATGTATGCAGCTGCTCATGGAACTCGGCAAATTCGCCAATTACTTCTTTCGAAATGCGAGCAGCAGCAGCAGACAGACCATTCAGACCGTCCCCGACCTTTCGCTTCACTTCCTCTCGCAGATCCTTGATCTCCTCCAGAACCTCATTCATCTCATCATGGGCACCGGAAGTCTGGGCCTTCGCCTCGCGCTCTGCTCGGTCAAAGGAAGCAGTGGATTCCAGCAATTTAGATTGCTGTGTCTCAATGTTACCAAGCTCCTGTGTGACAAATTCATTGATTTTGTCGGACATGCCCTCCACAAGCTCGGAATGCTGCATTTGGAATGCTTCCACCCTCGAATCGATGACCGCAGTCACATCCGAGACCTCTGCTGTTGACACTTGCCACGCTTCTTTGTTGGCCGTATCCAGGTCCGATTTGCGTTGGATCTTGCCATGCAGGCTATGAACGTCTGCAACAGTCGTGTCCAAAGTCGACAGAAGGCCTGCGCCAAGATCACGAAGCCGATCTTCTGTCTCCTCGTGCGCTTTACGCAGCGTCTCTTCCTCTTCCAGCTGAGCCTTGGTATCTTTCAGAACAATATCGGTCTGCGCAAGGACATCATTCGTTCTGGAAAGCGCAGTACGCGTCTTCTCGTTATCCTTCCTCAGATCATTGAAGTTGCTCGTAAGCGTGAACAGCTCCTGGACTTTGTGCCGCAAACTAGACTCCATGGACTCGATCTTTGCGCGCTGCTCCTCGTTGACAATTCTTCGGGATTCACTTTCCATAGTCATTTCTTCGTAGGCATCCACGCTCATATACACGCCGTTGCGGTGTCGCGTGGCAATGAGTTCACCCTTCAATTTTTCGATCTCTGACGTGAATTCACGGAGAAGGGTTTTCTTGGGCATGGTAGAGTTGATCTGGGGCTTGTTGCGGATATTCTTCGCTCTGAAGGCATAGTCCAAGGTGGATATCGTTTCCTCCAAGTTGCCGCGGGAAGGTGTAACCGTCGCAATGATGCAAGTTTTTGTTCGTCCTCCAAGAGAATCTTGCAGCAGACGCGTGAGCTTGGACTCTCTGTACGGAATGTGAGCGCTTTTGTCGACCAGGGCATTAATCACACGGCCGAGAGTCAGCAAACTCTTGTTAATCAAGCCAGCCTCAGCCGCGCGCTTGTTCTCAGCACCGCTGCGCTGGATGTTCTCGCTGCCGGCCAAATCGACCAGGTTCAACTTTCCGGAGCTGATATACTCTTCGCCAGACTCGGTCGTTCGCTTCGTAAGTACGGTAATGGTGAAAACTGTGTGACTCCGAGAACTGAGGTCGTTGCATTTCGTTGCAGCGACCTGGCGCTTGTGACTGCCCTGCTGTAGCAATTTAATACCGGCGGTTGCAGTGTCGATAAACGTTTCTTCCATTCCCTGCACGAGTGTACTTCCATATCCCTTTTTCGATTCATTTTCGAAGATCTTCAGTTTGGGGTTTTCTTCGGCTGAAAGCAGGTCGCGAAGCTCTTCGTTGTATAGCTCAATGAATGAGCACTTCACGGTGCTCTCTGTGTCCTGGAGCTTGTGAAACAACGAATACAGAACTCTCGGAATAATACCAGCATTGTCGGATAATATTCCCAATGTATCGGTCATGTCACCTGACATTGTGTACGTCTTGCCGGTTCCTGTCTGTCCGTAGGCGAAGATTGTGCAGTTGTATCCGGCAAGCATCTCGTTGACTATCGGTAGCACCACATCTTCGTAGACAGCGACTTGATCGGCTGCCGCTGAAAAGACTTTGTCGAACGTGTAGGTCTTGTTTGCCAGCGCATTCGGCCCCATGGACAACTCCACGGTCTTCCCCTTCACTCCCTCCGGGGTCGATACCACGACTCCACTGTTTTCCTTGATCTCTCTCTCATTGCGGCCTCGACATCTCACGACGACATGAATGCTGGTGTCTTCATTGATCTCGCGCTCGTAGTCTCTTTCCTTGCGCTTTGCGGTGATGCTAGCAGGTTCGGACGGGGATTTCAATACCCGCGCTCCGCTAGAAGTGGTCGGTTTAGCTGTGGTTGCCGGAGATCCTGCTCTTGTCGAGGGTACAGTAGAGCCAGCTCTCCTGGTTGTGGGCTGGCGCGTAGTGGTAGCACGCGTCATGGTCGTGCGTCTTGTTGGCAGCCCCGAGGCAGGCCGTTGTGGGCCGGCCATGATGGACTAGCGCTGGGAGTCAATGTCGAATGTGAAGTCGGAATAAAAGTCGCGGGTGGATGGGGTAGTGCTGCAGCTCGAATTATGCAGGCAGCATAAGGCGAAGACGTAGAACGTGGGTAGCGATGGTGGGTTGGGGTCGAGTCAGCCTCTCAGGAGGTTTGGAGTTCTGGATGTTGTTCCTGCGCATTCTCAAAACGGAAAATGTAAACAAACCGCTCTCACCGCCCACGTGCCCCCGCCCCCGGTCATGCCCCCTCTCACATGATCCATGCGCTCATTGCCCCTGCTGCCGCGCTGCTTTACGGAGTAGTACTATCTACTGCTCGACTGCCATCTATCTATTTCAGCGAACTCCTTTCGACTCTCTCCATACGTCACAGTATCGGGTCGTCTTCGGATCAGAATACCGCTCAACCATAGACTGAGAGCCAGTGGTTGCGCCTTTCATTCCCTCTCTGCGTCTCCGCCATCTACTGTTTAATATATACTTAGTTACTGCCGCCCCCGACTGCTAACGCCTCCCCGCTTCTCACTCCCTCCTCACTTGCAGCCTCAGAATGAGAATCGGCCACGGTTCATCATGACTTCCCCTAGGCCTTCACCACAATCTCAGATCTTCCCTGGAAAAGGGCTAGGGTTCATAAGCATGTTCCCGCCACTACTCCCAGTCTTGGATATGGCTAATCTGTGTGTCGCATAGCTCTTGGCGCCTCCCTACACAATGTCCTCAGCCGCGTCAAAGCTCACCCCCAGATCTACCCCGCTATCGATATTGCCTATTCCTCCTCAGAGCCTCTCAAAAAACCGGTGACTCTGCAGCTTCCATCCAGCGGCCTTCGTTTGCGGTTCGACGGGCCCGACCAGAGGCTCCGTCTTATCGAAGTACTCGACTTCACCAAGATCGCGCTTGTCTATAAGAATCAGGAGGTACTCAAAGGGGTGAAACCGCAGGAATCGGCGGTGACACAGCAGGGCCCCAACTTTCGCCATGTCTACAATCGTCTGTTCGGGCCTTCTTATCCGGGAGAGTACATACCGCCGACCAACCCGCAGTCGCCGTATGGCACATACGTGCTGTCGTATCCCGGCGTCGCATTCTCTTTTCCACTTCAGAACTCGGCATGGTCTGACCAGTGTGACTTTGTAGCCTTGCTTTCCTCTTCTGCAGCCTTGCCGGCGACCTCGATGTCCATCTTCCAGGGTCCCTCATGGCCCGAATCTCGAAGCAAACTGTTCACTCAGCCGCCCCAGTTCCCCCGCTCTCCGGCCTTGGCTGGGAAGAACAGGGACTCTGTTCCGGACGAGATCGAAGAGTTCCTGATATATGGTGGCGGCAAGATCGAAGTGGTCCGAAGATCAACCCCATCTGCACACATCACCCTGTCAGAAACCACTCCGCAGGACCTGATCGCGGAGTTTGGACCGCCAGATGCCATTTATCGTAAACATGATCGAAGAATCGCCATCCACCGCGCCGCTGGCCGTAGCGGTGGAGGGGATTCGCCACACATGGGTCCGTCTTCAGGTAGAGGGCTAGATGTTGACATCGATCAATCTTCGAATAACAGTGTTACTGATGACTCAGATGACGAACTCTTCCAGCCTAACGCCCTGGATCCTTCCTCGCTGCCTGCGGAGTGCTTCTTCAACTACTTCCACCATGGCTTCGATGCGTTCATCTCCTACCCGACGGCAGCTGGCCCTGCGTTCCCGGGATCTGACATCAGGGATTCCACACCACCCTCGCCCTCATCCCAGTTGGTTGTTACCAAGATCATCCTACATGGAAACATCCCAGGCTCATATCCTTTCAACCGTCACCGTCGCAGCCGTTGGAAGATCATCTTCAACCCGCCCACTGACCTCGTCACCTCGGAGACTCGCTATGAGGAGGTTTCAGAGCGCCTCCGGTCACTCTGGAAGGGATCGTACGCGAGCGCTGCGGAAGAGCGGGCTCTGCAACGACCCATGGTTTTGAACCGAGGGTGGGGTGACAGCCCCGAAAGCAGCGTCGAGTTCCTCGGTGGATGGGAAGAAAGTACCGGAAAGGGACAGAGAGCGGGCCATGAAAGCCATGACGGCGGTTTGGGTAACACAGAGCTGTTTGGGTTTCCTGGTCTTCTGTTTGAAGTGATGAAGAACGGGGCGGTGAGCTGTTTGACTATCTATTGATGGGTTTCTCCAGCGGAGGATCCGGAGTTTCGGGCTATGTAATTTGCGAGGCATGAGCATTCTGCGTTCACTCTGCGTCCAGTCATATATATGTTTATAGAACTGTCCTTTTAATGATCATCAGTAGCATTCAGCTTGTAGAGGCTTTTCGGGGTTTACAATCCTATTGACTTTCTACTTTTGACGTGGTCGGGGAAAACCCCACCTGACGTACCTAGTAGTGACAGCAATGCTGCATAATCACGGGCCCTGATTGGCCACTGTGGTAATTTACCTTCGATACCGGTACCTATATTTCCATCTTCCGCATCGGAGATTCCTCGAGATTCCTGGCCCTCCTCCACTCCGCGACCAAACGCGACTCACCAATTGACCACACTCGCAGGTGGGATATGATCCAGCGGTAGTATGCCGGACCTGCCACGGACGCTCGCTCGGTCCTGGTCGTCGACGCTCAAGCTCCCCAAGTCGACGTTCCCCGCACGCGTGACGCCCGCCGATCAGACAAAATACCTGCGGCGATGCACCGACGACCTTTACGCCTGGCAACAGCGTGAGAGACCGACCGACCGGCCCTTTGTCTTGCACGATGGACCGCCCTACGCAAATGGCGACCTTCACGTCGGCCATGCTCTGAACAAAATCCTGAAGGACATCATCTGCCGCGTACAGCTGGGCTTGGGAAGGGGAGTCCGCTACGTGCCGGGATGGGATTGCCATGGCTTGCCAATTGAGCTCAAGGCTCTCGAGGCGCAGAAGGAACTACAACCGGCAGATGGACCCGTCAGCGCGGCCTTGGTGCGCAAGGCTGCACGGAAACTGGCGGAGCGGACAGTCAAGGCCCAGATGAAAGGGTTCCAGAGCTTTGCGGTTATGGCTGACTGGGACAGCCACTGGAAGACTCTGGATAAGGCGTTTGAGAAGAGACAACTTGGTGTGTTTCGGGAAATGGTCGAGAAAGGCTTGATCTATCGGAGGTTCAAACCGGTCTACTGGTCGCCTTCCACCGGCACGGCGCTGGCGGAGGCGGAGCTGGAATACAAGGAAGATCATATCTCGACTGCTGCTTTGGTGAAATTTCCTCTCGTTACGATGCCGTCGCACTTGGCTCAGGATCCTTTGATTAAAGGGAAGACTGTCAGCGCTGTCATCTGGACTACTACTCCGTGGACTCTCCCCGCAAACGCGGCCATCTCGATTCATCCGGACTTGGAGTACGCGATCGTCGACTCGGACACCCAGGGCTATCTTCTCATCGCGCAATCTCGGTTGGAGTATCTTGAAGGCATTCTTAAAGAAGACCTATCGGTGATTGTGCCAGGTATCTCTGGCGCGACACTTGCAGATCAGACCACGTACCACCCTCTGTTCAAGGGACCCGATGCGGAACCGCAACCTGTCATTGCTGCGGACTTCGTCACCGCTGACTCTGGTTCTGGCCTCGTCCATTGCGCACCAGGTCATGGTATGGAAGATTACGAAGCTTGTGTATCCCGAGGAATTCCGGCTTTCGCTCCCGTGGACGACAATGGTAGATTCACCGACAAGGCCATGCCCATTGACCCCAAGAGACTAAGCGGCAAGAGTGTCCTGGACGACGGAAATGCCGCCGTTCTTGAATACGTCGAATCCGAAGGTCAACTGATTACAAAGCACCGGTACGAGCACAAGTATCCTTACGACTGGCGGTCTAAGCTTCCCATCATCATCCGAGCTACTGAGCAGTGGTTCGCCGACGTGGCCGACATCCGTAGTAGTGCCATGAAGTCGTTGGAGAATGTCAACTTCGTTCCGGCTTCTGGGAGACAGCGACTGGAGAACTTTGTCAAGAACCGGAGTGAGTGGTGTATCTCGCGCCAGCGCGCTTGGGGTGTACCTATTCCAGCACTTTACCACCGTGGTACAGGCGATGCCTTGCTTACCAAGGAGAGCGTGTCGCATATTATGAACGTGATCGAGGAGCGGGGTATTGATGCATGGTGGAAGGACGATGCCAACGACTCTGCCTGGGTTCTACCATCTCTGCGTGATGCATCTGGCCCTGGTTACCGACGAGGAACTGATACCATGGATGTGTGGTTCGACAGTGGCACCAGCTGGACCGAGATCGATGTTCCTTACCGCGAAGATGGTTCACCTGCAGATGTCTACCTGGAGGGCACCGATCAACACCGTGGATGGTTCCAGTCTGGACTCCTCACGTTCATCGCCCATCAGCTGGCCTCCGGAAAGACCACTACCCCCCGTGCGCCGTTCAAGCACCTGATCACCCATGGGTTTACCCTGGATGAAGAAGGCCGCAAGATGAGCAAATCTATTGGTAATACGATCCACCCGCAATCCATCATGGATGGAACCCTCCTGCCGCCTCTCAAGCCGAGGAAAGGCAAGGGGAAGAAGCAGGCAGAAAACCAGGGCCCCGTCTACGACGCACTCGGCCCGGACGCCCTTCGGATGTGGGTTGCAAGCAGTGACTACACGCGGGACGTTGTGATTGGAAAGCAGGTCCTTCAAACCGTGAACACCAGTCTTCACAAGTACCGTGTGACCTTCAAGCTTTTGCTGGGTGCCTTGTCGGACTTCAACCCACAGGACCGCTTCTCGTATGACCAGTTGCAGGAAGTCGATCGCATTGCCCTGAAGCATCTGTCTGAGATGGTTCTGACCAGCCAGAAGGCCTGTGAGAATTTCGAGTTCTACAAGGCCGTGAATGCTATCAACCGCTGGGCTAACCTCGAGTTTTCCGCATTCTACATGGAGGCTCTCAAGGATCGTCTCTACACATACGCTGAGAACAGCGCCAGCCGACGTGCTGCACAGACGACGCTATTCCACATCTACCAGCACTTCCAAGAGGTGCTAGCTCCGATCACCCCGATGCTCGTGGAGGAGACCTGGGAGCATACCCCCGAGGCCATCAAAGCCCAATTCGAGCACCCTCTGAGACGTATTGTCTCCGCGCCTGCCCCGGAATGGCAGAATGAAGCCCTGGAGGCGGACTACCAGAATATTGTGGCGGTCAACTCGGTTGTCAAGACCGTTCAGGAGAGGGCCCGGGGCCAGAAGCAGATGGGCTCGTCTCTTCAGTCCTTTGTCCACATTGTTCTCCCCGAAGGTACTACGATGGACTCCGTCTTCCATCGCAACCTGGCTGAGCTCCCGGACGTGTTTGTTGTCTCATCCGTTAGTCTCGGGGCCCATAGGGAGCCGATGCCGGAGGCCCTCACCGAAGCAGAGTGGCAATACAGCGAAGAGTACGAGCTTCCGAGTGGAGCGAAGGGCACGGTACATGTGTATACCCCGCCGGCGAGCAAGTGTCCGCGCTGCTGGCGTTATGTGGTGGAGTCAGAGGCCCCGGAAGAGACGGTGTGCGGGCGCTGCGAGGAGGTTGTACAAGAGTTGGATGCATCGTCCTGAGAGGGCAGTTCCTTGATAGGGTCCGAGATCTAGTGCTGCATGTATATTATAATAGTAACATTTTGTACAGTCCAGATTTTACAACGATAATCCATCTCCACTTTACTGCCAGTTCCCCAGACGGGAATGGCGTCATCCCGTGGCAAGCAAACAGCGAAGCTCCCCTCCGCTTCTCCACCTTCCTTCCTTCCCTCCTCCTCTCTCCTCCTGGGGGACAAGGACAAGCACATCCCACCAGCCAGAATGCTACCAGAGGTTCTCATCCCGGCAACGAATCCCATCCCACGGGTTACACCGTCCCCCTCAACGGCGCGCGCACATCCGCCGTGATTGGTTCCGAGCGGCCCCCGGGTCTCAATGACGACAACGTCGAGGTCAGCATGACGACGGTCTCGACCTGCTGTGAATCAGCCCAGACACCCCTCAGATCACAATGAATCAACGACCAGTCCCAGCCCAGTTAAATATCCCAATCCGTCCCCCCCGTCATATACGCCTCTTCCCCGCAATACCGCGCTGCCCCAGCCAGCTCTCTCTCCAGTCCACTTCCACCCAGCAGCAACACTGAGCTTCCATCGAGAATCCGTCCAATATCTTCACCATGATTGAGTCGTTCGTCAAACAGACCCAGCCTCTTCCGTGGCCTGAGCCCACGCCGACTTCTTCGGTGGCTCCCATTCCCACTGTCGTTCCGGGCAGTGATCCCATCTTCCAGACGCTGCATGACACTGGGAAACGAACTCTATGGTATGTTCTTCACTCCTACGAAGAGAGTGTAAAGAGGAGAGACTAACAAGTCAGGGTGGTTACCGTGCTCATGGGCATCTCCTCCCTCGTCTTCTACGTTCTTGGAGCTCGAGTCCCCATTGTAAGTTCTAACCACACAGCCCAATCAACACAAAACAAGCTGACCCAACCACCAGAGCAAACGCGTCTTCCACACCCTGATCTCCCTGGCCACCACTATCTCCTTCATCGTCTATCTCGCCCTCGCGACCGGCGAAGGGATGGACTTCAAGCTCGACACCATCAAAGAACACAACAAGCACGTCCCCAACACCTCGCAAGACTACTACCGCCAGGTCCTGTGGCTGCGCTATGTCCTGTGGTTCCTGACCGAGCCCCTGGGTCTGATCAGCCTTTCCCTCCTCGGTGGTTTGCCGGGCGCTCATCTCCTCGTCGCCATTGCCGCAGACTACGTGATGCTCGGCTCTGGCCTCCTGGGCATCTATGCCGGCCACACGTCGCGCCGATGGGTGTGGTTCACTATCAGCGCAATCGGATATCTGACTACCGTCTACCACATCAGTGTGCACGGTGCCCGGGCCGCCAGTAACAAGGATTCGCAGACGAGACGCTTCTTTGGAACTATCTCCGGCGTACTGCTGTTCGTGAAGATCTTGTATCCGGTGTATGGTTCCCGTTTCTCATTTCCACCCACAAGAAGATATGGCTAATCTAAATAGGGCTCTCGCTGCCGGTCCCCTCTCCTTGAAAGTTAATGTCGACGTAGAAACTATCCTCCTTGCTATCTATGATATATTCTCCCAGGGTATCATCGGATACTGGCTGCTTCTCGCTCATGATGCCTCTCCTGGAATGTAAGCTCCCACGGCCCATCCAGGATAAAAAAAAGCGAATGGTATATGCTAATAATCACAAAGAACTCTGAATGTCGACGGCTTCTGGTCCCACGGCATCGGAAACGAAGGTGCCATTCGCATTAGTGAGGAGGACGGGGCGTAAAGCCCGTTGTACTCATTATCAAGTTCCTGGTGCCTGCTTAGGGACTGTAATGGGTGACTATCTCATCACTTCGCTATTTTCTTCACCTTCACTTGGATCATGGAGAGAACCCCTCAACCCGTGAGATAGTCGGTCGACTTACATTCTTTACTTTATTATTTTCCAGTCCCACCTTTCAAACTCCCACTTGCTACTCACTCCTTGTCACATTCATCATATTCATAAAATCCATGATTGAAAATCTCGCATTATAACCTTCATTCGGACTGACAACGTATCAAAGTGCAAGCTGCAAAGCACAAAAGTTTCCCGACGGGAGGTTTGCTACAAGGGAGTAATAATACTGTCCCTTTCTACCTACATGACGATCAGATATGATATGATATGATTGCTGCACACTCATGGATTTTGTATAGGTTAGGTTATTAGTTTAGTTGGGTCTGGGGATTGGGCGTTAGGTTACTTCCGTACTTATTCGATTGGAGTTCATGGCATGTGAAGTAGGTATCTTAGCAGAGATCAGATTGAATGTGGTTGATTTTATTTTCATGGGATAGGATGGAAACTTTGACTAATGTTTAAGGGCTCGAGCATTAGCTCTCAATGGATCGAGTCATCTTTTTTCGTCTTCACTCGTAAGTTGCACATTCCATAGGATGAAAACCCTCTCCAAAATCCAAGTTATCCCCAATGAATAATACTCTCCGTATGCTATGCTATGCTATGGTCTTTCCCCACAAACATGAGATCATTAGTCAGCACTGGTGGCTCAGTGGTAGAGCGTCGCACTCGTAATGCGAAGGTCGTGGGTTCAATCCCCATCCGGTGCAGATGTGTTTCTTTTTCTTTCTTTTTTTTTTTGTCGAGGACTTGCGTCTGTTGTTTTTGCAAGGTACACAGGTAGGGTAGGGTAGTGGTTAATTGGACGGTTTTATGCTACTGCGAATCACAAGTTCCAGACCTCATGATCCGGTTGTATCCATGGTTCTGTCACTTGCTGTGCCAATCATGTTTCTTGTGGGTGGACAACCTGACATTGGCGATGATTAATTGAATTGGGTTGTTGCCTGTGTGACGAGATGGGTTCATTTCTTGATGTTTTTAGGAGGGAGCTACCTACTACCACTTGCATTACTCACCTCAACAGGAGATTATTCCATTCTTCTCTTTCCCGCAGTGTTGGTGAACGGTTGGTCCGTGCGAGTGAGTGATTTGCAAGCCGGGATCATATTGGCATTGTCCTTTTGCATCTGGTTACTTTCTTTGCTATTTACTCGATGGCATATATTTCTCGATGCCTCTGTGTATCATATTCAGATACGGTGGATTCAGACCTCAGGTGGGCGGCATCAACGTTCTCATTCAATGGTCTCAACCTCGTATGATCAATCCAACATCATAAGCAGACATCAGAGGTTTGTCGTCTTTATGCTTGATAAGACGAATCCTGAATCAAGGCCTCTTCTCGGGTTTCAATTAACATACATTATTAGTCAAGTGACATGTGCTCTTCGGGGGATGCATCGCTCTTCTCTTCCAAAACCGACAACATAATTTATCGGGATCAACAGGCTCTTTCTCAGGTCCCAAATTACATTCGTTGTCCAGCAAGTGGTGCGGTCTCTGCGAGAGATGACCGGACGAGTGAAAATTGCGTGTAGGGGAAGGTCAAGTCGATAAACAAGACGATCAGTCCGCTGAAGGACCACGGGGCGTCCAGACTGATGCTGTGTCCGCCTGGCTCTGACATTGTGCAGCGGAAGCTCATAATATCGGTGCATTGGTTGAACTCAGATAGATACCATGTCCAATGGACTAGGTATCCGATGATCGACATATGTTGTGTTCCCTTGATCGTTCAGCATTGGACAAAGCTTCCAGATGGTGGATTGTTGGGTTCAGAATGTTCCTTTGGCCGGTGTCTTTGTAGTCTCGCGATTCGAATGATTCTACCCTGAGAGGCAAGCTCGACAATAGCAAACCTCTCCAATAGAGCTCAATCAGCACATCCCAGTCGAGTAAAGAGCCATTTGTTTGATAGCTTATGAGCAACGTTGAGAATTAGTAAACACATCGAATTGGAAAGAAGTTTTCCAACTTACCATAAGAAGGTTTGTCTGAAGCGCTCCCGAGCTCCATGTTCTAGTGCTGAATATACATACCATCTATGCGGGCTTCGGACACCCTTTGACTCGAGTAATTTCGATTGACATGTGGAATAGGAGTGTGTGTGTCGACTGTTGTAATTATCATAAACCAAAGATACACATACATTATGAAACGATAATTAGCATGCAGACCAAATTGTAATAAAGTAAATATTATATATAACTTACCACTAAGTTAGTAGGTGTAAATCTCCCAGGCCCGCCCTGCCTCCCTTCCGTAGCCTGAGAAGCTATGTTGTGTTTCGTAGCGCGCGAGTTTCGTAGAACGCGTATGCCAAAGAACGTCATAAGCTGACATGAACTGCGATCATATATTTCATAGGAAGGTAATTAGCATGTAGACGAGGTTGTAATAAAGCAAGTATTCCAACTTACCTTAAAGTTATTGTTTGTAAGTCTCCCAGGCCCGCCCTACCTCCCTTCCGTAGCCTGAGAAGCTATGTCGAGTTCCGTAAGAGGTCGATGTATAGTCTGGTTTGGAAGCATAAGCAAGGTTAACACACAAGTCAGAATGAGAAGTGGTCCATAACTTACCGGAAGACATATGCGATGTCTATAACCCAGTGTCATACCACTCACCCTTCCATGTCGTGTGAAGGCCCATAGCGAAAAGACCGTAAATTGTTGGATATAAAGTGGACGGTTAGTCAAAATTCATCCAATGAGATACACAAAAATGGGAGCTTCTGTGGATATAAGATTTGGTGGTCACTCACTTGTATATATTTATGTTGTCTGTATCCCAGGCCCGTCCCTACCACCCTACCGTAGCCTGAGAAGCTATGAAGTGCTGTATGAATGCTATGAACAGAATCCAAAGTTAGCATATTATCCACAAGATGCAATTCATTGAATGATCAGAGTCATTTACCGTTAGTAAGGATGTTGTCTGTTGTTGTTGTTGTCCCAAGCCCGACCCTACCACCCTTCCATGGCCTGAGGAGATATCTATCAATGACTGCGGTTAGTGTGGTTAGTGTCCAACATGTATTTTCAACATTCTAGAAAGCATAAAAAAACATGAAGCAGAAGAAAGAAAGACAGGGAACAGAGGGAACATAAGAAATAAAGAAAACGAAAGAAATAAGAAGGACAAGAAGGACAAGAGCAGAGAGACAAAAGAGACAAAAGAGAAAAGGGGAAAATAAGAATGATAAGAGGAATGATAGTAATAGAGGCAATACAGATAATAGAGAAAACAGACATAGAGGACACAGAAATAGGAGAAAGGATACACTGAAAGAAACACCGCAAGAAACACCGCAGGAAACACCGCAAGAAACACAGCACGAAACACAGCACAAACACAGCACAAAACACAGCGCGAAACACAGCAAAAAACACAGCGCGAAACACAGCAAAAAACACAGCGCGAAACACAGCAAAAAACACAGCAAAAACACAGCAAGAAACACAGCAAAAAACGCAGCAAGAAACACAGCAGAAAACACAGCACAAACACAGCACAAAACGCAGCGCGAAACACAGCACAAAACACAGCGCGAAACACAGCAAAAAACACAGCGCGAAACGCAGCAAAAAACACAGCAAAAAACGCAGCAAAAAACACAGCAAGAAACGCAGCAAGAAACGCAGCAAAAAACGCAGCAACAAACGCAGCAAAAAACGCAGCAAAAAACGCAGCAAAAAAACGCAGCAAAAGAACGCAGCAAAAAACGCAGCAAAAAAACGCAGGAAAAAACGCAGCAAAAACGCAGCAAAAACGCAGCAAAAAACGCAGCAGGAGATATAGCAGGATATTGAATAAAGGACAGGAAGAAAAGCAGTAAAAAAGCAGTAAAGAGACAAGAAAAGAAATAAACTTGGCGAATCAGAAGAGCAAATAAGAATAGAAAGAATAAGTAGTAAAAGCAGTAAAGAAATGAAAGATATACAACCAATTAATCAACCAGAGATACCACAAGAAGGGGCATAACACGCAGAACATGAAGAAAAGAAAGCAAACCAAAACAGGAAGCAATGCAAGACACAACACAGGAAGTCAACGCAGGAAGTCAACGCAGGAAGTCAGCGCAGGAAGTCAACGCAGGAAGTCAAGACAGGAATTCAACGCAGGAAGTCAACGCAGAAAGCAATGCAAGACACAACGCAGGAAGTCAACGCAAGAAGTCAACGCAAGAAGCAACACAAGAAGCAACGAAATAAATAATATAACAAGCAATATGAGAAGCAATACAAGGAGAAACAGAAGAAGAAATACAAGAAGAAATACAAGAAGAAATACAAGAAGAATACAAGAAGAAATACAAGAAGAAACCGCAAGAAGAAACGCAAGAAGAAACGCAAGAGGAAACGCAAGAGGAAACGCAAGAAGAAACGCAAGAAGAAACGCAGAGACGCAAGAAGAAACGCAAGAAGAAACGCAAGAAGAAACGCAAGAAGAAACGCAAGAAGAAACGCAAGAAGAAACGCAAGAAGAAACGCAAGAAGAAACGCAAGAAGAAACGCAAGAAGAAACACAAGAAGAAACACAAGAAGAAACACAAGAAGAAACACAAGAAGCCAGTATAAGAAGCCAGAGCAAAAAGCAGCACAAGAAACCATGCAGAAATCAACGCAAAAGCCAATGTAAGAGGCCAAAGAAGAAAGTCAACGCAGGAAGCCAAATCAGGAAGCCAAATCAATCAAATCAGAGCAAAGAGAAAAGAAACCAAGCACATCAAAACAAACCAAATATGGCAAACCAGCCCAACTTCCAAGCAGTAAACCAGCCCAAACAACCAGGCAGTAAACCAGCTTGGAAAGCCGAGCAGTAAACCAAAAAGAACACTATCTAAAATGCTGACTGAAGCAGACGCTGGAAGGCATGTCAAGCACATGCTGAAGAACACACTAAAGCAAGGTCAGTAGACTCGTCCGAAGACTCACCAGAGGACTTACCTGAAGACACGCTGAAGGACACGCTGAAGGACACGCTGAAGGACACGCTGAAGAACACGCTAAAACAATGCCAAAAGATAGACTAAAACACCGAAGCAAACGCTGAAAGGCATGTCAAGCACATGCTGAAGAAGACACTAAAGCAATGTCAGTATACTTGCCAGAAGACAGACTCATCAGTAGACTTACCTGAAGACATGCTGAAGGAACGCCGAAAGACTCGCTCAAAAAACGCCCAAGAGAACGCCGAGGGAATACCCAAAGACTCGCCCAAATGCACGCCAAAGGAACGCTCAAATGCATACGAAAAGAAACATCAAAAGATCGCCCAAATACACGCCGAAAGAAACGCGAGATGAACGCCCAAAGAATTGCCAAAGGAAATACCTAATTGCACGCCGAAAGAAACGCCAATTTATATATAACGCCCAAATAAAACGCCCAAATGCACGCCCAAAGAAACGCCGGAAGAAACGCCAATGTAAATAGAATATAGAACGCCCAAAGAAAATACCAAAGAAACACCCGAATACACGCCAAATGAAACGCCAAAGATGCCAAAGACGCTGAAGAAGATACAATAAGGAACACGCCGAAGAAAACTATATAAAAGATACCAAAGACCAGTAAACAGTAAGTAAAAGCAACTGTATAAAGAGAAAAAAGACAACTATAATAAGTAGGTAAAGTCAAGTAAGAAGCAAAATAAGAAGCAACAAATCTAAGAAAGTAAAGTAAGAAAACTAAGAACTCGAATCGGCAAAGTATCAAACGAAACAACCAAAACGAGAAATGAATAGCCAGTAGAAGAAGCAGGTAATCAAACAGACCAAGAAGGAATAACAAGCGAAAGAGATATATCAAAACGTGGCAAAAGACAAGAACGAATGCTAGCAAAGCTATGCTATGGACCACAGGTTCATTCGGACTGGGCATCGAAGAACCTGGCTCTGCCACAGTAGCGTGGACTTGTTTTCTGACGGCTAAAGCTGCTAATCGACGCTCATAGGATCTATGAGGAATGCTATGTAGGTAGCTGCCTATCGACGTGAACACATCCATGGGAACATGGATTCGTTTTCTGACTCTAGCGGCTATCGAAGCTAATAGGAACTATGGGAAGTGGTATGTGTTTAGGTAGGTACTCTGCAAGCCGGTTAGCATGTGGTCTGACAAATGTAGAAGAGAGGAGAAGCAAGGAAATATGCCAGCCATGAGCCTGTGCCGTACAGGACAAGGGGGACTTGTTGTATAATACTCACATCTGCTAGTAGGGTACTGTGACTGTGTGAGGATGATAAGTGGAAGAAGAGACTGAAGAGGGAGATGCTGAAGAGGAAGACGCTGGAGAGGAAGATGCTGCTAAAGAAAGAAGACGCTGAAGAGGAAGACGCTGCTAAAGAAAGAAGACGCTGCTAACAAAGACGCTGAAGAAGAACATCAGCAAGGCTATCAGCAAGAAGTGTATCAAGACAACGATGACGCCGAAGGAGAAGACTATCAACAAGTCTAACTAGAAGAAGGCTATCAGCAAGGCTTCAAAAGAAAACGCCAAACAAAGGAAATACGACGTTGACGTCGAAGAAGTCTATCAAAAGGAGATTATCAAGAGGGAGCCTATGCAAAGCAGACTATCAAAAGCAGACTATCAACACGTCTATCAAGAAGAATAAGACAAACAAATGAAAGCCGACGTTGACGTCGAAGAGAGAGACTATCAAGAAGATGCTAACGCGGTAGCTAACTGTGTAACGAATAGACAGAAGAAAAAGGAAACAGTTGTAAGAGAGAAGAAGAGAAGTGGGCGAGCCGGGGGGGGGGGGGGGCTCCTTATGTACCTACCCCCCCTCAAGAGCTGATATCATAATGAGTCCAAAGACGTCTGCCCCGCAGCTCGCAGATGTCAGACTTCCCTATCTCTGACATGTTTCCGGTATGAAAGACTGGGTCGGCGGCCAGATGATGCCAGAAAAGCATAGTATATATGTAATCGTCAGGCCTGACCACTGGGTTCCTGAACCTTCGTGGCTGAATCCTCTGCAAAAGTTTCTAAAAACAGCTTCTGGCAGTATGTAATCCGAAGCTTGAAGCGATGAAGGTTCAGGGACACTGCTCGGAGGCGCAGAATATGATGCAAGCTGCTCCCAAACCGGGCTGGTAGAGTGACGGGGGGTGGGGGGATCAGCTCTGGTTCCTGAGCCTTCGCAGGAGGAGATGACGGAATCTCCTGTGGACGTTTCTAAGAACAGCTCGAAGTCAGTGTAATCTGCTCAGGTGGACCAGGGGAAAGAGTCTTCGCTGTGTCCACCTCGTGACAACACCTCGAGCGAAGAGTGAGAGACGACCCGATGGATGGATAACTAAGGTGGGTAAGGTATCAAGCGTCCCTGAATAGTACGAGGGAGAATGTAGTAGAGGTTCAGGAACCAGGCACCAGCAGGTACTACCACCTTAGTACCTGGAGTAAGGTAAGGTGGTAAGGTAAGGTACCGGTAGTTCGCCGTCTGGAACAGCAATACGCATGGGAGTCGCAATAGCGACCACGGCTGGTAGGTACATCATGCTACGTAGTGAATCCTACGAATGAGGCCAGGAAGAGTTTAACACTTTTTTTCACTTTTTACCGGCCTGGTAGCAGGCATAACACTAAAACTCGATGAAATATGGTATAAACCTCGTCAGAAATACGCCCTGAGGGGAAAATACATGCGGTGACTGGCTATGGTCGAATCATCACTGCCCCGCCAAATTGCTGGCAGGCCAGGTTCGAGTGTTTCCATCCATCTCGCATTCCCTCATGCTGATCCTTTCTCATTCGTTACCGCCCATCATCACAAAGCCTTTCCATTAGTCCGTAGCAAAGAAGCAGATACACCGTGAGTACCTCGTAAACGGAGTGAGCACATGAACTTGGGTGCCTTAAGCAGTGTACTTGGCCTTGGCCCTCGTGCTGCCGCTGTGAGCACTGTCTGTGTGACCCGAGAACTCAACAACCTCGCCCTCCTTGAGGCGGAGGACCTCCTTGAAGCGCCGGCCAATCGACTCGAGGATCTCCTTGCCCTGCGCGGGGGTGCGGGTGGTCTTGTCGCCGGCGATGCTCTTGCCAACAGTCCGTGTCCACAGACCCACACGGTAGAAACCCTTGCGCACGTTCACGACGACACCCATGACTTCGCTGTCGCCATCGTTCTCGAGAGTCTCGCCAATGGCGGCCAACTGGGCGTGGAGCCACAGGTCGTCGATGGGCACGGAGCGCTTGTCCTTGAACGAGTATGACCACTTGCCTCCGTGCTTGTTCTGGGGGTCCTCCCACTCAGGGCGGATTCCCTTCTTGAAAAGGTGGTAGTCTGCTTTGAGGCCCAGCTCGGACGTGGGCGAGATGTTGTTCTAGAGATAGCATCGGTCGGTCAGTCGGGGGTTGGCGTGGCAATGGAACCAATCAGTAGCACATACGTAGATTCCCCAGAATTCCTCGACGGAGTTAAACGTCACAACTTCCTTCAACAGATCGTTCCAGTTATCGCCCTATTACCCAGGAGAGGTCAGTGGTCTGATAACGAAGCCGACGATCCGGAGGGTTCCATACCTTGCCGCTGGGGGGCTTGGTAAACCAGAGAGTCCACTCGTGCATCAAAGGATGCTTCACGGTGAAGTTCTCCGGGTCGTGGAATACTGTGACGGAGTCTCCATTCGTCTTCTCGGTCTGTTCCTTCTGTTCAACGGCGGCAGCAACGGGGGCGGCGTTCTCATCAGCCACGGGCGCGTGGCCGTTCTCTGCGACAGCGGCCATTATGATTGTGGGAGGAGGGGTTTAAAAGTGAGGTTGGAGAGGTGGTACGGCGGCGAGATGGTCGTAAGGGAGAGGTGAGCGGCGGTCGGAGGGGGAGCGAAAAAAGCGGATGGCAAATTTTGTGTCGAAGTGAGGTTGTCGGGGGAAGGAGCAACTCCGGGGAGGGGCTGAAAGTAGGAGCGGAGGAAGGCGCAAACGGTTCACGGGAATAATCAGGTCGTCTGCTCCAGGCAGAAACACGGCTAGTGTCGTGTTGGAGGCGTTCTTGAGGCGACGACGGAAATTCACAACATGAAGTTTTGATGATTTGGAGATGCCGCAATGACTGGGACGGACGGTCAAGCCTTTCCCTTTTGGGCCACGCCGCTTTCCAGTCCTCTCATAGGCTACCGCTGCCCAACCCCAGCCCTAATCGACTGCCTTGGATCCTGGCAGGCATACCATGTCATAGGAGGCATTTCGACCGCCCGATACGGGATTGCTATTTCACTTCACGGTGGAGGAATATTTTGATCCAAGCATATTGTCCAATTGTCAACGCTAGGTACAAACAAAGGCCAATCCGAAGCAAAATATCAACCCCTCCGAAACCCCCGCCAATTAACCCAAACTCGCACTTTTAATTCAAGAATGCTTCCAAATAACACGCCCCAAATGTAGGTATAAAAAGATAAAAGAAAGTTTCAAGCAGAGAAGCAAGTATCTATAGCCCGGGGGACGTCTATGACCCCGGTGAGCATCTATAGAAAGTCGAGAGAAATGCAAGAGTTCACAACCGATGGGTATATATGACCATGATCCTCGCATATACAGAGACTAACTCGATTACTTCCCGCCACTGTTGATCAAACTCAACAGGCAGTTCCAGCCTAGTCATGTCAGCCTCATTCACAAAGTATGGGGGAATAACACCTACCCAAGCTGACTAGATTGACCACAAGCACCCGGTATTCCAGCGGTACCATAGCAAAGTTGACACCTTGGACCGCAGGCCAGATTGTGAGGTTGGCCTTGTAGCTAGGAATGAAGCTGCTGCGCAATTTCTCCATGGGATCTTTGCCCTCCATGATCGCCATGGAGGACAAGAAACACGTCAGATGGACCGGGGTGAACAGGCATTGATCTGCGACGACACGGGCGAGGAGGGTGGCCTTGGCGTTCTGAAGGACGACGCGACGCTGGAGAATTCCGTACCAGACCGTGGCAGCCGGACCAAAGACCGCTGGGGCAGGTTAGCTTGACTATAGGTGACAATTCCCGGGCGCTTGGCGGAAGAAGCGTATACTAGGCGAGTTAGGAGGGTGAAAGGGAAATTGGTGACCTACCTCCTCCGTAAAGAACCATGCGCCCCGTCCTCGCCACGTCGTGCTTATCGAACCCTTTGCGATCGACTAACTGCTGGGCCAGAACATCCCCGCTTCCGAACAGCACCTGACTCACACTCGAGTTAGATCAATTGTCGTGCGGACCATATTCGAGTTGATCGGAGGATAGGAGAAGAGAAAGATGGAATGGAAGGTAAGGGAGGGGAGGCATACAGCGCTGGTCAAACTGGCTGTGAGGATGGGCTGCTTGGCCAATTTCGTCTGATACCTAGCTAGATCAGCGATGGAAGATGAGGATGAGATGAGAATTAAGCATACCAGCGCAACATCTTGAACAGAACAATCAGAAACAAATAAACAACGCAGAAGAATTGATACAATTGACTGCAATGACACAGTTTCCCCGGGGATGATGAGGGGAAGAATCAAGGCAGCCGACGCTGGGAGCTATGATATAAGTAGTGACCAGGGCCCCAGACCGCCGATAAGAGCAAGCAACAGGAACAGCAACAGCAAGCAGCAGCGGCACACCCCGGGTGCAAACAAAGCAAAAGCGCGACCGTCCGCGCCACGGCGGACGACGATTGGCGAGAAAAGCTCCCAGCAGGGCCAGAGGGCCAATGGGAAGACCCACCTGTCACATGATGCCCCCCCGATGGGGCTCCCGATCGGGATTCCCAAATGGGCGCACCGCTTAGGGCACAGGGCTGCGGGCTCGCTTAGCGCACCCGGGCGCGAAATTTCCCTTGGTGCCAAAAGTGTTGTGGATAGCGAGCACGAAAGTCAACCTCGACGTCGACAACCCCTCCAACGCCTCTCCTCCCCGACTTTCCCAAACGCCATATACATCCAACATGGCTGACGCCGCTCCCCGTGGACGTGGAGGTTTCGGTTCTCGCGGAGACCGTGGTGGTGACCGTGGCCGTGGCCGTGGCCGCCGTGGTCGTCGCGGACCCAAGGAGGAGAAGGAATGGCAGCCCGTCACCAAGCTCGGCCGTCTCGTCAAGGCTGGCAAGATCACCTCCATGGAGCAGATCTACCTGCACTCCCTGCCCGTCAAGGAGTTCCAGATTGTGGACTTCTTCCTCCCCAAGCTGAAGGATGAGGTCATGAAGGTACGAAAACACGAACGCCTTTGAACAAACAATCGAAAATGTCGACAAGGAAGATCTACGGGGTGGCGCAGGTGCTAGGATCGAAATGCGCGGGTTGGAATTGATACGTGGATCGGAATTGTGCAGGCATTGGATATAAGGATGTGCGAATGTGCGGGTTGCTGACGGTTTTTTTTTTTTTCACCACCTATAGATCAAGCCCGTCCAGAAGCAGACCCGTGCCGGTCAGCGTACCCGCTTCAAGGCTGTCGTTGTCATCGGTGACTCCGAGGGCCACATCGGTCTCGGTATCAAGACCTCCAAGGAAGTCGCTACCGCCATCCGTGCCGCCATCACCATCGCCAAGCTCAGCGTTCTCCCCGTCCGTAGAGGTTACTGGGGTACCAACCTTGGTGAGCCTCACTCTCTGCCCGTCAAGCAGAGCGCCAAGTGTGGTTCCGTCTCCGTCAGAGTATGTTGCGACTCAGCTCCAGTTCCGGCTCCGTGGGCGAGAAACCCCCATGCTAACCCGGTGACAGCTTATCCCCGCTCCCCGTGGTACCGGTATCGTTGCCTCCCCCGCCGTCAAGCGTCTTCTCCAGCTTGCCGGTGTCCAGGACGCCTACTCCTGCTCTTCCGGCTCCACCAAGACCCTCGAGAACACCCTCAAGGCCACCTTCCTTGCCGTCATCAACACCTACGGTTTCCTTACCCCCAACCTCTGGAAGGAGACTAAGCTCATCCGCAGCCCTCTGGAGGAGTTCAGCGATGTTCTGCGCCAGGGCAAGAAGTACTAAGATAGTGCTGTGATGGGATAAACTTGCATGACTGTTTTTTGAATCGAACTATTTTCCTACGGGTTTCAAAAAAGTTCTCCTTCGGTTGTAGGGTCGGCAGCACCGGAAATCCTGGATTTGCGCTATGCTACGCTAATTACGGTATCCATGGATGTAATGATTATGGAAAAGTGAAAAGAAACCCGCGTGAAGTCGATCAAATCCTTCTACAAGTGACACCCTTGGCAGTGCTCCGTTGCATTGGCCAACCCTTTGGTCTCAGCACCAGCATTTCAATCCGGCGCACGCGTTGGACGATCGTAGAATGGGCCAGACCCGACTTCTAAGTAGAAAGTGCATAATCTCGCTGCAAAATCCTCAACCAGACCCATGATAGGAGTCCAAAAACATGACGTATGGCCAGAATCCAGAGTCCAGACAGCCAGCTCCATAATTCATCAACGCCCGAGTGGAGCAGTAGCATGTAGAATTTAAGAAGGATCATGAATTTCCCATGTACCCCATGTCAAATTCTCAACCTCGCAGCCGAGGCCTCCACAGCCCACACTCCTCAACCAACCTTCTTGAGTGTTTACCCCGCGCAGAGCCAATGGTTCTTTTGTGGGATTGGGAATCTTGCCCTTTTTTTCCTTCCACGTGCGGCGTTGATGGAAATGGGTTTGTTCTTCTTTAACTTACACACAGCCGCCTCAAGGGATTCTATTGTCTCTTTTGGCTAATGCAGATAAACGCGACATTTTAATTTCGTAGAATCAGAGTGAGGATAAAGCTTTTCCAAAAAAATAAATGTTAGTAACTATTGTTTGCTGCAGAATCCCTGCAGTCAGGTGACTACTACAGCACGTGTTTTCGTCCGCTTTGTTTACAATGTCTGTCTACCTCCTGCTGGGTATATTCAAGGATTAATCGCAAATATCATATATTTTCCCTGTTACCTTGTCTGGGTTATTCACCTCGTTCCTATGTAAGCACTATATATTTCTCGGTCTGCACTCTCATACTACAACACATTCACGAAATGAACACATTGGCAAATTCTTTGTTATAAACCTACAAATCCGCCCTCCCGAATACAGCAAATCACATGTACGAAAAACCAAGAGTGTGTTCCCGAGAACAAAATCACCATCTTGATTTCTGGGTGAGTAGCACGGGCCAGAGCATTCATGTCAGACCGGGGTAATCTAGGTAACGGCTCGTAAGATAAGGTAAGAAAGGTCTGATTCTACGATACTGCTGCGCAATCAGGTAGGTCATATAGACGTAGAATCGGGCAACATGAAGCAATGCAGACATACCCGAGAAATAGGATCAAGGGCTGAGTAAGATCAGGCCACCAGCATTATATCGCGTGCAAAGAACGGCTGACTCCGGGTCACCACTGGGCCAAACCCCCATACCCACCAATAGGTTCCTTGTTAGGTCCAGCACATGACAAGCCGCCAAAAGGCAAAATGCTGCTCCTGTCAGCCTTACTTTCTCGACTAGAAGGGGGGGGGAGAGGAATGATAATGATCCGTGGACTCTTGAGATTTAAGTAAGGGCGGGCGGGGGTACATATATGGACATACCAAGTACCTCAGCCGCCACCATCTGTTATTATCATCATTTCCCCGGTGTCTTATACTGAAGCAGCCACACGAAGTTGGGACAGTGCATAACCACCACCGCAATTGTCATGATCTGGTACACCGTGGTCGTGGGCCTCGTGGGCCTGGTCGTTCTCGACTATGCCTGGGGCCTTGCCAAACACATTCGCGTGGCGCGTCGGTCAGGTCTCCCCTATGTGATCGCTCTGGATCAACCGAATATCTTATTCATGGTATTGTTTGGCACGACGCTGCTTCCGTACATGATAAGTTGGCTGCCTCCCTGGCTGGCGGATATTATGAACGACAACCTCGGCTCCTTCCGCTGGCGCGTCAAGAATCGACAGACGAAACGCTACGGCGGGGTTTATTTGAATGTGTCTCCTCATGGCATTAGATGCAGTGTTGGGGATGCAGCGGTTGTCTCGCAGATTGTCAATGCGCGGCATGATTTCCCAAAACCGGTTTTCCAGTATCGTTAGTCTTTCCTGTCGACTATTATCTGGACTTGAGTTGGAGTTGAAAGGTTGATGATTTTTCAGGAATATTGGATATGTACGGGCCGAATATCGTCACGGTATGTGAAGGCTTTCTTCTGTAATAAGCGGATATGGACTAATCGATGCAGTGTGAGGATAAGGAATGGTCTCATCACCGCCGACACACGGCCACGACGTTCCATGAAAAGAACAACGATCTGGTCTGGAGAGAGTCCATCCGACAGGCTCGAGAAATGGCCGACTACTGGCAAGAAACATACCCCGTGAACATACCACATGGATCAGGATTCACGATCCAGGAGACAAGGGAGGACCTGCACAAGCTTACGTTAAATGTGATCTCGAGCGCAGGGTTCGGGGTGGATATGCCCTTCAAGCCCATCCCACAGGACTCGCTGAAGAGCACGGAGGATATATTCAAGGATAGCCCAACGCCCCCGGCGGGATTCGACTTCACGTTTCGATCGGTTGTTTCGTACATGAATGTCAAAATCGCCACTATGGCTCTGGCAAACAAGATCCTTCCTACATGGGTTCCGAGAGTATTGCTGCCCTTCTTGAAGGACGACTTTGCCGCTTATCGAGATCTAGATCAGTACCTGCAGAAGCTGATCAGCGTGAATAAATCCGGCGTCACAGGCACGGAGACTGCTTCGAATCTCATTGAGGGCATGCTACTCTCCAGAAGGCCCGACGATGCCAAGGATCCCGGCCTGACGGATCGAGAGGTCATTAGCAACATGCACATCTTCACGATTGCCGGGCACGAAACAACGGCAACAACTTCGAGGTTTGCGCTCTTGCTTCTGGCCCTCGATCAGGACGTGCAGGATTGGGTCTATAACGGTATAGTTGAGGCTACGAAGAATGAGCCGTCGGACGTCAAGGATTGGGACTATGAGAGGATATTTCCCAAGCTGGTGACTCCGCTTTGCGTGATGGTTCGTTGAAACTCCTGTCTGCACCTATCTACCGACGACCGAAAAGCTAATCAATCCCCCCCCCCCAGCTCGAGACAATGCGCCTATATCCCCCCGTTATTACCGTGCCTAAATGGACAGGCGAAACACCGAGTACCATCCACTATCGCGGAAAGGATTATGTTCTGGAACCGCATGTCAAGGTCAGCCTGAACGCGGGCAGTCTCCACTACTCCGAAGAATACTGGGGGAGGGACGCTGCCCTGTTTCAGCCACAGCGATGGGACGTGTGCAACCACGAGAGCTTCTTGGCTCAAAACGCAGACATGCCCGGCCTGGCTGGGCCCGGATTGGAGTATCCCACCATCCATAAGCCGGTCCGAGGCGCTTACCTCCCTTTCAGCGATGGGTTCCGCGCGTGTCTGGGGAAGAAATTTGCTCAGGTCGAGCTTGTGGCTGCGCTGGCGGTGCTGCTCCGTGACTATCGGGTCGAGTTGGCAGATAACAGTGAGGAGGGCAGGGGAAATGCATGCAGAATACTGGATAAAAGCACTTCTGTCTTAACCCTTGCAATGAGGGAAAGTGTGCCATTGCTTTTCCGCAAGAGATAGGCTGGCTGGGGAGTACAGATTGTGTTGGAAGGTCTACTCGGCTTAATCAACCCAGTATCAAAGAAACTCGAGTACCATCATCAAATGTTCAAACTAATTGATTAGAACAAAGGAATAGCCCGACAGTGTATAATCCCTTTACCCGCCAGCATAACGAATAACGTCTTTGTTATGTTGGAGCTCCCCCCCGTAGTCTTTGTGGAGCTGACCCTGCTGGAACAGTCCTTGTCCCGGCTAAGAAAAGCCCATTCACTACAGTTACGCAGGGTTTCTCCCGGTGAAAGTGAATGTCTCAGTGTTTGTATCAGCAAGTATGTCTACAACCACCTGTTTTTCTTCTTCTAACACTCTCCTTTCTTTATCCTCCCAGGTCAGAGTCTCCTACAAACGGCTCAAACGGCTCCCGACGCCGAAACAACGGAGATTGTCTGCTTGCGTAATGCCCTAGCTCGCGTCACGAGCAAGACACTTAAGATGGAGGAACATCCCAAGCACTGGAAAGCCACTCTGCTTGGAGAGGAGTTCTGGAAAGACGCGCACGCGTGGAACCAGCCTATTCACGAAAGCATTGATAGCAGTCAGTACCTTCACAAGCAGCCTCACTCTTGTCCAGCACGCATGCATGATCTGGGTCCATTCAGACCTAACCTCTAACCACCACTATCAGACATCGACAATCCCCAGGAAACGCCTCTGCACCAGAGATTCCCCTTTAACTTGCTTGAGGCCGGCCCTGTCCCACCGAGCAGCAACAGCAGCAGTGGCAACGAGCCCATCTTAGCCGGACAGAGAAGTCGTCGTCGCCGTCGCTTCAGCGTTGACGCATCCAGCCTCACCCCGATCGCCCCTGCCCGCGTGCTCGAGCTGTCCCGACGCACCCGCTCTCAATCCCGCTCTCGCTCTCGCTCTCACACTCGCTCGGACTCCATGGCTCGCTCTCCCAGCATCACTTCGTTGAGCAGCCAGTCCAACTCCCGCCTCCGTTGCATGCTCAACAGACTCACCAGCTGGTGGAAAGACCGGCCTGCTCCTCTGCCGCTGATCTTCGAGGATCAGGCTACTCCCGAAAGCCCACTCATGGACTTCCGTGGCGGCGCCACCTGGGACCGTCTCTCGAGCGACCGCCGCGTGCTGGGCATCGATGTCTTCTGGCCTGTTGACTTTGACGATGAAGACGCAGAGGGCCAGAAGCCGGAGCTCGCTATGCTTGAAGTCAATCAGCTGGCCCCCCTTTGCATCTTCCATCACCTCCACTCTCTCAAGATCACCGGCATGATGCAGTCTTATCAGAAGTATATCTGGCAGGCGGCTTGGATTAACACTGAACTTGAGGAGCTGGAACTCGGCATGGTCTTCCCCCCTCGCATCATCAAGAGTAACACCGGTAACTGGCCCTACATCAAGGGAGGTTGGAAGCTCAGTGAGATCCAGGAAGCCGAGCCCATTTACCAGTAATTAACCCCCTCCCCTCCCCCCATTCACAAAGCCCTAACATAACCCCCATCACAGCGGCGACGGCACCGGCACCCTGGACCCCAACCTCGGCCAAGGCGAATACCTCGACAAAATGATGATCGAGAAATCCAAAATCCTAGCCATGTCAACTAACAGCACGCGCCACAGACTCTCGATCAAGGTTCTCACTCTCACTGGCTTCGTCGTCGACGCCGACCCCTTCCTGCACTGGTTCGACCCCTTCCGGTTCAAGACCATCCACTTCAAGGACTACTGCGTCGACGCCGGCTTCTACCTCCCGGAGGAGATGAGTGGCGTCTCGGTGGATTTTTCTCCCGAGGTCCAGGAGAGAGCAACTACCGGTAGACGCGTGGATTTGGTGGAGGAGATGAAGATTCTGGATTTGAAGGACGGGAAGGTTGTGAGAAGACGCGATTTTGGGCAGGGGCAGCAGTCTCAGACTCAGACTCATTCGAAGTCAACTCACCCGAAGTCTGCTTCATGGGGTTGTCAGGTCGAGTGAGATGGATGATGATACCTCGTGGTTTGCCGTTTGGTGGTTGGAACTTAGTTGATTGATGCAAGCCCGTTGGAGCGTTGGCGTTAGCGGATATGGTATGATTGTTTTTTTTCTGCTTTCTGCTTTCTGCTTTTGTCGTTGATTGTGTCATCATAATAAAAAGTACACACTTGACCGTAATGATAATGTTGTAATCTTGAGATACTCAGGTGATGGTGGTGTACGACAGGTAGTGTTGTTCCACAGCATAGAGCATGGATGTGTACTGAGTACGGAGTACGGCTGTGGCGTCTCATCCTACATACCTCCAATATAACAAGTACAATCGCACCCGGAATATATAGTCCACATAGCCAGGTATGAAGCCTCTCTACAGATCATGCAGAAACCCCGAAGTGTAAACCCTGGAAGCGATGGGATCATTCCATGCTTCTTGCGGCTAGCCTCTGTATACCTTGGTGTTCTGAAAACTCTCACCGAACAGCCCTTATAGCTCAGTGGTAGAGCGCTTCACTCGTATCACCGATATGAAGAGGTCCGCGGTTCAATCCCGCGTGTGGGCATTCTGTTCTCTTCTTTTTTGGCTTTTTTTTTTGAATCCATCATCTTACTTACTTACCACATGAGATGCGGAAGTCTTTGTGGGTTTTTTTTTTTTTTTTTTTTTTTTTTCGTTGCAGTTGGACTAGCTCACAAGGGTAGAGGCAATTTAAGATTTATTGATTTGCCGACCCGACTTATTATATACCAGGGTATTACTATATATCCAGTCGACTCCGTCAGTGTTTTTTTTTTCTCCATTGACCATCATGTTATTTGTTCGGGGTCCTTGCTACAAAGTACTCCGGTTTAAGTATGTATGCCATGAGGTAAATGGTGTGGTGTCATGCGTAGCTCGACAGCCCGGGAAATATTCTTCTTTCTTTTTTTCATTCAGTTATTGTCTCCTACCCTCTGCGATAGACACCCAACCCTCCAGATTTGTCAGCCATGTTGACATCTTCGTATGTATCCTATCGAAATCCTTAATAGGAGTCAGAATACAGTCGCTGTTCTAACGGTCGTGACTGTGATGATTTCGTAAAAGAAACCAAGTCACCGGTTGCCATCCTCCTACTTCGCAGATGCGTGGAGTGGTAGGTGGAGCCGGTACGAGAATGATCGCCTACTTTAACTCATTTAGAGCGTTCGATGATTCTGGGAGCGCTCTGGTTTTTCGACAGACCTGTTCACGGTGGCTTTGTTGTTGGCATGTTGCAGTGTATCTATCTAGAGCGCATTGTTCTTCGTGAAAATTCTCGATCGAGTTGGGTCGTAAGCTTTCGTAAGCTTCTTCTGGTTCGGGGTCGAGTGTTCGCGAAGGTTGATGGGTTGATGAGGTTGTCGGTCTACGAGACCCTGAAGATCACTGTGCAGCCTAACCCAACACAAATATATATTCCGGTAGATCTTCCAGGCACGCCCTTTGAGATAATGTTGAGCCGTTTCGGAGTCATCGCTAGAATTGAGTCATTCAGCATCGAGGACATAGATATTGATTAAGATTGAATGCACGCCGTCAGTCTCCAAATGCAAACACATTAGCCATCAGCCATCATCCAAATCTCCTTCATCATGACTCCTGACACCGACAAGCACGCCATCCCAGCCAGCTGACTCGAGGCGTCGGCCATCGATCGGAGGGGCAGGAGTCGGAGATATCGAGGGCGGAAAAGGTCACAGCCCGAGGGCGAAGTCGGCCTTGGGCGGCCAACATACTTAACCAGAACGGGCGCTGCCCGCCGAGTCGCGCGCTCGTCGCCTTTTCTTTCTCCTGCGCACTGCTGCGCTCGTCCTGCTTCTTCATCCTCAAACCCGTGAAGTGCATCTGAAAGCCGTCTGCCCGGATTGCAGATTGCCTGACACTCCCTACGATGGCCGGATGATCGATCCCTCGCCGCCCACTGCTGAGCGGCTTTAGCCGGTCGGCAAAGCAACTCCACCCCCAATCGGCCATGTCTCGATCGTCGCTCGTCGCCAAGCGTGCGCACCAGTCCGATCAGATGGCATGGCTACATCCTCATTTCAGGTCAAAGGAAAGCCTAACTGCCAATTTCCAGGTCACAAGCAGGGACTGGACGGATTACCGCATGCGCAGCAGCATTGTCTCACTCGCCGCTCCTGCGACGTCTCGACAGGGAAGGCCGGCTGCAACTGGCGCGCAGCTGAGGGAAATAACATCGCGCCTTTGGGAGCCTGCATACATAGTGCATCGCATCCTACGGTTATCGCATGCTGGGGTCAAATGAGCTGATTGCCACTGGTGATTGACTGGTCATCAACATGCACTCCATACCGACTGGAGGAGTCCAGCGCGGGGAGAGCCGACGTTGCAGTCGCCTTCTGCTGATCCTCACACGAGCGGGGAGCTGAACCGCTGAGCCGATGCGACCACCACAGTGACCAGACCACACACCACGCCTTGCGCCCTTCGAAAACATCGACGGAGTTTCCTGCCAACTCCGCGGCCTACGAATGGGGCTCGCCGTCCTTATCTGCCTGTCGACAGCTAGAAATTTATGTTACCTAACGCGTTCCGCATGCGGTCGTCTTACCGGCGGCACCTCCGAATCCACGATTGCGCCCTCGTCGTGCTTGGCATTCCGGCCTCGATGGAACTGCCGCACCACTCCCGACATGCAAGCTGAGGCCTGCGGCCTGAACGGGCACAATGGACGGGGTAGCACGGTGGGTGCGATGCAGAGGATAGCCGGAAGGGAAGCCAGGGAAGCCAGGGGCAATAATCGACCCAGATTCTACGTGAGGGGAGGCCACGAGGAGTGGAAACTTTGCAAGAATTCGTCTTTCACCGGCAAACTCCGACTTCTTGGCATCCCAATCTCCTGTCAGGCTCTGCTCGCCACGGGCCAATCACGGAGCCCAGCCGTCGTCTCGGTTGATGCTTAACGCAGCTTGTCATATCACCGTTTGCCTCCGGCTGGGGGGTTACATCCGGAAACGCTACCTCGGTCTAGCAACAATAATGGGTTCTGGCTTGACCACAGAAGAGGGTTTCATGGTGACGATTGGTCCCAGACATCGACGGGCCCGCCTCGGTTACTCTCTATACCTCCCACCGTGAGTATAAGGCGAGGCCACTCCCTCGCGATCTCGTGCCTGGTTTTCCAGCAAAATTCGCGTCAGTCCTCCAGCTTGTCCCTGGGATTCCCGCCTGGTCCTGCAAAATGGCTCTCGGAGATCGCGAGTCTGAGATCACTCAGTGCGTTATATCCTGTCTTGCCTTCCCTTTCAATTGTCTATTTTCCTACGACATTTCGCTCTCCTGTCCCGTACTGACTGAACTGGCAGGCCACAGCAACATGGCCATGGTGCCGTCAACGAACCTGTCATGAACGAAAAGGCAGCACTCCCGGAGGCCAGCGAAAAGGCTCTAAGTGTCACTCCCGATGGCGAAGAACCCAATGCCGAGGAAAACGTAACTCTTCGCCATGTTGCCGAACACCTGCCTATCTCCGCCTGGCTCGTCGCCATCGTCGAACTTTGCGAGCGTTTCACCTATTATGGAATGTCTGGCATGTTCCAGAACTACGTTCAGCGCCCTTTGGATGGCAGCGAGGGGCGCGGCGCTCTTGGCATGGGCCACGAGGGAGCCACGGGTCTGACCACTTTCTTCCAGTTCTGGTGTTATGGTGAGTTTTCAATTCGGTGGCCTATGTTCGAAGACTAATCATGACTAGTCACTCCCATCCTCGGTGCCATCGTGGCTGATCAATACCTCGGCAAATACAAGACCATTGTGGTGTTTTGTATCATCTACCTGGTCGGTCTGCTCATCTTGGTCTGCACGTCCATTCCCACGGCTCTTTCTCATGGAGCCGGTGTTGGGGGCTTCATCGTGGCAATCTTGATTATCGGTCTTGGCACTGGTGGTATCAAGAGTAACGTTGCCCCTCTGATTGCGGATCAGTACAAGCGGAAGAAGATGGCCGTTTCGACCACCAAAAAGGGCGAACGGGTCATCATCGATCCCTCCCTTACGATCCAGCGCATATACATGATCTTCTACGGTTGCATCAACGTGGGCTCCCTGTCTCTGCTGGCAACTCCCTACATGGAGAAGTACATCGGCTTTTGGTCCGGATACCTGCTCTGCTTGTGCATGTTCGCTGTCGGCACTATGGTGCTCATTTTCGGCCGCAAGTACTACGTTGTCCGCCCTCCGCAGGGCTCGATCATCACGGATGCTTTCAAGGCTCTGTGGATCATGGTTATCAACCGCAACATGGACGCACCCAAGCCCACCTGGCAGGCGGCCAACGGCGGCGGACGGACCAACCTCCCCTGGGACGATCACTTCATCGACGAGCTCAAGCGTGCCTTGATCGCGTGCCGCGTGTTCTGCTTTTACCCGATCTACTGGGTCGTGTACGGCCAATTCTCGAGCAACTTCGTCACCCAGGCCGGCCAGATGGAGGGCCACGGAATCCCGAACGACCTGATGCAAAACTTCGACCCCATCTCCATCATCGTCTTCATTCCCATCCTGGAGACGCTCATCTACCCGCTGCTGCGTCGCTTGCGCATCCGCTTCCGTCCCATCACCCGGATCTCCCTGGGTTTCGTCGTCGCCTCCCTGGCCATGATGTATGCCGCCATTGTCCAGCACCTCATCTACTCGGCCGGGCCCTGCTATGAACACCCCGCCTGCGCCGCTTCGGAAGTGGACGGGTCGACCACCGGTAACCACGTCCACATCGCCATCCAAACCCCCGCCTACGTGTTCATCGGTCTGTCTGAGATCTTTGCGTCGGTGTCTGGCTTGGAATACGCCTACACCAAGGCCCCCCCGTCGATGAAGTCCTTCGTGCAGTCCATGTACCTGCTCACGAACGCCTTTGGCTCCGCCCTCGCCGAGGCCCTGACTCCCGCCGCCTACGACCCCGCTATCCTGTGGATGTTCGTCGGTCTGGCCGTCGCGTCCTTTCTGGCCGGTATCATCTTCTGGCTGGTGTACCACCACCTCAATGACCAGGAAGACGCCCTGAATGCCCTCGATGCCGATGACCCGGAGACTCCCGCGCCAGCCTACGAGGAGAAGAGGGAGGAGAACTGAGCGTTGAAACTCGGTTCCGTCCACACTACCCTTTCTAATGTACTATAATATTCGCCCGCCGTTCGATGCATCCATATTGAACGGGAGTTATATCTGCGCAGGCCCGCACAGCCCCTGCTGAGCAGATGGTGGGTGTGGGTGTATATACCCGATACAGATTACGCATAGCTTGTTCATGATTAGCAGTTAATTGATTACGCTTTATCGCCGTCCTTATTATCGAGTAAATAGTTAGCCTTCCCCCCCCCCCCCCCCCCCCGGGGACCTGAAATTCTTGTTAGGCAAGGCTAGCTACAAGCCAACCAAATTGTTTTAGCGCACACGCCGTTAGGTGGAGTCTTCCTTATTACATTTAAGGAACAAGAGAGGTGGATATCCTGTTAGGTAATGTGTTTATAGAAACCATCATCCGGGAAGAATTCGTCTTCTAGAAACCAAAAAGAAATATTAGAAAACAAAAATAAATCCCTGACACATTAAAGCAATCATAGCTTGTCTAGAAACTAGATATCTACTCGCTAGATACTAGTCAGTACACCAACCAACCTAGAACCTGATTTCTACATACTGAACGGATAGGAAGAGAAAGTATGCCGGAATGGATTGTTTGGAGTATTCTATCTATCTAGTGAGATGAGTGAATGAATGAGTGACTCATATCCAGATTCCAACAAACAGCCAACCACGGAACCCGGAACCATAGATTTCGATGATTCTAATTCCTGATGATCCATGATTCTAGGCCAGAGTGGAGTTAGTAGGGTAAGGAAGTAGGGTAGGGCTTCTGCTGGACCCTTGGTTTTCTGACTTTCTGTGGGTTTGGCGGGCTGTCTAAATTAATTCTAAAGTATGGATGCACCATCTTGATACGCTGTGCTGTGTGGGTGTTTTTTTTTTTTTTCTGTTTCTTCATGATCTTGAGGTGTTCGGGATCTTGTCGGAATTATGCATGCTTGACATTCTGTGTTTAGTTATGCCCGGCACTGATGTGCCACCTATGCTCATCACATGATGTCTAGTTGGATTAGCTGTTTTATGCTCATAAGTAATAATGCACATGTTTGCATAAATATCCCCGTCGTGCAGTTACTGGACAGTCACCTACTCCATAGTATACCTGAATCAATCAGATTCCTTACTAGCTACATCCATGATTCCCAGTCATGCAGTGAAACACCACCAGGACCAGGATGACTAGATACATCTAGTACTTGATCTACAATCTCCTGCATCAGCGCCGAGTGGCGCCAATTTTCAGAATATACTAACAAAAAACAATGATGATGTATCACCTTCGCCACACGAAACAGCTTTCGGAGTACATAGCTGCTATCTATCATGGCTTTCCATATTATTGATGCCCGTGCCTAAATTCTTCGATCACTTGACACGAGTCGAACAATGGGAGACCCCGCGGGTACTCGTCGCCTGCCCTGCTAGTGCATCTTGGCCGACCCACCACCCCTTGCGGGTGTTGGTCGGCCTCACCTCACGACAAATTCTATCATATTCATTAAATCGAGGTTTTATTAGCTACCTAATTAGGCAGTTTCAACGCTCGGAAGCACGCAGAGAAGAATCAATGTAGAATAAATGATTACTCTGAGGGGTTTGAGCCTTCTCCGCAGATTTCTGACTCGGAGTAGAATCCCTAGAGTTTTTGATATCAAAATTGGCCTTCAATAATTCTAATCATCTCTTCTTCATTGAATTCCACATCTGCGAGATTTCCTTGGCCTTTCTTATATCAACACGATTCTTGACCTGCCCTGCATATACAATGCCAATTGTATTGGCTCTCTATCTCGTTCGTGGCTGGTAGATAGGCTTTCTTTTCTCGGAATATTTCTTCTCTAGTAGTCTTTTATGAAAGGCTAGGAATAGTAGAAAGACTCTGTATGTCCTGATTTCTGGCAGGAAAGTATGTCACGATAGATTCAACCCTCCCCTGCCCTATCCTAAAGTCTGTTTCATCAATATTGTAGATGTCGCTTGAATTAAGACCGTAGGACAAGATAATGCCCTCAAGTATATTAAACCAGTCCAGTATCATTGTTGGATCCTTGGATTGGGCTCTTTGATAATCATTGACATCTCGCTGGGCTCTAGTATACTTTTTGTTTCGTTTTAAGAACCTGTATGCCCACATCTTTGAGAGTTTTGGGGGTGATAGGCCATGGTCAGGTTGGCTATGCCAAAGAATTGACTCGGCCGCTTGATAAAATCAATTTAAAGATTGGAGAAGCCTCTATATTATCAAGTAAATCAATGTAATCAATTAAAATCTTATTCTGAGTCTTATCAAGTCGATCGTCTGCAGTTTCTCGGGTGCTTTGTGACTGTTTTTCCTGGATTCTTTCATATAATCGGCTATACGAAAGATTCTTTTGCCTGGCCAATTTGACTGTCTTGATAAATATTTCTAGACTTCTTAAATAATAGAATTCGCGCGCAGCGGTCTTATATTTAGGTTTCTTAAGTAGATAAGCCGAGGATATGATAGAAATATTGATAGTTTGATACTTGAAGGTCTGAATAGCTTCGTATTTAAAATTTGCCGTGAGGTTAAGATTGTTGTGAGGTGTGGCCGACCAACACCCGCAAGAGTGTTGGTCGGCAAAGCAACTAATGGTGTAGGCGACGACTAGATAGTGTTTGACGTCATCCCCCCCCCTTTTCCCTCCTCCCCAAAACCCCGGGGTAAGTAATTGTTAGATCGACCCTGTCTAGTCTGTCTGTCTCTCTATCTGTTTGTCTGCCCTGAATGCAACCATGCCTGGACTACTATCAGCGGTGACCCTGCTAGGCGCAGGCACGCAGGGGACCCGACTTGCTTTTATGGTTTGTGAACCACCACCATAATCATCATCACCAGCAGCAGCCGGTCAGACGTCGATGAGATGAACCGAACTTGTTATCTTCCGCGAGCTAATCTAAGAGAGATTTCAGTGGTCGCGTCTAGGAAAACCGGTCTACCTGGTCGACAAGAACCCAGCGCAGTTGACGCAAGCAAAGCGGGAAATCGATGTCCTGAGGAAATCCGCCGTCGCGGGGCCGCCGTCACAATGGGGGGATATTATCTGTGCGCCGGCAAATGAGCTTTCTACTTCGGTGGCGAAGTCGTGGCTGGTTGTTGAGGTATGGTGTTTCCTGTGGCTACTGGTCGATAAGACTAGAGGTCGAGGTCGTGGGGATTGGGCTGATATCGAGGGTCTATAAGTGCGTCCCTGAATCACTGGGTCTTAAGCGCTCGATCCTGCAGCAACTCGGAGATCGCGCCGGTCCGGATACCATCATCGCGTCCAACTCCAGTAGCTATGATATTGTGGAGATCATGCGCGGGCTGGAGGTGAATCATCCGGAAAATTTCGTGAGTTTACATTCTTGTGAGTATCCTTTCCCTCTTTTTATGTTCTCGGATGATATACTGATAATCGGTATCAGACTGGCCGCCAGAAACACCGGGTAAGATATCCCAACACTTGTGTCCTGCATGATAGAAATATAGAAATAGCTGACTCCGTCGTCCTCATTATCAACAGCCATCGAAATCATGGGCTCGACCCAAACCCCCAGCGAGACTATCTCTCTCCTGATGCAGCAAACAAAAGCCCACGGGTTTGACCCATTCCATGTCAAGCGCCCTTCAACGGGATATATCTACAACCGGTACCCTCCTTCCCCTTCCCTCCCCTCTCCCGACTCGCAGTTATCAAGCAGCATGCGTGCATGCTAACAATCCCAGAATCTGGGCCGCCATCAAACGAGAATCCCTCCTCACCTTATCCGAAGGCGTCGCCACGCCGGCCGAAATCGACGGCATCTTCAAGTCCGTGCTGAAGACGCCCAAGGGGCCCTGCGAGCAGATGGATGTCGTCGGTCTGGATGTGGTCCTGGATATCGAGAAGCATTATGCGGAGCTGCGGCCCGGGCTGCCGGAGGAGCCGAGGAAGTTGCTACAGGAGATGATTAGGAAGGGGCAGTTGGGGGTAAAGTCGGGGACGGGGTTCTTTGAGCATGGGGATGGTGGGAAGCGGGAGTAGATTGTAGAAAGGGAAGGAGCGGGTCTGTTGGCAGTCGGTATTTACTACTGTGCTGGTTGTATGGCGGTTCGGCAGGGAGTTTTGTATGTACTTATTGATTTGTATGGGTAAAAAAGCTTGGCTGGTTATCCTTACATATCTAGTCAATAAAATTTCCGAATAATAATAAGTACTAATGCGAGTGTGGAAATAAAGTGTGCATGTATGCGTTAGTATCCCTTGCTCCACAGTGAGGGCAGGGATATATATGTCGCATTCACCACATGCACATCTGCATAAGGTTATTATGCCGGGTGCATATTATTCTAGTTACCCCCGACACCACTCTAGAGCCAAATCTAAATATCAACCCTATAAGTAAATAACCATCCAAAACCCTTTGAAAAATCACAGGAAATGAAACTCTGCGCCGCACGTAATGAGCTTCGCTTCCCGATTAGTCCAAACACCTCCATCAACGGAAGAATGGTTCTTCCCGGACTTACCATCAACCATCAGCTATTATTTCATCATCATTGTGGGATCCAGATCCAAAGACGGCCAGCGAGCCACAACCATGTTTCTACCGGCTCAGCCACAGTCTGCTGAGTTGTCAGAGTGATCTGATCTGATCCGATCTGATCGAAAAACATCTGCCTGGAAGATTCCCTGGTTTCTGGAAGAAGTCTTACACGGATTTCAACGCCGGGGAGGCTGGGCCCACCTATGAGGCTCTGAACGGCATAGTACGGAGCCTACTGTGGCTGATATGGACCACATGCTGTGCTGTGCATGTTGCCATTTAGACAGACAGATTCCAGATTTCGCAAGGAATATGGGCGTCTTTTTTGTAAACCTACGGTCTAGGATTCAGTACGCATTGGGGGATTACCTATGATTATTCGACTGCAGTAAAATCAGGTGGAATGGGGTTGTTGCTAAATATACCCTCGTGTGTGTGTGTGTGTGTGCTGTGCTTACTGCTTAGCCTTAGACACTAAGCGTCTAAGACATGCCCTGGATGGCCAAGAAGGGTCCGGTGGAGACTTACTCACTGCAGTGGAAGATTCGGTGGGTGTCAGTCGGTCATGACGACTTACTTTCACCGCCACAACCTATCCGATATCGCCCTTCCATCGCAGTTATTAGCTGCGCCTTACATATCTATGTGCACCTGTGATTATTGTTCAATTTCACTTGATGTAGGACTGTAGCACAAGAAGATGAAACTTGACGGGATGGTTCAACCGTTCTGGAGATTACTTACGACCTAGATACTACCTACATTGGCTGGATTTCTGCGGGGGCGTCTGGGAAATTAGAGCGAGCGAGCTCATGCGCATCTTTCATGCGTGCGTTCAATTGATTCATTTGTATGAGGTAGATTGTTACAAAGTAGGGAGGGGGCGCATGGCGGCATGAGTGGGGAGACCGTTGATCTTGGCTGGCAGCCTGGCAGGGCCCAGAATTAGAGGTGTATAGGTCATATAGATGACGTGCAGAGTCTGCAGAGTCTGCAGACTGCAGAGTGACCCCTCTGGTTGTCGCCTCGTGGGAGGTGGGTTGAGCTCGAGATTGAGATGGAGATGCAGGGCTGAGGAGGATTTGTTTGGGGCGGAATGTGGTAGTGTTGGGTCGGATTGGGGGTGGTTGTCTCAGAATCGGAGAATGTATGGTCTATGGAGGACAGCGTAGTACAGGGGACTCTGGGGTTGAAGTGTCTGGACTCTGGAGGTGGTGTTGATGTTGAGATTGCGCTGCAAAGCTGTGGCTTGACTGCATGGTATAGGATTAGAACAATCACAGCTGGTAGATAGAAAGTGCCTGTAGAAGATCCAACTTTATCTTCCCTCTTCCTGCACCACGCAGGGCTCCATGTTTCAGACGGTGTGGACGGGGAAGGCTTTGATTATCATCATCGTGAAAAGGGGACTCGAAGATCGCCGGCCGGTCTGTGCTGCAGCTAGACGCCCCCTACTAATAAACTAATAATATTGAGAAAAACTATCGTCTCCCCCTGATTGACCGTCTGGACGAGACACCAAAACAGAAAACAGCTCCAATTCCTCATTCCTCTCCTGCCGCTCCCTTCTTTCCCTTCCCAGTCGTTCCTTACCCTCCTTTCTGGTCGCAATTGTTGTTCTTCTTGTTCTGCTTCTGTTTTCCGTTGGTCGTCACGACTTTCCGCCGCCCGGGCCCGACCGAGCCAATCCTTCATTGCCCTTCGCAGCCGCCAGTGGCTCAGCCGCCTTGTCTCACCCGTCACTCTTTCTTACCTTCTGCCTACACCTTCGCCCGTTCCTGTCCTCCTTCTTCCCCCCCCCACCCCCCACCGCCTCGTCTCGTCTTCTGTCTCTTCGCCTCATTCTCCTCGAGGTTCCGTTCTAGACATTCTCCTCCCGCTCGCAGCAGTCGCAATTCCTCTCCGTTCGCGCGTCCTCCCGTTGTCGTCCGTTGCCCGTACGACCTAAGCTCCAGCCAGCACCTCCGGAATAGACGCCCGACTAGACCACTCTGTCCGACCGACTGTCTGAAAAGACGGTTCTCGCAGCAAACAAGCAATCCGACTGGAGAAATCAGAGGACTGCAATAATAAACCACCACCATGAGTGTATGCTGCAACACCCCCGGTGGTCCCAACTCCACGCTACCCCACCCCTTAATACCACCACTGGCGCATTCTCCAACCCTCCGCTAACTCCCTCAAGTACGGTAACCAAGGTGGCTACGGCCAGTACAACCCCTATGGCGACCAGGGCGGCCACCAGAACCCCTACAGCCAGGTCCCCGATGCCGATGTGGAGCAGGGCAACGGCAGCTATGGTAAGCGCACCGTCCAGTACGCGATCGGCCATGATCTAATCGGCCCTCCCTCCAGAGATGTCCTCGTACGACCAGCCCCAGCAGCCCGCCGACGCGACCACCCTATTGAACAAGTGCCGCGAGATCAACGACGGTATTGCGGATGTCCGCGCCAAGCGCGAGGGTCAGCTTGCGGCCGCCCAGAATGCCTTGCTGGACTCGAGCACCGGGAAGGAGGACCAGGTCACCCGCCAGAACCTGGACTACATCGAGGATGAGGTCAACAACGGCTTCCGGTACCTTCGCGACCTTCTGAAGAAGGTCCGCCAGACCCCCGGCTCCGGAGACAACCGCGTGCAGACCCAGATCGACGTCACCAGCCGCAACCTCCGTCGCGAAATCGAGCAGTACCAGCGCAGCCAGTCCGAGTTCCAGAAGCGCCTGCGCGAGCAGGTCCGCAGACGTTACGAGATCGCCAACCCCGATGCCACCCCCGAGGAATTGGAGCAGGGCGTGGACAGTGTCCTGTTGGGACAGGAGCAGAGCTTCCAGGTATGCATTCCGCAGGAGGATTCGAGCGTTGCTGTTCGCGCGTCGCTAACTCCCTCTAGGTCACCGGTAGCCGCACCAGGCAGGCCAACGACGCCAGACAGGCCGCTATGGAGCGATCGGCCGCGATTCGCAAGATCGAGCAGGATATGATGGAGCTGGGCCGACTGTACCAGGAGGTGGCCGAGCTTGTCCACCAGCAAGAGCCCCAGGTGGAGCAGATCAACCAGGACGCCGACAACGTCGCCACGAACGTGACGAACGCGAACACCCAGATCACGGAAGCGATCGCCAGCGCTCGCCGGGCCAGAAAGTGGAAGTGGTACGCCCTGCTGGTCGTTAGTAAGTAGCGTGAACCCCCGATAGCTGTAGATCAAGCTAACCCATCTAGTTCTTATCATCGCCATCGTTGTTGGTGTTGCCGTCGGTGTGACCGAGGCGAACAAGAAGTCATAAACTGGTCACTAATGCTACTTGCTACTTGGCTTGATCTGATGAACCGACCTTGCTCCAAAATGCTCGCCATGTCAACGTCCCCATATCCCGATACCCCGCGGTATCACCTGGTCCTGTTCTGTTCTTTGTGCCCGTTTCCGCAAGGCTCTCCCGAACTTCGTCTACTGCCATCTTCGCGACTGCACCAGTCGACGAGGGTCGTTTGATTCCCTTGCTTCCGTTGCTATACCACCTTGTTTGTCCGTTTTGGTTTGAAAAGCATGTCGCCCGATCTTTCCTCTGTCCACCGCGTGCTGCCTGCTGCCTGTCGTTTTTCTGTACCCACTGATTGGTCGTGTATAGTTTCTGCGTCTTGGGGCGTGAGCGACTGATGATGCTGTCGCTGCTCGTTGGCTAGGTGCGATTGATGCTATCGCAGTGTATATATTAGAGTCTCTTCGTTGCTCCTGGCTTTGGCGCTAGAACTTTGTCTTAATCGACTACTTTAATAATAATGCTTGCTGATGAATTTAAGACTGCTCGCAGCCTCATTCAGTGTAGTGATAGTGTAGTGGCAATGTAATGTAATGTTACAACGTAGAACCGTCTTAACTAAAAACGCATGCATGCGCATATACATGGGTATCAACTGACTGAACAATCCCCTTCCCTTTCTCTTCCCTCCCCTCATTCTATCGCATATTTTATATCCATATCCATATCCCATATGCACCCTCAAGCCCCATCTAAGCTACGCAAAGCCAGGCCACGCAAAGCAAGAGCTAATTCCCTCCCTCCGCCTTTCTAGCCGCCTCCCTCTCCTCTTCCTCCACCGTCCTCGTCCGCAACTGCAGAGCATGGATGCCCCCCTCGCGACTCATCTCCTCCTTCAGCAGCGCGTACACCATGCGATGCCGTGCTGGTTGGGGCTTCGATTGGAAGAGGGGCGATGTTACCGTCACACTGGTGGGGGATATGGGTTAGCATAGCTGCATTTGTTTGTGTAGAAGCGGTTTGTATGGTTGTGCTGAGGTTGGGGTTGGGGTTGAGTATAGTCCCAGCTATCTGACAGATTCGAAGGAAGGGAAGGGTGGGTAGGGTAGGGATGGTAGGTGTTCGGTGAAGGGCGTACTGGAAATGCGTCTCTCTCGAAGTCGACCCGCGCATTGCGTTGTGGTGGGCGTGCAGATGCGAGTCATTGCGGATGATCAGGGTGGTGGGGTTGAAGGTGGTTGTTATCTGTTGTTGGCAGGAATGGAGCGGTTAGAATGAGGGGTTGTCACGAATTGTGTGAGGGGAAGGGGAGGGAGGACGTACCTTGTCGCGAATGAGATCTTCGACTGGGGTGGTGGAGGATGCGGTGGAAGCCATTCTGGATGAGAGGGGGACGGCGAAGAGGCGGCGGGGGAGAAGGCCTGGGGCGGTGCGGAGGGGGAGCATTGATGGGTAGGGTGGTGGGTGGGTGGGATGGAGGGGAGGTGAGAGGCGCAGAGAGTGAGTGTGGAGGTTCAGGGAGGTGGAGGAGGAGGGGAAGGTGAGGGTATAATGGCGGTAGTAAGTAAAGAGTTGGAGATGGGAATCGGGGGCCCGCGATTGGTCCGTGATGGGGTATCTGGATCGGGAATAGCGCGGGTCTACTCCGTAGGTACGTGGAATATCTCAGCAGACTAGGTGAGATGATTCAATCAATATCCTTTCAATTGGCTCGAACAAGTTGTTTTATTTGTATATATCAATAGCAACGGATGATGATGATATCTGAGCCAATTAAAGAATGTATTATTATGCATGCTGTACGCTCTCATGATAAACTCCTCCCTATAACAGATAAAAATCATTCAGAACTGATACCTAGCAAAAGACGTGGGATTGATTTGTTAATGAGATAGCCAACCCTGTAGCCCCATGACCTTCATACCTCTTCTCCAATACCATCTAAGCGGCGAGACAGATAAACAGGCCATCTGCTATGGTCCACTAACTAGCAAAGGGATGGCTGAGGCAGAACCCCCTCCCCGCCAAGCACCCGTGCCGAGGCCGCAAAGCTCCGGTGCTCCGATGCTCCGATGCGCTTCTTCAAATGACATCAGTCCGCGTCTATCTTTTGCCTTGGGTATCAATCAAGAATACCCGCGGGCTAGCTAGCTCGAGAGCTGTCCGGATTCCTATAAGGTCGCAGCTGGAAGGCGCGTCATGCTCCCAACGGGCCGTTCTCTCATTCAACATGCCCGCACGCGCCGTGATGCCGCTCCTCTCGCGGGGCACCGTTGCCTCGTCTCGACAGACCCTTCTAGCCTCTCGATCCTGCAAGGATCGCACCAGGTCGTGGGTGACTCGTCGATCGTTATCGTCCCTGCCAAATCTACCTCTCTTCCGTGCCTTGCAGAACCATGATCAATCCAACCTGGCGGTCGTGCACAGCTCGTCTGCTCGTTCCTTTACCTACGGCAATTTGGTTGCGGATGTGCTGCAAGCGAAGGAACGACTGGTGGGAACCGACCAGCATGGCTTGTCGGGGGAGAGAGTGGCGTTTCTGGCGGAGAATAGCTACGACTACGTAGGTATGGGTTCCTACACTCCGTTGTGAGTGTGTCTACTGACTGAGATAGTGACGCTCCTGTCCATCCTTGCGAGCGATGCGATTGCCCTTCCCCTCTCCCCGGCTTTCCCGATCGGCGAATTGAAGTACATCATGGACAATTCTCAGGCAAAGGTGCTAGTTGCCACGGAGAAGTATGCGGGGAAAGCGCAGGATCTTCTCAAGGCGGGGCTGGAAAGAGAGCCTGTGTTTGATGTCAAGGAGAAGATCAAGGTCGGCGCGAGCAATTCTGGTTCTGTGTCGTTGGAGGACCTGACGAAGACGTCCCGCGGTGGAATGATGCTCTATACGTCCGGCACTACGAATAGACCGGTAGGTCGCCCGAACCACACCTGAACGATACCACAGCTAACGGAAACAGAAAGGCGTCCTGATTCCCCAGTCGGCGTTGACAGCGCAAGCCGCATCTCTCCTCGAGGCGTGGAGATACACTCCAGAGGACCGACTACTCCATCTCCTTCCCCTGCACCACATCCACGGTACTGTGAACGCCATCGTAACCCCAATTCTCGCTGGATCATCGATTGAATTCATGTTCCCCTTCAACACCGACGCCGTGTGGAAGCGCCTCGCAGCCCCCTTCCTACCCAGCCCTCCAACAGCAGGAGCAAACAGCAAAATCACCTTCCTCACCGCCGTCCCAACTATCTACAACCGCCTCCTCTCCTCCTTTCCCACCCTCCCCTCCGAAACCCAAGAGGCCGCACGGAAAGGCATCTCACCCGAGAACATGCGTCTGAACATCTCCGGCTCCGCCGCCCTTCCCACGCCCATCAAGCAGGCCTGGAAGGACCTCAGCAACGGAAACGTACTGCTCGAACGATACGGCATGACCGAGGTCGGAATGGCAATCAGCTGTGGCCTCGACTTCGCGGACCGCGTCGATGGCAGCGTCGGCTGGCCGCTCCCGTCCGTCGAGGCCCGACTAGTCGACACGGAGACCAACGAAGTCATCCAGCCCGGCGAAGAGCGCGACGCGAACGGCCGAGAACGGGAAGGCGAGATCCAACTTCGCGGGCCCACCATCTTCCAGGAGTACTGGGCTAACGCGAAGGCGACGAATGAGTCTTTCGGCGCGGACAAGGACGGGAAAGGTGATTGGTTCAAGACGGGGGATGTCGCTACCCGTCGTGTCGTCCCCGATGCGGGTAAAGGAACGACGAGTGGGGAATGGGCTCAGGGGCCGATGTACTTCATCCAGGGCCGTCTGAGTGTTGATATTATCAAGACTGGGGGGGAGAAAGTTAGTGCGTTGGAGGTGGAGAGGGAGCTTCTTTCACTGTATGTTTTCTCTTTCTCAGATGTTGCGCTTTCCTGTCATACCTCTCTCCTTCAAGCCATCTGGTGTCTTATGATACTAACCGATACAGACCCCAAATCGCCGAAGCCGCCGTCGTCGGTCTTCCCTCAGAGCAATGGGGCCAGAAGGTTGCCGCCATCGTCGTCCTCAAACCTGATATGGTGAATACCGGACGCAACGGGAAAGCGTGGGGTCCGTTGGACATGCGACGGGCCCTGAAGGACCGACTGGCGAGTTACAAAATGCCGCAGGAAATGAAGGTGCTGGATGGAGTAATTCCGAGGAATGCAATGGGGAAGGGTGAGTTTTTATCAACGTATAGCATGTGGTGTGGCTGAGTGGCTAATTTATGATGCAGTTAATAAGAAGACGCTGGTGAAGGAGGTTTTTGGGATTTAGACTAGGATGGTGGGAGTGGGCTGTATGATATATGGGGAAAGGGGTCGACGTGTGTATGATATTGATTGGATTCGATTATATTGACTGGCGGCACTTGTCGCTTATACATACCACGACAGCAGACAGCAAGTTATTTGCACCCACCACATCTCCAACCATAACCACATCCTTTCTATAACAGACTACACCCCAAACGTCGACCCTATATCCCCCCATCGCACATCCGAAAACACCACCGCCGTCCCCGGATCGACCGCTTCAATCACCTCCGGATTCCCCTCGGTGCTATTACACGGTCCATCACTCCCCGCATCCAACCACTGCATATACGAACTGTCATCATTCCACACACTAAACACCAGCACCATGCCCCTCTCCAGCGCCTTCCCCATCGCCTCCAACCCCCCATGGCTCTCAAACGTCCCCTCACTGTCCCCCTTTTCCACACAATACCGATCCGTGATCGAATCCGTCCGCTGGCCATCCAACTCGACCACCGCGTTGTGGATCACCACGCCGTCCTGGATGTATAGCCTGCGGATCTGCTTCAACGCCTGCCCCTCCCCTGCAGCGTCATTCCCATCACCACTCCCATCAGAAACTGAAGTCCAAAACTGCGTCACCACCCTAACCACCCCCCGGGTATCCACCCTAAACGCGTCCCCCAACCCATAAAACCCCTCCCGCCCCAGCGCATACGGATTAAACCCACACCCCGTCTTGTCGCACACCCCGGCACTCCCACTCCCACACGTCTCCCCCTCACACCCATAAATCCCGGACACATTGCACGAATGCCCCGTGACCGCCGTGGCGCGGGCATTCGCCTCCCACAGATCCATCTCGTTGCAGCACGCCCCGACGTTCGCGGTGTTCGCGACCCCGTTGAACCACGGCTTGATGTAGCATTGCGCGTCGCAGTAGCCGGTGCCGTAGGGGGCGCCGGCGCGGTTGAGCGTGCTGCTGTGCCCGCCGGAAAAGTCCATCTCGGAGAGAAATAGTGCGCCGTTCATCCCGCACGGCAGGTTCGAGACGTCCACTGTGAAGGATATCTCTTGGTTGAGAAGATGGAGCGGTTGGTAGGTCGATCCCGTGGGTGAGAGGAGGTAGAGACGCGGCGAGGCGGTGGTGATGGTTGTTTTATTGTCGGTGTTGGTCTGGAGATATTGGTTTAGGGTTACGCTTCCGAGCGAGGTGGTGGTGGTGGTGGTGGAGGGAGAGACATGCACCCCGTAAGCGCTGTAATCGGATATCCCCTCGATGAGACACTCCTGTGCGCAGGTTGTTGGATCGGGGCAGATGGTCGGGTCGACGGACGTGCTGTTTGCGCAGGGGGTCGTGCTGTTGCGGAGGTGGATGGTGTGGAAGGAGGAGTCCAGGGCTAAGAAGGTGTTTTGGGTCGTGCAGCCGGTGGTTGTGGTGCATTTTTGGGTGAGGAATTGGGGGGGTTGGTTGGGGGTTCGGCCGGGGGTTTGGGATGCCGTGTGGGGGTTAGGAGGAGGAGAGTGAGGAGGAGGGGAATGAGGGTGGTGAGGGTGGTTAGGGCTGGGGCCATTGTGGTGATGGGATGGAGGGATGGGTTTGGAGGGATGAGGGTTGGAGATGGGGTGGATGTGAGGGGTTTATTTTATAAACCATCAGAAATACCATCCCCACCGGCTGTTTCAATTGTTCAAAGAGGGGGTTCGGGGTTTTGCCCTCGATCGATTGGATATACATCTCGTGGCTGTCGACTTTAGGCTCGACGGGCCGGGAAGAGTAGGCTGGTGTTTATCCAGTTTTCCCGCGTAGTCCGGGATGGATCAGATCAGCAGGGTCCATGATCAGATCGGTGGGATGGTCTCTTGTTGGTGGAAATCGGGGATCATACACCCTTGTTTGTGTCGAGTTTGAGCAGTTTGAGCATCGAGTATTGCGAGAAGATTATTGGTGATTGTGGTTGCATTTTTCCACCAACTGGCGGGGGGGTGATTCTGATTCTGACTTTTGAGGTGTCTGGTTTGCTTTATTGAGGCATAGAGTGGTGGGTGTATTAGACAGGTTGCTGGGGGGTAATAAAGGCTGGAAGAGCTTGTGATAGAGGTCATACTGGTGTCAGTTGTTCCTAGAACCCTGAGAGGTAAGACGAGTTCAACTCTCTTTTTGCCCTAGTGGTCTGATTGTTAGGAGGAATGGATTTCTCCGCACTCGTGGATCTGATATCAGCATCATTGTATCTAGAGATATGGAATCTCCGACCATCCATCAATTATGAATCAACATTCTACCCCCTTGGGGTACCTGGTCACTTATTTAGTGGTCGAGTAACTCACTCTGTTTGGCACATCTTAATAATGTATCATTGCGTGCGACTAATATCAGTCCAACCTCGTCCCATCTTATCACATTTTCGATCATCCAGCCTGCCATGCAGCCCAGATATCAATGTAACGTCACATCAAGCCCTATTCCACCCCCTGCCACCGAACACAACTCTCAAGATATTGCAATCACAACCCCCACCAGTATCTTCCCAAACACCTTCTCCCAATCCTCCGTACGTGGCTTATGTCAGTGACCTTTCCAGGCTACTAATCCCTGCAGTCTCGAAGCAAACATGCATCCGAGCCCTGTCGACGGCTCGGAGATATAATGAATGGCGGTGACGGCTTGCCTTGTTATATCCAGGAACTGGGCCAAGTTGCAACGTGGTGGGCTGGTGGGCTGGTGAGAGGCTTGGCTGGATGTCGTATATGCGGTGGGTTTGATTGGCGAGTGGAATTTTGTGTTGGTGATTCGACTGGTTTTTTGAGGCGGCGTTGTGGGTGAGGCTGGATTTGTAGAGCGTGGCATCGATGGATGGGAGGATATGCATGTCTTGGTTGTTGGTAGCATGAGTTGGACAAAGCTTTCCTTCTGTCTTTCTTTCTTTCTTTCTTTCCTTCCTTCATTGAGATTGTTTGTCTCTCGGGAAATAAACAAAGCCCATAAACCCTATCCCTTCTGTATGGCCTTCGCAACCGAAAGGATCGATCGCATCTCACTCCAAGACTATCCAGTATCGAACATCTCCTTTACCCAACGCATTGCAAGTTGAGAATCAAGATAGCAGACCTGGCCAGACCCTCATAGCAAAACCAGAGAACAAAGAAAAGGCCAGCCTCTAGACAAGTCAAGTCAAGTGGAGTAGTCCCAGATAGATCAATGACCTCCCATTTGCTTTTCCTGTGCCACTATCCTGATTAGGGCCACATCATTCCTCTCTCTCCCACCCAGTCCCTACCCTGCCTCCCTATGAGCCACCTATCTAGCCAGCGCTGGAATCTCCACAGTCAAGTAATCCCCTCCCCCCTGCCCGTTTGCATTGCAGAGCCAGGCTAGTCTAGCGAGTGTCTAGTCTAAACAAGCCCCAACAGAACAGACAAAGAAAGATGGCATCTATCTATCCACTATGCATTTGTTGGGGCTCCTTATCACGACCCGATCTCTTAGTCTGTTAGGGCACCTGTCATGTCCGACTCACGGCATTGGGCCAGTTTCTTCCGCTCCGCTGGCTAAGAGACTAGTGCTTATGGTTGGAAAGCTGTCGTCGATGGCGTGCAGGTCTTATATGCAGGGGTTTTTCTGCTATATCCGGATGGTAATAGCAGCAATGGTATTGTCGTGTTTGTGTGTGTGTGTGTGTCTGTGGTATTTAGGTGGTTGCGTTCGCGCCCTACAGTGGCTGTTTGGGTTGAGTTGGGAATTTGTATAGATACTGTGCTCTATCTATCATAGACAGAGGAATTGCGGATTTTACTTTGCAGAATGATTTCTTTTTTCTTACTCTTTCTCATCGTTTATTTCGCTCTGAGGAGTATATACCGGATTTATTTCCATCCTCTTCGCGGAATTCCGGGGCCGAAGTTGGCCGCTGTTACGCATCTTCATGAGTTTCATCATGATGTTGTTCGGGGAGGGAAGTTTCTCTGGGAAATCGAGAAGATGCATGAGAGATATGGTACAGTCCCATCCCTGATGACCACTGCTGTAGCGTCAATTGGCCCAGAGACTCACGATGACAGGTCCAATCGTGAGGATTAACCCCCGGGAAGTCCATATCGCGGATCCAGCCATGTACGACGAGATCTACGCCGCGGGGGGTCGAAAGCGAGACAAAGACCAAGCCATGGTGTCAGCGTATGCATCCCCGTACGCGGCGCTGGCGACCATCGACCATGATCTGCACCGTGCGCGTCGAGCCCCCCTGAACCCATTCTTCTCCAAGAAGGCCGTGCTCGAACTGTCATCCGTCATCCAGGAGAAGATCTCCCTTCTGGCCTGGCACCTGGAGAAGTCCCATGCCGAGAAATCCGTAATCACGCTAAGCACGGCCTTCATCGGCCTGACCGGCGACATCATCACCCATTACCTGTACGGCCAGGACAACGGATACCTGCGGGACAGAGACCTGGCCAAGCGGAACATGGTCTGGGAGATCATGGCGGAGGGCACAAACGCGTGCCACCTCTTCCGCTTCTTTCCCTGCATTCCCACGCTCACGAAGGCCCTGCCTCCGCGACTCATGCGGTTGCTTCGTCCCACGTTGTCGAATGTGTATGATATGCAGGACCAGATTGCGCGCGAGTCTGAGGACGCTTTGTCGTCCCGACGGGGCACGGCGAAGCGGAGGACTATCTATCATGCTTTGAATAGTCCTGATGTGCCGTCCCATGAGCGCTCCCTGCATAGGCTGCGTGATGAGAGCTTTATTGTCTTGATCGGCGGCGCGGAAAGTACAGCCGCGACGCTGAGTTTCGCTATGTATCACCTTCTTCAGAATAGGGAGATGTATTGCAAGCTCCGCAAGGAGTTGCAACGGGCCATGCCGACCCCGACGAGTCATGCGGACTGGTCCCAGCTAGAACGGCTGCCTTATTTGGTTCGTGGAGATAAATACCGGGGTTAGGTTGAGGAAGGTTTCGTCGGCTAATTGTGCATGGCATGTTCAACAGACGGCTGTCATCAACGAGGCACTCCGGTTAGGAGCAGCAGCGCTCCGACCAACACGAGTCGCAACCACCGAGACATTGTATTATAAGGAATATGCCATCCCGCCCGGGGTAAGAACCTCACCTCTCTCGCTTGATGATAAAATATAGCTGACGACGGTCCTGCAAAGACCCCGGTTAGCACAATCAGCTACTTCGTCCACAGGAATCCAGCCATATTCCCAGACCCGGAGAGATTCGATCCGGAGAGATGGATCCAGGCAGCCGAACGAGGTGACAACCTCACCCGATATCTGGTCCCGTTTACGCGGGGGAGTAGGATTTGTGTGGGCATGAAGTGAGTTTTTCTTTGCCCCTGTCTGGTTTTTATATCGGTCAGTGGTCACTTGTACTGGTGCTGACCGTCTGTCTCAGTCTGGCTAACGCGGAACTGTACATGACGCTTGCGTCTGTTGTCCGTCGCTTTGATCTGGAGCTCTGCGACACGCGTCCGGAGGATATGGAGTTTGCGCGGGAGATGGTCGTGCAGCGTCCCGCGAAGGGGGTGTGGACGCTGAAGGCTCGAGTGGCCGGCGTCGGCGAGTAAAAGTGGAGTGGAGATGAGTTGATGAGCTGGGGCCTGATGGGGGGAGGGGGGGAGGGGAAGATCGTTATCTATTTGCAGCTATGATACAGTATACAACACAAGACCGAATTTCGCTTGATATAAGAACAAGGCAAGTGACATGGGCGTCACTGCCATTCGCCCGTCCGTTCGAAGGGCTTGATGACCCGCGTGGCTTCCATGACAACCATGGTACGTGCCATATCCACCGCGGTGATTTTGGCCTCCACGGTACTGAGAATGTCCAGATCGGCCGTTTCGGCCATATCCTTGGGGATCAGGACTTGACAGCGCACCCCCGTCGACGGCATGACGGCGGCATACCCGTGCCCGTAGGGGGTTCCGGCCAAGGAGGTATTGCTGAACGGCCGGTGGATCAGGCACTCAAACGTTTCCGGAAGGGGACATTCCGCGAAGTAGAAGGCCCGGAACATGAGCATGCATGCCCAGAACTGCTTCGAGTGTTTGTCGCAGTCTCGGAGCCGGTTGGATTTCCAGCGGGTTGACGAAAGATACTGATCAACGTAGTCGCGAGAGAAGGGCAGAGCAGACCCATCGGTCTGAGCGTCTAGGCGCCGGCCGTTTTCGTGCTCGAAGCGCAGCGCGGCCTCTATCTGGTAGTGAGCAATCACATCGCTGTATCGTCGCAAGGGACTGGTGGACTTGACGTAGGTGTCTAGCCCGAGAGGCGTGTGCTTGAGTGGACTGGATGAGGTGATTCCTTTGGGGGGTGCCAGCTCCAGCCACTGCTTTCCGCCGTATTCGGACATGTTTGTGCTGGTCACCTGGGCATACTCAGGGTGGTAATATGTTCCGTTGTAGACGGAAGGGATGTTGCGTTCAGCCAGCCATTTCCCAGAGACCCAGCATCCCATGTTCATGAGTAAGGAAATGAGGTCATATTTCGAGGTATCAACGACCTCATGAGGGTCCACCTGCTGTTGGGCCAGCTGGATAATGGGATCGCCGATAATGTAACGCCCCTGCGTGGCTTCAAAGCTGGAAGGCTTCAAAGGCTCGTGCCCAACAGCCATTGAGACAGAAATGTTGGTTTGGAAAGGCCACTCCATTGCGCCGTTCTTGTGCCTGTACTCTCGGAACGCCAGCATCAACTTCCTCATAATGTGGAAGTTCTCCTCGTCCTCTGGCGCCAGTTCTTCTTGCAGACCCTCACGGAAGATCTTCTTCGGCATTGCCCCTCCCACAGTCAAGGGCTCCAAATGCTTCCCGGCGTCGGACACGAACAGACTGCGCAACTTGTCGTGCGTTATGTAAATCACATTGTTGACGGTGCCATTGGAGACGTTCATATCCAGTACCTCACCTTGCAAGTTCATCTTAGCACTAAAAGTGAGCGTGGGACGTCCTGCAGCCAAACTAAAGTGTTTCTGCGTCAGAGAGCTAGGGATCATGGGATACGTGCGCTCTGGAGAATAGAATGTCTGGACACGCGAAGCGGCGTACTTCATGGTCGCTCCTTCGGGATCAATGAAAGCAGTGGGGTTGGCAACGTGGATACGGATCCAGAAGGTATCATCCGACCCTGGTATGCGTTCGAGCGAGACGCCGTCATCAATCTCCTCCGCGGTGACGTCGTCCACACAGTATACCGGCAGATCACCCCAGTCGGTCCGAACATCGTGCATCTTGTCAGGAAGTACTTCTGAGCCGAGCTGCTCGCATTCCTGCTGAACCTCCTTCCACGCGGCGTCGTCAGAACTGGGGGAGGTGCCATGGCCCGGGAGCGCTAGACCTTGGTCGAATAGACGCAGGTTATCCCACGGGTAAAAGACACCCAATTCTTGCAGAAACAGGTTTCCCGTTAACGGGTTCAAGTCCACGGTACCATACATGCCCGTACTGCGCATGATGTGCGATCCGGCCGATCGCATGCTTCCAGATGCCATCCGACGAGGAGGAAGGCACCACATCTGTAAGTATTCAATGATCATGCGATCGGTGTCGGAGAACGGCTCCGTCGGAATCTCACGATATGCCGAGCGTATGTCCTCTTGAGACAGGTCAAATCGCTGCCCAGTTGGACCAACACAGGACATGGTGGTCGGGGCACGAACGCTTCGGCTGAGCTTAATGAGGCGCTGGGCCTTTTGGATGAATTTCTGCAGCGGATGAGCCTGGAAATGAGGACTGCCCTTGCCATGGACGCTCTGGTAGAGGTGATCCTGGTGTTCATGGACCCACTGGGTGACCTGGTCGATGTTTTGGGCAACCCGGAGTGGCTTAACGAGGTAGTAGTTGGTGAAAAGTGAACTCCGGTCACATTCGATGTAGAATGAATGCATATGGGTCAGGCGGTGAATGAGAAACAGATACACATCAGTCAATTGGTGTGGTTCGATTTCAAGCGCCTTGCAAGTAAGCTCCTCCAACGTATATTCCCGGTATTCGGTTTGGTCGGCAACGATTTCATGGATACGATCCAGACGAGCTGAATTTTCGCGGTAGAGGTCTTGAGTGTCTCGGTCAAACTGGTCGATCTTCTTTAGAAGATGAGCTCCGGCCTTCCTCGGTATGCCGCCCTCAATGATGGACTGTAATTCCGTCTGCATCTGGGCGGCGACATCGGGGAGGTGCGGAAAAAGGGGCTCGAGCAGGTCGGGGGACACAAATCCCTTGACGACGTAGGCAAGGTCTTTCGGAAACGAGATACGCCACTTCCCGCGGTCTGTATAGAATTGTTGCTGCTTATGGATGGAGCGGAGGTATATGGCGAAGGTCAAAGGACCGTCCCCGCTGTATTCCCGAGAAGAAGATTAGCCATGCCCGCTTGAGCCGATGGGGAGGTGGTGTTTAGACTCACGAGCTCATCGCCACCAGATCACCAGGCTCCAAGTACTGGCCCAGTCCCTCTCCCTCGTCTGCAGCGTTGTCAAAATTCAAGGCTTCATCTCCTATTCGTAGGGCATCGCTTGCGTTGTCATGAGTTTCACGGCTGTCGTTCAACATGTTTCCCACCCACGGCACCGATGGATCCAGAGGGTTCGAGGTTCCAGGTCCCCGCACCGGGTCCATCGAGTTGACGGCGGAGGCTTGCCATTTTAGCAAGTAGCTGCGTATGTTCTTGTGCTCGTCGAATTCCTTCTTCAGCGGGTTGTTTAGAACGTCGGTCGATGGGTCCAGCAAGTCCTCCTCGGATACATCCTAGATTCGCCAATCAGATGTTATACGTCCAAGTAATTGATAGGAAGGTTGTCCGTACCTGGGATTCAGTACTGATATACCTCCGTGATGCGATTTGCGAAAGCTTTGCGAAGTTGCTGCGGCGAGGCAGCGGAAGCGCGCGAGAGGCGGAGGCAGTCCCGCGGACGGGGATGAGTCTACGCGCATGATGCAGGTTCACATTCACGCCCGCGACTTTCTGCAATACTCTCATCTTGGAGAGTGACAGAGACATCCTGGACCACCCATCATACATGTCCACAACCTGGAGCACACCGTCTCTTGTTGACGAGTTCGAGTTGACGACAGGAAAGAGATGAGAAAGCGGCGAATCTCCGCCCCGAAAATCTGATACTGCCGACGCGTCGCTCACCGCCTGAGCGGTCAGTACTCACCAGCCACATCAGCCACTCTTCTTGTTGACTACTACTGCTAGTATCTCTTCCCCTTCCAATTCACAAACATCAATGATGGCGGCTCAACCGGTTGGTTGTTGAAGAGAGAGGAGGACCCATTCCATTGGTTTGATCCCGGGCTACTAACCTCCTAATCATCCGTTCCTATAGGCGGTCGTTGGCTACGTGGCCATCATGATGGTATTCAGGACTCCCAGCTCTGCCAATCACCTCTATAATGGGTTGGACCATATGGGTCTCAGACCATACTTTCCCTTTTTGCTGGACCCTGCGGATCATTGCCTCGGCCACGGGGCCCAAGATTGGGACATGTGAGACGGAAAGCCACACCTCTATGGTTTATCACAGCAGGCGATAACGGAGGGCCGCGACATAGTAGTTTTTGTCATCCTTGTCAAGTATCCCAGGGGATTTATCGATATGCGAAGGTGCATGGTTCTGAAGAAACCCCCTAGATTAGATACAGAATGCAAGGGACACTCGACAGCAGTTCCTCAAAAAGTGCACCTGCGTCAGCCAAAGTTTGCCAATCCTTGACGGTGGAGTCCCGAAAGGCAGAAACGCTTCTCCCTGCTGAATTGGTTGGCATGCCGTGGATGGTCGTCGATCGTCGGATATTAATGTCACAGTACACCGGGACATAATCATACCCTCCGAGGCCGACTCGAGCTTTCTATCATAAGGGTCATTGGACTGCTCAGCGCTGTCTGTTTCCTGTGCCCGGACTTACTCTTAAATGACCATCATCCGTCTAGTCATAGCTGGTTCAATGTTTCACCTGCTCCAGCACGGTAGGGCTTTTTTTGGTTGTGACTGCCCTGTCGATCATATCCACTTGGCAGCCGTACCGTTGGCAAGGTGGATCAATGAACCAAGTTCCTTGGATGAAAACCTGCATTTCCATCTTGACTGTTCCTATGGTCTGAAACTATCGTGGGGATCAGTCTTGAGAAAATCACGTCTATCATCCATCTGGCTGATTACATGAGTCTTTGATGACTGGTGCTACATCACTGGATAACCAACCGGTCCCTTGATGGATCTGCCCTACGATCGGCCTTCCATCGTTTCCCAGGATAGTCTGCGCACTCTTGCAGTAAAGTACAACCCCTTTTCCTAACCTATTTTTTTTATAACTTGTATGAATATAACATTTTGCTTTCCCTTCCCTCCTTGAGCAGGCCAATATATTGAACATTACCTTCCCTGTTGATATCCTTTCGTATAATCTAAGTTCCAAGTGCCATGCATATACGACCAGAATGGTGCGCAGCTGCCACTCTGACCGTGGCTGCCATGGCTCCTCTGGCAGCCGCAGACATTTGCTTGAAGCTGAAACAAGAAGGCATACCGGTTGAAGAACCGCTTTCCCTAAACTATGGCTCCGATCTACAGAAATACTGGTCGGCTGCGTGTGGTGATCTCCGCCCAACATGCATCGCCGTCCCTTCAAGCGCACAGGAGATGTCACAGATTGTGAAGGAACTCCACAACGTCACAACGCTTTTCGCCGTCAAGTCTGGAGGGCACATGCCCAACAATGGGTTCGCCAGCGTGCAAGACGGGCTTCTCATATCGACCAAGAACCTCGACCAAGTGATCTACAACCCCCATAATCAAACCGCGATTGTCGGGCCTGGGCTCTCGTGGGAAGAAGCCCTGAACGGGCTGAATGGGACGGGTCGCACTATCGTGGGTGGTCGCATGGGGGGCGTGGGAGTAGGAGGATATGTGCTTGGAGGTAGGGCTCTCTGCCCGCTCGATAGGCCTCACTAAGATGGCCAGGTGGAATGAGTTTCTTGAGCTCCCAATATGGCTGGGCAGCAAACAATGTGGTCAACTTCGAGGTGGTTCTTGCCAATGGGAGCATTGTCAATGCCAATGCGAAGGAGCATACCGGTAGGTGCTTTCGAAGATCGCTGAGCAAGGCTGATGGGTTGCAGGCCTTTTTGCGTCTCTGAAGGGCGGTGGAAACAACTTTGGCGTTGTCACTGCCTATGCCCTCCAAACCCATCCACAAAACCACCAGGTTTGCCTCACCATGTTGGCCCAAGTCATGCTCTAACCCTGACAGGTGTGGGGAGGCAACTACATATTCACCTCCGACAAGACCCCGCGTGTCCTTGAGGCGATACGGGATTTTGTCGAATACTACCCGGACGACAAGGCAGCCATTATCGTGACAGCAGAGCACGCAGCGCTGATCGACACCTGGATTATGTTCCTGTTCTACGACGCCCCCACGCCTCCCCAGGGCGTCTTCGACAACTTTACAGCCATTGGACCGCTGGATACCACCAAGACGTGGAATAGCTACTACGACCTGGTTAGTGGCCTGTCAAGAGCCCTGTCCCTGGCCAAGCTAACTCAAGGCAGCTCAAAGCCAACGACTTCTTCATTCTCCAGTAAGTGCTCATCTAGCTACGCGCAACCATTCTAACCATTCAGCGGCCAACGCTACACGATCGCCACCGAGACGACGCCCCTTCCCAACAAAACCGTGGGCGCGGAAGTGATGCAGGCATACTACGACCATTGGTACAACATCACCAACACCGTGCTGGACGTGCCGGGCGTGATTGCATCCATCGCGTTCCAGCCCATGCCCAAAGCCATAACCAGCAAAGCCAAGGCGAGAGGCGGAGTAAGTCGCGCCATCAGACCAACGACATCTACTAACGCATCCTAATCAGGACCTGATCGACTTCCCAACCGATCAAGACTACATCGTGTTCGAGCTCGACTTCTCATACGGGCCCGCCTCGAGCGACGACAGTATCGACGCCGCCAACAAGAATCTGTTTAATGGATTCGACAACATCATCAGCAACTACGTAGACAAGGGCATGCTTCCTGACGTCTACCGACCGTTATTCATGAACGACGCCAATTATGCGCAGGACTACTGGGGGCGCCTACGCACGACCGACCAAGCCCGCCAGACCAGACACCGATACGACCCGGATGGTTTCTTCCAAAAGCGCACCAGTGGAGGCTGGAGACTGGAATAGATGGCCGTCACCCAATCGATGACAGCACAGCCACCGTATACCCTCAACGTACTCATCCCACAACCATGATCATACCAATAACAACACCTCAAACATGCTGACATCACACCAAATCTATCCACCACCCGCACATCCTTAATATAGACACAGCGGCTCAACCCCAGCGCGATCTGCACTGCAGGCGCCTCCATCCCGTGTAGACTCCACCTCAGCATCAAAGTAGCAAAGTACCAAACCAGGGTCCTGCACGCCCAGATGAGGCTGAGCGCGCTCCTGGATCCAACCTGCCATCCCAATCACCCACACGCCGGTCGTCTCAGGTTCAATTAAGCTCTTCGTGGCTGTTGGCCAGGAGCCATCCGCGGGATTGCCGATGGCGTCTCCAAGCGCCGTGGTGGGGAAGCCCTAGCATCACCACCACATCACTATTCCCGGAACATCAACGATAACTATGAAGATAGTGCTGGCCAGGTACATTCCCATAGCTACCAGCTGCACAATACCTAGACAGCTACACCTATCTAGCTACGTAATAGTACCACCCAGCTAGTAATGCCTTACCCGCCCACACCCAAAATAAGCCCAAGCCAAAGAAACCTCCTTCTCGAAGCGCTCACTTCACTCCACCTCAACAACGCAAATCCCATCCGCACCCGTGTGTACCTGCATCAGTCCAGATCCAGATCCAAGTTCTCACCAGCCTATCATCCCGCGCCTTGTCCTCCCCCAGCGCTTTTCTTGCGCAATAGGATTGCGGATCAGGGTCATGGCCAAGGACCAAGGACTCAGGACCCATGCTTGAGAAAGATCTAGACTGCTGTGTGGTGGGTGGTGGGTGATGTGATGCTAATTTTGTATATCGGGTGGTGTGGTCTAGACCGAAACATCTAGACTGGGTGTCTGGTCTGGTCTGGGTGTGAGAGTGTCTTGTCTTTGTTGATTGTTGGGTATTTAAGTCATTGTCTCGCTCGGGAGAGTTTTTGTCTGTCTTGTACGACAACTTGTCTGAGCTTTCACTTTGAGACTTTCTGTTTGTTTGAGTTTCTACGCTCCTTTTATTATATTACTTTATACTACTATTTTTTATTTATAGTACTAAAGGCTCGTCGTTTGTGTTGATACTTACACTTCACTTCCATTCCTTCGTCACTCACACACATACACAGTCAATCAGTGTGATACTCAACCTCTTCTATACAATCTCTACCTACCTATTGATCCCGGTACCCATTCTCCAAAATAATACCAAGGAAAAATGCCCCCCTGCGGCCTCCTCGGCGCAACCTTCCTGATCGCCCGCGTCATCCAACTCTGCTGCCTCATCGCCATCATCGGTCTGACAGCCAACTTCATCGCCGAGATCGACTCCAACAATGCCTCGCCTCCGGGGATCTTCATCGGGACTATCACTGTTGTATGTTCCCCTCACTCCTTTTCCCTCCAACAACACCAATCCCCGACCATCAATCTCAACATCAACCTCCCTACGAACCACCCCATAACCAAAAAAAAGACAAGCATATGTGCAATCTACGCCTTCATAACCTCAATCCTCTACGTGGACAACATCCTCCCCTTCCTCGCGACCGCCATCCTCGACACCCTGTTCCTGATCGCGGTGATCGTCGTCTCCGTCATCATCGGCAAGCCGCTGTCCTATCTGCAGTGCAACGATATCGCCAACGTGACTGGTAACGGGTCCTCCGCGTACACCTTTGCCGCGCATCTGAGTAGCTATGTCGAGGATTTGGGGGGCAAGGTCGATTATGATGATTGGATTGGCGCGACGAAGACCGTTTGTTTGGAGGCGAAGTCGATTTGGGGGTTGTGTCTTTCGTTGTGGTGAGTTTTCTTTTGAAGCCTGGTGGTTGGTTGGGTGGTTGTTGAGGGGGGTGTGGGTGTGGGTGTGATAGATGGATTTGCTAACATGTGTGTGTGTGTAAAAGTGTGATATTCTTCGTCTCTGCGATCTGCGGTATCGTGCTCTGGAGACAGAAGAAAGCGGCGTCTGCAGGGGCGGAGAAATTGGAGGGTTGATTTGATGTAGCAGGATGGGAATTGATCTTGCGTGTTGTGGAGTTAACTGGTGATGATGATGATGGCGATGGCGTCGACGGTGACGGTGATGATAATGAAGGGGTAGGGTAGGGGTATATGGCACCGAGACCGAGCTGAACTGGATACTTTTCTTTCTCTGCCTGTCTGTCTCTCTGTTTGAATCTTCCTTCCGTTCCTAATTTCTTTCTTTCTCTCTTCCTTCCATTTCTTTGCGGATGGATCTGCATCAAGTCCAACCCAGCCTGCCTTAATACTCCTTCCTGCATTTATTCACCCCCATGTCCTGTATAGTACTTAGCACAGCAACCAACCCAAATATCATTACAATAAACCACTCACTCACCTACCTATCCTCAATATCTAATATCCAATATCCCACCCTCACCCCCACCCTCACCCCAAATCCTACCCCTCATCCCGAACTAACCGGCGGAATAACGGCGACCTCGTCCCCCTCCGCAATAACAACCCCACTCTCCTTATCCTCCACATCAACGTATTCCTCCCCCAGACTGACGCCGCAGCTAGTGAGCACTGCCTCCCGGATGCCGGGGTAGAGGGCCTCCAGCGTGTCGAAGAGCTGGGATAGGGGCAGCGGGGCCGCGAGACGCTCGGTTTGTTTCCCCGTGTAGCTGGATGCGCTGGCGAAGTAGTGGATTTGGAAGGTAGAGTTGGAATCGGAGGTCATTGTGTTGGTTGGTGTGGGTTGGTGGGTTGAGGTTGGAGAGGAGAGGGGAGAAGGGGAGAAAGAAGTGTTGGAGTGTTGGTGAGGAGGGGAGTTGAATTGGAGGATCGGAGAGAAGGCCGGCTGCGGGGCCGGCCGATAAGGGGATCCATCGGTCGGTCGGTCGGCATTTGCATTGATTGTCCAGTTGGTGCGAATGGCATCACGGCTGGTTATTGCACTAGTCACCGGACCCCGTCCTGAAGTGGTAGAGTAGTAATTATCATGCATATTTATTTATTTACCCTCGACTAATTCCCTGAATGCAATCAGCAGATCCTTCCGGAGATCCTCCCAGTTCTCCAACCCAACACTGATGCGCAGCAACTGCCGATCCACCGTCGCGTCCGACATCGTCCGCCACTCGATCAACGTCTCAACTCCTCCCAGGCTGGTTGCATGCTGGAAGAACGCCAGCTTGCTCGGCAGCTTTCGCGCGAAGTCTTCCGTCTTCATCGTGATCGAGAAGACCGGCCCGAACCCACGCGGCATCTGCTTCAACAGCCACGACTCGTCCTCCTTCTGCAAGCTCGCGTGGAAAACGCCCTCGAGCGCACGCTGCGTGACCGCCTCGTCGCTGTCCGGGGCGGGTCTCTGCGCAGTGAGGGCCCCATGCAGCCACGAGACAAGACTGGTCGCGTTCTGGCTCTGCCGTTCCACCCGCACTTCCAGAGTCCGCAAGCTGCGCACGCCCAGCCAGCTTTCCATGTTGCCCATCACGCTCCCCAGGTAGATACGGTCCTCCCACAGCTTCTTCGCCCAATCCTCGCGCTGCGTGGCAAGAACACCACAAAGCAGGTCGCTGTGTCCCCCGAAGTACTTGGTCCCGGAATGCATCACCAGATCGGCACCCCATTGGAAGGGGTCTTGAAGGGTCGGTGGGGCAAACGTGCCGTCGACGATGAGATACGCTCCCCGCGAATGCGCTTTCTTGGCGTACGCCTCGATGTTGAAGGCTATCCCCTCGGGGTTCACCGGGGTTTCCAGATGGATGACATCCCCGGCCTCCAGCTGTTCCGCAGGGCAATCCAGATCCAACTTCTGCAGTCCGGTCAGGCGGCCGAACAGCGAAATCACACCATGGCACCCGTGATAACCATTCCCGATCGCAATCCGACGGGGGTTGAGCAGGACAAGCGCCGCATGCAAGGCCGATAACCCCGAGGAGTAGGTGAGAGCTTGGCCGTTAAGGAGAGACGAGAGGATGGCCTCGAACCGGGTGAAATTGGGAGCCGTCACTCGAGAGTAGATGTGTTTCGTCTTGTTTGGGTCACTCTGCACATCGCATCGCAGTCAGCATCAACCACCAAGTTCAAAGCCCAATGACGGGAACATACGTTGGTAATATCGGCCAGAGGCACCAGATCATCGGGGTTGTCGGAATACCGGAAAGTCGTGGCCACGTGAAGCGGAGGAGCCACATCCGCCACGAGATTCAATGCGTCGTCGGCATGCAAAGCACGCGTGGAGGTGCCCATCTCTCGATTGGCGGGTGCCATGGCGGTAATGGGCAATGGACAGGAGGGGAGTTGCGGGAAGGTCGGAGGCTGGAGACAGCCGAGTGGGGAAAGGAAGGAAGGACGGCAGCTCGTGGCACGTGACGCGGACCGAGGATTGCGTGATGTTCGGATGAGATGGGCGAGGACAGAAGGATGGGGCCAAAGGAAGACTCGGTGCCTCTTTATCGACTTGCTGATGCGGTTTACCGGCGGAGTGAGCTCATCCTCGACGGCTCACGGACGGATCCTGGCACGGAGGCTTGGAACTTAGTCCGATCTAGGTCACAGAGAAGTGTCAGCTTGGGCGCCCCATATGGGCCGGGAGAAAGCCACCCGATAACGTACCTGCCTCGGAGTCGAAGGCAATGGAGATGTCGTCGTGCTCCATCGGATACTCCGGCGTGTCCAGGGACACGAACTGCGACGAAGGATCATCGTCCGTCTTGGGCAGGGCGAACTTGGCGTCCACAATCCGGACCCCAAACTTGCCGGATTTACCGAAACTCTCCAGGGTGTCGGTCCCTTTGAGGACGAAGTTCAAACACCGTCCGTGGTGGAAGTCGTTCAAGAATGCCACGAGCTGGACCACTCTCTCGCGCTTGATGACCTGGATTCTGGCCAGACTCGACTCCCACTTCTTGGTGATCGGGACCACCATACGGCGGCGAGAAATCGAAAAAGAAGAAGCAACACTATTGCCAGGGTTAGCCGTGGGTCCTCAGTGCAGTAGAGACGTCCAGCGATGCATACCTGTCGAAGAGTACCTTGAATCCCGTGACAGCACGTTGGAACATATGAAGATCTGAAATAAAATCAATGTCTGGTCAAAGAGAACTTGACGCTAGGTGGAATGCCCACCTTGTACTGTTGCAAAGTCGAAACGTCGGATCATAGGCTTCACCATGGCTGTTTGCAAGAATTCTGATAATTTATCAGGCATCTCCGGGAGGACCAGATTCTCAGCCACGGAGACCGTAAGATCTTTCTGCCCAGGTCGATACAGACTAAGTCCGGTCCGATTGTTGATCTCAAGGCCTAGCTTCAAGTCACCGGGTCCTAAAGAATGTTAGATTAATCCTCAAAAGCCGCCCCAATGCACGCACCTAGGTTGATTCGGTCCGTAACAGAGCCCCATTCCGTTGCAATGAAAGCCCGCAGGTGATCAGATAGAACAGTCTGGCCATAGCCATGATCGACACGTGTGTGCTCCTGGTCAATAATCGAGACAGTCCCGGCGGGGAAGAGAAGATGCTCCTTGGCTGGTACCCCATTCACACGATCCGCTGGCTGTTCAATGGTGTAGGCCCGGATGGGGATTCCAGGGGATTTGACTTCTCTCGACGTAGGCAAGATTCCTAGAAGCAGAGAATGGATGGTAGTGCGCTCCTCGGGATCGTGAAATGTCATCAGCATCGAGCGAGGTTTTCCATCCTCCTTGACCTTTAGTAGAAGCGCCGGTGCGCCGTCTTCACCCCGTAGCAGACCGAAAACAATTGGCGCTCCATGCCCAATAATGTGACGTACGCTGCTGAGGGTTTTGACTGCGGGACTCGTCAGCACCGCCAGACGGAAGCCCTGGTGCTGGCTTCTAGTGCCAGCACCCTCGGTCATGGTCTTTGACCTCTCAAACAGCCGAAGACGACACCGTTCAACAGGGTCGGCAGGAAATGCCTTGGAGGCGCTGGGATCCATGTAGTGAAATGACTTCAAAGTAGTTTCATAGACTACTGTTTCACCCGACTCAGGCTGAAGACCAGCTTCGGTCTTGCGGGTATACTGAACAATGTTCCAGATGTTCTTGAAGTCCTCCTCTTGGAACGTGACCTCCAGTTCGAAGCCACGCGGCATTTGGACCCGCATAGAGTGCGACCGGATTTGCCATTCCACGCTCTCCCATGTTGGACCCTTTTTCCTATCCGACTGGATCACGACATTGACCAATTCACTTTGGCTCGAGATGGCTGCGAAGACATACCAGTCTGCACGATCACGAACTATGGACAAGGCGCAAGGTATCGGGATTTGCTCCGCGTCATCTTCAGGGGAGCTGATAAGAACGTCCACAAACATGCTTCCGTAACTAAAGTAGCGATTCGTATCGCTTAGCGGCATCATTTGCACGAACGTGTGGCCTTTCCCGGACTTGTCTGCGAAAAGCGACCTCGTTGATGCACCGGAGAGGACCGCAGCGACATCTGCAGCGAAAGCTGGATATTGCACCCATACACTGATATCAACCGGAATTGGCGAATCGCCTTGGGAGGAGATGGTCATCAGAATGCTGTTCCGCTTTATAGACATAGCTAGGGACCGTAAAATGTTCATGATAGTCTGATGTAGGCTAAGCAGATCGGCTAATTGCGTGTTGCCAGTCGTACTTGCTACTGCAAGCACTGCATCCGTACCCATTGCTCCATAGCGAGTAACCTCATCATGTTTGGGGACAATCTGTTCGTTGATCCACAGTGCTTTGCCCAGATCAACTATAGCTTGTTTTGCGTTTTCTGTGGAACTTTGTTGAGGTGACCGCGCCTCGGAGCTGGGAGGACGAGACCGTGCGTACGCCTCAAGCCGTTTCTTTCCACGCAGGAACCACCACACCGCAACCCTCGTCCACTCGGCAAGGGAGATGCCCACTGGATCCACACTTTCAGCCGACGCTTGAATTTGGTCTCTGAATTGTGTCAGGTACACTTTCAAATCTGCAAACGCAGTGTTCCCAATTTGATTGGCAATAGACCGCAATGATATTTTGGGGGGCTGAGGGTTGGGAGGGTTGGGATTCCGAGATGTGTCACGGCTCTCCCTCGTAGGCGGTGGGTTGGGACTCCGGGATGCGTCACGGCTCTCCCTCGTAGGCGGTGGGTTGGGACTCCGGGATGCGTCACGGCTCTCCCTACTAGGTGGGGGGTTAGGACTCCGGTTTGAGTCAAGGATGTCCCTGGCAGGCGGAGGGACAGGACTCCGGGAGGTATCACGGCTGTCCCGACTAGGTGGAGGATTGGGACTCCGGGGCACACCACAGGCGTCCCTAGTAGGCGGGGGGTTAGGACTCCGGGATGTGTCGCGGCTCTCCCTACTAGACGGACGGCTAGAACCGTCAGGCTGAGGACCATTGATGATAGGCAGGCCTTTTGGTGGAGAAAGGCTCTGGCTATATCCACCAGGCGAGAGAACCGGCGGAATGACGGGGGTTTCTGGCTCGGGACTGCGTCTGATTTGAGGCAGCGGGGGCCCTCGAAATGGATTTTCTGGCGGAATTGAATCTGTTTCGGAAATCGGAGGCGTCTCATACATCGAGCTGGGGCTATCGGGAACTTTCTCCACGGGAGTTTCAGCGCCCATGTCATCAGCAGGAGACGGAGGGTCCTGCATCCGATGGTGCAAAGCACGGCCCTCCTCGGCTTGCATCCTGTCCCGGATTCGTTGAGCGAATGAATTAGACTCGGGAGAGGCACGGAATGACAGGCGGGAGCCCTTATCACCTAAATTCAGCGTCATGAGGAAGTCAGCATCCTGGGAGCTTTGTAAAAGTAGCGGCTTCCAGTCTTCTGCATTCATTCCTTTTTGCGCGTTACTCTGCTGCCGGCTTCCCCGAGACGAGTGTCCATTGTTATCACCAAATGACGTATTGAGGTGCAGCTGAGGAAGCTTAGGCTCGGCGTGAGTAAGATCAACCCGCTCATCCGAGCCCTGGCTTTGCGCGCGATTGCGACATAACGAGATTTCCATCGTCGGCGTCTCGAGATCATCACCCCCTTCTCCGATTACGTCGGGTGTCCGATTAGAGAACTTCACTTTCAACCCTTTCCGACGGCTCTTGAAGGGAGGCTTCGTAAAGTCCACAGGAGGGGGCGCATGCGCATTGATGACATCCTGGGCAGATGGCCATCGATGACCGGGGTCCAGACGAGGAGGCGAATTCACGCTCCCTCCGTAGGTTACGGATTTAGAACGAGTAGGCCCGAGGAACGCCTCGATCTGCTGGTCTGTAGCTGTCGATCCCTTACTCCTCTTCTCTTTCGAGAACAGTTTCTCCCTCCAGTGTGGCTTCTTAGGCGCCTGTTTCTGCTCGCCAGCGGGCTCGCTAGCAATGAAGGCGAAAGGATCCTCTGTAGACATGACTGCCAATTTCAAAGTAGATTTGGTTTCTCAATCCGACGTGATCTGCTATATAGCATTGCAAGCTGCACAAGATAAGGTTGCGCAAAGATAGGCCGATGCCCGTCCGTGTGTATTCCCCGCCTAATAGATCTCGTAGATGTTTGTGCGCAGGTGGAGGATCGACAGGGGCTCCTCGAGACGGAGCTTTGAACGAATACGTAGTGTGGTGCGGTAAAGCCAGTCGGGGATACTAGCAGTCCACGCAAGATCAAAGCCTAGGATAGCGGGGGGCTCGGTAAGACAGGCAGGCGGCGGCCGGCGGGATGGGAGTCCCTTGGATCGGGAGCTGTTGAAGGCTGGGGGGTGGGAGTGAAGATGCGCGGTGGGGGGAGAGGAGGAGGAGCTGGCCGTTAATAAACTCCAGGGCCGGATAGTGCTCAAGGCGATTGTCTTAGTAGACCCGTTAGTCGTGGTGACGCTGGCGGGAGCGAGACGCGATTGCCTCCGTTGTCTGGAGTGGAGTCGGGGGACAAGCGATCTACCAACGCCAATTAAATGACCATTCAGGAACGGCGCTGCGACAAAGGGGGGAATAATCTGAGCAACCTTCAGGGGTTGAACAGAGAGGGAATAGGCTGGGAGGTAGATAACTAACCAAAATCCTGACTAGACGCCTGCGCAAGCGGGTTCGGCGCGACCACGAAGTATACCGTCGTCACTCACCACAGCGATGAGGGAATTAGACAGGAACGGGGGTGGCGGGGGAGAGAGACCACCGAGAAAGCTGTTCCAGCAGCTGGTTATGAGGACGAAAAAGAAGGAGAAGGTAGTGTTGGAGCTGACGCAGGGAAGCAAAGAAGAAAGAGAGAGAGAGAGAGAGAGAGAGAGAGAGGACGCAAAGGAAAGGGGGGGCAGCGAAGCCAAAGGATCACGACAAACAGAGAGGAAGCAGTGGACAATAAATGATGGTACGACCCCCGTGCTATTAAACAAACCCTCTCGCCGACCGAGGGACGCGGACGGGTAACGGAGTAAGTACCTCAGGCAGGCCAGGAGAGGATCTCCGCAGCGTGTCCACCGGTTGCGATTCTTCATCCACCACTTATGCCACCGTGTGTGTACGGCGGTTCTATCTAGTCTTGAATCCCGGCCAACGTGGTCGGTCTGTACCCGCGGTTGTTTCACAGAAGCTGGTTTCTGGTTTCTAGAATGTCCGTCGCAGGATGACGCCCATCAACACGGAGGGGGTCTCTTCTTCCAACCGTTGATCAATCAATCAATCAATCAATCATAGAATATCTGCCTCCTATCTCCCACGAACCCCCCCCCTTCCCCAATTGTCAATCACGTGGGGAAAGATCGGATGACCCCGAGTGTACTCCGTAGCTAGATTGATAATAGTATACCACATACAACATACAGGACTCGACTCGCTGCTAGGGCTAGCTATGGCCACCACGCGTCTACTACTAGTAATGGTAAAAGCTGAGAACATTCTTCTGCTCCGCCTGTCCTGTCCGGGCCCCTCCAAGCTTCATGGGGAGAATGTTCGAGGCGCGTACTCCGTACATACAATGCACATCGTACGTACATCCCATGCCACTGCTCGATGGGACTGCTATTATTATCAATTGACGCGCCTCCCAGGAATAGGATATCTACTAATAGTAAGACCGCAGCAGCAAGTTGAAACTGACGTGGTGGACTCGTGAGACGCAGTCGCAGATGAATCAAAGCGAATGGGAAGACAACCCCTGTTATCAGAGACACAGATCAATCTGTCCCGCGGCGCGTGATTGGAGCCCACCGCGCAGTGCGTTCCGTTGGCTGGCCCCGACGCCCTCATCTTGAAACCGCGCTATGCCCCCCCGGGATTGGCCCCGCGCCAGACTAGTCTTGTTCGGTGGGCCGCTGACGAGCCCCCGGCGAACCTTGCACGCTGCGTTTTTGGGGGATTTGACTAGGGGTATCGCCAACATCGACGCCGCTGAAGTAAGAGGTTATCCTATCTAGTCGCCAGGCTTCCGTCGGAGTTCTTGCCTTGCGTCTCGCTCAGTTCTCATATCGTACCAAATGGTTCGTTGGGGGCTGTCTTGCCCTGCGAAGATGCTCTATCCGGACTGGTTGTTGCCTGCATTGTTTGGCAGGCAGGCGTTGGAGGCGTACATAGCGACCATTGCCAAGCAACGCAAATGCCGCACACATCATCATTGTCTGTCAAAGGTACTAGATGGTTGGATAGTATGTGTCTTGGACACAGTAATGTGGAGGTACGGAGTAAGTACCACCTCAATGTCAGAATCTGTACTGTCCGCTGTTCACTATCCAGCTGTAGCAATAACTGCCTGATTCGGACCTCTCCTTCCCCATATCCTGCCACGGTCTGGAGGGTCGTGGTAGAGAAACCAATTCATTATTCAATTTACTCCATAAATGAGTCCTCGCAGGATCCTCCCCTGATCTCATTTCCCGTCAATCATGTCCCCCCGTTCGCTCGATATCGACCAGGGCACACTATCTCTAGTTAGTCCCTGGGGGTCCCTAGGCCGATCAAACCCCCGGCCAAACCCACTGCCGACGAATAAGACTTCGTGGCATGATCTGCCGCCGAAAACCATCGTTGAGTAGATAGTCCAGTACTCCGTACTACGAGTACTCCCTACTGTATACATGAGCTATGTGATATACTTGGAACGCCCGCGATATTAACAATAAGCGGCAACGACACCGTTTCCCCGACCGAGTGGACTCCTTGGCGCCCAAATCCCGCTGTCTTGCACCACTCAGTCCGGTGGGCGAGCGAGCATTCCTTAGTAGCAAGTAATCTAGCAACGAGTTCTGTGGGTTTGTCAATGGGCGACGGGGTTAACGAGCGAATTTCATTTGTCCGTGGTCGATGTCAATTGTCCTCGCGTCTCCACATTCAAGCATCCCTACGGAACGACATGGAAATCTCCGGGCAACAACATCAACAGCAAACAATAAGTAAATTATTGGGGACGATGACGAAAGTTGACGAGTACCTTACAGCCAGCCCACTAGATAGATAACTAGATACTATATAACTCGGGGAATTTCCTTTTTGCCCCCCCCCCCCCCCCTCCCCTGCCCTGCCCTGTCCTTCCTGAGAGCCCTCCAATCTCTCTCTGTCTCTGTGCTCCGCTGCTAATGAGGCGAGGCGCTAGACACCCGACGACAGCAATATGCGATTAAATGAAGAATGAGACCTGGCGTCCTTGGAAAGGACTTCTATCCGACGGAGGGCAGGGCAGGGCAGGGCAGGGGAGGGCCGGCCCCTCGGCTTTCCGCTTTGATCGAAGCCGGGCGACACCTTCGCATGCAAAGTCGACGTGCATAGCGAATGGTTGCACGGCAGGGAGCTGCCAGGGAGTTGCGAGTTGGAAGATCGCCTTATCCGCCAATCGGTGCCCTGACATCTTGATTCCCTAAATCTTGAGTAACAGAATAAGGTAGCAGGCTAAGGTGTTCGAATGCAACCTTACTGCATACGACCGTACGGGACGGAGTAGGTACAACTATTTAAATTAAAATTAACCAGATACCTATGAATTAAGGAGGCCATCCAAGGGAAACATAAAGCCATTCATTACTGCTGCTGCTGCTGCTGCTGCTGCTGCCGCTGCCGCTGCCGCTGGCCGTCCATAATTGATTGATGAGTGGATGGATGGATGGTGTTGGGTTCCTGGAGCTCGGCTGTCGACAGCAGCAAGTACGGAGTTTCCACACCGCTCCTTGAGTCATTGGACCTTCACTCCCCAAAATCTCGGATTATTAGGGGATGATTATTCTGAAGGGAAGGGGATAATTACCACTGGCGGGATACCTGCCCCCACATACCAATGCTCCCTTTCCAAGCCATCTCGGAGACAGACTCGAGGTAGCTGGCGGGCGAGATTCCCCTTCAAATGCCTCGAGGCTTACGGAGTATCTATCTAGTACCCTATCCTACCCTCCTTGACGTGGCTCCTCCCTGATGACCATGATCGTTCAATCTCACCGTTAGCTAGTGGTACGAAAGCTAGCCCCTCAAAAATGAGGCTAAGCTTTCCTGAACGTGCAGGCGGTGCTGGGAACCCCCCTCCCCTAGCAGTACGTAGTCAGTTTCCATGGGCTGCGAGTTTACCGCAACTGGCTAGGCAACTGTATTTCCCTTTTCCTTTGGACCCTTCAGCCTTCAGCCCCTTTAATCTGTCTACATTGAAGAAGCCCGACGGGACCATTCAGTCAGTGGTTGGAAAGGAGGACACAACATCCTCGATCCTTCTGTACGGTAGGCTCGACTTCCAGCCTTCCGGGCGTCGGGAGATGCAAGGACTGGTCGCGTGAGCCATCCAGCCCTCCACCACTCGGCCTATTAATATGCCGGATAACGTCGTAGGTCGTTTCATGATCGGATTCGCTGGGCATTGCGATCATGTTTTTTACATAATACTAAGGTCGGTTCTTCGGATCTGATCAATACGGAGTAGTTTTCACCCTGCTACTGCTAGTAATATATGTCTGCCTGGGGTTTCCCACGTTCTTCTACTGATACTAACCACCAAATACTCTACCATGTACCATGTACACCATCATGATGTACCAATAATGCCTTCTTCGAAAGAAGCTCTAATCAGGCAAGACCGAATAGCATCCAGGAAAGATAAGTACAGGCGTGAGACATGGCTGAGTCCTCATTTCTCATTTCAGGGTCCACACCTGTCATTATATAGATAGTATGGGGCTATGCCGTATCTACACTGTCTGTTCTTGGCTCACTTCACCCACATGGAAAGGGCTAGAAGGTCGGCCAGAGGGAGACCACGGCCCATTTGAGCCTCACAGAGGGCGAACCCGCCGCCCAAAGACCTCTGGTATCACCGTACAACGGGAGACGAACAGAACAATGTCCCAGGTCCATGGCAAGAGGACTCCGTATGTACTCCGTACTGTCGAAATCGTATGAGAAAGGCGGAGCCGCCAAATTGGGGGGGGAGGATGGGGGAATGTGAATTGGTGGTACATGCTTTCCTCTGAAGTTGGACGTGGCCGGTGGGTGACACAACGATGGGCCATGGGAAGAGTCCGGCTGCTGCCCGCCTGTCATATTCATTCAGCTGCCAGGAAATAATCATCATCAACCAACTTTCTTCCTTCACCTCGTATCTAAGCGTAAGCAAAGTGAGTTAGTTCCTCGGCAGTGAACACTATATAGTAGTAGTTCAGCTCCATGGATAATAATAAGAAGGCCTAACATCAAAGCGGTAATAATCAACAACAATAATGATCTGGGTGAGACAACCCCCCAAGTGTTTAGTCTGGGTCGGCTGGTGGCAGGACCAACCCGGTTTATACGGGAGTTCTGGAGCGGTTCTGGTGGTTCTGGTCGGTTAAGTGTGCGTCAGTCCACTGGAGGGGGTCTAGCGTTTCCAAGTTTAGAAGCCACCACCACCACCGCCCCAATCAAAGTGGACAAACATGGCGCAGTCAGCAACACCCCGACTCATCTCTGCCTGCCTGCCTGCCTGCCTGGGGGAACTCGAAGAGGGGGGGGAGTTTCGCATTCCAACCAACCTTCTTTTTTTCTCTCTTCCCTTTCCATCCCTCTTCCTTGTCATCAGCCGTAATAGCTAGATAGCATAGCACACACATCCTGCCAGCCCGAACTCTAACCCACCCATTCGTTCCCTCTCCACCTCCACCTCTGCCGGCCTTCCGTGTTTACACCCTCACTTTCCGATCCGGCAATCCCACTCCCCGCCGAACCTCCCCCCCGAAGTTATGGTGCGCATCCCCTACATCGCCTATCTGGGGGAGATCGAGGAGTAATCAACTCCTGTTCTCGGATTGCCCTTCAACAAGCCGCCCTGTCTGTACCCTTGCCAACTTTCTACCCTCTCCTCCCCGAATCCGTTACCATTCTCCTACCGACCGACCGACCGCCCGCCCGCCCGCTGAAATCTGACTGCGGAGGGTCGCATACGGAGAGCCTCATCAGGTACCTACGCTCCTCAGGCCGCGCGACCTTCGTCAGCACTGCTGCTTGCACAACGTGGATTGAATCGTCTACGAGGGGGCTGACCTCCCCGAGGAGGTCATCCCGTCCACACCATACGGCCAAAATGTGTGAAGGCCGCGACGCGAGATGGCTCCATAGTCCAGGACCGATGGGTGCCTCCCAACGACACGGAGCTGAGGGTTCAGGAGTCGGACGGGTCGCGTCGGCTGGCCGATCATCCCAGGACATCTTCCGGCGATCGCGACGGCGCAGAGATCGACGACCGTGGCTTGGTGGTGTTGGTTGGATGCTGCTGGTGCTGTTGATATCATGGATCCCGTCGACCTCCGCCGTGTTGCTGGATTTCGACAACTGCCTGAGTGCTGCTGTTGTCGCATCAAATCCGCGTCAGCTGCAGTTCGTTCCGCTGGACGTCTCGGTCATCTTCAACATGCAGAACTCCCTTTACCCCTTGAATATAACGGTCTATGGGAACGTCTCAGGAACGGCCAACGGCGAGACCGCGCCAGCCCCGAACGATCCCTCGTGGTCGAACCCGAACGATACTGTAGGCAAGATTGTCGACTTGGACGTCTCCAATGACAAATGGGCAACCCTCCTGTCTTATGTCAATGTCCTGAGCTTCTTACCTTACCATGATGCGTCGAGATTTTGCGACTCGGTCACTCAGGGGAGCTGTCCGTTAGGCCCCGTATTCTACGCCAACTCGTGAGCCTCCACTTGTTCCTGTATTCTTTCCCTGGCGCGTATTGGCTAATCGGAGTGTTCTCGCTGTCCTAGGAGTAACCTCTCTTCCTTACGCGCTTTCTCCATCGAGCACGACATGCTCTCTTCATACCACTTCTCCACCCTGTCATCAACACTCGTCATCAAATCCGGCGATGTCGCAGTTACGGAGCTTGGCTGTATCTCCGTCAATATCACCCCGGACCTTGGATCGTCCCTGAGGAACACTCTCGCCTTCCTCCCCCTGATTGTCCTTTTCCTAGTCGGGGTCGCCACTGTAACAGCGGCGATTTACAGCCCGTGGGGCACCACCGATCCTTTTCATTGGACTAGCAATTACGGTCGCGATGAGGATGTTCTCCGTCTTGTGACCCCTGGCTTTGGGGACTGCCTGCAGTACATACAGTTCGCGGTTTTGACGGGCGCTCTATCGTTGAATTACCCCGGCTACTATCAGCCCGTGGTGAGCCAGTTTGCGTGGTCGGTACTTATGTTCAACCAGAGTTTCATCAATCCCGGACATGAGCAAAACCCCGTCAAAGATGGCGTATATGCGGTCAATGCTACATATGGACTGGATAAATTGGACCAATATGTCGGCATGCCGTCGGCACGCGATATCTGGCCAGGCATGATGGTTTGGCTGCTTGCAATTGTGGCCGCCGTCACACTGATAATCCAGATAGGTTTCGGGCTGCGCTACCTCCATCGTAAGATCGCAAACAACCCGGAAGAGGACCTCCGTGCGAAGAATATGCCGTTTACGGTAGGAAACATCATCCGGATTGTCTTCAATTATCTACTTCTACCACTTATCTCCATATCTTTCTTCCAGCTGGTGATAGCGGGCGAATCTCCGGCATATTCTGTTGCCCTAGCAGTCGTGGTCATAGTGATACTGGTCTGCTTTTCTCTCTGGACAGTCCGGCTGATTGCAAACGCCCGTCCAAAGTCATACCTCTTTGACGATCTTTCCACCGTGCTCTTGTATGGCCCGCTTTACAACACCTTCTGCGACGACGCAGCTGCATTCGCTTTGGTTCCAATCTTCCTGACGTTCGTCCGGGGTATTGCCATCGGCGCGCTGCAGCCATCCGGCATTGCTCAAATCGTACTTCTGGCTATCTGCGAGGTGGTCTCTGTTTTAACGCTGGTCGCCTTCAAACCGTTTGCGTCGCCGACTTCCATGAACCTCTACCATACGTGCTTCTCCATCGTTCGATTCCTCACGATTCTGCTAAGTGTGGTTTTTGTGCCCTCTTTAGGAATCTCGCAGGCTGCTCGAGGTTGGATCGGCTATATCATCCTTTTCCTGCATGCGCTAGTCATGGTTTTCGGCTTCTTCCTGAATGCTCTACAGACTCTGATCGAAGTCATTGCACGACTCGCAGGTGCTGGAGGCAACGCCGGTGGGGTTACCCGTGGTGGCCTGGTCAAGGTTTTCGGCATGCGGCAACTATCCCGGCGTGTGCCCCGACAAAGCGTTGGCACTCGGCAAAGCATGGGCTCTGAGGCTGCGATGCTCGGACACACAGATGAGCGGTTATCATCTCAGTTCGACGGATCACGACCTCGGAGTCTTTCCGGGAGCTCCGCCATGCTCTTGAATCGAGCAGGTGCAAGTGAAGGTAGAGGCAGTGCGTTTTTCGACACTGGAAGTGCGCACGGGGGATCGCACAGCCGCGCCAACAGCAGTGGGTTCTTCACACCATCGACACCGGGTGGCTTTACCGCTGCAGGATATCAAACCCCCGGTAGCAACTCTCCTAAGAGTGGTCCGGTCTTTGCCATGCATCCGCATGACCCTTATTACCGACCCCCTAGACCTCGCAAGAAGGGTGCGGAGATCGGTGCTTCCGGAGAGAAGGGCAGAGGAGCGTCTCGCCACACGCAGAGAGCACCAAGCTATGGCGATGGCGATGACGATATCATCGAGGGACCTTCCATTTCGGGCAGAGGTACACCTATTCCTGCATATATCCCAGCGCCAAAGGACGACCTCGATCTGGACGACCCCCGGCAATCCAGGAAGGATTATGCGGTCCGTGAAGTCGACTTCTACTACCGCGTGCGCGGCCCTCCCCTCTCACAGTCGGGCACTCGCAAGTTGAAGACGGGCCCGGCTGATCCTACGGGCCCGGTCTCGTCTGCCACGGGCTTCTTCCGGAACTTGTTCCGAGGAAAGACCAAAGAAAACGGCAAGGGCTTCGAGGTGGTGCGCAGCGCCAGGGCCCCACCACCTGGTCTGTTCCCGGAAGCGGAGGAGTTCCATGACCAACAAGAACCCTACCGGGACGAGCCCGATGAGCAAGGTGCTGCCACACATAGCCGTGAACCTTCGGAGACGGATGTCCAGTACCGCGATTCCGACGGGGAGAGCCGTGGGCGAACTGCCGCGACGCACACCAGTCTGCCGAAACTCCAGACAGGCGGGGACATCGAGCTCCCGAGTCGCGTGGGGTCTCAGCATAGCTCCCCATCGCCTTGCACAGCTGGACCTCTAGGTCCCCTGGCCCCAGATGAGCAGGATCTGGGGCAAAAGTCTATTCCTACGGTGACGGAGACCGTCGTCGGAGAACCGGCCGAGCCTGAACAGCGTGAAGAACCGTCTGTCTTTTCTCCCGGCCAACTCCATCCCTCGGGGTCGGTCACGAGCCGGTTACCATTCAGTGCCATGAGCTCACCCTCGCGGGATCGCAATTTCTCCATCGCCTCCACTACCGCCTCCACGACCTCCAGCCGTCGGCAGAGAGCTGATGGGGCCGCTCGCGTGGAACGGCCGTCCAGCATGGGGTATGTTGCGCAATACCGCACTCGGGACAATATCCACGAGGCCAGCCCGGACGAGCCCACGTTTGCGGGCAGCGCGGCGGAACTGGTGGATGACGAGGTGCACCACGCCGACGGGGAGCATTGAAGCCAAGGCAGTGGATGGCGATGACGAATTTCCTTTTGCTTTCGGAGTCCTCCCCCCCCCCCCCAAAAGAGATTTTTCCGGGCCGGAGTTTGTTGATATATGGGTTTGGATTTCCGTTACATATGCAGCCCGATTCCGCCGCAGTCTGCTGGCCAGCGTGCCTTCATTTTTATCTCGCCTTTTCATTCTTGTCTAATTCATTCATCTTGTGTCCTTACCCACCACTGTGCCCATCATCATCCTCTTTGGCTCTTGCGTGGTGCCGCGGTGACAGTCCCCGCTGTTCCGACGGCACGGCCTTCTTATTCTTATTATCAGCAATCCCAGCGTCGCATTTTGTATAGGTTGGGGGTTTCTTTTCATGTATGCAATCTTCGGCAATAGGGTTATTTAACTATAGTGAACGGAACGGACCTCTGGGGGTGGGAAAGGGGGTTAGGACGGTGTAATAATGGTGAAATACTATCCATCTCAATTATTTATTGCACATTCACTGGCACCTCCCAGGACCCAGTATACGTGCAGATTGGCACCAACTTAATTACGGAGGACTAGATCGATAGAATCCATGACGGGGGGGTGGTTTCGGCTTCGGCTCATCGGGAAGAAGATATAAACCGCCGCCCGAGTCGGGAGATCAGCCCATCGCCGCGGACCCCTCGGTCGCCTGATGGATCGATCTATTTTGGTGCCTGGAACCAAACTTCCCCATTTCCAGCGCATCTCCTGAAACCTCCGGTCCGATTCTTGTCATCGGTCGCAGTCTTGTGGGTGCCATGTCTACTGTGCGTGATTGTATCATCCCTCGTCCCTCGTCGTGTTTGCCCCGCGGCGAATCCTCGGGTGGCTGGAGTTCGCGAGTGTGAGACTGAAACCGAACACGCCCTCGGCCTCCCTGGAGCCCCCCTTTTCGGACTCCTAGCAGCTGAAGTGCGAGAGGGTCGATTGAGCGAGGGGTGAGAGAGAACGAGAGAGAGAGGGGGGGGGAGAGGGAGAGGGAGGGACAGACCGAAGAGAGCCGCGGGGTTTGTTGTGTTGGTGTTGTCACGAGACCCCCCTCCGACGCCCAAAGCCTGTGTTATCTCTCCTCCCATTTAGTGCCTCGTTCCCTCCTCTCTCATCATCATCTTCTTCTTTTCCTCCCCCCTCCACCCTTTGTTGCTGGGAGAAATTTCCCCCCGACACCTGTGGTCTCCCCCGGGTTTCCCTCCTCGTGTCTACTCGATTTCTCCCTCAGTGAAACGTTGCGCCCCCCATCTTGTCTGCCTGTTTGCCCTCGTCGCCCTCCCATCCTGGCATCGTCGCGCCACCCAGTCAATGACGGCCCGTCGTCCAAACGGCGGAGAGTAGTCTCCTCTGCAGCGTCCGGCCGACTGCCAGCACCGCCGCCCTTCTACTCTGCGCCGGTCCCCTACCCCAGGTTCATGTCGTCGTTGTCGAGTTCAGCCTCCGCTTCCTCCGCTTCTGCTGCCTCTCCCTCCGCCTCCTCGGCCACCGCCGCCGCCGCCTTTTCCGTCCCACCGCCTCCTCCTGCTGGCTTCAGGCCTCATGCGAGTTCGGAACATTTACGCACAAGTGAGGCCGGTCCTGCACTAGACAGACGCTCAGAGAGACGACGATCCACTCTCAGCGGGTCGGATCGTAAGCGTCGGATAATCAATCTGGAAGGCGATGCTTGGTCGAGGCGTGCTGCTCCCGATCCACTGACGGAACCCGGCCCGAGCAGTACCAGCGGAGGAAGAAGACGACGAGGAGAAGAGATGGATAGCAGGTCTATGCCCAGGTTCTCGTTCCAGCCGCGACCGGAGTCGACTTCTGTTACGCCCGGCTCTTCCTACGCCTCCGCCATCGACTTGTCGTCCTCACCGCCGGATTCCCGCCGCCAGGGGACAAACGACCACCGCCACGCCTCGCGGGCGCCTACAGCGGGCGATTACGTGGAGTATGTCCGGCCCCAATGGCAGCCCGACGCGGAGGTCGCCAAATGTCCCATCTGCGGCGCGGCCTTCAGCTTCTTCTACCGTAAGCACCACTGCCGCAAATGTGGCCGAGTGGTGTGTTCGTCGTGTTCGCCCCATCGAATCACCATCCCCCGACAGTTCATCGTGCACGACCCCAGCCGCTCTCATGCATCCTCGATCATCATCCCCCCGGCCGCCCCCGTCATTGACCTAGAAGGCGATGGCTTGGTCCAATCGCCGACGGCACTCAACCCTGCCCTGGGCGGCGGGGAGGAGGTGCGGCTTTGCAACCCCTGTGTGCCAGATCCTAACCCTGAGCCGCCCCGCGGGTTCGCGACTGTTCGGGCGCCTGGGGAACCCGAATCTGGCCCAGACGCAGGGCAGGGGGCTTACCCTTTCCCGACTAATCAACCCCGACATCGCTCTTATCATTCACTGTCGTCTTATTCACTGTCCAGCGCTAGACAGAATCCGTACAGTGGAGTCCTTGTGAGTATTCTAGAACCCCTCCCCCATCCCTCCAACAGCGTGGAGACTCTCCGACGCTAACAAGAATCTGATCGATCGCAGCCCGATAATTTCACCTCTCAACCGGGTCGGCGGACAGTCGGGTCGTCGAACGAGTACACGTCTTTTGGCGGGTTTGGGGGAGCCTTCAATCCTCAATTTCAAGAGCGACCCGTGGAGTACGGGTCATTCTCGATGTCCGGATCCCGCTTTCCTCCGACGGGCTCCTCAACTCGACCTCCCCCGTATCCCGCCGGTGGGAGTGCCAGCTCGTTGCCGGTGGGGTCGTCGAGCATGCGTACCCCGGCCCATCGGGCAGCGCAATGGCGGGGCCCCCAGGTAGCGGAGCAGGATCTCTGTCCCATATGCGACCAGGAACTCCCGGCTCTGGGAGCAAACGGGAGCGAAGATGCCCGGGAGGCGCACATCCGAGGATGTATCGAGAGCCATGGCCGACAGGGGCGTGTGTCCGTGTCCCCGCAGAGCGGCAGCCCCGTGGCACAGCCGCCCCTCCCGGTCCGACTGGTGGTGTTCACGGCCACGGAGAAGGACTGCATTGGGCAGGATGGCGGACTGCAGGAGTGTACCATCTGCATGGAGGAGTATGAGGTCGGCCAGGCGTTGGTGCGGCTCGAGTGCCTCTGCAAGTTCCATAAACGATGCATAGTGGAGTGGTTTGAGCGGAAGAAAGAGTGTCCGGTGCATAAGGTGTCATAACGGCGGGGTGTGGCATGTTGATATTCCCCGATCTTATCTCACCCGTCATCTGGGATGTGGATCTGTTGCGGCTGGCTCTCCGCCTTGTCTCCTGGGGCCCTTTTCAGCTCTGCGCGGCAAAATGTTCTATTTCCTTCTTTCTTTTTTATTTGAGCCGGTCTGGTGATTTGCTGATTCTGAATTCCTGGGGTTGCGGGAGTCCTGGATCTGATCTGATGTTTTGCTGTCAGCCGGAGCGGGGCAGAGGGGAGATAAAATCTGGCGCTCGAGTGGATTTCTGTCATTTAAGTAGAGCGATTACTGTGTCAAATAGCAATTGGAATCCTGGCAGTGATCAGATGGAGTTACATGCAGGTGTTGAAGGGGGAGGATCGTGAGCATACGTAACCCATGTCTAGCCCGTGGGTGCCTAGTAGGAGTGGCAGCAGTCGAGTAGAACATCCCAGGATAGTCTCGGGGATCCTCCGCGGAGGGAACTTCTCTCTTCGGGCCCGAGGGAGCTCCAGGGGGGTTCTGACTAGCCCGGGAGAGGATTGAATCCCCTGAGAGGGGCTCGGGGCTATTCTTATCACCAAGTCTGTCACCAACAGAGATACTATGTAACTTCTCAGGGCTGGAGAAACCGGCCAGCAGATTGGGCGACGTTATTGGCCGCCCCTCCACTTGAGGCTCCTTCGTTCTTCCTGACTCGCACTTGGACTCTGACTCTTTCACTCATCCACTCTCTCATTCTCTCACCCTCTCACCCTCTTTTCGCCCTCCTCTGCATCTGGTCCATCATCTGTTTGTTATCCATCATCCATCGAATGATGATATTAGCTACGAGGTAGTTACAGGATTGATTATTCCGCAACCGTCATCCGACGCCCGACCACCGCCCGCCTGAGGCCACCGCGTCGGCCCTTCGGCCCCCGACCGTCCGGATCTCCGACCAGCGCGACTGTCCGACTGTCCAGCCTCACGTCCGTCTGTCTCCTCTTCTCCCGGCCACCGCCCCTCCCCCCCAGTTAGGGTAAGCTTGACACTGTTTCTGTCGTTACTCTTACTGCTCGGATAGTGGCTTCTACCCCCGTCTGGGTTAATAGTTCCATCGTTCCACAGCCATGACGACCACGCTGACATGACATGCCATGACATGCTCTCCAGTCCCCGCAATGGAGATCGATCCACGCCTGCGTGCTGGCGGTGACGACGGGCCTGCCGACGCCTCCGACTATCATCTTTCCTCCCCCGCCTCTAGACTCCCCGATCCCTCCGCCGCCCCGTCTGCAAGTGCACCCACCACCACCACCACCCCTACCCCTTCCTCCTCGCATTTCTCCCCCGCCGACCACCTGCGTTCCTCCGCGAGTGGGCCCAGCTACTTCCGTCCCTCCGCCCCTCAGTCCCAATCCCAATCCCACTCGCAATCTATATACCCCGAGCCCGACCCGGCCCTCGGCACCACCGCCCGACAGGACTCCGTCGACGTCGACCCCAACGATCCTTACGCTGAGCTAAGACGCCCCCGCGCCTGCGAGGCCTGCAGACAACTTAAAGTCCGCTGTGAGCCGGATCTCACCCATCCCAATGGAACCTGCAAGCGCTGCGCCAAGGCCGGGAGGAACTGCGTCGTCACCCTCCCGACCCGCAAGCGCCAGAAGAAGACGGACAGTCGCGTCGCGGAGCTGGAACGGAAGATAGATGCCCTGACGGCGAGTCTGCAGGCGTCTCATGGTCAGGAGTCCTTGCCGTCGCTGGGGACTCTCAACCCTCCGCGCGAAGAGCCTATCGCCCGGCGCTGGCTTGGGCCGACAACGCATGCCAGCGTAAATGTGAGCGCACCGGTGCCGCTGAAGTCGCCTTCTTGTAGTACAGCGGGGAGCAAACGACGGCACAGTGGTGAGGTCAAGGAGTCGGTTCCGGCGTCGTCTGGTACTTCGAGCCCGAGCGAAGGGCAGGCACTGTACACCAAGGCTATCAAACAATGGCGTGCCATGGGATATGGCACGGACCAAGGACCGAAGGAGGGTGAGAATTCGGAGGATGTGATTGATAGAGGGCTGGTGAGCGCTTCGTTGGCCGCGGAGGCATTCACCAGGTACACCGAACATATGGCAACCCTGATCCCTCTGGTGGTATTCCCACCCGGAACGACCATGAACGACGTGCGACAGAAGAAGCCGGTGCTCTTCCATGCGATCATTGCTTGTGCGATCGGCACAATCCAGCCGGAGCTGCAGATTCCTCTGCTGAACGACTTCTACAAGATCATCGCCGAGCGGATCGTCGTCAAGGGCGAAAAGTCCCTCGATCTGGTCCAGGCAGTGATTGTCTGCTGCAATTGGTACTCGCCCCCGGATAACTTCGAGGAGGTGAAATTCAACCAGTTGGCACATATCGCCGTCACCGTGGCGATGGATCTGGGCCTCTATCGGAAGATGATCCCCAAGGTCAAGCCGTTCAGCCTGGTCAAGGAGTTGATCTCCAAGAAATCGTCGATCGTATTGGACTTGGACTCCGTGGAGGCGCGGAGAACGTGGTTGGCGTGCTATTTCCTTGCTGTACAGTAGGTCTCCGTTATCAGAATGATTGACTGCTTGCTAATGCGTCCCAGGGTTGCTGTCTCGTTGAGGCGCGTGAATCTCGTCCGTTGGCTCCCATACATGGACGAGTGCGTGGATATCCTGGAAAAGTCACCGGATGCCTTGCCGTCCGACAAGGCGCTGATCCAGTGGGCCAAGTTGACGCAGATCATAGAGGAGACATCCGTCCAGTTCAACAGCGACGAGGCTCCCTCGATTTCCTCCTTCTCTGACCCCAAGTTCCTCTACACACTCAAAGTCCTGGAGAAGCAGCTCGAGCAATGGAAGCGGGAGACTCCGCCGGACCTCTACTCTTGTTCGTTCTCCTCTCTTCTACCCTCCCGTATAACGCAAACTAACAACCCGCAGCCATAATGAAGCAAGCCCACTGCATCGTCGATCTCTTCCTCCACGAGAACGCCATGCACGTCGATTTCAACAAGGTCGATCCCAAGTCCGCCAAAGACGACCTCACCAGTCCCCTCAGTGCCGCGCACATCAATGCCCTGAGCTCCTGTCTCTCCGCCATCCACGACGCCTTGGACGTCCTGTGCTCCATCGACCCCAAAGAGCTCGTCAACGCTCCCACCATTGCCCTCGCCCGCACCTCTTTCGCTGTCGTCGCTCTCATCAAGATCTACTCTATCGTCTCCACCCCGGATACCCGCATGGGACAGGTCATGGAACCTGCCAGTCTGAAGACTGAATATTACCTCGATAAGGTCATTCGTCATTATACAAAGGCTGGCGAGTTGCCTGGTGGTCGCACCGCCGCGAAATTCAGTGTTGTTCTGACGATGCTTCGTAATTGGTTCATGAAACGGAAGGATCAGGGTCCCGCGTTGAAGGATGCTCTTTCTATCTATAAGGAGACTTGTGATGAAAGGATCCAGGTTAGTCATCTCATCCCTGACATTCCTCTGCTTCCTACCCTATCTCATACCCCGTCTCATGCCCCATCATATCCCAAACTAACTCTCTCCAGAAACCCCCCAACCCGGCCAAACTCCCCTCCACCTCCTCAGCGAAGTCGCCATGGACCCCAACACCGCTCCGGCCAACAACAATCACACCAACAGCAGCAACAACAGCAACAATCCCTCACCACCACAACCTCCACTCCACTCACCACCTCCCACCCCCCTCCTACACCCCGGAACAGCAATCCCAGCCGCAACAACATCATCAACAACAACCCCCTACGACCCCTCCCCCACCCCCAACCAACAACCACCCCACCAACAAACCCACCCGACCCCTCCACCACCACCACAACCTCCAACACCGAACCCTGGGTCCCCTACCCCCGCCAATTCTACCCTCCAGCCCCCTTCACCACCCCCACCTATCAAGACCTCCCCGCCTTCTCTGACCCCGATCCCAGCGCCAACGGCCTCGTCCTCCCTGACGGTCCCATCCAGGGCTTCTTTGTCCCTGAACTGGGAGTGCAGATGGGCTTCGATCCGGAGAATCTGCTGGCGCTGGGGAATATGCTTGGGGATGGGATTCTTAATTTGCCGTTTCAGGCGGATGGGGGGATGGGGTTTTATTGATTTGAACTGATCAGTTGAGGTCGGTTGAATTGAGTTGCTTGGCTTGGTTTGGTTGAGCTGGGTTGGCTTGATTACTTGGACAGGGTATAGAATATACCATGTGGAGTCAATGGTTCGATTGATGGATTGATGGATAGCTGGGTTGGTGAAAACCTATTGCATAGTGTATAATGTATGTGGACGTGGATGGCTATCCATCTACTGAGTATACATACGCGTACATACTATTAACTGTCTGTTAGTTATTATATGATATCCCTACTCTTGTTGATATTCATTTATATCTTTTGGTTTTCATGTCTTCTCCTTCTTGTATATTATCGTATAGCATTGGGGGATGAATTAGATGGACAGATGGAACAAATGGAACAGATGGATAGATAGATGACTAGATAGATAGATGGGTTGAATGGATGGTGGGAGATTGGGAGAGGAAGACGAACCTGAGGCCCCGACCTTAGTACTTTAGCTGCCCTGCCCTGGCCAAGCTAACGGCGGCTGGCTGGACAGTCACGTGCCATACATACCTCCCACCTAAACAAGGCCCCCTTTTCGGTGTTGATAGTACATACTATTTATTAGGTATATTGACTGTTCAAGGCTGAAGTGGGAATCAGGGGACTAGAGATTGTCATTTTCATTATTAGGCCAAGTCTTGTACTTTAATAAACGGTGAGACAAGACAAGGCGCTAACTAACTACTGCACTGCTGCGGTGGATATGGGATGAACAGGCTGGATGTGGACACCGTCCAACAATGTTCACTTTTACTTTGAGTTTGATGAGGTGTCACTGTTGCTATTATTGCTTTTTACTGGACATACCATGGCACTAGATAGTGGTCTTTGTTATTGGGTCAAGGCGGTATGGAATAGTGAGACATTACTGTAGATACGGAGTTTCTATATTGCAACCAGTCTGGATGTGAACATCGTCCAAGAATGTTTACTTTCAGGTTGGTGAGGTACCAAGGCTCATATTATTTTTCTATGGTAATGAATCGTAACAAGTAGATTCGTGGATCTTCGTTCATTATACACTTTCGTTCGCGAACACGTCAAGACAAAGACAGGAGAAGGGTTCGTTACTCGTTTCTGATGTTCGTTTCATCTAAATTGAATCCGTTGGTCATAACTCTCCCGAAGCGAGGCTGTAAAGGCCGCGGAAGTATGAAGCAGACGGACTTGCCCGCGGGTAAAAAGTCTGACTAGACCCCACAGACCACTTGGAGTCTTTAGAGCCTTGGAGCCTCGGACCCAGGCCCACAGGCGAGAGGGCCTGCAGATTCTGCACTCTGCACTCTGCAGTCCCACATAGTACGATAAGGTGCGAGAGGAACGCCAGTTCTCGATTGGGCTGAAACCCTTGGCAGGAGTGGCTGCCGTTGCTGATCGCGGGCCAGGTCATTTAAGCAGCGTGCTCCACTGACGATCAGCTTCGTAATGAGCCAGATCCTCAAATACCCGGCCGGCGACTTTTGCGGGATGACGTTGTGCAATATAAAAGGATAAAGTCATTGCCGGTAGTCAGGGTTTCTTGGAGGTTGACTCGCGTTGGGAGGGTCGCTATCTTGCCGTCAAGCCCCAGTCCTGGCTTAGCTTCTGAACCACGAATGCCCACGGCCATCCATTCTCACCCTCCGTTCGTCGGAGCAGGTCCAGCAGACATGTCTGAGCCAGTGGGTCACGGATCCAAGAGCCACCTACACCAGCTATCAGTTGGGGTAAGAAACAAAGTCCGAAAATAACTCACAGGCACACAGTGCATGGCAGGCCATGATGCGCAACGGCGTTTCATCATCCACCGACAGCGCGATGCCAAAGAGGATGTCTAGGCTCCGCATAATATTACCCTAATCAATTAGCTTCACCCTAAGCGTATCTTCTGCTGGTAACAGACCTCAATTGTCCGCATGTCCTGCCGTGCCCGCGGAGACGAGTACAAGGCTCTCATCTCGTGCTGGAGGACCAGAGCCTTCGCCATGCAAATGTGCTGTACAGCCGTAGCTGGGGAGCATTAATACCTGCGTAACCTGGTTTAGAGCTGTACGTACCTTGAAGGGGCTTGGTGAACCAAACCACAGGAAATGGTCTCCCGATTCTTGGATCTGCGGTCGAGTAATGCAACGGCCGGAAGCTGTCCGGTTTTTCTATTTCCCACTGACGAATCCTCCGTTTCAGGGCTACCATGTCGATCACCTCTATATGAAGCGACTGGTTTACCCCGTAGCAGTGATTGATGGTTTCCGCAAGAAGCCAGATGGCTCGATGCGTCCAGTCTCGCTCTGTCTGTGTCTGTGTCGGTTTATGCTCCCATAGGTGATACAGCTTCTCTGCAAACGGCCTCAGCGTCAAGCGCAGAGGTTTCTGATAAGCCAATGCGAGCTGGATGTCTTGCATGACAAACACCCAAAAGGATGCCTCAGCAAGCCCGCCCAAAGTCGCGCATTCGACTTGAGAGCTGATGTATACTGAGCCGGCTAAGAGGTGCCGCTGGAGGTCATTCGACGGGCTATGGGCTGTAAACGAGATTAGTGATAGTCTGGAGCGAGCTTCCAATGACATACAGGAAATTTGCTCAAAGAATCGTAGTATGACGGTTGATGCAAGAAGAATATCAATGCCGATTTCCACCTCTCTGTTCTCCAGGACGGGCAGAAGTATCCCGATGCATCGTTCATGGTATTCGTCCGCGGTATTTGGTGGGACGGTATGGTTTGTGTGGGAAAGGTGACGAGCTGCTGTCGCCAAACATGCGTACAATAGGAGGGGGTTTTCGGGCGCTCGTTCAACCACATCAACCGAAAAATGCCTTTCGTGATCGCAAATATCCAGCTGTTCCACATAATTAATTAGCCATACTACAACCATAATATAGCCGAAGGACGGAGTATCGTACCCATGGGCCAAGCATTTTCCGGAAGTGTCGAAGAAGGAAAGCCTCGTTAAGCCTTTTCACCTTCTGTGAATCGCCAAAATCATCAAATGCGAAAACCAGATCGCCGGGAGCAGGACGCGGAGAAGGAATTGTTCGTGGGGGGGCGGCGTCCTTCAGGGTAGACACCAGCTGCGACACCGGTTGCGCTGCCAAGGAGGAGGACGAAGGCCGACTTGCTGGTGCTTTTGTAGCGAAGAGTGGTGAGGCGCCCACCGGAACGATGTGATATTCTGCTGCTGTACGGTCCGTCTCATCCTCAAACGCAACTGCAATGCAGGGATTAGCGAGTAGCGCGATCGTTCAAGGCAGTTTGACCAACCTTGGACAGGCATCTCAACCCACACCTGGTCAGCCGGAAATACAAGGTCGCTCTCTCCGTATCGGGGAGGCCCGTTGGGCCGCAGCGACGGGTTCTGGCCGTGTCGGAAAGTGACCTCCTCCGTCTTCGAAGGTGCCGGAACACATTGTCGACCTGATCGCTGGCATCGCAAGCACGAGGATCCGGTCCTATCACCTAGGATCGACTATTAGGGCCTGTGGACAAAAAACCGCTGCTTTCGGTCGGCAGGAAAAGGTTTGGGAACGAGTTACATTTGAGATGGCGTTGGCGGCAGGTAAGGCTGGATTTTAAACATCTGCATTAGCATACGCGAACTAGGTGGTAAGGCGTCTGAGACCAGCAGGACCGGAGGTGTGTGCAAACGCAGTCATCACTTACCATCCCCTCATAACGTTATGCTCCAGTCGGTCCTCGGCAGGCAACAGCAATAGCCATGGAGCAGCAAGGGTATCCACGGCAGACACGGCCTTAAGGAGTGGGTGGTAAAGGAAGGAAGAGGAGCCGACGAACAGCCCAGACTACTTCCTGGGCTGCAGCTAAGGGCGACCGCCTCAGTGACGGTGATTATGATGGGCAGAACAAGGTCGAACGGTCAAATGGCCAACGGATGATGGTTCATGCAGAGCGGAGTCGGCATAATGGCCATGGGCCGCCAGGCAAATAAGGATGGAGGGGCGAGGAAAGAAAACAGGAGCCCTATACAGAAGGAGACAGAACGGCCGAGGCGATCTCTCTTTAGCGTGAACACCAAAGTCGACGTTGCGAGTCCCTCGAGTTTCAGCCTTCAGGGGCCCAAACGAGGCTAAAAAACCATATTGCGCGTGCGGCCAGGCGACGGTCCGGAACAGCACGGCCGTTTCAAGCCCCCTCTCCTTGGGACACGATGGAAAATGAGATTTGAATTCTGCGCAAATGCGAGAAAATGAAGTCGTCTCAATTGTCGCTGTTCTTCGGGGACGAGGCAGCGCATGGTGACTGACACATCGGCCTCTGATCACTGCCCAAAGCAGATAATCCTCGCGGGCTAAAAGGGAAGTCCACAGGGCCGGAACGTTTCGGTTGGAGCTAGTCTCGTGAGGAGCAACTCGGCATTTTTAATTGCACCTTTTGTCAGGAGTCCCATCATGTAGATAATCTGCAATCCTCAGTTACAGGCGAACCGGGGGAAGGCGGCCCGCGGCTTGATGGGATGGGCTTTATCGTTGCGACTTGCGAGGCCTCATCTTCAGGTCCCCGGGGATCGTGCCGACCATCCATCCCATCCGCCAGACCCCCTTGGGGCCCTGGGTCATGCGCATCCGACCGGGCTGCTAGCTGCGTTAGTTGATCCCCTGTATACATGGACATCGGCCTTGGAGGTCCATTCGACAGAAGCTCACAGCGGAATTCCCCCCAATCCCTGCTAGTTGTGGGCCTAGATTGTGACTGGCGGTGTCATTGGCGGGGACGCCGAAGCTGCCGGTTGAACCTGCCCACACTCCTCAGCGCAGGCGGATCGACGATTATTCCCCTTTCCCACGGGCAGTCACGGACGGTGAGCCCACTTTCCGACCAGTGGCTGTTTAGTCTTTTGGGTTTTCGCATGGTCAGGGTGAGGGGTCCGCTGCCCCAGCCTCCCGGTGGTCCGTGAATGGAGATTGGAGTAAGTATATCGCCCACTGCCAATCAGGGCAGCCAGGCCACTATGGCCGAGTCGCTATTTGTCACCGAACAGCCTGTGCTTGCGTAAGTTGACACCGCGCATGGCAATGGTGGCTGTTCTTCAACCTCTCCAGTCTCGACCCTCTCGTTCTGTCCTGACCGCAGGACGTCCTTCCCTCACTCACACCAATGGGCAAGCGAGAAAGCATTTGAGATAGCCGCAAGCCAAGGGAGAGGGAGAGGCCAGCGCAGGGAACGAACAGCCTAAAGGTTTGGATCGGGGTGTAGATCATGGAGCTACGAGAGCCAATTGACAAGTGACAAGTGATGTAGACCTGGAGAAATAAGAATCGGGGGATTCTGCTGCCTGGATGCGTCTGATGGGAGGAATGGAGGGATGGAGGAAGGAGGGATCAGGTTAGACAAGCGCCACGAAGTCAAGTGGGAGGAGTGAGAATGACCCCCAAGACGAGGAGATCAACCAGTCAAACAAGCAAACAGGCAAACAAGTCAGCTGCTGTTGCCGTTACTGCTGCTGCTGCTGCTGCCAAAAGCAGCAGGCGCGGGGAAGCCCGGTCAGGTGATGCTCGGCCCCCAACTGCGCCCACTAAAATCCCCTCCTCCACCGTCAAAACCAAGGCCCTCCTTGCTAATCTTGCCAATCTTGCGAACTTGCTATCCTTCCCTTCCTAACAACCCAACCCCCCCCCCCCCCCCGGATTTCCAGCATCAAGCTTCAATTGATCTTTCTCGGCAGATTTACCATTCTTCCCAATCGGTTTGCCACCGCCAGCCATCGGACCAAACCCTCCTGAAGCTCCTGAAGCTTGTCTGTCCCCCCCCCCCTCTCTGATCCTCTGATCGACGGGCCGAAACCGAAAACGGGTCGACTCCACCGTGAACCAGACATCCGCCGTTGCTTGTTGCGCCCTGCAATCCCGGCACACCATCCTCATTATCTCTCATATCTATATAATTGTATCAACAGGGTAAAGCTTGTGGCCGAAGAGAAGCGTGGTGGAGGGGAAAGTGATCGAGGTACGGGCGGGAGTCGCATTCCTCGGTGGGACCGTGAGAGACATAGACATGGCTAACCCTCCCCGTGCGCTCGCCTTCCTAGGATGTCCCTCAATCGCGTCTCGTACCTAGAGTCATGGGAGCAAAACCCGGCTGCATTCCGTCGCCAGCAGCGCCCCGAGGACTCCGACGGTGAAGATAGCTACCATGACCTGCCGGAAACCTCGCTCGCCTCCTCGTTCCAGTCGAATCTCAGCCACCATTCCTTCAGACAGCGCCTGAACTTCAACCCATATGCGGGGCCAGGCTGGAGCCAAACACTCGCAGACGACCCCGACAGGCATCCTCTCCTCCGGGATGCCTCGCCCAGGCGGACCCAGGCGGACTTGGGAACGGATGGTGAACCGCCGCAGGAAGAACATGTCACGCTGAAAGTGCAAGCCTATGATGGCCCAGAGACGACAGGAGCATTCGAGGTCGGCCACACAAAGCGAATCTGTACGTTGCTCCAGTAGGGCAGGCGCTTCTATTTTACCAGAGGCGTCGTTTCGTTGGGTCTGTTTCTGATATCCGTCAAGTGCAGGTGTGTATCGCCGTCATGTATTGCTTATTTGCCGCTGGAATAATCTTCGGGTTTGCTGCCATTAAGCCCGTCCTGATCAAAGAAGGCGTCTATCGCAGCGAGTGCTCGCAGGACGAGCTCGATGGCGGCTCAGATGTTTGCTACGGACAGGAGCTCCGGTATATTCCGTCCTGAAGATGTCATGAGCAGATAGATAGCTGACCCGCTGCAGCCTGAATCTCATGTTCACGATAGCCGCTGTCGTTACCAACGTGTCCGCTCTGCCTGTAGGAACAATACTAGACGCCTACGGCCCGCAAGTGTGCGGGATCATTGGCAGTGTCTCTTTGGCCGTGGGGACCCTCCTGTTCGGGCTGGCTCCCAAAGTCTCATTCGACGCCTACCTGCCAGGTTACGTTTTCGTTGCCCTCGGAGGACCCTTCATCTTCATTTCGTCATTCCACCTGTCTAACGCCTTCCCCACACGGTCAGGTCTGATTCTATCTATGTTGACTGGGGCATTTGACGCCTCCAGCGCTCTCTTCCTTATATTCCGCCTCTTATATGAGAACACCGGCGGCGCCTTCACCCCATCTCGATTCTTTTTGGCCTATCTTGTCGTCCCGATCGTTATCCTAGCTGCCCAGCTAACCGTCATGCCCACGACATCGTACAAAACGGCTGGCGAGCTTGTGCAAGAAGCGCAAATACACCGCGCCGCCGAGGCAACCGACCAAATCGACCAGGCCATCAATGACCGCGGAGAAGGCGAACGGCAGCGAAACGACCGCCGTCTCCACCGACAAACCGTCATCAACCAAATCGAGGACCTGCTCTCTGCCCCCGAGCAGCATTATGCTCCGCTGGAACCCGTGCCAGCCGAGTCCAAAAACCCCCACACATCTGGTGGTGTCTGGGGTGCCCTGCACGGCATCTCCGCCCTGCGACAAATCCGCACCCCGTGGTTTGTCCTGATCATGCTTTTCACGGTCCTCCAAATGCTCCGAATCAACTACTTCGTCGCGACCATTCGTCAGCAGTACACCTACCTTCTGCACTCCCCGGCTCTCGCCCAAACCATGAACTCCGCGTTCGACATCCTCCTCCCACTGGGCGGCCTGGCCTCGGTCCCCTTCATCGGCGTCATCCTCGACAACGCCAGAACGCCTGCCGTCCTGAGCACCCTCGTCGTGACCGCCACTCTCATCGGCATTCTCGGCTGCATCCCCAACACCGTCGCCGGCTACGCCAACATCGTCTGCTTCGTCGTGTACCGTCCCTTCTACTACACCGCAGTCTCGGACTACGCCTCCAAAGTCTTCGGCTTCCAGACCTTCGGCAAAGTCTATGGCCTGGTCATCTGCCTCGCTGGACTGGGAAACTTCGCTCAGGCCGGTCTCGACACCCTCACATTCCGCGTCTTCCACCGCGACCCCGTCCCCGTCAACGCCTTACTGACAGTAACCACGTTTCTCGTCGGCGTGATTCTGGTAACATACGTCACCTGGCAAGCGAACCGGATGGCCATCTTGAAGGCAGAAGAGATAGGCACTGACCCCGCGCCCTTGGAAAACGGACTCAGTGTCCCGGCTATGCACGATGGCGTCGATTCCCGAGACTGGGGCCTGGAGAGGGATAGAGAGCGGGAGCCGCTTATTCGCCCAATCGGCGGCGGGGATCCGTCCTCGTATGGAACCTCGGGGCCTTAGAAGAGGGCCAGGCATTCAGTTGGATATCCACTCACAGTCACATTCATCCCGCTTCTCCTCCCCTATTCATACTCGATACTCGATACTCAGCATTCGAAACTCGACATCCCACAGTCCAATCGATTACATGTAGATAGTATAGTATAGTATCGTATAGCCTAGCGCTTTCTTCTCTCTCTGATTTGTTTGTCTTGTTTGTCTCAGGTAGTCTGTTGTTGTACAGAGTACCTAGAGAACTTATTTTTACTTTTCTCTAGTACACTCACCCTGTCACGATGAACAAGACTTTTCTTTCTCCCCTCTTCTCTTCTCGCTATTTCTTTTTTTACTGTTATATATAGGAACCGATATTTTTACACAATCATGCAACATGAACAAAAGGAAAACAGTCCAATTTCATTATATTAGGTCCCCAGCTGGCTCTGGCTCTAGCGCTAGCGCTAGCTTTGGGTATTGCTTGTTTGCTTGCTTGCTTGGTTATATACGTACAGGTCTAACTAATATACTATACTGACTAATCGGTTGTGGAATAGTGATTGGTGGGTAGCAAATCGCGGGTTTGGTTTGGCGTCGTGCCATACCATACCATACCACCGCATCACACTGCTGGGTGCTACGTCCTTGATCGAAGACAAAAAGGGTAGGTAGGGGTTGTCGTGAGTTCGTAAGTCGTGACGTATTGAAGAGGGGAGTGAGATGGGGAAGGGGAGGGGGATTATGGATTATGTGGGGGAGTGTGGTAGGTGGGTGGTATGGTTGGTGGATAGGAGGTAGAGAGACGTCTGAAGGTAGATGAGTAGGTGGGTAGGATGGAAGGTGAGTAGAAGGTAGGTAGATAGGCGGATGGACAGGAAGAAGATAGGTAGAGGTGGAGGTGGAGGTGGAAGTGAAAAGTAGAAGGTAAGAGGTAGAAAAGAAGGATATATGGCTGTGCCACACATCATGAAAAGATCACGATGGTGGCGTAAGTTCTTCCATTTTCACGAACGAGTGCTTCGCCTCTTGCCATAGCTCGCGACCGGCTTTGTCGCAGGCTCGGTCATACCAGAGCATCAGGCCGAGCAGTTTGCGGGCGTCATCCCACGTGCCGATGCCGTGGCTGGCGGCCGCTTGGCTGATGATCTGGACAAACCAGGACCGCTCGGGCTGGTCGTCTGCCGCAATGCCGCCGAGGATGAGGACCCAGAAGAGGACGATGCGGGCTTGCGGGTGGTTCCAGGTCGTAGCGACGTCGGAGAGCTGGACGACGTTTTGGATGAGTTTGGCGAGTTGCGCGAGGGGCGTGCTCTGCGCGGGGAGGGGGAAGACGACGCCCACGCCAAAGATGAGAGCGGCGATGCGGCAGGCCTCGTAGATGACCTCGTGCGGTTGATAGGCTGCGAAGCCGTCCAGTTGGCTGGCGGAGGGTATCGAGAGGAGGGTGTAGTGGACAAGGTTGCGCTGGTCGGAAAGCAGGGAGTAATCAGGGTTCACGACGTGGGTGCGTAGGTGGTTTTCGACGATGTTGGTGTAGAGGTGCATCGCGTAGATGACCTCCACTAGCTCCGGGGTAAGTCCGATGTCGCGCAGCGGGCCGTGTCGGCGATCAACGTCGACAGGAGTGTACCCGAGGAGTTCTTGTAGGTGGATGCCTCTTCGTTCCTGGCGGAGGGACATGAAGGGGAACACCGGTGGCATCAGGAATGTACTGCATGTCACGATATCGGAACTGGACGGCGATATGTCAGCATTCAAGTGCTCTAGCAGCCGTCAGGGAACCGGATGGCTTGGCTTACAAGGACAGGGTCGCGGCGAGACCAGGCAGGCTCAGATTCTGGAGACCGCCTCGCAGACGCACCATTTGGACCAGGCCTTTGATGTGGACGAGGTTCGGCGGCAGACCTCCGTATATATCGAGCCACTGCAAACGCTGCAGGGGCGCATCAAACGGGGTGGTCTGATGGACTGCCCGGCCATGATCCTCCGCCACATTATGCGCCATACAGATCACACTCAGAATCACAGCGTCGCACACCGCTCGAGTGGGGTCACTGACTTCCCGAGTGACGTTTTGAATGGTTTCCATCTCGCAGATCTGGAGGATCCGCTGCTCTTCCGGTTTGAATTGGTCTCGCCCAATCCAGCCATTCACCCACCGGAGGCGCTTGTGAGACAGCGAGCCAAATACGAAGGCCGTGAACAAGGTACGATCCTTCAACGCGAGCGGCAGCCAGTTGGAGCTCGAGGGTGACGTCTCTTGTCCTGGTGAGACCGGAGTCAGGCCGGGCCATAATACCCGGAGACCTACAGACCCAGACAGGTTAGTCGATAACCGCATGGGAGGGGGCGGGGCAGTACGAACAGTATTCCTCCGTATCCGAAACCTCCTTTTGGAAATAACTCAATGGATTCTGACAAAAGGGGTCTACCACCTGACAGCTGAAGTTTTCAATGTATCCCGAATAGCCTGGTGTCATGCGATCAGGTGGACTGGCGTGGCGGTCTGGGTTTTGGGTGCGTGTCGGCTCGGCTTGCTCGTCCGGGCTTCCATCGAGGCTCTGCTCCCGGGAGGCCCAGGAGGGCGCGGGGGACATGTTCATTCCATCCGAATCGATCGGCTGGGGAAAGTCCAGTCTCTTGGAAGCAGCTCGTCGACGCAAGGGAATCTGCTCCAGAGGGACGGGGGGTACTGATTGGCCGGAGTCGGAGTGTGTTGCGGATGCGGGTGGGCTGCGCGGGGGCGAGGGGGAGTTCAGAAGGAGCGCTGGGGGGGTTGGACAGAATGTGGAGGAAGGAGAGAGATTCGGCGGAGTCAAATGCAGGCGCTCCCTGCGCGGACCTGAACGCGGCATCGGCGAACGACTGGCGGAGGAGTCGCGGCGCGCCTGACCGTCCGGCAAGCCCTCCGCGGGCGACCGTTCCTTGGTCTGATCGGAGATCCATCTCCCCACGTGGGCGCGGACCAGACGCTGGATTGAGTCCTTTTCATTTTTCGACGACGGGCGCGCATTGACAAAGATGGCATCGCCCTTTCGGCCCGCAGCCACGGTGTTTGTAGACATTTCCATTTCTTCTTGTTCGACCCGCAAGGGTCATGGTATTGCCCCTCAGGAGCACAGGATTTGACAGGAATAGGAGTGCAGCGCAGAAGCCAATGGCAGCATCCTGTTCTGGAAAGCTGGAATAGGGCAGGACGGGGACCGGGACAAGGGGGGGCGATGGCGACGGAGCGGCGTAGAGAGAGGAGGGAGGGAGGGAGGGAGATGGTGAGTTCAGCGAGGGAAAGGACGGCGAGGAGCGGAGGGGAGGGTCATTTCATCACTTGGAATGAAGCGATGAGATGGTGAGTCAATGACAATTGCGACGAGGAGAATTGGGGGGGGAAGAGGAAAGAGGGAAGAGGGAGGGAATGAGTGGAGAAGAGGAGAAGAGAAGAGCGAAGAAGAGGGAGCCCAGAAGGCGGCCGCGGTCGAATCAAATACGCTGGCGGCGCGGATCGTCGCTTTGGTGCCGCCAAAAGCCAAAAACCCCCCCCAGCGACGCTTTCAGGCTTTGCTTTGCTTTCTTTTCTTTCTTTGTTGCTCCATCAATTCATGGTCATGGTCCGTCCCATGCAGATCCCTTCATTCCGTCCGTCCTGGATCCATCAATCAAACTACAAACCCTAAACAAGCAAGCAAGCAAGCAAGCAAGCAATTGATCAATCTGATCAAACAAGCCAGCCACTCCTCTCACCCCCCTCCCCTCCCCTCCCCTCCCCTCGCCTCGTTCTCGGTCACTCTCCGCCTTGCCACGATCTCCCTCGTTGCTCTTCCTGGGCATTTCTTTTTCGCCCGCTGCAATCCATCAAACTTCCAATGGCTGTTGCTTCCTTTTTCCTGTCCCTGTCATCGGGGCCCGTCACTGCATTGGCCCCGACCAGCCCGTGGATCCGCCAGCTGAGCCGGCGGTCGATGCGGGGAACGCCCAGACAGTCCCCAAAAAAATAAGGCTTCTGCTCGACCTTCGGACCAAGAATCAGTCCTGCGGCAGTCAGAATGACAGGTCACTCCCGTCTCGTTGATCCTCTCTCTCTCTCTCTCTTTCGCAATCAACCATCCAGGGGCCGGATCCGCTCATGCAGTCGATCTAGCACCCACCTAGTAAACCGATGAATGTACGATGTTCGGCTCCGGCGAGATGGTCAAAAGTACGAACGAACTACGGACCGACGCCCGGGCGGAGATGCCCCGACCGAGATATACCCTATCTACTTCCTGCCTTTTGCCTAGGCTCATAACCTAGTGACTAGCTCGTGCGCGACGCTGTCACTTCAAGGTTTACTCCTTTGTTCGCCTCCTGTGTCGGTTATTGGTAGCTTTGTATCACAACATCCGTCGGAAGTTGGCGTCCAGCGTTCCTGGGCTATCACATGTATGGCCAGTCGCCTGGCTCGGCCGTTCCGCACCAGGGCTTATGTCCCTGTCCAGAGGCTCATCGGTTAAGGTTGAAACAGCTACCACCGGCGCTATCTCGGACCCAGGTCGCGACCAGTCAGGGAGGTACGGTAACTCCGACGTGCTACGCGAGTGCCATGGGTTGAGGTGCCTTCGAGACATATCTAGAACACGGGACACGGGATGCAATTAATTAACGCTCTTTGAGTGGTGACTCAGTCTAGCTCAATCAACGGGTATTTTCCTCCCTCGCCAGTTACCGGGTCCCGATACTGTTCCAACGCGTCTTCGACCGCTGCCATGTACCCGAGCACCTTCTCTTCCTGCCATCTCCGCCCCACCACCTGGACCGCCGTGGGGAGTCCCGCCATCTTCGTCGCGTTGTAGTGCATCCACGCGCCCTTGGCGATCGCGTTGTTGGCCCCGAGCTGCTTCAGCACCGTCTTGTATGGACCGGAAAGCGCGTCTTTCTTGGCGTCCACGTGAGACACTGGCAGCACACCCGCCACGTAGTCCAGAAGATTCCAGAGGAACGTGTACCCGCATGACGAGACAGCGTCGTGCATGGCCTTGTGCGGGAGAGCCGGGGTAGCGTTGACGGGGCACAGGATGAAGTCGTACTGCTGCGGCTCGGCATCCCACCAGCTGTGCCAGGTAGCCCGGAAGGTTTCGCGCCTCGCGGTGAGTCGCCAGAGCTCAGCCGCCGACTTGGGTCCAAAGCCGCGGATGAGGGTTGCCCACTTCGCATCCCGTCGGATGTACCGAACCCAGAGGTAGTAGAGGTAGCGGAGAGGACTCGGGAGATTGCAGATCCGCGTGAGTTGATCTGCGCCGGGGTCGGAGGGCTCGAAGCTGTGCAGGTGGGAGTTAAAGGTGACGCAGCCGTCGGAGTTGAGGAGCTGGGAAGCCAGGTCGAGGCCAGTGAAGGGGTCGGCTGTGGCGGGCGGCGTGATTTCCGAGACGGTATGTCCGGCAGCGGTGAGAGCAGCAACCGTGGTGGAGAGCGCGCGTTCAATTGCCGGGGTTGGGGGGACCACGCCTGGAGGGATTAGAAATATTCGACAGCACCAAATCTCACCCTCCGTAGCACTCACCATCATTGCTGAAGACGCCGATTCTCAGCGTCTTGTGCTTGGCCTCGACCTCCTCGTCTTCCCGCCACGAGATCGGATGGACGGTGTGGTCGTAGTTCCACGGCTTCATACCGACAATGGCCTTGGTGAAGTACGTGAGGTCGTTCAAAGTGCGAGCCATCGGGCTGAACACACTAGCAACACCCTCTTGGCCAGCCATGCTAGTATTGACACCAACCTTGGGCCAGCGACCGGTGCTGCAGCGCAGGGAGTAGATACCGCTCCACGCAGCAGGCACACGAACCGAGCCAGCAACATCGGACCCAATACCAATGCGACCTCCGAGGGCCAGGAGCGCACCTTCACCACCGGTTGAGCCACCCGGAGAGTATTCCGGAACATGTGGGTTGCGGCAATGGCCCCAGAGAGCATTTGCCGACTCGAACGAGAGAAGTGTCACAGGCAGCGCGGTCTTCGCATATGGGACAGCGCCTAGGAATGTTAGATGTCCCTCGTATGCGGATGAGGGAAACACTCACCAGCGTCCTTGAGTAATCTGGCCATGGGACCGTCCTCCGCGTACGGCTTGCAGGCGAGTTTGGTATACCCCAGCGTAATGTCGAATCCCTTGATCTGCACGGAGTCTTTCAGGGAGATAGGCACACCCGCCAGGGGACCCTGGAGGTTGACCTCAGACTCCGCCCACGATTCTGCCTCGGGAAGGAGGAGCTCCGTCACGCAGTTGGTCTTCTCGTGTGCCTTGACGGCGACTTTACCGTAAGTGCGGAGAACATCGAGGGGGGCTAGCGAGTCATTCTGGACCTCGTATACCAGCTCCTGGATTGGCATATCAATGATAGTCTTGTCTACAGCGGAGAAGGCCGCATGGTATTCCGGAGCAAGGGAAGCGAATCGGGCCGCCCGTTCGCTTCTTTTGAGGTCCCTATGTTTGTCGGTCAGCAATCACACGAACCGAGCGGAGCTAAGGACTGGTACTGCAGTACTGATAGCTCCGTCAAGGCGCATTGGGGGGCCTCTGCGTACCGGATGCGACGGTATGTGAAGTAGTCGAATGGAGGGAACATGGTGATGGCAGGGAGAGAGCTCCAAAAGCAAGAGAAACGTCCGCGACCAGGAAGATACGGGCGTGAAAGCAGGGGCGAGCGCGCCTTTTATTGCGGGGGAGGATGACACGTGCGGAGAAGCCCGATTAGCCCGACCCGCTGATAAGCGTCGCTGATGTGCGCCTGCCTGATTTGGCCGCTGTCCGTTGTCCTCAGTCCGCGCAGCCCCAGCACTGATGAGGAGCACTATGCCCGTCCATCATGTCCGCTCCATGTGCTGGCATGCTTGGATGCATGTAATATCCAGAGACTGTACAGCTATCCTCAGAAAGCCCCCGTCGAAGAGCTCTCCAGGGTACAATCCCCCTGCGGCACGTGACCGATAAGAGTGCCGGCAGCCGGCGCTGGCATTACCTGATTGGGCAGGTCCATGCGGTGACCAGTCAGCAGCTTCACCGCGAGCGGATCAAGGGCGGCCTTATCTTGGTTCCGCGACTGGCCTACTTGCTGGATCAAGTCTCTTTTCTACAGACCGAACTCTTCAACCCTTTCAAATGATGGTGAACAAACCCTTGTGCGGAGGGAGGGTATGGCTATAACCCCTTTGGCTAATCCAGAACTGAACCAGAAATATTATGTATTAGACTCAACAACTACTACATGTCGACGCCTGGGTGGAACCAGGAACACGCTGGGTATTGGTGATAGTCAACGTGAACGCCATGAAGAAAATGAAGCTGTACGGACGAGGCCGGCTCGTCTGCATCCAGCTCAGACGCATATCCACGGGGTTTCCTGTCTATCCACATGCCAGGTTTCGGTACCCACATCCCATCCGACTGATGTTTTCGAGTCCAGGGTAGGGGCTAATGACGATTTTCTCCTGTTATTGCAGCACGGTGTGATCGTGGTCTTCTCGTTCTCGACGATATCGCCGTCTGGATCCAGCCTTGCGGGTCAGCAGTCATTCGAGTATTGGTCGGGTTACAGCAACAACGGCACCTACCGCTATGCCGGTGTGGCAGTCGGCTCTATAACGGTCGTCTTTGGTTTCTCCTGGAGCCAGTTGCGGGACTTGAGCCATAGAATGACCACGACGATCCCGGCACAGATAAGCACAATGATGAGGAAGATCAGGAAGCCGTAGAGGAGCGTTCGCTTTCTCTTTTGCCGTTGTTTCTTGATCCAGTTGTTCCTATATCGATCCGTGGTCAGCGAAAGGGGGGGCCTCTTGTGATGGCTACTGCAATTCCAGCAGATCAGATATCAGGGCCAAGGCTGCACGTACGACCAGAGATGAGCGTCCTTGTGTTCGTCAGAACCCTTCGCCTCTTCGTCGAGATGAATGGCGAGGGAGAAGCGTCGCCAGAACGCCGGGTCCCGGACAAGAGCCATTCTCACTTATTTACTGGTAGCGAGACATGGAGGATGGTATCGTATGTGCAGTGAGTGAAGGGCTTGGGGGTATTGTACGGGTGATGCTCGACCGGGAGCACAGGTAGTATACCACGATGGTTTGTATAACTGGCTGGGGTCAGGGAATGGCTAGTCCGTCCTGATGGTCAAGAGACGAGGAGACAAGAGAAGGGAAGGACACAGTGAAATGGGCGTAGAAAGACCGACGACGACCAAACTCGCAAGTATATGGACCTGGGTCGTCGAGCACCACCGCAGCGGGAAAAGGAAATGAGGGTTTCCGTTGAGGCAGGCGCACAGGGTAAAACGACAGACGAGAGGGAAAGAAGAAGGAGAAGTCAGGAGGCGCGAGCGATGACATTATTGTTCAACCCGAGCAGCAGCTGCGGGCGCTGGTTGTTACAACGGCAGCAATGTGGTTGTATCCCGGCCGGATTCCTGTTGCTGAGGAATGACTGAGGCCGACCATGGGCCCGTGCGGATTCCGGCAGCCCGCCAATCAGCAGCTTCGGAATCTGACAAGCGGAGCCGTCTGTCCAATCAGGGCCCCGCAGTAGCTCCATGGTTCGATCCCGTAAGGTACGCGTCATGCCGGCTGTTTGGATCTGGCCAGGAACATCAGTATACAAATAAACAATCTGGGGGGTCGGAGGCATAGTTGGGAAGAAGGAGGTATGTGCTTTGGGTTCAAGCCATCGATTGCTGCGTTGCGTTGCTGACCGGCCTGCCTAGAGCCTGAGGTTTGTTGGCTTGGCGGTCAGGTAGAAGAAGGTCGTATTGAAGCACTTCTCTGCCCTACGTAGACAAGGTACTAACTAGGTCGTTAGTTAGCACTCCATACTCCGTACTTATCTGGCAAAGCGTATCCTGTCGGTAGCCTGCACCTGTCACCAATGTGCCGTACCTGCAGGATCAGTCCACAATTACTACCTCCATAGATAGTTGATACGTAGTGATCTGGGGAAATATATATATATATATATATAAAATAGGAGGGATTGTGTAGGTATAATATAATGGATTGGTTTAAGGATTTCCATACTAGTAGTAGTATGCTATCTGTAGTGCAGTACTACTCGGGCTGCTGGTGTGGGTGAACCTAGCAGACCCGACCAATACTTAATTATATATACATCCATCCACTAGTTAGTTGTACTCACCATCACCACTACAACTCCCCTCCCCACACACCTCACCACATCAAACCTACAACAAGATCACGACAACATGATTTACGAACCTCGCCCATTTGAATAATCATAATCAGCTGCCACCGTCACTCCCGAAACCTACCATCGGGTCACACCACCGGCCCTCTCCCGAGAGTCACCTGCGGGGCAGTCACGGCCTCGCGGTCGGCCAGCCCCCAAAGCGGCCTCGTGCAGGCCTCCCCTTGAATCTCCCTCGACCTTCCCTGGACCTTCCCTCAACTTCCCTCCACTTTCCCTCGCATCCAGCGCCAAACTCCTCCGCCCCCCTGATGATTCGCCCGATGCCCTTGCGTGCAGATGAGGCGGATTGAGTTGTCTATCTTGCCAGCAAACTACTTCCTTTGGGCTCCCCCGCAGTGGAGCTACGCAGATGGGTGCCTGACCGCCAGCCGTTGCCTTGTCCTTGACTGGTCATCGAGTGGCCAGGCTGATCGCAAGGTGCAGCACGCAGCAAGCAGCACCCCAAACCCCCCCCCCTCCCAAGTCCCCATCCAGCCTTCCAGCCTTGCTTCTCCGATTCATCTTTCTTCAACTTCAGTCCCCCTCCCAGCTCCATCGATGCAACGGCCATTGTCGCTGTTGTGAAATGCCCCGTGCCGTCGGCCCCATTCTAGCCCGGCCATGTTTTCCGCCCATGAGGAGGGCCCGAGTTTCTGGGGAGTGTTGATCAATGCCGACAAGAGCCCTGCCCCATTGCTGGAGCAGCTCTGCTTGGAGATCGCGCACATCATAGTAAGTCGGTGACGGTATAGCTCCGAAAAAAAAAGTAAATTTGGCGCTTATCCTGAGTCTTGTCCTCCAAAGGCGTCGTTTGATGATTACGGCACCAACGACCTGACCCCCGAACGGTTGGCCGCGTTTTATCGCAAGGTCGGCGGGAACTACGATGTCCTTTTCCTCCAAACCAAACCCTCCGCCCTGTCCTTCATCTACCAGCGCCTCGGCTGCTTCCACAGCATTCAACCAACCTCAGACCCCTACAAGCCTCCCGCCATCCCCGCGTTACAACCCAACGGCTTCGTGCGATGGCAAACCATCCAGCTGCTTCTCGACCCGGACGAGCATTGTCGCTACCTCCAAAATGCGGTCGAATTATGGGATATTGAGAATCCCAACGGGGGAGTCTTCCCCAAGATGATCCCCCGGGAAGCCTTTCCGGACATACCGGATCTAGAAATGATGGAATGGCATGAAGAGGTTAGCCGGCGGTTCGAGCTGGACTATGTGAAGCGAAACATCCTACGAGCTTCCCCACCAAATTTTGGCACCTATCATTATCACTTTAATCACAAAGACGTCCCCTCTCCCAAGGAGGAGAAGACCGCTACTCCCCGCCGTCGAACAACCGCACACCGCGCCCATATGGTTCCGGAGGAACCAGATCCTCACACTCGGCACCGGCGTCGTCGAAGCGCTGAATTTACACCGTCGATCTCTCGTCGCGTTCCGTCCACCCATTTCTCCCATCCTCCAGACTTCGAGGAACCCCATCGAGCGCCGTCGCCGCCAATGTGGGCCAAACCCGTACCCAAGGCGAGGGGTCGCGACCGCGTTCCGTCATTTGCCCGCCCAGTAAGCCCTGGCAGCTTTCCGGGGCACAGTGCATCCGACGCATCATCCGAAGACTCCAGCGGAGCACCGCGCGAGACATCCCCCACTACAGACCGACATGGCCGCCATCTGTATCCTTCCACGCCCCAATCGCACGGTCGCCGGCATTCGCACGAAGCATATGCGAGAAAGCCCGAGCGCGAATTCTCCCCGGAGAACCCACGACGGTACGCTCACCGAGATGCATACAACCCCAGCTCAGCCAGACCGTACGACTCCGACGGTGCACGCCGTGCACGGTCATCGAGGTTCTACGCCGATGAGCCAGTCCACCCCCGAAACCCCGGTCCCAGCTACCGCGAGCACGCCTTTAGCGACCCGTCCACCGTCCCGATCAACCCCGAAGTCCCTGTATATACGCACGTACACCCTCGCTACATGAACATGAACAATGGCTACGTCGTCCGCCCGCCTCCAGACATCGAGATGTGTGGAGTAGACGACAACCGCCGGAGTTACAGACCTGCTCCTCCTTCCAACCCCACGGGGTTTGGCAATCCCACAACCATGCCCGAACGCACGCCATACCCAAGTGGGGGGTACCGATCCCAAAGATGGGCCAATCCAGTCCAGTCATCCCCTGTGCGGGGAATCCCCGTAGGCATGCCGGACATGGAATATCCGTTACGAACTCGAAGGCCAACAACCATGTATGACCGGTGAAAGAAATTAACTGCCATTTTATCATCACCTAACGCGTATCATACCCTGACTATGACTATGAACATGAACATGACCTTGACCATGACCATGAACTAATGATGACCACCAATTTACGGCCGCTTCCCGGTTCCCTCTCTTCTCTTCTCCCCTTGCAGCATTTTATTATTTTTTTTCTTATATTATCCTACCTATTTATGAACTGCACAGTACAGTACACGTGCATTGATGACGAACGACAGTAAGGACATGTGACCTGATGGATGGAGCGATGGATGCATGATATGATCGATCTTCAGTAGCTAGGCGTTAACATGGGTGGCCTTTTCTTTTTTCACGATATACCTACCTAGTTAGTGGGACGTCTCAATATCATACATAACATAACAAGAATTCTTGTGAGAATAGATGATCTTCTTTTCATTTCCATGACTATTTCCGGAGTAGATGTTTGTATCCTTTCCCATTTTGGTGGCCGAGGGGAATTTTCTAGCTACGACTACTAGAGCGAGTAACGTGACTGACTGTCAGCGGGATGGTAAGACACGGACACAGACAGATACTATACAGATACAGATACTGGCCGGTTGTCACTGGCGGAATTGATGGGATGAGACTCGACTCGACTTGACTCAACTATGCGTACTTCAAAATGAGACTACCACGGGTCTACTTATCTACCAGGCATTCGCCCTACATACAATCTCTCTAAAATAGCACAGACTGATCACTTCACTAACTTCCCATCCATCCATCCATCAAACCCACAAGTAAACTGTCTATCCACCCATCCTACAAGAACGCAGGTATCTACTTACAACTCAGAATAACTCAATAAACCCGCTCTCTGGAAGGTAAACCCAAAGTCCTCAAAAACCCTACACATCTCCGTACTCCCCGGATCGGACCCCACTGAGGGCGGGTAGCTCAATACATTCACAGTCGCACTCGCATTCTTCTGGCCTTCACGCAACTCCTCCAACGCATACCCTCCACCGAAGACCTCATACGTCGACGCATACGCGGGACCACGGATCTTCAACATCAGAGGATCGGGGTTCGGATCTCCGGTGCGGAAAAACGATCCGAAGATATCGTTTAGGAGACGGGAGTGCAGCACGTCTTGGACGTTGTAGTAGGGGGCAACGTTCTGAGTCTTGCTGTTGAGGGTGCCCCAGGCGAGGAGCACGTCGGAGGTGTGGCAGGTTGCGTTGTAGTCCTGGTTTGGGGAGCAGATGGCCGGTACGGAGACGTTAGTTTGGATGTGGCCGTGGGGGGTGGAAAAGGCCCAGAGGCGCGGGAGAGTTTGGTGGGCAAGGGCCTGGTGGAGGAGGTAGGATTGGGGACAGGTCCATTCGCTGTATGTGAGGGCGGAGCCGATGAGGTTGCGGATTGTGTCGGGGTCGGTGGGGATTAGGGGGAAGGCTTTGGATGCGAGGAGGGATTCGGCGAGGGAGGCTGGGTAGGCGATGTCGTAGATTAGGGAGAGGGCGGAGACGGTGGCATTGACGGGCGAGGTGATGTATTCGTCCACGTAGAGGGCCGCTTCGTCGGTGACGGTTGTGAAGATGGTGGGGACGCGGTTGGGGAGGGTGTTGTTCGATAGGAGACGGTAGAATTGATCGTCAATGACACCGCTGTTTGTGTCGTCGACGATGGGCATTAGAGGCTCGATCGAGGCGAGGAGATCGCTGGTGTGGAGGTAGGAGGTTGCGATGGTTGCGGAGGAGGCGGTCATCGCGGATTCAAACTCGGTGGTGTTGTCGAGGTAGTATGTGGCGGGGACGGAGCGGAGACAGGAGAGGAGGGCTGTTTCAGAGGTTGTGTCATTGCAGCCGACGGCACTGGCGACGTTGGGGGTTACGATCTTGGAATAGACGTCGCGGGTGAACCAGGGAAGGTCGACCGGGGCGGATTGCACGATAGCGCCCGAGAAGAGACCATGGGCTGCGCTGGAGGACAGGAGGGCGATGACGCTCTGGCCGCCGGCGGATTGACCGAAGATGGTGATGCGCTGTGGATCTCCACCGAATGCCGCGATGTGTTCGTTGACCCATTTCAGGGCCAGGATTTGGTCGCGTGTGCCGTAGTTACCCGTGGTGAGATTAGCGGTTGTTAGCCATCCGAGGGCGCCGACGCGGTAGTTGATGGTCACGACGACGACGTCGTTGCGGCTGGCGAAGTTTCCTCCATCGTAGTCGATCATGGATGAGGTGCCGCTGGTGAAGCCGCCACCATAGAAGTAGACAGCAACGGGTTTGCGTGTGGACTTGATGTCAGATTGGGCTGACAGGATTGGAGTATAAACGTTTAGGTAGAGGCAGTCCTCGGAGATACCACCGTTGTCAAGGGTCCCAAAGCTGGATACTGACTGGATGCATGAATCGGCCAGTCTGGTGGCGTCGAGCCTCCTGGAGCCCGAGTAAGGGCGCGGTGGTGCGAACCGTAGGTCCCTCACCGGCGGATCTGCGAAGGGAATACCCAGGAAGCGGAACGAGCGGGCATCACGATAGCCAGTCATGTGGTATCCGTCGAACGTAATCGAGATTTTGGATGTGTTCACGGCAGTTCGGTCTCCGTCGGTGGTGGGAGGGACGCTGGATGTGCAGATGGCGGGCAGTTCTCGGTCACAGGGCACCGAAATCAGTTGTTTGCGACTTTGAGAGTATGCCTGGCAGTCATCATGGGGAGCTTTGGCAACCCACAAGGTATCATCGCTCTGTAGATCGTTTGCGTAGACGAGGTAGTCAAGCTGGTACGCCAACTCGGTGGCATTGGCCCGGGGTACGTTCTGCAGCGGGTAGAGGGACTCCCCGATGGCAGCACACCGGGATTGGGCGTTGGAGTGCACGAGTCGATCGTAAAGCAACACAGCAGCTGTGCCATTGTTTGCTGATCCCAGGTCGTTGTACTTCAGAGCCTGGAGAGTGCCCAAAGAAGCAATGCTGGGAGGAGTGTTCCTAGCTGCCGAGGGCGCTGGCACCGCAAGAGCAGGCCAGCAGAGAAGGAGAGCACTCGCGAGGGAACACAGCTGCATTTTCCAGAAAACCGACTACCCTCAGACACAAACAGGAACTGCTGGGTGTGGCAGCAGCCCGGTTTTAAACCCTCCATGGCTGCCAAGAAAGAAAGCCATAGCTGGGTCCCTGGGCGAATTGTTGCTCGGGATAGCCGGATGAGCCAACATCATGGATTCCGGAGGGTATTTCCATGGCAAAGGCGCGCGAAGCTCGGATGCTATGGCTGAACTGGATGCATGGTATCATTTCACGAGCGGAAAACGGCTAGCGGTACCGTTGGGTGACGGATGGGTCCAGAAGAAGCGCTCGCGATCTAGCCGAGGAGGGAGATCTGAATGGCTGTCTCGGCAAGCAACCTGGAGTAAAGGCTCATGTTGTATGGTAGGCTCGCTTGGCTGGTGCACGGAGGTCAAACGGAGAAGTTCGACGGATGGCAGCGGATGAGATGGTGTGATGATTGATTGATGGAGAAGAAAGGTTGGAGAGGAGATGGGAGACGAGACGGGTCGCTCAGGCATCAAGGCCACAAGGCCACAAGGCCACAACTATGCAGGGTTGCTCGATGCGGACTAGTCCCACATGGTGCCCTAGCCCTATGCCCTGAAGCCTAGTTAAGGTGTCGGTGTCAGTGTCAGTGAATGGATAGTATTCAAGTACGAGTAGTAACTGTCAGCAACTATGCGGGAGAAGAGAAACTGGATGATATGGTGGAAAGAAAATACTAGTTTTGTCGAGGTGAACCGGCGAAGCTGCGCGCAGTCGTCATTGACCAGGCACCACCTGACCTGACGGTTAGGCGGCATGAACAACGAGCAAACGCAGATGGATCAAAGAAAACTAAACAGTACTCTCCAGTATCTCACAATAGAAGCTGGCTGGGTAGCAACATCGTAGGCTGCGAACTGTGGAGAATGGAAAACGTGTAGTAGATCGGGAAGTTCCAGGAGGGACCTGGGGAGTGGCCGCAGACGATGAGCAAATGCTCACATGCCATAGCAAGGAAGTATAAAGGGTGCTTCTAGAAGAGCCTTTCGGCATGAGGTGAAAAGAAATGGGATTATCATGGTATAGTAGACATGTGCTTGATGTGTCTATCAGTGGTTGCAGGATAAGATATCAGGCATCGATATGCTTGTATGAAGGTGAAGTGTTGGCTGCCGGGTAGGTCGCTACTCAAAGAGCGCGAAAAGAAATGGGGATGGCTTCAAATTAGACGAAAGTGGATGGGAGGTGAATGGTTGGGGAAGATGACGTGGGAGTGTCGTGACAGCGCGGTAGGAGTCGCCGCTGGGTTGAGGTCCGCGACACTCTGGCAACATCGCGTTACGAGGATAGATAGACCAGGAAGGAAAGACAAGATCCAGAAAGACAGTTGGAGACAGACAGGTGCTGCAAGCAAGAAGACCGTAGAGGAAGGGGATAGAGTAGAGCTCCCCTCCCCTCCCGGCCTCCTTGACGAACGGGGATAGGCCCAGAGCCCGTTCAAAAGCGACCAGGCAGAGAGACAAACGAAGCCTGCACCGCCAGGCCTGCCAGTTTCCCCTTTGGGAAGCAAAGGGTCCTACAAATACAACTGCCAGCGTATTCTGGCAACAAAACCCAGGGTGACCGAACGGCACACCGCGGCGCCAATGTCGACAGCTGCCTAAACCAGATCGACAGGGGAGTCCTGGGTTCGATCCCCTTGGAACTCGACCCAAGCAGAGAGATCGTTGCAAAAACCCCTGGCTCAGGGGGTTTTCGTAGCCCCCGGGGAGCCTGGCAAGCCCCACGGCGAGGTGAGCTTTTTGCCTTTTTACATCTTGAAGGTTTTGGTTACTTTTGTTTGTCCTCAGCTGTAGCTATATCCTGGCTGCCTCGTGGAGGATAAAAAGGGACGAAAAAGATCAGAAAAACGATGAAAAAAAAAAGGTGAGTCTGTCGAACGATCGCCGGGGTGGGTGCCTTGGAGCCGGAGGTCCGCGCCCACCTAACCGGAGGATTCGTCCTCCAACCAGCCATGCACCGGTTTTCTGCTCTTTAAAAAGACTCCAATCCTAAGACTGGCAGCTTCATTACATGTCCAGCATAGTGGTATGTCGCCTTTCACCAATGTTGTTGATTATTTTGCGGGACGTGTTTTGACCCGGCATGAAGCTATACATACGACTTGGAGCGGGAAGGGGCGATTGTCACCTTGACCACCTCCCCTCCACACCACGGGAAACACACTATACAGCTATCCCTTTAATCCATGAGCAAAATTCATAGACGTCTAAGTTCTTGGGATCAAGGTCTGTTCAAGTTGTCCGACTCGGATCCACCGAGTACGCGCCTACTCGCGTATCTGATATACAGCGCGCTGATTCAGTATCTGCTCCTCAGAGAACCAATTCCCGTGCATCCCATACGGTACTCGCTGCGGCAATACCACCCTACAGATCACGTCCTTCATTCCAACAGCATCAATGACCCACAGCTCACTCCGTGAACCATCCGTGACCTCTCCATCCTCGTCAAGATGCGACTCATCGAAGACATACGTGACAAGCCAGCCATCATCCTCAGACTTCGCCTCCCTCCGCGGCACAAATGAACACTCTTGGGCATACCATCCTTCTGGAAGAGCAAAACCCGGATCGGATCGTTATCGTTGTCTGACGCGAGGACATCGGCTATTGACCGTTTATCCACACAACCATGCACCTGGGGCGGAGGATCGGCTTCGGCCTGTGCGAGAAGACGCTGCACATCGACTTTAACGAGACAGTCAATCTTGACGCTGCTGACGAACGACGTGGCAAAGTTCCCCTTCCGCATCGAGCAGCCATAGACAAACTGCGTCTCCGTCATTTCAAGGTGTCGAGGCACGCATGGAAACTCGAATGGAATGGCCGATAGCGCCCATTGTTGACAAATTTCGTTGGCCTCTTCCTCACAGGGTGGGAACTGATAATAGTAGAGACGACACTCGGGCTCAACTCTGTTCACGGTCTTTGGAACATCCAGGTTACCCATATGGTACAATGGGGCGACGCTGTTCATTCGACAGAGAAGCATGTTTATACGCACCCCATCGGGGGCTTGTTCATCCCAGCTATTTACGGTATGCAGAACAGCGCAGGCGCTGGTTTTGTACCACCGGACAAACTCTGGGAGATACCGCGGGAACACCCCGAGCCGGGTTTGGCCATTTGGATTATAATCCACCACCGACTTCCCGTACAAGAGGTTGCTCGGGTCCAACGAGAGTGGCAAGTCGATAATCACGGTATGCTGGCGGGATACTCCAAAGTCGTGCATTAATTTTCCCGAGGCCATCCCAGGGACACGCTGGTTGAAGCGGGTGCGGTTTGCAAATGAATTTCTAGCAGGTACAATGGAGTATTTGACGAATGGTGGGACAAATGTCGAGTGGAATAGGAGAAGTTCCTCGGTATGGGGATCGGTACGAGGCTTTTCATGAATGTTAATAGGCACAGAAGATCATTTGCTTTTAGGGAGAGCCTCACATGAGCTGTGGTCATTTCCTGCAAGAACCCGTTCATGCCTGGTCCTCCGAAGTATGGCTCAGAAATATCCACATCTGCGGATTCTCCCTCCGCACTGCCGCCGGTAAACCAGCCAACTGTTTGCAGCAACGGAAGAAGCACACGCATGGGAGGTCCGACCTCATTTGTTGCCAGAACTCGACCATCATGATGGACAATGCTGGTGTTGGCAGTGCTCATCCTCCTGACTGGTCGGGCAATTAGTCTCCAGAGGGAGGCAAAGACCAGGGCCATACTGCGCAGGGCCTCGTATAAAACCCCGATGGAAGATGAATTAGGTTTTGTCAAAGTTGTAACGCTGGGGACAATGGGATACACCCAGCTGTTTCTCTCTGCAGCACAATGAAGGTCTGTTAGGATGTATTGGTTGGTAAAGACCGGCTGGACTCCCGGCGATCTGGGAATACGCCGAAAGTAGACGCCCGTGAGCATTCCATCTCCGTCAAACCAGTGGATATCGCGCTGAGTGTCTCGCTTTAATGGATTGCTACCATTGCGAACATATTGGCCACCAAGGAATTCATCTGGAATAAGTCCCTCGAAACAACAGGGCTGAGACTCAAGCGTGGTGTGAATTGGGGCAAAGTTGCCCGCAAGGTATCTGGGACACGGTCAGTTTTCTCCCCGTATATCGGCGGACTGCATACTCACGGATGCTTTCTCTGCAACTTGGTCATGGTTAGTATTGTTGGTAATATGGCTTTAGAGTGAGAGCAATTGAGGTGAGGAAGTAGGTTTACATTTTATAGATATTTACCGAACCATATCTGGCGTGGCAACCATGGACCATGTACTCCAAAACCTTCGCATGCTAACCTTTTAAATTGGAGCATGAGGGCAAACAAAGGAACCCAAACAGGTTTGTAGAGCCTCTTTTGCAGGATCACATCTTCAGAACCAGAGCTTTTCTTGATCTTGCTGCTTCGTGAGACCGCACAGACCTTCGCAGGCTTGAGTCATTTTCACCCTCGCGTGGATTTGAGGTGACAATCCGTCGATCTTCGGTATATGTTTAGGATATGGATCTGAAAAATACAGTCTAGAACGCGGATCAGTGGTATTATTCAGGATCACATCTGACTGTATCTGGTTCTAGAAACGGTAAATGGAGAATGTGACTGAATTCCAATACAGCTGGAGCTAAACGGACCCGCATTGAACTCAGTGATCAGGCCAGCATCCCCGGTTATGGCTTAGCAGTACGTGCAAGAATCAAGCAGTTCTAGTGCTCATGACACCTCACGGGGCTGCTATTCTCCCAACGCCACTTATGGTATCCCGCTGCCACCTGGAGTTAATATCATCATATGGTAATTTATGAATTGAGGCGGCCACCAGAGTAGGTAGCCTCGCTCAGACTGCAACCCTGAATCGATACCCTTGTCTCCTTTATACGGGGCGGCTTCGCGAGCAGCTCTATGAGCCTCGAGCCTCGAGCCTGCAAATGCCTTTCCAAGCGGTTGTCTTTTGCAAAAGCGTGTACCTGGAGTTTTGAATCAAATTGCTTTGCGTGATTCAATCGGAAAAATGAACCCCAGCCCCGCGTAATTTCTAACTCGTGTCAGCCAACTGATGTGTGGCAAGGGTGCTGCAGCTGCATGGGTGTTGAAGTCGACCAGGGAACCAGACTCAGACCGTCTGATCTAGTAGTAGTTGCCGATCATGTCTTGGGTGATCGCGAGAGGCAAACTCTGCACACTGTCCGCAGCGTCGAACGATATCGACGATACCCCCCTGCGTAATTGTTAGCTAATTCGACAGACAGGGCAATAATAGGAGACAGGACTTTGACTCAACCAGCGATATCAATCGTGGGTTGAGACGCGCAGAGGAAGCAAAGATCGGGGCGGTGGAGCCGGTGACGGCATGCCCGGCCAACCAGGCGCGCCGGCGATCCCTGGCGGCTCCACAGCCCCAGGCATCCACCCACTTGGTGCCTACGCTAGGCTGCCTCCGCGCCTGGCCTGGATCCCGTGCCTGAAGGCGGTGTCCCGTTCTGCCGCCGGAGGCCTGCGCTAGCCGTTTTGGGCCGCTGGGACACAACAAGCTGGCCAACTTTAAATGCGTGGAGCTCCCTCATGGCCGACACTTGGATTTGACAACCATCTGTCTTCTATCTGCGTGTCTGCCATTGCTTCCTTCTCCGTTCTCTTTCATCTCTCGGAGTTGTTGGCCATCGTCCCCTCAGCATCGGTTGTGCACGCATTACGGTCTACGGAGTATAGACAGTCCCGCATACCAATTACCAACCAACCCACCATGGCAGCAACACCCACCCTCCCCCAACTGCCCATAAGACATCGGGATCTCCTGAGCTGGATCCAAACCCATCCAAACACCCCTCTCCATCAGATCATCACTCCTTACAACGAATACGATGCGGCAGCGCGGAGGCTGTTTGCCCAGGAGCCCTCTCACGATGCCTTGCAGGATAACCACCTCAATATTGTGCCCGTCTATGATTCAAATGGCACCTGCGATGTCCGTGTACGGGCTAGAGATCCCGCCTCGGAGTCTGCAGAGACCAACGAACGGTATATCATGCCTCTGAATAAGGAAAAGCGGCGGCCCAGTGGTACTCCGGCAGTGGTGCCGAAGTTCGAGGACTTCTGGAAGAACTTTAACATCTTCTCCGAGGGCGCATTGAGTGATATGGACTGGAGCAATGTGGTGGTGGCTGGCAGTGCAGTTGTCACTTGTCTGCTCCCGGTGCCAGAGGAGTACCGCAACTCAAAGCGTGGTCTGCGCAAGTACTACCACGAAACAATTGCCCCAGCGTCCGACGTCGATCTGTTTCTCTACGGTCTGGACGAAGCACAAGCAATTGAGAAGATCCAGCAGATCGAGGACAAAGTTAAAAACTCCATTCTCTACGAGACCACCACAGTGCGAACCAAGAATGCCATCACCATTGTCTCGCAGTATCCTACACGCCATGTGCAGATCGTGCTTCGCATCTACAAATCCATCGCCGAGATCCTCACTGGATTCGACGTTGACTGCTCGTGTGCTGCTTTTGACGGAAAGCAGGTCTTCGTTTCGCCCCGCGCTCTGGCCTCGTACATCACCCAGATAAATACCGTTGACCTATCCAGGCGCTCCCCTTCTTATGAGAACCGCCTGTCAAAGTACTCTCATCGTGGATTCGAGATATTCTGGCCCCAGCTCAACCGATCGCAGATTGACCCGGTGAGCTTTCCCCACCTTCATCTGTTCCAAACTTTCTGACTCATTCTATAGACAATCTTTGAGCGAAGCTTCACAAGAACGGTTGGCCTGGCGCGTCTCCTGGTTTTGGAGAAGTTGCCAAAGTCATCCGATCGGGAGTCTTACATCGAGCAAAGACGAGAAGAGCGTGGCCGGCCGGCTCCAAGATACAACAGCAGAAGGATGCAACCGGGTAACATCAAGGATGACTGGATTGACGAAGTTCCTGAGTGGGAAGAGGGAGAGGAGGTCTCTGACTACAACACCTTTGTGAGTTCATATTAACCCGATTAAGGCTTGCGTCTAATCCGAGATCAAGACTATACCCTACGGGCCCAGGTTCAAGGCCCGAAAAATCGAGAAATTGGTTTACACGCGTGACATGGTACTCAACGCTGAATGGAATAAGCCAAAGGACAGACAGGTCAACCTTCACAGACATCCTGCGTTCGTTGGCGACGCGGTGGATGTGGTTCAGGATTGCTGCGGCTGCTGTCCACAACCAGAGACTCCCGAAGATAAGGAGGTAGCGGAGAAGGAGAGCAAGGTCTATGTTTCAGGGAATGTGTCGTTTATGAAAGATGACCCGGGTCGTCAAGAGATTGGCAGCTTCAACCCAATTACCGAAACTGACTGGACCGGTATGTATGCCCTGCCACGCTATTACACAGATGCTGACTCGAGGCAGAAATGGCCTATGTCGGGAATACAGAGCGGCTGTGCCACGCCATTGTCGACTGTGACCTTGAAACGGTACAAGAATGTCTTGCGGGAGACAATGCAGACCCCAACAACCGCGACTACACGGGTAGAGCGCCCCTGCATTTGGCTGCTTCGACCTCTTCACCAGAAATTGTGCAATGCCTCGTCGATCATGGTGCAAGATTGATCTCTCGCGTCGCTGATGGTCGGACAGCGCTTCATTTGGCTGCTGCCAGGGGAAGCGTGGAGATTGTCCGGATATTGCTTAGGAAGAGTGAGCAAAACGAAGCCGATCAGAATCCGATAAGTGAGTCCACAGATGAGGGGGAAACGGATATAGATGAAGAAGAGGACGTCAGTACAAGCGAGGACCAAAACTCTTGTACATCTGGCTCGTTTGTTAAGGTTGGGAGGGAGATTGACTCCAAAGGCGGTGACATTGAAGATGAGAACGAGAAGGAACCCGACATTTATGACATTAATGTCGTCTCCTGGGACATTCCGACTTCCGCGCTTCACCTGGCTATTCTGCATGGCCACGTTGACGTGGTAAACGAGCTTGTTGCCTCGTTCGGGGCCGATGTGCTGTTGCCAATAAAGTTCGTTGGAGCTCATCGCCATAGTTCGCGAGTCGCAATCTTGAACCTTGCCTTAGCACTTCGACTACCTCCCCAAAAGGCTATTGCTATGACCGAGAAGCTATTGCAGCTGGGCGCACTGCCAACACAGGCGGATCTGAGCAGCCTTACGCCATTGCACTACGTTGCTGCCTCCGAATACACCGACCTACTGGATATATACCTCGAGCAAAGCCTCCCTGCAACGCAAAAAGCAATCAATTATCTTGCACCAAAGGGTTATTCGTGGACCCCAAATGTCTTCACAGTGCTCATGGCAGCCCTTCATGGCAGGAACTCTGACATGGCGATTAAGCTGCTCAAGGCCGGCGCAAAACCATCAATTGACTTTGATTCATTCGTCAAACCAGGACAGGGAGTGTATGAAAGAATCCGCTCGAACACATCAGAAAGAAACTGGGAGATCTTCCGATGTGGGATCACCCAGCCAATTGTCCGGGCGGTGCAACGGGACTTGCCGTTAGTTGCATTGTCTCTGATTGAATATGGAGCCGACCCCAATACCCTGACAACCGAAGGATATAAGGTTTTGAGCAATGAATCGGCACAAGCCTCCAGCTATGGGAAGTCGCTCCTCGATTGTGTGAGAGATAAGATCAAAGAACTACGCCGATACCACGGGGAACGCGCGCCTGTGACACGGCCTACCCCTTTGGTGCAGGCTGATGACTGCTTGGATGGACTGAGTCCTGGCACGTATCAGATGTGGACCGCAGAGCGGGCATTGCACGAGGCGAAAGCGCTATATGAGGAAAGTCAAAAAAGCTATGTGAAGACCGTACATGACACCAAGAACCGCAAGGGCGTGCAAAATAAGATCTCTGCGATCCAGGCTCTTGTTGATGATTTCAAACGATTGGAGGCAACTCTGCTGGAAAAGGGTGCGATGTCTTTCTACCATATGCATCCGGATTGCAAGAAGCCGAGTCAGGAGGGAAGAAACTCGGTTTCGGATACTACCAAATCGGAGCCTTTCAAGGTGAAATTTGATTTCACTGTGCCAGACCTGACTGACACGAAGAGAGAAGCCTATTTGACGCTGTAAGTTCTAAGACCCAACTGATCTGATAAAAATCGCAGTTCACTGATGCCGAAACAGATTCGAGGCAGCATGGCGCGGCGATCTTGACACTATCAAGGCCCTCACACTGGCCGCTGGGGACGGAGACGATGATCAAACCCCATTGCAGATCGCAGTGCGTGATCAGAACAGATTCTCACCGTTTTCTATCGCAGTTCTCCGTGGCCACCGTATTGTTGCAAAAGCCATCCTTGAAATTGTGCAAGCCCAATTCAAGATAGATGAGAGCGAGACCAGCGAAAGGTTTGAGGTGGACATGGAGGCCCTGCATGATGACGATGTGGATGTCGGCATCTATAGCGAAATTATCGACGACAAATTTACCCTTGAGAATATAGGAGAGACGGCCACGCAAGTGGAGTGCCGAATCTCTCCACTTGAAGTTTTCTCCTGGGACTGCCCGGCCCATGTATTTATCACCAATGAGTCTAAGACGTCGGCCAACGACCTTGTCGAGTATGCGGTGCAGGAGAATCACGTGGATCTACTGGAGTTTTTACTCCGTCTCGGTCAAGAGCTGACAGAAAGGGATACGCGCACACGAATCAAAGGTCAGGTATACACTGTGCCAACGAGCATGGTCTGGTTGGCGATGACGAAAGGGCACCTGGAATGCCTGGGAGCGCTTATAAAGCATACTGGAGCGGATTTTCCGACGGAGAATCTGCTTCTCAAGAATGGTATTGAGACAGAGAAAGAGAAGCCCAGGTACTACCAGGGGTTGTTCATCCGTGGAAAGCGACGCGCAGAGTGGGCCAATCATGGTGGTGGTGGATGGGCTTCCTCAAGCAGCGACCAAGTTTCTCCGCTACTCGTTGCTGCCTCCAAGGGAAGCCTACGGAGCGTGGAATGGTTCTTCAGCCTGGCACCACTTCAACACTACATCGAGTTTGTGAAGACCCACGAGCACAACGAGAGACTGAGGCTCTTGGCGCAGTCAGACAAAGGCGTGGAAGCCCCTGTCATGGACTGGCTTCAATCAGGGAGTACGTGCCCCTACAAAGTTTCATCTGAAGCCACCCGCTAACCAGCTATAAACAGGTGACCTTGCCCTACACTGCGCTATACTGTCCGAACCCACGGAAGAGTCGTGCAGACTAGTCGAATACCTCGTCCAACGTTCTCCGCAACACATCGAGACGAAATCAAGCCAAGGATGCACGCCATTGGCCCTCGCATTCTCCCTCCACCGAGTAGACTTTGCCCGCATCCTCATCAACGCCGGCGCCAACCAGACGACTCGTGACCGCAAAGGCAACAACCTGATCCATTTACTACTTTGCGACATCAACTGCCAAGCCCGCGAGGAACCAGACAACATGGAAAGCCTTCTCAACCTACTCGACCCCCGCCTGGCCTCTTCCCTCCTGATTGAACGCTCCTCGGACGGTCCAGGCTCCGCCACCCCCATTGCCCGCTGGATGGAATACGTGAAACTCCGCTGGTCCAGAAAAGACCGCCCAAGCGGATGGAGATTCGACCTGCGCCGAGAAACGAAGGGCAAATTGGCCATCATCCGCCATCTACTCACATTCGCCGAGCCCACCGACCAGAAACACCTGGATGTACTCGACGGCGCTGGTAGCACGCCCGTTCACGAAGCCGTCAAGAAACAACTCCCCCAGACCTTCAAGCTCATGCTGAACTACCGTCCCGATCTACTCTACCGGGAAAACGCCACCGGAAGCACGCCCCTGGAACTGGCAGTGGACAAGTGGACCGCGGAGGCGACGTTCAATCCGCCCCCAAGTCTGATCGATGGGAAATCGTCCGAAGAGGAGGTCAGAAACGAGGTTCGAGACGTCTTGAGGCGGTGGCCCGAGTCCTTTGAGCCGGATTATCCGGCTAAGAGTCAGAGTGAGCGACACCAAATCTATACAGCGGCCTGTGAAGGGGTTGTCGAGCGGCCACACAAGCGGAAACTGGTCAGCCTGAATGAGGCGAATGAGGTGGCTAGGAGACTGGCCGCACGGGGAGAAAGAGGCGATTCTCCGAGCTCGTCCCCTGATGTTGTGGCTCAGTGGTATTTCATGGCTAACTGATCTCGGTGGGAGGATGGTGACGGACTGATGTTGAATGGTTCCTTGGTGGAGAGTTATCAAGTTATGTATTTGCTGCTCCATTACTTTGTTAGCTGGCGCCACAATTCTTGTGACTTCGCTTTATTTCTTGAGGATAACGCCATCATCTTTGTTGAAGTAAATTTTCTTATTTTCATCATACGGGAAATCTCCATACAAAGCTTGTTATTCCAGTAAGCCATAGAAAGCGGCATGTTATAGAGTCTACACAGTATACGGATCTGCCGGTTGGCTAGGCGATGGAAGCTACGGCGTACCGTGTCTTTCCATTCGGGTTGATCAAACTTTCTTAGAAAAAGCGCAATCCGGAACCAACCTATTTCCTGGATTGAGAACTATTCATCCAAGAAGAATAGGGGGGCCAATGGAGGGTGTGGTCGAGTTGGATATACTGACCAGTTGGTGATAGTAATGCGTGGCAGCGCTAGGGGAGGATGTATCTTCACAACAAGAACGAAAAAACAAATATTATGATAGTTTACCGTTCAGTCATACGCGGCCGTTTCAACTCCCGAGTCTCTGATCTGCGTGAAGTCTTTGGTGAAGCTCTCTTCAGCGACTTGAGCCGTTTATCGATAGGCCGATGGTCCAAGTGGCAGCGATGGAAATCGATAATCAGAGCTCGTTGAAGTTCAGCATTCCACAGAATATTTTCCTCCCGCAGGTCACCATGAGTGACTCCCAGCGAGCGGATTTCTGCACAGGATTTCGAGATTTCACGCTCTAGCTTCTCATCAATCTGGGTCTCGCAAATACTTTGGCCCGCCCATGCCATGAGAAGCATGTGGCGGATCTCTCCCGCACCGTGCAGGAAGTATGTTTTGTCTAAATCAATTGCTCCGAGGAAAACAGAAATGGCGGAACATTGGGCTTTTTTGAGCACTTGGTAGATTTGTGCTTCGCGTGACACCTCTGGCCACAGGCGTGACGTTGTTCCTTTGCCGACCATGGTGTAGCCATGAGTAGTAGAGGTGATCTTGAAAGGCGCACCATATGAACCACAGATATCAAAAGGCGTGCAGTTGTAGTCAAGGTCATCGTCCAGTTGTTGCTTAAGCTGCTGGACCAGAGAGTCAGCATTGACTGGGTGCTGACGGCCGTTGCCTCCCAGTTGGTGCAACTTCACATTGGGACAAAGATAGTCCAATTCTCCAGCATTCTGCACGCCAAGAAGACATCGCTGCGTACAGAACTGAGCAGTATGTTGCCGATGATGTCCCGATGCTGCATGTTTGACTGGGCGAGTTGATTGTGTTATGGGTGAAGACGACGTGACCTGGCTGAACCCCCGCTTTCGTCCTTCCGGCGATGCTAAGTCTGGGTCCGAGTCTGGCGAATCCCCTCGAGATTGATGTGAATCGGAAGGGGCACAACCGGATTGGGATCGGGTGGGAATCCGACGGCCCTGTTCTGCGGGAGACCCGATAGGAGATGACGGCATGTACTCTGAGGAGGTATCCTCAGGACTGACATAGTCTGAGTCTGGCGGCTTTTGTTGCCGTTCAGGTTTGGGGATCTGGGATCTGGTGTGATCAAAACTTGTCTTCCACACCGGCAGCTGCGTTTGCGCATGATTCCGCCATTTTTGATCACGCAAGGGTGAATGGAAGCTCATCAGACAGAGGCATAACACTCGGGCAATAGCGGTTGTTGGCTGCAGAATGGCCTGGTCGGCCTGGTGGTTCACATCCTCATTAGGTTCACAGAGATGGTAATAAAGGGTGCTTGGATCGTCCAAGGGAACTCGTAGGAGGACCAATGCAAGCCCGGTGCTGACATAGGAGTATTCAAGGCCTTCCTGGATCATCACGTGGTATTCCTGTACCAGAGCTGATCCTGCCAGCCGCGCTGCATTGTACTTCAGCTTCTCTGGCTCAGCCACAGGTACTGTGTCAGACCCAACCAGTTCGTCCCAAAAGTCCAAAGCGTCCAGGTGTCGAAGACCTACACGAAGGTTCTCGACTGACAGCTTATGAGGCGGCTTGTATTCGACTGTAGCGAGGAGACTGCCCGTATCACCATCAACACGGTGGATACAAAACTGGTCGGGTCTAGAAGACCATGGGGTGACAGGGCCTTCGGACTCCACTTCTGCCTCATCAAGAACGTTTCCGTGGTTCTCGAACCAGACACCATCACACAGGCCAAACTCGTCCCGAGCGGCCTGTATTTTGGATAGCTCCTTGATAATATCATGGACATGGTCCTCTACGCCGAGTCGCTCATAATGGGCTAGATCCTGCTCACTAGTGATGGGACGATCGCGAATGCGTTGGCCAAGATTCTCTAGCGCATGCACAGATGAAAAAAGTTGCGAGGGGCTCTGTCCCGGTGGCTCTAAATACCGGCAAACAGAGCGGTAGAGTGCCAGCTGTCTGGCTGCACAGTCGGTCCAGGGACGAAGCTTTAACGGGCAGCACTTGCCGGTGGGCGGAGGGAGGGTACCTTTTGTCGAGCGACGGGGAAGGCCGACGCGCAGGGGTTGGGACAAGAGATGGTGACAATGTCGAAGGAGTTCGGCAAAGGTTGTGGGCCGGAGTTGTTCTGCCTGTTGATCCCGTTGCTGCTCCGCCCGTGTTCGTGCCTCGTCTGCTTGGATTCGTGCCTCGTCTGCTTGGATTCGTGCTGCGTCTGCCTGGGCTCGTGCTTCCTCCGACCTCAGAAAAAGAGCTTTGTAGTCTGGTGGGCTGCTGCTGCCAGCCATCGTGGTTACGACGGTGGATTGAACGGGGGAAGAAGAGGAGAAAGATGGAGAGAAGGAAGGGGGAGAAAGAGGAGACAGAGGCCCGTGCATGTGCACGTGCACGTGCCCGCGGCCGCATCGCGACTTCCTTTCCTGTCCTTCCTACATACGTAGGAAGTACTAGTAGTAGTATTCCTCCTAGGTAGGTATACCACAGGTACTTTGTAGCGTGGCTGTCCATGACATCATCCCCGTCCGACGGGGCTGGACTTTGGCTTCACGTTTGCCCTAATCGGGATCCACTTGGGCTCCACTTCTTTGTCCCGAGCTCTTCCTCGTCATCATCATGATGCAACCTGTCAGACCAGGGGCACGTCCCAGTGCAACATTTCTTATAAGACTCGCAATCCTGACGGGCGTATGGTCTCGCCAGGTTCAACTGGCATCAAAGCTAAGTTTCCCGTCGACTCAACGGTCCATTCAATCTATCTGGTATCTACTCATTTGTGGATCCATCGATCAATTGGCATACCTACATATCCATCATGCCCCCCAAACACAAGAGTCACACTCCCCGTCTACATCAGTAAGTGGCTCTGTGTCCACCTCACGTTCGCAAACGACAAAACTTACTTTTCCCCTCACCTACCTCAGTCTCGGAAAATGGATGCCCTCCACCCTCGACGCCCACCACCAGTGGCTGGGGGGCGTGATCGCCGATGTTGACAGCAAAGAGTCCCACGATCTCCATCCCGTCTTGAAGGAATTCCAAGGCCTCATCGAAAACAACACCCGCGTCTACCTTCTCATCGCCTCCATGTTCGGCGAAATCCCCCGCAACAGAGCCTATTCCAACGACCCCACCGGCTGTCCCCAAATGCGGGACTATAAACACATGCTCAACGTTCTGAATCACCTCCTCACCGCTGCGCCCTCGTGGAGCGACTTCTCTCATCGGGTGGGCCTGGTCGGGCTGCCCATCAATGCTGTCCTGGACTGGCCGATGGGTACCCCGAGCGGATACGCCGCATTCCTGGACCCGGACGTAAACCGCATGATCAAGAAAATCCTGAATGTATGGGGCGAGTTTCTGCAGTCTCCAGAGTCCGCCAGGGTGCTGGACGAGTCACCGTACGGCTGGTTCGGGGAGACCGGCAAGAGCGATCTGGTGGAGGTGGCGAACGTGAGCGCGAAGACGAATCACTCATTCGAGGAGATGTTCATCTGCGACCCGTCCGCGGAGCACCACGGCTACAAATCGTGGGATGATTTCTTCACCCGGCTGTTCCGAGAGGGGATTCGGCCCGTTGCGTCGCCGAGTGATGATAAGGTGATCGCCAACGCGTGTGAGTCACAGCCGTACAAGGTTGCGCATAACGTGAAAGCGCGCGATCAGTTTTGGATCAAGAGCCAACCGTACTCGGTATATGACATGCTGTCGTTCGATCCGTTGGCCAAGCAGTTCGAGGGCGGGACCGTCTACCAGGCTTTCTTGAGCGCGTTGAGTTATCACCGGTGGCACGCCCCCGTGTCCGGGAAGATCGTGAAGTCGTACATCGTCGACGGAACGTATTATTCGGAGCCGTTGTTCGAGGGTATTGGCGATCCGGACCCGAAGGCGCATCATGAGATCGATGATGCTGGTGAGGTCATGTCCCAGGAATTCCTGACGGCCACAGCCACGCGAGCGGTCATCTTCATCGAGTGCGACAACCCGGATATCGGGCTGATGGCGTTCCTGGGGGTGGGTATGTGCGAGGTCTCGACGTGCGACATCACTGTCTCCGAGGGCCAGCATGTCACCAAGGGCGATCAGATCGGGATGTTTCATTTCGGCGGTTCGACTCATTGCCTGCTTTTCCGGAAGGGGGTTAATGTGAAGGGATTCCCCTCGCCCGATCTGGGTCATAATGTGCCTGTGAGGAGCCAGGTGGCGGTGGTTGAGTAGTAGGATCTGGATATAGGTAGTTGAAAGTACTTGCCAGCTGTATAGTTCCACATCATCTATTGTATAGTGAGAGGATGGCAATCAAATTGTATGAGAAGACTATTAAGAAGAGACTATCAAGCAAAGTTGGGTTCTGCAAACTGGCCGGGCAAAGCGTACGGAAACAAGACAAAACAACGTGTGGCACATGATCCGCGCTCTCCCCCTCCCCCCTTTTCTTTCCTTCACTCTTCCTCCTTCCTCTCATCTCACATCTTGGCCATAACCTCCCCCGGTTCAGCACGCTCCACCGCCCACCTCATGATCACCTGGATCACCCCGTCCATCTGCTCGCGAGTGTTGTCCGCATGGACCATCAATCGGACGCGACCCTTCTCCGGGGGCACACTGGGGAACTCCACCGCATTGACCCAGTACTTGGCCTGTCGAAGCCGCTCACAAAGGTTGTTGGCGTGGCCAGGCTGCGTGACAATGGGGATGATGGGGGACTTGATTGGATTGGTATACCAGGTCTTCTCGGTGGGCACATACAGGATGCCTCGCCGCTTGATGTCCTCCCACTGGGGGTGCCTCGTCAGGGTCCAGTAGAAGTACCACACGTTTTGCTCCAGACGGCTTCGACGCTGATTGAGGTCAGCTCTACTCATGGTAGTATAGGGATCGGACGAACCTCTTGTCCTTCTTCACTCAGCACCATCTCATATCCCGCTCGCACAGCGGCGACGGAAACGAATGTTGGTCCTGTGGTGAAGATGAAATTCCGCGCGTAGTTGATCAAGCCTTGCTTGATGGTTTCGTTGCACAAAATCACCGCTACTTGGGTTGGTTTACCATGACCATGAACAACAGTATGGGGCGGACATACCTCCAGCCGATCCCAGGGCTTTCCCGCAGGTGTGCAGTCGGAGCGGGAATTCCCTCTCGAGGCCATATTGACAGATCATCCCCGATCCATGGGGGCCGATGATTCCATTGGAGTGGGCTTCATCAATGGAAAGCACATAATTCCCTCGAGGAAGCGTCTCATATACCACCCTGATTATTTCAGGCAGAGGTGCCGTGTCGCCGTCCATGCTATAAATTGACTCTAGTGGAATGAACACCAGGTTTTGTCCCTCAGCTATCTCCGCATTGTTGTCTCGGACGTCTTCCAGAACCCGTTGCAGGGAGAAACAATCATTGTGACGGAAGGGGACGCTCTTCGCCCGTCCGAGCTTCATTCCCTCGCGAATGCTAGAATGCACGAGCTCGTCGAACACAACGAAGTCCTTGTCATTCGTGATGGAGGACCAGAGGGCCATGTTGGCATCATATCCAGATGGGAAGAACAATGCGTCGTCCGCGCCATGGAACTGCGCCAGGTCACGCTCAATATCGACAATATACTGCCTGTTGCCTTCGAAGACACGCGTGGTGGTGCATCCGACAGTGAAGTTGGGATGTCTCTCAAGCTGATGTAGGAACGCTTGGGTCAGAATCCCGGAGGATGATAATCCAAGAGTATCATTGGATCCAAAGTCCACTGTTCCTGAGACCTCCTCCGGCGAGGCGGGCACGTACAGCCGTCCCTCCGTGCGACGGCGGTCCAGGGCAGAGTAGAGTCTCTGGGAAAGAATGTCTTGTCCGGTGCTCATGTTGAAATTTGTAATGATGCTAAGGTCGCTAACTCTCGCATTGGCTTGACTGCTGGTGCTGGCATCTTATATAACTTAGATCCATCGGCGATCAGATACTCTTTGTCACGAATGGCACCTGGAAATGATCGGCTGCGAGGTTTAATCCTATGGCGTAAGAATTATGCCCCCCACATCAAAAACCTGAAAGCCGCATTTGTCTCACGATTCGGAGGTCTGGACCGCATCAGAGAGATCGCCTAGGATGTCGTCACTCTCGATAATGGTGCATCACTCGTCGGGGATGCTTATATCGATAGTACTAAATACGATGTTACATATCGAAGAACTCTATCGGAACGAAGTGGCTTGAGTATCCGCCGCTTATAGGAAGGAAGTTCTTCCCACCCATTGTCCAAAGTCTATCTATATATGGAAGGGATCTGAGAGTGATCAACAAGGGAAATGGCAGCAGCGTGGCTGACAGGGCTAGTCTGGACATATAATACTCGATATTGATGCTACCCGAGGAGCGCCACCGGGTTCTATACGCTGTCACCAAATTAGAGTTGTGCGAACCACGACCCATAATGGATGAAGGTGGGCAATTCCGGTTTCCAACCATTGCCTTCAGGGCAAGCTTTAACGCCTAGCGCTAAAAGCAGGGATATTGAACACATCTTCCAATTGGCTTCGGATCAAATGTGGATGGGGTTGGAAATCAACCTGCCGGGGTGATCACTTCCAAGTCACTGGGTAGCCTGAACCACATCTCTACGGCTGGAAACGGCGCCACTTATGACAATAGCACTTGGCTTGAATACCTAGTTCGGTAGAGAGTGCTCAGATGATGGTCTTCGATAATCGCGCGCACGCAAAGGCCTCTTTGATTTCCCCTTCTGGACAAATATACGGTCTTCTGGGCGGAAGTTTGACGCCAAGGTCAAGAGGTCCTCAATGAGATGAGAAAGGCGCTGATCTTCGGGATTGCCATGAGGATGCATGACCACAGATTATATCTTCGTCTCGCCCAGTGTTGAGCGGTTCACCCGCCGTGTTCGAACTTCCACTTGCTGATAAGTATCACTTTTCTCGGTTGTTGGCTGGATGGCCGACGCTCGGCCGCCGCAAAAGCCTATTGTTTACTACCCAGGGTATTCCTTCTCCGAAAGTACGTCAGTGTTCTTTGTCTCTCATCACTTTCGAGCCCATACTTTCTAGAAAGCTTCCCCCCGTGTGACAGTGGACCTTATTACTAACGATCCCGGTTGCAAGTGAGAAAACTCAAAATGAAGACAAAGGAATGAATATGAACCCTATTCGAGAACAAAGAGATCAACACGAGCGACAATAGTATTGGTGGAATAGCGATGACAAGCGGGATACCCTCACCATCGCGGCGCCTAGTGTCTGTGAAATAGACAGACCTAGAATCTTCCCGTGAGGTTCTATCTCATTGCTTCCTATGATTTCCATCCGGACGAGGACCTTATGTACCAACCAACATGAGTAACCCCCCTGTCCTATCTCCTACGATTCCAAGGTAGAGCTGCATGCTAACTGCATTTGTTCCGTTCAGCGAAATATCTCTCAACTCGCGAAAGCAAAACCCGTGTATTATTTATTATCATCCCGCCTATGAATTAACGGACCCGCTTCGATTCCCCCTCAACCTCCCATCGAAAAGGATCTAGAGATCGCACTTATAGCTGCCCACCTTGTACTCCTTCGTGAAAGTCCTCGACCCCTCGCCCATGGTAATCTCGTCTCCGATGCACAGGTCCTCCCTATTGGTCCCGAATTAGCGTCCCTCCATCTATCCCCCCACTTCACGCATGCATGCAGGTGGCCGTCTTACCTAGAGAAAGTACACTTCCCCTCGGACTGAACGTCGATTATGAGGACGGGGATATCCCTATCAGGTAAATGGTTAGGTAAGTACCCCGTGTTGAAAATTGAATAAGTGGGGAGGGGGAGGGGGGGGGAAACATACGGCGTCGCAGCCTTGACGCACTCTCCCAGGACGGAAGTCTTGGTGTTGGCACCTTGATCGGTGAAGATAGTGACCTGTTATCATTATGATGATGTTATCAGCACTCATGAGCCCTCAAATGGAAACAGTTTCAATCATGGTAATGGATAGATGGATGGATCGTGGACGTACCTTTGAAATCCCACCGCCATGCGCCAACACGGACGCCGCGAAAAAGAGAGTGGTAGCAGCTAGGGAGAGAATAGACTTCATTGTGACCGTTTGGTTAAGGAGTGTAGTGTATTAAATTGGATTGATTGATTGATTGGGTAGGGTTGAGTGGTGGGTGAATGAATGAATGAATGAATGAATGAATGAATGAATGAATGAATGAATGAATGAATGAATGAATGAAAAGAATGAAAGTAAGTTGACCAGGGATCAGCTCAGAGATGCGGCCGGGTGGGTGGTATATGGGGGGGTACTTATACGGATACAGATACAGAGTATTTGAAAAGAGAAGGACTCAGAATAGCTATCTGGTGTTGTTATGTGGGTGCAGTATGTAAAGGGATTGCTCATTTTGCGGTTCTGGTGGTGGGTGGTGCTGCATTTTTGGACCCCTGGAATTGAGGGATCGGTGGCTATGGTTTCTGGGGTTGGGAATTTTCATTGGAAAGGATGGGGTGATTTTTCATGGTATATGGATATTGTCTATTAAGCTAGGGTTTGTGTCTAACTATATTGCTGGTCATTTATTGTGGGGGATATTGTAGATGGATAGACGGGTCTGTATACAAAAACTGACCGTATCGGTTATCCTCTGGAATGTACACGCCGAAAGGAAACAACCAACACCAACACCAAATCAACACTCCGGCCGTCAACACAACAGAATATAATAGACTCTGCACCAACTACTACTACTACTACTACTACTACTACTACTACTACTACTACTACTACGTCACGAGCACTAAATCCCAAGTCGATCAGTCTGTGCAGTCTCCACAATGGTGCCATCCCGTCGCAGATGCAGTGACAAAGCTTGGTACTCTGAACCTTCACCTCTGTCGTTACGGTCGTGGAAAGGCCCAAAACGGTTTCAGGCGGGCAAAGTACGTAGTACCTAGGTAGGTATGTAGGTTTACGGGATACAGGGACGGGCACAGGCACAGGCACATACCTACTGTATGTATGTAATTTAGGTTGTGTAACTGAGTGGGGATTAGCTTTGCAGGGATATATCTGCTTACATTAACTGGCTACTACTTAGGTATATGTTATGTTATGTTATGTTATGTATGATCTGGCTTGGCTGGTGGTGCCCTTGTGGAATGAATGTTCTGTCCTTGGTCTATACTTTTTGATGGAAGCTGCCATGGCTATGGAGGGTAGTGCCAATCAATGCCTCAGGGATCGATCCTACATTCCTCCTCCATAGATGGTAGTACTACTTCGTCGTCGTGGTGGTGGTAGTAGCAAAGTCAGTCAACCAACCTGACACAGCATGCTGGAAAAAAAAAAAAAAAAAAAAAAAAAAAAAAAAAAGAGAAGAAGATGGAGAAGTCCCTGTCCTGGACAGACCGTACGAACTACAGTTCAGTAAAGTTGTAAGTGGCACCGTCGCTCCTGTCTTCTGTCCAGCGGAGCTAGAACTATTCTGTCCCCCGTGGCTGGGCCATTCCTGGGCCCCAAATGGTATGACGGACGACCCTGCTGTGTACAATCCACGTGTAGCACGGACACTGCATCCCATCCCATGCCATCCCGTGTCTCTCCCAGGCTCTCACGGGATGCGATGCGACCTGACCTGGCCTGATCGCCCTGGGACCCTGGGACCCTGGGACCCTAGGAGGCTAGGATCCTGGCATGTGTGCGATGCGATCCTTACATGCTGGTCCGCCCCCTTGTTTCCACCGGAATCAAAACCACCAGCAACCCAGCCGCCAGAAACATCCCCCCGCTGATGTATACCGGCACCGCCGTTTGCACGTTCGACACCATCGCGATGATCGGCGCCAGGATGCCCCCGATGCGATTCGCGCCGCCGACCAGCGCGTTCCCCGTCCCGCGGTGCTGCGTCTCGAAGATCTCCGGCGTGTACGCGTACAGCACCGCGTACAGCAGGCTGCTCGTGAAGCTGTAGGCGCAGTTCCACCCCAGGAGGGTGGTGGAGGTGTGCGCCGTGGTGGATGCCAGCAGGAACGCCCCGGTCAAGAGCGTGGCGAGCGAGAGCGTGCCCTTGCGCCCGAACCGAGGCATCTCCACCATCACCCCGCCCACCAGGCTCCCCGGGACCCCGACCGCCGCGATGATCAACGAGTTGCGGTACGTGACGGACGTGGAGCCGTCGCCAAACTGGATGCCGCGGGTTTGTTGGAGGTAGGGGAGGAAGTTGTTGTACAGTGGAAAGCCCAGCCCGATCAGCGTCCAGATGAGAATCATCAGGCTCGTCGTCCAGGCGCGACGTGGGCTGCGGAACAGCGCGCGGATATACGGGGCTGAGAGCGGCTCCAGACGCATGCGGAGCTGGTCGGTCGCACTCAGTCGCGGGCGGGATGCTGGAGTTGTCTCTGTGACATCGTCGTTGGAGGTCGTTTCGTCGCTCAGGTCGTCGGTGGATAAAAGTGATGTAGTCCCGTTGCGGCGCGCGACCTCGTGGACGACCGCGACCGATTCCTCGTGGCGTCCCTTGCCCATGAGATATTTGGGGGACTCGAAGAGGGTGAAGAACACACACCGCGCGATGCACATGACCAGCGCCAGCCCGCCCATCGCGATGAGAAAGTATCTCCAGCCCATGTTTGAAGCCCGGGTGCAGTTCTCGGCCGACGCGCAGGTCATTCCACCGATGAGGGGCCAGGCGACCAGATTGGCAAATAGCTGGGCCAGCGCCCAGTTGATCGATAACACGGTCAACAGGTATTGATGCGACCCGGGCAGAAACTCGAGGAAGATGGCAGAGTCGACGGGGAGGTTGCCTCCGACGCCAAAGGACCACAGCGCGGCAAAGAGGCCCACAGCGGCGAAGGACGGCGAGCCTGCCCCGACCAGACCGAAGACGGCGGTGATGGCGATGGTGAGGTTGAAGGCCCACCGGCGACCGAACAGGTCGCAGGTGAAGCCCCAGAAGAGAGAGCCGGCGAGGAGGCCGATATTCTGGGCCAGCGAGAGCAAGGGCGGCTGGGCGACGTGGAACTCGTAGGAGACGGGGACGAGGATGAGGGAGGTGACGATGGGCCACAGGTTGTCGCTGGCCCAGCCGAAGCCGATGACGCCGAACAGCTGCCACTGGTATCGGCCCATGCCGATGTCCTGGATGGCCCGGTTGAGCACGTCGGCCTTTTCGCGGTACGTCGACGCCGTCGCATTGTGCTCGGATTGGAGCGGAGTGGTTTCGAGGGTCGACAGCAACTCATCGGGTTTGGAGGTCGGCATGGTTGGAAGGACAGACTGAGTTGAGTTTGATCGACAGAGGAAGCTTATGGCATGGCGGGGGATGGAAGGGTCTTGAGGAGAGGAGGGGACAAGGCCCACATCACTCAAGAGGAGAGAGGAGTATGGAGGAGAAGAGGTAGCAGTGGGAGGAGGAGGAATTGGGGAAGGAACGACAGCCGGCGGAACGGAGGCGAGCGATGGTCTCATCGCCCAATGCGGCGGCCCTCCCAACCCGGCCAATCCCACCCCCCATTCGCCTCGGCTGCAACCCTGCAGATTACAGAATGAAACTAATGTAAGTATGATACACTAACACTAACAGAACCTCCACTCCCCGCTCCCAGACATCGGAGTCGGTTTCCGGTTTCATCCACCAATTCCCACCCCGATTACGCCGTCGTGGCAGCAGCTCCCAGAGAGCTGATGGGAGTCAACCCCGGGTAGAACGAGGTGGGGATGGTGGGGATGGGGATGGAAGACACCGTGCCAAACGCCGTCGACAAATCCGCAGCCATGGTGGCAGCAGAATACCCCGAAGGAGCACTGGTCACGGAGATCGTCGAGGTGTACGCCGTCGTGTCATCGCCGTCGCTCTCCAGGCAGAAACCCTCGCCGTAGCCGTTTTCGCAGACGTAAAACTGCTCGTCGCCCGCCTCGGTCCACATGGCAAAGTCCTCGATGGTGATGTCGGTGCAAGGGGCCGTGTCCAGGCAGACCACCTTGATAGGCCCGCGGGAGTAGCCATCGGCCTCCGTGCCCTTCCAGTTCTTAAATGTGATGTTGCTCAGCTGCACCCCGTCGCCGGTCACCGTGGACTCGCTGCTCCAGTCCCCGTCAATGTACAGCGAGTATGCATTGCCGTGCCCTGCAACGATTAGCGTCCGCCAGCCCGTCTCGGTCCGGGGCTACTACACCTACCAATGAAGTTCTCCAACAAGGTGTTGGTCACGGTTCCGCTGCCGCCATTGCTCTTGATCATGTACATCTGGTTGGAATTCCAGGTGTAGATGTTGCGGTACAGGATATCGGTGACGACCGTATCGGCATTGAGGGACCCCATGGCACAACCGCCACTCCAGTTGCAGTAGATGCTTTCAACTTGGATGTTGTTGGCAGGGCTCTGGGGGCCTGTCAGTAAACATCCAGGCGCACCATGCGATGGACTCACTTACCTTGACCGTGACACATTCATCCTTGTTCGTCACCTCAACCTACACGTCGATGGTAAGCAGTAGCTTCAGCGGCGGGACGGCGACACATACATCGTGGACCCAGATATTGCTCCCCCAGACATCCACCCCATCCAAGCCACCTTCGTCTCCTCCACGGATGGCCATGTTGTACACCTCGCCGTTGGAGCAGGTATCCATAACGAAGTGAAAGGCGGGCGCGTCAACCAGAATCACATCATGGACCGCGAAGTCGGACACATCTTGCAACCTCAGAATCCGCGGCCCACTGATCGATCCCTCCCGGTGGTACACATATCCAAATCCTTGCACGGCGCCCTTGGACGTGCTACTAAACAGCTCGAAGTCGGACGTATTCTCGACCAGGATCATGTTGCCACTGGCCGTCCCGGTGCGGTAGAGGATACCATCCATCTGGATCGCAGTCGCTTTGCCGCCGGACAAGGTGACCCAAGTCTCCAGCGCATAGTCACCAGAGGGGATGTAGATCAGTCCACCGTCGGAGCACTCCTCCCAGGCAGACGTTATGGCAGCCCCAACATCGGTCGAGTTGTCAGCCACACCGCCATAGTCCAACACGTTGCAGGTTTTGTACGCGGCTTTGGAGGAGGCCGACGTGAGGGGGCCGACGCGCTCGGAGAGCTGGCCGTTGACCAGCAACGGGGCGAGCACAAGCGCTAGAAGTGAGAGAGCACAAGCCATGACAATGAATGAGCTTTCAGAACCTGGAGATGATATTTTCCTGAGAAATGGTGGATGTAGCAACCGTCGCAAACGGGCTTTTATAGATCAAAAAGCCCGCCATGGCCCTCCCATGCAGCTGTGATGCTCGAACATGATCCGACCGCGGTAAGAGACATATTGGCAGGATGATATTCCAGGGGGGTGCGTTATTAACTGAGGCACCCGGTTTCACCTGCCAGGCTGCTTCCTATTCATGGACGGATGCGAGTTTTCCCCGGGGCACAGTGTGTGCTCAGAGCTAAGCTTTTGGGATCGGCTCTTGTCCACGGAGAATTCACAGAAATCTCCGCTGGAGCTCCACTTCGGCTCTTTCAACCCTCAAGCAGTGGGGGAGGGGGGGGTGGGCCTCTCAGGGGATTGACCACTCCAGTCTCATGACCAACTGAAGGGGGTCCGACGACCGCTTGAAGCGCTGGGCTGAATGAAGTGTTGGAGTTGCACACTTGAAGCTCGCGTATTGCAGTCAGTGGGGGTTGACGTTCGTAGAAAAGCGATGCTGGAGAGCGTCTCGAGACGAATACGCAGTATGTCGACTTAGGTAAAGGATGTTTTCGGATCTTCATTACGATATGAGGTCGACCACTGGACGTCTGTCCCGAATGTTTTGATTCTACAAAGGAGAGGTCCTGGGACTCTGAAGGACGGGGTTACCTCTTCGCTAAACCCACGCCTGCCGCCCCGTCGAGTGTTCGAAACGCCCGCTCAACTTCGTCGGGGATATCGACATGGCCAATGAAATCCTTTCCCCTGGGCCCATACCCTTCCTCGTCGTCCCGCAGTCGTGGGATTTCTCCCATGAGGAGGCCCAGAAAGCGTGGCATGCTCCAGAGTTCCTCCGTCAGGAACCCCGGCACGTCGTACACCAGCTGCTCCCCCTGCAACTTCACTCTCGGCACGATCGTCGGCCAGCTGAGCAGTTCAGGGGGGCTCGGAGCGTAGGCCTTGTTGAATGAGGCAACGGTCCGTCGGGCCATGGTCGGATCCTGCACAATAATCATCGAACTGGGTTCCGGGATCCCGTTCCTTTCCAATAGTGCACGGGTCTCCATGGCATTCTGGCCGCAATTCGTGGATTTATCCTCCAGGAGAACAGTACACCCGGCCTTCTGGATGTGCGACGCCTGGAAGCACTTGGTGAAGATGGTGTAGAGGACGGCGGCCTCGGGTTTCCCATGGATTTCGGGGGCCAGATGGGCGTAGTGCGGGTGGCTGGCCACGGCTTCGTAGAGGTGGGGGGTGGAATGGCCAATTCCGCCACAAAAGACTAGGGTGTTGGTTAAATGAGGGTTGTATTCCAAGTGCCGGAAGACCGTTTCTGCGGGTTGCAGGACGGCAGAGACACAAATCACGATGCAGTCCGTCTTCGCCGGGGGGTGGTTGGGGGGGATTTGCTCGTGCGCGAGGAACTCGGCGATGCGGTTGACATGGTCAGGATTGATGGGCGACATTGAAGCAGCTGCAGTTGGGTCTTTCTATTGTCTTGTTTGTTTTGGTGTTGTGGCTGCTGTCAATGATGATGACAGCTCGTTTCGTGGTACTTTGGCCTTCGGGTACCGCGCGGGAAGATGTGGAGGAACGAATTAATTAAATGGTGGAGGAAATCGATCCCGATGCGCCCGGGCGGGGTCTCGCCTTCCCAGTCAGGCAGGTCCGCGCCGGGGTGTTTTCGGCAGTTGCGAAGGAGTCTACAAACCAACTAGTCGCCTTCCTGGTCAGCTTGTCAATTCTCAACATCAACACCGCTCTTCCTCTTCCCAATCTATTTTGATTGACCGGTCAGCCCTTGCACTATCAACATGAGACGACTCTGGAAATTGCCCAAAGCCCACCGCGAGTCAGCTCTACGGACTTCCTCTCCCCCCCCTCCACCCTCCGCATTTGCCTTCATTCATGGCAACTCCCAGGGCGCCTCAGCAGCGGTGGCCGAGCTCTCGGGCATTCTCGGGGCGGCGCTGGAGCAGATGGACCTGGACGGTTTGAATCTCGTCCATTCCGTCCAACAATCTTCTTCCGGCTGCTGACATCGCTCTGAGGTGACCTCGATGTTCAAATCAAAGCGCTGACGGCCCGACTGGACGAGGAGGCCTCCACTTATGACAACTCCCAGCTGGGGCATGAGCAAAGCAAAAACGGATGGACATGGTGCGTCCACAGACCCCCACAAGGCGTTGCTGCATGCTGACAAGATTCAAAGCTCGCAGGAACATGCACGTCTAATTTCCATAGCCTGGAAATGCGCCGACGATTCGTATAATGCGATATCGATCACGTCCCCCCTTGCTTTCGAGGACTACACCTTCACTCGGGACCATATAACTACGCCGTCGATAGATGATGGGACGGTCAAGGCGGTGGCATTCACAATCGTGGATCGCGCAGGATTGTCTGGGAACGGTCTATTTCCCTTGCTGGTAGTTGCTGTCAGAGGTACTGGCAATGCTATAGATCATATGGTCGATGTGAACAGCACCCCACGGAATGCAGACATTTTCATTGTAAGTCCCTAGGTTGGCTTCCTTCTCACTTCAACCTGTTTGTTGACAGTAGGCGTTAACTAGGATGCATCACGCCTGCGACACGAAGATCCCTCGTCTGGTACCGTCCTACTAGCCCACTCCGAGTTTCTACAGAGCGCAATAGCACTAGAGTCAATTGTTTCAGACAGGCTCAGCAGCTATGCGCGCCAGAGTGGAACGCAACGATGCCATGTCCTCTTCACTGGCCATGCTGCGGGAGGCGCCGTGGCCTCGTTACTGTATCTCCGATATATCTCACGGGAACGTTCGGTTTTTTCAATGCGTTTCTCGTGTGTCACCTTTGGTGCGCCGCCAACGGTTACACTGCCTATGATGGGCAAAGAGATGGCATCAGACTTGCCTAGTGAATTATGCCTCAATATCATCAACGAATGTGACATTGCAAGCAGAGCTGATAAACCATTCATACTGTGTCTAGTGAATCTCCTGCGGTCATTGTATGACCAGCCTCCTATATCAATGGACGATGCCGCCTATTCCTACCCAGCATTTGAAGTCTCTGGTACTGGGCATAATTGGCCCGTGCCGCACTCGATATTCAGTCACGTTGGGCCTCGTGTTATTCTTTCAACGCAGCTCAACGACACCCAGGAAGATTCTATGCACTTGCGTGCCGCGATGGTCTCACGGGCGGAGTTTGAGAAGTTATTATTTTGCCGTGTCTCCGTGCATCAACGAAAAAGCTACGCGAATAGGGTGAAAATGATCGCCAAGGGTCTATACAATGGGCTACCAGTTCCGGACGCCGTGAAGTGAAAATACCCAAACCAATTCGGGCTGGCGGGGAGAGCCTGGTGCGGCTTGACACCTAGCCCATGTATATTTACTAATGCCAGAGTCTGTCCGGGTTGACACTCCGGTGTATAGTCTTATCGCCCATTATTCATCAGCCTTGGAGGGTTGTCTTCACCCAACATCGAATTGACATGTTCATTCGATCGGAAATGCCCGAGGATTCAGATGGGATGATACATAACATGCCTTTATCTGACCTCGGGTGAGCTGGGAGACTTTCACGGTTACTGTCTGACCCAGCCGCAAAGTCGCCTTTTCATGTTCGGAACGGCGAATACAATGCGGTGTCTCAGCTTGGCAAGCCTCGTGTTCGGGGATTTTGGCTCTGATAGTATGTAAGATTATTCTCAGAGCTGTCACCTATCCAGGCTGCAGTATTTAACGAATTGATGTCCATTGCCACTCTTCTTCCGATCACAACTATTAACTGGGAAAGTAGTACGGAGCCAGAAAGTCCACAAGCCAGATGATAATACCAGTGATATCAAGGTCAAAACCTCAACTCAATTTCTACCGTCCCCGCCTTGAAACAGGGGCGAAACTGGCACATTTAGTAGAACACTAGGGTCTAGGAGGCGTCTTCTGAGCGACAGTCCTGCCCAGAAACCACTCTTTCCGCCGAGGCTATGGCAGACAAGTACTCGGTGTCCGATGCACTGACATTCTATCGGACACTAGCGATAATTCACCTCGTTGTGGAAAGGGGTCAGATCATCGAACGAAGCGTATTCGAGCGACTAGTCGACATAACCTCTGCAGAGTGTTGAAGGTGCGAGTCTTTCGTCGGCCGATGTACTGGATGGGCTTCGTTTGCCCGTAGAAGGAAATCAGGCATTGAGCAGTTGCCCGCTGGGAAAGGGTCGTGGCCTGAGGCCCCAAGGCTGCAACCATCTTGCAGGCACTGGTTGTCTTCTGACATTCTGACATTCTGCGGACACCCCCACAAACAAAGCCAGGTTTGATAGATGATACCGTCTCCAGGTTCAACAGACTCATCAGGGTCCCGAAATATTCCTTCCGTTCGGCCGGTCTGAATCTTCGCGATGGCAAATTGGCCGGAACCGCTCCGGGATTTGATGCCCCACCCTGCCTGGGCGTTTTTCCTCTTTTTTTTCCTGGCACCGAGAATGTGTAGATTTGGTCAGAGGAAAGCAATTCCTAATTCCGATAATGGCACACTCTGGTACGACAGGTGGGTGTTGAGTGGGTGTTGAGATCTGATAGCACATATGATGCAGTTGGCACAGCCATCGACGAACCTATACAAAGTGCGCCCTTGCTAGTCGCGACCATGTTATCCACCGCAACGACCTTGATCTGCGAGGACCCCAAGGTTCAGACCAATCTCAGCAAACACGATGTAGGCTGGCGCAGAGTGGTTCGCCAGTTCACTCCTTCGTATGTATCATTGACTCCATCCAAGGTCCTAGATAGACTTAGCTGACATGTCCGGATAGATGGTTCTCAGTCACCATGGGCACAGGCATAGTAGCTGAGTTGCTCAACACGCTTCCATATAATGGCCGATGGCTTTACTGGATATCCGTGGTCTGTTTTGCTCTCAACATCCTCCTCTTCGTCACGGGCTGTGTCATCACCTGTTTTCGGTATGTCCTCTATCCAGAGGTCTTTTTCACCATGATCAAAGACCCCGTCCAATCCATGTTCATCGGCACGTTTCCCATGGGACTCGCGACTATCGTCAACATGGTTTGCCTCGTCTGCGTTCCAGCCTGGGGTGACTGGGCGCGGCATGCCGCCTGGGGTTTGTGGATCTTCGACGCTATCTTCTCTTTTATAACAGCCCTATCCTTACCATTCCTACTGTGCGTCCCCCCCCCCCTTGCCAAACGTCCAACTCGAATATCCCACTCACGCGATTCCAGGATGCTGCATGAGAGCGAAACCCAACTCTCCTCCATGACCGCAGTATGGCTCCTCCCCATCGTCAGTTGCAGTGTCGCGGCTTCAAGTGGCGCCGTCGTGGCTGGCGTGCTTCTCAATTCACAACATGCCCTCTGGACCGTGCTCGTGAGCTACGTGCTGTGGGGGGTCGGGCTACCGCTAGGCCTCATGGTCATGGTGATCTATCTCCAACGCCTGACACTCCACAAATTACCTCCCAAAGCCGTGATCGTGAGCGTCTTCCTCCCCTTAGGGCCATTAGGTCAAGGCAGCTTAGGGTGAGACCCTTTTCCTCTCCCTCAAACTTACATCTCCCCCATTCTCACCACCTCAACAGGGCCATGAAGCTAGGTACAGTCGCGCAGGAAATCTTCCCCGAAATGCACATGCTGGAAGCCGCCGGGTCCGGACCCATTCTGTACATCATGGGGTTCATGGTCGCCCTGGTTCTCTGGTCGTTCGGGCTGGTGTGGCTCTTCTTCGCCTCCGCGTCCATTGCGCGGAGCAAGAGCTTTCCCTTTAATATCGGCTGGTGGGGGTTCACCTTTCCTCTGGGAGGGTACGCGATGAGTACGTGCCAGATGGGCAAGGAGTTGCCGTCGGAGTTTTTCAGTATCGTGGGGACGATCCTCTCGCTCTGTGTGGTCGTTTTATGGGGGGTGGTGAGTGTAGGGACATTGCGGGGCGTCGTCTCTGGACAGTTGTTCCTCGCGCTGTGTCTGGTGGATTTGAAGGGCAAAGAGGATGAACTCAAGGATGCTACAAAGGCGGCTTGACTGATAGTTTCATGATAGAAGGGGCGAAAGGGGCACTTCCGTCATATGTAATTATTGTACTAATAGTATACAGCGCATTGAATGGGTTCTGGAGATGTAAGGGAACAACGTCAGGAGAGTCGAGAAATCGATGAGCCAAAAAAAAATAAATAAAAAAAAGTCGACAAAGAAAAAAACCGTGGAAGAATCGGCGGGAGGGTTATTGATGTCTCATCCCTACTCCTTACGGAGATCTGTTTAATCTACTCTCGCGTGGGCGTGTGGAGGGCTCCTCATCTGGTGGAACGTCACCAGATAATCCGATCCAGGATCGTTCTCTCGAAAAGTAAGCTTAAATGGTGGACTCGAGCGATCATAGGTCGAATGCCCATTTTAGCTGTCGGCGATGGGGGTTTAATAAATCATTTTCGTTTAGTTTGGGGAGGGGAGAGGGGTTTGGAGGAATTTAGGATTTTTGGTGACCCCCCGAATATTTTTATGGGTTTTTTACTATTTTTTTTTTATTCGTGACTTATTTTCTTTGGGATTGTTTATTATTATTTATTTATTTTATTTTATTCTTTTTCGCCTCTGTTTAGTTGCCGGGAGGAGGGGCGGAGTACACCCTTTAGTGCAGACCCTCAGGCACACCACACCAGCGAGGGGAAGACCCCTGAGAACTTTACTTTTGACATACTTATTAAGACCAGGTACGGAGTACACAGTGTATCTAGATATCGGTAGAAGCGCCCGTGAGATCTGCTGCTATGGTCGACCTCAACATCCTGACGAGCATTCTGCTTGAGATTGTGGCCGTCCGTCAGCATGGCATTTGTGCCCGATGGCTGCCCTTTGCTCTCCTCGCCTCTCTCCTCGCCTCTCTCCCCTCCCCGCCGACGCGTGGCTGCGCCGTGAGTGGCCAGCCAGGCCGGGATCACGTGCGCAGACGGGGGGCGCGAAAATAAAAACCAAAAATCGAATTTCCGAAAAACCAAAAACAAAAAAATTAAAAAAAAGCGGCCAAAATAAAAAATAATAATAATAATAACCAAAAAAAAAAGGAACGGAGTCCATCAAGATCTCAAACAAATCATCGCGCGCTGCCATCGCCAGACCTTCAGGATCCATCGAGGACCGTCTTGCTGGGTGGGTTGACGGTCTCTTGCCAGGAATCCAGGGCCCTCGTCGCTGCTGTTCGCCCTGGTCGCGTTGCTCGCTCCTCAGGACTCTCTCGCTGCCACTCTGGCCGGGAAGAGGGCGAGTGGCCACTTACTCTCCCCAACTCCAACTCCCAACCCTTGCGGCCCCGGTCACTGCCGGTCCGCCGTAGTCCGTCCTCGACACCTCGACACCTCGACACCGCAATATTCAGGCACTCGGATATCAAGACATCGAGGCACCCAGGCACCCAGGCACCGAGGCTAGGCCACGGCTGTCAGTCACGCTTTCTTCGATTCCGCTTTGGGGTTCGATTTCCGAATCATTTTCATTTTATTATTATTATTATTATTTATCGCCAGCGCCTGCGACTCCGTCGGTTGCACGGCTTCCCCTTCCTTTCTTCGCATCATTCAGACGCGCCCGCGTGCGAGTCTCTGTCTCTGTCTACTGCATTGCTGTTGTTCCTCAGCCGTGACCGCAGATTCCCCCCCCAGAAGCGTGTCTCGTCTCGCTGGCTCGGTGCGAAGACGCGGTGGTCACATGTCCGCCATCGCCTTCCATCCACCACCACATCGAACATTCGCCGCTTCCACCACCTCCCACTCCCCCTCCACTCCCCCCTCCACTCCCCCCAAAAAAAATAAACCCCGTCAGGGACCACTCCTGAGGGGTTCCACGCCCTCATCATTGGCGCTTCGTCAAGATGATGGGCTATAATGGTCATCCATTCCACCCCCAACGCCAATCCCAGCAGAATGCCCACCCGCAGCACGCGCAGCAACTGCAATCCCCGTCCATGAGTGCCGCTGGCGCCCACCCGCACCATGGCACGGGCATTGCCGGCAATAGCGCCCTGTTTCGGGGTCAATCGCAGGCGGACCTCGCGACCCAGTCCCCGGATCTCCGCAAGATGACCCCGTCCTCCACTGGACCCCTCGTCGGGCTCCCCACGGGGGGCCATTTTAGTCCCTTTCCCGGACATTACCCGCCGCAGGGCTCGTCAGACCTGCTGTCGCGCAACGCGGACTCTGTCGGCCAATTGAAGGACCCTTACCTGTCCCTGCAGAGCCTGCAGAGGAACATGAACCCCATGGCCAATTTCCGGGCTCATCCCACCATGAACGCGCAGGCCGCCATGTCCCCGCACGCCCACGCCATGGGTCTTGCCTCGCCGCAGCAGTCTTACGACCGACTGCAGCAGTCTCAGCTCCAGCATCGACAGTCCACTCACACGCATCCGACGACCCAAACCTCCGCCACCGCCTCGCCAATGCTGACCACCACCCAGCCGCAGCATCAGTATCACCAGTCGGCTTACCAGCAGGCCCAGCAGGCCTCCCCGTATCAGCAGGCTCAGCAGCAGTCTCCCTACCAGCAGACTCACGCCTCACCTTATCAGTCGCAGCAGGCCCATTATCAGCAGGCTCAGCACGCCCAGTACCAGCAGTCTCAGCATCAGGCTTCCCCGTACCAAACGCAGGCTCTCCAGTCTCCGTACCAGCAACATGCCCACCAGACATATCAGCAGCAGCAGGCAGCGCAACAGGCCGCCCAGCAGGCCCAGCAGGAAGCTCAGCAGCAAGCGGCGCAACAGCAGGCCCAACAGGAAGCCCAGCAACAGGCGGCCCAGCAGCAGGCCCAACAGGCAGCTCAGCAGCAGGCCGCCCAGCAGGCGGCGCAACAGCAGGCGGCGCAACAGGCGGCGCAACAGCAGGCGGCACAACAAGCCCAGCAGCGGGCCCAGCAGCAGGCCCAACAGCGAGCCCAGCAGAAAGCGCAACAGGAGGCTCAGCTGAAAGCCCATCAACAAGCACAACAGGAGGCTCAATTGAAGGCGCAACAGGAGGCCCAACTGAAGGCTCAGCAGGAGGCTCAACTGAAAGCCCAGCAGGAGGCTCAACTGAAAGCCCAGCAGGAGGCTCAACTGAAAGCCCAGCAACAAGCGCAACAGGAGGCTCAACTGAAAGCTCAGCAGGAAGCTCAGCAAGAGGCCCAGAAGCAGGCCCAGCAACAAGCCCAGCAACAAGCGCAACAACAAGCGCAACAACAAGCGCAACAACAGGCTCACCAGCAGGCTCAGCAACAAGCTCAGCAGGCGTATCAGCAGCAGCAGTCACGATTCCAACAGCAGCAGGCGCAACGGTCCCCGTATCAGTCACAACCGCAGCAGCTTCAATTCCAACATGCCTATCAGCGTCATTACCAACAGCCTCAACAACATACCCTCATGCAGCAGCATCCACAACAGCAGCAGCATCCCCAGCAGCAGCAACAGCAACCACAGCAACAGCAACAGCAGCAGCAGCAAAATCATGCTATGCAGCAGCACCAGGCGCAGCAGCACCCTATGCTCCAACAGTACCAAGCACAGCATCACGCACAACAACCGTCACCAGTCAAGGCACAACCGCAACAACTACGTCCCCCGCAGTCTTCTACCCCCGTCAACATGGCTGGTGCAGAGCTTATCGCCCCAACGCCGCCGAAACCCGAGGGTGCCGCCCCGAAACAACGGAAGAAACCAGCCAAGCCTTCTGCGTCTCCTGCCAATGCTGCTCCGCAAGTCAACGGACAAGCTCCAACCGGATACCCAACTGCTACGCCCCTTCCCATCCCCGGTCCCGTTACTGTGTCTGCTCCCGTTGGTAGCCCTGCTGGTGGTCCTATTCCTAGTCCCGTCACAGATCCTGTTGCTGGCCCCGTCGCAGGTCCCGTCGCAGGGCCTGTTGCTGCGGCTGCTGCCAATGCCGCGCCTGGTACTGCCCAAGCGACCCCCAAGAAGCGAGGTCGTCCCCGCAAACCCGTCATTCCTGGAGAAGAGAAGAAATCCAGGCCCAAGAAGCCCAAGAAAGTGCACATGATACCTACAACGGCACCAGACGGCACAACGATCATGGTTCCAGCTCCCATGACCAACCCTGATGGCTCAGTTATTGTTCCTCGTCCGCGTCCGCCCCCGCCTCCGCTGCTCCCTCTGCTCGGGCCCGACGGGAACCCTGTTCTTGATGCCGACGGCAACCCTGTCATGCAAAAACGACGCCGTGGACGACCCCGCAAGTCAGAACAGGGCCAGAGCAACATGCCCCCCAGGCCCAGGCCCCCGAAGAAGCCTTCAAATAAACCGGGCACCGGTCGGCCTCGGGGCCGGCCTCGTAAGGTAGATGTGGAAGCGCGAAAGGCAGCCGAGGCAGCCGCCGCATTAGCCCAGGGGGTGCAAGTCAAAACTGAAGGCCAGCCACAGCAGCCGCACATGCAGGGCCAAGCTCAGCCCCTTCCTCACTCGCAGGCTCAGACACCAACTCAGGCCAGGCCACAACCGCCAGCTCCTCCGGCACAGTACCAGCATCATCACCAGTTCCAAGTGCACCCCCAACCGCATCACATTCAAACACCTATCACACAAGTGCAGAGCAAACCCCATACTCCCGGACACCAGATGCATGCTTCGAATCAAGCTCAGTTCCAAGCCCTTCAACACCAATTCCAAGCTCAGATCCAGCCTCCCACCAATACCCAAACTACTCAGGCCCAACAACCAGAACAAAAGCCAGCACAACCGCAGCCCCAACCTCGTCAACCGCAGCCCCCGAAGAAGGCCCAGGCACAGCCTCGACAAACGCAGCCACAAGCGCAAGCTCCCACACCAGCGCGTCAAATGCAGACTCAGGGTCAAGTTCAAGGTCAAGGTCAAGCTCAAGCTCAAGCTCAAGCACCAGCGCGTCAAATGCAGGCCCAGGTCCAGGCCCAGGCACAACCGCCTGCACGCCAAATGCCAGCACAGTCTCAGGCTCAGGCCCAGGCTCAGGCCCAAGTACAATCCCCCGCTCATCAAATGCAGGCCCAGCACCAAGCACAGCCTCGACAAGTGCCGGTTCAAGCTCCGGCACAACCACCAGCGCGTCAAATGCAGGCACATGCACAATCCCAGGCACACACTCAGGCTCGCCAAATGCAGGCCCAACAGCAAGCACAACCCCGACAAGTGCACGCGCAAGCTCAATCTCAGGCGCAAGCACCGGCGCGTCAGATGCAGGCTCACCCACAGGCCCAGGCCCGACAACTCCAGGCGCAACCGCAGGCGCAGGCGCAACCGCAACCGCGCCAGATGCAACCTCAGCCTCAGGCACAAATGCAACCACATCCCCGTCATCTGCAGCCGCAAGCCATGTCCCATGCGCAGATGCATCATCCCCAAGCTCACCATCTCCAACCACACCAGCTGCACGTCCAGGCGCAAGCCCACACCCACCCTCATCTTCACATGCATCCTCACCTCCACCCTCACGCCCAACCCACCGACCCAATGGCCCTCAACCCGCCCCAAAAGCGCGGCGCGCCTGTGGACGACGACCCACGAAAACGAGCCTTCATCATGCCTCAGCAGATGTAATTGTCTGCCTCTCTGTCTGTCTGTCTGCCTGTTTTACGCTAGATGCAACGAAACTCCCATCCATTCTTCATGTCGCCATCCGTCCTCTTCCTTCATTGTTACTATCTAATCTTGTTTTTACTTTATTTTATTTTTCAACCCGACTGAGAGTATCCTGGCGAGTCTGATTGATTGTCCATTGTCCATTGTCAATTGTCCATTATTATGTTACATTGATTGCATTTTCTGCTGCACAAATTCCTTCCTGTCTGCGCGAGTTCTCTCTAGCTATCTATTTTTATCTATCTTTCTATTCATCCTGTCTCTCTCCTCATGACTCCTCCAATCCAATAACCCATTTGAGCCTACGTTCCATGTTTTGCTGATGTCCCAAATCCGTGTCTGCGTTCAAGACTGTCTATTCCTCCTGATCTGATCGGTCGATTGATCGATCGATGGTTTCGAGTCCAGCAAGGTACGGAGTGGAGTAACAATAACTTCCATGCCGACTGCATGTTCGAATCTATTCATCCCATCCCATCCCATCCCATCGGTATTGTATGGTTTTGCCGTTTTTTTCTATTTCTATTTCTATTTCCATCTCCATCTTTATTGTTATTTTCACTGTTAGTACTTACTTCATCATTCGTCAACGCATCCGTCATCATCATATCCATCCATCCCTCTATCTGCTTTGGGCCATCCATTCATTGTTTGGCATTCATGAATCATAGGTCGTCGCGCTTGAGCATGATTACCGAGTAAGCGAGGTATTTTGAATTCTGAATTTTGAGTCGGGTTGAGTTGAATGGAATTAAATGGAATCGAATCCAATTGAGAGGGCAAGCCCTTTCCACTTTGTTTATATACTACTACATATTTTTATATCCACTCCACGTGATCTACTATGCTCTACTATACCTGTTCACTAGCACCTAGAATCAATCGACTTGGCATAAGTCATGGTATCATTTTCTATCTAGAATAGATAGTAGGTAGTAAAAAACCCTCAATTTCAACTAGAAAGCTCCAAGCACAACTGTAATCAACGCCTGTACATTACATTCTCAAGAGCAGGAGGGTTCGTTATCCCGCACGCTCAGCAGAAGAAGTGCAAAAAATACAAAGACAAATCAAAGACATGGAAATGACAAGACAAAGAAAAAGAATTGGGGGGGGGGGGGGGTTATGTAGCAGTATATGTCACTGAGTCAAGACAAATGAGAGAACAAAATAAAAAATAGTGCACCATCGTATAGTCATAAATTAAATAAAGAGAGGTAAAAAGACAAATGGGAAATAGAATAGCAAGCAACCGAAAAGGCAATGGGTACCCCATAACATCATAGTCGTCAGCATAATATGAAAAGAAAATAGAGAGATATAGAAATTAATAAGGGCATGAAGGAAACACACATGGAAAGTAATATCCAATACCTCGTGGGGAATAATAATCTCAAGGAAGTCAAGCAAACCCAAGGAGTAAAAAGAAGAGGAATGAACAAAAAGCAAGAAAAACGGAAAAGTCAAGACTGGATGGGGGAATCATACTTTTATAAAAAGACATGTAATTTACCAACAGACCCGAAAGGAAAACACCGTAAAAGTCTTAGTCCGTCGTATCAAACTCCATGGAGTCCATATCGTCCATTGCAGAAGTTACATCCGATAGGTTCAACGCTTGCCCCAGGCCCAGGTCAGTTCCCTCCGCATCGGCGGGCAAGTCCGAGCCGTCCGGCAGGTCACTGATGTCGATGTTCAGACTCGGTGCGAGCCGACGCACGACGCTGTGACACAGTCGGAAGGCGCGGCGGGAAGCAGTATGCGACACGGCCATGTGATTGAGCCAGTGGAGGGCCTTTTTGGTCTTACGCACCAGGGTAGACATATCGGTGAACACACACTGAGTGGAGTCCTCGTGCGATATAGAGCGGGATCGGCGGGCTGGGCCGGGCGGCCAGCTGGATAGATGGATGAGGATGGCGGTGGTGGCTTGCATGATGTAATGGAGGATGCACCACCAGGGGGTCACACTGGACAGCCAGAGGATGTCGGGAGTGTCGGGGAGAACAGCGAGCAGGTTGCAAGCAGAGCGGATGCAGATGATGGCCATCTCGTAGCGGAATTGGCTTCGAGGGTGAGAGGTGGAACGCGAGTTGCGGCGAGAGGAACTGGTGCCTCCATCGGGGGAGAGAGAGCTCGGCTTGGTGGCGCCGGCGTGGGAGAGGCATGGCCGGCAGAGGGTGATCCGGGCGCTGTAGTAGTTGATGGCCAAGGAGAGCTGTTCGCGCGTGTAGTTGCTATCCCGGTCCGAGGCGTCAAACTGGTCGTTGGTCCCCGTGATGAAGCGATAGGGCTCTGGGACCTTGGAGACCCAGATATCCAAGATATCGTTGTATCTGTGGATGCGCTGCTCGACTTGACTGGCCCGATCCCGCAGACCCTGGATGCTGTAGATCTTATAGAGGACGGCCTGCGTGATGATTGCCAGGTCCACAGTGCAGTGGAAGAACAACGACGAGCTGGGCTCGCACGTCGCAAGCCATGCCGCAGTGGCGCGTGCTTCCTCCTCCGTCTGCAGCAGGGTCAACTTCAGTCGACTCGAGCGCAGAGAGGAGTCTTGGAGGAGGGGGAGGACGTCCGGCCGGCCGAATTTGTCCTCATCGAACGGGATAGGCAGGGGCGTCGAGCTGAGGCTCTCGCCCACGCAGGAGGCTCGACCGGTGACGGCAGTGAGGAGGTGCTCCAGCAGGAAGATCGACCACCACAGCCGGCCGCGTGCCTCCTTGGCGGGATACTGCGTGCGATCATCCACGAAGCGGAGGTTGATGCCCAGGGACACGGCGGATCGGAAGGCCATGCTGGAGAACTTGAAGGCCCTGTGGCAGCGTGAGTTATGTACTATGATACACCAGGGGGGGGGGAGTCACACCTATTGACTTGATACATGGTCACGAAGTAGAAGGCGACCAAGAACTCGACCTGGATCTGCTGGAGATCCGCATGCGCGAACACCTCGGCATCCCCCAGGGCCAGTTTCCTTGCGCGGTTCAGATACACTAGGTCCTCGTGATCACCGTCCGCCTCGCCGGTCACGACACGGCAATACCGGCGTCCAATGGCGAAAATCATGTTCAACACGGCCAGCCACCGCATGGGGGGCTTGGCCGGTGTATTGTAGAACTGCCGGAACTGCGACACGAAGGTCGTCTTTCGAATGATGTTGAAGGAGGGGTGGACGGATTCCATGTACGCGTTGAACAGCCGGTTCGCCACGTCCTTTGGCGGCAGGGCATACGGGTCGACGGAGTCAATCAGCGGGACATTGAGGTCGTCCACGAAGTAAGTCATGGTCGCGATCGCAGTTTCCGGTCGGGGCTGCTGGAGATCGCCGCCCGTCAGGCTGTCCGAATAGAGGGGCCCTTCTTTGGCCCGGCTTCGAATTTCGGCCTCGTCCTCCAGCTTTTGCATCCACGATACTTCCGAGTTCTTGCCGAAGAACCCCGTGGCCACCGATCTCTCGCTGCGGTTCAGGTCCTCCTCGATCAGGTCCAGTGCATTGAGCGACCCGATGGACGACGAAGATGTGTCGGAGTCGATATCATCCTCCGCGTCCGGTGCGTGATCGGCGGAGCCCTTCGCGATCAGATCAGCCATCCCTTCTAGACCTAGACCATAGTAGCAAGCAGCATCTAGACTTACCCTGAGGGCCCTCCGAATGCGTCTCGCCGTTTCCTCGTCCTCCTGCTTTTCCAACTCATGCAGCAGCTGCTCATAGCTCTCCACCCTCCTGCACAGGAAGCCCAGCTGCTTCTGGTCGCGCACACGCTTGACATCCACGTAGATGCAGCTGATATTGTGGTCAATACACTGTCGACAGTGCGGCTTGCTCCCATCGCACTTGATTTTCCGCTGTCGGCAGGGGTCGCAGGCGCGCGCGGACCGGCGGCGCTGGGACTGGCTGCCAAAACTGGTCGTGCGCGGGATGGGGACTTTGGGGGCGGGTCCAGAGACCTCGCGCGACGAGGAGGAGGAAGATTGGTTGGGATAGGGCCCGGGTCGGTCCAGGTATCTAGGAGGAGGGATGGTGTAGGGACGGAAGCCCGGGGGGGGAAGGGCGTCGGGCTGACCGATGGCCAGGTCCATTCGCCGAGCCCAGCCAGGGCCTGGGTGTCGGGGTCGAGGGCGGGGATTTGCTGGTCGACGGGGACCTGGCGAAATGGAAAGGAACGGTGTATATCATCCATGATGATGAGGGGGTGGGTCCATGGAGGGCGAAGCTGATAGGGGGGGGGTTGGAAGAAGCTGCACAGGGCGATGAAGTGGATGAAGTGGATGAAGTGGATGAAGTGGATGAAGTGGATGAAGTGGATGAAGTGGATGAAGTGGATGAGGTGGATGAGGTGGATGCAGTCGAAGAGGTCGAGCAGGTCGGACAGAGGGAGGATGTTCAACAGCAGAATGACGTCAGGGGCCCATGCGGAAAGAGCCTTTGGGAACCCAAACTCAAAGCCGGGCACATGCGACCGGCATTTTCTTGTTGTATTAGGCATTATGCTGCGCGCAGACATGGTACGAACGCTCACAGCAATCCCCATCACACCACCGTCCGCACCTCCCCGGGAAACCACCCCAGGCTGAAACTTATCTTCCGGCCAGGCTGCGAGTTACAATCGCCATCGAAGACACAGGGTTCAATTTCCGAGTCTAACACTCCTGGGCCCTGGGTAGTCTCCCCGAGATCCCACGGTTCACGGTCGCAGCCGCTCAGGAGCAATTTCGTCCTTGCCCAAACTCAAGCTTTCGTACCGGTCCAGCATTTCGGAAAGACTGCGGTCGCCCTCCATGATTCCATGATAGCGTTCGTCCGTTTCCAGCTTCTGCAGCCCCTTCGCGTAGTCGTCCCACTGGGACGACATTGTCGATTCTTCGTCGAACATCTCTTTCAGGTCGTCAGAGGCCAGATGGGACTCTCGAAGGTGCCGCCCCTGCCCTTTCGCGCGCACCGACTGTCGAAACATGTGAAATAGGCTTCGTCCCAGGTGCGAGCGGTTTGCGATGCTGGAGAAGGCGCTTGCGAGCGCCAGAAAGTCTGCGTCCAGGATGTCGAACGACTCGGGTTCCAGCATCGTGAACAACGCTAAATTGATCGCGTACATCGCGAAGTGGTGCGCGCGACTGATGCCGAACTCGCGCCGGTGGAGAATCGTAAGGGTCGCGATCGCATGCGCCGCCGACTGCACGATCTCGAACGTGTTGTACTTCGACAGCGGGCTCAGGCCCGGGGGGCTCTCGGGGGTCTTCGGTGCCTCGGAGTCGGGGCTGGATACATATCCATCGCCCTCGAAGGAGAAGATGTTGATGACCAGCGTGTGGAAGCGCATTCTAACTAGTCAGCATTCCGTGGACCATGGGTGGGTCCCACGTCAGGTTTGGGCCCATCGGTTATGACAAGTGGTTCAGGTCACGGGCAGACCCAGGGACCAAGCGCATGTGAACGCACGCACCTTAGGAGAATAATGTAGGGTGGCGGTCTACGATGTGGATCGAAAAACTCGGGCAGTCCAGTATACCAGGCCCGGAGTCGCTCGTACAGAGTTTCCTTGGCCTGCCACTTGTGCTGGAGCGAGGATGCCGTGTCGTTGATGGTGAACAACCGTTGCGAGATGTCTCGTGCGATCTCACATAGGTTGCAGGACTCGTTGAAGTACTGGCTTAGATAGGATTGCCGAGCAAGCCGGTGAGATGGGTAGGGGAACCATATGCTGGAGTCCTCCACCAAATATCGGTTGGGCCGTTCCAGATTGACCTTATCTATAAGGCTGGGTCGAAGGAAATCGGTGTGCACGACGCTTTTCGCGATAGTCAGCAATCGCACGCTCCGTACTTTGGCTGAAAGGATAATTTACGTGTCGATGTGAAACAGGCCCCAGGCCGTTCGTTTGACCGAAATGTCCATGTCGTCTGATATTTGCCCCGGACTCGGGGCGAACATCCTTGGGCCGATCAGCCCGAGGGACTCGCCGGTCCAGATAGCTTGATGAAGCATCCGATAGCCGAGATCATCCTCGCCGGAAATCGAGTATCTTCACCCCAGCAGTCAGACAGAGCTCGTCGTCACACCACCACAACAGGATACGAACCTTTCATACAGCAAGAGCGTGCCTTGCAGGTAGGCCAGGCTGATCTTGGTGGGTTCCTCCTCCCTCAGACGTTCGGCTTCGGCAAGGAAATCGGCCCCCTTGGTCACAATATCCCCGGGATCGACGTAGGCCTCGGAGTAGTCAGAGAAGTGCTGCACAGACACGGTTAGCTGATATCCGAACACCCCCCGCAAGACCAGTATACACACCCGGTTCAACCATAGATGCGGGTGGACGAAAGCAAAGAAGACCTACGCATGCGTTCGTAAGCAGAGCGTTCACAAGGAATGGACTGCATAAATCCGACTTGGTGTTACCCTTGCGCATATGAGCCAGGAACACGTCGCGGTCCAGGAAGGCGTGGAAGGGGTAGTCCCAGGTGAAATACAGCGACACTAGATGTGAGACGAGGTCTGCATCGGCGGTGACGGTAGTCCAGGGTTTGGCGGGGACTCTGTAGGGCACTTCGTTGCATAAGTAATGGATATCCATAACCTTGGGGCGGAACGACGGCCCAGCGCCTTCGATATCGATCACCCGTCTGACCTCCTGCAGCTGTCTCTCCGCTACATCACTCACCTGGCCGTGGCCCTCAATCTGGCTCAACATCTCATCGATATACGTACGGATCTCCTCCCCGCTGGCATTGTTCCGGATGATCTCCAGCAGCCGCAGAGCATGCGTCTGGTCCTCCGCCCGCATCACCCGCAGCAGATCGTTGAGCATGTCACGGTGGTAGCTGAGTTCATCTGCGGTCCGCTTCGCAGCAACCCTCCGGCGCTGATCGAGCGTCTCATCAAAGACGCACTGGCGGTTGAACGCCCGGCAGTTGTCGCACGGCGGTGTTCCAGAGCACTATCGAGGGGTCGGTCACACTCGGGAGTCAGCGATTGTCGCACTGCGGTCTCACCAAACACAAACACATCCATCATCTGCAACCATGACCCCCTCTCCCCTCCGGAAAGATGCCCGAGAGGACTCACCTTCCGTTTAGACTTCTTACACGCCAAACAGGCCATGGACACACGCTTTTTAGAAGAATCGGAAGGATGGCGCCAGCTCTCTCCGGGGGGGCTATCCCCGCCGGGGAACTTCTCGGGCTTAGTGGGCGAAGGTCCGGGGGCAAGTTGACGGTGCTGGCTGGCGAACTCAGTCATCTTGTATGGGAGTGTAGGCGCGGGTATATCGGGGAGAGTGGGGGTCGAGGGGAAGAGGCTGGGCCAACAATAACAACAGCAGGCAGGGTGGCGAGCCACAGAGGTGAGAGATATAAGAAGAGGAGGGGAGGGGCGCCCACCGTGTCGTGTAATTCCTTTTGTTCCGATGACTTACCTTCACATGACGTAGGCGAGGGAGGGCACACTTACGTTAGAGGCGTCAGGAAACCATGTCCGCGGATTTCTGGAACGCCCGGCCAAGGCTGGAGGCCGACGGGAGCAGGAAACTGGAAAGCAGGTCTCGGGACTGTCTAAGATGGACAGGTTCAGAGGCATCGGGGCAGTTGTCGAGGTCGCGTTGCAGGCGAAACGAAACAGTCGCGAAGTTCATCGCGAAATCGAGTGCCTGGAGACCACGTGATCCAGCCCCCCCCCCCCGCCAAGGTATGGTATCCTTCAACTACAGATGCAGAGGGAAACACTGAATTGGACATTACGTAGTACGGTGATATCTCCTAACTAACAGGCTGGCACAATCTGCTGATTCTCTCCTGGGAACCCCCTTTTGACCCAGCATTCCGGCGTCCAGGAGAGGCGCAGAATGCTTCCAATTAAAGAACACTAACGACCAGGATAATAAAAACGAAAAAAAAAAAAGAAAAGAAAAGAGAGAGAAAGAGAGAAAGAAACCTGCGGCGAAGAAGAGAAGAAAAATCCCTAGACTAGGAGGAAAGCAGATGCCGCTCTTTGCGAATGCGCCCCTCGTCCCCCCAGAGATAGAACCCAGCAGACATGATATGATGTTCTCGATCCGAAGCAAAATCCCAACAAATGACCCCGCTTCAAACAAATACTCTATCAGCCCGCGCCGGCCCGGCCCCGGGGCCATCACAGATGAGACGATGGGACAGGGCCGCACACATACGCAGTAGGAAGGAGAGAAACAGGGGGAGGGGGAATCTAGTGCTCCAGGATGCGCAGGCTGCCCTGCACAACGCAGTTCTCCAGCACGGAACCCGGGGGCACGTCGATGGTGCTGCCCTCGGTGGCCACGATGATGACCGTGCCCTTGAGCTGCACGTTGCGGCCCAGGTTCACGGCACCCGTGATGGTGAGGTGGTCCAGCTCGACGATGCGGGGGATGCTGGGGATGTGCTTCTGGAAGTCGGAAACCTTCTTGAAGTCGGATCCGAGCTTGATGACGGGGACACCGCCGAAGCGGCTGGGGTCCATGACCAGCTGGCCGTGCTCCAGGCGGTACAGGTCCGACTTGACCAGCAGAAGGTCGGAGCAGGTCTTGACCGGCAGGAAGCGGCGACGGGGCACGTTCACACCGTGGCCGTTCTTGAAGTGACGGATGGCGGCACCGACGGCGGTCTCCAGCTGGTAGATGGCCTGGTCGGCCTCGCCCTTCTTGTCGGCGGGGATGGACTTCTCGTTGGCGATGATCTCCATCTCCAGCTCGTTCTCCTCAACGACCCGCTTGATGGCGCGGAGGCTCATCCAGATGTTGTTGGTGTTGAAATACTTGAACTTCTTGATGGACTTGAACTCGTTGACGTGCTCCTTGGGCACCTGGGCGATTTCCAGCAGACGAGCCTTGCCCTCGTAGTCAATGATGGTACCACCCTTGACGTCGGCCTTGGTCTTGTCGGTCAACTCCATGATGTACTCGGACTCGGTGTCCACCATGTGCTTCAGGATGCTGAGATCCACCACGGCACCCAGGTTGTCGGCGTTGGACAGGAAGATGTACTCCACGCCGCGGTTCAACAGCTGGTCCAGGGTACCCGAGTTGTACAGCGACTCGAAGACGTCACCGTGGCCGGGGGGGTACCAGTCCTGCAGAGGGGCGTCGAAGGACTTGGGGGCCGGGAGGAGAGAGTCCTTGATGATACGGGGGTACCGGGACTGGTTGAAGGTGATGATGTCGACATTGTGGCCCTGGTACTTCTTGATGATCGACTGGGTGTCCTGGTCGGTGTTGAAGGAGTTCATGAGAACGAAGGGCACGTTGACGTTGTAGGTGCGGTTGAGGTGCTCGATCTGGCGGACGGACAGATCCAGGAAGGACATGCCCTCGCGGACCTCAATGACGGACTTGGGGCCGACACAGCCCATGGAGGTTCCCAGACCACCGTTGAGCTTGACCACAGCCAGCTTGTTCAGGAACTCGACCGACGCCTCAGTGCCGAGATCGTTGTAGTCCACCACCTGGGAGGGCTGGGGAGGGGCGATGCGGTCCCAGTTGACCTCGTTGCCCTTGGCCTTGTCGTTGAGGAATCTGCGGAAGAGAGCGAAGAAGTTGTCCATCTCCGCCTCAAAGCGCTTGCGCTCCGACTCGTCGGTGACGGTCTCGGCGAGAGCGTTCAGGGCATTGCGCATCTGGGAGGCAGCCACACTGGTGGAGGCGTTCTCGAAAGCCTGGGGAATCGGACGCATTAGCACGGATGTGAGAAGGATTGTAAAGATAGAGCCCAAAGCTGCCCATCGCACACTGCGCCACCGTGGCACGCCACGTAGAGGCAGAGCTTGGTCAGACCAACCCCACCCAACCAGCATATGCCAGACAGCCCCCAACGCGAGGCGGAAAACCAAATGGCTCCATCTCACGGGGGACCAAAGACCACAGTAGAGCCCAAGAAGTTGATCGGGAAGGAGATGCAAGGTTTCTGAAAGCTTCACCATAATCCTAGCTGCGAACGGGGCCAGAAACCACGGAGGGTGCAGAAAATGAGAGTACAAGTGTTGTAGATTCACGCGGTACAGGAATAGCAGAGGCACCGAATACCAATATGAACTGGTAAGCGCTGTGCATTGCCTGGTCCAAGACTCCACGCCCATTCGGGGGGAGTTTGTGATGAACCAGGTGAACAAGACAACAAGATAGAGGTATACACAGGGCTCCACGACTCTTCTCATGACGCGTATATTCTTGTCATCGGCTGCGCCAACGAAGAAGATCATGTCCCAGCCCAGAGCAGCAATCTTTTTAGATATGTAGACTGTGGCCATGGTTGGAGGTATGGATAGTGCAGATAACGAGTGAATAGTACCGAGGAAGATCAATGATGATCGCAAGGACCAGCGCATCGCCTCTCTTATCATCTCGTGGCGGCATGGGGGGGGGGGGGGGGACAGGACCAATTCTCAAGCATCACGGAAGGAAAGGCCGCATTCAAGCACTTACCATGTGAGACTGGGACTTTCCGTGGTGCTTGCCGAACGAGGCGCCGCTCGTGGCGTCGCTCGCAGGAGCTCTGAGGTGACTGGGCAAAGCCTTGGACGCCATTGTATGAGTGTAGGGAAGGTTGTGAGGTGAGGTGGAGGAATGTAAACAGAGCAGTCGAGAGATCGGTTCCGCTCACTGTGGCCGAAATGGGTTAGTTGTCAACAGCTCACGAAGCCTGGGTAGAGGAGAATTGGGGGAGGGGAGGGGTTGAGTAATTCAGGAATTGGGGAGATAAGGCGAAATGGGATGAGGGAGGGAGGGGGATTTGGAAGGTTAAAAACGCCAGCAGCTGAATGAAGCCCGTTGCCAGTCAACAAGCGACGAGGTCATTGGCGGGGCTGGGAAGAGGCGATAGGTGCGACAGATGAGGGAGGGAGGGGTGGAACATTGGGCGGGGGAAGATGGCGATGGCAGACATACCTGGAGGGAGAAGATGAGAAGTGAGGATAGCGAGGGAACAGAGAGAGAAAGAGGACAAGTTCGTAACAGTGACAGGATGCGCGCCGGCGACCGTCCGTATTTATTAGGATGACGCCGAATCGGCTGGCCCTGGGAATCATTTCTTTTCGGCGGGACAGAGTGGGGTTCCGTTACAGGCGGTACCTTACTAGTACCGTACGCTACGGAGTACATCTGCCCCTCCCCCTGGTTGCACGCAGTATGTACCTTACAAGCAAGTAACTGGAGAGGGAGGGGTAACAGGCACCTGGCACTGGGCAGACCGAGTTTACGATACGGTACGCGGCGCCCAACATTCTTCCTTGGTTATTCTTAGCCGTGGCCTGAAGCTCATTAATTACCGGATATCTGAGACTAAGTAGATACCTGGACAAGTCGAACCATGGCCATCGACATCCTACCCACCCACCACTTCACCACCAATTCAGATGCCTATCCTACTGTATCTTCCTCTGGGCTGTCTGTCTGTCCATGGCCGATCACCACCCCCTCTCATCATCATTCATCATCTGACAGCTGGTTCCAAAAAAAAAAAAAAAAAAAAAACCATCGGGAGTCGCGACTCTAGACCGTCAGTGCCCCCTTTTCAGGGTTCAAGCAACCCGAGCCCCACTGTCCTCGTCACCATGGGTGCTCCCTCGACGTTCGAGATTAACTGAGGGCACCACCTGAACCACTTGAAACCTCCTGAACACAAATGTTTTACCCAAAATATCTATCTATGTGTCGAAGAACGAATGACTCTTGCTGTCTTTCTAACTTACCTAGATTGTACCCCCTACTACTCCGTACCCCTCCTCCAGGCGAACGAACGGTCTCTCTTGGCCCTTAGGATACATCACAATCCGGTCATGCAGTGTTCCCCCCTCTTGCTTGCCAATCAATACCTTCCCATCCCGATCGTGACGTCCGTCCGTGGGTTTGAATTCCCTTTTTTTTTTTTTTTTTTTCGAGATAAGATCCACCTGACAGGCTGTCACCGCCAGTCGTCGACTACATACCTTACCTACATATACCTACTTAGGTGCCTAGGTAGGTAGACATGGCTACATGTATACATGTATCTACTGAGTACTGCGATCTTGGGTACATATCTCTCTGGATTTGAATTCTGGAATATACCCGAGTTACTCCCTACTCCTAGGAACTCCTAGACAAATACCCCATAACCAACCCACTAGTCGTCCGCCAGTCTATAAGAACCCTCACTAAGTTCCATACTAAAGGCCAATAGTAACATTTCCAACTCTGTAGCTGGTACATACAGGTCCCAGCCCAGTCCAGTCCAGTCCAGTCCAGTCCAGTTTAGGTTCTAATTATAACCTGCTCTGTGTCTCTCTAGTCTCTCTCTAGTCTCCAGCTTCTCGCCCCCCTCTCTCTAGTCTCTGTGTCTCTCCCTGTCTCTGTCTTGTCTCTCAACCACCATCCCCTTTCCTGGATACGCCCTCCTTTTCCCGCTGCCGGAGTACTCCGTTGCATATTTAGTTGTTTACTGACTACCAAAAAAGTAGCCCCTCCCCTCTTTGAGACAAAGTAGTAGCAAATCGTATCCACAACACAGCTTCTTCCCCCCCCCCCCCCCTCTCCTCCTTATTCCTTATTCGCGCCACGAAGCTCAGACCACCAGTCGTTAGTAGTATGTAGTACTCCGTATGCATGCATGAATTCCCCCTCCTTTCCCTTTCCCTCCCTGTATGGCAGTCCGACCGCCCACTCCATTACATAGATGGGTAGTAAGTAGTTAGATGGGCAGTATTATTCCTCATTCCGACATTACATGAGGACATGTATGCATGCATCCATACATGCATCCATACAGTAATACATGAGGAAATCGGTCTGCCAGTCACTGCCTACGGACAGCTGGCACACATATTGAACACGTTGAGTCCGGATCCTCGGATATGGTTATCGCGATCTGGCTATAGGCAGGACTTGTTTTTTTTTTTTTTTTTTCTATCCTGGTTAATTAGGGTCGATCGCGGGCGGAAGGATTGATGCCAGATCGGAATCGAATCGACGAGAAAGGACCGTTAGGTATCTACTAGATATCTGCCTTAGGTGTGATGCCCTATGTACCCTCGATACTTTGTCGTACCCGCCCAATCCCCGATCCAACCCTAAGGGTCCCCCCCCCCCGTAGTCTCTGGATACGAGTCGGTCAGCGTTGCGCTGCCTTCCCATCCGCTTTCCGACTTATATTCGTCCCGGCGGTCAAAGTGACTGACTCTCCGGAGGAATGACGGTAGGTTTGGTTTTGCCTACGAGAATCCCAGATATGTATCGACTAGCAATATTCTTCCGATTCAGCCGCCCAATTCGCGGTATCCAAACACTACGTACGCTAAGCGGGCAAACCCCCTGGATATCACATCTCGTTGCATCACGTTGAGGTCAAAACAGGGCAAGGGGTGGGCAACGAGCAAATAGGTTGCTCGTTGGAATTTTCACAAGAAATAGAAATCGGGGAAAGACGAAGAAGGGCGAATGATGCAAAGAAGAAGAAAAAAAGAAAGAAAGAAAGAAAAGAAATGTACAATGAAGTCGTCGACGGCATGCAAATACACCCACTACCACTACTACCAAGCCCCGTTCGTTCTCTAGACTCCGCTGACATTGCGCTTGCCGAGGAAGCTGCGACGCGCCTTCTTGGAATCAGGGCTATCCATCACCTCGGAGGCTGCGTCGTTGGTGTTGGAGTGGGCGGTTCCCGGGCGGACGCCCGACTCGGACACCGCAAAGCTGCTGCGGATGGCAACCGAGCCACTGCCGACCTTGACCTGCTTCTCCTGTCCGGCCACAGAGCCCTGGTCGTCCACGAAGAACAGCGCCTCGCCCAGCTGACCGTCGGAGCCAAACGTCGAGTGGTCCACCACCTTCACCTGGTACTGCGCGTCCGCCGTCGTGTTGTGCACGCGGCAGGTCTCGTGGGTTGCGTCAAAGTGCACCGGACCACCACCAGACTTGATGGCCTTGCTCTTCAGCACCTCCTTCGCGCCCTTGGGGCCAATCGCCTTGACGAACACGCGCACGTTGGCATTCGGAGGGAACCCGGAGGCAGAAACCACGGAGATGGTGGCGGTGCCGGAATCTCCCTTGCCCGCAACGCCCAGTCGATCACCGTAGTGCGACACCACGCTGCGGTTGCGCGCGTGCTGCTGCTGCTGCTGCGTGTCCCTGGCGGACGTGGAGCTGGGCGGCGTCTCGCCCTCCACCAGGATGGCCGAAGGGGCAAGAGGCGCTGGCGTCTCTTCGGCCTCCTCCGCGGCCTCGTGCACGCTGGCTCCATCGTCTCCTCGGAACCGGGACATGAGGCCGTTCTTCAAGAACGACGAGCCTTCGTGCTTAAGGAAGGATGCCCCCTTGATGACACCGCCGCCAACAAGCCCGACTCCCTTGACGGGCGCGCCGACAATCTTGCCGGGGGTGGCGAACGTGCCAGCGAACGTGGAAGATCCTTGCCGCGACCGCAGCACGTACGAGGGCGAGAATTTCAGCCTCAACCGGATGGCTCCGGACTTTCCGTCGAGAGGCAGAGAGACCTCCTTGGCCTGGAAAGGCTCCAGTATCTGGAGGTCGATCGGTGTACCGCCCAGGTAGTCCGCCTTGTCGCCGAAATCCCAGTCGTAGACATCAACCCGGAAGTTGGTCCCGATACGAGACTTGATGGGTGCCTCGAAGCGCTCGTTCCACGCCGGATGGAGCGTTTTCTTCTGCACCGTGGTCTTGTGGACGTTTTCTCCATTGATACGGAACTTGCAGTACGGGTCACTGAAGCCGTTCCGATCGGCAGAGGGAAGCTCGGCAGCATCCAGGACATCCACCCACAAAGAGCCCATGTTGTTGATACTCTCGCTCGGGTCGAGCTTCATGTGAACCGGGATGTAACGGGCACTAACGGTGACCTTGCTCACCTCGCCTTGGTCGGAGCGTAGGACAAGTTCCGTCGGCGTGTACTAGACATTGTTAGACAAGCACAACGTGGACAGAAACCACGGAATCCTTACCAAGATGCGCTGCAGGGTCGAAAGAGTATCTCCGGTGAGCTTAGCGATCACATGATCGTCACTTTCATCCTTGGTGTTGTTCTTGTCGATAATTCGGAGAGTAATCTTGGAAAACTCCAGTTCGCGCACAAAGGCATCGCTGACTGTCGGTTTATTAGCTCCATGTCAAACATCCGCCATCAAACTGGATACATACCGTCGTCGATCCTGGAGGACTTGGTGCGGATCTTCGGGGAAGTGTACGCGGGGAACATGTAGTCATCCATCAGGATTTCGAGCTGAACATTGTTACGAGAGAGTTGGACTTCATGGATGTTGAACACCAGGAAACCCGATTCTGCGGCATATTAGCGTCAAGCACAAGACCAAAGGAGCCATCAAGTAACATACCGTATTTCGCAAGGTCTTCCAGGGAGATGTAAGTCTTCGGAATCTCCTTGACCGATTTGATAGACATGGTTTCGGAGTCCTTGGCGTTCTGAGACTTGGTCCCATTCGTGTCCAGACTGGTACGACTGGCGTGAGCCTCCGCCGTGCCATTCGCAGCAGTGCCGTTAGCGGTGGTTCCGTTCGTGGTAGTGCCGTTGGGAACAGCTGAAGTCTTCGAGTCGATGCTGGCAGACTTGGAGTGACCCGCCACACTCTTGCGTTTGGATTCCGTGCTCTTTCTTGCCAATTCGGTTCCCTCAGCATCACCGTTGAGGTTCTCTTCCTCGCTTTCCTCGTCCTCGGGGTTGACAACGGACATGGCAGGATAGAAGGCGACAGTGTAGTTCAAGGTACCTTTGGGGGGGGAGCTGCCGATGCGGAGATTAGTAGAAATGAGCTGCTTCTCGTCATCAACCTCGTATTCGCCCTGCTCGTTCTCGCGAACGTAGTCAGCGGCATGAAGCTCCGTAGAACCCAGGGTCCGATCACTGTTGATGGTTTCTTCGTCCATGACCTCGAGGGTGATCTTCTCCTGTGGGCTATGAATAGGAACATAAACCACCTCGTCCCAGTCAGGGTTCAGATTGTTTCTGAACGTGACGGTCCGTGCCTTCGTGTAGCCAGAGATTAGCACCCGTGCGTATGGGTCAGACTTGCCCATGGTTTCCAGGTTCCGAAGGTTGGTTGCACCCTTGAAGTGGAAACGCATGACACCAATCGGGTCAACGTAGCCAGAGCCGCCAGCAATACCACCCAGTGCAATGGGCTTCCAGTCCAAAATCAGCTTGGCACGTCCCGTTTTCGCACCGTTCAGGTTAAACCACTGTTGACCCTTTGTCATCATCTTGAGCATGTCGTTCATCTTGATTTGGTAAGTACCAAGGATCGGGTCCCGACCAAGGTCACGGTCATCTTTGATAACAAGACCAAGACGCGCGTTCTTCCTGTCAGTGACCAAGAACTCCTTCGCAGCATTTTGGAAGATGGGGTTGTTCGTGCGCTTCAGCTTCTTCGTGATATGGATCTCCTTGCCGTTCAGGAGGAGGACACCATAGGGGTTCAGCTGTCCGATCATGCTCTTGGATGCATCCAGGTCCTTGGCCTGTTCAACAATGAATCGAGCGATACCAGTGTTCATCTCCGGCGGAGGCTCAGTCTGTCCACCTTCCAGCTGCTTACCCTCGAGAACGGGGAAGAATCGGATATCCGCGTGGATAGCACCGCGGGACCTTCCGCTTGCCATGACTTCCAGGAAAATGCCATCGTGTTCCGCTTGCTGCTCTAGTCTATCCAGGGGGAAGGTTGCGGTTCCCAGTTCCTTGTCCTTGCGGAACTCGTTCCAGTCATAGGGAACAATGGTCAGCGACTCCGCAAAAGAGGTGATGATAACATAAATCGTTTCGTTCCATCGAGGGCTATCGGTGTCGAAAATAGTCTTGGTGCGGCCCAGTTCAACGCGATTGTTCAGGGAGACAATAGCATAAGGATCGGGAGTGCCAGCGAAGGCGTCGGGGTTCTTCAATTGGCGAGCGCCATGCAGGGTAACAGCGACGACACCGATCGCCTGATCCATGGCGTTTCCAGCCAGCATCTTGGCGATTTCGACGGGGAATACATTAGGACTGTACATCATCGGGCCCAGGTTATTGTGAATCTGGTCCTTGATGAAAGTTTCCAGACCAGGGATGAAGTTGATGTCGAAACCAAGGGTATCACCACCAAGCGGCTTGCAGACGTAGTCGAGTTCGGGACGGTCCATGAAGCACACATCAACCCGCTCAATATGGGGGAAGGGGATTTGCAGCTTGACCTTGACGCGCATCAATCCGCTGCAGGCCATATCTTCGACGATGACATCGAGGCCCTTGCTCACAAGACCTTTACCCAATCTGACCTCCAAGACGACCTTGGGGTTAATTTTATTCTTCATCTGGCGGGCCGTCAGATCCATGGTGTCGTTGGGCGTGAAGCTAAACTTCCAGTCCATGATGACAGTGTCAACCTCGGTCTTTGGGTACGTCTTGACGTGCTCCAACCGAGGGGGCTTAGAACCAAGGACAAAAGTCTTCAGACGGAGACTATCAATCATCGCAGGGGTGGAGGTGCTGAGAACCTGGTCGACGGAGTTGATGATCGTATCGCAAAGGACCGGGGCGTAGATGGGCCAGAACTTGACCAAGAAGCTGTTGATCCATTCCAGGCTCTCCGTGTCGGTTTCCAGGCGTTGCTTGGCCATTTCACGGTTCACGTCGTCGCGAAAGTTGCGGCGAACCCGGCGAATGGATGTCCGGTAGTAGGTGCTGCAGGCAGCCATGACGATGAACACCCAGGCCAGTCCTCCGCCCAGGACGGCGACGACCCAGGAAGCCAGACATGCAAAAACGATAACACCAGCATTGTGGTACCAATCTAAGAGCGTTAGTGTCACTCCAAATCCCGAATCCCCAAATGCAGGTCCATGCGCGCTCCCTCACCTCCGAAAAACTTATCATCCAGCTGACCCTCCAGGAAGGTCTGGTGATCCAACAGAGTTCCCTCTTCCTTTTCTTCCTGAGTCGGCACGTGTTCGAACTGCGGAGCCCAGCCTGTCCGGTCGCGTGCCCATCGCAAGTCCTCCTCCAGGAGTGGTTCTCCATTCGGAGCGGCCGTAGTGTTTTTGGCGTCTTCCAGGATCTCGGTTGCGGATTTGGGAGGGGGCAGATCGTACTGGTCGGGGGTGCCATCGTCCTGTAAAAAACCCGGAAATGATTAGCGCGATTCATTGAGCGTCAAGATTTCCCGACGGTGCCCGTGGAGTTCGACTCACCTTATCTGTCACAACGGCCGCAGCCTTCGGTTTATGCTCGTGGTGGAAACCTGGCGGTAGATGCTACAAGAAGGCACGGGTGGTTCTATTAGTTCAACGGCTCCCAGGCACATCGTTCACCGGTACGGGAAGCACCTACAGCTCGAGCAGCGGCAGCTTTCTCTTCGGGGGACGCATCGGGATCGAATTGGTAGGCGGGCACGCCGGCCTTTCGGGTTTCTTCGATCAGGGTCTTTTCGACAGCTTCCGGTTGGATGTTCGACTGGGGGTCTTGAGCAGCCTGCTGAGCGACCTCAATGGCGCCCTGCTGCTTCAATTCCCCCTTCTGACCCTCTACGTCTTGCGACGCCATGGCTCTTCAGGGTCGGGGAGGGTGCGAGCCTCTTGGGGGTGAAGAATCACCTATTAGGGTTCCCCAACCGGTACAATCTGGAGGGAGATCCAGGTCAATAGAAGGATTTCTTGGAAGGAAGGTTGGGGGGGTGAAAAAGACCAGAAGGTCAAAATGATTTTTTGGGGGGGGGGGGGGGGGGGGGAGTTATCGGGGCTAATCTCAGCGAACAGCGGAGAAGAAGAAGAAGAAGAGAAAAAAAGGTGAATAAGAATAGCTAGGTAGGTAGTAGGTAGATAGTGACCCACGCCCACGCCAACGAGTGGGTTGCTGGCGCTTAATCCTTGGGTGGTTGCCTTGCCGGGGGTGGATGGAGGATGGATGGACCTCCGCAGCGGGGAGGTGGCTGAGGCACGCACCGGGAGGGAGAAGGGGAAGGGGTTTGCTTACTTGAGGAGAGATTCAGCCAAGATAGGCAGGGATGAGGTATCTGGATAGGTAGGTAGATAGGTCAATAGGAGGGAAGAGAAGGAGGGAGTGAGAAGAGAGGGAGGGAGAGGGAGGGAGAGGGAGGGGGAGAGAGAGAGAGCGAAAGAGAGAGAGAGAAAGAGAGAAAGAGTGTGTGTGGAAGGGACACCGAGACAGAACCGGAGAAGAGGGAAAGGGAAAGGGAAAGGGAAAGCGGATTGACTTTCGCGGTGCAGAGCCACTTGCGTCAAGGAGAGAGAGAGAGAGAGAGAGAGAGAGAGCCCGGCGTGGCTGGTGAGAGTCTCTTGTTAGTTTAGTTACTACTTTTACATACATCTACATACGTATCTATCTACTTTGTGGTCATGACATCAACCCGACGAGGATGATCGCATCCCGTCGCGAATCATACGGAAGGAGACTGGGACAGGCAGCCGTGCCGATCCCTTCAGGCGCAATTAGCCATCCTCCCCACAGTCCACACGACAATCCAGGCATATCTACGGAGTAGATATCTCGATACAACGTAGGCAGGTACGCAGTCTCCTGAGAAACAAACCTATTTTCAATTTCTGGCAAATCCCATCGGATCGACTAGTGGGCGCCGGCCTCCGATCTATTGGCAATTTGGCATCCGCCGGCCTGCACCGCCACCGATCTGGAGCCCGGCGGTGCGCCACTTCTTCCCTTCGGTCTTCTTCTAGTGCAACGCCTCTGGTAAGTATCTAGTCTAGTCGATCGACTCCATCCTACGCACTAGATAGATAGATACTCCAGGCAATTTACGTTAGTCTCTCTTTTTTCCCATTCTCCCGTTCTTCCAGTCCCAGCCCTCCAGCTTTCAAGCTCCTCGGAAATCCTCGAGTCAGACCCGCTCCCCGATTCGTCCATTGTGCCCTCTTGTAGCCCTAAGGTCGAGCTAACCAGCCTTAGATAGGGCGGAAGTACGGAGTAGAAGATAGATACCACTGGTACTATACACTCAGGTATCTAATAATAATGACCTCGACTGTGAGCCATTCTGGGGTTACACTGCATCAGCTGCTTCCCCTCGCCGAGCAAGGCCTGGGCGAGACCATGCAATGGGCGCGATGGGGCGACGGGCTTGTCGTCATCGCCCTGCCCGGCCCTGTTACACGTGGCACGCAGTGAAGTGTCGAGTCCCTACCTATCTACCTAGATAGTCACCCACTCCAATTCCTGGGATGTACGGAGTAGGTCAAGCAAGATAGAGATACACGCTTGGATACATCACACAGCACACTATGGTACTCCGTTCTACCGACAGATCAACGTGAAACATCTGCCTACGGCGTACGCAACCCTCGTAGATCAAACCGAGATCCGTGCTCTGATCTATCGGTCGGTTTCTATCTCTGGACAATGGACTCGAGTCTTTACAGTTTACAGTAGTAAAAAGTATCCAGTCAATTAGACTTTTGACATATGAATTGTCCGATCTGCAACAGGGCAACATCTTTTCTTTTTTTTTTTTTTAAGCCTTTACAACAGTACCACCTGTCGGAACCCGCCTATCTAAGACATTCATCAGTCACCACCACCGTTGAAGAGCCATCATAGTACCATTTACCATTTACCATTTACCATTTACCATTTACCATTTACCATTTACCATTTACCATTTACCATTTACCATTTACCATTCAGTATCCATATATTCAGCAAGCCACAATCCTAATCATGTCGAGCTGTCTGCACTTACCAACCCTAAATCCCCCCCCAAAACCAAAAGCGGAAATGAATTCCATCCCATCCACCAGCTCACCAGCCACAACGTCCCCATCGGTTCCAGCAACCCTCCTCCCACGGAGCCATTCCGCTGCTCCATATAACAGGTACCCAGATCCGCAAATTTGCCACGGGCAATTCCCTCTGTTTTTGTCCACAGTACGGAGTAGATACACTGTAGATCGAGTCTGTAAAAGACACTGACTACAGCATTCCAATTTTGTACAGATCAAGAACCAGACCAGCCCGATCAACAATCCTCCTCACAATATTCATGACCAAAGTACCAAGTACTACGGAGCACAACCTATCTAGGTACAACGTATCTACAACCCACCTCAAGTCCTAAACGGTGGTAGAGTGGATAACCTACCCAAAACGACATCCGTACCGTAGTCCGTAAGGAGACCGTCTCAAATCAAACCGATGGCAAGGTCCTAGACACTAAAACACACCAGATCCCGATCTCAGCCCTCCAGCCTGAACCACTGTACCACACACACCACACACACCACAACCGTCCAACCCAACCCACGGATCCGGATCATTCTCCTCAGTCCTCACCCTCTCTGGTCCCCCACAATTTAAAAAAGAAAAAAAAGAAAGAAAAGAAAAAGGAAAGAAAAGAAAAAGAAAAGAAAAAGAAAGAAAAAAGCTTTTTTTATCTCTTTCCTACAGGCCAGCAACAACACCCGGTGCCGATGACGACGGACGGACACCGACAGACTAGATAAATTTAGTTAACGGACCTATGGAGAACGCCGTCGTGGGGACTTTTGGGGGGGGGGTTGGTTCGGTTCGGTTCCTCTATCGGTATCCCATCGAACTAAAACCAACGTAGCTGCTTTTCCGGTGGCTGGAGAATGATCGATGGTCCGAGATTTCTCCTGTCTGTCCGGCGGGGGAAGAAGATAGACTGCTGAGTGCTGGGCTGATAACTACGGTGGGAAGGAATGAGGGGGCTGGGGGTGGGTGCATATGCCATGCCTGTCAGTTTCTACTGTCTAGTTTCTACTATACAGTATCGACTCCGTAAAGTAGTCAGTAATTGGAAATCGTGGTACGGAGTAGCACAAGCTCTAAAGAGATCTAGCTGTCTGTGTTTGACAGATACTCCGTGCCCCAGACTCCGGTCTGTTCTGTTATAACCGACCGTAAGGCCTCGTACTCCGATGGCCGCTTTAGCCGGCTGGCTTCGTCCGGCTTTCCGGATGCGGGCTCTGCTCGATTCGACTTGGACCCCGAGATGATAATAATCTCAGCTCGGGATAGATAGATCGATCTGACCGGCTTTCGGGTTCATTTGGTTCCTTTGTACATTTACGCGGTGGATCCATCGGTTGGATGTCTCATTGGATCCTGTTATCTTGGAAAAAAAAAAAAAACAATTTTACTTTTACATTTACACGGACACAAGACTAACTGGCTAACATGCAGAGAAATTCAATTCAGATGTCACCCTCATGTCGACTAGTAATGAAACACATGCATCGTAATCGCCGTAAAAAAAAGGAATATGATCAATGGAGTCGCCGTGCCGTTCAGGACCGCTTTTTCAATCGCTTCACTATGTTCTGGGTCGTTCATCTGCTTCACCGTCCCAGGCGGATGACACCAGCCGCCATCAGCTTCTGGATCTTCATCCGCACCTGGGCGTTCTGCATGTGCTCCTGCAGCGCCGCAGGGTCGCTCTTGGCCTGCTGGAGGATGGTCTGCATGACCGGGTCTTGCAGGATCGACATGATCTAGAGCGGGGGATGTTAGCAAGCTCGAGTCTTGATCGGGACGAGCGCCGGGAACTTACCTCGGGGTCGTTCTGGATCCGCTCCATCGTCTGCTGCTCCGTCTCGCCCGCACGGGCGCTGAACTGCGCATCCAGGCACTTCTGCTGCTGCTGCTCAATCTCACGCGCGTGCGTGCCGTCATCGTGCTCCGCCGCCTCCGTGCAGACATCCAGAGCCTTGTTGTACTCCTTCATGACAACCAGGGCCTGGGCCTTGCGCATGTAGGCGCGGATGAATTTGGGGTCGCGCTTGATCGCCTCGTCGCAGTCCTGCACCGCCTGGGGGAACGCCATGAGCTTGATGAGAGCTGCCGCGCGGTTGGAGAAGCCACGGGGGTCTTCGGGGGCGCGCTTGGTCATCTCGTTGAACGCCTCGACGGCACCGGGCCAGTCGCCCTCCTGGAACTTCTTCTGGCCCAGCTCGCGAGCCTGCTCGGCCCCGGCGGGGTCGATGTAAGCCTCCTTCTCGGCCTTGTCCTTGGCCTTCTCGGCATTACGCAGCTTGGTCAGAACATCGGGCGTGCGGTGCTCGGTGAGCGACTTGTGGTAGAACTCGATGGCCTGGGCAAGATCGCCCAGCTTCTCCTGCGCAGTACCGATTCTCGCAAAGGCCCTAGGAACGGTCAGCTTAGTTGGTTCATCACACCGAACGAAAGGATGTCTTACTTGGCCATCGCCTTGAAGTCGGCGCGAATCTCACGGCCCTCCTCGATAGCCTTCTGGCAGGTCTCAATGGTACCCTGGAGATCACCCTTCTCGAACTTGGCGGCACCAAGGTTGTTCAGATACGTGATGTCCTTGTGCAGCTCCCAAGCCTTGTTGTAGTGCTCGATCGCCTCGTCAAACTGTCTCTTCTTGTAGAAATCGTTTCCGATCTTCTTCTCGGCATCGGCGGCTTCCTGGGCCTTCTTCTTGGCGATCGCCTCCTCGTCTTCCGGCTCGGGTGTGGGCTCGGGCTCGGGCTCCTTCTTCTTTTCGGCAGAGGCAGGACGCAGATCGGGCATGGGCACGTCCTCCTCGGCCTCGCCAGCCGCGGCAGCGCTGGCACCCTCGGGAGGAGCGCCGAAGCTCATGTCAATACCCATCAACACACTCATTACCTGGAGGAATCGCGGGTCCTGGAGCTCCTGGCCGATGCTATTCGGGTTCTGCTGGAGACGCTGGAGCTTCATCATGAACTCGCCGTCGGCGAGGAGTCCGGACGTCTTGGGGTTGTTGGCCAGCTTCTGGAACATCTGGGGGTCGTTGAAGATGCCACCGAGTCCTCCCATGGGGTCGCCGGTGACACCGTCGGCCTTGGCCTCGGCATCAATAGCCCTCTTGACGGCCTCAAAGCCAGACTTAGCCTGCGCGTTGCCGGGCTCGAGGTTGAGGGCTTCTTCGTAGGCATCGTGGGCAGCCACTACAGATGGTGAGGTTAGCACGCCACCCCTTTTATCTCACCCGAGATGAAGTCTCGACTCACAGAGATCTCCTAGACCACGGTAGGCGGCACCCTTGCGGAGCCAGCCCTTGGACCAATCGGCCTTGAGTTCGGTAGCCTTCTCAGCATCCTCAAGGGCCTGCTGGTATGCGGATTGCGCAGCGTAAACGGCGGAACGGTTGGAGTAGAGGATGTGGTTGCTGGGCTCGATGCCGATGGCCTGGGTGAACTTTTCACTGTAGACGCGATCAGTTCCCGTTGCGACTCATTCACCAAGCGGGGTAAACGGGAGAGGGAACGGCACATACATCGCAGTGGGATAATCCTTGGTGGAGAAGGCTTTGTTGCCCTCGGCCTTCAGAGCGTCAGCCATGGTTGCAATGCTTCCACGGTTGGATGGGGGGGGGGGGGAGAAGTGAGGTGAAGCGAAAGTGGAGGACGGTGGTGAGTTGGTTGGGGAAGAGACGAGATGACGGGGGCGACAGAGCAGCAGAGCAGCAGAGCAGCTGGCCCGGGCAGTTAAACCTCCGCGGGAGCTTCTCGAAATTTCCGAGGGGGCGCAAGGCAGTAAGGCATGGACTCTGAGGTAGTAAGGCGTCGAGGCAGTAAGGCAGGCTGTGACAGCCTTAGGCCAAACCACCCCCACCCGCTAAACCCAAAGAGAAAGAAAAGCCGCCAAAAACATCTTTCTCTGACCTCCTCCATCGATCCAACCACCGACCTCGACTTTTGCGCCTTTTCCCCCTGGACCGTCCCCCGAGGATTGCTTGGTCCCGCCGCTCGCCGCCAGAGACCGACTTGGGATGCGCTCATGATCATGCCCCTTCACAAGCCCGTCCGGTGATCGTTTGTGTGTTATCGACTCAGTTGCAACCTCCCCCTCCGTGAAAATGGCCTCCGCGGGGTCGTCAGGCCGCTCGGTCACCGAGCTGGCCGCTCAGCTTTACGATGCCTGTATCAACAAGTTCCCCTCCGACCATCTGTTCTACCAGCAAGACCTCCTGGGTCTGGACATCGTCCCCAAGAACGAATTGGCCCTGCTCCTGCAATGCACCCAGTCGCTCGTCGATCAGAAACTGTTCCGGCTGCTCCAGGGCAAAAACGACCGCTTGGCCTGGAAGATTATCTCCCGCGAAGACGCTGAAAAGTAGGCTTTTGCTTCGCCCACTTGGCCCGCTCCCGTCGCGGCTTCTTGCGCCAGTGCTAATTTATGTGAAAAGACTGCAGAATCTGAGCCCCGATGAGAGTCTGGTCTACAATGTCATCCATTCCACTGGCCGCTCCGGTATCTGGGTCCGTGCCATCGGGAACCGTACCAACCTGCACAAGTCCATCCTCGATCGCTGCCTCAAGTCGCTGGAGGGAAAGAACTACATCAAAAGTGTCCACAATGTCAAGTTCCCCAGCCGGAAGATGTACATGTTGGCCGGCCTGGCCCCGAGTGAGGACGTCACCGGAGGAGCCTGGTTCACCGACGGAGTCTTGGATGAGAACTTTATCAACAGCGTGGCGGGCTTCATCGAATACACCGTGAGCCGGAAGAGCTGGTACGAGGTCCCCGTCTCGGACGGACATCGCAACAAGCGCATGAAAACCGCCGACGGAGGCTTGGCTGTCAAACAAGAGGGCGCTCAGAGGGAATACCTCCCCTTTCCGGCCGGATACCAGGGCTACCCCACCGTGCCCATGCTGACGGGCGCCGTCAACGAGAGTGGCATCACTCCCGTCCGCCTGGGAGAGGAGAGCATCACGCAGCTCCTGGAAATGCTGTGTTACGATAACAAGCTGGTCGCCTTGAACAACGGCGAAGTCTACAAGTCCGTCAAGAACCCGGAGCAAGTGAAGTCCCAGCAGGCGCGGAAGCCCCGCAGCGACGACGCCGGCATCGACGACCGCTTGGTCCGGAACGGCATGACCGAAGCGCCTTGCGGCCACTGCCCTGTCTTCAAGCTCTGCGCCCCCGGTGGAGCCGTCAGCCCCGAGAGCTGCGAGTACTTCGATCCCTGGCTGGAGAAAGCCTTGGGATTCTAAGGGAGCGGGTCTAAACTCGCTTTCTATTCTTACAACTTCATACCACACACACACCATTTCTGTATACAATTCGCGCAGCTTGCGCCCGATGAGTTTTGCTTGCATAGCGATGGCGTTCATGTCTGATATTGGGATCGGCCGAGGTTAAGGTCTTTTTACTCAATGTGGGCAACAAAAAATCATGGTTTTTTGGAAAGATGGAAAAGGCTGGTCAGGGAGGAGGGAGGCGATGGGGGACGAGGAAGGTCGACAGCATGTCTTCCCATTTTTTTGTGGGTCCTTTGTAGTATATACTATTTGCTGGAAGGAATTTGAGGCATTAGAAAAGGGGGGGGGGGGGGAGGTATTAATATACCTCTCATTTGACTTATGTGTTATTCATTGGTGAATCATAATCGGTCATAGTCACACGTATATCTGAACGAGCCCCCGAAGTAGCTCGTACAGTGGGTTAAAGGGGTGTTCATCGGTCAAAAAAAGAAGTAGTCATAAGGGTGGTCATTATAATACAGATGTAGGGGGTATAAAAAACTAAGCTTGCAATTTGGCGGCGCACTGAGGACAGTACCATTTCCCGACTGGTTCCCGGGTCAAGCCCACGCACTTCCAATGGAACCATTCGAACTCGCAGTCTTCGTTATCGCATGCAACCATGTCTCCGTGGCTGACGCTGCGACACGTGCAATAGACCTTGGTGTCCTCATTGCCTTCGTCTTCCTCCTCGTCTTCCACGTCCTCCTCTCTTCGAGTCTCGTCGGCATTCTCGGAGTCGGAGACATCAGCACTGCTGAGCATGGAATCGTCATCGTCTTCGTCACCCCCAAGTGCTGACGGCGACTTCTTCGTCCCGCCGAGCTTGAGACGGCCGCTGGCGCTGGATGACCGCTTGGTGTGTTTCCCATTCACCCCCGATGACGCTTTGAGCTTCTTCAGTTGCTGGTGAGGCGCCACCTTCTTTGTCACGGCTTTCTTGATCGAGGCTGTTGTGCGTGGCCCGGCACTACCAGCCCGGCTGGAGGCCGGGGTCCCGGGCTTGGGTGTCCCGGGGCCGAGAGACGATTGGCGGAGGTTCGAAGACGCTGCAGGGAGGGTCCCCAACGACGTATTGAGTCGTCGTCGTTTGGTTTCCACCGCACCGGCCGACGATTCCCGTTGTCGTTGTTGAAAATGAACTGTGCCCGAGGGTGTAGCCGGGGCGGAGCTGCGTGCAGCGGTCGGCGAGTTCAGAGCGACCGCAGCTGCATTCCGTGCCAAGGTCTGGTTGAGTCTCTGGGTGGCAGCGCCTAATACGCCATTCGTGCTTCCCGAGGAGGCATTTAGCGGGGAGTAGGTGGAGTTTTCGACGGTAGAATCGGGGAAGAAGATCTTCGGGGGGTCGCGATACTGGTCTTTATTGTTGAATAACGAGGGGAAAGGAGGGTCGTTCGAAAGCATGCCGTTTTCCTGCAGCTTATGGATCGCGATATCCAACTTCCTGATATGCCGGTCTAGCAAGACGCATGCTTTCTCACTCAACTGGATCTTCTCATCCTGCAACTGTTGCGATTTATCGAGGTTCTGTAGTATGACCTTTCCGTACTGCTCTTCCTTCGGGTTGGGCGTTAGGCTGCCGTTCAGGCGGATGAACTTCTGGAGACTCGTGTCGCGCGAGTTGATTGTCGTACGGCATTCCTGGATGGTCTTGTCTTTGGCTTGGATCTCCTCCATCAGATGGTTAATCTCGGCTGGAAGGTTCGCCACATCGTGGACGAATAGTTCGAGAACCGCCGCGGGGTCGTCGTGAATCTGCGACATCTTGCGCGTCCGACAGAACGTTCGGCCTCGATAGGATGCGGTTATCGGGGAGTGGGAACGGTCGAACCCCAACCGAGCAGGGCACCCCTGCGCGTAGATATGCGCTCTGAAGTGTGATCAGCCGGGCGATCGAACGGCCACGATTTCAAAGCCGATGGATATTTGGATGATATGATACACGGTGGATAAGCTAAGGTGGCGCTGGGAAACGTTCATCGGCGATTCGTTTGGCTGAATGGCCGCCGAAAGGCTCTCGGGATTGCCGGGCAAGGGATGTTCCGGCTCCGTGTTGACTCAGCCACGGACGCAATAGTTAGTTAACTAACTAGCACAGCCACATCTCTCCCCAGAAGGAGCCGACTGGGAAGAGATTCAGTTGAACCACGGAGTCGTGGGATGATCGATCAAATCAAGCGGCGGAGACCTATTCTTATTATATTCCTTTTTTTTTTTTTTTTTTTTCATTTTTTTTTGGTTTGTATTGAAATTGTTCGATTTCGCCTTGAAGGTACGGCAAAGTGCAGATGCCGGATCTATATATAGTATTTACAAAAACGCTCCGACATCATCCTGTTCCACATCAAACACATGCCGCAATTTAAGAAACCCAGTTCCTAGCCTAGAAAATCTCGTCCTCAAACCCCAAATCCCGATCTAGATCGCCCGTGATATCGCCCGTAACATGGCTCGTTGATCTTTGCGCTGGGGTATGGCTATCATTAGCTCCACCTATATTGCCCGGGAAAAGGGAGAACGGATCCTCGTAATTATTGCTGCTGCTAATATTGTCATTCGGCCGAGGGTCTCCACGGCTTGGGGAAGTCCATCGAAAAGGTCCGTCGGCCCAATCTACGTTGATCCCTGTGGGAGTTTCGGCGTTGGGATTGGGGTTCTGGGGAAAGTCGGCGGCGAATGTGTCAAGGTCTAGCTCCAGATCGAAGGGGAAGGAGTCGGTTGGGTTGAAAAGCGGGGTTGTATTAGACTTGGATCGCGCATTATGGGGTGATATAGCGTGATTATCGTTGAAAAGATTGAAGGGGTCGTCAAAGTCGTTAGGAGGCGTAGGTTCGGTTTTGTTTGAAAGGGGGTTGTTGGGGTTAGGGAAGGTGGCAGAGGCTGCGGTGCTGGGTCTGCGGATCTGGGCTTGCTGTGTTGGACTGCTGGTATGAGGGACAGTTTGTGGGACGGTTTGTTTGGGATTGCTGGTGGGGGAGGGGTCGTCTTGAGGGGGAGTCCAGTGGTTCGAGACTCGGTCATCTGATGAAGATAAGGTGTGTGGGTTTGACATGAAACTCTGCTTTCGGGGTTGGACTTGGGGCTGTGGCTGGGCCTGAGTACTGGAGGAGTCGGTGAATTGCATGATCCGAAATAATGAGTTCGTGCTATCGGACTGTAGCTTGACCGCAGCTTCTATATTAGCCACCTCCATGTCCGCTGCAGGGTAGATGTCCTTCAGCCCCTGTAGCACCTGGATGCACCGTTGGAAGTTATAGAGGCTGGATTCCCGAGTTGCAGGATTGCCAGACAAGGAGTTCGTCAGATGAGCCACGGCGGCCGGGATAATGACGGTAACCCCAGATTGAGGTAGGAATCGGGTGAGGTTGAGCTGGTTCAGACCTTGTATTATATGTGTAATTCCGACAGCGGCATCGTGCATCTTTGATTGCGCGGTTTTGACCAAGTCGAGACGGGATTTGGACCGGTCCTTGCTGGGCGTAAATGCCCAGGGGCGGTACAACGCACTCGTGGTAGCGTGATACAACATTCGTATCATGGCTCCATGGAGAAGGAGGACATCCTCTCCATCATGGAAATTGTTTCGGGACGCGGGAATGAACTGTGCGTCCTTTGGCAGAGCGCTCAGCCAGGATTCCAGTCGCTGGCTGCATCGTGCCAGCTCCGATTCCGACGCCTGTCGGGGGACCAGGCTGATGGTTGTTCGGGTCGACACGCCAAACTGGCACTGAGATGGTGTATATTGGGCGAACAACACTCTTCCAATGCATTGGCATAACTTAGCTTTCTCCATGAACATGATTGCCAAACGCTTTTGGTGGTTGGAATCTTCCAGCTGACGGCAATGAAACATCTCCACCACGGCGGGGTGGAACGGCTCGAAATCAAAATCCTCCAGCCTCAGCATGGGAACGTTACTTGTGCCTTCATTGACCTGGGTTGGCCGTCTTAATCCCATAGCAATGAGCCGGTCTCGCGAGTACAAGCTCCACCATATACGAGTCCTCAACCGCTTCGTCCTCGTATCCATTGTGGAAGCCGCGGGGTCTCTGTTGAGTCCTATCGAATGTGCATGTATATTACAAACTCCAATCCAGTCCCAAATATCTCGTTGTGGATGATTCTGATGATCGGACCAATAGGTCATGAGCAACAGAGTCTGCAGAATAACTATTCGATCGTCTTCGCAGTCAAGTGAGTAAAGGAGCTAGTTAATGGTTAGCCACACCCAAGCACCCCGACGAAGGATTGAGACGAACCCTCAGCCGCGTAAAGAACGCACTCCGTGCACTTTTCCGAGTTGCAAACCCAGCAGCCTGCAGATGGTGGAAGTCTATGAAAGCCGTCGCCACAAACATCACAGCTTGGAAAAGCAAGAGGCTGATATTCCCGTTGGGGTCGTTTTCGGCAACGGACCGCAGGAATTCCTGTAGGTTTACCACCGGCATGAAGCTATGCACCCATTTGATATAGCATCGCAGGAGTTCATTTCGCAGACCAGTCTCCGGAACCGACAGAGCCCCGCGAAAGCGCAGGAACTCCAAATCCTCCGGCGGGATACGATCCGGGAGCGGCTTCAAGAAGCGCGGTTCGTCGTCGAGAATGGCGATCAGTGGATCAAAGTCAGGGTCGATCAGGTCTCGTACAGTCGACACCATGTTTTCTAATGGCAGTGAAGACCGTACTCCACGATCACCCAAAGTCCGCCATGTCCGAGAAGGCCTGGAGTCCTGTAGCCAGGGTGCATGGGCGTTGTAGCTGAGACTGTTACTTCTCTTCGCCACGGGTTTGTCGCCATCTATGTCAGCCTGTCCCGGCGTGCGCTTGGTGGCCAGCATGGTGAAGAAAAAGCAAAGCCGACGGGCCTGCAGCTGAGTGAGATCACATTCAGAGCCCAGACCAGCAGACGTCTACCGAGGCCGCGTCTGTATGGGACTGGTTGATAATGAGTAGGAGTATCTAGTAGATCATCCTCCCCGGCACTAAAAAAGGCGGTGTTCGGGAGCTGGCCGGATGTGGGGTGATTGGGGGGGGGGCTTGGGCTTCCCCGCCTATTTGATAGAACTAAGAGTGCCCAAGAATAATAATAACCAATTAATTGACGAGCTAGCTGGGTTGGCCGGTTTGTCTGGTGGTTGGGGTGGAGTTGACGGGACGAAGGAGGAACTTCAGTTGCTTTGTAGGACGACTAGCGGTCACCGTGCTGTGCTGCTGCCTCAGGCACAGAGGGAGCAAGGCGTTCACTCAAGTCGGCCATATCCTTGATATCTGCACTTCATACCTCTTTCTCCTAGACACGCCGTGTACCTACCAGGATAAACCGTCTTGCTGGACGACTTTCCAAAATGAGTGACAACTGGCCAGTCTTGGATTCCTGGAGCTTGAACAGCTACTCCATACATACCTTACTCTACCCTCCTTCGTCCAACGCAATTGCCATTGGTACAAACACACCCCCCAAAAACACTGGTGGCAATATCATCACCTCGACCTACAATCACGACCCAAACCGATCCAATCGATCTACAGGCACCGGAGGACTATCGCCTCGCAACTCGTGCTAATATCCAACGCAGCAGGCCAGTGAGGGCTAAAAAAATATTTCGTCAAGGGAAGAGAGAGCCGTGGGTGTTCCTGAGCACATGTCTATTCAAACACCACATTATGTCGATCCTCCACAGATCGGATGACAAGCCTGACCACTCGACGATTTCTCAAACCCATATATGCCCACAAGGCGCACAGTATAATACACGTATTCATTAGAACTGAATGTAGGAAGAAGATTGGTAGAAAGGTCGCCCCTGCATCGTGTTCGGCATCGATAGCATTTCCAGATCAAGTCGACGATTTCACATCACAGCGACAGGCGCACATATCGGGTATTCGTTTACATACTTCGCTCGTCAGTGGTTTTTCTCCTCCATGCAAGATCCCAATGCGGGCGATGGGGGAAGCGTGTCGCAACTTACGGAGGGAGGAGGAGCTCGCCGAGGCTGCTGTAGAGGAAAGCGACGCCGGCCTGTACACGGAAGCTTGTTAGATAGCTGATGATGATTGTGGGACGCCGGAAGGCTTTCCAAATTTCCAGCTGTCCCACAAGAGTTGGGATTGGGAGACTTACGCCGAAGACCAGAACGCTTCTCACAAGGGTAGCGTTCTCGGGGTTGGTGACCTCCTCGTAGGTGGCGCTGAGGAAGCCCTTCTCGGGGCGGCCGGAAACGACACGCTGTCTGGGGACCATTGTGCAGGCTGCGATATGAAAGAGATAAGGGGTAGACAGCAAAAGGTTGACGGGATGGGAGATGGCGAAGTGAGGAAGGGCAGCGAGGAATGACGCCGGACTCCGAGAAATCTTTCGATCTTGGCGGCTGCGCCTTTAGCTTACCGCGGTCGCCGTATCGCCTTCGGAGCTGTTGCGCGACCAGTTGATCGGAGACTGCCCCAGAGAACGCGACGAGGAACTGTCGGTCAATAGGCGATATCTGGCTATTCGGGGTCGCATCTGCGTCGAGCCCTGGATTTCATCAACTCTGGCATTCGTGGGTGGGTTTGAACCATCCCTTCGCGCTCTCCCCCAGCTCGCGCAAGCCCGCAACCATGGCGAGCATAGATGAGCTTTTTAAGGTATGCCACCTACGAAGCGGTGTCATTGATCAGTACTGACCATACAAGAAACCCTCCTCGGCAGCAAGTGCTAAGCGCAAGTTCGATGCCTCGAAAGATCCGAGTACGTTCCACACCAATCCCCTACGCCCTTGACAGTCAGTTACTGACTCCCGATGAAGATGAGCTTTATAAGGCGGCGAAACTGGATGCGGACGGCGATGTGAAATCGAAGGGGAAAGCGCCCATGGTAGAGGATGAAGGCGAGGAGGACGACTACGCGGGACCCGATCTACCCCCTGACTTCGACGTCGAGGATATCCCAGATGACGAAGAGGGCCGCTTCTTTGGCGGTGGTATGGAGCAACAAACTGCCCAGGCTATGCAGTACATCGATCAGAACGAGGATACAGACGCCGCGGTATGGAATTGTCAAATCTGCACGATATATGACAAGTCACTGATGGCATGCAGCCCGAGAAGTTCGACGTGACGTGGTTGCGACGGTTCGCCCTCAACTTCGAGAAGAAGATATCCAAGAACGCCGAGCTCCGAGGGAAGTTCGAGAATGACCCTGAAAAGTATGTTCTGCATTGCCGACTCGAATCGAGACGTGCGCATTAAACTAACGCTGTCAGATTCATGACCTCGGAGGCAGATCTGGACACAGAGATTAAAAGCCTCTCAATTCTGTCCGAACATTCAGAGCTATATGGCGAGTTCGCAAAGTTGGGATGTGTAGGATCGTTGATATCGCTGCTATCGCATGAAAACGCCGACATTGCAATTGACGCGATCCAGATCATTGGTGAGCTGACGGACGAGGACGTGGAGGCCGAACAGGAGCAATGGGATACACTCGTGAACGCGATGGTAAGTCGTCCTTGGAATTTGCCTACACATACACACACACACGCACGCACTCACTGGTTCAGCTGGACGCCGACCTTATCGAACTATTAGCCCAGAATCTGTCACGACTGGACGAGACCTCCGAAGTCGACAGAGCGGGTGTCTACTACGTGTTGAGTGAGATGTCTCCCACCACCTTGGCTGTAGCGATGCTTACTATTTCCCAGGCGTCCTGGAGAACCTTGCTTCACAGACATCCGTTGCAGAGAAGATAGGGCAGGACCTCAACGTGCTACCGTGGCTTATCTCTCGTATACAGAAGAAGGACAAGCCCGTGAGCCAAAACCAGCAATATGCGGCCGAGATCTTGGCTATCCTACTACAATCTAGTCCCAAGAATCGGGTACAATTCATTGGCAAGGACGGCGTGGAGGTTCTTCTTCAGTTGCTTAGTGCATACCGCAAGCGGGACCCCGAGAAGGATTCCGATGAAGAGGAGTATGTCGAGAATTTGTTCGACTGCTTGGTTTGTGTCGTGGATGAGGATTCCGGCAAGGAGAAGTTCTTGGACGCGGAGGGCATTGAGCTTGGGCAGATCATGCTGAAAGAAGGCAAATTCAGCAAGCAGCGGGCCCTCCGAGTGCTGGACCATGCGCTCGGCGGAGTCGGCGGGGCCCCGCGTGTGAACGCTTCGTCGAGGCAGCATGCCTAAGTACAGTGTTTGGGATGTTCAAGAGAAAGGTACGCATAAACCCTGGAATCGAACCATGGAGCCCAGGCTAAACTCGTGCAGCAAGAGAATCAGACCACCGAGCATCTGCTCGGCATTTTCGGGTCCCTGCTGCGTCTATTGCCAGGTGCTTCCGCACCACGAATCCGCACCCTTGCCAAATTCATGGAGAAGGACTACGAAAAGATCGAGAAGCTGGTCAAGCTACGACGGGAGTATGCATCGCGTGTCTCGCCGGTCGAGCAGGTCATTGAGAAAGAGCGGAAGAACTTCACGGAGGAGGAACAGGAGATCATGGCAAGCGAGTGGCTGTCACGACGATTTGATGCAGGTCTTTTCTCTCTACAGGTTGGTTGGCTCCATGTGTGCGTCTCTTGCCCTCAGGTGGTGTGCTAACGGCCAGTCACAGCTTATTGACGTTATCTTGGCCTGGTTGGTGGCTGAAGACGACGGGGCGAAACAAAGGATTGTCGCACTGCTGGCCGACCGCGACGAGGATTTGTCGCTGGTTCGAGGAACGCTGCAAGGTAAGCTGCATGCCCCTATCCGTGCTGCGCGAACGATGCTGATCCGACAAACAGAGCAAGTGGAGGGCCTGTCGGAAGAGGAGCCCGGGCAGAAGGATCACAAGGAGATGCTGGAGACCCTGCTGCAATTTCTGTAAAATAGCGTGTACAATGAATGAATACCTAGTGACTGAGGCCCCCATTGATGGACCGGCACGATCAAGTAAAGCGAGAGTGAAAGAACCGCCGAGGGATCGAACAAGGAGGCTTCCCGTGGTACACGTGATACCCCGATCCGGACTAGCGGGGCGGCCTAGTGCCAGCAGGCGGTCGAGGCTAGTGGCGGCTCTTCCCAAGTCAAGTCAAGATCCATCAGCGCCCGGAGAGAGAGAGAGAGAGAGTCAGTCAAAGCATCCCCAACTGCTTGCTCCCTTCACCCCCCCCCCCCCCCCAAACATCACCCCGTGGCTTGGGATTCCCCCCCCCCCCCAGCCTCGTCTCTCTTCCATCAGAGGCTTTCCGACTTTTTGGCCTCGCTTGCCTGCTACTTGACCCGCTTGCACCGGTGCATCCCCTCGACCTTGAGTGGGATCTCTTCCACCGAGCGCGTCGCGCCCTTTGCGCCTCCTGTCCCAGTCCCTGCCCCAGTCCCAACCGTGTTGGTGATCGATATCCGTCAAGATGGCCGACTACGAAGATGTCTACGAGGACGAGTACTACGATGATATGGAGGAGGGGATCACATCGGAGGATTGCTGGACCGTCATCTCGTCATTCTTCGACTCCAAGGGTCTGGTCTCGCAACAGCTGGACTCCTTCGATGAATTCATCTCCTCGACAATGCAAGAGATGGTCGAGGAACAAGGCCAAGTAACTCTCGACCAGACCCTCCCTCCTTCCGAAGATGAAGTCGATCCGGTTGTCGTCCGCCGATACGAGCTCAAGTTTGGAACGGTCATGCTCTCCCGGCCGTCCGTGACCGAGGGTGACGGTGCGACCACTATCATGCTGCCTCAGGAGGCTCGTCTGCGTAACCTTACGTATGCCAGTCCCCTGTATCTCGGTGTGACGAAGAAGATCATGGAGGGTCGGGAACGCCTGGTCGCCGACCGGGATGATGAAGACATGGTGGAATCGAGCGAGGACCGAAAAGCCCACGGCACCTATCTGCAGTGGGAGCAGAAGGAGCTTCCGGCTGATCAGAGAGGGGAGGAGACCGTTTTCATCGGCAAGATGCCCATCATGCTCAAGTCTAAGTACTGCATTCTCAAGGACTTGAGCGAGCAGGCTCTTTACAACTGGAACGAGTGCCCCTACGACTCCGGTGGTTACTTTGTCATCAACGGAAGTGAGAAGGTTCTGATTGCCCAAGAGCGTAGCGCCGGAAACACAGTCCAGGTCTTCAAGAAGGCCCCGCCCAGCCCAACGCCGTACGTCGCGGAAATTCGGAGTGCCGTTGAGAAGGGCTCAAGACTTTTGTCCCAGTTGTCCCTGAAGCTGTTCGCGAAGGGCGATAGTGCGAAGGGTGGATTTGGTCCTACTATCCGCTCGACATTGCCATATGTGAAGACCGACATTCCGATTGTTGTGGTCTTCAGAGCTCTCGGTGTGGTTTCCGATGAAGATATTCTAAACCACATCTGCTACGACCGTAACGACACGCCAATGCTGGAGATGCTGAAGCCTTGTATTGAGGAAGGTTTTGTTATCCAGGACCGCGAAGTGGCGCTGGACTTCATTGCCAAGCGTGGATCTTCTCAGTCCAGTATGAACCACGAGCGTCGTGTCCGCTACGCTCGCGATATCATGCAGAAGGAGTTCCTTCCTCACATTTCCCAGAGCGAAGGTAGTGAAACCCGGAAAGCGTTCTTCTTGGGTTACATGGTGCACAGACTTCTGCAGTGTGCCTTGGGGCGCCGGGACGTCGACGATCGTGACCACTTTGGCAAGAAGCGTCTCGACTTGGCTGGTCCCCTTCTTGCAAACCTCTTCCGAGTTCTGTTCACCCGAGTCACCCGTGATCTGCAGCGGTACGTGCAGAGATGCGTGGAGAGCAACCGGGAGATCTACCTGAACATCGGTATCAAGGCCAGCACCTTGACGGGAGGGTTGAAGTACGCCCTTGCTACGGGTAACTGGGGAGAGCAGAAGAAGGCGGCGAGTGCGAAGGCAGGTGTGTCCCAAGTGCTCAGTCGATACACCTACGCCTCTACTTTGTCCCATCTTCGTCGTACCAACACGCCCATTGGCCGAGACGGCAAGATCGCCAAACCCCGTCAGCTTCACAACACCCACTGGGGTCTGGTCTGTCCTGCAGAGACTCCTGAGGGTCAGGCTTGTGGTCTGGTCAAGAACCTGGCGCTCATGTGCTACATCACGGTCGGTACCCCCAGTGAGCCGATCATTGATTTCATGATCCAGCGAAACATGGAGGTCCTGGAGGAATTCGAGCCGCAAGTAACACCCAACGCAACCAAGGTGTTTGTGAACGGTGTCTGGGTGGGTATCCACCGAGACCCGGCTCACCTGGTCAACACGATGCAGTCTCTCCGTCGGCGAAACATGATCTCGCACGAGGTCAGTTTGATTCGTGATATCCGTGAGCGGGAATTCAAGATTTTCACCGACTGTGGGCGTGTCTGTCGGCCACTCTACGTCGTCGACAATGATCCCAAGAGCGAGAACTGTGGCTCTCTGGTGCTCAACAAGGAGCATATCCGCAAGCTGGAGCAGGATAAAGACCTGCCTCCGGATCTGGATCCAGAGGATCGCCGGGAGCGCTACTTCGGTTGGGATGGTTTGGTGAAGTCGGGTGTGGTCGAATACGTCGACGCGGAAGAAGAAGAGACTATCATGATCGTGATGACACCGGAGGATCTGGAGATCTCTAAGCAGCTTCAGGCCGGCTATGCGCTCCCCGAAGAGGAGCTCCATGACCCCAACAAACGTGTTCGGTCCATTCTGAGCCAGAAGGCACACACGTGGACCCACTGCGAGATTCACCCCAGTATGATCCTCGGTGTCTGCGCCAGTATCATTCCCTTCCCCGATCACAACCAGTCGCCCCGTAACACGTACCAGTCTGCCATGGGTAAACAGGCCATGGGTGTGTTCTTAACAAATTTCGACCAGCGCATGGAGACCATGGCGAACATCCTGTATTACCCACAGAAGCCGCTGGCAACGACGCGCTCCATGGAATTCTTGCGATTCCGAGAGCTGCCCGCTGGCCAGAACGCCATTGTTGCTATTTCGTGCTATTCCGGATACAACCAGGAGGATTCGGTCATCATGAACCAGAGCAGCATTGATCGGGGTCTTTTCCGCAGTCTTTTCTACCGTACCTACACCGACAGCGAGAAGATGGTCGGGCTGACGGTTGTCGAGCGCTTTGAGAAGCCGATGAGGTCGGATACGCTGGGCATGCGGAAGGGGACCTACGACAAGCTGGACGAAGATGGTATCGTCGCTCCTGGTGTCCGTGTTTCGGGTGAGGATATCATCATTGGTAAGACGGCACCGTTGTCTCCCGACGCGGAGGAACTTGGCCAGCGTACCAAGGCTCACACCAAGCTGGATGTGTCGACGCCCCTTCGAAGCACGGAGAACGGCATTGTGGACCAGGTGCTGGTGTCTACGAGCAACGACGACCTGAAGTTCGTGAAGGTGCGCATGAGGACGACCAAGATCCCGCAGATCGGCGACAAGTTCGCGTCGCGTCACGGACAGAAGGGTACGATCGGTATCACCTACCGCCAGGAGGACATGCCGTTCACTCGTGAGGGTGTCGTCCCCGACCTGATCATCAACCCCCACGCTATTCCCTCCCGTATGACAATCGCGCATTTGATCGAGTGTCAGCTCAGTAAGGTGTCATCGCTGCGTGGATTCGAGGGAGACGCGACGCCCTTCACCGACGTGACGGTCGACTCGGTGTCGCGTCTCCTCCGGGAGCACGGGTACCAGTCGCGTGGGTTCGAGGTGATGTACAACGGCCACACCGGTAGGAAGATGGTGGCGCAGGTCTTCTTGGGCCCGACCTACTACCAGCGTCTGCGCCACATGGTCGACGACAAGATCCACGCCCGAGCCCGTGGTCCGACCCAGATCCTGACCCGTCAGCCCGTGGAGGGTCGTGCCCGTGACGGTGGTCTGCGATTCGGAGAGATGGAGCGCGATTGCATGATTGCGCACGGAGCCAGTGCCTTCCTGAAGGAGCGCCTGTTTGACGTGTCCGACCCGTTCCGCGTGCATATCTGCGATGACTGTGGCTTGATGACCCCTGTTGCGTAAGTGACGCCCTGTCCTGTCCATTGTCCATTGTCTTCCCTTCCCTATACTAACGGTGCCGGGTTGCAGGAAACTCAAGAAGGGCCTCTTCGAGTGTCGCCTGTGTAACAACAAGCACCGCATCTCGCAGGTGCACATCCCGTATGCAGCCAAGCTTCTGTTCCAAGAGCTGGCCTCGATGAACATTGCCGCTCGCATGTTTACCAACCGGTCTGGAGTGTCCGTGCGGTGAGGAGGGGGAAGGAACGTCATCCGTGTACATCAGGACTCTTCTCTGTGGTATCTTCTTTTTTTTCTTCTTTTTTTTCTTTTTTTTTTTTTTTTTTTCTTTCTTTCTTCCTAATAATCTCCCCCCCACCCAAAAGCTGTGGTCTCCATCGCAGAGCAGACAGACAGATTGATTCGGCATTTCCCGGCGTACAGAGAGGACCGATGCTTATGATTTTGATTTGAGCTCTTTTCATTATTTGAATTTTTGCCGTGACTACTTGGGAGGGATGGAGAAAGGGGGCAGGGAGGTGGGGGTGAGCAGCGATGTGCTTGGCTTCTGATTTGTCCCTACGGAAATAAAACTTGGACTTTTTGTGAGAAGTTGCGCGGGCCTTTTTCTGCACGTAAGCCCATGCACACCATGTCAGGGTGTATGTACTACTACGGTAGTAGTACTGCTAGGAGTCGTAGTATATCTAGTATCTAAGTACAGTATCAATAGATAGATAGTAAAGTATCTCTCCTTCCCATCCAATCCACCGACGAACCTTAAACCCCACGGTCCTGCAGAGTTTTCCTCCCCTCGACCCGTTCACCGACAGCGATTGGGGCCTCGGGGGGTCGATGTGCTCACGGCGGGCGGCAAGAGAGAAAAGGCATCACGGGCATGGATGGTGGCCGGCGAGAGTGGTTGGCCCAGAGCGTGCCTGCCACTGCCGGCCACAGCCAGCCCGGGGGCCGCGGGCCCAATGAGACCGGAGCCTTACCCGCCGGGCGACACGGCGGGGGGTGACGATGGGTGATGACGGGCGGGGACCGCCTGTGACTGGCGGCCGGCACCTGCAGTGGCCCACTGGCGCCTTCCCAGAATAGCCATCCATGAGCACACAGGCTGGAAGAGGCAGGAATGAGGGGAAGAGGCACACTTTCCCCCTCCCCCGGTCGTCTTTAAAAGCAGCTGTAGCCGCCCAGGCGTCTTCTGCCTTCTCTTCCTTCTCTTCTCCAGCAAGCTTGTCTTGTCTGACTGCCTTTGGTTTGGAAGTATCCTGTGCACTGGCTGCACTGGTTTGTTGTTGTCTTGTCTTTCTTCATTGCTTTAGCTTCCCTCTATCCTCTTAATATTTCCCCCCATTCACTCCCCACGAGCTGTGCTCTGGATTCCCCCAACCCCTGTTGCGTTATTGCTTCTGACCAGTTAGGATACTTCTAAACCATTCCAACCTTGTGACGGTCCATCTGTGTCGCCGGTCGACATCTGTGTTCCCTCATCCAGTTCAGACGACTTGCTGGCCTCGTCTGCTGCCTTTATTGATCTTCCCGCTTCTATCTACTATCTAATTTCTGCTACGTGTCAAGGACTGGATCCTGTCAACCGCAAGGCTTGTTGTTATACCTGCACAGCCATCCAACCAACATCCAACCAAGCAAGGCTGAACGGAAATCGACTCTGGTAGCCCTTCTCTATTCTGCCTTTTATAACAACGCCACATCCATCTCGGACACGTTTCTCCGTTATATCTGCTATATCTTGCATCTTGCATCTTGCATCTTGCCCCTGGCATATTATCTAATTCCTAGTATAACCTGGTCAATCTCTCACCATGTCTGCTGTGCAACTCAAGTTCGCTCTCCGCACTTCCTCCAATGTCAAGACCGTCCACCTGGTCGGCTCCTGGGACAACTACTCCCGTCAGATCCCCCTCTCTCGGGACGATGGCAAGCCAGGCGCCTGGGTCGGCAAGTTCCGCTTCCAGACCTCCATGCTGAAGCCGGGTGGCCGTTACTGGTACTACGTGAGTGGCCCTTCCCGCGCGGGCCCCGATCAGAACTGACCAGACGCAGTACATCATGGACGGCTACCACGTCTCCCATGACCCCGCGATGGAATACACCGTCGAGCCCACCACCGGCCGCAAGCTGAACATCCTCGATGTTCCCGGGGGCAACAAGCCCTCCCACTCGGCACCCAAGCACCGCCGGGGCGAGGATGTGGTCAAGGGCCGTGCTCCGTCTCCATCCAAGATCCACCACCCCAAGCCGTCCAAGCCCTACGCCTCCCGTCAAATCCGGGAGACGGACTTCGCCCCGACCATGGACGATCTCACCAGACGGTTTGCCGGCTCGCGCATGTCGGACGAGTACGAGCTCTCCAACAGCCCGCCCAGCTCCGTCGGCTCGTCCCTGTCCTCCCGATCCTCCGGCAGCACCTCCCCGTCGTCGCTGTCCTCCATGAGCGACCCGCCCACGCCCATCTGCCACTGTGAGCGCTACGGGATCACCCGCAAGGGTGACCGCGTCAAGCTCGACTGCGGGGGTAGCCGCTGCGGCTATGTGACGGAGTCGTCCGAGGCCAGCTGCTCGGAGTCCGATAGCGATGAGGAGTACCGACGGGCCCGGAGCGCCGTTCGCCGCCAGGGTATTGTGGTGCGCAGATAAGCCATCGATTTTGCGTGTTTTACGTTGTTTCCAACCAAACTTCCCCTAATGGGAGTCGCTTCCCGGGTTGCAAGACCGAACCAGCTGGGCGTGAATGCCCGCCATCTATCCGAGAATAGTCACTCCTTTGGCGGCTTCTGCTACGTCTATCAGACTTATACATAAAAGCCCAAAAAGAGAAAGAAAAAAAATGGGACAAATAGAGAGGCGAGCCGGGCCGTTCCGAAGAGCCGGACTCGCTTCGGGGGAGACGGAAATGGGGGCGTGTTTTGGGGGGGGGGGTGAGATGAGGACGGTTAGGGTTGTGGGAGGAAAAGGACAAGCTCCGCTCTATACCAGGGCACCGAATGGTATAGCCAGGTGGATGATGGGATGAATGAACGAGCGATGTCAGGTCATGATAGCTACATTGTTCAGATAGCATATGAATGATGAATGATGATCTTACCGTACAGTCGAGCCGTGTTTGTTAACTCCAGTGTCTCGGCAGCAGAGCCGGGAGCGATTCCCCCGCAGTCGGATATCCCGGGCACGAGCCTAGCACAGTACTTAAGTGCAGCATTTCTGTCACATCTTGCTGCACCGTTGGACGTATAAACTTTCCCCGCAATAATACCCGACTCCCCCACACACATCCATACCCCCAGACACGATGCCTCCTCCCCCTCTCACCGTGCAATACAAAGAGGCCCATGGCAGTCAAATCCACACCGACATCTACCTCCCGCCATCATTACCCTCATCCTTCGATGGAAAAGCGAAGAAGTATCCCGTCCGTAAGTCCTCTTCCCCCCCCCCCCCCCCCCCCCAATCTTGGTTGAGCACTGCTAACCCGCACCAGTCATCAACATCCACGGCGGCGTGTTCATGCTCGGCCACTCCCGCATGGTGTCCATGCCGCAGATCGACGACTGCCTGGCGCGGAACTGGATCGTGGTGGTGCCGAACCATCGCCTCTGTCCGCAGGTGAATATCCTCGAGGGCCCGATGACCGACTGTCGGGACCTGCTCGCCTGGATCTACGACGGCCACCTCGATGCGTTCCTCGCCAGCGACGCTGCCACGCCCGGCCAGGGCCTGCCGTACCAGGTCGACATGGATCGCGTCATGGCATTTGGGACGTCGTCGGGAGGCACGCTGGCCTTGTCCCTGGTACATCCAAACATCCAAACCCCCAATCCCCCAATCCCCTCTCAAACTAACCACCCTCCCTCAACTCAGGGCTACGACGTGCCCCGCCCCGTCGCCGCGATCCTCAACTTCTACGGCGCCGTACACTTCACGCACCCCTTCTGGACGATCCCCCTCCCAGCCGTGGCCCGCACCCTGCCCCCTCTCTCGTCCTCCTTCCTACAGCAGATCTACGCCGAACACCCCGTGCCCACCGACAGCTCGATCTCGCTAGAAGGCCAGACCGAAACCGGGGTCTCCAAGGGGCCGGACTTCTCGCGGCCCCGCGACGCCTTCGCCCTCACGCAGGTCGCCAACGGCACGGTCCTGCAGGCGTGCTACCCGGACGGCGATGTGCGGGAAATCGACCCCGTGTGGCACGTCGGGGACGGGTTCCCGCCGACGTTCATCGTGCATGGCGACGCGGATACCAAGGTGACGGTGGAGGTGAGTCGGGAGCTGTGGCGCGTGTTGAGGGAGAAAGGGGTGCGGTGCGGGATGGTCGAGGTGCCGGGGGAGGATCATACGTTTGCGATGGGGATGGCGGTGGGGTCGAGGACGTGGGAGTTGCAGAGGGAGGGGTTTGATTTTCTGGAGGGGGTGATCGGGTGATCGGGTGATCTTTTGGTGTTTGGGTGTTTGTATATACTGACTGTTCGTTCGGGTCGGAATTAGGGAATAGTATTTAAGATCGATCGGTTACGGGGGTTGGTCGGTGTGGACTGCTGCGTGCTGATGTCCCTCTGCTCAGTGCTTCTTTACTAGTACTCCGTACTTAACTAGATACCAATCCTGCCTGGGATTGATTGATCCGGGGGGTGTCCGGTGTATTGTTATGTGATTACACGGTGATGACAATACTGGTGTGTTGGTGTGTTTGCGTTTCCCTGTTGGGAAGCCACGACGGCGTGACTCAGGCCGCACTGCGGGGCGCTGGCCCTACCGCTTAGTCACGGGATGCTATTTTGGGTTGTGAGCAAACATCCCCTCTCGTCTTCACCGACGGTTCCCCGGTCTTTGTCCGTCCTCTTCTCTTGATCCGATCCATAATCCATCCATGGCCTCCTGGATCTCACCGTTTCAGCCCTACGGTGAGGTCGTCGCTCGCCAGTGGTTCGTCCTTTCCGGCTATTCCGTTCAGCCTCAGTCCGTGGATGAAGCTAGGGATTTTCCTCAAATCATCGTCGTGCCGCTGCAGCCTTATGGCTCCCAAGGTCCCCCCCCGGAGAACCGCCATGCATCCCAGCTGAACCTGCCCGGCTTCTCACGCCCATCGCCGTCGGCCGTCCACCTGCCACCTGCCACCTGCCACCTGCCTCCTGCCTCGGATGATGGCATTCCCCATGGAGACTGGAGAGACACCCAACCCTCCCTCACGCGGGATTGGAGTAACTAACCGACTGAACTGTCTACCAGCTGTCATGGTGGGCGTCGCCTAGTTTCTGCACTACTCGGCCTTCAGCCCGAACAAGCGTCCCCCACTGATCGACTCCGGTTTGCCCTACAAAGATTATTATTGCGACGAGGCCAATCTGGGATGGCTGGCTTGACGTTTGCCCGGCAGGATGGGTCGCTTCTTCTCCTCTTTTTCTTTTTCTTTCGCTTTTCCCTTTCCCTTTCCCTTTTCTCGCTCCCCTCCTCTTCCTTGATTCATTCCCCTCGGTTCCTTGCTGGCCCTTGCTGTCCCCCCTTCCCCTTCCTTCTCTTTCTCCCTCTCCCTCTCCCTCTCCCTGCATCGCTCGCCCTGTTCGTGATGGACCACGGCCGTTTGGATCGTCCCCGGGCACAGAATTAAAGGTCGTTTCGGTTTATAGATGCCTCGCATCGACCGCTGCATTGCATTCAGCATCAATCAGGGCGTCGTGGAATGACTGCATCAGGTCAGCTCGCCCGCTCTAGATCGTCGTCGACAGCTTCTGTGGGGGTCTATCATGGTCCTGGCTTGCCTGAATGATCGGTGTTCTTATCATCTATTCCATCCGCCGTCCCCTCCCTCCCCACCTTCATCGCAGCCACCACCACCGCGCGTCTTTCCTATCGAGCCATTCTTGGACCACCACAATCATTCCTGTCTCTTTACCACGCAGCACGTTTGATCATTTCGCTTTGTTTCGTCCCCTCGTCGCGCCCTCACCATGTGCTACCAGCTGGTGGAGCGATTTTCCGCCTGCCGATGTCTCTACTTCCAGCACGCGGTAGATCCGTGTGAGGCATATCGACAGCGCGGCCACACGGTGCAGGAGAAAATCGTCCTGGTCGGCTACACCTGCTCCCGCCACTCTCTGCGATGCAACGGGAGCGACGTGCGAGACCCTGCCCTCCCGGATTCCGGATACTCCAGCATCAAGGGATAACCTGATCCCAAAAGCACGGGGTCTGATAGTGCTGCACCCTCAGATCCAATTTCGCTCAGTTCGATTCGAGTTTGGCTTGGCCGGTTCGCCAAACCTTTTGCTAGATAGACATCTTTTTTTATTGTCAACAACACCGTGGGGCTGAGCTCTCGTCATCTTATCTTTTTTTTTTTTTTTTTTTTCAAATATGATTTATCTAGCTGGCCTACCTACCTACCTACCTACCTACCTACATGTCTACCTACCTGCTCGTTGATTGATCTAATCCCACTCACCACTGTTTCTGGTTCTGCATCGGGATGTGGATTGAGATTGCGTGTCTAGTCTGGGTTCTTCTATGTAGAGAGGGTTAGCCTTCTATAAAGATACAGGGAGTATTGGAGAGGGTGTGAGAGCACCCGAGAGCGAGAACAAGAGCAAGAGAAGAGCTATGTTCTCCTACGATATCTTCTTATTCACTGCCCATATGGGGAGAGGTAGTGGTGCATAGCTTATAGTCCGCATAGCTTATAGTCTGCATTAGGGTAGGTAGGTAGGTAGGTAGGTAGGCAGGTAGGCAGGCAGGCAGAAGTGTTAAGGGAAGTTCCCAGCCTGCCAAAGGGTAAAAGTGAATCCATCCCTCCTGGCCAGACGTGCGGGGTTGCCCTGACCTGACAAACACCCCCCCCCATCAGCAGCCACCAACAATCAGTGCGGACTGACTACAGTAAGTGTTCATCAATTGAATGGTCGGTGCTCAAATGTATCGGTCAACTCCATGCAATCCCAACCCATTATGCATACAGAATACATGAGAAGCGCGAGGGTTATCGGTTCAGATAAGATCAGAGTCCTCTGCACTCTTCTCACTCAATGTAGAGAGAAGAAAAAAAAAGGGGGGGGAAGGGGAAAAGGGCAATTATTAAAAAAAAAAAAAGAAAAAGAAAAAACAGATGACACGAATAGAATACACCCAGATACTTTTCTTATTTATCAATCCACAACCACGGCCAATTCAACCTAGAGAGAACCGAGTGCCCTCGAGCTCAGGCCCTTGGCGATGCCCAGCCGCAGGATACGCAGGATGTCATCGCCCGTGATATCCTCCGGCAGCCCGGCACGCCAGTCCCAGCCGCGCTTCTCGCTCGAGACAGCCGCCTCTCCGTCCGCGCGCGGGACCAGGACGGCCGAGCTGCCCACCGAGCCGGAGCCGGATCGCGTGCGCGCGGATTCGATCATGTCGTTGCCGATCAGGGAGAAGGTGCTGGATGCGGTGAGCGACGAGACCGACTTCTTCAGCATCGCCCGCGGCGACGGCGGCTGCACCAAGGAGTCGGACGTGTGGGCGCGCTTGGAGGACTGGTACTGGATGAGCGTAGAGCGGAAGCACTCCTCGCACTGGGCGTACACGCGCGGGGTCACGGTTTGGAGGTCCTCGATGGCGGAGAGGATGGTGAATAGTTGGGAGGTGGAGAGGATGGGGGTGGGTTCTGTTGGGGGGGGGGGGGGGGGGTCAGTCAGCTTGGGCTCGTCGGAAAGAAGGTCATCCCTCCCAGGTAGACTCACGATCGATGAAGGGCAGGGCCTCGCCCAGCAACGTCAGCAGCCCGTCGACTTGGATCACCGAGTCGCGCTCGGGGTCGTAAAGCCCGCCGTAAATGCTGTCCGCCGCACTGCCGATGACCGCCACCAGGGCCTGCGCCGCCGCCCGCCGTCTGGCCAGAGGCTTGAGACTGGCGGCCTCGTCGCGGGTCTCGTAGTACCGACGGAGCGTCGCATATCCACTGAAGTAGTACTGCAGGATGTGGGCGGCCTCCTCGTCGGTCGCCGAAATGGCGGACAGGCACTGGTTGGGGTCGCGGATCAACACCTCCAGCTGCTGGTCCAGCGCGGCCGAGTCGGGGTATGCGCGGGATTGCACCAGGCTGTAGGAGATGAGCAGATCGACAATCGACTTGACCTTGCGTCGGTTGTGCGCCCGGGCATAGCACAGAAGGGCAAGCCCGTAGTCCTGCGACTTCGTCACCGTATCATCCCCAAAGCGCTGATCAGTTAGCTGGGCCCACGAGTCTGGCGTCGGGCGGCACTCACCTCGGCCATCTTCTGTCCTTCCGTGTTGAGGTCGAGCTCGGAACACAGCAGGACCACCTTGTCCACCTGCTCTGGCGTGGCGAGAGGCAGCTTGTCCAGCAGCTCCGCCACGCTCTTTTGCATCTTCTCGCGGTCGTCCAGGCGGCTGAGAACCTCGATGGCAATCTCCCATCCCTCCCGGGCGCCAGCATCACTCTCCACGATGGGTCGCTTGGACAGGCCCAAGGCATAGGCGCTGATCACGTCGTTCTTGTTGATGCGACGACTGGGGGCGCCGTCCTGGCCGTATGACAGAACCATCAGGTCGTCCTCGCTCAGACCAGGCATCGACTTCGGTCCGGCCCCAGCCTCGAGCCAGCCGCCCATCGACGCGACCTCGACCACAGCCGACGCAATGCACAGCGACCACGTCTGGAGCAACTCCAGCACGCCATCGACATTGCCCTCGAACACCGAGGCCAGTCCAACCTCGAGGCTGCTCAGCGAGTTGATGCGGAAGCCGTCATCCTCGGGGTCCGCACTCGTCGCATTCCTGAAGGCCAGGTCGAGGCGCCGGAGATAGGCGTACTTGGCATTGGCCGGCGACAAGGGCGCTTTCAGGGGCCGGGAGAACAGGAAGTTGCTGGCGCTGAAGTCGTTGTTCGAGCTCTCGTCGTCGTCCTCTCCATCCCACCATACAGTCATCCCAATAGTAGCCTCAATCCAGTCCTGGGCGGTGTTCATGATCGCACGTGTATCACCCAGCAGGATGCGGTACACGGTCCGAAGGTTCTGGTAAATCGTCCAGGGAACTTTGCTGTCGGCCATCCGCGCGGACTGGGCAAAGGAGAACATGGGCGCAGCGGCCGTCGGCTTCAGCCCAAAGTTGATCGCCTGGAAACGGGTTTCCGCCGTGGGAGGCTCCGGCGCTGGCTGCTCATTGCCTTCGGCGAATTCCTCCAGGTCAGAGACGGCTGCCAGCACGCGCTTCCTATAAAGCCCCCACTCCGCGCCCCGGCCGTCCCAATCCCCATGCTGCAGGCTGGGGCAGGACTCGAGGATCTGGTGGGCCTTGTTGATGCACCGTTGAATATTCTGGAGCTGCGTGCCACGGTAGCCCGACTGCGGCAGGCCATCCTCCAACGCCGATCTCGCATGATTGAAATCCGCAGACCGCAAGATCTCCGCGGCGTCTGAGAGATGACCCCGTAATACTGCGGCGTGGATGAGCTCCCAGAAGTTGGGTGACGCAGTGGGGCTCGGCTCTACTACTTTCAGGGCTCGTAGCTCGGCCGACGGGGGATAGTGGTGTGTCTCAAGCCAGTCAAGGAGGAGCTTGGGTAGAGGGGTAGGGGTACTCGTGCGAGGGGCAGTCAATAACAGATTGCGTGCGGCAAACCCGAGAGGGCTGGACAGAGCTGGCTTGGGTGCCGATTGCGGAGGGTGGTGGAGCTGCAGGAGCAGAGACGCGAGGAAGCCTGCTTTCGCAATGTTAGAGGCATGATCTCCAGGACCAATGCCAGATTCCGAACTCTGGCCGGGCGTATGCCAGACGGTCACAAGTCTGTCACAGGTGGTTGACAGGGCGGTCTCAAAGTCAACGCCGTTGAACTCGGACTTCTTGACTTCATCGTACATGTCACAGATCTCGTCCTCCGTGCTGATGATGAAATCACTCGGCTCCTGCACCGCGGCAATGCGCGACCGAGTAGCAAAGTTGCGCACGATCGACGAAACAGCCGAGTCCTTTTTAGCCGACAATTTCCCCTTGCGCAGAGGCGATTGGTTCGCCCACCGCTCGTCGAGTTTCGGTCGCTTCGCATTGACCGGGTTGGTATAGATCGCCTTTCGTTGGAGCGAGACTGGCTGCGGGGGGATGGAATCACCGAACTGGGAGTCCAGGAAGCTAAAGCGAGGCGCAGGGTCCTTGTTTGGTTTCTGCCCATTCAGAACGTCGCGATGGTTTTCGTGCTCCGGCACCGGGAGTTCGTCTTCTCCCTCCGCATCTTGTTCGGCATCCTCATCCATCTGCGACTCCGCGAAGCCGTTCGATTTCCCGAGACTGGTTGACTCGGCGAATCGGTTGCCATTTGTGACGCTGAACAGGGACTGCGACGGCGCAAACGGATTGGCTGACGGCTTGGCTGGCGCGGCGGCCTTTTTCGGCTTGGGTAAGTCGGGGAGAGCAAAGTCGTCGGACGCAATGGAGGAGCCGAAGATGCTGTCGTTGGTGTTCATGTGGCCGGACTTTGTGAAGAGAGAGCCGGAGCTCATCTGGGAGTCGCCTAAGAAGCTGGACTGAGGAGCAAAGGAGTGGGATGCGGAGGGAGGAGCCCCGGCAGGCGTGCTGGATAGATTGTCGAACAGACCGCGGGACTTGCCCGGTGTCGACGGGGGACTGGATTCAAATGGGATCTTGAACGACATTTTGCGACAGGGGTTCGAGTGACTGCTGGGGAGCTATGGAGTCGGACTGACAAGGTTATGGACAGGAAAAATAATGGACGGAAAGAAAGGCTACCCCGATTGGGGGGGATGGGGGGGGGGTAGGAAGACAGTCAGTGCGAGATGATGGAAGGGAGAAGTAATGCGCCAGCAATTCGAGGATTGGAGGATTTGAGGACGCGCACGGAGGGGAACAGGAGGGAAGCCTCGGAGGCAATGAAAGAGACAGTTGACAGACTCCCTTCGACGCCGCGGTGTTTCTTCTTCTTCTTCTTCTTTCGCCGTCGCCGTCGATCCACGCGCGCCGCCTTGGCGGTGAGCAGGTCAGGTGATGGCACATGCCTTGCTGCCTCAGTCCCCCACGCTATGCCCCATCGAGCCCGTCGTATCCGCTAGCGCGCTGATTGGCCCGGCCAGCAGCACAGCCCGACGATCGCCATCGGCGGACCCTTGAAAACCACCAACTCTCTCGTATCACCACCATATAAGGACAGTGGAACGGCATCTCATGGTTCCCAGCTTCCATCATGATACCATTACTTTCCCTCTCCCGATTTACTAACACTCACATCCCATCTCGACCTCACGATGGCCAATGAACCTTCAATGGTGTCCGGCGCAACCACCTTGAGCAACTCTGGCGTGTCGGTGGATGACACCCCGGCGGGCCAGGCCAGCCCTTCTCACATTTATAACATCTCCAACACCAGCTTCCACCACCATTACAATGTGACCACCGCAGAAGACGACACAACGCTCTACCGAGTGGAGAACTCCTCCCTGTGGCCCAAGAAGCCCGATCTCGCGGTCCATGCCGGTGCAGACAAGACCGCCCCGACGGTGGCAGTGTGCAAGTTCCTGCACTTTTCGCGAGATATCAGAGTCGGCCTGGGGGACCCGGACGACGTCAATCGGATCAACTACGAGGATTTGGTTGCGCAAGATCACACCCATGCCAAGTATCGCTGGCATATGCCGGAGCCGTCTGGCCATGGCCGGCAGAGGCGGTCTTTCCTGTGGACGAGGACCCACTCGGTGGGCGTCGAGAAGAGCAAGGTCCACAAGCTCAGTAACCGCAACTTCAAGTTGACAGACGAGCAGACCGGCAGGATTGTCGCTTTGTTCACCAGCGCAATCTTGAAGTTCAAACAGACGGGTAAGCTGCAGGTCTACGTGGACTATGGACAGCAATTTGATTTGATGGCTCTTATCACGCTGCTCGCGTTGTATGAGAAGGCTCGCCGACGCAGACAAGCGGCGTCGAGCAGCGGGGGCGGGGGCGGGGGCGGGGGCGGGGGCGGTGCCTGAGCTTTACGCTCGAGAGTCACGAATAGATATATGTGGTGTAATTAAGCGATGCGAGATACCAATTTGATCCTGGATATTTGTGGTTTGCTTCTACGATTTGCGGGAGATGGCCGATGGCCGGGGGCAAGTGGAGGATGACATAAGCGAGTTCTCGACTGCATTAGTTAGGCTCCCTGCAAGATGAAACAACATCACCTCCGCCAGGCAAAACAACTCACAGCTGGTCTGGGCAAATACTAAGCACTGGCGACTAATGGCACTGCGAAGACCTCATCGTAAGTCGCGCCACGGCTGCTTGCAGTGCAAGCGCCGGCGAGTGAAGGTACCTAGTCTGTCTTCAGTCTCCTTCAGTCTTCAGCATTTCATTTCGGGGCTCCCGTAACTAAACCGCTCAGTGTGATGAACTGCGGCCGTCGTGCTCGAATTGCTCCAAGCGCCTATCGAAATGCGAGTACGACTCCAGCACGTCGCTGCTGTGGACAAACGAAGAGCCCCAATCGCGCACACGCTCCACGCGGTCCGCCTCAGAGCCCGCGCAGTCGGATCCCTCGCTGGCCGCGACTTCCAACTCCCTCGGCATTCTGGGCCGATGGGGCGGCGACTACGGGGCTCCTCAAGCGGTCCCGAGTCTGAACTTCACGGACTTGGAGTTGATGATGCACTGGTGCAACGCAACGTACAAGACCGTGTCCCGAGCCGACAAGACGGACCATATCTGGCGAGATCGCGTTCCCGAGGAAGCCCTCGCGCACCCCTTTCTCATGCACGGTCTACTGGCTCTTTCTGCCCTCCATCTGGCACAAACCAGACCCGACAACCGGCGTTCAGCATATATTAACACCGCGGTGGCGCATCAAAATCGGGCACTGGCCTTGTTTCGCGAGATGCTCTGCGATATCAACCCGTCCAATGCGAAGGCCATGTTTTCCTTCGCCAGCATCGTCGTCCTCTATACTTTCGGCTTTCCTCATTTGCCCGAGTCCGATGATCCGTGGGCATGTGTCGATGATATGATCCAGGTTCACATGCTGGCACGTGGTGTCCAGCAGGTTCTCAGCCAAGCCATTCCGGGCATCCGCAGCGGTGACTGGGGAGTGGTGCTTGAGATGGACGATGGCGATGAAGGCCCACCAGAAGATGTGCGCTTGGCTTTACAACGATTGCACGAGGCGAACAGCGTCTGTGGCACCAAAGACCCGGCCCATGATACAGCGGTCTACGAGTACGCGATTGAGACCTTGGCAGATATGATGGCTACAGCGCGCGTGGGGTTGGCCTCGGTCTCTGCTGCCTTTCGGTGGGCTATCAGGCAAAAGCCCGAATTTATGGACCTCCTTCGGGAACGCCAACCGTTGGCTCTGGTCATCTTGGCCCACCACTCGGCATTTTTCCATCGATTGAGAGATGTTTGGTATATTGGCACGTGGGGGATCAGAGTGACCAGGGCAGTATGGCAGGGTCTGGATGAGCAATGGAGGCCACTTCTCGACAAACCTATGCTGGAAATCTTCGGGAACACTCATCCGGTAGATGTCTGACCGACAGATCGACCGAGTCAAGCTGGTAGGCTAGAGTCTGTATTCTGTATGTAGCTACCCAAACACCCCGTCTATACCAGTTCCCCCCCTACCTACAGCCGACTCTCCTTCTCCGCATTCTCCAACACATAGCGAAACCGGGCCTTGCCAGCCTCCATGTCCTTCAACGTCGCATTCACCTCCTCCATCGGCCGACTCTCCACCCACGGCAACACCTGCTTCTCGGCCGCGACCCTCAGCATCTCCGAGATATCCTCTCGAGACCCGATATTCGACCCGGTCACCTTGACGCCCTTCTGAATCAACGCCCACGCCATCAACCGCGGCAACGGCTTCTCCGGGGCCCCCACCTGCACGAACGTCCCATCCATCTTCAACAGCTTCAGATACCCCTCCAGGGGCATATCGTCACCATCGACGGTGCAGATGATCAAGTCCAGACTCCGCGACCACTTCCTCTCCCACCCCGTCTCCGCCGTCGCGATAAACCCATCCGCGCCCAACGCGCGCACCTCCGCCTCCTTGCCCCCCGTCCTCGAGATCCCCACCACAGACTCACACCCCAACGCCTTCGCAAACATCACCCCCAGATGGCCCAGCCCCCCGATCCCCACAATCCCCACCGCCCTCCCCTTCCCGGCCCCGTATTTCCTCAACGGCGTAAACATCGTCACCCCAGCACAGAGCAACGGCGCCGCCTGCGCCGAGGGCAACGCATCGGGGATCTTAAACACGAAGTCGGCCGGACCGCGCCACGTGCGCGCAAACCCGCCGTAGGTCTTCTCCCCTCCGCGTCGCTTCGTCTCGCGCAGGTACCACCGGCTGTTGTACGTGCTCACGATCTGCGGGCAGTAGCTCTCTTGGTTGCTGGTGCAGGCGTCGCACGTCGGTTCGAAGCACGAGTGGCATTGCGCGCCGATTCCCACCCGGTCGCCGATCTGCAGCGCAGAGGGCGAGTTGGGCGGGAATGAGGCCTCCCTGCCCACTCGGGTCACGATGCCGATGATCTCGTGGCCCACCACGCATGGGTAGTCTGTTGGGCCCCAGCCCGATCGCAGCGTGTGTACGTCCGTGCCGCAGATGCCGCAGTGCGTGATGCGTATTTCGATGTCGGTTTCGGTGAACGGTTTCGGGGTGAAGGTTGTGAGGGTGAGGGGTGTGGTGGGGGAATGCGAGACCCAGCCGTGAAAGGTGTCGGGGGTGGTCATTTTGGGTGTGGTGGATGTGGATGTGGATGGAAGTGGGGGATGGAAGTGGGAGATGGGGATGGGGATACTTAGTAGATAACTTAAGTGAAGTGGGAGGGAGAATGCGGGGGGGAAGAGACGGATTGGGTAGAGATTATAAAGCACCAGAAAATGCGGAGAGGGAAATGCCGAGGTTCGTCGAGTGGAGTCGATCTACATCAGGTGATCGCGTGAATATACAGATTCATTATTTATTTACTGTCGGGCTCTTGTTGTGGCAAATTATCATCATGAACATTGAACGCCCCGGCCATTTATTCCGACTCCAACCATTCTAACAGTCTCAGAACTCAACCTTTGGGTATCGCTTACACTCCCCTCTCCTTGCACCATTTCTCCACCTCCCGAGCCAGCTTCTCCTTCTGGTCCCGCACCATCTCCATCATCGGCTCAACCTGCGTCTGGTACGCCTCGTACCCCTTCTGTCCATCCGGCCCGACGCCAGCCTCCTTCTGAGGGGCCAGGTACGTATCGTAGATCGAGATCATCAGGTCCATGACCGCAGACAGCTGGTTGGGGAGCCACTGGGATTCATCAGCGCGGTTCTCGCCAGTCAGGTCCGAAGGAGGAGCAGCTTACCGTGACGATGGGACTGCCTCCGGTGGCAGTCGGGTGAGGCGTCCGACGGATGATGTATTCGCGGGCAAACAGCCAGTGGCGCCAACGGAAGCTCCGAATGTGGTCGAGGGTCTTCAGAAGCAGAATCGTGGTCTCGGTGTCCTCGAGGGCGAAGTTGCGCACGCCAACCTCCTCCGACTTCGAGTTGATGTGGGCGAGGAACTCGCGGTGCGGGAGGGGACGGTAGGCGCGGAACTCGTGCAGCACCTTGGTGAGAGGGTTGGACGGCATGGGGATCTGGCAGAGGTGGTCGAGGAGGGGAATCTGGACATCTTGGTCAGCTGGAACTGTCCGGTCAGATGGCTGAACTTACCATGCTGTCGTTGGCGCCACTCTCTCCGCGGAAGAAAAGAGGCTTGTTGTCGAGAACGCCGTCGTAGATGACGCCGTTGGGGAACATGGACTGGGAAGTGATTCCGAAGATGAAGACCCGGAATGAGAGGTAGTCTTGGGGCTTGGAGTTGGCCCACATGTCTGTTACAGGTTAGGTGTTGGAAGCTGGGGTTCGGAAGGGGGCTGATTGCATACCCTCCATGGATGCTTCGATCTTCTCCATGGCCGTCAGGATCTCTCGGAATCCATCGTTGACCGCCGATCGAGAGCCTCCCTGCTCGACATTGTCGACAACCTTCACAGCACCACCAATCAGGCTGCCGGACTCCTTGACCATGTCCACGTGGGTCAGGATAAATCCTGCCTCGGAGCTCTTAGGGTCAAGCCCATTCTCAAAGGCCCGGACCAGGCGCAGGTTAGAGTACTCCAGGCCCTTGGACGGGTCTGCGACAGTGTAGTTGAAGAGGGAGTATGCAGCTGCATAGGACAGGAAAGGGGGGATGTCCAAGCTAGGATGGTGTCAGCATGGTAGGACACGATGTAAACAGAAGCACAGCAAGACCTACATCTGAGCACAGTGATACATGGGACGCGCCACAGACTTGGGCAGCAGGTCACGTCCCAGCCCGTAGCCGTTCTCGGGGTTCTTGCACCAGTTCTCCCAGCATGGTTCAAGGATGTAAGACGAGGCGAGGAAGGAGTAGTCCCGGAACAGGGCAGCAATCGTGTAGAGGTCAGGCAAGCCCTCGGGTGTGACCTGCTTGTCGATCTCGTCTGTCAAGTCGGGGAGCTCGGCCAACACGGCAGGGCCCAGCTCATACTTGGCCAGAAGACCCGGGGTACCATCGAGTTTCAGAACCGGAGCACGCTCGAGCAGGGACACCAAGGGCTGGAAGACCTCGGGCAGCTTGGCAGGGGCAATGGAGTAAGGAAGGAAGCCAGTGGAGGTAGTGATGGTAAAGGGGTCCAGGGACCGGGACAGAGTGGCAGGGTCATCATGGATATGGGGGAAACGATCCAGGGTACTGGTGGAAACAGGGACTCTGGAGGGCGACATTGTGTTGTATGGGAGGTGTGGGATGAAGGCCTAGGATGAGAAGAAGGCAAGTGTATGATGATGTGATGACGATGGAAGAAAGGTTGTAAAGGGCAAAGCCAAAGAAGTGGAAAGTAAGGAAATGGAGGCTTAGAAATGCCAGAGTTTGTGGACTCGCGAGTACCGGTGAAGTAGAGCTTGAAGGACGGTAATTTGGGCGGGAAAGGAGGCGATTCTTATAATACTCTCGAGGCCGGTATCAATTCCGGCCTCGAGTGCACCATGACCGAAAAGGTATGGAAATGGCGTGGAGACGTCGGGCTCGATCGTGATAACGCATGGTTACATATCCGAGACCTCTGGAGATGGTATATTGGGGTTCTACGATGGATCTGAAGGCAAATAGCATCCCCTGCCGGCCACTTTTTCGATGCAGAACATGCCCAGCAACTCTATACAAACTCTTGGCAAGTGAGGGCACGCAAGGATCACGGGAGCGCGCTATTCCTGATTCAGCGGGGTATACCAGGTGCACCAGCGACAGATTCTGCGCTCCAGAAGCCTGGGGAGGGCCCCAACGATGAATGCCTGGCAGGATATCACTCCATGCCAGTCCTGGGACGTCCTCCGGCCCTCCAAACAAGGTATATTGATGCCATCCCAGGCCGGAAACTATGTCGTCTACATCATGACCTGCTTTATACTTCACCAAACGCCAAGAGCCTCAATGACTTTGCGCCCGGGCTGATTGGCCGGCATCCTTGGATCGGGCCCAGTTAGGCTTCCTTAGTCGCAGGAGGCCGGAATTGGGCCGGCCTCCGTAGATAGCCGGCATGTTTTTATGCCGCCCGCCTATCGCCAGGATTCGCTCCTATCTCGGAGCTCCGTCGTGATGCGGCACGTGTCCCCTCGAGGGAGGCCGGGCGGAACTGATAAGGACGGCCTGCGTTTCACCGTGAATAATCTCGTGTATGCACACGTACTGTGTATATAGTATCAACGCTAGTCAATTAACCTTATCTCTGCTGTACATTGGTTCTTCTATAAAGCCACCTGGCGCTCTGTTGTTGTTGTTATTCTCTGTGTCGTGCCAACCTTTTGGCGTAGCAAGGGTGCCTGGGGATACCACGGGCAACAGACGGGAATTCTCCGGGTGAAAAAAAGTGTGGAGTCGGTGATTCTATACTGTACATTTTGGGTATATTATTCTACAAGCACATGGCTATCGCATCTCGGGGGCAGCTATCCCTGCAGTTCCGTTAGGACAAGTCTCAACCGCGAAAGGCTTCGGCATACCGAACGCATGTCCATCAATTGCAAAGAATCGGCCTTCCATTATGACCCTTGTCCTTGATTCGCCGGTCCTCCCTTTGGGTCATCAGCGCTCGGGGAAACCTTCTGTAGCTTCAGGTACTCCTGTTCCAGCGCCCTTTGCATCTCGAACTCGGCCTGTCGTTCCCTGCGAATGCGCTGTTTCTCCATATCCTGCTCCACGGCCTTGTGCATAGACTAGACCAGGACAAGAGACGTTAGCCACCGCAATGATATGCGTCTGCAGTATCATGATCGACGTACCACTTTCTCCTGTTCCTGCGCCCAGTGCACAAAGTAGATGATCCCCGCCGTACCAAGACCAGTCGCGGCCAATGTCAACTTAGAAGCGCGAGACATCGTGTCCGGATGTTTCTGACAGGATTCGTAAGAAATCAGGGGCGACCTGGCAGCTCAATCGACGGACTGGGCGAGTGTCATCACGTCCAAATCTGCATCGGATTATCGGTGACTATCAGCGATGGCGGTGTTTGGCGGCAGAACCGCTGACCGCCTAAGGGGTCATCCGTGGCGTCGGGGAGATCGAACGGCGCATCACAAGCTCCCCACGACTCCGCCTGTTCGGTAGATTGCTGCTCTCGTCGACTCCCTCGTTTGATTCTTTTTTTTCGAGATTGTTCTAAGAGGGTTACCGTCACCATGGTGAGGATGATATGCTGCTCTCGTCTCGAATAGCAGATATGCTGACCCCGCTCCGACAGTCCGCCCAGAACTCCGCAGGCATTCAGACCCTCCTCGATGTACGTCGCATCCAGATCATCCACGGCAGGCTTGATGACTGACTGCATATATTCTAGGCTGAGAGAGAGGCTCAGAAGATTGTCCAGCAAGGTAGGTCGCTGTCTGAATACATCGAGATCCTCAATCAGTTGCTGACGTGTCGCATTATCTAGCTAGAGAGTGTATGCCACCTATCCGTCGCTGATGCCACGGCATCCGACTAATGACGCTCATGTAGACCGCACGAAGCGCATAAGGGACGCCAAGTCTGAGGCGCAGAAGGAGATTGAGGAGTACAGAAAGCAGAAGGAGGATGAGTTCAAGAAGTTCGAAGCTGAGGTGAGGACCCAACCTCCGGGCGACTGGCCTGCGGGGAGCCCCACAACAACTAGAACGTCTCTATCTATCAGCATGGATGGCTGACAATGCCGCTGTCTAGCACTCGAGTGGATACAAGAAGGCTGAGGAGGACGCGAACAAGGAGGCGGAGGTGAAGCTCCAGGAGATCCAGGAGGCTGGCAAGGAGAAGGGCAGCAAGGTCGTCGAGGATCTCATCCATGCGCTGGTCGATGTGAAGCCCGAGGCGTCTGAGAAGATCGTAATCAAGGCATAGAGATGGAATGTGGTCGTTACTGCCGCAGCGTGAGGGGTTTTGTTTGTGTCCTTTGCTTTCAGCCTGTGAATATATCTGATCCCGCTGTTCGAGCATCATAAATATCAAGTCTAGCCTTGCATGGCGCTGGCTAGTTGAACCATCCTGGAAGCCGACTGCAATGCGTATGGGCTTATGGAGTTGGGGCTTGTTCGTAAGCATACAAGGTAACTACTCAATAGATGCATCCGTCCATGCCCGCCATGTTGCTGCCTGAGGCATAAGCGCGGCACCGATAACTGTTGCGTCATCGGCACAGGCATGGGGAATACGACGCGCCCCCTTCTACGCATTGGAAAGGAAGAAATAAGATGAAATATGCCGTCGCCGGGTTTCGCGGCGCAAGCCGCATCAATATCCACAGTCACCGATCCAAGTCTCAACTTTGTTTCGGCCATTCGATCCCAGGGGCCTTTCATTTCTCGACGCGTAAAGACAGCTCAGATGGACAGAAAAGCCCCGACGCACTCGATCCCCGCCTGGAAGATTTGGGAAGGGTCATCAGGGATGAATATGCAGTTATTCGAGATCAGTACGGTGAGTTTGACCCCTGTCTTTGTGCATGCGTATAAATCCCTTGCTCGAGCGCGTACTGACCGGCTCTGTTGTCGGGCAGATACGCCAAAACACCCCGTAGTCCTTGCGCATGGACTTCTCGGATTCGATGAGCTGCGCCTTGCTGGGCCTTATTTTCCTGGGGTACAGTACTGGCGTGGGATCAAGGAAGCTTTGTCGATGAAAGGGGTCCGCGTCATCACGGCAACAGTGCCTCCTTCAGCATCCATCGAAGCGCGCGCTGAAGAGCTCGCGAGGGATATCGCTATCGGCGCGCGGGGAGAAGGTGTAAATATCATTGCGTGAGTATTTCCTTACCTCTTTGCCAGCATTTGATAGCATTTGATCTGACATGACAAAGTCACAGCATGGTAAGCCTAGCACCAACCCACTATTGCATGCGCTGCGTATTTACAGTGTCTTCAGGGGTAAGGCGAGATGAAAGTTCCATCGTGTTTTACGGGCGGTTGTTAATCGACACCCCAGTGGGCTTGACTCCCGGTATATGATCACGCATCTGAAGCCGAATGATTTCAGTGTCAAATCCTTGACCACGATTGCGACGCCCCATCGAGGTGTGTTGGATTCCCGGCTTCATGAAAGGCTGCTTAAATGTTCCCAGGATCTGCCGTTGCAGATTATGTCCTCAACCAGATTGGCGGTCGGTTTACTCTCATCCCTCTACAAAAGGAGTCTAACATCGCTATGCAGATGGCCGCCTCACCCAGCTATACTACGCTCTTGATCGGTTCAAAGTCGAAACTGGGGCGTTTGCCCAGTTAACGCGTGACTACATGGAGACCACCTTCAACCCCACGACGCCAGATATCGAGGATGTCCGGTATGTGTTCGCCCTCCACGGCCAATGCTCCGAAGGCAGTAAGGCTGAGTCGGTGCAGATATTTCTCCTATGGGGCGTCAATGCAGCCAAGCTTCTGGTCTGTCTTCCGTCTGTCCCACCGTCTTCTGCAGCAAGTCGAAGGGTATAACGACGGGCTGGTCAGCGTTGCCAGCAGCAAATGGGGAGGAGAACAAGGGTACAAGGGCACCCTCGAGGGGGTGAGCCATTTGGACCTGATCAACTGGAGTAATCGACTGAAGTGGCTGGCGGGTGAAATTACCGGGAATCGACAAAGGTCTGTCAAGGGGTTTTGCGCGTCCGTTATTCAGGTGTGGGGGGGTTGGATTTCGCTAACTTTGAGCGGTTGTGCAGATTCAACGCCATTGCGTTCTACCTTGATATTGCAGGTAAGCCGGGATTGTTCTGGCGCAGTAGTGGCATGATCGACCATGGGCTAATGAGTGTCACGCCCGTTTCTCTAGATATGCTGGCAAAGGAAGGTCTCTGACGGATTTGGGTCGCGGTCAAGGACGGGGAATCTTGGTGCCTAGATAGATAGTAGGGGAGTATCGACTCCGTAGTGCGGAAGTCGGCCATGGTCGAGGCGGTGGAGATTTGGGTGGATCCACGGAGTAGCGCCCGTGGGGTGGCGGTGCAGCGGCCACCCGAAGGTGGCTTAGCAGCAAACCAGCCCTGCGAGAGGATCACCATCGAGTCTGTGTGTTTGTAGTTTGTACAGTAATAATGAGGAAGTAGATACTAAGTAGATACGATACTAAGTCCTGTACAAGCTACAAACACACAGACTGGCACGAGCAATAATGACATTACTACGACAACACCCTTCCTTCTTGTCCGACGACTCCACCGAGTCACCGACATTATAAATTCCCAGGCCAATTCCGCGCCCGCCGAGAAACTGCCCCAACGGGCGGTGCTTTCGGTCCCCAGGATTATTCAACGTCATCAATAGTAACTACTACAGTATCTATCTGCTCCTTTCCTGCCGAACTCCCGCTCTCGTTTTCCTCCGCAGCTTCCCCACCATCCCATCTTATTTTCCTCGGTCGACCTCTAGATAGTAGAGACGACGATCTCCGATCTCCTCGCGTGGCATTCCCCCCTCCGCTGTCTTTTCCCGACTGCACCGACTGGCTTGGTCCTTCCGAGAAGCCCACCGGCATCCGGCTGACAGTGTGCGGCGCTGGTGCTCGCCATGTCCGCAACCGTCCACTTGGACCGCCCGCACAAGCACTTCACCAATCTCGACTTCCTCACGGGAAAGGTGGTGCTGCAGTTACCATCCGAGGCTGCGATAGGCGGTATCCAAGTAAAACTAGAGGGGGAGAGCCGGACTCGCCTGTCAGGGCCGCGATACCCGCATCATGAACCGTCCGATAAAAAGCGCACGGAGATTGAAGTCCATAAGGTGCGGATGCGACTGGGTTTCATTTCCCTTGCTCTTGGTTGCGCTGTCGCCAGTAATATCTTGGCACGCCCATCAGTCCTGACTGACAGCTCGTGTAGATCCTATACAAAGTGGTGACCGTCTTCCCAAGCCCTGGCGTCTTCAATGCGAGTGCTCCGGACAAAGCCTATACGTTTGCTCGCGGAACCTACGAGTATCCTTTTCAGTTCAAGGTGGGCACACTCCGTCTTTCTCTGTGTCTTCTGGCCGGAGCTTACCTTCATCCAGTTCCCGTTCAATAATGACTGCAGCTCGCATAATAGCATGTTCACCAACCTGAACATCACAGGGCTCAGGGTGGAAATGGCCAAGGATACAACCCGCCATATCAAGAAGACGCTTCCTCCGTCCTTGAGTGGCTTCCCGGGCATGGCAGATATCAAATACTACGTGAAAGCAACGGTGATCCGGCCGCAATTCTACAAAGAGAATATTAGAGCGGTATGTCGAGAACTCGCCTGCAGCGATCGCTGCAATGCTAGAATGGGCATTGGTGTTGCGATGCTAATCACTGGCCTTTAGATCAGTGGTCTCAACTTCCTCCCCATCGAACCGCCCAGAACGGGTAAACCGAACGAAGAAACCTACGCAAGACGACAGCATCAATTCATGAATCATCCGACTGCAGGCAAGAAAAGGGGCCTTTTCCAGAAGATGTCTAGCAATAGTTCCCTTCGCGAGACCACGGGCTGCTCTCCTCGCGTATCCGCAGACTTACGGCTGCCCAACCCGTCGATCCTCACGTGCAACGAACCCATACCGATGCGAGTCCTGATCAAGAAGTTGTCGGAGTCGTATGAGACCATCTTCTTGCAGATGTTGCAGGTTGAACTGATTTCTTATACGAGCATTGTGGCCCATGATCTGAGACGCACCGAAAGCGGCACCTGGGTCATCTTAAGCCTCAGTAATATGGGGGTTCCTCTGGGACGAGGAGGAGACCCCGCGGATACGGAATGGACGCTAGATGCCGATTTGTGGAATCGCAACGCTTTACCCAGCTCGGTGGCGCCATCTTTCGAGACCTGTAACGTCTCGCGGACTTATGAGCTCGAAGTCCGGGTGGGCCTGACCCATGGCAGTGTTGGGAACATGAAGGTAAGCTTCTATCTGGAACTGGACGCTCTTGGATGTCTCGCTCACTGTCAGCAGCCGCAGCTCATCGTTCTCCCACTCCGAATGCCCGTCAAAGTATTTTCTGGCATCGCTCCTCCCAAGGCACTCTTGGATGCCATGGCTGCAAACGGGCAGGTCAAGCCGACAGTTCCTGCGTCGAACCCCACCTCGCCTGTGGGTGACAGCATTCGTCCCCCGATGCCCCCTCGGCCTTCCAGGCCCCCGATGCCCGCTAACCCGGAGGACGGTTACGACGATGCGCCCCCGAGCTACGAAGATGCGATGGCTGAAACTCTCAGTCCTGTTGATGGCCCCCGTCGAGAGTATAACCCACCAGATGCCTCCTCCGATAGATCTGTTGAACCTGGGGCTGATCCGAGATCTCCAGTTGGAAAGGAACCTGAGGCGTCATGGCCCTACGGCAATCAGGACGCGATGTCATCTTCGGAGACTCTCGATATGCTCCCGGAAACACCCCCGGAATCCCGGTCTGGCTCGCCTCCGATGTCCCCTGTTGCTCGTCAACAGAGCGTGCTCAAAATCCACAAACCACCTCTTCCCCTGGAGGACAACCCTCCGGAATATCAACCCATCGCAGAAGGCCCGCCCCAGCCCTCCCAGAACCAGGTTAACCGCACACCCTCTCAGCCAGGCGTCCGACCCATGAATCTGGGAGTCCCTAACCGGAAACCGGTTCCCCGAAGCCCAAACAGGGGCGCTTCATTCCCCGACGGGATGAATCAATAGCTCTCTGAGTTACCTTAAAAATGCATCATACCACAGCGCTCATTTACATGCCACTTATTTCATCGCCAGGAAAAACGTCGGTCGGCCTTGTTCTACGCATCCTACTGGAGTTACAGGAGCTTTATGAAAGTGATGGGCTATACTATAATCTTCGATACCACATGACGCATTTTTTCGCTGTCATGCAATGTGATATTTGGAGGACGTGTAGTCGACCACCCACCTAAATAAGTACATACTAGTAATATATTCAATGGAGACAAAAAAACAAAAACAACAACCTGCAGGCGTAGCCAGATGGCGGGCACGTGGAGTATGTTGGTGCCTAAGGCGTGGGCGGGAAGCCCGACCCAAAGGGGACTAGCGGGGACCGGCCCGCCTGCTTCTTCGCGGCACGTCTGTCCTTCCCGATCGCTTTTCTACTTCTCCGCGCCGCGCTTTCCAGTCGAGTTGTTAAGTCGTGGATTCTCTCCTGGCCGTTACCATGTCCATGACCATGTCCACGCTGTGATCTTTGCATTCTGCTTCATGTCCCCGTGTTGTTCCGCCCTTCTTCCACCTCTTTTCCACCTCCCGACCGAATCTCCCGACGCGATTAGTCGGATAGCACGTCCGTCACTGTTGAGAAAGCACAACGCGACGATAGTTTTTCCTACATGGCTTTCTAATACTTTCCCGCCATCGCAGTAATTCTAATGAGCTCCTGCTAGACACATTGGAACCAATTCAGGAGCAGGATTCCACTTACATTCCACCATGCGTCTCCACCTTGTTATCCAGCGCCACGGGTTGCCCGTCACGCGCATCCTCTGGACAACGTCCCCGCCATCGCTTTTCGGCCACAATGCGCCCAGCGCGTCGTCCATGGTGCCGGCCGCGGCGTCTGCCTTGACCTCGTCGCGTGTGCCTAATGCGCTGTATTCCAATGGCGGCTATACTATTGCACAGTTGCTGGAGGATGTCAACGAGGTGCTTCCGCTTGAGACGGATCCCGCCTCGTTTGACGGTGAATGCACTGGGCAGTGGGGCCTCGAGGACTATGTGGTAGAAGTCGGAGGTTCTGAATGTTTGCATTTCATGGAAGTCGAGGGCCTCCTCCGGGATGGTGATGAGGTCTTGTAAGTACTCTCTCATTTAACAGTCATGCTCTCGGGGCTCCAGCTCACACTCTTATCTTTGCAGGATCCGCGCCCTCCAAATCTCAGACCTTCGCGCCAGGCGGATGTCCGGTCGTCATCAGATATCTAACGACGGAAAGCACTTAATTGACGGTGTCCCGTTTGGAAAGCCGTTCCTGAAAAGACCTACAACCTCGAGACCCGCGATCAAAATCCCTCCAAGGAAGAAACGACGCACCAGCGTTGCAGGCTGGGACTATGGATCACGCTACGAAGAGGAAGATGCGGAGTGGGCACCCAACCAACTGGGCTATAACCAGGAGCTTTCTCTCTTCAAGGCAGATGATCAACTAGAGAGGAGAGATGAACGTGCGGAAGCATATCAGGATGACTACGCGGACTACCATGAACCCGATGAGGATGGTGACGGAACTGTGATCCGCCATACCATTGATGAACAACGTGATCAAACTTCAGAGAGTGACTCTGACATGTCGAATGTTGACAATGAAGACTTGGCCGAAGAGTTGAAAGGTCTCGAAGAAGATCTTGATATTTCCCCCATGCCTGTGACAGAAGATGATGCCGAGCAGGCAGGCACCACGGGTTACCCACTGCGCTCGAGAAAGAGTACCTCTCGGACGGCCCTAAGAAAGAGTTCACTTGCTGATCCGCTCATTAAGAAGACTCCAGATCTTGATGGAGGCCGGAGAGATTCGAAGGTGGTGACTTTTCAAGACCAAAAAGTGGAGCCGTCTGTGAAACATAGTGCTTCCCCTGCCCGCAAGGCAAAGGTGTCCGAGAACGTCGTTCCGGACAAGAAGGATCTGACACGCGTGGCCACCCCTGAACGTGAACTGGTATTAGACCATACGGTGAATGCTGATACAGTTGTTCAAGCCGACGCCACCCCACCCACCCCACAGACCGTAATGCAAACTCAGTCAGCACTGTGCGCCAGTCCCGAGCAGCCCACCCGGTCGAAGGCATCCACTCCAAAGGCTCCAGGTGCCTATCAAGAATCTGGTCAGTCTGAATGGGCAGGATCTATGATCAAGACGAAGCCAACGTCGGAGAGTTTGCCCGACTCTGCCTCCAATGCCAGCGACAGCAGCTCATCTGCGAGCGACAGTGACTCCAGCGACTCCAGTGACCCCAGCGACTCGAGTGATGCCAGTGATTCTTCAGACGAGGACTCATCAGAAGGCCCTAGCTCTGATTCCGAGGATGATTCAAGTTCCGACTCGGACTCAAATTCTGACTCGGACTCCAGTTCATCGGAGGATGAGCTCTCAGACTCTGAAGCAGATGAGCTGCGCACCAAGACCATCCCTCCCGGAGCAGGGTCTTTGAGAACCAAGAAAAGCAATCAGCGAAGCAAACTGCGACGCAGGCTGGCAAAGCTGAAGGAACTTGGCGCCTTGCCCCCACAGGCTGACTTTGCTACTCTTCGAGAATGGGAAGATAAAAATGGACACTCATACTACGTTCCGGAGGCCAAGCCGGATGCCAAGCCCGACCCCAAAGAGCAAGAACGCGCGGAATTTGAAGCCAAGCGACAGAAGCTGCTCCGCGATCTGGAATTAGGAGGGGTTGATGTCACTGTCATCTCGCAAAGCGCCCCGCAAAGTACCCAAAATGATCAGACGCCGGCTACCGAAGAAATAGCCAAGGACGACGTCAAAGAAACAGGCGCGGAGCCTAGCAAGCGGCGGACTCTCGATGTGGCGAGCTCTAGGAGGCTACTTTTCGGCTCTCTCGGTGTGCGGACACCTCGCACTAAAGAAGACGAGGAAGCCACTCGGAAAAAGCTGGCAGGGAAGCCCAGCAATACTGCTCAACATCAACAGCCAGCGAAACAAGACACGGCCGAAGATCCCGAAAGTGATTCGGACGAGAACTGGCAAGACAAGTTGACTATCGGAGCTACCGAGTGTGTGTATGACGACATTGAGCTGAAACCTCCCCCCTTTCCATTCGAGCAGCGCTGGGACACCGAAGCCGGCGATCTTATCAGACAGCGGAAAGGCTGGGGCAAGAAAAGAAAACGGCGGCAGCAGCTCCAAGTGTACAATGGAGAGGAGGAAGAGTATTGGAATGGTGATTACGGCTATTCCACTGGCGACATGCAATTGGACTACGATGACACCGAGCAGCCTAATGGGCACATGGAAGGGGTTGAGCAGACCGAAGTGAATGGAAATACTGCAGATGATCTGCCAGCTCTGCCCAATGATCCGAGCTCTCTGCAGAATCTCGGCGAAGTTGATTTGAAACGGAGTGCGATCATCGCCTTCATGCAGCTGGACTTGTCTAAAGCCACGAACTGGCAACCTACTGTGTCCGGTTATCGGGTAGCCGAGATTCTCGACGTCTTTGAAGACCAGATTTTCAAGATCCGGCTAGCCAAACGCGACCGGAGACAAACCAGGGAGTCTGGGGACGACGAAGACGATGGGGTTCAATACAGTGGATTTGAGATGCCCGGGTTCGACGAGGAAGAGGATGATGGTTTCCGCGAGGTGTCGTTTGCCGATCTGATCAATCCCAAGCTTCTCCGGGCTGCTGACGCTGCAGGTCTTGGGGATGCTGAGGAACCCAGCATGTCAGTAAATTAATTTCCTACTCCTCTGGCGTTCATGCGCTCACCGACCAAGCTCTCGCGCAGCAAATGGGTCCTCTCCACGGGGTCCCAGTCCGGCTTCGAACGAGGCTCAAGCCACGCACGTCGGGTCTGGAGATGGTCAGCCACCACTGCAAGAGATGTCTGAGGAGCGGGCTGACCTGGATAAGAGCCAGTTGAACGATAAAGCGGCAGACACGGTGAACTCCAGCCCTGTCAGGTCACCGCAGTTTATCGGATTTGAGTCGCCCGGCGCGGAGTTGGCGCCTGCATCGGAGGCGGGCCGCGGAGACGAGGTCTCGGGGGTTGCTTCGGATCCAGCTGCAGGCCAGGACATCGAGGATGGCAAAGAAGGTCGGCAGCCCGACGCTGCTCTTCCGGAAATCAAAGATCCCCCATCGACCTTACACCTTACCTCTCTCCCTGCTGACGCCGCCGATGATCCAACGCCCTTCTCCGATGACGATCTACAACTGATCAGCAGTCCTACGAGCGTGGTTTCCTTCCACTGTTTGATGCAGAAGTACTTCCCTGCCATCAAGCGAGAATCATTTACCTCTTCTCCTCTTCCCAAGAAAGAACCCGGGGCCAGCCAGGCAAGGTCGCCCTCGCAGTCCTCCACCCATTCGGTGGTACCCAATCCGTTCTACGAGATCGACAAGGCGCAGGAGGAGCGCCAGCGGCAACGGGACTCGCGAAAGGGATCGCGCAACCAAGATCTGGACCGCGGCGAGGCGACCACGGACCATCTGTCTCTCGCCGGGTCCCCATCCCCAAGCCCCCGCCGGTCTCGCAGTGCGGGATCGCCATTGCCGTCCCTAATTAGCGTTGTCCCGGAGAGTGTGCAGCCGTTGCCTAAAGACTCCGGCCCCAGGTCACCGGCATCACAGACATCTCTAGTGGATCTTACCTTGTCCAGTCCGCCCCAATCACCTGGGGGGAGCGATGAGGACTACGCACGATCACATCGGCTTCCGCGGGGGTCGGGATGGGTGCAGAAGAACATCCCTCCGACACGACGGCAGACGAGGCAGTCAAGTGGTCGCCGACGACGTTGAGCATTGGAATGAATGGCATGAGGAAGGGAGGGAGCAAACTTTGGCTGAGTGGATAAATGTAAATGATGGACGGATGGGCCGGTCTGCCTGCCTGTATGTATGTATGTATGTATGTATGTATGTATGTATGTATGTATGTATGTATGTATGTATGTATGCATGCATGTATATGTTTAACCTAAGGTACTCCGGAGATGAAATAATACCATCTTCATGATGAACGATGAACTCATAGTAAGAAAACGGGGCTAACCGTCCCAGGCGGTCTCCACCCGCCGGAAATATGACAAAACACGACTTCTGATTGGCGGGGGGGGGCTCGCACGGGCGACGTCATCGACATGGCAGTTGCTTCTCAACCGGGAAGGCGCGACAGGCAACATGACAGACAAGCACAGGATGGCTGGATGAGGCAGGCACGCGGCTGGCATCTTCCGCTTCCGACGGATGGCTTTGCCTTCATCCTTCTTCTCAGTCCAACTCCCTTTCATTCACGTCATTGTCCGTCTCCCTACGATATATAACCTGGTGGGAGGTGGCATCATCCCATTCCTCTGGTCCAGACATGTCCTGATTGCTGGACCAATCAATCCTACATACTACCCCCCATGCACCCTCCACTACCCCTCCTCTCCCGTCAGAGCTTCCTGCGTCGTGCTGCTGCTGCTGCTGCTGCTGCTGCTGCTCGTTGGTCCCAATCTGCTGCGCGCCCGTTGTCCAGCTTCTCCTCCTCCCGTATCACCTCTCGGTGTCGCTGTGGCTGCCGCAATTCCTCTGCGTGTCACTGTCTCTGCTGCCCCCACCCCTCCTCAGTCTCCTCCCATAATCTCTGCATCCCCCGCCGTCGGTCGTCACCTCAACCGTCGTTCTCCTCATATTCTTCTGCGCGTCTGTTTTCCACCAGTCCCGCCAAAATGGCTCAGGAGTACAAACTCAACGGCATCGCGTCCCTAGCGGACGTAAAGGACCTGGACAAGCTCGAGGTTGAGGTCGAGGGCATCCAGGAGGGCAAGGTCCTTCTTGTCAACTACGACGGCCAGGTCCACGCCATGACCCCCAAGTGCACACATTACGGCGCCCCCTTGAAACTGGGTGTCGTGGCGCCGGATGGTAGAATCACTTGTCCTTGGCATGGAGGTAGGTCTTCCTGGGGATGGGGATGCCGTAGAACGGGGTAGTTAATGATGATCTCGGTAGCTTGCTTCAATGTTGTGAGTGGTGATGTGGAAGATGCGCCGGCTCCAAACGCCTTGAAGAAGTTCGAGGTGTTTGAGAAGAATGGCGCCGTCTACATCAACGCGGAGGAGGCGGACATCAAGGCCTCACAGAGAAACCCGGCGATCAAGTGCAGTGCTTCTTCCCCGGAAAAGCTAGTTATCGTTGGCGGGTAAGTCTGGCTCATCCCAAGTACCTGACCAAGTGTGGGGGGAGTACTGATCGTTACTTATAGTGGAAGTGGTGCTTTTGGCATTGTTAAGGCGATCCGCGACCTCAAGTACAAGGGTGCTGTCACTATCATCAGCAGTGAACCGAATCTCATCATCGACCGCACGAAGCTGTCCAAGGCATTGATCGCTGATCCGGCCAAGATTCAGTTGCATCCGGAGGACTGGTACAAAGAGGCGTCCATCGACGTGGCCCATGATGATGTGACTGGAGTCGACTTTGAAAAGAAGACAGTGGCCACCAAGTCTGGCAAGTCTTACCCCTACACCAAGCTGGTTCTTGCGACGGGAGGCGTGCCGCGCACTCTCCCTTTGGAAGGGTTCAAAGACCTCGGAAATATCTTCGTGCTCCGTACCATTCCGGACGTGCAGGCCATCCACAAGGCACTGGGCGGGCAGAAGAACAAGAAGATCGTCGTCATCGGCAGCTCCTTCATCGGGATGGAGGTGGGCAACTGCCTCGCCAAAGACAACGACGTCACCATCGTCGGCATGGAGAAGGCCCCAATGGAGCGCGTCATGGGCGAGCAGGTCGGCCGCATCTTCCAGGGTAACCTGGAGAAGGCGGGCGTCAAGTTCAAGCTGTCTGCCAGCGTGTCCAAGGCGACGCCCTCCAGCACAGATTCCAGCAAGGTCGGGGCCGTCCACCTGCAGGACGGTACAGAGCTTCCTGCGGATCTGGTCATCCTCGGCGTGGGTGTGCGTCCGGCCACCGACTTCCTGCAAGGCAACTCAGCCATTACCTTGGAGAAGGATGGATCCATCAAGACCAATGAGCATTTCGCAGTCCCCGGTCTGAACGATGAAGTCTTTGCGATTGGCGACATCGCGACCTACCCGTACCACGGACCGGGAGCTGACCAGGAGAAGGGCACATATACCCGCATCGAGCACTGGAACGTGGCCCAGAATGCCGGTCGGGGGGTGGCTCGGGCTATTTCTCACACGGGATCGCTGCAGTCCCTCAAGCCCAAGGCCTTTATCCCGATCTTCTGGTCCGCCCTGGGCGCCCAGCTGCGGTATTGCGGAAGCACTGTGGGCGGATGGGACGATCTGGTGCTGAAGGGCGAGCCTGAGAACAGCAAGTTCGTCGCATATTACTGCAAGGGCGACACCGTGGTGGCTGTAGCGACGATGGGCGTAGACCCAGTGATGGTGAAGAGCGCGGAACTGATGCGGCGGAAAAACATGCCGACCAAGTCGGAGATCCAGAGTGGCGTGGATGTGTTGACTGTGGGCGTGCCTGAGCATGTGAAGATATAGTCGGTGACTAGTTAGTTGGATGTAACAGTGACGATAATGATGTGAGGCCTAAGCCAACATATAACCAGCTGAGGACATTGTAATCCAGAACCAGAAAACCTCTTCAACACACTTCGCCCTCAGGGCAACGACTGGAGAGGGGAGGGAAACGGTACATCTTACAACATCTGCTGGCTTCAATTACCCCCGGTCCTCAGTCCAACAACAATGAAGCTAGTAACAGTATGAAACCCTAAGAGAATATTTTGATTCCCCATCAAACGCCTGGCATGGACAAAGATGATGGCCACAAGATACCGAACACAGAATATATAGTAACACGGAACATATGAACAGGCTAACTCAACTCAACTCCACAACCCAGCAATTCACTCCTTCGTTTTGGTCTTCTTGGTCTTCTTGGCCTTCTTCTCCTTGGTCGACTTCTTCTTACTCGACTTGGCCTCAGCCTCCACCTCCACCTCCACAACAGCCGGAGTCAACGCGCCCGACGCCGTAACCGTGCTGGACGTGGGAACCGGAACCGGAGTCATCGATTCCCCTCGGGGCGTGCCCGCCCTCGACAATGAAGAATAAAACACGCCATTCCTCTCATCCTCCAACACGCGCCTCTCCTCCTCGGGCTCCAGCATCGTCCCCTCAATGCTCATAAACCCACGATCCCGCTCCGACCCAGGAATGATATCCACGTCGACCACACGGAACCGAATCGTACCGCGCACGCGATGCCCAGACACAGACTGGAAGTAGCCCTCCGCCGTGGCCTCCTCGGCCTCCTCGACCTGATCGAGATCCGTATCCGTGGCGAGAGCCACGGGATTAAAGAGTTCCTTCTCGGCGTCGAACGGCTTCGTATTCTTGCCGTTCTCGCTCTTCTCCTCCGAGTCGCTGTCTGTCGTCGAGGCCGGTTCTTGTTCCTGGTCGCCGTCGGCCTGCTCCTCGCGTTCCTCGCCCGGGGGGATCCACTTCCAGTTCGGGGGCAGTCGTTTCCGCTCAATTCCCACGGAGAACAGGTTCATCGAGATCGCGCCGAGGAAACCCTCCGACTGCACGTTCACCCATCCCTCGAGGACCTGGCCGCGCTGCGGCCGGAATACCAGGAATGTCGTTGTCAGGTACACGTACAGCACGCCGTACTCGCCGGCCGAGCGCGCCAGGGTCAGTGGTTCGGGCGTGTCCGCGACGGAGGTGGCGGGAGTGGCGGAGGGCGGGGTGCTCGAGATGCTGGTGTTGGAGTAGGCGAGGATGATGCCCTTGAGGGGCGGGTAGTAGGTGAGGAGGAGGGGGGAGAGGTGCTCGGCCTGGAGGGAGGCGAGGGCGTGGGTGGGCGAGATCGAGATGGGGGAGAGAGGGAGGTAGAGAGTCGCGGTGGTGAGCTTGTAGGGGGATTCCGGGCTGTTGGTCACGCTGGGTTGGGGTTGGCTCGATTCGTGCTTGCGCTTCTTCTTCGTAGGGGACGAGCTATCCTTGTGTTTGCGCTTGCGCTCTTTGGTGGGCGAGCTGGCCGGACTGCTTGCCGGCGGGGGGTCGAGGTCCATGGCGTCGATGGCCATTGCGACGGTGGTGGTGATGGCGGTGGTGGTGGTGGTGGTGGTGGGATGCTGGAGACGGAGAGTTGTCGGGCTTTTTTTTTTTCGTTCTTTTTTTCGTCGAGCGACGATCGCGCATCGGGAGGCGGTCGGCCGGGCGGTGAGCCGGGGGTTGGTCCGGGGAGCGAATAAAGCAACTCTCCCCATTCCATGTAGTACTCAGTACTTGTTCCCAGGTCGAGTTTGTGTGTTTGGGTCTGTTTTGGATGGAGTCTAATACCTCCTGATCTTCTACTGGTCGAGTCATTCTTTTGCTTTTTTTTTTGGTCATGTCGTCTCTTCTGTCCTTCTTTGGCTGGGCGGTCCTTCCAAATGTAAGTCGATGATTCTACCGTGTCCCAATCTATCTATATAAGCGCCGCTGCGCAGCAACATATCTGTCACGATGATCGCTCACCACCACCTCTACTCCTCTCGCAGTACGTGACCTCCCTTGTCCAGAGCGTCTACTATGGCCTCACCATCCGCGCTGGTGAACCGCGCCCCCAGCCCGGCACGCCGCGCTACGCCCGTCACCGCCGTCGCATCTACATCCTCGTCGTGACCAGCTACCTCCTCTACACCCTCTACGAGACCTTCCATCGCGTGCAAGTCGCCGGCGATTTCTACCACGCCCTGGGCGTCTCCCCCCTCGCCGATGAGCGCACCATCAAGTCGCGCTTCCGCCGTCTCGCCGCCCAGCACCACCCGGACAAGCTGACCCGCGATGGCGGCGCCGTCTCCGACGGTTACTTCGTCTATCTGAAGTTGGCGCAGGACACGCTGCTGGACCCAGTCAAGCGGGCGGCCTACGACCTGTACGGCCCGGACATGCTCAACTGGGGCGGCTCCAAGACCATGCAGGAATTCGTGTACGCGGGCGTGATGCGGTCCGCGCCGCAGTATGTCGTCGGACTGGTCGTGCTCGCGGTGGCCCAGGCTACGTATTGGTCGGCATGGGGGCGTTATGTGAGTGGTTCTGAGCTGTGCGCTCTGGGTCTGATGGATGAATGGATAGAATTGACTGACTGTGTCTAACCAGTGGCGCTACTTCACCTTTGCGGCTCTGATGGTTCTCGAGTCGATCCTTCTCACCCGTCCAGCGGCGCTGTTTATCCCCGGCTCCTTCGTCAGTCCCTGGTTGCAAGGGCTGTTCGGGATCTCCGAGCAGAACCCCGGCTTTTACCTCCTGCCGTTCCAGATTCTGACCCTCGCCCAGCGCGCCTCCGTTACCATGCACATCTTCATCTCGCAGGTCACGCCGCCCGAGATCGCCAAACGGGTGTCCTCGCAAGCGCAGGACCAGATCCATCCGCAGACCGTGCAGAAGCTGAACCAGATCGCGCAGCTCTCCCGGGCTACGGACGGGGAGACGACCCGGCTGATGCAGTTGGGGTTCGCGCCGTTCAAGGGCGATCGCGAGGGCGTGGCCGCGCTGCGGAAGGGGATGAAGGAGGCGTTGGTGCTGGGGAGTGTGCGGTCCAGTCCGGAAGTGCAGAAGGCCGTGGCGGAGGTGATCCAGCGGAAGAAGCAGGGCCAGACGAATTAACAGTTGGGGTGCTGCGTCTTTCGGGCTTGTATAGGGTTAAATGTGGATCGTGGGAGTGGGATTGGGACATGGAATGTTATTTTCTTGTGTATTTATTTATTATTTCCCTTTGCGTATATAATGAAGTGTCTGGATATGATGCGAGAATGACGGACACATCGTTCATTATGTATCGATCGAGTTCCAATCCGACCCGGCTTAAGATTCAGCCAGCTAGCGATTGCCGCGTGTGGAAGAATCACGCACGCCTGCAAGTGCAAGGAAGGCAGTGGGTAGATGGATACTACTTGAGTCGTAAGTAAGCTAGCGATACCTGTCGGCATGAGTGATCCAAGTCAGTCGTGTATATATCCGCAATCATCCATCATCAGCTGGGTTTTAGTCTCGGTGTATAATAATAATAATAATAATAATAATGTGGTGATGCGAGGATGGATCACCCGGAAGTGGCAAGCCGATCGGGGCGAGAAATGCTGGTGCTGAGGGATTAATTGTCTGGATCCAGACGGACACTGATTAGTTGGAACTTGGGTAACCCCCCGGCATAGTCTCGGGGGTCCGTTGCCAGGCAAATTGAGGCGAGGATCCGGGATGGCTAGTAGCTGATTACTCCGGGACGGATTGGCTGATGTGATGGATGGTCCTTGGGGTTGTTTCCCCCGAGGCAGTATCTAAATAATCTCGGTAGGGAAGTAACACGTTTCGGTCCCAATTCCCAACAGGATGACTCGATGACTCGTCGGGGAGAGGGAGGACAGCTGATGCATCAGGTGAAGATCACGGCTTACGAATGAGAGGAAGGAAAGCCGGAAGCGGTGCTGCTGGTGGTTGGAAGTCTAAGCGGCCGCGGCGGGACGGGCGATCCATATTTTTCCTCTCGATAGTTGGACAGGGGACATGGATCAGTGGGTGTTAGTAGATACCAGTTTCCTGAGGGAAGGTGTATGAGGGAGAAGTCAGAACCACTGCCACCGCCCAAGGTAATCTAAGAAAGATACCTACCTGCTAGGTGTGTGGAGAGTGTACTGTATGTATACTCACTCGTATAGGGAGGGCTGCTGTATAGGAGAACGAGGAGGGAGAGAGGAGCGAAAGATGATGGATGTATAGTTAACTAACCCCCGTTCCCTCCCCCTCGGACCACCGATACCCGCGCAAACCGTCCCGTACCGTCACGCGCGCCCTTCCGACGAGCGCGCAGCCCCGATCTGCCGGGCGGTGGGCGCGTACGGGACGTACGCGGACGGTACGGAGACGGGGGCGCGTGGCCGGGCAGAGCGAACGGACTTGCCTTCAGCATCTCTCCTGGACTGACTGACTGACTGACCGCACCGAAAAGTCTGGCTTGTCGTTCCCTAGACGAGCGTGAGAAACACACACACACCACAATGAAACCACCACACGGCGCCTCGACATCCCCATCCATCCCTTTCTTCCCTCCCCCGTCCGCCTCCTCCCTTTCTCCCCCCTCCTTCCTCTCTCTTCCTCCCTCCCCATCCTCTTCGCCCTCAACATCACCACCACCACCACCTACACTGCTGCTGCTGCCCTATCACCACCACCACCTCCTCCTCCTCCGCCGCCGGAGTATGTCACCAGCACTCGATCAGCCCTGCCAGACCACCCTCGCCTCGCCCTGACCCAAATCTCGCCCGCCACCTCGCTCCGCTGCGAACCATTCGATCCACCTCTTGTCTACCCACGTCACGATCTCCATTTAATTTCACCCTCATCTCCTCCCTCCCACCTCGCATTGCGGCCTTTTTAAACCCCCACCCCCTTTCACCACCGACCGCTGGGTTGCCTCTCCCTTTCGTCCGCCTACACCGATCGGGGATCCTTCCCATCTCCTACTCATCGCTCTCGCCTGAGATCATCAGCAGGGCATCACCACCATCTCGCCGCAACCCTATCTACGATCCTGACCAACCTACCATAATGCCGGCCACCAGCGCTACCACCACCACCATAAACGGTCGCTCCAGTCGATCTGGGGCCTCGAGGAAGATTCTCGTCCTCAAGCTGTCCTCCGACCTCTTGAGCCAGTTCGTCACGCCGCCGCCCGAAGGCAGGGACGACCGCAAGACCCGCAAGGCCAGCGATAGCCACGAACCCCCCATCAAGATCCAGGAGCCTTCGTCCCCGGCCTCCTCGTCGGGCGAACCGCCGCTGCCCCCCTCCTCTGTGGACAATGCCTCCGATGCGGCCTCCACTCCGGCTGCAGGCACGTCCGCGGACACTCCCCGTCGCAAGGGCGTTCCAGGCCCTAAGCCGGGGACCAAACGGGGACTGAACCAGACGGGCGAGACGACCCCAAAGCCACGCGGCAAGCCAGGTCCGAAGAAGAAGCCCAGACTGTATGTGGCCCACTCCCAATCCAATCCGTGCCGTGAGAGATTCGTTTCTAACTAACTGCCTGTAGGGATGATGGAACCGTCGACCATGCCAAGTTGGTGGCCAACCACAAACTGGGACCCAAGGCCAACCTGGGCGCGATCAACGCTGGTCTGCGTGCTCTGGATCGCAGCGGGGCGCCGTGCCGTCGCTGGGAGCGCAAGTCCCTGCAGCTGAAGAGCTTCACGGGGATCCAATGGAACTTGGAGAGCTGGCGAACCCCCCGCCCCATCCACCCGGAGAACGGCGAGGTCAAAGAGCTGGGCCTTGAGACGGGCGACAGCGACAGCAAGGCCAACCAGAGTGCCAGCGGCGTGCCCAGTGAGAAGAGCACGGGCGATGGGGACCTCACCCCTGCCCCTCCCAATCTCACGGAAGCGTCTTCCCCTGCCATCGCCATGACAGCCTGAGGGGAGCCCCTACCTGCCTACCTATCCTGCGACTTGGAACCATTTACCGACTTTCTTCCTGTATATTATTTTATCTGTCACCACCACTACCACCTTTTATTTCTTTGATGTTGCCCTGGTTCTTTGGGCTTGGCGTTTGGGATATGGCGGCGACTGGACGTTCAGCGGGTCGCCCGCATGAGGGATGTATTTTTTGAAGGTGCCAATGCCGCTGCATATTTGACGGGCTCTCCGCGATCTGAGTTTGTGCTTGTTGCACTGTTTGTTACCCACTCATCGGGCCTTTTTTTTCCCCCTTCTTTTTTTTTTTTTTTTTTTTTTTTGGGAGGTATATCTGTCGAGAGATCCTGTCTTGTGATCTTGTGGTAGGCCTGGGATTTCCCCGGATGGAGCTATTCGGGGGAACCGAGGCCCATGGATATATTACGACCGGTCTACAGTCTATTGATACACGTCGTTTCAAAATGCATTGAATTCTGACTCGGTCTGAATGCTTAGGCCCTCTCTCGCATGAGTCCTCGTCCGTAGGCCGTAAAGACCTCCGCTCGAATCCGGGGTGGCTTGACTGCCGAGGACGAGGTTACATGGATGATCCTTCCCAGGGGCGCAGAATGAGCACCCATTGTTAACCCCAGGTTACAGTTGAGTATATATGACTATAGTTAGTAGTTACATTCCGGACCTTTGGGTGCGTTGTGAGTCGAGACCTCATTGTAACTTAGTACTAATGGGGAAGGGGGGCATCTCCCCCTGCCTGGATGGAGGAGTGAATGTGAATGAAGGACTGACTGAATGGGATCTCCTGCTCCCCCGCAATTTCTCGGTCAGGCCATCCGTCATCCTGCCTGTCATCCCGGATCGTGTGTCGCCAAAGTCTGGCGGGTGCCGGCCAGTCTGGCTGTCTGTCACGCGAGGTCTTTCTTATTAACCCATCCACGCTCCCTTCCCTCGCTCTGCTTTCTTTCACTTTCCTTCTCGCCCTCACGTGTTGTGTTGTGGATCCGGATTGTTACGTATCCTTCCAGTAGTACTCCCTCCGGACCGGCTTTGTTGATCCGGGCATTCTTCTGCACGATCTGGTTGCTCTGTCTGCTCCACTGCCCGCTTACGGAAATCCCCCCAGACAGACTGTTTGTTGCTCTGCTGTTTTGCACGAGAAAGAGGTGGTTGGGTTGGATCCAGAGAACAATCCATGCCTGTTGGGGTGCTGCTGCTGCTGCTGCTGCTGCTAGACGGTGTCTAGGACTAGGAGTAGTACTCCGGATCTACTACAGAAACAGCGACAGAAACAGAAACGGACCCGCTCCGTCGCTCGCTGACGGCGATCGCTCCAGTCATGACGGACGCTTTTCCCCCTTCCGGTGGAGCTCCTCGAGCTTCTCTCCTCACCACCACCACCACCACCACCACCACCACCGCAGCCACTGCAGCCACTGCTTTCTATTCCTCCTCTTCCTCTTCCTCCAACGGTCCTCCCAGCATCTCCTCCATCCCCCGTCGATCATCCTATGCCTCCGTCCTGTCCGGCACCGCGGCTCTCTCCCCTCCAACCCACCCGTCTTCATCGTCGTCCGTCGCCCACCTCGCCCACCACCTGATCCCCTCCCCCTCCCACCACTCCTCCCACTACTCTTACTCCCACTTTCACTCCCAACACCCAAACCACCACCACAACCAGCACTCGCACTCCACCGCTTCCTTCATCCCCCCGCCTTTCTCGCCCGACTCTCGCCTCCTGCGGCCGTCCCCCGCCGTGGATGCCGATATGCAAATGAACTCGCCCTGGAGGCCGTCCGCCGGCGAACCCCTGCCTGCCTATTCACGAAAGTTCGCCGGCTTCCCTCGCTACGACCCCTTCTTCCACTCCCCCGGCTTCTCCGACCCGGCCGCCGCTCCCTTCATCCCCTCCTATCTCCGCAACTCCCGCTACGTCGCCCGCCTCGATGCCGCCCGCCGGGCAAAGCTCGCCGCTCACCGCGAGGGCACCATCCCCACCACCGCCACCGCTACAACTACCGCCGCCGCCGCACATCCGTTGTCCTCCTCCTCCAGCCAGGCTAGCCTTCCCCGGATCGCCCCTTCCCATCGGGGCATGACCTTTGATATCATCGAGCGAGAACCCCCGGGCGATGACGACCACCTGCTCCCCCTCCCCTCCCGCTGGAGTGATGACGACAAGTACACGGGCCTGGAGCTCGCAAACGGGGGGGTCGAGGTCCGCTACACTGGGCCCGTCAACAAGCACGACCACGAAGCCGCCGCCGTGCGGGCGGACCACCCCATGCCCCCGCAGTGCGGGATCTACTACTTCGAGATCACCATTCTATCCAAGCCCAAAGAGGGGTGTGTATCTCCGGTGTCTCCACTCGGTTCCATGATAATGCTAACCGGATTAGGATGATCGGAATCGGGTTCTCGAGTAAGAAAGCCTCAGTCGAGCGTCTCCCCGGCTGGGAGCAGGAATCATGGGCGTATCACGGCGACGATGGCAAGTCATTCTTTGGAGAAAGCCAAGGACAGGGACGACAATACGGGCCGACCTTCGGGGCCAATGACACGGTGGGATGTGGGGTGAACTTCTCGACGGGCTGTGCGTTCTTCACCAAGAACGGTATCCATCTAGGTATATCTATCCATTTATCTATCCATCCTCATGTGTCATACGTCATCGGACGTAGTGGCTAACCCGTCTCAGGAAACGCCTTCCGCGAGCTACGGAATCTGAAGGTCTACCCGTCGGTCGGCATGAAGAAGCAGCCGGCGGTGCATCTGGCCGTGAACTTTGGCCAGCAGCCGTTCATGTTCGACATTGATGATATGGTTAAGGTATGCTCCCATCCAAGTGGCCCCGCCCTGGCATGGCTAACCGCCGGGGAACAGAAAGAGAAGTTATCGATCCATGAGGAGATTAGCCTGACCAGCACGGCGAATCTCCAACCGCCGCTGGACGAGACGGCCTTGCTCCAGGAGTTAGTGGCCCAGTTCCTCGCTCATGATGGCTATGTCGAGACCGCGCGGGCGTTTGCCGAGGAGGTGGCTGCGGAGTCGACTGCGCTGGAGAACGGCCGGCAAGCACCACTGCAGAAGTACGAGGTGGAGGAGGACGTCGAGGCGATCAACCGGCAGAGTAAGACCCTTCCTCGGCTAACTGACTGACTGACTGCGGGCGTACTGACCAGGCCGGCAGAGATCCGCGCGGCCATCCTCGATGGGGACATCGACAAGGCCCTGAAGTACACGAATGCCTACTACGCGAACGTTCTGCAGACGTACCCCCACATCCACTTCAAACTGCGGTGCCGGAAGTTCCTGGAGATGATGCGCCGCTGCAACGAGCCATCGGCGGCGGCGTCGAAACGCAAGGCGTCAAACGGGCTATCAGACGGCAGTGCGGTGTTTGACCAGGAGATGGAGCTGGACGAGCAGCTGCAGGAGAGCGAGGGCTGGGAGGCAGACGGGATGGACACGGAGGAGCCGGAGAGCACGGCACGGTCGAACGAGTTGCTGACGGCGGCGGTGCAGTACGGACAGCAGCTGTTTGTGGACTACCCTCCGGACGAGCGGGGCGGGGACCGCAAGATGCTGGACGACATCTTCTCACTGGTGGCGTACCCGGACGCGCGCCGGTCGGTGCATGGACACTACCTGGACCCGGCGGGCCGGATTGCAGTGGCGGAGGAGTTGAACTCGGCGATTCTTGGTATGTGTGATTGAACCCTCCCGGGGGAGGGGTGGCAGGATGCAAGTGTTCGAGTGTGAGGCTAACGCGCGGGGGCTGTTACACAGTGTCGCTGGGCAAGTCATCGTCGGCCGCTCTGGAGCGGTTGTACCAACAGACGGAGGTGCTGGTGAACGAGATCGGCGAGGAGGGCGGCGCCGGGGCGTTTATCAATGTGCGCAATGACTTTCTGCTGTGATGTTCACGATGACCCCGTGTAATTGATCCTGATTCCTCCTGGGATACGGCGAAGACCGCATCGTTTCTCTGTGGATATGCCCTCTAATGAATTGAATAATTGAGTCACCGACCAAGCCAGCTGTAACGGTCGGGAATAGAATGTTCGACTCGGGTTGCAACTTATGCTAGCAGCTCGCTACTACGGAGTAGAGTAGATACTCCGTTCCTTCCTACAAGGTAGATAGATAGATAGATAGATAGATACTGTTTGGCGTGTTGGCAATTGGCAATGGGCAATTGACAGGAGGTTGGGCGAGTGACGAACGCGATACTACTTGCTACCTACGTATATACCTTGTACCTTAGTACGGAGTACCTTGGGACTAGTATAGTTAGTAGTCCGTCAGGCATAGTCAGGCAGGCACTTAGTACTTCTCTGCTCCGAAGGTTCCCGTTTGGGGATGACTGTTGTCTATCATTAGTGTGGGATCCACTGGTGCTACTTGCCTACTAGTATCTAGATAGTGCTACTGAATTGCCCGTGAATAATAATCCTGTTGTTGTTGTTGTGGTTGTGGTTGTTGATCATGTTCCTGGTGTTAATTGTGTATGTATCCTGACGGTACCATGATGTGTAATGGCGTAATGGCGTAATGGTGTAATGGTGGATTGGCCAATCAAACCACAAAAGAAGCCGCGGCTTTTCAGGCCGGCGATCGCTGCCTGGGCGGAACTCTCGACCATTCATCTCATCGCAACTCAATCCATCCCATTTCATCCCATCCCCATTCTTCATTCCACATTCATTCGGCCTCTTCCCTTCAATTGTCTTTCCATTCTTGGCTGCCCGACGGCCTTTCTCTTGGTCGGTCTCTGCGTGTGCGTGCAGACTGCAGTCCTTCCCCCCCCCTCCTCCCCCCTCCAGGGCTGTCGGGAGCTCTATCTCCCTCCTACCTACTTTTAGTATCAGCATCTCCACTTGGCCTCCGATTTAATCTCGCACCTCGATGACCTGGCGCCGCCTCCGCTCCAGCTCATCGCACCCGTCAAGGGGTGCCAACTCACCCTCGCCCTCATTCCTCTGCCTCCCTGCCAGCCATCATGGACTCCGATCCCGATCAGAACCCACGGCCTCACCCGCATGCTACTAGCTCGCCCACTACTACTACTACGACGACCACCACGACTCCTCCGTCTGCAAGTCAGCTGCCCTGCATTCCTTCCCATTCGGCCTCTGCGGCCGCCCCCCTCGCTCTCCGCTGCTGCTGTGGCCGTGACGACTGTGCATTCCTGCTCCATAACCATGTCGCCCTCGAGGGCCTCGAGAAGGATCTCGCAACCGCCGCGAGGCTGGGCCAGGTACGTTGCCTTTTTGCCTTTTCCTTTGGGCTCCCTCGTCTCCGCCCCGGTGTTTTTTTTTCCCCTTTCGTTTAGACTTTGTCCACCACTCGCCGGTTCGTCGACGTCAGCGTCATCACACCCTCTCTCGCCGGCGGGGGTCGGACAAACCGCCCTACTTCTTGCTTCTTGCTTGCCTTGCCTTTTATTCCATCCTCCTGCCCGGGATCAAGCCGCCGGTTGTGTCCGGTCAACCCAACTGGTCCTCCCCGTCTATATACTTCCCGCATACTCCGGCCGTGGTACACATACCGGGTCCCGTCCCATACATACTTGCCCTCGAGGGTTGGAAGGTCTTCCTTTACCCTGTTGGCTCCCTGCCTGTCTCTGGAATCTGGTCCCCTTGGATCGTCTCGGGTACTTCCCAGACAGAAGAAAGATTCCATCAACACGGACTGCCGTCGGTGACACCTCATCATGGCTTCATCCAAGCTGGGCTCGTCGCCGGTGCTTTCCCATTGCGTTTTTGTCCGTCATGACTGCCTTCCCAGATAAAGTTGCCATGGCGGCAACGACCTCCAGCTCATCCTCGCTAACCTTTGCGCTTCAGGCTCTGCTCCATCGTCATGAGTCCTACATGGCCGAGGCGGAAGAGGACCGCCATCGTCTCTGCCTCAGCATCGAGAATCTCGAACGCGAAAAACGCCAGGTCCAGGCCGAAAACGCCCGCATCATCGAAGAGAACCGCGACCTCCTAGAACAGCTCGATGGCCTTAACCGGGCAGTCGTCGATTCCGACTCGCACTCCAAGTTCCTAGCCACCCGTCTCGAGAGCACCGAGGCGGAGCTGCGCAAGCTCACTCTGGCGGCCGCCCGCGCCGCCGACCTCGAAGCCCAACTGGCGCACATGGAAGCCGAACAGTCCCGGCTGCAGGAGAGTCTCCAATCCGCGCAGGAGGACTCCAAGTCGGCCGTGCAGCGGTGGAAGCAGGCTGAATGCACCCTCCGCGATCTGCATGACCAGGTGGATCGCATCGAGAAGGAAGCCCGCGAGGAGCGCGACCGCCAGGCCGAGATGGTGCAGCGCATGGAGCGGAGACGCGCCGTAGAACGCGAGCTCGATAGCGCGGCCGGACGACTGAAGGGCGCGGCGGCGGCCCACGAGCTGGGTCGCAACCACGGCGGCGCGAATGTGGTGTCCCGCTTCGTGCGGGACATCCTGCAGGACAACGCCAACCTGCAGATGGGGATCATGGAGCTGCGCGAGATGTTGGAGAGCTCGAATGAGGAGGTGCAGAACCTGCGGGATCAGATTCTGTCGCATCAGCCATTGGCCTCCGAAACGCAGGAGGAAGAACCCCGACCGTCAACGACTCTGAGTCAGGAACTGGAGTCGCAGGAGTCGCGTCGCGTGTCGCAGGAGTTCCACATCCACCACCACTATCACACGCCGCCGGTGCCCGTGGGTTCCAAGAAGGAGAAGGGCTCACTCTTCCGTCGCTCCAAGAAGCGCCGCTCCCTGGGCAGTGCGGCTGTTCTGCACTCCGCGGCCGGCACCCAGCTCCCGCGCAAAGCAACCCATCGCGCCCAGTCTTCGACGTCGTCCGCCTCCACGATCCTCTCCCAAACATCCGTCTCGATCCCCCCAACTGCTCCGCGCCGCTGGTCAGCGCAGTCCCCTGTCTCCGATTCTATGGCAAGCTCCCCGCAGTCTGCCTATCAGCCCTCATCGATCTTTGACCGAGTGGACCGCGGCTTCGACTTATCCCAACCGACGAGCCCAGATAGCACCGTCTTCTCGTCCCCGTTGCGCAGTGGCCGGCGTATGAAGGGGCACGTGGATGCCGCGTACCGCACCCTGGACGGTGACGGTCTGGCCTCGGGCATCGACGATGACCTGAACCCTGACTACTTCCAACGCCGAAGCAGCGCGGAATACGCGGGCAGAGGTACCATGCAGTCTGTCATTCCCGAGGAGATGGAGGACGGCCGATCGGTGCCGTACGCCGAGTCGGAGCGCCCGCCATCCCCTGTAGTTCCGGAGGACGTCTTCTCCTCGCCTTATCGCGGTGTGCGCCGCAGCACCTCCCACGAAAGTCTTTTCTCGGTGGCGGGCATGGACATCCACACTCCTCGTCGCCGTCCATCGCGGCTGAGCGACCTGCACTCGAGCACCCCGCCCGTCCGCATTCCCCGACGCATTATGTCGCCCAACGCTGATCTGTTCCTCACATCTCCGATAATCTCGACCAGCATCATCACCGCTGGACGCGAGCCCGCCAAGGTCTCTGACCAGTGTCCACAGACCCTCCTTGCTTCCGTGGCGGGAAGCAGAAGCCAGACCCCGATTGATCCCGCCGAGGAACAGTCTGAAAACACTACCATCCCGTCCCGCAAACTGTCCCTAGGACGCCGCGTCGGTGGCTGGGTCCGTGGTCACTGGGGCACCGCCGCAGTGTCCGCCAACGACCCCGTCACCGAGGAGACGGCCGCGATATCCGACTCTCCCGCGCGGCGGCCCTCGTCCGCCGGTTCCCGGAAGGGCAAGCGGAGGGCGGAACCGGTTCCCGTCCCGAGTCTACGCTTCCGCTACCCCGGTGTGAATCAGACAGGTCCCATCATGGGATTCCGGCCCATGTCTCGGGCCCCGGTGTCGATTCATGCGGAGCAAGTGGACGAGGGCCTACTCCGGGAGAGTCTCGCCGACAGCCACTTCCAATAAGTAATGTTGCCTCGTGTTGATCACGGGTCTATTCCTATTCCTACTCTCTCCTTCCTTCACTGTTATTATACTATTACCACACCACTACACTATATTTACACCACTGATTTTGATACCTGAGCGTTGACACCCAGCATAATCCTCGCACACATTATACAAACACCTTCGCTACCCAGCTGATTTCTTTGCTTCGGGGTTCTGAGTTGTCGGTTGTTGGTCTGTCGGTCCTGTCCATCTTTCCTCCGCGGAGGCCTTCCTTGATACACACATCACATACACATACACATACATACATACATACATACACACACTACTACGTATTAGATTATGATACCCATGGGCGATGCTATTTACCTATCTTATCTACACTTATCCTTGTCTTATTTACCTGAATATATATGGTCTTTGGTTTTAAGTTTGTGTTTGGTATGTTGTCTGGTTCTATGGGAAAAGGTTGTCTATAGGTAGTAAGAAATTTACCGTAGGAGTAGTAGTACACTCATCACATAAGTAGGGTTATAAACGTGCTATACTAGACTTACTTGAGTAGATTCCGTAAGACCCATGTCTATCCTGTAGGGGAGAGGAAGAGAGTCTACGCTGTAGGTAGGTCTATACCGTCTGAGTCTACGGCATGTATATATACCAACCGCGGTATTCTAATCCTCAAGAGGATAGGCTAGGCTAGGATATAATGGCGTAGAAGTCTACTCGGACTACTTGTATCGAACCACAGGATCACTCCCCACCAGGGGCAGGAGAAAGAGGAAGAGAGATCCGATACGTCCGGATCGGGATTGCCGTGGAATGGAAGAAGCCCGTCTGCTCTTCTTCCTTTGGTGAGTCGAAGGGGATGCGGTCGACGACGAGGTGTTCTTTTTCTGCAGCATTCATTAGTCAGGCTATCTTGATTGAGTCACAGCATCCATCGTCTTTCAAGATGTAGGAGGCAGAAGTGTGATGTCACCACACAGAAAGTATGGGGCCCATATACCGGATATCATATTATATGTGGTAATGGTGATCGGGGACGAAAGAAGGGCATGAGGGGGGTACGAAAAAGAAAAGGGGGCAAAAGATTCTGGGAGGTGGAGGGGGGAAGGGGGGGATGCTCACCACAAGCTCCCAAAAACGTCCCGAAGGTGTCTTCGTTGCGCAGGGTCGCGGAAATGAGGAATTCCTGGATGCCGTAGCTCGTGAAGAGGTTTTTAACGGTTTGTACGAGGAGGGGGACGAGGTCTGTGTCGTAGATCTGTTACTTGGTTAGCGAGTTGGTCAGGGCGTATGTGTGATAGAGGGTAGTTCATCATGGGTGGGTGGGTAAATGAAAGGAGGTAGGTAGCACAGGGGCGATGCGACACGACAGTGAATAACACAGGGCTGGTAAATGAATGACAGGGAACGGTAGGACCGGGGCGTCATTCGGGAAGGTCGACCCTGAATAGGTAACGCGACCCAATTAGGACCCGGATAGGTAGGGATATAGCTCTGAGCTAGCTGGGCTGGGCTGCACAGGGCTGAGTCGTGTGAGAGGGGGAACTCCCTACGTACCAAATCCGCGCCAAACGCCACATCAAACCCTGTCTTTCCTCGTTCTCCATCTGTCTCCCCTTCACCCAACTCCATCTCCTGTCCCCACTCCCAAATACATCCCCGAAACCTCTCCTTCCCCAGCCCGTTCCGCACCGCACAATCCTGGATCTGTTCCATCAGCCCCCGCTCGAGATCCGTGGCGACCACGATCTCCGGGTCCAGGTATTTGGCGCAGAACATGGACACGAGGCCCGTCCCGGCGCCGAGCTCGAGGACTCGCTTGCCCGCGATGTGACTGCTTCCCTGAGGAGTGGAGAGGTAGGTTGCGAGGTGTAGGGCGGCTTCCCAGGTTCGATGGCCGGTGGTGCCCGCGGTGACAATTGCGTTACGGGATTCGGAGGTGATGATTGTTTGTCTGTCTTGGGATTGAGAGTGGGAGGTGGAGGGGGAGGTGAAGGTGACGTGGGTGAGTTGCTGAGCTTGTTGGACGGCGGAGGGTTTGGGGGTTGAAATGAGCGTGCCGAGAGATTCAAGGAGGGGGCCGTAGATTTCCTGTATACTGTAAGTTGGAGTCCATGCATGAGGTATTGAGTGGGTGAGCGGAAAAGGTAAGTGTGAGTGGGATCTGAATATGCAGCCTACAGGGTCCTCATACATCCTCCTCCGGGTCGGAGATTGCATCCTCCAGCTTGGCGATAATCATCTTCAACACGCGGGTGCGGTAGGATGCGGTGGGGAGGGGTCTTGTGATGGTGGATTCGTCGAAGAGGTCGGCGTAGAGGGCCTGTTGGGTGGCGGGGTGGAGGAGAGTTGGGCCATCGGGGAGGAAGAGGAGCCGAGGATCGAGTTGCTGGAAGTATTGGGCCGTGAGGAGGGGGAGGGACATGATGAAGGTTGAAAGACACATAAACCCCGAAAACTACGGAGTACTTCACGTTGAACCGCGCTAAGATAACTAACTAGCTAACTAGTTAGTTAACAAGCCATGATGACTAAGGGGCGCTGCACGTGAAGGGGCTAAACCCGATCAGAAACATCCACGGCTGACTAACCGGCTCGCCCAGGAGGGAAGGCGCGCTAACCCCACCGGGTTAGTCGCCCCTAGCCGAGCCCACAGCGAACAGCACAGAAACGAAGCAAAATTGAATCGAGCGCATCTCGAGCCCGCCATCGACCGACAGCGACTTCGACAACCCGCGCCCCCATCTGCCCTTCAGCTCTTCCCTGTCGCACGCAGATTATCGCTGTCAACACCAACAGCCATGGCCGACGCTCCCGTTACCCTGCGGACTCGCAAGTTCATCCGCAACCCCCTGCTTGCTCGCAAGCAGATGGTCGTGTAAGCTCCCTACCATACCACCATCACCATCACCATCACCATCAACCACCATCGATCTGGAAGGCCCCGGAGGAAACAGGTGCGGGAAAGCTACGAGGGAAAGCACACAACGCAGAAAGAGCCTGGCTGGAAATCAAGAAGAAAGGGGAAAAAAAAAAAAGAAAGAAAGAAAGAAAGGACCGATATGGGACACAGATCGATCGATGGGAACATAGAGAGGAAATTGCCGGACAATTTTGCTGATGGTCATGCTTAGGGATGTCCTCCACCCCAACCGCGCCAACGTTTCCAAGGACGAGCTCCGCGACAAGCTCGCCGACCTGTACAAGTCCAACAAGGACCAGGTCTCCGTCTTCGGTTTCCGCACCCAGTACGGTGGTGGTAAGAGCACCGGCTTCGCTCTCATCTACGACTCCCAGGAGGCCCTGAAGAAGTTCGAGCCCCTCTACCGCCTGGTCCGCATCGGTGCCGGTGTCAAGGTCGAGAAGCCCAGCAGACAGCAGCGTATGTGGACTCCGCCCCTACCTTCTTCTCCTCCCACATCTCTGTGTGGTTTGATACTCACCCTGCACAGGCAAGCAACGGAAGAACCGCTCCAAGAAGTTCCGCGGTACCGCCAAGACCAAGGGCCCCAAGAAGAGCAAGGACTAAGCGGATCGCTTCGATGGATTTCCGTGTGGCTGAAGGGGGTCGGTGCTGGATTCGGATTGACGTTCGGATCATCGGATACCTTACTCGGACGACGACGAAGACGGCCGCGGCCAGGGGCTGAAGACGATCCAACGAACGCCAAAATCCCTGCTCTGCTGGATATGAGGAACGGTTGTGTGTGGAGGGCGTTTTCCTTTTTTTACTTATGGGCGACCACCGCCATTTCTCATATCATGACCCCCCATGACACCTTCTCGATGACAGGGAAAATATCAATATTTCAAATTCAGACTTGGAGATCTTTGGGCTGTCTTCTTCGTGCGTGCCGGGGATGTGTGGAAGTTCGGATGGACAATTAAAATCAAAATCATTTCTTCTTTTTTTACCCCTGTTACCCTTTTGCGGGCCTGCTGTTCTTGCTCTTGCTTGTCCGGTTTCCCCCTCTGCAACACCAGCTTCATTGTTTATTGATCGGACATCTGGGTTTCAATCCCCGCCCAAGTCGCACATCCCTTCTTCTGCCACTACTACGTAATGCCCACCAGTCAACTTCGTTTTTTTTTTTCCCCTTCCCCAGCACCTCCACATTTCCTATACTAGAGTATTAGTATATGCGTCTTTCATCCCTCTCAACCACCACCACCACCTCCCCCCTTGCTCTCTCTCACACACCTCCAGTCAAACCCCTACCCTTATCCCGGTCGTGCTCGTCATCAACCGTAGCCCCAATCCGTGCACGATGTAGTGTAAACCCATTCCCAACCCCAACCCCTCCCGCCCAGTCCTTCTCCCCTCTCCAGGCCCATCTCCGTTGTCCCGGTTCTTGTACCTTCTTGTACGCCTTCCCAGGGACGCGGACACGGACGGGGACCGGTCCGGGGATAAGGGCCCCGGGCTTGTGTGTACGACCGTAAGCATCGCCGGACACCGGGCCCGTGGGGGTAAAGCAGTAGGGTTGAGGGGCTGGGCGTGGATACGATGCGGCCTGAGCTTTGTTTTGTTTTGTTTTTAGTTTCTGTTGAGGTGGTTTTAAGTTTTCGTGCGTCTTTTCCGAGTGGTAAGTAAGAGCAGGGAGGGGGGAAAGGAGGGGGGTGGGAGCTGAGAGACTAGAGGGAGGGGCTTCATGGTGGGGGATGGTTTTTTCTTTTTTTTTTTTGTATTTTTTTTTTTTGGTCGATTTTGGTTTTTTGGTGGCCTGGAGTTGCGGTGAATGAGATGCACATATGGGTAGGTTGGAGGTATATGGGGTGGAGAGGTCTGGGCTGCTCTGCTCCCATGCAGATGCAACAGAGAGAGAGAGAGAGAGAGAAAGAGAGGGAAGTATATGGTATACAGCAGAAGCAGGAGGTAATGTGACCGACTCTCTGGGAAGACTACATGCTAATCTAACTACCGTGTAATATTTCATATTAAAAGGGTCAGCAGTGTAACCAACCCATTAGGCCGCTGGGCAGCAGCAGCAGCAGTAACAAAGTAACAGCAATCAGGGTAATTAACAAAGAGCAGTTGGGGATATGGGATATGGGATATGACCTCGGCCTCCTCGCGCCTCGCAAATAATAATGAAACAGGATCCCAGAACATGGATAGAATAAAGTCGCATCAGACCACCCGCAAAGGCAAAAAATGTCATCAACACCGAGCCGAGCCCTAGAACCGACAGAAACCAACCAACGCGCCCCTAATATTATTAGTGTAACATTTTGCTGTCTGGATGTAATGTCACAAAGGATCATAGCACGAGGCTATGAGACCGTTTCTTTCTTTCTTTCTTTCTTTCTTTTCGGTGTTAGTCCCCCCCCCCCCGCCAGCCTGGTGTTGGGAGTTTCTGTTGTTGCGATTGCTTGCCACCGCCAAGGCGCGTCATGCCTTAGCCCAGGGATCGCCTGAGCTAGATAGAATCATCCCCCCCGGCGGCGGTTATCGCAAAAGACACCAACGCATCAACGCATCAACGCATCAACGCATCAACGCCTCACCCACAACCATAATTAGAACTCGCCGGAGCTGTTCAAAGGAGGGACTGGGGTGTGGTGCATCTCCGGCAGCGATCGGTAAGCCGGACTGTGGACCAACGGGGGGCTCGCATGTCCCGGCTCTGGGCGCAGATACGTTAGCCCATTCATCAGCATGGATCCTGATCCATCCGTTTTCGAGGGTCCTTTGTCTCTCCGTTCGCTGCTGCTATACACATACGTGTCCGAGCCGTAATCGGAGAGATGGTCATGCGAGTATGTCCGTGTTGGTTGACCGTCCCCGTTCTCGCGGAATTCGTCACCCAAATCGACCGCGTCCAGCGTAGCAGTAAACGGTCCACTGGAAGAAACCAACGGTGACGAAACGCCAGCCGAGGTCATCGGTAGAAGCCCAAAGACCATATCATGTGCATGAGATGGAATGGGTTTGCCCCGACCCATGGAGCCGTGGCCGTAAGCCCCGTTTGCCTGTTGCATAGGGGGGCGCAGGCTTTTCAGCGTGGGATTCTTCTGGGTCCAGTCGTTACTGGTCCGGTACCCCTGTACATGTGGAAGCCCAGAGAAGGCTTCTTCCGGCGTCGCGAAGCCCCCAAGCCCCATCGGAGCCGGGTTTCGACTGGGGTTGGGGAGAGTCCGATCTGCTCCTTGCCCTTCTGCGGAAGGGGAAGGGAAGCTCATCGTCGGTACGATTGGAGGCGCATCGGCTGCTTGACTTCCGTGTCCCGTGATCATGTAAGGAAACGCGGGAAGAGTCAGGGCATGTTCGGCTTCGCTGTCGGAGAATACTGTGCCACTGGGGATTCTGCCAACATGAACACTGGGCGTCCAGCCCTTTGAATTCCAAGGAAGCCCACAGTAGTCCGTAAATACGTTCTGAGGAGCGCCGGACAACATGTACGCGGAAGACTGGGTTGTGTAGGCTGAGGGCTCATCCTCGTAGCTCATGGCATGATCGATGCCAAAGGATTGCCGGTGGTAAGCATGAGCGTCGATGGATCCCATCTCATAGCCAGATGCCCGCGGAAACGGTGCAACACGAAATCTGGAAGAATTCCCCGCTGAAGCGCCTCCTATTTTGGTTGTCATGGACGGTGCATAGAAGCCCGACCTTTGAGATGAGGGCAAGGCAGCATTCGTGGCATATGACCATCCAGCGTTTTTTGTCTGCAGCATCGAAGAATTGACCTATGGCCAATTAGTTGTGGGGATCATCAGGAAGTATACCTGGACAGAACTCACCCTCAGGAACTGACAATTGGCGTTTCCTGAAGTGCGGCAATTGGAGCACCCCTGCCCATCGCCCGTGTCGCCGCTGCATTTGATCTTTCTCTTCCGACACCGATTACACTGGAAGATATCAGTCTCATTGCATTCTCTTGTGCCTCTCAAGTGGACTCACGGCAACTTGGATCCGACGCCTCGTGGAGTTCCGACTCTTGTTATCCAGCTCTGTTCCGGGATCCACCATATCGTGGTGGCCATCACCGTGGATGGAGTGTGGTATTGATAGAGCATCCCGCTTGTGGTGTGCTTCGAAGCTGACCTCCTCCTCCGGGGGGTAGAAGGATTGAGCCATTACTTCATCAATCAGTGAGGAGGAAAACATGATGTTCCCTATTCCGAGACTCACATATAGTCAACACAAGTCCGAGAGATGGAAAGGCGTCTCAAAGGTGGCGCGCGAGCATAAAAGGGTCTGTTGGATCAGGGATGGTGGTGACCAGCATGTTCCGTCTACCGTCGAATATTGGAAAAGGAACCGGGAAGGATGAGGGGGCTTTAGCCGGAAGCAAGGCCAGATTTAAGTCCATGTGTCGGTGGTGCGTAGTCATTTTGCAAGAAGGCCTGGTCTGGCCTTTTTTTTTTTTTTTTCCATGGTCAATTTTAATTTTCTTTTCAGGGAAGGGTCAATGCTTGTTGGTTCCTGGCAATGCATTTTAGCCCGATCATCAGCTTGCCTGGGGAATTTCTCCAGCTGGAAGGGGAATTAGGTCATTTTCCTCATTCGAAAGAGGGGTGGCCAGTTTGATACCTACTTAGTTACGCTACCTGCTCTGGTTGTACCAGGAGAGCAATATGCAAAGTTCCGTGCTCATTCAAGAAAAAAAAATAAATAAATGTAGGTTGGAGACCCCAAGGCATGCTGATGGAAAGCCAGGCAGGCAAAATACCCCGGCGTTTAGAGGGTTTGTTTCACAAAGTAACGTTGCACCGGTTGGTCATGACCTGATACTAACCACCGCGAGGGCTATCAGTCCCGGCTGGGAAGTCAGAGATCTCAGCGAGCTGTTTCATCCAATCGCCACCAGAGGGGATTGACTGACTCCACATGTGCTGTCTCCGCCACTACGGCCTTTGGATGATGACATCCTTCTGTCATGAAAGAGACGGCGTCAAAGGCGACAAGCCAAGTATGGAGCCAGAATAAGCGGTCGTATGGGGAGCAGACAGCCGCCGGCTACGTTTGCATGAGCTCCCTGATGCGCCTGTCTGTCTAATGACTGGGGCCGCGGGAGCTTTCAACGTGTGGATGTTTGCCCTTGATAGGACAATGGTGGGTATAGAAACCCTATTGGCTCGGCTGGGCTACCAAGGGCATCAAACAAACCGCTTTTCCTGCGGTCAAAAGTTGGCTAGTACTTTTGACCCCCAGCATGTCAGCTCGAATCGGATCGACAACAGTCGTAGCCACGAGCAACTCCAGATATCAGGAGTCCGTGTCAAAAGGAGGAGGCGTATTTGGGACCAAGAGCGTTCGTGCAAACGGAATCACGCCAATGAGACTGCACTGGATGACTCGGAAAGCTTGGCTCGCAGTTCCCCCGGCACAAGAGATCAGGACCACCGCTTGGCTCAATTAGATCATTCCGACCCCAGCAAAGCATAAGTGTGGCTTAGCTGCCAAGGCTGGATTGGAGGGCAGCCCTGGCATATATGAACTGGCTTTAAAATGGTGTCCAGGTCACCGGGCTGGGGCTGGATCTGCACTAAGCTGCGTGGCTTTTTCAATTCCTGGTTTTGGCATGGAGAAAGAAAGAACAGGAGGGAAGGGCCCGTAAAAAAAGAAATCTATGACGAATAGGATAATGGCAACGTACTTCCTTAACCTGACCAGGACTGACAAGAGCTGTGGGGCCAACGAAGATCTAGTATGCATGAGGTTCAGGGGCACGGGGTACGGTACATATTATCACTGCCTGACAGGCCTGTCGACATCTGCTGGCGCTCAAACCCATCGGGTTTCGGGCTGCGATTGGCCCAGATCGGAACCGAGTCCACTAACTGTTGTGTTGGGAGCTTCGCTGGAATACCGGCGAAAGGGGCTAAAGATGCTAGTGTGCCTTTGGTTCAAGATCAAGATCGCACGGCGATAAGACCTAGAAAGACCTGTTTCAACCCTTGCAGCAAGGGAAATGAGCAGAAACGACAAAGAAGAGCTAGAATAAAAAGCAAAGAAAGGGAGATTAGGGGGAAGAGCGAAAAAAAAAAGAAAAGAAAAGCAAAGAAAAGAAACGACAGGAAAAGTCTCAGCTGGAAAGAAGCTGGGCGATGTGATGACCGGACTACTTCTTCTCCCCGGTCACTTTAGACTGGTTGGACCAGGAGAGCTGCCATTGGCAATAGGACCAGCCACAGAAGAGAAAGAGCCAGTGGAACTTATGAATCCCATTCTATGTTCTCAATAGTCGGGGGGGGGGCGGGATTGATTCCATTCAATCACGGTCATCTCAAGAGCCCCATGTCCAAGTCCACCACGTGTATCTCCTAAAGGGACTAGTATTGCCAACGCTGCACATCGTCGTTAATGGGATCAAAGACAGCTGTTGGGTTTGAGCTGCAGGAGACCGCCCGTTTTTTCAACGCCCCTGTGGTGAAACTCGTTGAATCGGAGGGGAAACGGGCAGTTAGCCGTACCCCAAGGTAGCGGATATGCATCCATTGCATTTGCGTCTACCAACCTGGGGAGAGGGAAGGGGGGAAGAGATTCTTCCAGAAGGGAATAAACGCCAGACCCCAGTCCTGTCTGTACGTCCCAGCAGAACCGGCGCCTTTTCTCCCGAAACGGCTCTCCGTGGGAGAGAGGAGGGGGGGAGGGTTGCGGGCAGCTTTTGGCATGGGTCAACGGCGGCAGGTCAGCTCCAGCGACAAACAGCCCCCTGCTGGATCTCGGCCCAAGCCTAGTGCGAGACTATCTCTTGCCTTAATTATTCTCGTCCAACAGGGTTCTCCGGAAGATATGCCGCTCAGTTGGAAAGAATGGCGGTTACACGGAGGGGGCGCCGGATCGACCATCCGACAGAGGGAACACCTCGAAGCCGTCGGCGGTGATTGAAGCAAGGCCGGATGCATTCCTTTCTTTTTCCAGGGTCTGTATGACCAGCAGGTCGCTGTCACGATCATGACATTGTGACCGGGGAGGGAGGGAGGAATGGAAGGGTTTGGAGGGTTGGGGGGGTTTTTAGAGGAAGAGTGGGGGATGGGAAAAGGTGAAGAAACCCCAGACTGCAAGGAATTACATAGTTGCAATCTGACCAGGGTTGTCGGAGATCTCAATTGTTGGTGGTGTTGGTGGTGGTGGTGAAAGTGAAGGAGAAGGAAGAGAGACGGAGACTGACTTACTACGGAGTAGAAACTCGTACTTTGTCAAGATCGACGGTGGACCGACACAGTTGGCTGGGCGGCAGCGGCTCCGCATGAATCGCAACTTTACTTACTTACATTACCGTTAGCCCGCCAGGCCAGTCCGTCTTAGTCTTCCTTCTTTCCTTCCGCCGCCGCCGCTGCTGCTGCTACTTGCTTATCCTGGTCCTTTTGGCTTTTGCAGCCGGTAGCACCACCACCATCGCCCCGTATCCTTGCTCTTTCCTACCGGCCTATGAGCGTCTCATTTACTCCCCCCTTTCTTCCCTCCTATCTCTGGGCTTCTTTTCCTCTTCCTGTCTAACGCATCGTCGATCATCGCAGCATCACCCGCAGCTGCCGGGAAACCGCCATGAGCGTCTTGCTCGAAACCTCCCTGGGTGACATCGTCATCGACCTGCTGGTAGATGAGTCCCCCAAGGCTTGTGAAAAGTGAGCACCACCTAAACCCTTCCCCTGGTCGTCTCCACCATCGGTTCTCGGTGGTTCTGGATGCGCGCGCGCGTACAAGTCGAGTGGCTGAACAGGAACTAAGCTCTCTCTGGTATTCCGTTGTAGCTTCCTCAAGCTATGTAAGGTGAAATACTACAATTTCTCCCCCGTCCACAGCGTCCAGAAAAATTTCACCTTCCAAACCGGCGATCCGATTGGGCCCGACTCCTCAGACAGCGATGGTGGATCGTCGATATGGGGCCTGCTGCAGGGCCCATCTCACCGGACGTTCCCCCTCCAACTCCCCCGGAAGTTGAAGCACGACGAGCGCGGCACCGTTAGCATGGCGACCGTTCCCTCCCCTAATGACCCCGATCTGCGCATCGCCGCGAGCCAGTTCCTCGTCACGCTCGGAGACAACCTCGACCACTTGGATGGCAAGGCAGTGATATTTGGGAAGGTCGTCGAGGGATTTGACGCCCTAGAGAAGGTCAACGAGGCCTTTACCGATGATCGCGGTCGACCACTCCAGGACATCCGGATCCGCCATACCGTCATTCTCGATGATCCTTTTGATGATCCCCCGGGCTTGGTGGAGCCAGCAGAGAGCCCTGTGCCATCGAAGGCACAGCTGGCTACGGTGCGAATCGCCGACGATGAGGACTTGGATGACAATATGGATGAGGAATCGATGGAGAAGCTTCGGCGGGAACGCGAGGCAAGAGCACAAGCGTTGACTCTGGAGATGGTCGGCGATCTTCCATTTGCAGAGGTGAAGCCGCCAGAGAACGTCTTGTTTGTTTGCAAGTTGAACCCGGTGACCCAAGGTATGTGCGCAACGCCGCTCTGCTTCGCAATGGCACTCGAAGCTGACAGCCGGACTAGACGAGGATCTGAATCTGATCTTCAGTCGCTTTGGGCAGATTCTGTCTTGTGAGGTCATCCGGGATAAGCGGACGGGTGACAGTCTCCAGTACGCTTTTATCGAGTTTGAGAATCAGAAGGATTGTGAGCAGGCCTACTTCAAGATGCAGGGCGTCTTGATCGATGATCACCGCATTCACGTGGATTTCTCTCAGAGTGTCAGTTCAAACCGCCCATGGCGCTCCCATCCCAGGTTGCTAACCCGCCCATCAGGTCTCCAAATTGTCTGAAAGCTGGCGCAATGCCACCATTACGAAACGCGGCGGTCAACGGGGCGGCTTTGGCGGTGTCGCCGGCCTTGAGAAGAAGCGCCAGTACAGGGCATCTGACAACCCCCGGCAACGGGATGATTACCACATGGTCTTCAACAAGGATTCATCCAAGGCGAAGCCTGCTCATCGTGACCGATCGTATAGCCGAAGTCCGCAGCGCAGCTCCCATCGGGAACGACGAGTCAGTCGCAGTCCTCGGCGGGACTCGCACCGCAGTCGGTACCGGAATCGATCCTACAGCCGGAGCCCACCACGGCGGGATTCCTATGGCGACAAGGATCGGAGTAGGCCGTACGAAGGTGGACGACGGGATCGACGAGAGGATGATCGATACCGGGACGGACGGCGTCACTGAGATCTGAGGATGAAAAATGAAAAAAAAAAAAAAAATTATCATACATACATACTATATTCACTACATAATTGGAAGTGCTATCCATGTGCGAGGCCCTCTTGGAACCTGGGCTAGCGCCATAAAGAAGATTGGTCGATACTAGACGTAGTTTCACATCTCCCAATCAGGAAGGCAATGAGGGTTTGTATCATTTGAGGTCACCGTCGGAGATCTTCCTGAGACATACATCAATAATTACTGCCACACACACACATAGTACTTGGGTCGGTGAGGTGAAACGGGGGCCCACGGCTGCCCCGCCGGCTGGTGCAGCGGCGGCGCAGATTGGCCGCCCCAAGGCCCCTCCAATCGAACAATTCATGGGCGTGAGGGAACGGCGGCCCCTCATAAGCCTGAAGCCGGCGTCATTCAATGTATCTGCTCCGTAATAATAGTAATAATAACCCTTTTGCGGCGGTCACTAGTCCGTCTAAAAATAAAATCATCAATTGAAACTCAGGGATTCCTGGTGGTCAGTTAGTAAATAGTGGTACACCAGGTAGGTACCAGCTGTGCTGCGCCCTGTACAGTAGTAGTAGCAGTAGTCATAGTATTTATTTGTTTGTTTGTTTCTCTTTATTTCTTAAGGGCAGATCATCCTCCCCCAAGGAAGCTTCAGCATCACCCCGCGCTTGACACCTGTTACCCTCCCCCCTTGCCTTTTTTTCTCCCTAACCCCTCCCCCCCTCTCTCTCTCCCCCACCCCCTCCCTTCCCCTCTACGGAGTACTCTTCTATTTCTTCTCTATACCCCTCTACTACTTTTTATATCTACACCCGCCCTCACATACATCACCCTTGGTTATACCCGACACGATCAACCATGGCTGCCGCGATCAAAGAAACCGTCTCCAACCTTTTCCATGGCCAGTCCCAGACCACCACCCTCCGGGAACCTTCCTCCGAGGAATTCCAGCAACTGCAGCAGAAGTACACCGATGCCGGACAAGGACAGGTCTTTGCTTTTGTCGATGAGCTGAAGCCCGCCGAAAAGACCCAGCTGTTCCACCAGCTGAACAACTTCGACCCCATCCGCATCAACGAACTGGCCGAAAAGGCCTTGAACCCCCCCAAGGCCCAGGCTGGCCCGGTCTCTCTCGAACCCCTCCCCGACGTCGCCACCGCCTCGATCCTAGACTCCGACCCAAGCGACCTGCAGAAATGGTATGAGGAGGGTGTGCAGCTGGTGGCTCAGAACAAGGTGGCTGTGGTGCTGATGGCCGGTGGGCAAGGAACCCGTCTGGGTAGCTCCGCCCCCAAGGGATGCTTTGACATTGGCCTCCCCAGCCAGAAGTCCCTCTTCCAGATCCAGGCGGAGCGCATCGCTAAGCTCCAGCTCCTGGCCAAGAAGACCTCTGGCAAGGATGCGGTGATCCCCTGGTATGTCATGACCAGTGGACCTACTCGTAAGCCGACGGAGGAATTCTTCCAGCAGCACAAATACTTCGGCTTGGACAAGAGCAATGTCATCATTTTCGAGCAGGGAGTTTTGCCCTGCATCTCCAACGAGGGAAAGATCCTGATGGAGAGCAAGTCCAAGGTACGTTGGTCCTTCTATTCGTCGTCGTCATGACGCGACCTCTCTAACTCCACGATTTAGGCGGCTGTTGCGCCCGACGGCAACGGTGGCATTTACCTGGCCCTTCTGACATCTGGAGTGAGGGAGGATATGCGGAAGCGTGGGATCGAGCACATCCACACCTACTGCGTCGACAACTGCCTGGTCAAGGTTGCCGACCCCGTGTTCATCGGCTTTGCCGCCTCTAAGGACGTTGACATTGCGACTAAGGTCGTTCGGAAGCGCAATGCCACCGAGTCGGTTGGTTTGATCCTCCAGAAGAACGGCAAGCCCGACGTCGTTGAGTACTCCGAGATCGACCAGGAGACGGCCGAGGCGAAGGACCCCAAGCAGCCCGACGTGCTCAAGTTCCGTGCTGCCAACATTGTGAACCACTACTACTCCTTCCGTTTCTTCGAATCGATCGAGAACTGGTCCCACAAGCTGCCTCACCACGTGGCTCGCAAGAAGATCCCTTGCATCAAGCCCGAGACCGGCGAGGCGTACAAGCCCGAGAAGCCCAACGGCATCAAGCTTGAGCAGTTCGTCTTTGACGTCTTCCCGATGACCCCCCTGGAGAAGTTTGCCTGCATCGAGGTGCGCCGGGAGGACGAGTTCTCGCCCTTGAAGAACGCCCGGGGCACGGGAGAGGACGACCCGGACACCAGCAAGGCCGATATTATGAACCAGGGCCAACGCTGGATTGAAAAGGCCGGCGGTGTCGTTGTCACCGAGGAAGCGGCCGTGGGGGTGGAGGTGTCTCCCCTGATCAGCTACGTAGGTACTCCCCGGTTTACTTCGATGAGATTAACTACTACCGCACACCCATACTTGAAACCAGACTGACTATGAGTGACAGGGCGGAGAGGGACTGGAATTCCTCAAGGGCCGTGAAATCAAGGCCCCGGCTGTGATTGAGAAGGAAGAGTAAAGGAGGGACCAGCACATTAATTGCAGGGAGTTGGAATAGCCTGTACGAGCTCACTAATAATTGCATGAACAAAGCGACACCCTTTTTTTTTTTTCCCTTTGTAGTAGGCCGGGTTACTTCCAACCCTATGTTGTTGCTGGCTTGCCCGCGTGCCATAGGTACTACTACCCCTCAGGCGAGCGATCTGGGCGTACCGCCGATGAGACCTCGCGGAACCTTGGACGGACGGGGCAGGCATCCTGCTACTCCTACTACCTTGATTATGTATGCTGTATGCTGTCATCATAGTACATTGGCCCGGACGGGTCTTGCAAATAACGCGGTACAGGTTCCGTACATGGCGGATACGGACCTAGACGTGGAAACGTCCTTCACAGTCGTAGAGGTCAACTCCAGCAGACCGACTATCAGGATCGTCCCTGTACTGGACACATAGTACTTACATCGGTGGCCGGTCTAGACTGGGCCTGGCAGACCGGGCCCGCCCCCAGTTTCGGACGTGTCTCCTCCAGGAGAAAAAGAAAAGAGCGCCGGAGTCGAGAGGTCGCGCCACTCAGCTGCATGTCATCCAGAATGACAACCTGACAAGGAACAAGGCCTTCGGGCAATACGGCTGGACGTAAGGTACGTAAATGACAGGAACGTGTGCCTCAGGCCGTGCGCGCCCGTGGCCTCCCGCCAATCAATCCGGGGCTCACCCACCCTGAAGGCGTGAACGATACGGGAAAGCCCGGGAGCCCCCGCGGACCGCCAGTAATTTTCACTTGCCAGCCCTGTACCGAACCTGTCAGTACGGCCCCGAAACCCTGTTCTTTCCGTTTCCTTGCCTAGCTTCATCGCTTAAGTTGTTGCGATTGAAATCCTTTTTGACTCCTCCGCCGTTGTGAGCTACGAAGACATCGTTCCAGGGTATCATTTTTCTTGCCTATTCTTTCTCTCGTGGTCTGGAGGGATTGGTGTTGCCGTGAGGTCTCCTGGAGTGTGTTCAGTGTTGGGTTTGTGTGCCTTTTTCTTTTCTTTTCTTTTCTTTTTTTTTTTTTTTACATTTACCCATTTGGTTGCTTTCCAGGCTTTGTCAGCCCACTTTTTCGAGTCTCAGAGTGGGCTGTCGGAAGTGCTGCTTGCTGCTATTACTGCTGCTGCTGCTGCTGCTGCTGCTGCTGCTTGCTGCTCCTGCTGCTGTTGCTGTTGCTGTTGCTTCTCCTCCCAAGGTTCTCCTGCTGATCGTCCGCGCAGTCCTATTGACAAGGAGATTTGTGATTTTTTGTTGGTTCTAGGAAGGGTGAGTGCTGTCCGATGTCCCCCGTGACTTGGCTGCGTTCCCGTGGCCGTTTCGCGACTCCAGTTCCTTCACCATCCTCTGCCGTTATATTTTTTCCCGCATCCTTCCACCACGGGGAACTTCTCGTCTATGGGCAATGCATGGGAGGATCGATCCCCGGCAATTTGTCCCTCGCTACATGGCGCCACGGATAATGCGACGATTCCCTCCCTCATCTATTAGCTCCTCCGACGAGATGCTGTTCTCCGCCGCCTATCTTCATATCGATGCAAATCCTCCTCCCGCACCGGAGACTACATGATGCGCTGACGCACCGGATCCCCCTGACAGTTTATCTGATCGCCAAGATGTTGTTGTCTCGTCGCGCCTGCTACAAGTGTGGCAACATTGGCCACTATGCTGGTTAGTTGCTTTGGGACAGGAACGCCTTGGCCCAGCTTAGAATTTGCTAACGGGCTGACGTAGAGGTCTGCTCTTCGTCTGAGCGTCTCTGCTACAACTGTGGGTAGTCCCTGTGGATTGGCAGCTTGCTTATTGTGCATCATTTGCTGATACTTTCGTGGTTCAACAGGCAAGCAGCCTGGTACGTCTCTCACGTGTGTCACGTCGCCCGAGCGAGATCTCTGATCAATCGACAGGCCATGAATCCAGCAGCTGCCCGCGTCCTCGTACTACTGAGAGTAAGCTTCCCTGGACCTCGTCATTGGAATGCGCAGGGAATGCTGATATATTCGATTTCTTCAGCCAAGCAATGCTACAACTGCCAGGGACTAGGCCACGTTCAGGCCGATTGTCCCACGTTGCGCTTGAACGGTGCCAACGGCCGCTGCTACAACTGCAGTCAGCCCGGCCACCTTGCCGTACGTTCATCGGCAACCTCGGTCTTTGCTTTACTAACTGCCTCCTAGCGCAACTGCCCCGCCCCTGCTACCGGCGCTCCCCGGGCTGCTGGTCCCCCTCCCCCCCGCGGCGGATTCAACGGCGGCTTCCGCGGCGGATTCAGCGGATACCCTCGTGCTGCGACCTGCTACAAGTGCGGTGGCCCCAACCACTTCGCCCGTGATTGCCAGGCTCAGGCCATGAAGTGCTACGCCTGCGGCAAGCTGGTAGGTACCCTCGCTATCAGAGAGCTCTCAGGCTGATAATCTCCCGCAGGGTCACATCTCCCGCGACTGCACTGCCCCCAACGGTGGCCCCCTGAGCTCCGCCGGCAAGGTCTGCTACAAGTGCTCCCAGGCCGGCCACATCTCTCGCGACTGCCCCACCAACGAGATCGGTGTCCAGGGTCTTGATGGTGCCCCCATCGCCGCCCCGACCGCCCCTGCCGCCGCTGTGGCTGTCGAGGCCGGCGCGGAGGGCACTCCCGTGGCACCTGTGGCACCTACCACCGCGGTTGCATAGAGGAGAGGACGAATCTTATGACTGATCGGTCCCAGTTCCTGGGAGCCTGTTTCCATTCTGTCTTTCTGTATTAGGGTTTTTGCCGACATCGATCTCGATTTTTCTTTATTCCCATGTTTCTTCCTTTGCATATATTGCGCCCCTCCCGTTACTTCTCGGCACCGGCCGCTTTCTATTCCTATTATGTATACGACGAACAAAAGTTTCACGACGTCTTAGGTTTCCTTACTGCTTGGATCCTATACACGGCTCAGGGTCTTATGGTTGGCGTCTATTGATCTCCTCGGGTATCTTTCTCATTTACAAGTATAGGTGTGGCAAGAAAAGAAGGAGACGAGGCCAGGCGAGGCGACAGGTTAGTTCGAGCGCAGGAGAGACATTGGTGGACTGAAGCACGCGCGTTGATATGCATGGGAAAAGGCTTCAAGATGGTTTGGATGGGATTGCGTGTGATGAAGATTGTGAGTGGTCAAAAAGGTACCTGGCGCTGTGGTTACCTCCTCATCTTTTCGTACTATATCCTCCATACGTTCGTCGAATGGGGAGCAAAAAAAGAGAATTCCAAAAAAGAAGCAATTCCGGTTCTCCAGATGTATGTGCCGTCGCTCAGATCGAGCTGTATCAAATAGCCTGGCTGGTACGGGTTCAAATTGATCAAGTATGGGAGTATGGGAGAGCCGTTTCTCTCCGGTTATAATTGTAGCAGTAGCCTTACCGGGGCTTGATGGATGATGCTGCCTTGCTATTCTGGCGACTGGCAACCCCGTGACGCTGGGCCTTCTTTGCTCCCTCTTTTCGTCCCTCTTCGATCCCGAGTTGCTTGCCACCACCTGGCCAGCACTTCCCCACGTCAAACGAGCGTCTACGACCTTGGGGCCGCATTGTCCATCATGGCCGGTTCCGATACAAGTGACGAGTTCAACGATGATGTAGACCACCTTCCCCTGGCCCCCCTCTCGGCGTCATGGATGCTTGTACTGAACTGCCGGACTGTTGCTTTTTACTGACATCGGAGTGGCCTCTGGTCATGACAGGTCTTCATCGTGGATATTGACACCATCCAAGCCCACGGTCTGTGCCTTCTGTGTGTTCCCTCACTCCCGTTCAATGGTTGAGTTAAGACAGGAATCGGGGTGGCGGACATCACCAAGCTGAAGACGAATGGATACTACACAGTTGCTGTACGGACATACCCTACCCTACTGCACGCTTCATTTTCTCTTGTATGCCGACTTATGCTGTCTTCCTGGGTCTCAGTCCGTTCACGGTGCCACCCGCAAGAACCTCTTGAAGATCAAGGGCTTCAGCGAGGTCAAGGTTGAGAAGATCAAGGATGCGATCCAGAAATGCATGGTATGGGCTGATAACCCTCGTTTTTCGTGTGGTGAACGTAGAGCACTAACTCGACAGCCCACTACTTCTGGATTCATCACAGCAATGGAACTGTGCCACCAGCGGAAGAGAATTGTCCGTATCTCAACCGGGAGCAAGCAGTTTGATTCTATCCTGGGAGGGTAGGGGTGCATTGCTTTCCTGTGGTGAAGTACCCGTGCTGATTTCACTAGCGGCTTTCAGAGTATGAGCATCAGCGAGGTCTTCGGGGAGTTCCGTTGTGGAAAGACTCAGCTATCGCACACCATGTCTGTCCTTGCACAGCTCCCTAAGGACATGGGCGGAGCAGACGGTAAGGTGGCTTATATTGACACCGAAGGAACTTTCCGACCCGAACGCATTGCCCAGATCGCTGAGCGGTTCGGTGTCGATCCGGACTCTGCTCAAGAGAATATCTCTTATGCGCGTGCGCTCAATAGCGAGCATCAGTTGGAATTGCTGAATACCCTGAGCAGAGAGTTTGCCGCCGGAGAGTACCGACTGCTGATCATTGACAGCATCATGAATTGCTTCAGGGTGGACTACTGTGGCCGTGGAGAGCTTGCAGACCGTCAGCAAAAACTCAACCAGTTTCTGATGAAACTTGCCCACATGGCTGAAGGTATGTATCTGTGTTTCTGGGTATACATTGCGGGGGTTAATGTTGTCTGCAGAGTTCAACATTTGTGTCCTGATGGTTTGTCCCCCGCCTGGAATGACTGCCAGTTCTGACACGACATAGACAAACCAGGTTCAGAGTGACCCGGGTGCCAGTGCTCTCTTTTCTGGAGCTGATGGCCGCAAGCCCGTCGGTGGTCATGTCCTGGCGCATGCATCTGCGACTCGAGTGCTCCTTCGGAAGGGTCGTGGAGAAGAACGTGTGGCTAAGATACAGGACTCGCCAGGTTAGTTATTGGATGGTTTCTACCCTATCCATCTAACAGTCCCTAGATTGCCCGGAGAAAGAGGCGACGTATGTCATTACCAATGGTGGGATCAACGACCCTGACAAGGTGTAGTCGGATAAATATACTAGCCCTGAAGGCGGAGGAAGAATGAGAGAGAATCGAGAAACCATGTGCTGTCGACGTATTTCCAGAGGCAATAATGTCCGATGCTCTCCTATAACAGGTGACGGAGCTATCACAACAATGTACTAGTAATGTTCATTCCAGATTGTTTACTTCTGTCCGACACTTCGTAGTATACTGTGTCTGTCCCGTGGATGTGCTGTTCTCCGCCTTCCGAACTGCCGGTCCAAAATTTCCCGCTAAATTAAAAGTATTTTGCGGCGCAACGATTTCCGCATCACCAACCACTTACCTCTTTTCTCTCTCACCCTACCCAATTTCTGTCCGGGAGTCGACCCAAAATGAAGACAGACCTTGAAATCGCCGGGTTCGGCATCTTACCCCTGCGGTTCCCCGAATCCGCGGGCCACTCCAAGCCTGCCACCCACTACCTCTACCTCCGGGCCCACGAGCCTCGCATCCCAGATGTCGACACCCCGCGATCCATGTTCATCGTCAACGTGCCGGTCGACACAACGGAGACACACCTGCGCCATCTCTTCGGCACGCAGCTATCCGCCGGCCGCATCGAACGGGTAGAATTCGAAGCCGCCCAGACAAAGAAGAAGGGCATGCAAGCGACACCGCAAGGCAACATCGCGACCAGCAAGAAGCGCAAGCGAGTCACCGCCGACGAGCTCCAAAGCCAGCTGGATGACATCACTTTCCCGTCTACCTGGGACCGCCAACTGCAGAAGAGCGGCGCTCACGCCATCGTGGTCTTCGCCGACAAGCCCAGCATGGAAGCCAGTCTGAAAGCCGCGCGGAGGGCCGCCAAAAAGAACACCCCGATTGTCTGGGGCGAGGGTATCGAGGACCGGATCCCCGCGCTGGGGCTGTCGCGGTATGTGGCGCATACACAACGTCGGTACCCTGAGCGGGCGGAGCTGCTGCGGACGGTCAATGACTACATGACGGTGTTTACGCAGGTGGCGGAGACGAGGAAGCGTGAGGAGGCTCGGCGGGCACAGGAGCCCGACGAGGATGGGTTTATCACTGTTACCAGTGGGCCGAAGCTGGCTTCGACGGCTCATGAGGATGAGGCGAAGCAGTTGATTGAGAAACAGAAGCAGAAGTCTCTGGGATTGGAGGACTTTTACCGCTTCCAGTCGCGTGAGAAGAGGAAGGAGGTGCAGAATCGCTTGCTTAGGAAGTTTGATGATGATCGGAAGAAATTGGCGGATATGAAGCAGCGGAAGGGGAAGATTGCGGTAAGTTTGTTTTTGTTCTTATTTTTTGATCTTTTGTTGTTTTCTTTGGGGATTATGAATGCTAATCAGTTGTTTTCTTCCTAGCCTGAGTAATGATGGGCTCGTCACTGTGTTCGGCATCGGTTCTGTTTAGCATGGCGTTTGGGAGGGTTGTCGAAAAAGTGCGTTCAAGTGGTATTGGCTTGGGGATAGTGATGTGAGTGTCCCTTTTTTTTTTTCTTCTTCTTCTTCTGTCCTCCTTTTGTTTTGAATCCGCATGATGAGTCCGCTGGGGCCAGAGTAGCAAGACTCAGCAGCCGCTCGATGTCCTGCCATGTCTACAAAAACCAGCATTATTCCAATCTTCTCACCTTCTGAAGCATGATATCAGCCTTGCACATTGGCTAGTTGGTTGTATCCTGGTCGCAATGCTGACTTCATTGCAGGTATATTTCATTCTTGTATCCTATAGATCTCAAATATGATAGACCGTCTTGGATCTGATAAGTGGTACATGACCGGTCAGCATGAACATTAACCATGTTTTCTTTATTGCATCCTTAAACACCGTACCCTCATGTCTCCAAATAAATGAGAATTGCAGTAGCAACTCCTAGATAGTCATGAGATAGTCTCCGTACCATTCTACACCTATGCGCACGGACCATCGGGCTTGGCGATGACATCGTCGGCGCATCGTACAATCGCATCGAGATCTTCAGATCGCATATCAGATGACCCGGTCTCTCTAGTACCGTGCTTGCCGTCACAGATAACTTACCTACCTACCTATTCACTCTGTACTGTCTGGTCTGGACTTTCTCCCACTGTACTCAATCCAAGCAAATATCACAACTCCAGCCTTTCGTCTCTACAGTCAACAAAACAGCACACACCAATGCCTCCGACAACAGCAACCACATCCAACCTTTCAGTCGAAATGCAGGAAGCAGGAGGCTTCCTCCCTTCCCCCGCCCCTTCCCCTTCTACCACCATAACTACCACTTCCCTCCTCCCAACCCCCAGATCCCAACCCCTTCGCCGTGGCTCCAAGAACGAAAACACTGTGATCAGCTACATCGACAAGAGCCTGTTGTCGATCACCCGTCGCCACGCCAAGAAATTCAGCAGCGCGTTTGACGCAGATGGGGAGGCTGCAGGTGAGACTGGGGAAGAGGAGGAGGGCAGAGGTTACGAGAGCTTTGCGGAGGTAGCTCGGGATATGGAGAGTGTGGTGGATGTTCTGTGGGTTTCTGGAACGCGTATGTGTTTTTTTCTTCTTTTTCTTTTTCTTTTCTTTTTTTTTTTTTTTTTTAAAAAAAAAAAAAGCCTTCCCATCTGTTATATTCCATCCTTTTGTTTTTTCTCTCTCTTGATGTTTGTTGTAGGTTTGAGGTTGAGGGTAAGTACCTAAGGCTAACGGGAATATGTGGCTAGCATCGCTGCAAATACCCCACTTGATCTCGTTGGCGGTGCAAGTCAATTCGTATCTGCCTGAGTATCCGTTCTCGGCGAAGGCGACGTTCCGGCTGCTGCGGAAGTTGGACGAGGTGTTTGCGGCGCTCTTGACGGGGGTGGATGGGGAAGGGAAGACGGTGTCCGGGTGTGAGGGGAGCATTGGAGGGGTGGTGTCGATGACGGAGAAGGTGAGGATCAAGAGTATTGCGGAGATGGGGCGGGTGGTGGTTGTGGATGTGAGGGAGAGGGAGAGAGAGGATGGGGGTGAGGATGAAGATGACGAGGACGATGATGACGATGATGAGGATTTTGGGGATGGGCTCGGCACCGATGAGTACCCCCCTCCTGGGAAATGGGAGATGGAGACGGCTAAGGTCTATGAGAAGACGATTCAATTGCTTGGGGATGATTTGGCTGAGGCGGGGGAGTTCTGTGATACTGATATGGCGGCGGGGGAGGAGGAGTTGGAGGATGGGATGTGTGAGGTGGAGGATCTGAGCGAGGATGAGATTTGATTTGGGGGTTGCGGTATTTTTGGGGAATGCTATGACGTTGGGGCTTGTTGCTGTTGTTGCTGTTGCTACTGCTTCTGTTATTGTTGTTGTTGTTGTTGGTGGTGGTGGACTATAGTGTGCTTTACCTGCGTGGGTTGATATTGGCACATGCAAGGTGTTCCGGTCTGGGCTCGTACATGAGAGATCTATTCATGTATCGGCTTGACAGTATTCTGCAGTCTAGTTTGATCATTGTCTTTTTCTACAGCAGGTGCAAGTATACACCGCAATGAAGTACGTGATCAATCTAGAATTGGAGGCGCGTCCCATCATGCCTACTACATACTAAAGGGGGCTGGGCTGACACGAACCAAAAAAGGGCGGGCATGGTTCGGAGAGAAACCAGGTCGATCGGTGTAATAGGTGGATTGTTGAGACTTGAGAGCTTGCGAGCACCAGGAGGCAGTGCGTGAGTGGGTCATGGTTGATAGCTACGAAGTACATCTGCAAATACATACATACGGCTAAGGAATTTGAGCAAGCAATGCAGAGCATCCATCCTACGAGTATCCCTGGGCATCCGCAGTAGGTTGAGTCCTGCTTTAGTAACTTTCGGCTGGCTGGAGGCGATCCATGGCTCAGTACTGATGCTCTCATACCAGACCACAGTTGCGCTGCTCAAGTGTTCCGTACTAGCCGGTACGGGTACACTTATGAGAGCAAAGAAGCGTTTATGGTGCGGGCACCTGCAAGGGACGACCTGCGGTGCGGTAGTTGGGGGATATAGTACTGTAGATAGGTACGGAGTAGGCAGGTAGGTAGGTGGTGTAACCAGGTCGATCGACCCATATCTGTGTCCTGTCCTGTCCGTACATGGTGGGTGGTTGGACTCGCATCGCAAGTATGTGAAGATATGAAGGAGGCGTGCGGAGTCCCCCCTCCAAGGTGGGCGTCGACTTGCTTGATATATATTATTATCGTGTGCCAAGTACGGTGGTGGATGCAAGGGTCAACACTATCAAGTACTACTAGCAGTGGCCCAACTGTCGATGGATATATCCTCCGGCGAATTTGAATCAAGGGAAGGAAATCACGAGAGTGTACGGAGTAGGTACTCCATACGCAGTAGATATATATGATTACCTATACACAGATAGTACAAAGTATGGTATAACACGAGGTCGCGTCGCGCACGCGTTAAGTAGTTAGTAGTAGGTACAGTCGCAGTGGTGGTACTCATGCAATTGAAAGTTGAAACAGACTCGGGGAAAAAGAAATCACACCACCTGAACCCCGTCTCACAGTCACGAGGCTGAGAAATCCTGTCTCAGATACTCGTGGGATCGGATTCCATCAGATTGGATCAACTACTAGTTAGCTCTGACCTGTGCCTTACCTAAGGCCAGGTTGTAGGTTGGCTAGCACTCCGTACCTTACAGATACATAAATACAGAGGGTATTGACCACCCCCGAATCAAAATTACGGGCCACCAGTGCCCGAGTTCCGACCAATGAGCAGCACATGGGCCTCATTTCCATGGTTCAAAGATGCCCCAGTGGAGTCGCTAAAATTCCCATGGGCCTGGAGGGCTCGGGCTCGTTTTCTGCTCTGCTCTGCCGTGCTTCTCCCCAGTATCTATCTATACCTTATCATTGCTATGTACTCCGTACATGCCATGTATCTAGTGGTCCCGGTCGATCCAGAGCCCCCCCCAGCTTTGACGGCCCAACCGTGAATCCATTCCAATGGATGAGAATTGATTTGACTGATTATTGCCCTCCACCGGAGTCAATGGCTGAAGGTTAGATATCATTGTCTGGAGTGCCACTTAATTCTTAGTCGCGCGCTGCTTGGACCAACCCCGCCCGCCACTGTCTATTATTAACGTGAACCACCACTCCGTAACTAGTTACGGGATGGGATGGACATGTAATCCCTCACATTGGTTATTCTGCTCCCCGTCGGATTTAATATGGCCGGCAGCGACCGCAGGTCACTTGCAAATCAAGAGTGTCGAAGAACATCCACTCCCACATGGACATTTTTGCTTCTCGAAGAATGTCCTGTCCTGGATGCCCGATCAGTCCTCCGTCATGGACAGACCAGGCAGGCTAGCTGCTCCACGATCCATGGGTCTGGGCGCATGGGTGGGGGCCATGTTTCCTTTCACTGAACTTTTCACAGTCCAGGCGTCTGCCTTTTCTCTTTCTGTCTTTGTTGATTAATACAGTTTGAGTATCGACGTCGATAGATGTCCATTCTTATTATTCCTTAGATCCGGGGCCACTCCTGTGTCGGTCCCCTATTCTACACTATAATTTCCACGAACCCCCCTTACCACAATATCTTCTAGGTTCTCCATATGATTGTTAGTTCTTTCAGCTCCGTCAGCCACGCTGCCAGTTCCGCCGCCGACCGGAGCATCTAGCAACTAACTAGGTACTCCGTAGTCCGTACAGAGTACCTACATATTTGCTACACGCCTACAAAGTACTAGTACTAGGCATGGTCGATCCAAGGGACAATCAGGGCTGAACTGCTGTAAACGGAAACCGATCTGCGAATGACCGTCGAGAGCTCGAGGCATCCGACAACCTGGGCGGAGAACGGGACAGGCCTATGATGATAAGGGCCCATGGGACGCGAATGGAGCCCGACGAGTCACAGCGCAAGGACGGGCAGGAAAAGACCTCACGACTCTGGCGGTCTTGCATGTGCATCCATCCTCAGGTCCTTGCAGGTTTCGTGCAGCGAAGCCGATTCGGCCATGTTTACGAAGCCTGAGAGGTAGGTACTTACATGTCGATTTTTGGCGATGATTGTCCGGCCCCGATCGTCGTTATCTGCCCGCCCCTTGTAGCTACTATACCTAGTAGTACTTTGTACCCAGTAGTGCCTTCGGGCGTCCGTACGCATGCATTTTCCACTAGGGACAGAGTAAGTACATATCAAGAGGGACCCCATTTTCTTCTTCCTCCACCCCCGGCTCCCCCTTGCCTGAGGATGATGCTTCAGCCTTCTGCGGATAAGAGGCCTCGTTCTCCCACCCTCCTGGATGGTGTCGATACAATGCGATGCGCGATGCGCACCTGCTGCCTGCCGGCCTGCCTCCCTTCCCCCTCTCCCTGCTTGACTTGGAGAGACCGTTATTAGCTCTTCTCCCCCCACCCTCCGCGCGCGACAGACCGGACGAGGACAATAGATTGAGCCATCCAAAATACGATCTCCTCCGTCCGGCTTGGATGCAAAGCAAAGCCAGCCATGGATAGGTACAAGCCAGGCGGCTTTAAGCTTCACTCTTTCCAAGTCATCGGGTCATGCAATCCAACAGCCGGCCAGGCGCGACACGCAGGATGCAGAGGGCAGGAGAGAAAAAGAAACCTGCAGGCTTTATCGTTGCCTGGGCCCGCGAGGAATCCCAACCAACCAACAAAGATGATACTAGCCCAAATACTATTGCTTGCGATGGAAATAAGGATCATGTCAGTTTGCAAGCCCGCAGGATGCAGCAGTCATCTGGTCCCAGGGTGCTTGGTGGTTGGGTTGGGTCCGATGTGGATGTGGATGTATCCACTGTATGTTGTAGTAGTGTAAGGTACCTGTACCGCGGATACCTGTATTATGTTGTTACCGCAGCGCGGGAGACCACAGAAAGATTATTATTTAGGTAAGGTGGATAGCAGTAGATATCTAGTAGTGCTTGGTGCCAGGTAGTATCTAGTAGGAGGGAGGTGTAGAAAGTCTGATAGTAGTAAGATAATATGGGGGGGGGGGCAATGGAGTACCTAGTAAGTATTTACGGCGTGGCTGCTCCGTGCCTGCCTACCTACCTAGAGTCAAAATTATGACACTAGTAGCAGCGACTGACTCTAATCATCATCGATGGATATCTGGATGGCAATCTAAAACATACATACATCCAGTAAGGTCGTACACCCGACAGACAATCCAACCACCCGGGCGAATGGTACCGCGGCCGTACTTACCGATACCCTTCAGGTACTGGCTGAAATCCCGGTAAGGCCACACGATCCCACCCAAACGAAATCCAGATCTACAAGGTCTGGTTCGGGGATGTTGCTGAGCCAGTCAACGGGTTTGGTCGACCAGAAAAGCGGAGGCGAAGAGAGAAGGAAAGAAGAGGGGGAAAAAAAAAAAAAAAAAAAAAAAAAGAAGAGCAGAGAGGAGGGAGAAAATCGGCAAACTTTCGTCGTCCCACCCAGTTGGCAGCAACTGCGCCCCTCATCTCCTCACAGACAGGTTCAACAGTCCCAGAACAGAGAAGAGGGAGAGAGAGTAATATGGGTAGCATTATTAGCAGTAGGATCTAGCAGTCGCAGTAGCATGCATACCTACTAGCAGCAGCAAGTGACTAGGGTAGCAGTAGCAGTAGCAGTAACTATCTGGTCCGGACTTACTTAGTAAGTCGCAGCAAGTAAGCAGCAAGCAGCAAGCAGCAGCAGGACTGCCCTGCCCTGCCCTGCCCTGCCTTGCCCCGACCTGCTTGTGTGCTGATTATTCATATTATTATTATTTTATTACCATTTCGTTTGTTCGTCTAACGATTCTGCTTCTCTCCCGTCCTTGGTCTGCCCTAGCAGTAGTACGTAGCCATTCTTCCTCGTTCCCCTTCCCTTCCCTTCCACCCTTCCTCCTCCCCTCCATCCTGAAGAATTAATCTTTCTTCTACCCCTCCTCCTCTCTGTTTCCTCTCTTCTCCCTCCCCATCATATCCCCCTCTCCTTCAGTCCTTCCACCGTTCCCTTGTTCTTGTCGGAAAACACGGAGTTGGTTTGCGGATAGCTCTGTGACTCTTCTTTGTGTCTTTTCCTCTCTTTCTTGAGTTTCTTCTTATTCTCCACGCCGCCGGAGTTATCTTGATTCTCCAGTTCCTGGTTTCTCCAACGCCCTGGTCTTCTACGCATACTTCATTTGCGCCACGTCAAAGTACCGCATCGCTTTCTATTATCCTCAAAGCAGATTCATAGGTAGCGTTTTGCCTTTGCCTGGTACGTTGCAATTGTTTCATTTCTCCCCCTCTCTTGCCTTCCTGGACTTCGGACGCCCTTTTTTGTTTTTCCCTCGCGTTCCCTTTATCGGTCGTTGTGTGGTTGCGCGGGAGTCGCCGAGTCGCCGGCCTCTTGCCTATCAATCATCCCTCTCTGTGCGATCCAGCAATCAAGGCAATCAATCCTCAAGAGGCGTCGCCGGTCGAATTGTCGGCTCTGGGCATCTTGGCTCGCCTATTCCTCGTCGCTCGGGCAGTCGAAATGGCTTCCATCTTCGTCCGACACGATCCGTCAACGACTCTCATGCGCCATTCGAATCCACTTCACTCGCCTCGCTCGGTTATCCGAGGCGTTTCGACCGGTCGCTCAACCGTCACTTCCTTAATAGCCATCCCTGCGCATCAGTGATAATTGTCGAATATCCCACTTGACTGTGTCATGGCTTGTGTGTTGCAGATCAGGCGAAAATTGGGTGGACCGATCGGGTCGGTCGCAACGCAACCGGAACGGGTGGACTCCTGTGGCAGTAATCGACGAACGCGGCGGCCATGGTTTGCTGCACATGCTCGCTTCTGTCATCGCACCTTCATGGCCTCCAGTATACTGCTCGTCCGTTTCAATCGATCGACCTGGTGCGATTTGCACTTTCCGGCCATGTCGCTGCGACCACCTGGGGAATCTGAAGTCTTGGCGCCTGAGTCTGCAGTGGGAACTGAATTCATCACACCCTTTGGTTCCAATTCCACCGATCTGTCTATTCAATCGCCTCTCAGACCTCTGCCGCTATAGGATCCTTCAGATTGAACCCACCCGATTCGCTCCGACACCCGATTTACACCAATGCCTTGAGCCCGAGCCTGCGCGTTTGTGGCTCAGATCTGCCTTCTCACACATTCTCTCATCTTTAATCTCTTCGCGCGACTGCTCTCTTGAAGTCTCCTGGTACTGACTTCATCTCTCGTAGGAAGTGATTAGCGTTTCTCAATCATTTCCGAGTCTGAACGATCGTACGCTTCTCTTTCCTTGACGACTCCAACGAAACCCCTTTCGCACGGGAAATTTTCGGTATAGAAAAGTTTGTTTGTTTGGGTTTCTGCTCATTTCATCCGCACAAAGGTATGCGCCTCTTTGAATAGTCTCTTTCTGTTGCACTATGCGCAGCCTACCGAGTCCTTGGGGAAGCCCGCCTCGCTAACATGTGCTTCTCCGGGAATAGATACCGTCATCGCAATTATTATTACGAAAGTCGAATTTTTACGTCAACATGTCTTTCCAGAACTTTGAATCGTTCCAGAACCAGCACCCTGCTGCTGACGCTGCTGCTGCCGCTCCCGGTGCTCCCGCTACTGCGGACACCACCATGACTGGGCAGGCTGACCCGACTACTGCCCCCTTCCAGGGCCCGGCCCCCGGTGAGCCCACTGCTGCTCCCGTCCCCCAGCAGGCCAATGATGGCAAGACTACTCTCTGGTATGATTAGGCCATGCAATCCTATTCTTTGCTTCGTGTCTGGCTCTGACCGTGTGAACTGCAGGATGGGCGAGCTTGAGCCTTGGATCGACGAGAACTTCGTCCGTAACCTCTGGTTCCAGATGGGTGAGCAGGTCAACGTCAAGATGATCCGTGACAAGTTCTCTGGGTGAGTATATTTGAAAACGCAATCCGTGTCTTAAAGACGATCCTAATGTTGGTAGTAGGAGCAACGCCGGCTACTGCTTTGTCGACTTCGCGTCTCCCGCTGCTGCTGCCAAGGCTCTGTCCCTGAACGGCACTCCCATGCCCAACACCAACCGCCTGTTCAAGCTGAACTGGGCCACCGGTGGAGGCCTTGCTGACCGCAGGTAAGCAATGACACCTTCCAACCTTGTCCTGGGAGGCCCCGTCTAATATCAGATTCAACAGCCGTGATGACCGCGGTCCCGAGTACTCTATCTTCGTTGGCGACCTGGGCCCGGAGGTCAACGAGTATGTCCTCGTTTCTCTCTTCCAGAGCCGCTTCCCGTCCTGCAAGTCCGCCAAGATCATGACCGACCCCATCAGCGGCATGTCCCGCGGATACGGCTTCGTTCGTTTCTCCGATGAGAACGACCAGCAGCGGGCCCTGAGCGAGATGCAGGGTGTGTACTGTGGTAACCGCCCCATGCGCATCTCCACTGCCACCCCCAAGAACAAGGGCCCTGGAGTTGTTCCCGGTGCTATGGGCATGCCCGGCCCCGCAGGCATGTACCCTCCCATGGGTGCGCCCCCTATGGGCTTCTACGGTGCTCCCCAGCCCATGAACCAGTTCACCGACCCCAACAACACCACCGTCTTTGTTGGTGGCCTGTCCGGCTACGTCACCGAGGATGAGCTGCGCTCTTTCTTCCAGGGATTCGGCGAGATCACCTACGTCAAGATCCCCCCTGGCAAGGGCTGCGGTTTCGTCCAGTTCGTCCAGCGCCACGCTGCTGAGATGGCCATCAACCAGATGCAGGGATACCCCATCGGTAACTCCCGTGTGCGTCTGAGCTGGGGTCGCTCTCAGAACAACTCGGGCCCTGCCGGAAGCCCCTACCGCCCTGCTCCCCCCCCGCCCCCCATGTACCCCTCGATGGGCATGCCCCCGGCTCACCAGTACGGCGGCTTTGCGCCTATGAAGGTTGGTTCTCCCTCGGTCACCCCCTCGTAACCGGAGGGATGTAACTGACGCCCACGTGCAGTAAAGGAGCTTTCCGTTTTAGTTTGAAAGAAACAGCAGGAGTTTTGCGTCATTTCACGATGGGTCTTTTGTGTGTCATAAGTCTGCTATTATTTCTGCGAAAGTTACCCTCTATAGCTCTGGATGGGCATTTTCTCCTGTGCTACGTACTTCATATGCGAGCGCTTTCCATTTTTAGCCATATCTGAGCTCTGATTTCATTCTTACTTCCTATCTATCTCCCGCTGCTTCCCCATCTCCCCTTTCCCAACTCTCTTCCTTCATCGAAATCCATCTGTTACACCATTCTTCAGTTACCCATTGATCCCCTTCCCCCTCTATTCTCGTTACGTCTCTGGCCCTAGGTCTATGTTATTATGCGTATGACGGCAATGGGAATTGTTGAAATGCGCGTCGGTCTCCGTTTTATTCCCTGGGCAGGCTTTCTGCGAAAAGTTTTCTCATGAATCAATGCAATCCCACTGTGTTTCGTTCTGAGGATGTTACGTCATGCTTTTTGCTAGACCGGCGGCCTGTACAACATTGTTTTCATCGCCTTCTATTTTCAATGCAGTCGATTATGGAGCATAGTGCTTTCCCACTCATTGAGTGCTTTTCCCCTTGGAGGCCATGCATCTTGCGTCCTGTTCAGCGGAGTTTCCCAATTGGCCTTGATTCGTTGCCTCTTGTCGCTGCTGTATCTGCAAGCTGCCAGTGCCACGACCCTGCCGCGTCTGTCTCTTGATGAATATGTAGTTACTGCTTACTGGTGACTGGCAGGAGACCGCCTGCTCTACCTGTCTTCTCCGGCGGCTTTTTCTCTCATTGCGGTCCTTCGTAAGTCGGCTGTTTCCCACGACATATGTTGGCGTATCGTTTTCCCCTTCACCTCTCCCGGATGATTCCCCCCCCCCGGTTGTCTTTTATCCTCTCCCTCGCTAAGCAGTGAGCTCTGTTGTTTCTTTCCTACTTTGTTCCTGTGGCTATGGAACTCCTCAATCTTCCGATGATCGTGAGCACCAGACAAAGTGTTAACAATTGCCAAGTATCTCAGATCTGCTCCCCGCTCGTGTTGTATAGGGAAGGGGCTTGATAGATAAGCGGACGTCTTATAATTTGAACCAGATCTGCGCCGCGTCGCGTTTCCGTTGCATTGATTGCATCCCATCCCGAGTATCAGCGAGGCTCGGCCTCAGGCTGTGGCTTCCCCTCAGGCACCAGCCTCCCTCGCGCCTTCCCTCTTCCCTTTCTCCGATGGAAGGCGCGCCTGCCACGCTTGGTACTGTACTATCCTCCTAGTAGTAAACCACCGTCTCTCGCTCGGTTGTCCTCTCCGTCCCCACCACATCTCTGCCACTTGTATCTATCCTTCTCATCTTGTTGTGGGGGATACCTACTCGAGGATCTTCTTCTTCCGAACACGAATGAGGTCTCTTTACTCTTAGTATCTTACCATACTTGCCTGAGGTCTAATTTGTCTCTTCCTTTCCTCATCTTATCTCGCAGTCGATAGGTACCTCTCTACCTCTGAAGCCAGAATGCGGTACGAGAACTGGGACGTGCTGGTCTTCCCTGAAACCTCCAAGGTGCCGCTCCAGGAATTCAAGACGCAATGTTTTGTCACCAAGGATAAAGGTCGGTGTAGCAGCCCACCGACCGATGTCCCAGCCCGCACTAACAAGATGCCAGAATCACCCTACCTGCACAGTCCCGCTCTTCTCAGCCCGGCTTCTTGCTCTGTATCACACGGCAACCTGGGCCAGCTGCCAGTCCTTACTACCTTCATCCCAAGTATGCGTCTGAATACCCCCTTTCGAGTATCGGTCCATAGCTGGGAAAAGCCCATGCCCAGCCGGTTGATGGAAAGCCTCCTGCAACCGGAAGATGCTTTGCTTTTCGAGATTCGGATTTTTATAGATGGGCTGTGTGTTTCGTAAGTTTTATTGATCACTCTAGTGCTGCGCCATCCATCAACTAAGCTCTGTGTGTGTGCCATAGGGGTAGCGTATTCAACCAGAGATCTTCCTGGCCGAATATTATCGGTGAGTGATCAGCCAATTGCTCTGCATGTATCCCGGAACAACTAGCTAATCACTCTGAGGCCTTCTTGCTAGATCTGAGTTCCTGTATGTCTTCATTGTGGCGCTCTCGCAGAGTTATAGCTAACACTAGTCCTCCAGACGTCGACAAGAGCGGTAACCAGGATAGCCTCCGTTTTCCAGCGTTCCACCAGGAGATTCTGGAACAGAGACATTGGGATGCGGGGGAGACGTATGGCAGGATCCGCGTCGTGATCGCCGAAGGGTTCTCTCGCCCGCACCGCTCCCCGCCGTTTGAACGAGTCAAGGAGATTGTTGCGTTTGCTTTTCAGCATGCTCCTCTGCGTAAGTTTCCATCCTAAGCGCCTGCAATTTATCAGTATTTTGACCATGATACGCTAGAGGTTCTGGAGTATTCCAATATTGCCTGGCCCAACGCTTCCATGTGGACCCGAGAACCACGTCTCTTCAAGTACAATTCGGCAGGCGGCCCCAGCGAGCCAAAAGAGGCTGAAGATTTCCATGCCCACTCACCGACAAGGCACGATGCTCGACGGATTATAGCACCCAGGAGCCAGATCAGTAGTCAGTCGGGGGGAAGTACCTGGGCGTATAGGAATTACCAACGGCCCATGCCCCAGTATCAAGCCCCTTCAAGTGAGTCAAGATGGAACACTCAGGAACAGTGTATGCCAGATCCGTTCATCGATCCTATTGTCCTCGACCCAACTGCACGTCATCGGGGAGCCAGACCGTCCTGGGAGGACGTACCCATGCCAGACTATGCCTCCAGCTCCGGTAGTAGTCGTGCTATCTCGAGCATGACAGGCATCAGCTACGAACACAGCAAGAATGCTAGCATTGTCACTCCCATGGATGAAGCGTCATACAGCCAGCTGATTGAAGCCTTGAGTCCGCCAAAGCCCCTGAACTGTGGCACCCAGGCACCTACCAACACACCTTCTACCGCTATGCCCATGGGAACCAAGCTTTCTGCGGCGGCCGAAGCACGCTCGGCACCCTACACCAAGAACAGCAGTCGGGCATCGGCATTGAAGGAGATTTCGCTACCCGACTCTAGGGAAATCTCGAGAACTAGCACCAGATCTAGCGCTCCTTCTGATACAACAGCCGATGTTACTGTGGCCAACAAGATCAACGCTAGCCCTAGTCCGCAAGTCAAAAGCAGGAAGGAGGGTTTGTGCCTGGAGAATAAGGGGAACGAATCCTCCGTGGATTCTCCCATCAAAGAAAATGAAAGGGCTCACCAGACTCCCCCCAGACCAGTAGTACGGACGAGCGGCAATACGGAAACCCCCACGGGGTCGAAACCAAAGCCATCAACAAGCTCTGCCCGTGGGGAGAGCTCCCCTATTTCCAAAGGAGAAAGCGTCCTGTTCTCGCCTACCCAGGATTTGTCCGCAGGACATCATGTTCAGCAAGCCGAATTTGATGACTTCCTTGATGTGAGATCCCAGCTTGTGGGGTCGGTCTTGGAAGTAGGTGATATCGATTGAAGCATTCTTACTTACTAGGATTCTGTATCGTGCTTTCTTTCCCTTGTTACTATCCCGGTTTTTCGTTTTCACCATGCTGCTCTTGACCATTTCGGATTCCGCTAAGATGTCTGGATGGCGAGCTCCCCCCCTCCCATTATGAGCGGTTGAGCTGTCGACTCTCGTTGACCTTATATATCATTCCTATCGAACAACCCATATAGCGTCTCCGCTAGAACTATGGGAAGGCGGAGTATGCTGTGTATCAGGCCGTCAGACTGTGGAGAGGCTCTCTTCAATGTATTTCATAGGCAACGTTGCATGGAGTATAGTCCGAACTAGTTTGATACGTAGTCGTAAGGAGATAGAAAGTGAAGCCCCAGGCAGCAGCCCTCTGTGAATTGCTGTGCTTTATTTCCTCTCTTGCCCCTTTTGGCTCCTGGCGCCTGCCTGCCTGGTGAATGCCCCTCCAGGCATGCAAACAATACCGGAACACGCTCCAGTCCGCTTGACTGCCTCCCCCTTCACCTTCTCTTCTACCCTCCTCCATCCTTCTCCTCGCTCCCCTCTCTCCACCTCCTTCAAGTCCCATCCACCTTCACCTCCCCTTCTCCATTCATCCATCTCGGTCTCCTCTCTCTCACTCCTGTCCATCCTCCATTCTACACACGTCCCCCCACAATACCTTTGCTTTTTCCCCCCAGACAATGGAAAATTCATATCTGAATCCTGCGTTTAGTGCGAGCTTTAGCCTTCCTGTCATCCAAACTTCGATGCCTCCCCCCACAAATGTATGTGGCAGCCGTGTGAAGGCAGAAGAGTCGATATCCGGCTTGCCCTCTGAGGTACCGACACAGTCACAAGGTGTACAGCCCCAGGAGCCCCCAGGTCATCCCTATATCAAGCAAGAGGAGGGTCTCCAGGGGTTCTCTCATTGGGCCTATAGCCCGTCACCTTACTGGAACCTTGCTTTTGGTTCCCCATGGCCCGCGATTCAAGGAGGCTATCTTCCCCCAACAGGTGGAGGGAGACAGTCTCTTTTTGAGTCCCGGGCCGTGGACTCGGGAAGCGCTCATGTGCCTCCTGGACCGGCATCAATTCCAGCAGTCGGACCTCAAACTTGGAGCAGTGGCAGCATATCTCTCACCTCTACCAGAGCTGAAAGCTTGATCTTGAGAAGGGCCGGCTCGTCCTATCCCTGTCGCAGAGTAAGTGCTGCAGTCAGAGGGGGTCTTTCTAGTAGTCGGTGAAGGTTTACCTTGCACATTCTTGGCCTTGCTGACATTCGTGATCAAGCCCAAAAATCGTTCCAGGCAGCTTGGGTCTGGCGATTCGCTCAATCTGCACCCAAAGCGTTCGTGGCAGCTAGGATCTATCGACCCGCTTAACCTGGGTGATGATGAGGCCCTTTTCTGCTATGGAGTCTTAGCTACCCAAGCTCTCCTCCTCCCGAGGTTTTATTTTAGCAACTCGAAAGGTTCTCGATGGGGTCTGAAACTTACGATGTATGGCCATACAATCATCAGATCGCACGTTTATCCTTCTCAAAAGGCAGCCAAAGCTGATGTCTGCCGAGCTGCTTTGAAAAAGCTGCAGGCGGAATACCCAATGTGGACCTTACCAGATCTTAATGACTGGCTAGGGACGCCTGATTGGGACTGGGTTGAACTTCTGCGAGGTAAGAAAAAGCCCACCCGGCTTAAAATTGACTGGATTGGCTGACAAGGCTTCGTGGCAGTTTCAATTGTAACCACAACGGACTGCCCGCGCCAGAGTATGTTAGGATCACGCATGGGCAAGGTCACTGCCACACCGTGAAGGTCCAGGGAAATATGTACACAGGGCCCATTGACCATTACTCAAGCGATTTTAATTCTCAGAATGCGAGTGCTTACACGGCACTACAGGCAGTTTGGATCCATGGCGCAGGTGGTTCCTGGAATTCCTTGGGCCCTTTATCGTTGAAGGATACTGATGAGCACACATTCGCGCATGTTCCGAGACCACCTGAAAGCTTTTCATCTGAAATGGATCCCCGTCCTCTTTCTGGGCCTAAACGACGAGCAGAATCCGAAGATGCGACCTGGAGCCCAGACAAGTCAAAAAAGAAGCAGAAGCATAGTAAACAATTTTATGGTAATTCAAACCTACTAAGAGTCACCAATTGCAGGCTACCACCCATCAATGTGTCTGCTGAAAAGGAAGAGAAACGGTGGAGAGTTACACATCATGAGCTCGTTATTCAGATAGGGGCCTTAAAAACAAACACTGACAAGTTGAAAAGTAACGTTGACCGGCTCCCCTACTCTTTATAATTCTCATTCTGACCAAGTTTATCTGGCTGGCCCTTCCCGGAACCGGGAGGACCATGTGTCTTTACGTTATATAGAGGTCTGTGACTTGCTCGGGTTAGAACATCCTGAGATTCGTGTTGAGAGAACGGACGGCCGGCTCATCGAAACAGACGGGCAATACACCGCGGCGGCCTACTTTAATGGGGACCCCTTTCTCACACGCGCTGGTGCTATTGGGCGTATCAGTAACATGCAAGACACTAAGCTTGCAGTCAAAGACAAATGTGCAGAAAGGGTTGTCGAATACTTGATCCGAATGGTGAAAGAAGACCTGGAAATCGAACTGGACGCGGAAAAAGCGCGTGGGTCAGTCACGCATTGGGGCGACGCAACAGTCGAGTTGCTCAGGAAGAATGGAGCAAGGTATGTCTGATGTATGGCATGATTTGTCGGGATGTGGTCGATGGCGCTGTGGTACTGTGTTTTGTGCCAGGCATCTTTTTGGAACTTCCCTTGTCTAACCGCTTACATCGCTTTTCGTGCGCCACACTCCATCTATGTCCTATGTGGAGAGAGGTGCACCTGTTTGACGCAGGGACAAGTGGGATGAACAAGGAATGAATGAATGGGTGGCCTGGATTGATAGGTGTTACATGACAGCGTACGGCCATTGGTTGGCATATGCTTTTGGTCCACCACCCCACGCGCATAGTTAGCGGCATTAAGCAAACACTCAAGGCAACTTATGACGATAGCCAGTGAGTCGGCGTCCAGGTATATTTTTTTTGTACAGGATAGTTCATATGTACGTGCGAAGACAGCTAGCTGGATGGCATTGAAACTACCCCAGAGTTGCTTTTGCCCCTTCCCCTTACTGATATCAGAGAACGAGTCTTCGGGCAGATTGGTTTAGATGTGCAAAGGGATCGGGGAGACGAAGAAACATAGACCACAGCACTAGAACGCATAGAAGCAAGACCGATTTAATTGATACGCAGTGAAGCGATGTAAGGAAAAGAAAATGAACAACGGAGAAGACGCGAGTATCTTTCTCGATTTCATGAAACCATTCACAGAGAGGAGTCGATGACGACTAAAACCTCGAAGATTGACGCCACACGGATAAGACAAAGGAAACAAGTAATGTAAGAAGGTTGCAGAGAAGCGTAAGTGGCAGAAGAAGTGGTGGAGGGTGTGAAGGTTGAAGTTAGAATTCTGTAAGTGAAAAGAAGAAAACAAGTGAAACAAAGATATTGAAAAAAGAAAGGGTTATCAGGGAAAGAAGAAAGGTCAAGGACGCACGTGTTGTGATGGTAGTAGTCTCGAGTATTAAATGGAGCATGGCTAACGCTAGGGAGAACACACATCACTCAATGGTCCGTTGGGGATTTCGAAGACCGGATTAAGCAAGTAGTAATAAGTGATGGAGAAAAGAAAAGAGAGAAAAAAGGATATTCAAAACGGTCACACAAGAGCACAATAACGTAGCTTGATACAAGCGAGCCCATCGCGAGTCGACAGGAACCTCTGGTCGGCATAGTAAAAGAAGGGATATGCAAAAACGGATACACCAACGCCTAGTCACTTGGGCACATATCCAAATCATGTCGACAGAACAAGGATAGGAGACAGACACGAGGAAAAGTAAAGCGCAGGCGCACAAACTGAAGTTTATGGAAATGTACAGAGCAAGGGTATATGAGTTAAGGACTTAACAACCGTCGGACTTCATTTCACAAGCCGTCACCGGCACCGGTCTCAACACCATCGGTAGGATACGATATGTTGGGGTCGAATCCAAACCCAGCGGTATCTGCATCCGTGTTGAGGAATGTATCGAAGTCGAAGTTCTCCAGGATATCCGGGTTTTCTAGTGCGCTGAAATCGAGGTTGAAAGCAGATGCCTATTTTTCTCGTCAGTCATATCCCCTCGGATCAGAACAAGGGGGGCACAAACATCAGGGATGGTCATGTCGCCGAATGGTTGCTGAGTCTGATCAGGCGGCTGCTGGACAAGAGGCGGCGGTGCGGGAGCTGACGTCGGCTGCTGCGGAGCACTAGTTGTAGCATTTGCACCGGCCTTGTTGAACGAGTTCGGATGCTGGGGGGTGATCGGAGTCGAGGGAGTCGGGGTAGGCGGATGCTCTGCTTCGGAAGAGGGCGTGGCTGCCGTGTTCGCCGTCGCCGCGGCGGCGGCGGCGGCGGCGCTCGTCGCCTTCTTCGAAGGTCGCTGGAATCGCGGTCAATATAAGAGTCAATGGGTTGTTGGCATGACAACGTACCTTCCGGTTGTCCTTAGAATCCTTCTTGGACTTCGGGGCCGGCTTGTTGGCCTGCTGGGGGGTCGGCGGAGCAGCTCCCGCTTGGGGAGATGGGGGCTGAGTCCGACCAACGTTGGCACCAGCCGCCGGTGGGGCCTGGGGGGGCGGCATCGCGTTCCTCTCCTGGGGGGTTCCAGTGGTCTGCGGTTGGGGTACGGGCGATTGTTGCGGTGCCATAGGCTGACCCTGAGCGCCCGGCTGCGGTTGCCAGCCTCCAGTCGGCACCCGGTTTCCAGCACCGGCAGGGATCGGTTGGCCCATCTGGGGAGCGCTGAACGCGGGGTTGGAGCTTGGAGGTCGCATTCCGTTGGGGCCGGGCATACCCTCAGGCATGCCCTTCACGAAGAACTGGGGGCCAGCCATTTCGGGGGGCATCTGACCACCAGCGAAATTCATGGATGCCGGGGATCCGCGACTCTGGGCCATGGCGTCGGCAGCGCTTGGGGAGCCGGGAAGTCCGGTCGAGGGCATCTTCGGGGTGCCCCTCTTCATTTGGTCGTTGGGATTCGGCGATGTGCCCGCCCTGCTGCCTTGGGGCGAGGTGCCTGGTGGCAACTGCTGCTGCCCAGGCATTGGGGGCTGGCCGTCAGGCCGGGCCATGCTGTCCTGCTCCTGACGAGCCATCATCAAGCGCCGCTTATTCTGCTGTTCAAGCAGCATAAGTTGCATCTGATAATCTTGGAGAGCATGGTTACCGTGCTGACCGCCAGGTGTCTGCATCCCCGTCCGAACCTGGGCCATTTGACCATTCGAGCCATAGTAGTCGCCGTTCATGGGATACACCTGGCCATCTGGCATGGGCACCATGTCCGTCGGGTTCGGCATGACACCGGGATTCATCATACCATTCGGCATGCCCTGGTTTGTCAATGCTGAGCGTGTGTGATGAATGGCCAAGTTCTGAGCATATACCTGCATTTGTTTCTGCTGCGCAGCAGGTCCCGACTGCGAGAAAGTCTGATACTGACTGGGGTTCATCGTCCGAGTGATCCCGTTCCCCATCAAAAGCGTTGGCGGGGCCGGCTGGCCGGGCATACCCTGGGGCTGACCGCGTCCGTTGGGTGCCAGCTGCTGACCGTTCATGGGGCCACCTTCGAGGCGAGGCCGTTTCGACGGGGACGGAGCATTCTCCGCGGATGCTGGAGATTGAGGTCGATGGCCGTTCATATCGATTTCCGATTGTTCTCGCTGCATCTGCATCATCTGAGCCTGCTGGTTTTTATGGAGCTGAGCTAGTTGTTGCTGGGACCTAAAGGCTTGGTCAGCACCCCATCAACCACTAGTTCCAGAGGACTTGAAAGGAAAGGGGGCGTACAGGCCAGAGGTGTTGTTCTGCAGAACGGTCTTCTGAAGATTAGGGGGCACCAAGCCGGGCCGGCGCATATTCATTTGACCCATCTGTCCAGGCATCAGCGGCTGTTGCCGTAATAATTGACTTTGATGTTGTTCTCTGAGGCGCATTATATTCTACAAAGCCTCAGTTAGACGGTGGATAGGCTGATAGGCTGCAAACATGGAAGAGCACGTACCTGAGTGTGTGAGAGGTATTGCCTTACGTCAGCACTGTTCCCTTTCTTGCGCTGGGCCCAGAAGAAATCCCAAAATAGGCTGAACCAGTCAAGGAGGAAGGAGGACTGCTGTCCTTCACTAGTGAGGTTTGGGCGAGGGAGATCATCTGGGATCTTGAGTCTGTCGCCATCCTTTCCATCCGTCATCATCGCATCACCATCAACACCATTCACGTCAGCGTCGCGACGGTGACCCGGACTCGTCTTTATAGGTGGCTCGGTATTAAGTTTAATAGAATCGTCCTTCACAAGCGCCCTAGCACATTCATGGTACCCGCGCTTCAGGAAGTAATCGTAGATATAAGTGTTCAAGTTGTTGATCATCGTTTCAGGTATGTTGTTGATGTTAGGATCATTACGGGGGGCCGCAGAACCGTTGTTCATCATCGGGACACCCCCCACGGGGCCTCCTGCACCGGGATTCATCCCAGGCACATTCATCTGATTCATGGTGGCACTCGAAAGGGCTCAGCCACCCCTCACCAGGTTATTGTCCTCGATGGAAAAGCGTCAGGGTCCAAGAGGGGTAAGCGCGCATCCACCGGCTTGCGGCGAGGAAGCTCACCACAAGAAAACGAGGCGCGCGTGGCAATCAAAGTTCCGAGGAACAGTGGAGAACAATAGGCACAACAGAATCACGGACGCTTCCAGCCCGATCAAGGACGGTTTTGTACCCAGACCCGATTGCGCGATCGTCAGGATGCACGCTGAGAGTTGGAGGCTAATCTCGGCGAGATTGAGCCCGAGATATCGATTCTGAACCGGGTGACGTAGAGAGTAGGTGCTTCTGACGGAAGACAAGACAATGCAGAGCAGCACAGGTGTCGCGATGATCACCCACAAGGGAAGCCGGGCGAGGCCCACTCAGGAGCAAACGCAACTGGAGGAAACGAAAGAATCTGCGGTGGCTTCCAGGATGAGGCGATCGGGCCCAGGTGGTGAGATCTTCTGGGAAGGAGGGAGAGGAGGGGGAAAATAAAAATTGGGAGAGGAAGGAAGTGTACTTGTCCGGGGACCCAGCGGACAAAAAATGCGCAGTAAGATCAGCCGGGGGGGGGGGGGGGGAGGGCGGCGACAAGCGACACAGGAAGGCAAAAGACGGAAACGAGGTATAGGAGAGCGGCCAGGAGAGATGAACCCGACGGGATACCACGCCAGAAGACAGCGAAGTCGAGAAACTCAAGAGAGGCAATAGTAATCCTCACGCCCCTGCAGAAAAAGGAAAGGGGACTAGAACGGAGAGATCCGGCAGATTGGAAAGAGTAGGTGGAGGAGGGGAGGGGGGGGTGTGAGGAGGCGAAGGTCAGGACAAGGTGTAGCGGTGGATCTGAGGTGTTCTCTGGTGGGTGGGAGGACGTGGATATCAGGCGCGGTGCCTGGAGTTGCTCAATCACTGCCAGCCGGGCGTGAATCGCTTGTTCGGCGCGGATTATCTCGCCCGGAAAGCCGTGGGAGGGCTGGGAGGTGCGGCTGGCTCGCGTATATCTCAGCATGCAGTTGTGCCAGTGGGCGAAACCGAACGGCAACGGGAAAGTGTAATGGTATCGGCGAACGAAGGGAGACGGGAAAAAAAAAAAAAAAAAAAAAGAAAGGGTGGACAACCGGTTCGTGGGAGAGGCTACTCACTGCAATGGATCAAATTCCGTGGGCACAATGCGGAAAGAAGAGAAATCCCCGTCGAGAAGTCTCGCAGGCAATCAATTAACCCGGCGTCGTGCACGTCGTCCAGTGGAAAGGAAAGAGAAAAGAGGGAGGCGGGATCATATATAGATCGATATCTGGAAGAACACGCGCCCGAAGGAGACGTATAGACTAGGTATCTAGAGAGAGCGTGTGTGGTATCTGATACAGAACACCAAAGGAAAGGCCGATGCCGATAGATCGGAACACTACTAAGATAGATACTTTTTTTATTTAAGACAATGGATTCAATTCCAGCATCAAGGAATGAACAAGAGGGGGGGAAAGAAGAAGAAGCAGCAGAAGAAGAAGAAGAAGGATAAGAATGAAGGATCAGTACAATATACAGACCATACTCGAGGCCGTGTTTCCTACTACAAGTTACCAAGTACAACGGTAGGTACTCCGTACTCCGTACTAGCCACCAGTCCTTAGACCAGTACGGAGGCTGGTGACAGTTGGAGGCTGAGGGACTGCGTACATCCTGGCACAGCCCTGGGAATGATGGGATGTCCGCCCCCCGTTGTGGTCTAGCGCGTCACGTGGTGCCACTCCCGGCGGGAGAGGATTTCCTGCGCAGATCGGCCCATCCTGCCGTTCCCCGGACTAACTATACGATGGACAAGACAGTGACAGACATCATACGAGAAGATGGTCTCGCCCTGGGGAAATCGGCTTCATTCGGACCCTGCACCTGGCGCCAGCTATCAAAGATCGCACCGTGCCACTGATCGAGCGTCATCATAAAGACTATGTACTGGCGGAGTCGGCACGATCAGACGAGATCGATTATCGATATATGCGCCGTAGTACTACTATGTAGTATCAATCACTAGTCTCCGATCCCTGCCCGACTACTCCGGCCCGCCCTCCGGATGAAGATCCATTGTGCACTCTCGATACAGGATTTTCCTTGCGCTGAGGAATCCAGCTCTTCTCAAGCTCCGTCTGCAACAGGCGCGTCTACTGCTGGGCTCCCTGATCCTGCAAGCCAGGGCGAATGTTATGACATCCGCCTGGCGGATGTCACCGCCTCCGTTATCGCATATCAGTTCGCATATCAACGCGCCTATCATTTTCAGCACCTGACTATGGCTGGATCCCTGCTCGTCTAACTCTATTGTTCTGGTTGATTAATAACTCGGTACCCATTACAGCAAGCGATATCTATTGTAATTATCAACCTTGCATTCCTCATCAATACCCTTTTGTCCAGGCCCAGCCTGCGACGGTGGTATGCATTGTGCCCTGGTTGTCTTGCGTTCTGGGAGCTCTTCTGCGTTGATCAATCTCAATGCAAGGAAGAGGGGGAAATTGGATCATCAATCATAAGTAAACATGACATTTGTCAGTAAATGCAGCTCCAGATCAGTGGGTAAAGCCCTAAAACACCAGACGCCTCAACGTGTCCAAATAAGCCCGGTTTCCATACAGTATGCCACGCTTACTCCTCATCAGGGGGCATCTCATCCTCAATGTATCTCACAAGCGACACTCGCATCTCTGTCGTGTCATCTCCTCGCAGCACGTCGCTCACAAAATGCGCCTCAATCTGCATTTGCACCTATCCGTAAAGTTAGCACTCCGGTGCCCCGATGGAGGTCTAATCATGAGCAATCGGATTTCAGGTGTTGCACTCTCTTACCATCTCCAGTGCGCCCCGAAGAACTCCACAGAGAATATTAGAAAACCACAGCTCATCCTGTGCCCGTCCATCATCCGGTAGCTCAACGAAGTCCGCCAGGGGGTTTTCATCGAACACGAGAGAGAACTGGTTGTTGTCGCTGGTCCAATTGGTCACAGTGGGCGCGATGTTGAGAAAAATCCGAAAGCCAACCTGTTGAAATAGCACCCATTAAATTCTGTGCTAATTCGGCCAACTTTGTATCCTTTTGTGATAGCATACCTTCGCAATCATATCCGCTGTTTCCCGGAAATTGGCACATCGGCCAACGTTCGACTTGGCCAGGAAATCCTCAATAAGCCGCATGCCGATATTGTAGCCCATCTTTTCCAACTGCTTGTTTACTTCCTGGTAGTTCCCATCGTAGTCCTGGCAAAGCTGTGCGACTATCGTTCCGTACGTCAGCGTCACCAACTCGGCGTTCACTTTATCCACTCTCGTTCTAGGAGTGCCGGAGACACGTTAGTTTTCGGTTCATTCCACACTGGCTCCGCTTGGTGTGCTTGTTGAGGGTGGAGTCGGAAGCCAGGTATGAACATGCAGCTTACTGACTTCCACAGCCTGTGCAGTCAGAAGGTTAGTTTGGGATGTCGCTAGCCAGCGGGGAAACACAGGGGTAAGGATGGCTTACTCTTCCCCGATTCTGGATGCCTTCGTTGCGGATGACATGGTTAGGTTGCACGCAGATCCCTCAAGGTTCACGTGAAGAGTAGGATTGTAATTCTAAAGGGGAATGGATGAGATCAAGTGTCGAGAGGGTCAATCGTGCAGATAGTAATTAATGGGAACAATGCTCATGCACATTCCTCCCCGCTTGAATCGGTGGACCGAAGGGGGGGGGGACGGAGGCGGAGCTGCACGCGCCTGGTGGACCACCAGCGCCCGGCGCTTGCCGCGGCAAAGGTGCTTTCGGCGTTGAACGATCAGCGCTTACGGCAGAAGATGCCTGAGCGCAAGACTTAGTCCGCTCATCAATTGCCTGGCTAGCTTGACTCGATCGCGTCTGTCGCTCGGTCATATTACCCTTCGCCGCCATCAAAATTTTGCCTTTCTTCTGTGCTTGTTTTTGGTTTTCTGTCGACATCTCTCTTCCCACGCCCCAGCAATGATGTCGGGAGAAAAGCGACCTGCGCAAGAAGCCTTTGGCTCATTCAGTCAGGTTGTCGTGAAGCGGAAGAAGTCCGACGCCGGTCTCAATGAAAGCACAGCTATCGTCAAAGGCTCTTCGCAGAATGGGGCTCTAGTACAGGCCGTATGTTCTTTCTGGGCTCCCTCGACAGGAAATTGCCCCCGACTGTGCCCTTATTGATCATAGTCACAGGTTCCCCGCACCAGCGGGCTACAAGCCCCGATCATGGAATTGACAGGTGGGATGACCTGCTGTGGTGGCATACATACAAGGCTAACCTGATCGACAACAGGCCATTCGGGCGAGGTTTTCCCTGTGCGGTTCGACCCGACGGCGCAGCACATTGCCTCGGGCTCTATGGATAGATCGATCCGTAGGTGGCCCTTTCAATTATACCAGCCTATCGATGCGGGCTAATCAAGGCATCAACAACAGTGCTCTGGAACACTTACGGACAATGCGAGAATTACGGTGCTCTTTCGGGCCACCGAGGAGCGGTTCTTGACCTACAATGGTCGCGTGACTCCAGAGCGTTATTTTCTGCATCCGCCGATATGACGCTCGCGAGCTGGGACTTGGAAACGGGACAAAGAATCCGTCGACATGTCGGACATGAGGAGGTCATCAACTGCCTCGATATCAGCAAGAGAGGCCAGGAATTGTTGATCAGCGCGAGTGACGACGGCTGCATAGGGATCTGGGATCCGCGGCAAAAGGAGGCTATCGAATATCTCGAAACTGAGTTACCAATCACGGCAGTTGCTCTTTCAGAGGCTGGAAATGAAATCTATAGTGGTGGCATCGATAACACCATTCACACTTGGGATCTTCGAAAGAAAGGGATCGTCTACTCTATGGCGGGACATGTGGACACCATCACCTCTCTCGAGATATCGCCGGACTCGCAAACCCTTCTTTCCAACTCGCATGACTCAACCGTACGCACATGGGACATCCGACCTTTCGCGCCGACAAATCGGCACATCGCAACGTTTGACGGCGCTCCGGTTGGCTTGGAGAAGAACCTTATCCGGGCGAGTTGGGACCCAAGCGGTGAGAAGATCGCGGCGGGCAGTGGTGATAGGAGTGTTGTTGTCTGGAATGCAAAATCCGGCAAACTCCTATACAAACTGCCGGGACATAAGGGGACCGTCAATGATGTCCGATTCTCGCCAAACGCTGAACCGATCAGTAAGTTCTACCCGGGGCTGTGGCATATCGTCGTTCTTTTTCACTCATCGTTGTTCACAGTTGTATCCGGGTCTTCGGACCGAACCCTCATGCTTGGGGAACTTGGCAAGTGAGAGTGCTGCCCATCCAGTCCACGCAGCAAACACGACGGAGCAAATTGATCCGCCACCTATCAAGCGGTATTGATTTATGACGACCCACGATACGACGCAGTCCAGCTCTCGAGTCTCCATGAAGCTTTGACAGGTAGCCATTGGCCAGGCCAGGAGGAAGAAAGCCGCATGGCAAGGAAGCGACGCTACCACTATTCGAATAGCACCCCGTGAGCGCAGCATGTCGAAATCGATGTGCCTTGCAAATGTAATAATATACTATACGTCCGAATGAACTATGCTCATGTCTCGAAACCCCGTAACCTGAAGATATCACTGCTGCAACTGGTTGGGTGCTTGTCCCCGCCCGATCGCGATCCGCGTTGCTCGCCCGTCGCCTGCTCTAGTGATAGCCACTTGATAAGATCCAAGCCCGCCATCCGCTCATCGGGGCCCAGAGACTCGGAGAGAGTGAGGGGGGTTGGGGCTGAAACAAGTGGTCTCCTTCAGGCCCTTGGGGCCACCCCGTCCTTGATGACAAGCTGCATGTTAGCGTTAATCATTATTATCCGGGCTGTCACATCTCCCTGCATAGGATACCTTGAGTCGTAGGTCGATCAATGGATTCATATCATAAGAGGATCAGTCAGGACTCCGGAGGAGGAGGCGGGTTATCGGAAATCTCGGCCTTATGCCTAGTACCTAGTAAAGAACAGATACCGGTATAACGGTGTATACGCACCACTCACTAGATAGGGCCTACCTAGATATTACTCCGTAGTATCCCTCCCTCTCTCTACTGTAGTAGTACTATACTTAGTATACCGGCGAACGTGGGTCATCCAGGGGTAAACCCGCAAATGGTCAGCCCCTAAAAGGACCGCCGAACCACGGCTGCTAATAATAAACAATCCGTGAGATGGACGGGTCCGCATAGTCATGCGGATTCATTGTGATACTTATTTTCATGGCCATGATTAGTACCCCGCCGGTACTAGATAGATGTCTCTTTAGTCTCTATAGGACCCATTACCTTGTAGGGGTACTATTCTCATCGTGGTGAGCGGAGTTGTGATGGAGCAGCTAAGCTCCGTAGGGACGGACTTACGGTACATACTATGTACTATACTATACTCCGTACAGTGTGACGGTACATGGCCGCTCCTCATCTCCCTCGTAGTCCCTCCATCCCATCTCCTCCGTCCCCTCCATCTCCATCTCCTTCCATCTCCATCTCCATCTCTATCAGTCATGATCGTTCCTTCTGGCTTGCATCTGTCTCTGCAGCCCTGTTACTAATATACCTTTCTTGGCCACTGTCATTGCGCCCTTATCAGTATTGACCGACCCTCTATCTATCTTTCTTCTCCCCAGTCCAGACGATTGTCACTTCATTAGTCTAAGTACGGAGTAATGCCACTGCTGCTACCACCACCACTACTCTACTCCAGACTGTGAACATAACTCCTGGCTGGCCTGGTGCTTCGCCCACTTCCTTCGTTTGTTTGTATCTTCTGTGTTTTCTCTCTCTCTCTCTCCCCCTCTCTTTTTTATTTCCTTTTCTCCCTCCCTTCACACCCTTCGTCCACGACCTTGAGAGACAGTCTCAACAATCTGTCCGTCAAAGCTAACCCCCCCCCTTTGTCGCCGCGTCGTATGGTTTCGCGGTCGGGATCCCTACGCCTTATGCTGCTCCCCCGGGCCCCCTCCTCACCCCAGGCTTGATCTTCATTATGAATGTATAGCAACTGAATTCATAATCATTTCCCCAATACAATATCCGCCGAATCCGGGCTTCGCCAGCAATTGCCCGCTTTGCATCACAAGGTCGATCATTCCAGGCGGTTTTCGTCGGAGTCTACGTTCCGACAACGTCTATTTGTGTGTTGTTCAACGAATGCGGAAGTGGGCTCCAGTACACATCACGGCAGAACATATCACATCGCCTTCGAGAGCGGAGTCGCCGGCGTTATTGTTGTCGCATTTAATACTGAACATCTATCTTCTGAAATCTTTAATTTGCGTCCTGGATTTATCCCGATGTCCTTGTTTGACTGTTAGATTCACTTGCCATGCAGTCGGTTCAGCTGTCTTATCCGGGATCGACGACACATTCCAGCGGGGGGGCCGGCATGTTGCCCGATCGCTCTTCACATGGTAATTTCAGCGGATCGATTACCGTTGACCCCCCAAGAGCTTCCTATCGCCCCTCACGGGTAACCAACCATCGTCTCGACCTTGAACAGCGAATCTTAGGCGACCGCGCGGAGCGTCGCGAATCCCGGCTACCTGGAAGATCGACATCGCTGCATCACTCTACAAGAAATGCTACTGCATCTCATTATGCGCCAAGAGGTCCCTACTTTCCAATTGAATTGCAGTCGGCAGCAGACGGGGGCTCTCAGGAAGCGCGGCCGAACGCTACATATAATGCACACCTCCCATCAGATCCTGAGAGCCTCCGACGGGGCGGGCGATCATGCGGATCGATGCTCAAGGAGACCCGAGCTCGAAGGCGGCTTATTACGCTGGTCGTATCTGCAGCTTTTCTCGTCCTCGTTGTCGCTATCTATCTCGCATTCGCTGCTTCTCGTACGACATTAGGCCGGGAGCTCAAGATCCTTCTTATTTTCATGATCCTCATTCTCGGGATTGTTTTCTGTCATTCTCTCACCCGCTTCTTAATGGTCATTTTACGACGGCCTGACACCGATGTCTCTACGAATCGCATACCCAGTCGGGCGGGGCCAGCCGGCTATGCGCAGCCAGCGCGTCCCATCCATGTGATCCTAGCAGGAGATGAGGACGTTGCCGAAAGCCAAAGTACTGTGCGGGAAAAAGTCACGGCGCCCCCTCCAGCATACGGTCTTTGGAGGAGTAGTGTGGTAAGTACCTACATTTGCATTCGATGTGCATTACTCTGCCGGTTCATTGGTTGAGACAATAGGCGCTGACTTGCACACCTGCAGAGGATAAATCCCGACCTTCTCTACTGGCAGCGCGTGGAAAATAATAGACAGCAACCGCCCAAGAGTATAGATAGGCGCATGAGCAATAAAGCTCGAATACCCCGACCACCCAGCTACACATCCGATAATGGCGTTGACTATGTGATTGAGGCGCAACCACGATCATTAACACAGTGGCATATCCCTGAGGAGCCAGAGCGTTAACCGTAGCTGCACATTATCCGTCTCTGTCTCAATCTTTTGGGACCGGATCTACCGACACAACGACACCTCCGTCCCCCTCACCATCTTCGAAGCAACTACTAGTGCGGTAGCAGCTGCATTGCATACATGCACACACCTGAATTTCATTTGCTTGGGATATCCCCTGTCACCATGCTTTCCTCTCTCACGGCTTTTTCGATACTATCATTTTTTTGATCCGAAGGTCAATTTTTCTCTGTTTAGTTGGGATGAAGCGGGAGTTATACTGGCATGCAAGCAATTATCCATCCAAGCAGCATTGAGTGAGCGCTATTTTGTTTGAATTAATGTTTTCTTTTTTTTCCTTTTTTTCTTTTTCCCCCCCTATTTGACACTGTTGAGGGATGAAGAAGGCACACCGGAACTACGCTAGTTCTTAGTTAGATAAGCATGCTGATTCATCAAGTCCATATTCACTAACTGGTCGACTAAGTATTCGACTAGTTCCAGCGTAGTTTATTAATAATAGTGAATGCTTCCAAGGGGGAGATCGGAACGGCATATCTGGCCGTTCGGATGCGCCCAAACCCCAAACCGATTCGCCGCGGTTGGATACGACCTCACGTGCGGCGCCGCTGCCACCAACAACCCCCCCCTCAAGCCAGTTGTTCCGGTTCCCCATATTCCCTTCCTCTGCAAGTCAGTCGGCTCGCCAACCAGCAGCCCCCTCCCGCTTAACAGTCCGTCAACGCGCTCCCATGCCATTGATAACTGTTTCGCTGCTGCGGTAATGCGCTCGGGATGTTGGCACTCGCAGATGTCCGACCTCCGTTCAGCATGGATGATGACCTGGGTCTTGCTGCTGTCGCTGTGGCTTGCCGTAGCCCAGGGCATGCGGACCGCTCAGGTGAAGGAGCTCAGGTCAGTGTTCCCAGCTATAACCCTGCTCCGCGGTTGCAACGTATGGGCAATCGGACTGATACACTCGGTGTCTAGGAGAGAAACGGAGCACATGTTCTATCATGGATTTGAGAACTACATCGAACACGCCTTTCCGGAAGATGAACTACGTCCGCTTTCTTGCCGTCCGCTGGTCCGCGACAGAGAAAATCCCGCGCATGCAGAGCTTAACGATGTCCTGGGCAATTATTCCCTCACGCTGATCGACAGCCTGTCCTCTCTGGCCATCCTTTCGTCAAGTCCGGAGGGGGGGCAAAGAGCTTGGACTTATTTCCAAAACGGAGTGGAAGACTTTGTCGCGCTATATGGAGATGGTACCGACGGCCCTGCAGGCCAAGGACAAAGGAGTAGAGGGTTTGACATAGACAGCAAAGTCCAGGTTTTTGAGACTGTGATTAGGGGGCTTGGTACGCATCGCATTTAGTTCGTGGAATTCTGGTATCCCTAACGACCTCTGCAGGTGGACTTCTCAGCGCCCATCTCTTCGCCGTGGGTGATCTTCCCATCAGTGGATACAACCCTCCTGAAGCAGAATCTACCTTCGCTAGAGCTTGGGACAAGACGCCTTTACCTGAAAATAGGCACGGTATCCGGTGGGAGAACGGTTTTGTCTACGACGGCCAACTTCTACGGCTTGCTGCCGACTTGGCGAATCGCATCTTGCCTGCTTTCTACACCGATACAGGCCTCCCCTACCCACGCGTCAACTTACGGCATGGGGTGCAACGACAGCCCTATTACGCAAATTCTCCATTGAATGCTGCTTCTACATGCGATGACTCAAGCCCCGAACACTGTGTGAAATCTCGTCGAACCTCGCCTCCGGAGACCACAGAAACCTGCAGCGCTGGCGCTGGCAGTCTGGTCCTCGAATTCACCGTTCTAAGCCGGCTCATCGGCGACGGTCGGTACGAAGAGCTTGCAAAGCGAGCATTTTGGGCTGTTTGGGCAAGAAGGAGTGAGATTGGACTGATTGGATCCGGGATTGATGCCGAGTCGGGCAGATGGGTCCATTCATATACGGGAGTGAGTCGGTTCAAGAGCCTGAGCAATTGTGCTTAACTAACCGGAAATCAATTATTAAGATAGGAGCAGGGATTGATAGCTTTTTTGAATATGCCTTCAAGTCTCACGTCTTACTCTCGTCAGGGGAACGCCCTCCTGCTAATACCAGCAGCCCGTGGCATGTCCTAGACGACTATTTTCGGCCGCTTAGTGAGTACGAGCATTCGGCGGATGCCTTTCTGAAGGTGTGGCAAGAGTCTCATGCGTCGATAAAACGTCATTTGTATCGAGGCGAAGGTCATCAACATCCGCACTTGATTCAAGGGGATATTTTCACCGGGGCTACTCGCGCCTTTTGGATCGACAGCCTGAGTGCCTTCTACCCCGGACTTCTAACATTGGCAGGGGAAGTAGATGAAGCTATCGGGATTCATCTCTTAACGACGGCGGTTTGGACCCGGTTTTCTGGTCTTCCCGAACGGTGGAATGTTGCCACGGGCAATATTGAGCAAGGTCTTTCTTGGTATGGTGGCCGGCCTGAGTTCGTGGAGTCTACATATTACCTCTACCGAGCCACCAAGGACCCTTGGTATTTGCATGTCGGTGAGATGGTGCTGCGTGATATTAAACGGCGCTGCTGGACCAAATGCGGCTGGGCAGGTATTCAGGACGTCCGGAGCGGTGAACTCAATGACCGTATGGAGAGCTTCTTCCTTGGTGAAACGGCCAAGTACATGTTCTTGCTCTACGACTTTGACCACCCTCTCAACAAAATCGACCAGCCCTTCATCTTCTCCACAGAAGGCCATCCACTTCTTATTCCTAGGAACAGCACGGCGCACCGCCGTGGACGCAAGCAGGTCTCCGTGGATGAGCAGAACACAGAACCGATCTGCCCAACAGCACCTGAGCCTCCAATCTTAGGTGTCTCATCCACCGCAGCGCGCCCCGATGTGTTCCACGCCGCGAACTTGGCTCGTCTGCATCTCATGCCCCGCAGGGGCTTGGCAGAAGGGCCTCTTCTAGACTATGCGCAGGATCATCCGAGTGTGTCCGTGTCCGACTTATCCTCTCCCACCAACTACACTTTTTTCCCGTGGACACTGCCCCCGGAACTAGTGCCGTTCAATGCGACTAGCTCGCCGATGACGGTTCGTCCCACTCTCGACATTTCCTTCCCCGCACTTCCCGGGATGATTGTGGGGCCTGGATCTTTGGAACGGGTCCGAGATGGCATCTTCATCAAAGCTATCGGAGGGTTGCGGATGAGTATGGTCCAGGACGTCCCTGTGCACGGGGAGACGGACAATGACGAGTTTCGGGTGCAAGTGATCAATAATGTGCCCCTGGGCAAAGACGAGAAGGTGTATCTTCTCCGGGAGATCACGTTTGATGTCTTAGACCCTACAGATCCAAATTTCACTCGCGTGCGCGACACCGGCATGGTTGACATCGTCATTGACGTTATCCCAGAGATCATCCGTCGACGAAATGACTCAGACGATGGTCAAGAACCGGCTGCGCCACCACATGCCAGCGGGAACATGGTCTCCGGGCCCGGGTCCGCCGGCAACAAAATAGGCAATGTAGATCCATCTAGTTCCAGCATGAAGACTGTCCTATCTTCGCTCGTGAACACGCTATCGACTCTACTGCGGGAGGAGGCTCAGGGCCAAACAAGTCTGCCACAGAAGAGAGCATCTTCCCTCCGGCTATTGCTCCCAGCAGCCATGTCCACCGGCCTCGGCTCAGCTCCTCTGCCGGACGTAGAAGATTCTCCGACGGTCTCCATCACCGGCGACCCGTCCAAGCAGCAACTCACCTGGTCCAACATCTACTTCGCTGATGAGCTTTGCGATACTCGCGTCTTGCGTGACATCGCACAGAACCACCAGGTGCTCGTCGTCAAGCGTGGCGGGTGTAGCTTCTCGCAGAAACTGCGGAACGTTGCCGCGTATCCACCGTCGCGATACGCGCTGCAACTGGTGATCATCGTTTCCTACGATGCGGACTCGGGGGAGCAGGGAGAGCCGGACTTCACGACCCCTGGCTTGGCTGCAGTCCGCGCGGAGCCGTACCTCGCTCGCCCGTACCTGGACGAGACACAACTTACGGCGGGGGGGATTCCGCGACGCCAACTGCTCAGCGTGGTCATGGTGGGGGGAGGTGAGGAGACATACGAGTTGCTGCGGCAGGCGACGGCCTTGGGGATCAAACGGCGGTATACAGTGCGATCCCGGGGGGTACCGATCAACAACCTGTATATTGTGTAACTTAGCTAGCTATTTAGATCAACATCAGCAGTACGGAGTACGGGTACGAAGAGTCTCGCCATAATTCGCCATATGACGCACGCATGTAGCCAGCCGCTGTCCACGGGGCCTTCCATGGATCGGCACTCCTCCCTTACGATGTCCGATGCTCACCGATGCTCACCGAGTGGCTGCAGCGGCGCTGTCACTGAGTTAGCCATGCACCGCCACCGCCGCCGTGGGGGCGACACCCCCCTTAGTCAGGTGCCACCGGCCATCCGATTGGCGGCCGACGACCCTTGCCTTCCCCGGGCGCCCGATAAGCTCAGGGACCGCGATTTGGATCTTGGTTCGGGGGTTCCAAAGGCAAGTCACAAAGTGGGAAAAAGTAAAGTAACAAAGCAAACGCGTTAAGGTTTGCCCTGGTGTACTGTATGTAGTTTTCGGCCGGGTCTGGTTTGCCATCGCCTCCCAGGCTCCCAGAGGCACTTGGTATAAGTATCGGGTCGTGTCATCCACCCACCTGCCATCTTTACTGACGCTGTCACAGACCCCCCGCATTCTCTTAATCGGGCCTGCTTGTTACTTTGTTTTGTCGACCCCGTGTTCTCTTTCTCCTTCTTTTGATTGAGATCCGGTTTCCAGTCCACTCACTCTCTTACTTTGGGTACATTTGAACCAGAATCAATCCCTCTCATCCGTTTCTTCAAAGGACACCTGAATCCTAAACGCGCCAAAATGCATCTCCAGGAAAACCCCTCCACCCCCTCCACCATCATCAACATCACCTCCTGCTCCTCCTCCTTGACCACCACAACCACCACAACTACAACAGAAACACAATTTGCCCCCAAAACCACCCTAACCCCCCCGGCTCCCACGTTCACCAAACCCCTCTACTTCGCCTACGGCTCCAACCTTTCTCCCACCCAAATGTCCTCCCGCTGCATCCACAACCCCGCCTCCTCGATCCCGCTTGCCATCGCCCGTCTCCCACGCTGGCGCTGGCTCATCTGCCAGGCTGGCTACGCGAATGTCCTCCCGCCCGCGGAAATGCGCGTCGGACGGCAACTTGATGCCGACATCCCCGAGTCGGAGGACGACGATGTGTATGGCGTGCTGTACGCCATGGATGACAAGGACGAACGCGTGCTCGATGGGTATGAGGGGGTGGATCGGGCAGCGCCATTGACCGTCGAGGGAGACACCAATGTGTCCCCCGCCATTCGGGAGCGGGAGCAGGGCAGGGGCAGTTACAATAAGTGGGTGGTGGAGGCTGAGATCATCCAGTGGATTGGTGCGGAGAGTACCGGTGCTGACACGATCCCGGTTTTGGTCTACGTTGATGAGAATCGGGTTGAGCGGGCTCCGCCGAAGGAAGAGTACATCCCTCGGATGAATCGTGCGATTCGCGAGTCGGTGGCAATTGGCTTCCCGGGTCGTTGGGCCGAGAAGACGATGAGGCCATCCATTCCCTTGAATTGAATTGGGGTGGGGTGGGGTGAGGTGAGGTGAGGTGGGGTGATATGATGTGATCGATGGCTTGTATTATTAGCGTTTGCGCTTTCTCTCTCTCTCTCTCTTTCACACACACACTCACTTGCTGTTTGTGTGGTGGGTTGAGGTTTGCTGCTATATCAATCTTTGTGATGACAGGAAGTCATCGTCAAATCTATTCAATTATGATGCATAGCGATAGACTTAGATCTGAACAGATGCATGTTGCATCACTGGTATTTCATGTAGTCTATAAAAGTATGGGGGCGTTGTAGAAAAGTCAAATCATACCCTCTGGAATCGACTCCGCTGAAGGCCAAGTATTCCAACTCTTTGGGCCCCGACGGCCTATATTTAAATGGCAGTCGTTTCCTGGCGGTTGGCCAACTGCTATTTTTCCCCATCAATGCCAACCATCTGTCGATGCGATGCGATTCTCCTTGGTAGCGAGTCATCCCGTTGCATCGAGGTCAACCCGATCGGGATTGCAGCCGCCGCATGGGTGTGATCCAGCATTGCGGCATGACCAGCGATTTGCCCTGGCGAGCCAATTTTTGAGCATATATATGTTTTTTTTTTCTGTTTTGAGCTTTGCTTGCATAAAACCAGACCACCGAACAGAGATAGGAAACAAAATTTTGTGTCATAGCATAGGGTCATTAAGCCATCTTCTCCTCCTGGCCGGTGAGAAGCGTGTAGACGGGAGCGGGCAGCTTGTCCCGTCCCTTGAGGAACTCGAGCTCGAGGAGGAACACGAAGCCCATCAGGTCACCGCCCATATCCTTGATAAGTTCACCAGCCGCATAAGCAGATCCGCCTGTGGGGTGTTGAGTCAGCTGTGAAATTTCGCGCCATTCGCCAACGCAATGAAAACCTACCAGTCGCAATGATATCGTCCACCACGATGACCTTCTGACCGGGCTTGATGGCATCGGACTGCATCTGGAAGAAGTCCTCGCCATATTCCTTCTGGTAGCCCTTGGTCGCACAGGGGCCCGGGAGCTTGCCCTGCTTGCGGACGGGGACGAAGCCGGCGCCCATGCGCAGGGCCAAGCTGGGTCCCATCAGGAAACCACGGGCCTCCAGCCCCACGATCACATCGGGCTTCTGGTTGCCGTTGCTGGCGAGGATGTGCAACTCCAAGCAGCGGACGAGGGCTTCGTGCAGCGTAGGATCGGCGAAGATCGGGAGGATATCTTCGAACAAGATGCCGGGGGACGGGAAGTCGGGGAACTGGCGCAACGCCCCGCGCAGCTTTACTTTAAGACTGGCGAGTTCGGCGGCGCTGGCGGGAGAGGTGGAGGACTGTCCGACTTGGGCGGCGGCGGTGGCATGAGGAGGTTGGAGGGGGGGTGTGGTGGTCGGTTGAGACATGATGAAAAGAGGGAAGAGGAGAAGAAAAGAAAAAAAGAAGAGAGAGGGGGGGGGAGGGGGAGAGGAGAGAAAAGCCGACAAGGAGGTGAGGGGTGAGGAAAGATCGTAAAAAGGTAAAAATAGTGAAATCGGCGTGATAAGCAAAAAGCAGGATGGAGGAGGGGAGGGGAAGGAAATTTCCAAAAAGAAAAAAAAAAAAAAATTAAGTAGTTGAAGATCTATAGGCAGGCAGGAAGTAAGGCATCCATCTTGGTGGTATTGTCATGGCCGGTATGTAACTTTCCGGGCTCGGTCATTTCTTGTCCACAGCCACGTGCATACTGGGAGACCTCAAATTTGTACTGCAAATAGGTCCGATTCCAGATACAGGATAGGTGGACTGTCTACGACACTTTATCTTCTCCAATGTCCTCCAAATATCTCGGCATTGCATCCATCTCGAGGATGGGTAAGTAAAGTCCTTACGGGAGCGGGTTGCACGTCGGTATGGTAACCTAGTACGTAGGTGGTACCTTAGTAGTAACCAGTAGTTAACCAGTAACCGGCCTCCCCTCCTCAAGGCTCCCCATCAACTCTTCCCCTCCGACGTTCGTCGCGAATCGAGAACCTTTTCAACATCCAGACTCCCAATCAGCCCATCGGCGTGAGTCAGGGATGTGATCAGTTCGCTCGTCGTCGCGATCTCTTCCGTGGGAGGGACGGGCACCCCTCCTCCGGGCTGAACTATATCGGCCACCTATCGAGGACGGAGGGGTAGTACGACTCGCCTGCCCCTCCCCATGGCGCCATGATGCAAGTCACTGATTCCAGGTTATGCACCCCTCGCTTTACTGCTGAAGGGCGTCTTTCCGGCCCCCTCACTGGCCTTTCCTTGGGCTCGCGTGGTGATAGTTAACTAACTTACTCTAGTAAGTAGTAGTGACTAGTATCTACTCTGCGCGGCCACACGTCGATTTCTCGTCCATGCCTTTAGCCCTAGTGCCACCAACCTAACGCCGTGAGAAGTTACGGTGTGTACGAGGTACTGTATAGATAGATATGCACCGCAACCTTGATCATTACCATACCTGCTGGGTAGGTACTTTGTAGGTCCCGGATAATAGGGTACCCATGATGTACCACCCAGATACCCAGACGGGCATGGGCGCCAGTGTCGGACTGTCTGTAGTCCGGGCAGGCCATGTCTATCACTCCATCTCTCTTCCGGGTGGATCGAATTCCCGCCGGGGATCATCATAGTAACTGCTGTGTACTGTGTACTATGTATGTATCTAGTATCTATTATTTATCTACCGCTCCACAACAGGGGGTTGGTAACTAATAGAACTGATCTGCCGTCAATCCTTATTCTCTCAAGCAGTTGAGTAAAGGACAATGATTGGGGGTTTCATGGGTAAGGCTTTTTTCCGGGTTGGGAAGAACGCAGAGAGACCTGGATAGATAGGTACTGGTATCTATCTACCCACACCTCCCTCCCGACGGGCTCGGATCTGCCCGAGTATCATTCAGGTGGGAGAGTCCATGGGGGGGCAGACAGAGCCTTTCATGATTTCGCCCCTTTACTGCGACTCATCGGGTATCCAGGCCGAGCGAATGAGCACCGCTTTATCTGGTCGTATCGTACACAATGCATAGTTACTACCTTACTTTTACTAAAGTCTCTCCGCTACGAACCACAAACGCCACGATGCCGGGCTGAAACCCCACGCACAACTGTGTCGCTTCCATCCCCCCACCCCGGTACGGCTGGCTATGTACTAGTTGTACCTGTCCCGTCCGAAAATACTCTGTCTGATCGTCCCCGTGGTTCGCAGTCCGATTCTATAAATAATGTCCTCCGTGACGTCCTCGTCTCGTGCAATTAATAGCAACAACATCTCCAGGTGGGAGGTCTTACAGTGCCTGGACTGACGAGTCGCTTCTAGACCTCCGTCCACCCAAATCAAATCAGGATGGCCACATCGCCGTGACGGGCACGATAAGCCCTGCGATTTGCTGGCGGGGATTCGGCGCTAGAAGGAATACATCTATCCAGTAACTTATGAGGTGGCATGCTGGTCATCCCTCACGCCCGTGAATTACCGCATATCCGGCTAATTACTAGGACAGGGAGCGGCGGTGACCGGACCTGCAGCATCAGAGGCGCCGTTGGTCCGTTTCTGCTTTTAATGGGGTGGGGTGTTGATCTACTCAATCCTAACTGCCATAGGCTGTAGTATCTACTCTGTACTTCCGGATGTGGACCAAGTATGGACAAATATCCACACATTGCTTCGGGCCGTGATCATCCCTTCTTCCGCCGTCCTCCCGTGGTCTAGACTGGCCTCATGTCTGAGAATAATTGTCGCATACACAACAGGTCCAATGGCATAAACAACGGGGTGTCTGGGGGTATCTATGGTTTGGCGGAATGCATTACCTTCAATTCGCTGCTGCTCTGATCCGCCTGTCATCGCAGCTTCGTCGGGAAGGCGAAGTCGGGTTACTGATTGACTGGAATGCATTGGCCTCCCAGGGTCAAATCGACCCATCTAAACATCTAGCGACGAATTGTTTAAGGATATCGAGGGCGACATAGATGATTGAGAAGTACAGTGCTGGGAACACCTAGATATCACCCGGGGCAGTTTTCTGACTCGCTGACTCTCTAGTTGTGGACAACGTTGCAATCCGAACGGGAGTGTGGCGCAGACATAAGGCTGGAATGTTCTTTTCTTCACAGCTCACATATCTACTTGCAGGACATAGCTGAAGAGATGAGTGGAGACTTCGCCAGACCTTCTTGTTTAGGGCAGAGATGCCTATCATTATCAAGCTTTTGGTGGGATTTAGCCAAGTACTTACATACTCCGTACATAACCCCGGTCATCGGGGTCAATTAGAAGGGGGCCAGATATTAATTAATCGCCCATACCCACCCGCATTTAGTCCTATTACTACTGTAGGTGCCAGTGCGCATGTTTCTTGAGCATGAATCCAGGTACCATCAATCATACTCCACCAGGAATATGTTCGGATAAGGTACCACGCGTATGACAAGTTGCAGAGATACAGGATGGATACATTATATGTACTTATATGCTCGGGTACCGTGCATGTGGGCTCGGACGTTTCAGCTAGCACTGAGTACTTCTATGCACTGTATCAAGGTGTGGTAGCATTGTGGCTGCACTTGCATGGTACTAATGCATGGCGCGGACGCGCCCATGTGCGCACGGATGGATAACTGGGTGGTCCAGAATCACCTTTTAACAGGGTGGACAAGCAGTAGAACACTTGCACTTTCGTCCATTCCACCTCAAGATTCACCTGGAACATGTGAAAGACCGGCCAGGCGAGGCTCTGATATGTATCAGCTTTCCCGGGTTTTTACTTGGTGAAATACGCGCCCACACATATATACCGCCGTAGGAGGGGCTACTTGTGCGCGGAAGAGGTGCTGCATTGTTAGGCGACGGAGAGCAATCATTGATATCTATATTGGGGGAAGAGGTGGTGAAGATAGCTGGTACAGAGTCCTCGCCTCCCGTCTCCCCCCTAACCCGGTAGTAAGTAGTATTCATCCTATCGGGCTGATGAAGAGTAATTCAGTAGCCAGGGTCATAAGTAAAAAATGTAAAAACGAAAGCCCAACGCGGGGGTTGAACCCGCAACCTTGAGATTAAGAGTCTCACGCTCTGCCGATTGAGCTAGCCGGGCTACTTGATGAAAAAAGTCATGCTTTAATGTCCTTTAGCCCAAATCAATTTTATGTTACCACTGGTAGTACCCGTATATATATAAACTTCCCTGGCTGCCTATGTAGGTTCACGCAGCGCTGCATGCTCACAACAGTGAAGTCAAACAGACGGAGTGGCCTGTCCCCACTGTGTCAGGGTAGCACTATAGTAGCCAGCAGCCAGCTTCAATCGGTCCAATGATACAACCCACCTCACATGATGGAACGGGATGAGCCGCCTAGATGCATGCCTGATGTCACACCACCAGCTATAGAGTATCTACCATACATATGGGAGACACGGGGCGTACTTCAGCCCGGTCAGTCCAGCGCATCTTGAGCCACAAATTACAATTCGAAGCCTATCGAGGACTTGCCCAACCAGCCCACCAAGACTTGTCCAGTCGGGGTTCCTGACCCAGCCCAGTGATCTGGTTGCCTGATCCCGGGCATCACGTGACTCGCACGGGCCAACTCGCTTAGCCTGCCGCGTATTTAAGCCGCCTTGAGGCTATTCTGCCTCTCCCTCCCCCATCCATTCCCCCCTCGATGTTTTCATTCCGCACTTCTGCGCTGCGCAGAAGTGCTCTGGATCGTCTGATGTACTGCCATTCAACACACCGTAACCTTTTGTCTTGACGCATGATGTCTCCTGCACCTATCGTTGCAGAGATGCAGCATGATCACCAACTCGAGACCCTCGCCAGAGCTTTCGAAGCTCTTTTGCTGACCACCCAGCAACTCAGCTGCAGGGAGAAAAGCCTGCAGCAAAGGCTGAAATATGCCTCTGACGAGGTACATACCCAACACTTCCCAGTCTTGCACTGCCCTCTCATCCCCTCCCACACTCCCAACTGTCTCCCAAAGGATGAGAAAAAATGATTAGCTCTAGATCAGGAGTCGCATCTGCGGCGGTGACGGAAATATCATGTATTATCTGATGAGACTTGACACACCTTACTTGCTTTTCCATGCTCTGTGTAAATGCGCCGCTAACGTCTTCACAGTATCTCAAGCTAGCAGAAAAGCTTCCCGGCGGGGTCGACGGCCACACGAAAATCGTCGCAGATAAAATTCAAGGTCGCTATACCGAGTTCGACCTTGGTGAGAAGCAAACCATAAAGCCTCCGGACGTAGTAAAGGCGCTTGCCCAGTCTGGAAACGTAGGAGACCTGGCCCTTACCGCCATAACGGAAGGGCTGACATGCTACCAATCTATCATACCACCACATGAAGCCAAGCAGCTCTCCGATCTCAACTCGTGTCTTGTTGCGACGAGAGCCGGAGTGCCTGCGCCCCTAGAAAAAGACTTCACTACCAAGGGCACGCAGGGCAGTTTGCGTTGCCCTTTTGCGAAGCATAACAATAAGACCCCTGAGAATGGGCTGCCCAGTGGGGTCGAGAATACCCCGACGGACCAGAACGGTGATGCATGCGGACATGGTGACCTAGACCCTATCAAGGCTGAGCAGAGTGACAGGCGCTCCAGTCGAGCCCCCTCGACGCGGTCGTCGGCCACTCGATGCCCGGTCTCTCGGTGTCCCATAAGGTATCTAGACCAGCATAGTCCAGAGGAGATTGCCGACTATGTTGAGAGACACAAGCACGAGATCCCTAGAAGCCACGCTATCTGTGTCCAACGGTACCAACGAGACTCCCAGACCATGCGGCACTTAGATGCAAAATATGGTAACCTTATCAATATGATCCAGGGCCTGTCCGCTAAACATCGGGCGTTCCTTCCGGAACAAAGCCAAAGTGGTACGGCACCTTCCAGTTCATCTGCCGAACGGGTTGAAAAATGGGCGCAAGAAGTTGGCCTGAAAACGGATTTGCATCCCCCGATCAAGGAGGAGGAGGAAGAGGAGAAGGAGGAGGGGGGAGGCGAGGCCGAACAGGAAGAGGAAGAGAGGACAGGCCATTTCGACCGGCCTATGCGTGAAATCCGGGTTGGCGAATCCCCAAGCAGGCCTTGGGGGATATCCGTCCCTATAACACCTCTACCACCCAACACCTCTCCTCCTCATTCTCCAGCTGCACCCGTCGCGGCCTCCATCAATCTTGCATCCCCTCACCCCCCCAATCTAGCGGCTGCAGATCTGCCCTCCATGGCACCTGGAGACCCGGTCCCGGGGCCACCTGAGACGGCGCCCAAGAAAGGTCGTTGTCCCTTCGGGCATGGTGCGCCCTCGGGTGAAAACCCAGTGCCGAAAACGAAAACGAAGATAGAGACCACTCCTGCCCAGAACAAGGTGGAATCAGGGAACGAGGCGAACGAGGCGGACAGACCCGGTGATTCTGCAGAGCAGAAGGGCGGAGCGGCGCCTGATGCCCGCGGTCTACCGGACCAACGGACAGCCAGCGTCATCTTCAATGGACCGGTATTCTTTGGGTTTTCGGCAGAACAGACAGCTTCGTTTATGCAGAAGCTGGGGAAGCTGGGAAATAACGCGGCGGTCTAGTCGTGTCATTACCCATTACCTTGATGGCGTGGAATGTTTGCTTTGATGCAGATGCATATTGTTGTAGTATGAGATGTGTCCCTGTATAGTAACGATGCCTATGACATAACTACCACCCATAATTTATTTCCTTATCCTCTGCTATCTTATTCGTCGAGACGAACACCTATCATGGCATAATGCCTCGGTACAAAACGCACTTCCTGTCTAGACGACTATATGTGGAACGGGTATAGAAGGTACTACGTACGGAGTACTAGTACCGATGTCGGGGCGCGCACGTCTTGTCTCCCGCGACTTTCCCGCGGGAACAACTCTCTGTCTTTCCAACCCCCCGCCCCTCGCCGCCCCTCCCCCTCATGTTCAGCTGTAGCTCTCGCGTCCTTTTCTCCCGGCTTGCCTCCTCTCGCTTTTCTTCTTCTTCCTTCCCCCCCTCCACGTTTACCTTCCTCGTCCCATCGGCCCCCACCACCACATCGCCACCATGTCCACCGGTCTCGACATCGTCCACACGGCCCACGCCGCCCAGCGTAAGTGGCTACCTCGCACCCTTATCTACCTACCTACCTTGTTTTGTACCTACAAGACCAACGCAGCGAATTGACCACAAATGAATCCATGCACTGACTGACTTCTCAATCTACACCACCAGCCGTCGGCCCCTACGTAAGAACTGCCCCACCCTAGAACATCCCACATCTCCCCGAGACGGACGAACAGACAGACAGTCAAGTCAGACAGACAGACGGAGCAGACACTCACACTGCCCTACAGTCCCAGGCCATCAAGGTCAACGGCCAGATCTTCCTCTCCGGCCAGATCCCCCTCACCAAGGACGGCGTCCTCATTGAGGGCTCTATCACCGAGAAGACCCGCCTCTGCTGCGAGAACATCAAGGCCATTGTCGAGGAGGCCGGTTCCAGTGTCGAGAAGATCTTCAAAGTTACCGTGCGTTCTCTTTCTTCTCCGCCCCTTTCCTGTTGGAGCGGGTTGTTGGTTGGTTGCCGGACTGACTGGCGGGTTGCGTAGGTCCTCCTCGCCGACATGGCCGACTTTGATGAGATGAACAAGGAGTACGCCCAGTTCTTTGCCCACAAGCCCTCGCGCTCATGCTTTGCTGTGAAGCAGCTTCCCAAGGGTGTGCCCGTGGAGATCGAGTGCATCGCTTTGGCTTAGGCGAGGTTGTAGTTGTCTATATATCGTTGACGCAGATATTCAAGGGGAAAACCCATGGTTGTTTGTTGATAAGGTTACCGTGGTAGTGGCTCCCTACAACGTCATCCTGATTGTTTCCAGTGCGGTGCGGTGTTGCTGCTGTGATTAACTATCATTATGCTATGTAAAACTCGACAACTTCCCAAACAAACGTCCAACCCGCAGGTTAATGGCTCCCTGAATTGCAAACAAACTAGATTTGGGAATCATCACGTCCATATCAAAGTAGCCAAATGATGCCGCAACATGCTGGAACGCAAAGCGAAAAGACAAGAAACAAGATAGCAGTACTAGACAGAACGCTGCGAGTGACAGGGGAATCAGAAACAATGGTAGAACGGCCGAGTCTCATCGTCGGCCTAGGGTCCCGGTCATCCGACCCCCGGCCCCCGCCATCAGGCTCTGCTTCACAATGGCATCCGCCGCAGCTGCCGCGGCCAGTCGCTCCTTCTGCCGACTGCGATCGCGCAGATAGCCCGCGGCTTCTGGACGCATGCGCAGAATGCGCAGGATCATGTCGTCATTCGGCTCCGCCTGGGCTTCCCGCCGTTTCTCCTCCTTCATCTTCTTCATAGTGCCCAGATTGCGCGAGAGCATGATGCTCTTGGCGCGACGGGCGCTGGGAAGGCCCAGAACGCTGCCAGACCCGGCGGCGCCAAGGTGCGGCGGCGCCGATACCCGGTTCTTGTTGGCCTGTTGCCGGGATATCGTCGCCGAGGCCATTCGCTCGGAGGTGCGGATGAGGGTCTCAGTAGACTCGAAGTAGAAGAAGTTCAGGGTCTGGATTTCGTGGTACTTGGGCGACTTCAAAATATCGATGGAAACACCATTAGCCTCACCGGTTTCCTCATCAATGGCGTGGAAAAAGTTCAAAAGGAGTACGAGCCAGCGCGAGACCACGTCAACCTCTTGCATAGTAAGAGGCTTTTGATGAGATGGCTTGTCGGACAACGGAGGCACCAGCAGACTCTCGATTGTGGCCAGAACTTCCTTCCATAGGCGTGCCATTACCATTTTCATAGCCTCCGAGGTGAGTGTTTTGTTCATGATGGCAAAGTTGTCGTTGAAGTAGTCGAATAAGGGGGTCAGCGCGTTTTCCACGTCTGCATTCGACGGTGTTGCGGTTGTTGACTGGGCTCGGTTCCGGTTCAAAAAGTTGGACACGCTGGATATGCTTAGTCCTCTGGATAGTAGTGATTTGAGCGTCCGACGCGAGAGACAATGGCTGATATAAGCGGAGAGCTATACGGCTTGAGGTTAGTGACGAACCCTACGTCTACCAAAGAGGGCCCGGATGTTACTTGCCTTTTCCGTGATCTTGCGGGTCATATCCCGCTCCGTGCGCTTCAGCGTCCGGAATGCTTTGCCAAAATAGAACTGGATGTCATCGCGTTCTCCTTCCATGCTCACGCGAAGCAGCAACCGGCCTTGCGTATCCAAATCGAGCCAATATTCTCGTGGCAAGAAGTCACTGAAATGGACTGGGTCCAGCTTGATGGAAGTCCGACCAACATAGTCGTGGTCCCCGACTGCGTCCCAATCCCAGATCGTTGCAATGATATTGAGTGGGCCTTGCGTTGTGATGTCGACGGCATCATCCCACCGCGGATTGAGGTTGTTGTAAATGATGCGAGTCTTTGCTATACGCTTCTGATATTCGTCGGCGAGTACGACATAGGGGTCACTTCCTCCATTCATATCACAGGCCTTTAGGTCCTCCGCCTCCACAACCTTGATAGTGAAAACATAGGTGGTAGATCTACGGATCTTCTGGAGTTGAGGCTGAGCCTGCCTCGCTAGAACCTCCGCGCAACCATCAACATTGATTTCGTGCTCGAGCTTGTCGAATTGAGAAAGGGCATATTCGACGTTGTTGAGCTTAACCAAAGACTATTTTATTTGTTCATCCTAGTTAGCAAACTCAATTCGGGCAAAAGCGGTGTTTATCCGTCGAACATACCTCGGGAAAGAATTGGAACGGTTCGATTTTCTCTTTGCTCGTCCATGCTTCCTTGGCTAGCTGCATCAGCTTCTCTTGAGCGGTTTGGTTCATAGCTGCCTCTTGGTCAGGAGACAGTCGATCCATCTCCCTAGCGAACATCTGTTCCAAAGATTCGCAATACCTTGCCACACCGCTCCCGATGGATTTAGACAAAGCGGTCATGAACTTTGCGTACTGGAAATCATCATCCCACTCAAGTGAAATCATCTGCTCTACGACTTGGTTGAATGAGCGGAATATGTCGATCACTGACACGCTATGTCTGTTTTCCTCAGGGACTACCTCTTCGAGGCCGTCGGCTCGAACGGTGAAAGCGTCTTGCTTAACGGCCTGTTCTACCCAGTCCACGACTTTCTGATCAGTCAGGCGGATCCACCGCCAGACGAACTCTTCCATCAGGCCTTCAACGTGGAATGGGAAGGTGGCGCTAAACTCCATGTTAGCACAGAATTGGCTACAGCAACGCAGCCAGTGATGGGGAACGTACTCGGGAAGTGCCTCGGTGAAAAGGCGGCGCACATCCGCTAGTCGCTTGTACAAATCAAATCCATCCTCGATATCCGTCTCCTCGCCTCTCACTTTCTCCAGCTCAATTATCCTGCCCACCATCTCGTGAGCGTCCTCGGAGAATATGGGTAGAACGTTGGAGAGTAAGATTAGGTAAGGATTGACCCTGGAACCGAGTTAGCGAGGTGTACATACGTGTTGGACTCGGAGTTGGTTACCCCATAATCTCAGGATTATTTCGATAGCGCTTTCTGATCTTCTGGGCCAGCTTGGTAATGGCATCGCAGAGCTGGATTACGTGGTCCAGTTCCCAAGAATCTGGCTGGACTGGAATCAATTGTCCGAGAAGTTCTTGGTATTTCTCGGCCGCTTTCTGCGCGAGCCCGTCCTGTACGTATGATCGGAAACGCTCGATGTCCTCCAAATCCTCCGTGTAGTTGGGATCCAATTGAATATGGCTCTCCAGTACATACATTACTGGACCAATCGGACGGGGCTTTCCTTCGTAGCAATCCATCATCACATCATACAATTCCCTCAGGAGAGCCTCGTGAAGAGAGGACAATATCTGTTGCATTAGAAGAAGGTCGTGGATGGTCCACTTTTGTCTGTCATAAAGGGCTGAAGCCACGAAGCTACTACGCTTCTTGCTTTCAGAGGGTGGTTCCTTGACAATAGTGAAAGCCGAATCAAGTGTATTGAGATCGATCTCATTATCCACAAATTTGGACCGGACAACATCCAGAAACAAGACTATCCGGGAAAAATTTGGAATTCGCCAGCGATGGCAGACCTCATTCAAAAATTCCGTTGACTGCTTTGAGAATAGCCTCATAGACGGGCCTTCGGATGTAGCCTGCGTTGCTTCGAGCTCGCGATCCTTGAGGTCATGGCTGAGAGTCTGGGCCAGTATAAACCTATACATAAACCTCGGATCTTGGGGTATGTACGTATATGTATCAGACTCGTCAGAAGCATCCGCCCCATCGTCCCCCAAGGAAAGCGAACTGAGATCCACAGACGGATCTATGACATACGACAACGGCCTGTCGGAATTGGTCCTTGAAAACTCCCCCGGCAGGTCCTGATCACCGGCATTCGAGTTGAACTTCGGAAGCACACTCCCTGGAGTACTTTTAGCGAGTTCAGGATTCGATTGCACGATGGCAAGCATCATCTGTGACAACTCGGGGCCTTCGTTCTTTTTCCAAAGCTCATATACTTCTTCATTCTCGAAGTCTTCCCGAGACAAGGTCCTCCGAGTCTTGAGATTCAAATGGGCTTGGTAAGCTTTCAGATCCTGAAGAGCCGCCTTGGCAGTCCATGTCGCTTTATTTTTGCCGATGTCCGCCTGTACCTGACTTAAGTTCACGTCAAAGATTCTCGCGACGTGCTGCACAAGTGGCATATCCTTGACATCATTGCTGAGAGGAGCAACAACTTCCACCGTAGAAGTACCATTCGTCTGCACGAGATCTTGATCCTGGGAGAGCAGCTTGTTCTCCAACACTGACAGACGGTTCGCCAGCTCAGGTCGTTCTTTTGCCCAGTCATGATCCCTCAGGATGAGTGCGAAGAGACGAACGAAGAGAGCCACATGTCTGTCTACCATCAACTTCCAATGATCATCTTCCGGGTCTTTCCCTTTACTCAGTTCTTTGGTCGCATTGGAGTAGAAGATGAGAACAAGGTCTTCGGCCCGCCGGTCCTTTTCCATGCGCTTCTTGAACGACTGGTCCTTCAAAGTATTGAGAAAGGCAGCGAACGTCCTCACGACCAGCGTATCTTGGTATTCTTTCCGTTTCTCTTTGCCGATCAGGACACCTGTCAGCCTCTTCTCCAGCTCCGCGATGAACCCATGGGGGATCCGGGTGCTCTTGGAATCCCGCACCAGGGAAAAATCGCTCATCAGGTCATGAAACGATGTAGAGGTCCGTTTGGGCCTCTGAGGAGCCGGCACACTCTGTACCCGACGCGAACGAGGTTGGAGTTGATAGGCGAGGTAGGCTACCCGGAGAGCGTAGTTGTAGGCAGTCGAGGAGTTGACGGGGCGCCTGCGTGACCCCGAGAGACTGCGCGAATGGCGGGATTCATTCTGAAGGCTGTTAATCCGTCGGTTGATGCCTCGGGACTGGCTAGATGCTGTCGACATGGGCGAAGAGGTGGCTATTCGGGGCTCTGTCCAGGTCTTGCAGCGTTTGCGGATGAGGGGAGGAGCGGAGGGCGGGAGGGACCATGGGATAGGGTGAGTTGCGATCGAACCACCAGCATTGGATGGGAGGAAATATCACACGGGATGGGGCCTGGACAAATACCCTCAATTCTCAGAATCGAGGAGGTAGGTCCAAATTGGTTGGGAGGTGCCCCGGGGGGAATTTTGGCGGTTAGAGAGAGACAAGGAAGAAAGGGGGGGCGATGTGTTGTTGTGGCGGTTGGTCTGCTCTGCTGCACCTGAAACAGAAAAAAGCTCCCCGAGGCGACTGACGTAGTCGTGTTGGTACCAGTCGCACCATCGCCAACCACCAAACCCCTGGACCAGAGAAACAAAATACTGCCGATACGAGAGAGCCAGGGCCTATTGCGCCTTGGTCTCAGATTTCATCTACATACTGGAATGCCTATCTGGCACCCCGTAGATACAGTCAAAAGTAGTGGGCGGTTGGGTTTCTTGTCTAGACCGCTCTTATCTACATCCCACTGGCCAACTGGGTACCGACCCCGTCCAGTATAGAGCAGTTTTTTCACATGTATGGGAACTGATCCGTCGTTTGCCTCCCCCATCCACAGTTCTTTCAAAGGCGATCATCGGGAGGAACCTAGGTTTGTATCATGCTTGTCCGAAACCTGCACGAGAGAACCTCACTCGTAGTATAGGCAGTCGTCTACTTTGCCTACAAGGGTGACTCGGCAAAGGGGGTTTGGTACCGCCGGCATCGGAAACCCAGAAAATACACCAGCAAGCTCGAATGCCAAAGATTAGCCCTCTTCGTATGCATCGACATTGAAAGACAATAATCCATAGAGGTCGACCGAAAGCATTTCGTATTGTATTTATTTACACAGGATTTCAAGTAACGGCAAGGCCAAGGCCGCTCACCAAGAGTCGCCGGTTTTGCGGGCCTGACGGACCTTTGTTAGCATAGGGGGGATCTTGCATTGGCAGACGGGTCATCCACTCACGGGAGAAGCTCCGGGGCCTCCTAGCTCCTTCTCCAACCCATCCGGGTAGGTCTTGGGGACGCTGGGCTTGTCTGGGTAGAAAAGGCTGACAGTGCCGCACAGTCCCAGAAAGGCTACGACAAACGCGCCGAGCTGGAAGAGGCCCTTGCGAGCCGTGACATGCGTATATTGCTCGGGACTGAAGACACCAAGGATTTCGTTGTCTTCGTGAACGGGCTCTCCAAAGTTGCGCCTCTCCTGCTTGTCCCACCAGTCGCCGTACGGATCTCTGAAGGCGCGCTTGACACGGGGCGGGTTCGGGTAGTTGCCGTTCTGTATGATAGAATCAGGAGGTGTTAATTGGCGGAGGCACGTAGCGATCAGAATGGTAGGGCGCATCCTACCTGCAAAGGGTCTTCCCCGCCCGTAGCCGCGAGACTTCGGACGTGTGAGAAAGAGGCGCGAGGCACGGTATACCGGGCGGCCACCTGGGGCAGGCGCCGGGTCAAGATTCGTTGGGTCAGCATCTGCACCTCCAAATTAGCAATGGGATCAATCTTGATGGTAGAGGTAGGATGCATGAAGAAAGGGCGACGGGGACTGACAGTGATTGCTGTACCGTGTGATAAGGATGGGAGAGGGTTTGGCACAAGGGATGGACAAGAAGGCTCAGACGGCCATGGATGATGGGATGAAGTGCAAGCGGACTTCGATGACGGGATTTGAGGGGCCCTGATTGGTGGGAGCCCTGGAGAATTCTGGACAGCCTGAGGCGCCATACCCTTACTAACAGTACCTAACTGCCAAGTTACCTTACCTTACTTACCTTACCTTACTCGACCCCCCCCCCCAGTCCCTGTACGGCTCCGTACTAGGCTGCTTACGGCTTACCTGAGAGCTTTCATGCTTACATACATGCCCCCCCCGTCCTCTTCGTCACCGTACGAAAAAACCACCTCTTCACGCATTTTCGCCATCCCCAGTGGTTTTTCGTCCACCCGTCGCGCTCCCGTGACGATAACTATGCCAAATTCCTCGTGGCACCTCTACTCAATTAACGCTACCTGTTGATGCCATTTTCTCCCATCTCGACCGCGTCCTCGCTGGGAAAACTGGGGTCAGCTGTGCACAGGGCCCCTGTCTCCGTGGTTACAAGACATGCAAAACGGCAGCCCAAACGGAATCTCCCATCAAGATGAAAGCGTGACCCCCAAACCCGAGGCCGCTCCCACCAACCTTCCTGCGTCCAACCTTCCAACCGATCCGGTGAACTCTGATTCAATCCCCGCCGACCTCCAAGAAGGCGAACCTGCAGCCGCCTCCGATCAGTTCGAAGGACCTCCCTCCAAAAAACGGAAACTTGCCGGAGCTACCCCTTCTCGCCGATCCAGCTCTCGTCCAGCTTCGCCTCCATGGAAGAAGGCCGGCGTCGATGGCCCGACATCGTTTATCCAGGATGGAAGGCGTAAGTCCTCCCGAGTCAACGCGCTCAGCACCGATTTGCAGAGCCCGTCTGATAAGAGGCACACGCGCGCGGCCCATCATAAGGTTATAAGGAAGAGTGTCTCCGGTTCTTCGGGAGGAATCGCGTCGTCGCCACTTTCGACGCCCCTCTCCCAGCCGGAGATAAATGGGAGGTCGGTTGGTGGAAGCGCCACAGTCAATGGGTCCCCACGGAATACAACCACAAGGGGGTCGGCCAGTAGGCGACGTCGTGTCTCGCAGTCTCCAGCTCCCGGCCAACCTCATGCGCGAACGAGATCCTACGGCTCTGGCACTTTCCGTCGGACTTCAAATTTCAGTGTGACCGCCTCTAACCGACAACATCGTTCATCTTTGAATAATGCCTCAGCGAAACTGGTTGGGGCTGGCGAGACCGGCTTTGAGAATGCAGATGATGATGACCAGCGAGTCCCGCGCCTGCGGATTAAGGTCAAAAGACCGCCGCTCGGGATTCATCATCCAGGCCACGTTGTGGCTCCACGAAGACACAGCTCCTTCAAGGAGTGGATTGAGAGCGAGGATAGAAAAATGCGAGATTCCTCGATGCTGACATCAGCTGATGCCCTAGAGGAGGCTCTTAAGAGGCGTCGAATAGCCGTGGCAGCAGAGCCGGGAGGTCTTCTAAGTCCGGAGGTGTGCTCCGCGTATCTGCCAGAGCAACAAGGGGAGCCATCGCAGCAATATTCGCACCAAGACCACCTTGTCGCGCATGCACTGTATTTCAAGAAGCTTCTTGACCAGGAACACAAGCGCCATCGAAACACGGCAAGGCTATTCGCTCAATGGTGTGCTGATGCATGGAGGAAGCGGAACAAGGACCCGGAGGATATCCTCCGGGAACAGCAGGACGAAATGCGTGGAAAACGCAAGCAGCTGGCCAAGGATCTCCAAAAGATGTTTGACTTAGCTCGAGCTGAAGTGGACCGGATGCGTTTAGCACGTTGGGAGGAAGAACGGAAAGCTGAAGACCAACAGGCCCTGGACCGTGCCATCAAACAATCCACAATGCTTTTCGAGAAGCGACGCATGGAGATCCTGGGAGAAGTCGGAAGCGATGCCCCCGACTCCAGCGATGGGGAGCAAGTTGAGACAGATGAAGTATCTGATGATCCGGAGGACGAAGATAATATGTCATCTACAGACTCGGAGAGTGAAGACGAAGATAAACTTGGTGATAATGGTGATGAAGGCCTAACGGCAGAGGAGCTCCGGCTGAAGTACGCCAATCTTCCCAACGATAGAGAACCCTCCGATCATGAGTCTGTAGCTTCAGATGCCACAGATTCCTCAGATCAGAGCAACGCCTCCGACGTTAACCCCATCAAGGATACTACCGAGACACTTGATCTCTCGACGGAAGAGCAGCCTGAGCTTGAAGAAGTTGATCCAGTTCTCATGGACGACAGCGAAGAGGAGTCTACCGATATGGACGACGATATGGGCGATAGTGACGAGGATATGGAATCTGATGGAGCGGACTTTGACGACGACGCGAGCGACGATGGCCCTGGATTGCTAGGATTTTTTTCGGCGAAGGAGAGGGCACTGGACTATAACGACAAACAGAGCGATGCTGACGATGTTGATGAGCATGGCGATGTTGGGAACTTCGATGATGGTGGTGGTGGTGGGGGTGGCGATATAAAAATAACATCAGCTGGGGAAGATGAGGAAGATGAGACAGAGGATCCCGACGAAGTCTCCCTTGTGCCTAATGGCCCAGCACGAGATAAAATGATGCCCCGGGAATCAGACATTTCTGCTCCAGATTTTGCCTGTGATCCTGCCATCCAAGTGGCTCGTGATTCCGATTCCCAGTCTGTACTTGAATCCGCCCCTGAGTCGACTCCTGCACCCCTCCTCGCCGAAAGTGAGACATACGTTGAAATGACAGACACCATTGACAATGACGATACGGGTTTGCCTGACGATTCCGATGAACTGTCCCAGTCGAACCTCCCTGAAGATAATGAGGACATTCAAAATGAGGCTTATCAGAGCGGAGAGCCCTCAAGTGAAGCTGAGGCTTCCCCTGGTACGCTTGCCACGAAGCCATCAGAACCAGAGTCAGTCTCATCTTACGAAGCTTTAGAAAAACTTTCGCAGCCAGGTGAATCTCCAGCTCCTGGATTGAAAACGCCAGTGCCCCATCTTCTTCGTGGGACCCTGCGAGAATACCAGCATTTCGGTCTGGACTGGCTTGCAGGTCTTTATACAAACCATATAAATGGTATCCTCGCAGACGAAATGGGCCTCGGTAAGACCATCCAAACGATAGCATTGCTTGCGCACTTGGCCGTGGAGCATGAGGTTTGGGGCCCGCACCTTGTCGTTGTGCCTACCAGTGTGATCCTCAACTGGGAAATGGAGTTCAAAAAGTGGTGTCCTGGGTTCAAGATCATGACTTATTATGGAAACCAAGAAGAGCGCCGACAAAAGCGCAAGGGGTGGATGGATGATTCAAACTGGAACGTTTTGATCACGTCATACCAACTGGTTCTACAGGATCAACAAGTCTTAAAGAGAAGGGGCTGGCATTATATGATCCTTGATGAAGCGCACAACATCAAAAACTTCCGCTCGCAAAGGTGGCAGGCACTACTTACATTCAGGACCCGCGCCCGACTCCTACTTACGGGTACGCCGCTACAGAACAACCTGACGGAACTGTGGTCACTGCTGTTCTTTCTGATGCCCTCGGACGGAGATGACGAGGGAATTGAAGGTTTTGCTGATTTGAGGAACTTTTCGGAATGGTTCCGACGCCCCGTGGAGCAAATTCTGGAGCATGGCAGAGAAACGATGGATGACGAGGCAAAACAGGTGGTCACAAAGCTGCATACTGTACTGCGACCTTACATCCTACGTCGTCTTAAAGCCGATGTTGAGAAGCAGATGCCTGCCAAGTACGAGCATGTCGTCTATTGTAGACTTTCAAAGCGCCAGCGATTCCTATACGATGGCTTTATGTCTCGGGCGCAAACGAAAGAAACCCTTGCATCAGGTAACTATCTGTCCATCATAAATTGTCTAATGCAATTGAGGAAGGTCTGCAATCACCCGGACCTTTTTGAAACTCGGCCCATATCTACGTCCTTTGCAATGCCTCGATCCGTGGCCACGGAATATGAGATCAAAGACCTTCTCATTCGACGGCGGTTGCTGTATGAGCACCCGCTTACCAGGCTCGATCTGGACTTCCTCAACTTAGTACCAATCTCGCGAGAAGACATCTCTCGACGACTGGCCGACGATAGCACCCGGCTTATGGCTTACGGGCCCTTCAACACGCTCCGAGAACGCCAGTACCACCGGACCAACTGGCAGATGAACTTTAACGGCACCACAGTGCAGACCACGCTGGAGGCTTTAGAGAACGAGTCTAGAAAGAGAAGGATGGCAGAGCTGGAAAGGTGCCTCTATTTTGAGTCGAAGCGCCATGGTCGTCGCCCAGTGTACGGATCCAGTCTTATCGAGTTCCTCACGGCCGACAGCAAACAGAAGCCAACCTCCAATGGACCGTTGCGGAAACGCTCGTTGGCCGACTGGCTGTCGAGCCGGTCGTCCATCCTCGCATCGATAATCTTATCTGTTGAGGAACGATCTCAGGCAATGGATGGCTATGTTCAGCGGTTTGCCTGCGTTACCCCCGCTGCAGTTGCCTCTGGAATAACGGAGGCAGCCCTGACTCCCATAGAAACCAGATATCTCACCCGCAAGGAGAGATTCCCACCATACGATCCATTCCATGAAGCCCAGATGCGTCTGTCGATCGCATTCCCAGACAAAAGGCTTCTGCAGTACGACTGCGGAAAATTACAGAGACTTGATAAGCTGTTGCGAGATCTTAAGGCAGGTGGCCACCGGGCCCTGATTTTCACTCAGATGACCAAGATGCTCGACATATTGGAACAGTTCCTCAACATCCACGGGCACCGGTACCTCCGACTGGATGGTACCACCAAGGTCGAACAGCGTCAGATCCTCACAGATCGCTTCAACAACGACGACCGCATTCTAGCTTTCATCCTATCTAGCCGTTCTGGTGGATTGGGTATCAACCTGACAGGCGCCGACACGGTCATTTTCTACGATTTGGACTGGAATCCCGCGATGGACAAGCAATGCCAGGACCGTTGCCACCGTATTGGGCAAACACGTGACGTGCATATCTACCGGTTCGTCTCGGAGTATACCATCGAGTCCAACATCCTCCGCAAAGCCAACCAGAAGCGGATGCTAGACGACGTCATCATCCAAGAGGGGGAATTCACCACCGACTACTTCACCAAACTGGATGTCCGCGACATGATTGACACCGATGACATCCTTGAGAATCATGATGAGGCTAGCGCAGCCATGGACAGGGTGCTTGAGAACCGCGTCTCAGGTACTGCCCGTGTCTTCGAACAAGCGGAAGACAAGGAAGATATCGACGCCGCCAAGAATGCTCAGAAAGAATTGGAGCATGCGGACGATGGTGATTTCGACGACCGCACTCCGGGCCAAACCCAGGCCGGAACCCCGCTGGCCACAGGGCCCGCGGTCGGTCCTGATGATGGGGCAACAGGAGCAGGAACCGGCACGAGCACGGGGACTCCTGGACCGCAGCTTTTTACCTCGCCGCAGGTGCATGCGGTTGACGAGCCCGTGGACATCGAGCCTCAGCCGGGGCATATCGATAACTATCTGGTACAGTTCATGGAATGGAATATGAAGGACGAACCGCTCGTCCTGCCGGCAGACAAGAGCAAGAAAAAGTCTAAGAAAGGCAAGGAGCATCGTCTCCGCAAGAGACGCTGACATGGACAGTCGGTGGTCCAGGATTGGGGTAGATGGGCCAGTGTTGGGTAGGAAAGGACAAAGGGTCCTCAATGTAATTGTATCTGCATGATCATTCTACTCTCTCTCTCTCTCTCTCTCTCTCTCTCTCTCTCACACACACACACACACACACACACACACAAACACCCCTTCCCCTCCCCGTCCCCGGGTTCATATTCTTTTGCGTGCATGTATGCTTACTTTTCTTTCCTCAAGCCCTGATCCACCATGCCCGGTATAATGGAAAGATATCAGTGTTTAGCGGGCGTTGTTGTATCTGTGAAAGAAAGGAAATTCAAAAAATGGCAAAGAAGAAAAAGAAGGCGGTTTAGATGCTGTCCTGCCTCACTATTATTGTCTTTAATCTTCTTCTTATTCTTTATTAGTATTCTTATACTATTTTTCTATCCCCTTATACTACTTGGACATTTCTTTGTGGTTCCCTTCCCATTTATCTATCATGGCATGGTACCCTGTATGGCATGATTGAATAGACCTGGTATCCGTGTGAAACGTGAACCAAGTCTAATAGACTCTGATTTTAATGCTGTGCACGCTGGACTGACCGAGCAGTGTGGATAAGTACTTACCCACATCAAGGAAGTCTGCTGGCTTGGACACAGTTGCTTGACAACGGCTTATTCTCACTGGGAGTATCAGAGTTTCATACGCACCTTGTTGACTGACTGAATGGCCGACAGGATGTCTAGGTGGATCAGTGGTTAGAGGACTGGTGAAACAGGAATAATTGTCACACAATCCATTACAATTTGCTGGATGGGCTGGACTCTCAGGAAGGCCGTGTTGACGGACCAATCCCTCGGACTTGTATCCGTTGAATGTCGACTGCCTGAGTGGTTTTCCGTAGGGCCTGGCCACTGGCAAGAGACAGTATGGAGCTTAGGAAAGCAGTAGTAGTGTCGGGGTGGATGCGTGTTTCAAAAGGTGTATATTAATTTGCCGATGGGAGGGGGGATTAAACTCTCAGCCTTGAACTCGTCGGCTCCAACCGGGTCCCTGAAATGGCCTGTGGAAATTGAATATAGCAGAGAACGACCGAGAAAAGAGAGTCGCACGAGGAGAGAGATCAACCTAAGGTCGTTAGACTTTCGATCCACATGTATGTACTCCGTACCTGAAGTTTATTTCTGAAACCTATGCACTCGATGGCCAATGCGAACGGCTGCTATGTCTGATTAGGCAGGAGACAAGTGGCACCACTGGTATACTATCTTAGCATAAGGACTATGCGATGGGATCAGGGCCCATCTTATCCTCGGAGCTCAACACTAAACCGACTAATCGCCTACTCAGGACGGCGAATGCTAAGACCCGGAAATGGTGTTTCTGGTTTTTGTCTCAGCCCAGGTTGTCTTGAATGCATTCCCTGGGGTCCAAAATGGATTCGGCCGTACTCTCTGGGTTCTGCTCCGATCACCTAGAAGGTTAGATAAAGCAAGATGCGTACCGTGGATCTCAGGTGATCTCGGGAGTTGTCTGGTTACCACACTACCGAGCGACACTGTACTGTGCTGGGAAGTGCCCGATGCCGCAATGTGGTGCAGCGACTGGTTGACCAACCGGGACGCCTTGATCGACCGTATCTAGATTATCCCGAACCGAGGAACAGAGAAGCCATTGGAGTTGTACCAGACGAGCGCCCAGGATAACGGCTTCCCCAACACATGCCCCGACCCAGGAGCACGCGGCGGATTCTTCAATCACCCTTTCACCTGACCCGTGAGAATACCCCACTGATCAGCAATGTGGAGATGGGGAAAGCCACGAAGAAACTGATTGACTGGCTTGACTGGCTTGACTGGCTTGATTGGCTCGATGGCCAAGCTGGCCGTACCCAAGATTAATAATCCGGTGGATGTAGTAAGGCTGTCCCGGCCCACAACCTTTGAGTTTCCTCGTGGGTATGGGATAGAAACAACAGGAATGTCTGTTCAGGGTTGAGCTGCATAGTATGGAGCCCCGGCTCATTCCGGAAATGGCAAAACGCCCGTTTGCCGACTCTTTCGGACGAAAGTCTAAGCCGTTGCATGGGCGGAGATATGTACAAATTCGGAGACTTGTTGGGTTCAAGCTACTACCATTGTGACTATCTTTCGACGCAGCTTTCTGACTGTTTATGTTAAAAGAAAGAAGGCTGTTTGGGAAAGGATTGCTCTTGGTCTCAAATAATCTGGAAGGATCTCTCCTAGGACTGACTATCAATGATCCTCCAGCCGCATTAGTTTGCGCTTGTGCGGGGAGGGGGGGGGGTTGATGAACCGTTGGAGCCGGGGGCAAATGGTGACTCCTGATTGCTGGTTTGGAGGGGGTGTGATTGATTTTGAACTCAGTAGGTTGGAACTTAACCCATCGCACTATATCATCGTGAGCAGTAGCGTGGAGTTTATGGAGTAGTCAGCTCTTAATAGCTAATGGGGTAGATAGAAGGTACTCCGCCGAAGAGGACACTACTCCCAACCAGGGAAGAAACGGAGCTATAGGTAGTGCTACTCCGTATTTTCCCTGCTACGATCGGCACGGCGGATCTCCAGCTGGGGATGGACAGTGGAAGGCCCCCATCGGAAGCCCAGACCGAGTCGGGCGATGGATGAAATGAAGGTGACAGCGGACAGGGCGCAGGAGTGCACTCGGCAACGGGCAAGAAGCCAAGGGAAGAAGCCATGTGATTCTCTAGCGGACGATCATTTTACCAATTCGTTTCCATCGCCTTGGGATCATCATCCATCGAATGGCCTGATTCCCTATCGGGGTGGTCTGGCTGGCCGGTCTGGTTGGAGATGAAGATTGCCCGGGGATTCTTCGGCGGCCAGCACTTCCGATGACGGTGAGCGCTTCCGATGGGTGAAGGAAGGGCGCGGGTGAGGGTGAGGGTGAGGGTGAGTCTATCCGGCTTTCCAGCTAGGGCGCATTATGAGATCGCTGTTTCGATAAGAATGATGAGTACATAGTGAACGATGGGTGTCACCATTATGACAACATGCTGGGACTGGGAGGGCTCATGCATGGATCGCATGATAACACCGTTAGCCTCGTCGGACTGCCCACGTGCGGACCCGACCATGGAACAATGTCACACAACACCCATCCCATTGAGAACCCTGCGATCTTCGCTTGGGGCGATGGTGAAACGGCTCTAGCGAAGTTATCCTGGAGGATTGTCAGGAGCAAGTAGTAGTATCTAGTGACTGCAACAGCCGTTGCGTCCCAACAGCAGCACTGGCTGGTGGCTCGGAGGGCGTCAACGAATGGAGTATAGCGACCGAAAGGTAAAAACGATGTGGTTCCTTGGGAAGGTTTCGGATAACCATGGAAGTTAGATCTTCGGCTTTTGACTTTTTTTTTCCCCCTCCGCCAGTCAGAACGTTATTCACTGTTTGCCATCGTCAAAGTATTTCATTCGGCCGGGAGGAAATAGACGGCGGACCTTGGAGATTAGAAGGAGTACTGCCGAGGGTTGGACATCTCTCTCTCGCATTCTCCCCCAACCTTCCTTTCATGGAAATGGGGTGTAGGTACCTGGGAGTAGATAGATACTCCAAACATCATACTGTCCCTGGCTTGACATCCCGGTCATTAACATCTATGTTATGACTGGGATTCAGGATAAATTAAGAACAAAACAATCCAAGTAGAACAGATGGAGGACCGCGATGCTTCACACACTTGTTTCCAATTAATTAAACCACCTTACTAAGTAAAAGGCTAATGCAGCAGAATGTGTCCATCCTGTCTGCTAACCAGGTACGTATCTAGGTACCTACATACAGTCATACTGAGGTCTAGTTAGCTAATAATAGCTACGTAGAGCTAGCCACCACCCACTTGGCCGGGGGGCTGAGCAATATTCATATCATGGAGAATGTTCAAAAGTACTACTTTGATCTTGGAGAGCCATCATCATCGTGCTTCTAAAGCCAGCGGACCTGTCATAGCGGCGGGCGAATCATAGTCGATGCAGGTACACTTCCGTGACAATTGGGGGAGGGGCCTCTTCCACCTGCAGGCATCCCCTTTGCTTTTGGAATCGCTCCTTATGCGAAGGTTCGACGAGACCCCCTCAACCTCCACTCCAGCCAGCCAGCCACCCTGATGGGATCGTGAAAAATCATCCATCCGAGAAGCTCACCCGTCTCATTGCCCGTCTGCACAGAGTACATATGTACAAAACTACTAGACCGACCGACCACCGCATGATGGGGAGCTGACGAGATGCAGTAGTCGCCTTGTTTCTTCTTCCCGTGTTCGGCTTTCTGCTCATTTGCCATCGCCCGCTCTGAAGACTCCCAAATTAGACGCCTGCAATCTACTTAGTACTCCGTACCTATATGGGTCATGGCTAGGCAAACGCCCAGGGTCAGTGCTGTCTGTATCTACCCGTGAGTTTTGTCATTCTTCGCACGAGGGTGGCAATGTGACCAGTCGCTTAGCGGTGATAAATTAAGGATCATGGTTACTTGAGCGGCGTCCCCCAATATTGCCTAGTGAGTAGTTTGCAGCAAGCAATGCATCAGCCAGGCACGGAGGTGATGTATCAGAAAAATGCACGACGTAACCTTATCGGCGTGGATGGCGAGAGAGCAATCACCCTCAAGCCCGAAGCACTCTCCCTGAAGGTTTTTTTTTTTTTTTTTTTTTTTTTTTTTTTTTTGGTGAGGTGTGTTAGGCCAGACCAGGGTGCATGGGCCATGCCAAATAGAAAGATCTGTAAACAATACGGGCGGGCAAAAACTACTATCGAAGGGGGAGGCGGCCGGGAAGATCAGTGGGAGATTGGGAGATCCACTCAGCAAAGAGATGGATTTACCCCCTTCGCCTCCCCAGATCGATTAGCTTGCCAGTAGTACTCCGTAGTATCTATCCATCCATCTAGTTTCAGGCGACTCCACTCCAGGAGAACGAGGCAGCCGGATCTTTCCCCTTCGAGGCTCGGAGGCTCGGAGGCTCGGGCTCGGAGGCTCGGAGTGGGCACGGAGTGGGCGGGCAGACTTCGGGTCTGGTGGTATGTGCTGCCGGCGCAAACAGATAGCGCTCTCCACTCAACCGAGTGCTAATAAGTGATGTTAGCCCGCAAACTATTTCCTCTTCGTCTCCAGAGTCCAGGCAATGTCCGGCGCTGTGCTCGATGGCATGAACCACGGTAGATAGGATGAGCCAAATCAACCGACCAATGCTGCCTGGGCGTGGTGCCTGTTTGCCATTCCAGTTTTAGCGGGCTTTAGCTGGCCGGGAAAGGTACCATCGTCCGTTCATCCGAGGCATTTATTTGGACCTGGGCTCTCGAAACAATGACATCTTTGCAGAGGGTATCTAACGGCTAGACTCTGTTCCGCGCTGCGTTTACCTCGTCGGGATTTGATCATCCGATTGAAGTGCGCGATCAAAGTCCCGGATCTGCTGAGGGCCTATGTATGTACCTCGGAGTATTGTTCGTGGTACGGAGTACTACTACTATACATAGTAGGTAGGTAAGTATAGTGTACCACATCCCCACCTACCCACCTCGTGTGGATTGCTGGCGCAATAGGTGGGAAAAGAATGTCAATGCTGGGAGAGGGTCATTCGCCTGCATTTTATAAGGAGTACTCCGTAGTAGTTAGTAGAAATAGTAGTAGTAGTAGTAGTAGTAGTAGTAGTAGTAGTAGTAGTAGTAGTAGTAGTAGTAGTAGTAGTAGTAGTAGTAGTAGTAGTAGTAGTAGTAGTAGTAGTAGTAGTAGTAGTAGTAGTAGTAGTAGTAGTGTACATGTATGTGCCTACGGTCAAGAACGATCGAATGCTGAGATCCTTGCTAGGGGAGGAGTACTCCGTAGTCCGGACATAGTATAGCGTACATACATCGTACATAGATAGACCCATGCTTGTGCTTGGTTAATCCTTCAGCTCCTCGTTCAAGGTGATCAGGATATGGCATGTGCATGAAAATCTATCGAGATTGAACTTACCGACATACAAAAGTACCAATGAGGAGGAAGTGGCGGAGAAGCAAAAGAAAAGCCTCAGTACTTTTCCGCGGCCGAGGAGAAGGGGAGAGGGCGAGAGACATCCTGCTACCCGGCTCCGCTCCAGACCCCGTCCGATGCTGAACCACGAAACGGCCAAGAACGGTTGGGGCAGAGGGGGTGTCACAACCATCGCCCCTTTGTCAATTGTCAGGTCTCAGGGAATGGCTGTCAGAACTCAGAACAGAGTGGACTGACTCATTTGGCAGGGTCAATGCATCCAAATCCCAGGCAAATTGATATACATGGTAGGCGAGAGATCTCATAATGTACAGTATACATCACATATTGTGTACGATAGCACCCGCCCGCGCCACAAGGTAGGCTTTATCTCCCACGCGCCCTTCCAGCACCTTGGTTGGAGGTTACTTCGATCGAGAGAATTTCCGATCCAATGGGTCAAGGCCTGGAAATAATGCACCCTACCCTATCATCAGGGTTTTGCCGGCGGGATCGGGAAAGAAGCCGCTCGTGCTCTGCTCGCATTGCGCTGCACCGCATTGCATTGCATTGCAGCTGCCTCATCTCACCTCCCATCAGTCACCATCACTGGCTTCTGCATACAGTACGGAGTACTCCGTACATCTTGTATGTACCTATACTCTACTATACTCCGTACTGCGTAGTACCATAGTAACCCTCAGTCCAAGGTAACCCCTGTATCTTGGAACTACGTAATCCGTACATTTCTGCCATCTGTCCGGGATCTATCATGCTATAGATACTTACTACTGTGGTGTTGGCAGAGCCGAGTCAGCCCGCTTACATGACCTCCAGCGCCCCCACCGCACCTGCGGCCGTTGGTTGCTTTCTCCAGCGATCTTTGTACGTAGAGAGTAACAGTAAGGTAGCGATACTAAGGCAATAATAGTAGGTACTATAGTATACTGTAACTAATAACTCCATGCAGAAATTACAGTCACAAGTGCATACTTCTCTTCTGTTGAGGGAAGAGGGGAGGGGGGAGGACGATTTCCCCCCTCCAGCTCCGTTGCCATCTGCTTTGCCGAAACAGGCAGTTCGACAGATGCGCCAAGTCCTCGACCGAGTTTAGCACCCCTGAAGGAATGATGGATCATGGATCATGGATCATGGGAGGATCCTCCCTTAGGGTCATCCACTAGACCTAGATAAGTCGGCCACTAGAGTACGGCGCACTAGGTATGGTAAGGCCTGAAGGTCACTAAGCAGCCTAAGAGTGATCGCCCTTGATGGCGAAGAAGGTACCTGCAGCCCAGCCCAGTAGTCTAGATTGCCCTTGGAACATGAACATCATCGTCACGATCACAGTCCCCATTAATTTCCTTTCCATTGGACCTCCTGATACCAGGCGATTAGGTTTATAATCCTCTGCGGATCGATGCCAGATCCGGCCCTGTCCATTGTGCAATTTCAGGGTCGAATCTGAGTTTAATGGGCAGATTGGTAGGGACGCAGAGTCTATGAGATGTAGGATGCTACAGCCAAAAACAACATGGGCGAGAAAACATATGGAAACCAAAAGGTGGGGGGTTAAAAGGCAAGGTGCAAGGAGTGCAGGCGATTGAAAGAGCCGTCAGTTTGACGTGAACAGGGGAGAGACACGATGTATAGTAGGGCAATGGCACTATTGGCGGAATGACAACTAAACAGCCCAATGAGAATATTCTCCTGGGCGGCTGACGGGTCAGAAGAGGGGGCCAAAAAAGATCACGGGGATGTTGATAAGTTGATTTTTCTTTTGGGGGGAAATAATAATAAAAGGAATACAAAAGGAAGGGAGAAGAGAGAGTAGGCTGAATAGCAGTGGAAATAAAAATAAAATTGAAAAAAGATGAAAAGGGAAAGGATGGAAAAGATTAAAAGGATTTGCTGAAAAGGAAACCAGACAGCAGTTGATCCATCCATTAATCACTAAACCAAGTACAGTGATGGTACCAACGAGTGGAAGCCCGCCCGCCACCATCTCTCGCCTCCGGGGAGGTTGTTGTTTACTCGTAGTTCGTCCGCAGTACCTGAATGACTGCCAACCCCGAGTGCCATGTGCGGTATCATCGGTGGTCAGGACTGCATGGACAGATAGTACCTAGTACCGATGGTTCAAGATAGGAGATCATTGCCTCCCAACAATTCTACCCCGATGGCTTCCTCCGCGGACTGCTGCTGTTAACTTGCTCCAGCTCACGACCGGGGATCGGCCCCAAAGCTTACTTTCCGGCTCAGGGCCCAACGCCATGGCAAATCTGGTCCTGGATTAAACCTGAATGACAGGACCCGAGACAATGGACGTGCCACCAGCACGCAGCAGCAACTAAAATGGTCCGGCCCCCTCCCGGGCCCTGCGCCAATCACCGCTGGGGGGCGCCGGCGCGCCCCAGTGGCCAGCCCTGGTCCAATCATCAATGGGATCTCCCTGGCCGATGCCCGTTCCCTGGTCATCGTCGATCTCCCATGCGTTCGTTCGCTCACTCCCCTCGCTCGCCCTCGCTCGCCGCCTGGCCGCCTGGCCGCCTGCCCGGGAAGGCGCACGAGCGCCCTTGTCTCCCCCCTCCCCTCTCTCTATCCAGTGTCTCCACGGCCCACGCAGACTGCAGTAGGTTAGCCGTAGATAGTGCTCCTACTCCCTTCTTGGTTACCTGACCCATTCTTTCTTCGCCCTCGGTCTCATCCTCTGATCCTCCATGCTCCATCCATCCTTCTGCGTGCCAGGCTCCACCCCAGACCGGCCGATGGCGCCTTTCTCCATCGTGGATCCATCCACTCTTCCCTCTGTAAGGTACTTCCGGCCATCACCCAGCACTAGTACCTATGTGGCCAGACGACCTGAAGGACCTGGGGACTACTCGCCTGGTACTGCTACTGGTTCATTCTCTTCATTTGGAACTTTGCTCCGTGCCCTCCGCCGTGGGCCTCCGGTACGGCTTCCACTCCTACTTGGGCCCAGGGTACGGAGTACGGAGCACAGAGTACGGGCCTGGCCTACATATATATGTATCTGACATTCTCCTCCATCCTCTGTCCTCTACATCTCCAGTCACTCACTTGACTATTGGATACGACACCTCGGCCACTTGAATCATCTCCTGCCCCAAGTCCCCTGTCATCTCTCTTGGTCTCCCAAAGGGCTATATCCATCGACCTACCTACCCTAGCCCAGTGTTCCTACTTCTTGAAAGGGGACCTAATCGAGGCGACGAAAAATGAAGAATTCAATCCCGTCCGACGTGTGGGAAAGAAAGAAGGCTTTGATTGCCAAACTGTACAAGGAAGAAGAATGGCCTCTGAAGCAAGTCATCAAGCAGATCCGTTCCGATGATTTCAACCCTAGGTGAGAAGATGCCTCTTTTTGATAAAGCATCCATCGGTCCAATCTGGTGTACTAATGTATCTGCCTCGGTAGTGAAACACAGCTACGAAGTAGATTGAAGAAGTGGCGTGTTACCAAGCCCTCGCGCCAGACACGCAAGAAATCCGACGACAGCCAACAGGAAGCCGTCGGAGAGGATAGTGGTCACGAAGACGCTTCCTCCAGGGGCCAAGCATCCACCATCTCTCCGAAAATCCGCCCCCCTCTTCGCTCAGCTACTTCGGATCTCTCGATCACCGAATCGGAATGGTACATGGCCAATGGGGCCTATACACATCACGACGATTTACCTACCACCGCGTGTCTTGACGGACATCAGATCTCCAATGTATGGGCTCCGATGATGGCGCAACAGTCACCATTGAGTCCATCGGATAAGCAGCGGGATGCCTCTCATGCCTCTTCAATGATGGTTCTTCCCAGCTCCAGCTCCTATGACTCACCACACACGTCGCCCTTGATGGATAGCATGTTGATCAACTCGACATCAGGCATGGCATCGCCGTTCCAGGAACACCCCTATGCTATCACTTCTGACCCCATGCAAGCTCCTGTGCCAACGGCGACAACCGCAGCGCCGATTCAATGGTCCATCCCTCAATGGTACTCAATGCCTCTGGAGGCCGGCAGCCCATTCTATGCCGCTGCCCCACTGAGTCCTCCAATTGACCCGGCAATGCATCTGATGCCTCCCCATACCCCCCAGCGGGTATATTCGTCTCAAACTCCGCCGGCTACCGGCCTCGGGCACGAGGGTGCTCAGTCTTGGAAACGCACCATGTCTGCTCCGTATATCCAGGATGCCGCCGGCGGTCATCCGAGATTGGAACAGAAGGGGCTGCAGCCTCGCCCGCTTGAGAGGAAGACCTCCGTCCCCGCAAAGCCGACCAGTCAACCTCACGTGGGGTTGGTTTCTCCGCCATCCTCCTTCTACCCCCATGGGCAACATCCGGCCATGTGTGCACCTATCTACCCCTACCCTGGACCCGAGCCTCTTGTCCACAGGCCCCAAAGCATCGACTTCTAGACTCACTACGGAACATATCGCCCAGGTGTTACTTTGTCTACCATTAATTGCCTGCGACTGGACCTTGGGTGTCTGTCGATCTTTTCACCTTTCAGCCTCTGCTGGTATTGATTCGTTGTTCTGACCTGTATTTTCTTTCCGATATCTTTTTTTTTTCTTTTTTCTTTACCCGTATCTCCGTCGATGGGGTGTCGACGAGAGAGAAACGGGGTGTTTGAAATTTTGAATCTTGTACACGAAGAAAACCACACCTTCGAATATGGGATACCTGGCGTACCGGCTGGTTGTACCGGACCATGGGGTGGGGTATGTTTGCTTTTGATGATATCCACGTTTGGTGACTCAGGAGTTTGGAATCGCATGTATCAGTGTGTTTTGTCGGTTTATGTGGGCCTGGGGTCAATGATGCTTGCTGGGGATCTGTTATATATATATATATATTGCTCTGATCCGCGGGACGATCAGAATTTGTGAAGGGGCTGGCTTCCTTCATCCTTGGTAGGCGCCTGCTGGGGGATTCATACGTTTGCCCTTTGTAATATATCTATCTATACAGCAAATTTACAATAATGCACATCTTACGATGGTTGACGGAACGTGTATTTCCCAGCCAAATAAAGCATTGATCACTTGAATCTGGAATGACTCCATGACAGGATTTATCCATCCATCCCATCCATTCCCTCTCCCGTTTGGGTTATCCGAGGGCGGACCTCGGCACCTGCGCGCGGCGCGGGGAGAAAGCTGCCCGCGCCCCCTTCTGTTCTGCTGCTCGCTCTCCTAACATGCAACCAAACAGTTCTTCCAATCTCGGTGGCAATCTGTTTTTGGTTGACCTGTGTATCGATCGGCTTCCCTGTGATTGCCTATCCATCTATCCCTCTATCCATCTGTCCGTCTGTCTGTTCATCTCCGTTGAATTCCCACCACCTCTCGCACTCATCAACATGCAAGCTATCCAGGTCAAGCAATACGTCAAGGTAAGCCCTTCGTAGCAGGCATTACTGCCACGTTATTCTAGGTAACTTAAACAACCCATGGGCATTGAACAGGGACCTCTAGACCTTCAGGTCACGACTCTTCCGACGCTCTCTCCATCCGCGACAGATTACTTGATCGAGGTCCACTCAGCAGGGACCAACTTCTTTGACCTGCTTCAAATCCAAGGCAAATACCAACATCAGCCGCCCCTGCCCTGGATCGCGGGTGCCGAGTTCGCCGGGACTGTGTTGGCTGTACCAACCGCGCAGACAACATCACGATTTAAGGTTGGAGATCGAGTCTTCGGCGCCACACAAGGCGCCTACGCCACCCACGTCCAGGCCCCGGAGCACACTCTTCTGCCGGTGCCAGCGGGTTGGAGCTTCGAAGATGCAGCGGGTCTCTTTGTCACGGCCCCTACCTCTTACGGTGGCATCGTGCACCGCGGGAACGTGCAGCCGGGCGAATGGGTTCTCGTTCATGCGGCGGCCGGCGGAGTCGGGCTGGCTGCCATACAGATCGCCAAAGCGAAGGGCGCAACCGTAGTTGCCACTGCTAGTACGGAGCGGAAGCGCCAGGTTGCGCGCCAGTTCGGGGCGGACCATGTCATTGATTACCGCAACAAGAGCTGGCCGGAAGAGGTGAAGCGGTTGTGTGCGCAGCATCGGACAGGTAATGGGAAGGCCGGGGTGGATGTTGTTTATGACCCTGTGGGGATGATCGAGGCTAGCCTGAAATGTGTGGCGTGGAATGCGCGACTCCTGGTAATCGGGTTCGCGGCGGGCAAGATCGAGAAGGTGGCATTGAACCGGGTGCTGCTGAAGAATGTCAGTTTGATTGGGCTGCACTGGGGCCAGTATGCGCGGTTTGAGAAAGAGACGTCGGCAACGGTCTGGAAGGGGATCTTCGATCTTGTGGCCCAGGGCAAGTTCAAAGGCACGGCCTTCAAGGATGAGAGCTTTGTGGGCTTGGAGAGTGTGCCTCGGGCTTTACAGGCGCTGGGAGGGCGGGAAACATGGGGGAAGGTTGTGGTGAAGATCATCGACGATGCCGGAAAGAGTAAACTGTAAGACCGAGGGCAGATTTTCTTCGGTATTTACCGGGGCTACTGTCCCAAAAAGGGTGTGATGTGAGAAAGGAGACCATGTCAAAGCACTGATTAATTCATATGTCCATTGGGAACTATCTGTCAAGAACCAAATACGACTTGTCTGGGGTACATATCCAGAGTGTAGGTGCGCAAGGAGTCATGCTCTCGTAGGAGGTAAAACGCGAGCAACATGAACTATGAAGGCCCTGTAACTTCCTCTAGCAACTTGAAAAGGAATCAAGAACCGGGACCCTGACGGGCCCCGACAATCCAGCTCCAGTCAGCCACAGTCACAAGACATGACATGTAGTGATTGTTCTCCTGAGCAGAGAGTCCGTGAGGAAAGGCCAGTACCCTGCTGTAGTCCAAAGACTAAACAGAGACACCAACCTAGGACAGCTGGATTGTGTAGTTGCGAATTTATTATTGTGATTAATGTCGGAGATTTGAAATTTGTTGGCATCTATTAGCACCAATGTATCACGGACAGTCAAGCAGACAGCACGGTCATTTGTGCAGTCGCTGTTTATGAGTAATTAGATTGCCAAAGAGCAGGAGCATGTGCTATCACAGGATAGAATTCGAATATACCGCCTGGTAGATACCCTGTAGGTAGATCGATCGCGGGAGTATAAAGAGTGAGCACATGATGAGAAAGAGGCAAGCAAGCATTTGTTTTTGTTGGGTTGACGGGCCTGCTCGCTTATTCGATTAGTCAGCGTCTTTGTATCAGTTAGTTAGCCAACTAAACCCATCAAGGCTAGAATGTCCTGTGATCCGCCAGCTTAGAACTTTGTATATCCAATTGCTAGCAGGTACTCCGTAGATACTCCGTACGGCATTCGTCGAGTCATCGAGTGCCTACTCGGGCCAGTACTAGCCTACTCGGGCCAGTACTAGCAGATCCATCGATGTTAACATTATGTTGAATCATCGAACTTGGGATCTTTGCTGGATAAAGCTGACTGGCACCTATTTCAATGTACATTACAATTCAAGATTGCCAGGACAGCTGTGTCGCTACTCCTTATGTTACCACCGGTCATGCTGTGATACGCTTACTTTCATACCTTTATTGCCTGGGCTAGACCGGGTCTGGCCATGCAAGCGAGTACCGCGCCTTATCTTGATGGCACGCTCACCTATTTAAGGCTGGGCACGGCTGCTCCATCTCCCCTCCTTTCGCAAATTCACCACGCATCTTCCAGGTCTCTCGTAAGAATGGCTCCATCGATGCTCTCGAAGTTTGGTCGTCGTCCCCGAGTTGTGCCGGGGCTTCTGGTGTGTTCCTATGAGGTAGTAACCCTACCCAGCTTCTGCGAAGCCCCGCGCAGACGGGCAATATGTTGAATCGAGGTATAGAGTTCTAGGAACCTGACAATTTAAGAGAGGGTCTGCTTTCACAAAGGAGGGCTGCAGCTTGCTCAAGCTCCATGGCCTCTTGCCTTCCGACGTCCAGACACTATAAGAGCAAGCTCAGCGAGCGTACGAGCAATACCGCATTTGGGATGACTACCTAGCTAATCATGGCTGGTACTAGGTAGTAGCGTCAAAGTACAGAATGAGGTACTGTATTACAAGGTACCTACCTACCTAGGATGTCTCTTGTGCCCTCCTTCTCTACATCCTATTCTTGACAAGAAAACGACCAATCGGCTGATATCTGACACATTTGCTTTCTACTGTACCCACCTCAAGAAGTTGCTTAACATCATCTATTTGACAGCAGAAACCCCGTGGCGAATATGGTATGGTTAAGAGATCCCCTGAAAATGGTCCTCTGGAAAGTGCCTTGGAGAGAGTGAAGATACTGAACTGTCAGATTCATATGGAGTAGATAAGTACATACTAAGTATTATTTCCTTTCATGCCCGCGTGGTTGATGATTGATCCACTTTCACTTTGATATGTATTCGAATTCAACGGGACCCCTGCCCAGTGGGACCGTTGCCGCCAATCCATCTCACGGTCATCGGTACAGCCCCTGCCTGCCAGTGCCATGGGAATGGGCAGCATAGGGCGGAGTAGATACCTAGATATATAGATTAGAACAAAACAGAACAGAACAGAACAGAACAGAACAGAACAGAACAGAGAAGGATGGGAGCTCCACCTGCCGCGCATTGATTACACATGTGTATTGTGTAGTTAGTTAGTGCTAAGGAGTAGATAGATACTCCGTAGCTACCCACTCCTTAGCATTGATATTATTATTAAATCATAAATTATTAAATTAGATGATCCTCTCCACTGTTATCCCTGGCCTATCATATGAGACTATTACTACTCCGTCTGGCCCGGGGCTGTTTCTGAATCCTCCAGCGTTTGAGGAACTTGCATCCCCCCCACCTTAGCGCAGTCTGGGTAACGGTGACTGACAGCGCCTTTCCACGGCCCCGAGGACGAGTTTAAAGGTTAATTAATCGCGGGAAACAACCATCTGCAGATAGATACTAGATACTATCTAGACAGGCTGCTGCTGCTGCTGCTGCCTGCTGTATCTACTAGTCTACCACCGTATGTACCGTCTATCTATCTGCTAGATTGTTAGACTGCTTCGTATACAGCCAGGATGTAAGTGGTAGCACCAGTATAGATAGATACCAGTAGTAATAATTACTGTGTAGAATTGTATCCAAGAAATGTATCCATCCAGGGTTAGGTTCCACTCCACTGGGTGGGTAGTAGGTACTAGATAGATAAAACTCCTGGGCACCGCGCACTGGCAACCCCGTCCATCTGTCAGATCTCTTCCCCCCTTTTCTCACGTTTTTTTCCGTCTTGCCTTTTGCCTCCCTCTTCCTCCTTTTCTTTCTGATCCGGAGTATACCAGCTGTGCTGTCACTCCTTCTCCGTTGTGCATCGTTATCATCATAATTACCAGGGCTGTCACTCATTTCCAGCCCCATTCGCTCTTTCATCTCGCTTTCCCGACAGGCAGCGCCATCGGCCAACGCCGCGCATCGATTTCGACGCTCCAAGCTAGAGTCTACACCACACTCCAATTCGCATATAAGTTCGAACATTTCCACCGCCACCATGTATTTCGTCAAGGCTATTCTCGTCACCTGCACCGCATTTGCCCCGTTTGCTTCTGCTGCAGTCCAGGCCACGCCCACCGCGACTGTGAGTGTCGTTAGCATCTCGTCCTCGGTGCCGCAGGCCCCAACCCCGACCTTGTCCTCTTTCGGCGCACCCGCCAACAGTAATAGCAGAGGCAACAGCAGCGTCGAAATCAACAGCGCCAGTAGAAGCAGCGCCGGGTTTCAGTTCAGCTCCTTCGCCAAGCCAAGCCATACGCCGAGCTCTAGTCGTCGCATCTCCAGCTCTGATATTGCCAGTTCATCACTTGCTAGCTCCTCAGCCATCACTTCTTTCACCAGATCCTATATCACTAAGGCGTCGGCTCGTCCGACCACCGAACTATCGACACAGGCAAGTTCGAAATCGGACTCCGAATCTGGCTCTGGCTCCGCCTCCGGCTCAACCACGACCATGGCCGCGGCTGTATCATCTGCTACCCACACGGGCGCTGCTGTTCCAGGCGCCAAGCTCTCCAGTGGCATGGCTGCGGGGGTCCTGGTTGCTGCAGGATTTGTTATGCTGTAAATTTCTCGCCAACCAGCCCACTACTTCCCAGCGCCATGTTGCTTCCTCCCAGTCCTTCACGTCACTGAAGGTTAAACATGTGACAGCAAAGCCTGTTCTCCATTGGACCCAGGTCATGGATTTCATCTCAACGGGCAGTTGTCCCCATGTCCACACCCTGTAAATAACAAGGAAGAGCATGCACAGCTGTCGACACTTAATAGCGCGAAGGGTGTATTGATGAATGTGAAAGGGATCCTAAGGAAGTCAGATGAGATAGAGAAGCCCCGATATCCCATCGTCGGGTCGACCATGGCTTCCCTGATATAACATTTCTTTTTCCACCAGTTCCCCTTTGTCTCCCCATCTACCTTCTGTTCGGCTTCTCCAAGTAATGCTTATAGACTGTTGGCGGATGCGCGCCGGATCAGTGCCACTGATCCGTGAGGAATGCGGCATTATATTCGTATTCAACAACATACATTCTCATTATCATTTTCCCAAACTTCCATGTGCAGTAGTAGTTGGGCACGGCACGACTGAGCCCTTCATAGTCAATTTTTCTCCTGCGCAACAATTTTCATTGAAATGCAACGCACGTAGAAATCGGCGCCCTCGAACCAAGAGGCCATGTGCCATGCGCCTCTCATAAGTAACAATCGTCGAGGTCAAATCCAGTTTGGTCCTTGGGGTATGCTCCGTGATTCATATCTCGACCTTTCCCATAATGCATTAGCTTGAATGGAGTTGCCGCCTTGCCTATGTGATCAGCCACGCGCGTTGTTTTGTGCTCCCTCACCTCTGTTAGCTAGATACAACTCAGCCCAACCTACTGTATTTTGTTAACTTGCTTTCTTTACGTCATCCACCGACTAGAGTTCACCGTCAAAAGTAGACACCTCGTCAATGAGACATAAATTTCCTCTGCTCAACGAAGCATAAATTGCACCAAGTTTGGAGAGTAAGAGTCACTACCCCCCCTGCTGAGCTTCATTGCCAATATACATATACATGTATACATGTCAACAACGGTACAATGGTAGATGTACTGTGATTAATGAATGGAAGTAAAATTGTCAGGTATGGCATCGGTGCCATCAATTTTCTGATTTGGGTAAAGTCAAAGTATAAAAAGCTAGATTCATGATAATGTACAGTGAGGAAGGCACTGGGGAGGTAGGTAAGGGTTAAATCATCGAGCCAGGTAAGGAATCTACGAATCCTTGAAAGTGGCCTCGTATCTATCAAGTTAGGAAATCTATAGTCAGCACCCGGTCGCATGAATAACCTCGTTCCTGTGTTTGCAGGGGTAGGTGGGAGGCGGGTAGGGTGGGGTTGTTCTTGTTGTAGAGTGAGTTGGGATTTTAGCCATGCGTACCTCTTTCCTCTGAACGCCCAAAGTCCCCAATTACCGCAGGAGACATCATGCGGGTCCAGATCATTAAGATCCCAGCGTAGACTGCGGAAGATGTTCTCGCCAGGCTCCAGCAGAATATCGAACTCACCGGCGCATTTATCCCGGACCCAGTTAATGTCGCGCTCCATGTCCCACTGCGTGTACCCCGTACTGATAATGGGGACCTTAGTCTCTAGGAGTTGCGGAAGCGTTTCCTCCCATTCATGGGAGCTGGCTGGATGTCCAAGACCCGGATGGAAGAGCATGACACAGTCCAGGTACGGATCGAACGGCTGGAAATATTGCGCTTCGTACATCGTGTGAAAGTACTCAACATATGTCGTAATCTTAAACTGTCCTCCAAGTCTATCTTCCACAATACCGCCGAACGGGTTTTCGGGTGTGCGCTCGGGAAGGGGAAACTCTGTATCTCGATTGGCCATGCTTTCTGGTCCAATGAAGATTAGATGGATCAGGGAGCGTGGGAAAATATAGCTGAGCTGAAGCCAGACTTCACGAGGCAACGAGGACTCGGCCCTGGCACCCAGAATAAAAATACGGACTGGCGGGGCCTTCAGGCGTAGCCCTTGGATATCAACGCCCTCTCCGGTTTTGGGGGGGTGTAAAGTGTACCGGAGCGCTACATGGACCGGTCAGGTTGATGAAAGACGGGGCGTGAGGAAGATTGGGACCTACCGCTCACACTCTTGAGACCCTCGACAGTCAGTCTGCCTCCTTTTCGCACATTAAAAGGGCTCAGCTCATGCAAGACGCTTCCGATCGTGAGTGGATAGGTGAGCATCCTAGTCACCTGCCGCATGCTCCGGTCATCGTTAATTGCCTCAAACTCTCGCGTATAGAGAAAGGTGTCCCAATTCGTCATATTGATGACAAAATTGTCGTCCTGAAGTCCCGGGTACGAGAACTCCGGGAAAAAACGACCGGAACGTAAATCATGGTCGTCCTCATTGATCTGTCTAATGGTCTCACAAATTTCTAAATGAGCCTCGAAGTCATCCATCCAGTGACCCTCCGAACAGTAGATCGGGACACCACAGTCGGGACATTCGAAATGAGAGTGAGCCGGCGGCAGACACTCTGAGCTCGCTTGACTCTTTCGAGACTCCGGGTCATGAGGGGAGTGAGGCAGTCGGGTCTGTTGATGGCTCGGATGGGGGCAGAAGGCATTCTGTTTGATAAAAGCCGCACGCTGTCGTATTTCAGCCGCCGGTGACCGAGAAAAGGGATGGAAAAGGTTGTTCGGTTTCAACAGGGCCCGCGCGTCCGGCGCAGCGCTTGAAGTGGCAGAGTTGGCCTTCTGCGTCACTGACCCGACTGATACGGAGGATGAAAGAGTACCCCGCTTGACTGGCCCTTGCGAAGCTTTAGGTCCCAAAGGACCACTGCCCCGCGAGCTCAAGGTCCGCACATACGAAGCGGGAAAGCCGTATCTTGGGGGAGTGACATAGGCAGTAGCTCTTCGCCGAAGCACCTGCAGACAGCGACCACATGTGTATCCGCCAGTCATTGTGGGTGGTGCAAGGCAACGCCCGACAGAATCATTGATGAATTAGTCGATTGAGTTGCTCGCATCTGCCGGCGGCTTTTTGTCCGCAGTCACGTGATGCTCGCGCTGTGTGATTACTAGGTGTGCTTGCTCCCGGGCCGTATACGGAGTACTATGGTTTCATACACGCTGCGATGCACGGTCCGCTGGTTCTCAAACAGGCTCACGATAACATGATCTAGCTAGAAAATATCCTCACAGGCGCTCCAGTCGCGGGCTGCCCGGCTCTCCCAGTATCGCCCATTGTGCGCCCAGTAATCCTCGCCAGTGACAGGACATTTGGCTTTGCTAAACCACTGAGGTTGATACTCCTCGCCCCGAGTCTCTCTCTCCCTCCTCTTGGCTCGCTGCTTCTCTTCCACCCGATGCTTTTCACTGGCGGCGAGGTCATATTCGCCTCCTTCCATCGCCCGCTGATCAGGCCGAAGCCGTGTGTCAGTAGGCGGTAGGTAGCCCTTCAAACCCTCGGGGAGAGCATTTAGTGTAATGACGAAAGGTGTCAGATTAAATGGGATTCCGCTCGGACGAGCATGGCTTTGCCAGACCAGAAACGTCTTGGCTGATTCTGGGTCTTTCCCAGACACTGGTGCCTCAAACCCCGGGGTATGGCGCGCATAGATCTTGTCATTCCACCTACCGCCAATACTCCATTTCGGCGATCCATCCCGATCCACCACCTTACCGGCCACTTGGTATGCGGATGCAGCCTTCCATCCCCTTGGTTTGAAATCCAAATAGCAAACTTCGCCTGTGGTCCAGTTTTTTATTTCCATTAAACCGTAATTATCAACCGTGGGGTTCCCGGTAATGATGCCGATGACAGATGACGTTACTTTCTTCCAAGTATATAGCTCCTCTCCTCCAGATGCTGGTCGTAACTTCAAGAACCAAGTACCCAGGAGATTGATGTCAAAGGATTTTCCATAAAACTTTGACTTGAGAGCAGACTCGCCCTGTAAAACGGGGATATGTCAGCGTGAACCACATACGCCAAGGGAAATAACCCATTCAAATCTTACATAGTAGTCCCACTTCGCTGACTCGGCCCATGCAGCACCGATCGGTGGATGATGGCTGACCTGTTCGATAAAGAACCGGTAACCTTTGTCGGGCCGCACATACTCAAATGTCTCACCCAGAAGAGGATTGAATGGTTTGGCTACACGGCCAATAGTCGAGGCGTATTCGCTCGCAGCGTACGCGGCGACGTACACCAGACGTTCCATCGAATCGGGTCGGTCGGCTGCAATATCCAAAAGGTCTGCGTATTCCAGGTCTTCCGCCACACGTTGAAGTAGCGAAGTGGGCTCATTGAACGAAACGGGGAGAGTCATCTTCGTCATATCTTTGCCTATCATAGACTTCAATATACCCTAATGAGTGTGAGTTTTGCAGCATAACATCGACTTCATGGCCTAAAGCGACTACTTACCCAGAGCGAAATCCTTGGTCGGTTATCGTAGTCCATTTTGAGTCTCTGTCTTACGGGCTCTTCGTATCCCGTGAACGATGGGGCGATTTCCACTCGCTTCAACATTCGAAGCTTACTGCTCTCTTGTTGGGAGTTCTCCTCATTCACTTCTGCGGCAAGGTCCTCTGCTTGAATCTCCCCAGAATCGATGGCATCAAAAAACTCATCCTCATTGCCCGACTCCGAGTCATAAAATTTGTCCATGAGAGAGATGGCCGACTTTTTGTGGCCAAGCGAGCTTTCATGTCCTTGCACCACATACTGTGATAAAGGCGCTGGCTCTTGAGTCTCACTTTCCACATCGTCCATGTCTTCACTGGTGGCTTGGATGCGAGAGGGAGCTTTACTAACCGCACGGCTCGTGACTGTTGACTCCAAGGCTTCCTTGAGCGCCCGTTTAGTACGCCTACGCTTCTCCTCGGACTCACCCATCCGGGACTGGAGCTCCTCATGTTCCTGTGCAATCCTTGCCATGCTTTCTTCCCACATTTTGCGCAGATGTGCCTCCCGATTCAGTCGATACTGCCAGTACGCATCACGATCCCTGGATATTTTCGAGAGACTCTGTATCAGCCCTTGTAAACTGCTCACCGCTGCCTCATAGGCGCATAAAGCTTGATCAACGGCCGGATCTGAAAGAGACATAGTTGGGTTCTTTGATTTTTCTGCCTGTAAAGAAGAAGTAACGTCTGCCAATATATCAAGCTGAAGTTTCGTCGACTGGGCGGTGATATCCATGGCATCTTTGTCTGCGGGTGGCACATCATGGCTGGATGCGTAATCATCGTCTTCGCCGTCGTCGAAATCAGGAGCTGAGGCTACATTGCTGCCTACCCGATTCACTTCGTGTGATGGAGCGGTGTTTTCTAATGACCCGTACATCGAGCCATCCTCATCTTCAGGAGCGCTCGCTAATGTTGTATGAGACGCATACGTGCTGAGTCGGGTGCCACTGCTACTCGGCACGTTGATAGATGAAGGTGCAAGGCCTTTACCTGACTCTGAAATGGTCTCAGACTGTCGACCCTCGGCCTGCCCCATTTTAGCCAGCCGGAATACTTCTGCATGTCTTGTTTGGCGCCTCTCTTCCTCCTTCGCCTCGTCTTTAGCCCATTGAATGGCATTGTTTAGAGTCCAAAACCAGCGCTTCGCCTCGACAATATGGTTTGCTTTCAGGTGATATTTGACAGAAGACTTCCCGTGGATTTCGAACCGGGTCTTGTCTTGAGAATCCATGTTGAGCCTAGCAATCTTCATGTTGATCGCGCCTCGGCAGGCGGAGCCCGCATCATCTTCAGAAAGCGAAGTGTCAGCTGCTGTCTCATTTGCTCGAGATCCAGCCTATGGATCATACCTTGGTGCTTATAATAGCTTAAGACGCCGTCCTCCAAAACAAACCATCGCAGTTTATAGCCACTTGTATAATTGGTCCATTTTTTCAGATAACCTTTCATTTCACGCGCATCCTTGCCGGCGAACGGCGCTTCAATTGCGCCAGAGCGACCGGGAGTACCCTGAGTCGCGCTGGCCCCAAGAATTGCCCTTTCCTGTATACCACGTTGCGCGACGACTGCTGCGGGTGATTTCTTGACAATCGCACGGGTCCGGTCATCCTTAGTAACATCCTGCGGCAACTTGCCCTTCTTGTCACGACGGAAAGGGTCGGCCCCATGCATTAACAGGATTTGAATCAATTTAGTATCTTTTTTCCGCGCTCCTTCGTGAAGTAGAGTACCCCCAGACTGAGCGGTAACAGAATCTGTGACTAGGTCTAGACTGTTGACGTCCAATATTCCCTCGACACGAGGCTCCTCAAGCACCTTCTCTAGCCCGTCATAATCATTGTGGGAGACGAGAACCTGAATCTCTCTAGTCTTGGCATCGATGAAAAGCGAGCGGGCAAGCTGAAGTTGCTGGAAAATCTCCGGGGTGCGTGCGATATCGAGAGGCGTCTGGCCACAGTAGTTAACGATTGCGTCGTTGAGCGAAGGTCGATTCAGCAATTCGCGAACCACGGGGCCACGTCCAAGTTGGGCGGCCAAATGAAGAGGTGTGTTGCCATCGTGATCACGCACGTTTACGTCCAATTCATCACTCGCGGACAATATATACTCGACAACTTGCGGTTCAGCACATTGGATCGCAAGATGAAGTACCGTCGTTCCGGAGAGGGTGTCAGGGCCCTGCGATTCCCTGGTCTCCTTGATGGCCTTTGAGATCGCAGTTATATCCCCGCTTCGTAAGATCTCAAAGAGGCGAAATGTCCGCACCGACTGATGGAGGGACATACTATTACTCTCTGCGTGAGATATGAATGGCAGCTTCTCGATATTATCACCACTTCCCTGGGAGCCTGTGGGCTCTAAATGGGGGGACATGGAGGATCGGCTCAGCTCCTGACGTATATCTCGGTAGCTGGGACTTCAGACAATGGTTGGAATCCCGTTCAGATGACACTGTTGACCGGAGAAAGGCGAGGCGGCGGGCGCCAGCACACTTTGAGAACGTTTGTGCCTAGAATGTACCCCTAAACGACGTCAGCGAAACGCCCAGCCTACAGAGACTTAAGTTAAGGAGGGGAGGAGATGATTTCATGATCCGTGGAACCGACTCAGCACTCAGAAGCTCACTCACCTTTTCCCCCTTTCCGTCATCTCTCGCTCACCACCAAGATGCCTAAGAGTATCAAGGAACCTTATGTTAATGTGAGGGAAATTTTATCGGGTAAAGGAAGATAGTGCGGAGTTGAGACGGAGCAAACTTTCTAAAGCAAGTCCAAGGCGAAGAAAATGTTGCTCAGGAAGACAGCCTATTGTGCAGGTATATTGACTGGTGTGATGGTACTCCGTACGGAGTAAACTGTATCTATCTGTCTGGGTTTACCAGCCACGAGTGACATTATCCATCCTTCTTTTGGAACATTGGCAAAGACGATAGAACAGCACAGCGCGTATATATTACTGCGGTAGATGCATATTTGGAGTTTTGTGGGGAAAGGAAAATAGAGCGATATGATACAACTCAGGAGACACATGAATGTGACGATGCAGTGGAACTGTCACCTTGACTCTCCGCTCACTACGACAACGACGCTGCCCAACTGTCGCTTTAGATCCTCTTTATCCACATCATGAGTATCCTCTACCTCGCCCCACATATCAGTTTGCCACTTGACTTCCAAGCTGGACGCCTCGGCGGCCTCTTCAATGCCGAATCTCTCCCGCCCTGGTCGTTGCATGTGACGGAAGTTCTCGCTCCATTCAACAACCAGTCGAGCGGCAATTAGCAGGCTTTTCGCAGCAAGGAATCCCCTCTCCAGACCAGCCAGATCATGGGCCTGTAGACTGGAAATCCACTGCTCAATAATGTCTTTCGTGATCTGGGGCTGGGAGGAGGGCAATATGCTATCGGTTTCCATAATGGGCTGTATGTCAACGCCAGGCCACAGTTTGGTGCCCAGGAAGGCGATGGTGTCCTTGGCAGTCCTCATTTGCGCCTCTCGGAGGCTTTCTGGTCTGTTGATATCCTTGTCGACTTCCCCAGCACTGCAAGCATTCTGCTCCGGTACCCAGCATAGCAGAGTATCCGTGTCCAGGTAACGCATCGCAGTTTTCACTATTTGAGCTCTTGTGGTGGTCTCCCCTTGGGCATCTTCCCGGGCAATATCCGCCGCGCGAGCGGCGAGAGAAGTTAGAGGAATCAGGTGGTTCTTCAGCGCTTGTTGGGCGTTAGTCATGACATCCCACTCCAGAGCTATGGCATGAGCAAGATATATCTTCGTCGATGGTATGGATAAGGCGTCTTTTGAAGGTGTCCGTATAGGGCGGGTGTCGAGCAAAACTTGATAATCACCTTCTGGGGGAAGTAAAAGCATGTCAGTCCCTTGACCTGTAAATCACTGCGGTACGCCGAGGAACATACCCTTTTCTTTTCTTACATCAACATTCTTCCAAAATCTCTTCTTCATTATTGTAGACGTCTGTCCAAAACGCGGACTCGTACCGACTTTCTGATACGACTTCCCATCTTCCTGTCGTAACTCTGTACGTGCCCCCTGATCAGGTACGGGTAAAGGGGCCTTGGGAGGAGGACTATGTGCCGTGATAGGGTTGGCTATAGCAAGCTTCCATGCTGAGGTGGTGAAAGAGCATAATATGGTGCCCTTATGCCATGAACGGTTCACTATTGCCTGCCGCGAGGTAGCCGCAAAGGCCCGATGAAATAGAGGCATCGCCTTCCGAGCAGATGATTGCGAGTGAGCAAGCGGTTGAGAGGGATAGGGGGAGAAGTAAGTTGATTGAAGATCGTCCTGGGATTTGAAATATTTCCCCCCTTCGACCACCGCTTCAATGGGTGCTCATGAAGAGAAAAGTAATAATCTCAGCCGAACATTATACTGCCCGGCTAGGTGTCGGATTAGAACGCCACAGGCGCCACATCTTATTGATTCTCCGCCACACATTTCTGCACCTTGCATACCTACTTTGTACGGAGTACTACTCCGTACCACTTGGCCTATCTAGTATCCTGGTGGCACAGGGAGGCTACTTCTCCTCAAATTACTTTCATCAAACATACTTGAGACCTCGTGCAAGAAAAGCGAAACTCTCCAAATACAGGCTTAATTGTGAAGGTTAAAACTGTCATCAATGTATTACTGTGTTTGTTGCTGCCAGTTTGCAGGCACTGTACACAACACCATTCTCACTGATTTGCATAACCAGTTCCGTTGCGGTGAGCGGCGTGGTACATCAGCTACCTTCATTTAATATAAGGGATCAGTAGATGTAGTGCCAGATTTGCGCGATAGTGACCTTCAACCCCCATATAATGGAAAACTACTAATGTTCAGAGGAATCATCATATTTGAGTATAAAGCAGATAATGAGATAAAGTATAGAGGAAAGTTCAAGGCCAGAACATAAAGAAAGCCCAGTGAACATAGGAAAGATATTGAGAGATAACAATCTCAACTATAACAAGGTCCGCCCATGCTTTTGTAATTTACAAAAAACCTCCTTATTCCGAGAGTTACAGAGGCTGTCAATCCGAGCAAATGGAGGTTACAACACTTCTGAAGTTGATACCTTGCAAATGCGTGTAAGCCAAATCCAAGAAAGCACGTCAGGGGGAAAGATAAAGGAACAAGGACTATTGGACATTCGACCAGGGAGGGTGTAATATGTCAGCTGCAGGCTCCAAAGAGCCCTTGAAATGCATAGTATTTCCAAATTCAGCGTCATCACGGCATTTCGTCGTAAGTGTTTATTAATCAACCGTAATTCAAGATTTTTGATGAAGAGTTCGCTAGAACTCAACCAGTCTTTGGGTAGCCGGTACCAGGAATAGCTCGGCTATGAAATGATGCTAGACATAAAATGAGGCAGACTGTTGGCAGACCACTCATCGTCCACGCAGGCCTAATCATTGGGTTATGAAGCTCGGGTAATAGGGACGTTTCATGCGGTCCATGTCTGTTCGCTTCTTCATACGTTCCGCGTCATAATCGTCAGCACCGTCTCTGCTACCCCATGTAGTCTGTATAATGGAATCAATTAGCAAATCAGTACCACACAAGTTGCGGTAATATGTGAGCTTTAGAGGTGTTGCAATAATTAATGGAAAAAGAGAGGTGAGAGGAGCAGAGCAATAAATAACCAAAACACCAAAGTATTTGGGTAATAATACACAACTGATCCGAGGGCGCAAGGAAAATTCAACATGGCGTGACAAAAAGAGTTTGGGAAAAGCGGGGAGTAAATGGCGAAAATAGAGGTTGTTGATAAGGAAAAGGAAAGCGCGTCTGAAAATGGAAATGGAAATGGAAATGGAAATGGAAATGGAAATGGAAATGAAAATGACACGAGAAGCAAAGGGGGCGCAAACCCTCAACCGGGTTACCGAGATGGGGAAGGCCGTGGGTGGATACAGTGAAAGTGAGGTGAGACCCATGACCAATGCAGAATGCATTTTAGGAGGGGCTGGGAGTTGGGAAATTATTCTGTACAAGGCTGCGCTCATGTGTACGCGCTCTGGGAATAGGCTGTGTATTGTTCGGAGTTGGCAACTTACCACATTCAAAGTTAGTACAGCGTATATTTTAATCGCTCCGTGGAAATAACCGAACAGTATAGACACCGGTAAAAGTAAGATGTCCGCTGGGTAACGAATGTAATGTCCCAGAAGCTTGATGAATTTGCTAGCAAACATCCACACCCCAAGGGCTTGCATAGCCAGCATGTGTGCGTTATCGTCCCAAGACACTGTAGATTTGTGGCAGAGTATAAGAAGCAGTAGGTCGCCTAGGAGGGCCGGGGGCGAAAGTGTTGTCAAATGGACGGCGTATGCGCTCCAAGGCTGACGGCTAGTAATAAAAAAATTGAATGTTAGCGTAAAACTTGGACGAGGCACTTGTCATCAATCAATGAGATACACCTATATTCGCACAATCCTTATTCCAAAAAGGAATATTGGTAGGCAAACATACTAACGGCCCAATCCTCACAAGATGGGACGAGTGTAGCACGTTTGCGGGTATTTCCAAATACTGGTGACAAAGCAGGGATATGTATAGTGAAGTTGTGTTCATGAATCAACCACTGGAACGCCAAGCAGGGCAGATGGGGAAACAGGAATATACAATAACAAGGCAAGTACTCCACATGCCGCACCGATAAGAGGGAAACCAGGGTAGGAAACTTACTACCAGATGTGTTTTTCATGAAACATACTTGTGAGGTTGCTCCTCCAGTTGCTTCTAGACCAACGAGCGCATTGCTTGAGGAACTTGGGATTGTCTTCCAAAGTTGTCAGAACCTCGGCTTCAGGATGGTATTGCATGAAAGTCTCCCAGCCGTGGGACACCATCCAGCGGGTAATGAAATTGTCATCGTCTGCGTTAAGTTGATACTTTCCAAACCACCATTCTTCATTGGTGAACGCATATGTAAAGCCTTCGTTTTGGAGGATGTCAGTTTTGTATGCGACAGTCCGTCCCGACATACAAGGAAGCCCGCCATCGATATGTGTTGTAGCTGCGCAATCAAAATTTCTCCGCTCTAGGTAAAGAGCGCCCAGATATCCCCATATGCGCTGAGAAAATGTTGGTGTAACAGCTCGTCGCAGGCGCTGACAAGTGACTACACCCCCAAATCGCTCATCCTTATCAAAAGGCGCTAAAATCCAGGGAAGAACTGTGCGTGGCCAACTAACATCATCATCTGCAAATACGGTGATTGCTGTGCAGACTTCTGGAATAGCCCTTGTCATTTGTCGACGCTTGTTTGGGTGGGTGACAGTGAAAAGACGGATTCTTGACTTTGAAGCTGGCATCGAGTTCAACATATTCTCGGCCTTTACCCGATTCGCTTCAATGGTCACCAAGAGCAATTCATAGGGGCGATTGTCAAGTATTGTTCTTATCGTCTCAACGAGTTCATCGCCACAACCCTCCAGGGTTGGTAGTATTACCGTCACATCTTGTGCGGTTAGTCTTGGGTTCTCGGGGGGGTGAATGGGCTTGAATGTCCAGAAGTAGACAAGATTCACAACAAGGCGGAAATAGCGATAGAAGCTGTAAGAAAAGGGAGTCAGTCCAGTGATACAAAGCTCATCCACTGATTAGCCTCGAGAAATACTAACAAAAGGGCAATGAAGGCCCGCATGAATGGAAACTCCATGGTTAAAGTAGATGGGGAGGAAAGGTTAGAACTTGCTTCCTCGACCCAACTAATTTTCGAATAATCCTTTGTTGTTTGCCTGTATGCCTTGCTTCTCAGTCTGGGTCTCCTCGTGATCCTCCTCACTGTAAATTGCAAGGAGGCTGAGTGTGCACAGTATACTTACAGGGGAAATGCCCATGCATACAAACAGGCAGCTTTGGTTTCAAACACCGCTGTTAAATATAATTTGTATAGAGGAGCGACCTTAGAGCGAAGAAGTAGATATGGACAGAAAAGAGAGAGGACGGAAAGAAAGCTGAAATAGCCAAACGAGTGTCTGGGTAAAAGGAACTCCCCAGTACCTCGTTAAAAAGCTCTTGGAAACAGAAAAAAAAAAAGGGCCAAGTGGGAAAAACCAGCTACAAGGTCAATTGCCTTCTCAAAGGAAGCGAACATATATGGGCGGACATGCAACATCGGGGGTTTTAATTTGTTGCAGATGGAGTCGATGACACGGAATAGCAGGGAAGGCACATGTTCAACTCCGGCATCCAGACAATGGATTGAGCCAATCCCTAAAAAGAAATATAAATAAGTTACTTGTGGGCTCCAGTTTGTTTGTCATTTTGAGTGTCATGCAGGTGTATTTTTGCCTCGTGCGTCAGAGACCCTGGATCTAGATGGACTGATGGAGGATAATGCGGGTGGAGAAAGGATTGGCGGCGGCCCATGCAGCTACTGTGCAGTGACATGGACCAGATAGTGGGGACAGCTGATGGTGTGTGGATTTATCCCCTAAGCAAGTACTACGGAGCAAAGGAGGCACATTACTAGTTACCTAGGAGTGTGGATATAAGCTTAGGAATGGCACCCCGGTTGTTGCGTGTGGGTAGTCTCCGAGTTGCGCGGTGTAACCGGTCTATTCTTACCTACATACAACAGCAAAGCTTACTGATACCTAGTACTGTAATGTGTTACATACAATCCATCGTCTGTTTTTAATACCTCTATATTAGCTTTTCCTCTTTCCATTTTCGAAAAAAAAAAAAGAACAGAGCTAATATCCATTTCTAATTATTAATTTTCTTTTCTTTGGGGGGCAGTTAGAACATAACACTAAGAGTAAAGTCTAAAGTAATGTGGCTTGATCCAAGCGCTGTTTAGAAAGAGGTATCAATGATAAACAGTATCTAAGGTACCACCTAAAGCTAGTAGCAATACGTAACGGAGGGCAGAGGGGATAAGATTATATAAATCTTAAATTTTATGCTGCTACTACACCTACGGAGTATATGTATGGAGTACCTACTCTGTAAGGAAGATTACATAGAACTTAAAAGGGGTTGAAGTATCTTTAGTTATTTAATATTTTATCTAACTACAGTAAGTTCTCCAAGATATACTCTTTATTGTATTAAAAGCAAGTTACTCTCTGCTTTCCTTCGGTATATATAGGCCCTTTTACTATTTGCTGGTATCTTGTTTCTTACATCTTAACAAGGATAAACAACTATGCATCCAGATAGTCATTTGCTATTAGAGAATCCATAAGATTTATACAGGCCAAGGACCGTAGGTAGTTGACCTTCAGTCCCTAGATTGATTGACTTTGAGGCTGCTACTCTAACCTCCTAACTAGCTAGAAGCTATAGATTCTGGGCACTAGATGGAGGCAATCATTCCATATACAATTAGAACTGTCACTCTGCATTAGCTATGAACATGTGGTCTAAGCTCTTTTTCAACATAGAGAATTGGCTTGCATGTGTTGTTTGTCAGTATTAGTGCATTACTTTGAACATATGCACATTACAAAACAGCTGTATATACAGTCTATTATTCTGTTCTCTGTTGTATGTACTACGTATGTTAATACATATAGCTTATCATCGTGACTAGTAACTGCAGTAATCAACTATCCTGCAAGTCACCTTAAATGGCTATGGCTAGACCAGGGTATCTCCGCTCTAGTATATCCTTTAGAGCAATCACATGCATTTGTAAATGGAGGGCATCTTTAGGACTAAATCACAAAGCTATTAACAAGCAGCTAAGGAACAGGAGTTGGAAATTACACCAGGTGTGACTGTATTGCGCATATCTTAGGTATTATACAGCATTGAGTCAGGTAAGCATAGCAGCTTTAATAGCAAATGAGTACCAGATGCTGATTTAGTGAAGACTGTAGTAATGTCAGACATGTAATTTAATTACAATACTCTTTATATAATCCTGATCATGGTTCAAGAGCTCCTCTACTAGATATTATCTCTCCCATATCTTTATCTAAGACTTGGCGCGCAAGACATTAGTATGGCTTTCCTCTGGAGTACCAGGTGTCCTTCCTTTACATGATCGGATTATTCCACCCAAAATAGCTACTCGTGCATAATAATCCTAAGTGACTAAGGCAGACGCGTATCTCAGCACGGACATGGCTACAGTAGCCTAGTAGGAGAGTTCCCACCAGTACGGAGTACAATGAAGTAGGCTGCACTAACTTGTGCACAGTCCTCCTCTACCTGCAACTAAGGAGCTTGAGATGGATGTATTTTATATTAGTTTTCGGTAAGCCCGTGTGGTAATTTATACCTAGCTAGATATACCTTCCTTAAGTAGTTTTCTACAGACTACTAAGAAGGGTAGGTATGCTGGTGCTATAGGCGGTTGAGATGCTGTTTAAAATAATATATCATTTTATATTAATAGTAAATATGTTTCTCTTAAGAACAACAGTCACTCTCCATAGTAGGAAACACCGACAGGGGGGATGACTTAGCCAGGAACCCCTTTCACTTGAGCTGTTTAGAGTAAACTCTTGATTTTATACTCTACGTATACAAAGCCAACAGCCTAATTGACAGCATGGATCTGCATGTCATAACTGGATATCATCTGACAAGTCCATAATATGGCGCTGGTTTCATGGTATGAGAAAGTACGAAGTAACAAACCAAGGATTTACTTAGAGGGAGGGGCGTTTAATGAACCTTACAGAGTACTCCGTACCGTCTGACAGACCCAGACCTTGATACGGAACCTTGGGTGGACAGTGCATTCATTGTTGATAGCAATATCTAGTCATTACCTATTACTTACTATCTAACAGCTGTTTAGTGTAATATGTATACTTTCTTGGCAACAGTAGTTGTAGCCAAGTGGGTGCCTTAGCTGTAAGGTATTCAGGGTATGTGCACGACACTAAGATTAAGTAATAATAAAACCTATGCCCTTACAACGACTGTTACTTATAAGCCCTTGATCAATAACTTTGCGGTGGCACATACCTACCTAGTATATATGCATAATATACTTAATATGTATACTCCGTATCTAGGGAAGCTTAACTAGAAGCAGTACCATGATACTCCTATAGATTACTCTATTACTTCCAGTTATTTACAAGGTGTAAATCTCGTATTGCTCAGGACTACGGATATTTGATTCTTATCCCACCTAGTGTCTACCTGGGTAGATAGGTAGATCGGTAAGACTTTGGTATCGAGTTTACATCTTTCTACTCCGTAGTAATAGTACTAATATGACTTCGTGCAAGTTTAGGTTCCTAGGTAGTTTATCCGGGGGGTTGACGAAAAGGCACAACCTCGCGGTACAATGCTTTTGTGAGTGCACTATTCGCCCTCCGTGTCCTACCCACGTACCTACCTACTAGGAAATAGGCTACTACGGGATGGTTACTACGGGGTAGATACTGTATCTGTACATGTACAGGTCCGCTCCGAAGGCGCTTTGATAGATCCTCGGTCATTCCCGGGTGAAGGTGGAGAGCTCTGCGGAGCCCATACCTTAGGCTGACCGGGGCGCCTCAGTAGTAGTACGTACTACTTCCTACTTGGTCATTAGTACCTTCGTACTAGTCAATACTGTGGCAGACTATGTATGGGGCAAATCTCCACTGCAGCGTCGTGGTTCGCTTACCTGCGACAGCAGGCAACTTGCCTATCTAGGCCCCCGAGTACTTAGGACGCTGCCGCCTCCGCTACGTGTTTGGCGGCGACGGGAAACACACTGGGCTGACTCCTGAGCGGGCAGGTCCAAGGAGATTGTCCCGTGCTCTTACGACAAATTTTGTCTTGATGCTTAGTGGGGATCATCGTAAAAGTTGTCCGCACCAACGTTATTATCCAACAAGATAGGAAGAAAGCGGGCTTAAAAACATAATGGTGAGATATGTGGCCTCTGAAGATAACCGAAGTGCGTACCTACACTAGTAAGGTACACACTACGGAGTACAGATACTAGGTCTATCTCGATGCAGGATAGCGAAGAATGAAAGGAAATAGGAACTCACTGCCCTCCCAACCCGCAGGACGTTCTGCGAATGGGAGAGGAAACAAACCCTCCTCACCTAAAATTATATCCTACAGCCAGGTGCTCCGAGGTAGGTGGCAGTATTACTCCGTACTATGTGCCTAATAATACTATTATTATACGGAGTACTCCGTACATACCTAATCAATACGTTCACCAGTGGTTACGACTTGCGAGGGTCGACAACAACCTAGGTATATAAATAAGCGTGGCGGTTATTTGTGGAACGGCGTGAATCATAGGTACCTACTTAGTCCTACGGAGTACGGAGCTGCAGGTTAGTACATCAAGCAGCCGAGGACTTTTGTGGCCACCGGGCGGGGAGGTTCGAGTACGGGCCTGAAGCTCGGCCAGGCCATCGGTTCCCACACGAAGAGACAATTCGGAGCGCTAGCAACATCAACTACTGCACCTGTTATGCAACTAATCAAGTTAATCATTGACTACGGAAGGTATGACCTACCGGAGGTTCCACTGTTCTATCCCATTCAAGAGTCTGCCGTGCTGGCTCTGTGTCTTTTCGTTCCATCGAATTGGTCAAGCTTCAGTAGGGATGCAGAACGGAGCTGCCGGCAGGCGTCCGAAGTTCCAACCTCACAAAGGGATTGTTATTATCACCTAAGTGGGTAGAACAGTTCAATGGGTTCTACGCAACTGTTGGAACTTGAAAGGACTGCATACTACCT